ATAATTCTATCTATTTCTAGATGTTTTCTTCTGATTTAAAGTATAACTTATTTTTAAAAAAAGGCTAGGATAGTTATTCTAGAAGGAAAGATGGTTACTAAATTTTTAATTATAGTAGTAATAATATATCATAAATTAGTGCTAATTTAGAAGTGATTTAGTATCTAGATCTTAGATAAGCTCTTAGACTCGCCTAGAAGTCTTATATAAATAATTCAGAAGTAAAATTATAATAAGTAGCTCTTTAAGCTCTAAATCTCTCTTTATTAGATAAGAAGAATACCTCTTGAATTTGTTCCTTTCTTACGTAGTAATTTAGTAGTTGATATAATTACATCATCCTAGGCTTTTAATCTATACTAATTAAGTATTATCTTGGATTCAAGTTGGATCTTCTTGTCTAGCCTTTTTGATTTTCTATGAATAATATAGGTCTTCTGAATACTTCAAAGGTTTAATAGGTCTATCAATTTGAATAGTAATATATAGGGCCTCCTTCTATCTATTACGCGCTTTATATATAAATATTAGCCAATAAGCCGAGTTATCATCCTGATTTAAGTTTTATTGATATGTATTCCTTATCTCTAAACTTATCTATATATTTCATTGGAATGTTATTAATTGGAACATGGTCAGTTAAAGATATTAGAAAATGATTTCTCTAAATTCCTTATCTATATAACGAAGTCTCTGAACTAATTTTAAAAAATTGTTTCTGGATTTTAGAGACCTATCTTAAATATAAGGCTTGATATAAGTCTTCTTCTAACAGAATTATAGAGAATTATAATACTAATTGAAAATGATATATAAATGTCTCTATACGTAATTTTTAAACTTAGCCCTTATAAAGAATATTAATAAATAACACATGAATTAAGTATGATCTATATCATAAGTTTTGGTTTAGGAATCAAAGGAAGTCAACAAGATACTTCATTTAAATTTAACATATATACTAACATTCTACTAATATTGAATTACACCCTTTTTAGCTATTTTAAAAGTTTTACAATTGATGATTCATTGATTATAATCTATCTATCTATCATAGCCTTCTAATTATATAATCAAATATTAATCATTTAGTCTCTTTAAACCCTATAGATTACTTTTTCTTTATTTAGGTAGCTAGCGATCACTGATATTCCTTTTAAGTCTATGGGTATGTAGCTATCTATGTTATCTCTCTACTTGAGTATTATCCATTCACTATTACGAACTAAGTTTAACGTTACTTGAACCCCATTACAATTTATCATTATAAAGCTTATGATAACTTTAATATCCATGATCAGTATCACTCATGATTCAGTGATCACTATAATTAGTTTTAAAGGTTATTATTTCTAGCATGTAGAAGATTAAATTGCTGACCGTGCCTTCCAATCGACCTTGAAAAACAAAATACATTTAGCTCAGTAAAAGAGGAAGTAAGGAGAAAGCGAAAAACTCAATAGGAGTAACATTGCCTTAGTGGAAAACCAAGACTTCAAGGCATTAGTCAGGCTTGCTCCATGTGGACTTAAGCTTAATCTAGGTCAGTGCTCGTTCATCCCGTGACTTTGGTAACGTGATCAAACCCATCGCCCACTACCCTTGACAACCTCGTTACACAACCCACAATACACTTAAAATGATTAAATAAAGAAATATATGGACTGACATGTAGGCTTCGATGTTTTCAAGTACATAGCTATATATTGATGTTATAGCCTAGCTAAATATGTAATAAACCAAGGCTTCCTTATTTTGGCCTAACGCCCTAAGGCATTTACAAAGGCTACACATTATCTACGAAAGCTAACCCATATTATTCCAAAACGAAACAAAGTCATTCATTTTTGCGCTGGGGCAGCAATTATTCAAGGGTTCTTGAATTATACCTCTTGATTATCGTTATAATACACGCACATGTCACCGGGGCTGGGGGCGGTTCCACAGAGTTATCCCTTCTTGTGACTAGTTCCCAATTTTAGCGGGTCATACGTTAATCCATTCCACCAGTGTTACAATGGAGTTGATATCGCAAGGCCCATAATTTACACAATTCCAAGATAAAAGGGATGAGCAAGAATTAAAACATAACAGGCTATGTTGATGAAGACGAATGTCAATTAAGTCCGATCAAGGATTAAGCTGCTCGTTATATATACCATCTCTACAGGGTATGTTGTAAAACCAAAGGTTCCACAACAGGGTTGTATATTTGCCATACATGTCATGAACTTTTTTGTTATCCTATTGATCGGGAGACAATAATTGCCATGATTGACCAGTATTTCACATCACTTCAAAATTGAAAACCCCTTAAACAGTCTGCAGGACCTGCTCCTTGAACTCACGCTCCACCTTCTGGCCCTTGTCATCAGTTGCGGACTCGCCGTGGAGAGCCAAGAGGGCACCCAGGTCGAACTTGGGGGACTTGAGCAGCTTAACCTTGCGAATGTGGACCTAGAGAGAATCTGTCAGATAACAGACCCAGCTACCGATGATGGTGGGAAAGAAACGTACATTCTGCAGGGGGTAGATGCCCTGGGTGGACTTCTCGATCTCACGACCAATGACCTCAGGAATGAGCTTGTGGGTGAGCTGAGACAGAGTGCAGCTGGAAGCCTCACGCTGCATAATCTCGGTCATCTTCTTGCGAATGGCACGGATTTGAGACGAGCGGGCGTAAGTGGTCTTCTTGATCTGGTTGGGGCGTCTCTTGGTGAAGGCGATGGCGAACAAACGGATGAGGTAGTCGTCAGTGGTCTTCACGGTGACGTTGGCCTCAATCAGAGACTGCCACTTGCGAACAAGGGAGCGCAGCTTGTCGGTGGTGAAGTCCAGACCGTGGAAGTTGGTCAGGCAGTTCTTGCCCTGGATCTCATCCACACGGAGCTTGACCTTGCGGAAAGCGTGGTCCTCATCGTTCTGCAGGTCAGCGAGGGAGACCTCGAAGATACGGCCCTTGAGGGAGTCGTTGGCGTTCTTCAGACCGCTAGTGCGGTTGACCAGAGTCTTGCCGACACTTTTCAAATTCGTTAGCACACAAAGTTCAGGTCCAAGTTACCATATAGAGACGGGGGAAAAAATGAAATTTGTGGGTTGGAAAGGGAGGGAGGGGGATCCTACTCGCGGGTCTGGAAGGTAGAGGGGGCCTGGCAGCGAGAACGTTAGTTAATGCGTTCCTTGCGAATGGTATTCAGATTTCAGTAAGCTCACCTTCACGGAGTACTCATCCTTGCGTGTGAAGGGGTCGACGGTCCGCTTCTTGATACCCTTCTTACCCTTTGAAAGGCGCTTGTTCCTGGTGACGAGGTGAATTAGTGAAAAGGATTCGATAGGGCCAATGGAGTGATAGAGAGTGACGATGGGAGCAAGACTTACTTGCCAACAGCCATGATTGCGAGTCGGGTCTATCTGTGTGTTGTTAGAAGACAGACAAAGGTATCGCACCACGGCGCTCGGAAGGTTTCGAGATTCTCGCTGCACGGGTCGACGGGAGGGTTGAAATCGAAAACCCACAGAAAACTCGGCTAAGCGAGCCCACCGGGCCCTATCTGTGGCTGACTCAGCCACATTTCCAGTCTCATGTGACACACAGACAAATTTGTTTGCTGCAAATTGTGATTGGTTGCTTACATATGCATACTCTTAAGTAACTTACTGGATTCATGATATCATGAATCTCATAGTGCCTAAGCGTAGCATGCCGATATACCATATCTTTGAGACTAAAATTTTGATTTTGACACTTTATAAGTCACATATAACTCATATCCAACTTGTAATTCTCCTAACAACATCTTATTTGCACCAGCTACCCTATCTGGTTCAAATTCAAAGTTCTCCGTAGTCAGTAGTAGTACTAGCAGATTAAGAATTAGACAAAGAGTCAATGATTAGGTTTCTAGACCAAGAGTTAAGACATGGTAGTAGGTTTGTGAGTACACAACATTTCGTTACCTTCACTATAAGTGATCTTACCAGTGGGCGGTTAGCATGATCACCTAAGATCCTTTTTCTGCAACCGCCCAAGCAGCTCCCGCTCCACTCCTGTTGTTGCGACTCTCATTCTCCGCACGAAGCCCACCGTCATTAATTACGTCTCTTGAACTTCGCCTTCTTACCTCGCCAACTTACTTTCTTGAACCCATCGTGGAGCATGGTAATTTTACATCATCCACTACTATGCATCTTTTCTTCCATATTAATCGACTCATCCTGATAGGGCAAGCGCAAGTCTTCCTCCAAACCCCAAGGGCCCAAAAAGGTGAGGACACACTGGATTTGACCACGCCCTGAAACTAATTGGTCTACATAGCGGGAACCCCTTTCAACCACTTTCGCCTGTTTGTTTTGCAACCATGAGAACTCGGTCATCGTCAAGTTAGACAAGAAACTCGGCCTCGGCGATCTGTCCTGCAAAGTTTGTGGCCAGAAGTTCCAGACTGGCATCAATTGTGCGTCATTCCTTGGTCGCATTACCTGTGATTCCTTTCTGATTGTATAATAGATCTTTCCGCTGCCGTCGACGTTTACTCGGATTGGGTGGACGCGTGTGACGCGGTTGCCAAGGACACGGCAAACCAATATGACGGGGCAGTCAGCTCGCAGATAGCCAGTCGCAAACCGGGCCCTTCGGCAGATATGGCACCTGGTGACGGCTTCGAGGATGAAGACTATTGATTCTCTTGTTACGGGGCGAATTGGCGCATGGGAAATGGTATCAATTTTGATGACCTCATCTATATACACTTCGGCGCATCCTTGAATTCATTTTACTTTCTTCTCAGAAAATGTTTTGCACCCTCTAGGTAAATTACCTAGATGATCTCAGATGACAAATCCGACCTCTCGGCGCTTGATGAGACGATAACCCCTTCTTGGTGGGGGATCATGTATCAAAGGCCATCCGTTGATGCTTGCTCTACGAAGAATATACGGGTGGACCGCAGATAGTAGCTTTGAAGCTCGAACTACTCATGTCGTTATCGGCGGAGATGGTACTACAAGGTATAGTATCGATCACCAAAATCTCCCAGCCCAGGGATGATGTACCTGCAAACCGATTAGTATGGCCGAAGAGCCTGAATAAGAAGGGAGCCTCTTACTTTTTGTCATCTAGTCCTTGATCAATAAAGGATGTGACAACCCGAAGTTTGGGGAATCTCTCAGCAAATTCCGCAACACCAGAAGGGCTTGCGATCAAATTTAGAAATAGAATCCGATGCTCAGGGACGCCTTTCTGCTTGAGTACCTCTACTGCCAATGTTGCAGATCCCCCTATAAAATGTCAGCATGGCTGCGAAAGCCCTAGGTCGTCAATGTGACATTGACACCTACCAGTGGCAAACATGGGATCCAGGAGCAGGACCCATCGATCCGCAATATCGGCTGGCAACTTCTCATAGAAGAGCTTCGGCATGCAGGTTTCTTCGTCTCTCTGGATTAGAATCTTGCCAATACGAACAGATCGGCAGCAATCTCGCAACCCTTGTTCCATGGCCTCTCCTGCTCTCATGATCGACACACCACAGATCTTCCCTTCAAACTTGACTCCCAAGTAGGCCCGTCCGACCGGGGTGGTGACTGACTGTTCCACTACGGGTAAGTGGTTCAGTCCTTCTTCCACCAGCAGCCGGATGATGCGGTTGGAGTAGAAGATGAAATCTGCCCGAGCAGTCCGTTTGTCGCGAATCATCCTACAGATTGGTTAGACGTCTTGAAAGATTTTTAGGCCAGCCTCGGCGAGAAAGGGTAATTGTCTTACGTCAGTAGAGCGATTAATTGGGGCGTTTGGGACAACACATGGACATTTTCGTAGGAGACTTCTTTGGAGACAGTTGCTGTGGGCTTCTCACCGTCTGGCTGATAATTAGGGCCAACGCCTTGGGCGGGCGATGGTACAGGATCCTTGCTAGCCATGAGGGAAGAATCGGAAAAGAGGGAATAACGTCAACACCAGGAGACACACGACCTGCAGCAAGAGAGCAAAAGTGGGGAGAGGGGATTTTCTCTTATCGGAGCTATCGGTCAAGAACGACCTGCGCCCTCCGCACTCATCCTTATCGGTCCCGCTGAATAAGCCTCGGGACTTGCAGGACTTGGGGATTCGCGTCTCTTGCAATCTAGGAAAATTCTCCGATTCAAGCTCGACCTTCTTGTCATCCCTTTCTATCTTTTCAGACACCTTCTCCTTTCATAAATCCGACTAGGCTGTCTGCGGCATGCCTCCTTCGCCCGCAGACGCCCTCCAGCCCTATTGGATCAGCCTGCGGTGCTTTTGAACTGGTCTCCACGAGTCCCTGTCTCCTTCTCCCCCTGGTTGATGGGCATGCTAGCCCTCTGAAGCTACTTCCTCAGCGAGAATGGAATCGCGCCCCCGGAATCGACGGCTGGTGACCTATCGCTCCACCGCTAATAATCAATCGCAATCCAAAACTGTACTCCCACGTCCGTCTACCAAACATACGCCAACTAAGTCGCGCCATTCACATCAATCAAGCCATCACCCACTAGATAGTAAACTGAAAGAAGAGCAGCCCCAAGTGTTGGCTGGGACTTCAGACGAGAAGATTTATGATTTACCATCGTCAGACGAAGAAGATCAACAACAATATATGCCGAGGCGAAAAAGACGACGGCATAGCTCGAATGGGCATACGATCACCTTGCGACAGGATATTGTGGGCTCGCGACAACCCATAGCGATCGAGAAGGATGTCAAATCAGACGGAATCTCCACCAAGAAATTGAACCCCGCAGCTCCCCAGATTATGACTGCCTCACCTCGAAGAAGAAAAGGCGCAGTTAATCATCAAGGGAGCTTTGAGCAACTAGAGGATCATGGGTTACGCGATCCCGAACCGCACACGTCTACGCCAGGCGAGAATGAGCGACCCAAGAATTCCGAGACACAGGAACGTGTCACTCGGAACGCGCAACCTAGCTTCAAATCCCCTGGGTCTCCAGGGTGTACCATGCCGCTTACGAGAAATGGTACTCCTGGCCGTCGAAGACTAATAGACTCGCTTGGCACCAGGGAACACTCAGCCAAGGGGTCATCACCAGATATGCCGGCTGAAAGTCAATTATCTTCTCCCGTGGCTCCTACGCCAAATCGACGATCAGACCTTGCACAATCAAGAACGCCGGTCGAAAGTCAATGTGATAGTCACGGCCAGGACCCTACCATTGCACCCTCGCCCCACTTACGTGGCTCTAAAGTCACATATGCCCGTCAACGCTCATTTCTAGATGACCTTCTTTTGGAAACTGGACCTTCGGGCGTAAATCTTGCACTTGGTGCGGAGCAGAATGACCAGCTAGCTGACCCTCACCATATGAATTCCAATCCTGGGTCTCGGGCTCGTCTTTTCACCATTGAGGAACCCGACAATGATGATTCCGCTGTTCGGAGCATCCATGAACTTCGTCAAGCTGGCGGAAATGCTCGTTACCGGGGCGCGGTCGAGTCCATCTTCGAAGACATTGAGGATATCCACATCTCCACATCGGGCCGGTGCAGTGCATTGGTGCAACTCTGCAGCAAGTTGCTCAATCCAAAGCTTGCACATCAATTTCTGGAGTGCAATTTTGATAGGAGGCTGGTGGATCTGTTCCGCAGCGACTTTGACTTGACCTCCTCTTCACTTGCCCTCTGTGCCTACAAACTTTGTGCCATCGGGCGACCTCTTCCCTATATTCTCGCCACGACTGCCTTGCCCAAGCTTTTGGATATTTCACTTCCCTTGTTGGACGTTCAAGATGACCTGTTTGCAATGGCACGTATTCCGCGCTTGAAAATAGCTAAGGCTACTCAATTATCCATCCAACACATTCTCCCAAGACTTCAGTCAATGATGCTTCCCGATGCTCATATGGTCAAATTATCCCCCTGCTTCTTAATACTTCAATGCCTGAGGACGACTATGGCGGCAATTCAGGAGAAAGGCGAGCATCCCAGCGGTCTTCCCGTGCCATTCTTGAAGCGATTGGTGAATCTCATGCTATCTACCAACACTTACCGGGAGGAAAGCTCAACCATTGTTGGAGTAGAAGCCTCCCAAAATCTAATGTTGGGATTGTCTATTCTAGAAGCACATACGATCTCTGGGGGTCTTCTTACCGAGGACCATCGTGATGTTCTAGGTTCCATTTCAAGTCTGTATGGTTTGCTTTCAGTGAAAGGTGACGGGTCAGTGAATACGATCAGCCAGGATATTCAAAGTCTCTATATCCGAGTGATCCTGAACGTTACCAACAGCCATCCTAACCTTTGCGATGACTTTGCAACGCCCGAGATGATAGATGAACTGGCCGCAATCGCAATCGCCAATTTTGCTGACTTGTCCAAAGAGCCCCTCGCTCAGGATAACAGCAATTCTTTAGATACCGTGATCCTGGCACTGGGGGCTCTGATCAACGTAACTGAACAAAGCGAAACCTCGCGTATCGTTTTCCTCAACTCACGGAGTTCAGGCCCGTCTCTCCTCGGCCAATTACTGCAGCTATTTTTGATTCATGTCGATTCCACCTCCGAGGTATAAATTTACCCCTGGCTTTCCCCCCCCGCCCCATCTTGTTTGGCTGCTAATGCATTGATTTCTTAGGCACATTCTGTCCCGGCAGTTCATCATAACGTTGCAATGGGATATTTGGCGGTCCTCCTCCTAGCCTTGTGTCTTAATTCCAGTGCTCGAGCCGAGGTAAAGAGATCGTTGCACTCTAGGGGCTTATCGGCGATCCTGTCGACGGTTGAAGAATTCTTGCAATATCACCGCAAGATCGACCAAGAACTACAAAGCCTCCCGGCACAAGGTGATTCAAGTGGATTCCATATTCGATTGCAGGACCTGGTTGGTCGAATTCGACTCATCGAGTGAAAATGTCTTTTTAAATGAACATCATGGTCTGTTATGACTTTTCTGTATTTATGGTGATGGCGACGCTGGCTTTTCTCTTTTCTTTCTTTCTTCTCTTCGTCTTGCATCCTGAAACTCTGATGAAGACAGAATGACCTTGGCGAGATTTAATTAATGATTGATACCCTTTTCCTTTTTCCTCATCTTCCTTCCTAATTGTGTTTAGTATATACTGAATCGTATGTCAAGTAGTGTATATCCTACATGTGTTATCGGAATGCTGTTATCGGCTCACGTGCGGTCCCAGATCGGGTATCTAATCGCCTGTTTGCAGCGTTTGCAGCCGATCGAGCTCCCCGATTGCTTCAACCTGTGGATTTGCCACTCCAACCGCGAGCTCCCATCGATCGCCAAATCGTTCTGAAACCTCCTCCTTGACCTCCCAATATCCGTTCTTGTACCAAAAACTCCTCCTGTAACTTCACTATATTTGACACGATGCCTGCTGCCCCGAAGCAGAGAAAGATTGCCATTGTTGGCAGTCGTTCCGTGGGTATGAGCCTTGATCAGCATTGGTTTTCAAGGGGAAAATCTCCGGTGTACTGACGCTGAATGCCTCAGGAAAATCCTCCCTTACGGTCCGCTTCGTTGAGCATCACTTCGTGGAAAGTTATTACCCCACAATTGAAAACACTTTCAGCCGGATCATCAAATACAACGGTCAGGACTATGCCACCGAAATCGTAGACACGGCTGGACAGGTATGCCTCTGCTCGTTAGGATAGAGGAGGAAGACTTCCTAGAGCTGACTTCTACTTCCAGGATGAATACAGCATTTTAAACTCGAAGCATTTCATCGGCATCCATGGGTATATCATTGCATACTCGGTGACATCGCGCCAGTCTTTTGAAATGGTAAAGACTATTCGTGACAAGATCTTGAACCATCTGGTAACCCCCTCCCCCACCCGTTATTCAAGTCTATTCCTTCTGAAATTGGATATCTAACTGTTATTGTGTGACACAATAGGGAGCAGACGAAGTGCCTCTGGTAGTTGTAGGCAATAAGAGTGACCTGAAGCCAGAGCAACGACAAGTCTCATTGGATGAGGGCCGCAAACTGGCGGAAGAGGTCAACTGTGCATTCACCGAGGCCAGTGCCTTCCTCGACTTCAATGTCGACAACGCATTCGAGCTGATGATTGGGGAGATTGAAAAATCTCAGAATCCGTCTCAACCTACCGGGGGCAATAAGTGTGCTTTGATGTGATCTGACTTTGAGTCATGTTATGGCATATATTCTCCCCTGGTATGTTATTTTCGGGAAGGATTATGCTGGAGATTATGGGATTTGGAGCTCCTGAACCTGCTGCGCAAGTACTCAACTCCCTTCGTCCTTCCCTTTCTCATGTATGCCTAACGCCTAAATCCCACCAACCATGCCCCTCGTCCCTTGGAATAATCTGAAGCTAACGTTGCGATTGTTGTCTAGGAGCACTCTCCTGTGGAGACATACAACAAACATTTGGTTATTCGCTTTCCCGCGCCTTTCTCTCCTTGTGTTATTGTTGTTCTTTTTTCTTCTTCTCTCCTTGTTATTGTCATTCGGGAATGGTGGAATCTTGGGACTTTGGGTTGCTTTGAATCATGGGTTTCTTTTTTTGCGGTTCCAGGGCTAGGGAAATATGTATTTGACATTTGCATAGAGTAATGAAACGTTGGCCCTTTTGGGCCCACCGACACGTCAATATATTTCCTATCTTATGGAAACGCAGATCAACAAAGCTTATGTAGAGAAATTTCCGAGGTTGTATGTTGGTTAAAGAAACATGACCGTAGTTATGTCTGTCTGGTATACACCTCTATGATATTTGGAATGGAACGGATTTACCATGTTTGGATTAAGTAATCCCCCGCTGTCCGCGCGCACTTTTTTCCCACTTTACCCCTCCACCAACGCCAGTGACTCAGATTTTAATTGTACCCCCTTCCCGACCATGTTGGACCTCAATGATTTTGTCGCCGAGCGCGGCGGTGACCCCAATAAGATCAAGGAGAGCCAGCGCAGACGCCACGCCCCAGAGGAGACTGTGGACGAAGTGATCGCCCTGTACGAAGAAGCCCGTCAAGGTATGTTTGTGGCCCGATCGACGTGGGAAGCAGCTTCTAAGTCATAATTAGCCCGTTATGCAGTTACTCAAATCGGCTCCGAGCTGAATGCCCTCATGAAGCAGATCGGCATGAAGAAGAAGGTATCCCTCATCTCACACCTTCTCCCCACCTCGAGCACGAATAACTCATATGTTGGATTGAATAGAACAAGGAAGATGCGAGCGACCTGCTCAGCCAGAAGACAGATGTCGACAAGAGAAAAAAACAGGCTGAGGATGCAGCTCTTGCGAAGGAATTGGAGCGGGACCGTAAGATTCGAACGATTGGAAACTACGTTCACGACTCAGTCCCCTTGAGCAACAACGAGGCAAGGATTCATTCTTATAAGATGGTGATGTGGGAAGTGAACTAATGCCGATGGTGCATCACAGGATGACAACCAGGTCATTAGGACTTGGACCCCTCAAGATGCTGTGATGCAGCGGCCCGATTGTCTCTCCCACCACGAGGTCCTGACTCGCCTGAACGGATATGATCCCGAGCGTGGTGTAAAGATTGTCGGCCACCGAGGATATTGCTTGACTGGCTACGGTCTCTTTTTGAACCTGGCCCTTGTTAACTATGGTCTGGAGTTCCTCTTCAAGAAGGGTTACCAGCCCAACCAGCCTCCGCAATTCATGCTTAAGGAGCTCATGGCTAAGACCGCACAGCTGGAGCAATTCGACGAGGAATTGTACAAGGTCACTGAGGGCGAGGACAAGTCCACCGATAAGTATCTCATTGCCACCTCTGAGCAACCGCTCTCTGCACTTCACAGCAGCGAGTGGCTGCAAGAGAGTGACTTGCCCATCAAGTAAGAGCTATTCCCACTGCCTTGTTGTGCAAGTGTTGATATCTTCATATCTAGGTACGCTGGCTACAGCACCTGTTACCGCAAAGAAGCTGGTGCCCACGGTAAAGATGCATGGGGCATTTTCCGTGTTCACCAGTTTGAGAAGGTGAGCTAGACTCGTCCCGCTTTCCCCTCTGCAGCACCCGTTTTCCCTGACTGGAGGCTTATACATCCTACAGATCGAACAATTTGTGTTGACCAAGCCGGAGGACTCATGGCAAGCTTTTGAAGATATGATGGCCACTTCGGAGGAGTTCTACCAGTCTCTGGGGCTCCCATACCAAGTCATGGCTATCGTGTCGGGCGCATTAAACAACGCGGCAGCCAAGAAGTACGATTTGGAGGCTTGGTTCCCATTCCAGCAGGAGTACAAGGAACTTGTCTCATGCTCCAACTGCCTTGACTACCAGTCCCGTGACCTGGAGATCCGCTTTGGTGTCAAGAAGGCCACCGATCTGAAGAAGACCTACGTCCACGCGCTGAATGCTACCTTGTGTGCCACCGAGCGGACCCTCTGCTGCGTTCTCGAGAACTACCAGCGGGAAGATGTATGCGCTCTCCCCATTTCCTTCCTGCTGATAACTGCTGACTCATTCCATCATAGGGTATCGAGGTCCCCGAAGTTCTGCGGAAGTACATCCCTGGCAACCCAGAATTCCTTCCGTACGTCAAGGAACTGCCCAAGGACACGACTTCACAGAAAGTCAAAGCCAAGCAGGCCAAGGGAACCGATGAAGCGGCCAAGAAGATGCAGGATCTCAAAGTCTGATTGAAAACAGACAGATGTAGTACATGAGCTTTACTATGTAGTACATATGCGGAAAAACGAATTTGAAAGTGGATCCTCGATAATAGAGTTACGAGTAGTTGATTGGACGAATAGAAAAGGCGGAAAATGCGGGAAAAAAGAAGAAAAAAGCCCCGCGATGCCCCTCTTCAATCACGCCTTCATGAGTCTAATGAGTCACGTATATACAGATTTTTTTCTATACCGCAGCGTAGCATATATTGTAGTTTATGCTAGAAATGAGTCAATTTTCTCCAGCTTTAAATCACTGATCCCTCTCTTTCTTTCCCTTTAAATAAAGAGAAAGAAAAAAATAAAAAGGAAAAAAGTGAAAAGAACTATTGATCGCATCCGATTCCGGAGACTCGGTGGGCTTATATAAGGTGACCTAATTGCCCGTAATTTCATCATTTTATTCATTGCTCAAGACTTGGACTCTTTCTTTTTCTCTATCATTCCCCCTCCTTGCTCGGTTACGCCATGACATCTGCCAGAGATATTCGCCCTCGCCAGGACGACCTGGCCGCTCAGGCTCAATACCTGGCAACCTCGCCCTCTGCTTCCTTCCATTCCCCCTCCAGCCATGGCTCAGCGCTCACCCGGACGATCCCGGTGCTGAATGCGAAGCATCTGAAGCCTTTTGCGACACAAGACATCAAGGTTCTGCTCCTGGAGAACGTGAACGTGGCCGGTCGTGAAATTCTGCAACAGCAGGGCTACCAGGTAGAATTCCTCAAGTCTTCCCTACCAGAGGACCAACTCATTGAGAAGATTCGGTACGGTATTCCGACGTTCTCCCTTCCCAGGGAGGTAGCTACTGGATTGGGAAGCTGACTGGTATTGAAATAGGGACGTCCACGTCATCGGTATCCGTTCCAAGACCAAGCTCACTGAGCGCGTCCTGAAGGAGGCCAAGAACCTGATTGTGATCGGCTGCTTCTGTATCGGAACCAACCAGGTGGACCTGCAATATGCGGCTGAACAAGGTATCGCCGTCTTCAATTCGCCCTTCAGCAACTCCCGTAGTGTCGCCGAGCTGGTGATCGGTGAGATCATTGCTCTTGCGCGACAGCTAGGTGACCGTTCCAACGAGATGCACAATGGAACTTGGAACAAAGTGAGCAACAAGTGCTGGGAGATTCGTGGCAAGACATTGGGTAGGTTTGGGATCTGTACAGCACGCAGGAATCATTCACTCACCGAATTTTCATAGGTATCATTGGCTATGGTCACATCGGTGCCCAATTGTCTGTCCTAGCCGAGGCCATGGGCATGTCCGTCATCTTTTATGATGTGCTTAACCTGATGTCTCTCGGTACGGCCCGCCAGGTCGAAACCCTGGACCAACTGATGGCCCAGGCCGATTTCATTACTTGCCATGTGCCTGAACTTGCTGAGACCAAGGGCATGATTGGCAAACCGCAATTCGAGAAGATGAAGACTGGCAGCTACCTGATCAATGCCAGTCGTGGAACCGTTGTCGACATCCCTGCCCTCATCGATGCTATGCGCAGCGGCCGAGTTGCCGGTGCCGCGCTGGATGTGTACCCGAATGAGCCTGCCGGGAATGGCGACTATTTCAACAATGAACTGAATGAATGGGGAACTGATCTGCGTTCCCTGAAGAATCTGATCCTGACTCCCCACATTGGAGGAAGCACCGAGGAGGCCCAGAGTGCCATTGGTGTGGAAGTGGCTCAGGCGCTGACCCGATACGTCAACGAAGGCACCACTCTGGGTGCTGTTAACCTGCCTGAGGTCACCCTCCGTTCTCTGACGATGGATGAGCCAAACCACGCTCGGGTTAGTTATATCAGTATTGACGAGGAAGTCTGGAAACTCAAGCTGACGTCCTTATCTCCCTTAGGTCATCTATATCCACAAGAACATTCCTGGTGTGCTGCGAAAAGGTACGGACCTCTCCCTCCAACAAGTCTCCATTCTCCCCCCAAGCACAACTTTTCTAACGTACGTGTTCAATCAGTGAACGAAGTCATTGGTGACCACAATGTCGACAAGCAAATGACCGATAGCAGGGGCGATGTAAGTCTTGCCACCGATGCTGTAATCAGTAGAAATAGCTAACCCATAAGCAGGTTGCTTACCTGATGGCTGATATCAGCAACGTGAGTGCTGCTGTCATCAAGGACTTGTATGAGAGACTTGAATCTCTCAACTGTAAGGCAACTCCGTTCCTCTTGTCACACGCGAGGTCTGACTAACTTCTTTTAGCCCGAATTATGACCCGAATTCTGTACTAAACAAGGAGCCCATGATACTCCAACCATTGTAATCAACTTAACATGTTTTGAACCTGGGTTCATTCCATTTGAAAACCTCGCTGGGACCCTCAACGAGGTCCTGCCTGTGCAACGAGGCGTTCTGTGTCTGTTGACTTGGTTATGTCCTTCATACACAGATCAATCCTCGAACCGTAAAATCAAGTGACTAGAGGTGGAGAAACATAAAAGCAAATTGACGGTTTACGCAAGCAATGTCTATACAAGTGCCTTCAAACCAAATTCTATGTAAACTTGGCTCTGTCTGTGCCGATATATAGATAGGCACTTAACTACCTTGGAATAACTCACACACAAAAACATATAGTGAAGCACCTGAAGCGTCCTGGGAAGTATTATTGTGAAATGGGTGTGTTGGATATCATTTTCCAATTCAAATTAGTATCTTATATTTTGCCAGCTAAGAACGCCCCCACGCCGCGGCCAATTATGGAGAATGATGCATCCTTTGCGGCCGGCTAAATTAGTAGGGGGATGTTGATAACGCACAGCCTCTACCCAGGTCCTCGGAAATTGGGACTCCGACTTCTTCTTCGAGCTGGCTCACGACGATAGTCACGCCGGTTCCCTCCACGCCGATCCGCGTTTTGGGATGGGTTTTCGGGAGCTTGTCCATAGTTTGGGACATAAGAGTCAATACTGCTAGAGAACCTACCACCTGGACGGCCTTGGGGAAACCGATCCCGTCGTGATTCATCGGTCCATCCGGCTTGCGCACCATCCCACTGTTGGTGAGAAGACACAGGAGGCCGTGGAGGAAGCCCGCTATCTCGCTGGGACGAAGGGAATGGACCACGTCGATTGGAGTTGCCTGACATACCAGGTGGTCCGTTAGGTCGACCACCTCGAGCGGCCCCTGGAATTCTGCTTCGAGAATCTGGTCGAGAACCGGGGCCGGTCCAGGCTCCATTGGAAGAGGCATCACCAGCGTTGCCCCCAGGAGCTGCGGGGACGGGGACCCGTTGGCCGCGGAACTTCTTTCGATCCAGCTCGTGGGAATCCTGGAAGGCGGGGATCTCCCCAGGGCGTGCGGGAAGTGGCGGGGTGGTGAAATAGGGATGTTTCAATGCGTCGATGGCGTTGATACGTTTCCGCCAGTCAAGCTTGAGAAGCTCGGTGAGTAGCGAGACAGCAGCAGGGTGTTGACTATTGTGTTGTTAGTCTATGCAAGTCTAACCAACAACCGCATTCAAACCGGAGGATGAAAGGTCTTCCTACTCTTTAAAGACATCGGCAAGGTTTCCACGCTTGAAACCAAAGTTCTTGACTCCCTCACAACCAGGCAGAGAACTCCACCCGGGCATGTTCTCGTCATTTGGGGTCCCCACAAGATTGAAGATGAGCTGTGCTTGATTAAGATCGCTACTGCCCGAAAGGATGGGCTTTCCTTTGAACATCTCACCGAAAACACACCTATAGGGTATATCAGAGCCTATTCAACAAAATATTGGGTCCAAACTTACCCTACACCCCACATGTCAACGGCAGTCGTGTATTTCCGGAGCGACAGCAGCAACTCTGGTGGGCGATACCATCGGGTCACAACCAGGGCTGTGTATTCTCGTTTTGCTTCGCCCCCACCCTTTCCAGGCTGCGGGGGGGGTTCATCGAAGGGTCGTGCAAGCCCAAAGTCGGCAATCTGGAGGATTCCACCATTACTGATAAGAAGATTGGCAGCTACCCCATCGATCAGCTTTGATTGAAGCAAGTGTAATAAGTGGTTCAATGAACACATACCTTTCATGTCACGGTGCAAAATACGACTCTGCTATATGCGTCAGACAGGTGGCTCCTTGAACTGGTTGACAACAAGCCATACCGCATGTAGGTAACGAAGACCTTCAAGAAGCTGCATCAAATAACATTTGATCTGAGGCTCGGTAAAGTGCACCGATGGGTTCTCTAGAAGCCCAGAAAGATCATGCTCCATATATGGGGTAACCATGTACATGCTGGGTTTCTTCCGTCCCTCGCCTGAAGTATGTGTCAATACGCAATCGGCGGTAAAGACTCAAAGCCATCAAAGGCCATCTCTTACCCTTGCTCCGCTCAACAGCCATCTCTTTGAGCTGCAAGACATTTGGATGAGAAAGCACCTTCAAAATCTTGATCTCTCGAATTGCGGTAATCGGAAACTTTACAGAGCAGGTCAGCTGGGGTGTACAATAAGGGTAAATTGCAAGTGAAGCATACGCCTTCTTTCTCATGGTGCATGAGAATCTTCTTCAAGGCCAGGACCGAGTTGTCCTTCTTGGACCTTGCTTTGTACACCTCACTGGTCCAACAATTAGCCCTTGAAACCCCATTTGGCCAGAGAAAACCCACCCGAAAGTCCCCTCTCCAAGCTTGCCGATGAATTCAAAATCTCGAATGTTAGAGCAGCCAGGGAATCGGGGCTCACCGTTGTTGTCCTTTTCGAGGGACGACATGGATGCAGGTTCGATCGAGCACGGAATGCTTGCTTTTGGTTGATCAAGGAATGATTCGATTGGGAAACGGTAGATTTTGACCACTTGAAGATTCAAATCCAGGTATGCTGCTGAGTTGGTTCTTGGTGCTCGCGGGGGATTTTAGTCGGGTATCATGGGTTCATTCAATTCAAGGCGATAACAGCGCTTAGTTGAATTTTGTCGGGGAAATCGGAGTCAAGGAGCACCGAGGAATTGGGAGGATAGATGGAATCATAGTAGCATTCACTGATCAGATTAAAAAGTAAAGGGAACCAGATGTGAGCTTTCGCATTGCCAGGGCCATTCAAGGGTCTCTTGAGCGGAAAGAAGACTTAGGTGAAATGAGGAAAGCAACGGGAATGGTCAAATCTCCCAGTCCCCAGGTCTTGCAGATAAATAAGAAATTTAAGACCCAAGTCCCAGATTCTTTTAAGTTGAGCAACAGAAGAAACCTTGGACGCTCAGGAAGAAAGAGCGCCGTCACTGATCACGTGACGGTGGGACTTCCACTTCCTCGAATTCCCGCTTCCGACGAACCCTCCGTCTTCCGCAAAGCTCCCCGTCCTGCATACATAAGTAGGTGACTTATTCGACCGCCAAAATCTGCATCTGCTGACTCAATCTGTAGCCATGGCAGGCAACTCCCACCACCCGGTCCACGTTCACGCGGCTCGGCCGTTATACCGCTTCACTGCCACTGCCTTAGGTGCGAGCATGTGGTTCTTCGTATGGATACTTCCCTCAAAATATTAGTATCTGGCTCGGACATGCTAACTAGATGTTACGCAGCTTATGTACCGTGCTAAGAAGGACGGTCCGGCTCTGCTGGGATGGAAGCATCCTTGGGATCACTAGACGGAGGGGCTTGGTCTGTCTCATAACCACGAACCACGCTCAATTGAAGTTGAGCAGGCTTGCGCGCCGTTTGATACCTTGACTTTCATATTCGTCTTTAATTCTCTGGGAGAGAAAGAAGCTTCCAGGGGCTTTGGGTGGTTGATATGTACCATACCGTTTTTATTAGGTGACAATGCGATGCACCATGCGACACTCTATCTACCGCGCCTCTTCTATATATATAAATACAGTCACCACCCCAACCACCTTGGCCCCCCTTCAATGTATTCATAGACCCATCCCTTCCAGAAGGACCTTGTACTGGCGACGCTTCTTGCGATAGCTGGGCTGTAGCCGAGTCCGGGCATGGCCAATAATGCGTGCTAAGCGGGGGAACACAGTGACCTCGGCTGACCAGGCCAATGCAAACATCCCGAGTGCAAGCGCCAAAATGCAGCCTCGATAGGTATCCGACATCATGGTCAACTCGAGCACGTTCGAGACCCACTTTGATGGTCGGAAGAGCATGTAGACTGCGATCAGCAAATCGATAATGATTGTGCAAAGATATGGGACTATCGTGCAAACAGTGATTAGTAGTAGCTCGTCTGTTGTTTCTAAACTCAGGGTATCGCTCACTGTTTAATGTCATCGGTTGCCGGAAAGGCGGCCCGACGCTTAGAACAATACTAGTCAGAATGTATTGAAAGCAGGAGAACAGGAACAGCGCCGTATTTTCTGAGTTCACAATGTTACTCTTCTCTAGATTCAGTTGTGGGGGAAGAAACCTGTTTACAACGGTCAGCAATGTCTTCAGCTCGCAGTTTAGCAAAGGAAAAAACGTACCAGGGCTGGGTCTGGACAGTCTGGAAGATCGCCAGCTGGGCGAGAACCACCATCATAATCTGGCCCAGTAGAGGAGTCAACACCTTTCGCGACACGAGATCTGCTGTGGGCCGCTTGCGAGAAAGCGTGGGGTAAGGACCAGTCCAACCCACTAGTTGTCGGTCAGTCAATCGTCCAAGATAAGGTAAAGCATCACTCACTAAAGATAGCAATCGGCATGATCAGAGCAAGATCAATGAACAGGAACTAAGAATTCGGTCAGTCACATCTCTGGGTATCTTCACGTGTAAAAGTTGGGGGTTTTGCTTACCTGGAAGTCACCAAGGTTGGAGCCGGACGTATAAAGAAAGCTCACGGAGGAGAATTGAATGGCTGAGTAGAGGCTCATGAATTTGAAGCAGCAGAAGCTTGTGACCAAAGCAGCGCGGCCCTCACTATCGAAAATTTGTGAGCTGGATGTCCTACTGTTGAGGGTGGGGAGTAGTAATCTTACCGGATCAATGTGGGCACACAGGAGATCTCGAAAAGCCTGCTGGTGAAAGGGGCAGCAACAGATGCCTCAGCGTCAGACAAGGAAATCCCCACGTCAGCGGCTTTCAAGGCGCCGCAATCATTCGCCCCGTCTCCGCAAAAGCCACAACAGTAGTCAATCGACTGAAGCTTTTCGACCAGTTCATGCTTCTCGTCCGGTGACATTCGAGCAAATACTTTTCCAATGACCAGAATCTAAGCAGGGCTGTTAGAAAAGGAAATCGTCTCGTCGTTTTCATACTCAACGAGAAAAAGGCAAAAGCAACTCTTACCCGGTTCAATACATCCTCGTTCCCATAGTCAACCATCCACCGGAACACATCACCCGTAACTGCAACACAGTAATGCCGATCATGAAGTAAATTTCCTGGGATAGATAGATCCTCTTCTGTTGAGGTTTGGAGAGGCTAGACGATTAATTAATAACTACAATGACGGCAATAGAGTCGGATTTTCCATACTAGAAGCGTTCTTGGGTCCAACCTGAGATCGGGATTGTCCACACTTTCCCATATAAGGGATGTTTTGCCGATAAGACCGGGTTCTTAATCGGTCAGCGCAGTTCAAATTCATCGATGGGGAATAGCGCAGTACACACCTTCAATGAAATGTGGGATAAAACAATGCTCGCCTGGGTCGATCATCTTACACTCCTTGGCAACACTCACTGCTGTTAGAATGTTATCACCCGTACACATAACATTGCGAATGCCGGCTTCATTCAACTCGGAGATGACACGAGAAGTGCTAGGTTTCAGCTTATTTTCAAAAATGATGAAGCCCAAAAACTCAAGATTACTCTCGGCCTCAGTCCGGCTCAGTTTCTGGGCTTTCATCCAGCTCAGCTTCCGTTCGTATTTGGTTGCACAGGCAATAACTCGATACCCTTTGTGGGTGTAATAGTTAAGAAGTTCGTCATAGTCAGATGGGACTGCTCATGAGGTAAGTAAATCAGCCAGAATTTCTTCCATAAGGAGGAACTCACGGGTTTCGGGCACACATATATCCTTGATGCTTTCGGGGGCACCTTTCACAAAGAAGCTCACCCCATTGTCGCCAAACTGTCGAACAAGAACACTTGCGCGGCGGAGGTGTGACACGAATTCGAAATTCCGTAAAACACCCAGTTCAACGGGAAGCTGCGATGGAAACATAATGGTCAGTGCCCATATTGAACACGAAAACACTTTAACAGCTTACATTTGGTCCAATTCGTTGGCTTTCGCCGATATGTGTCTCTGGTGGTCTTGCAACGGATGGAGTGATGGTATCAAACTTGGGACTTGTCGGCTCGGAGGCATGTCCGCCACCCTCTTCATAAGACCACCCCGTGAACTGAAACATCTTGACGTCAAGAGGATCTCCTAGTAACTCGCCATCCACAACCCTGAGGGAGTGACATGTTGCCATGGTGTATACAATCTTCCGCTGCTTCTCCAGGTCATAAGGTGAGTTCGCAGCTGACGATGGTAGTAGTAGACCGGAAGAAATTCCGGACAACAGCTCAGAAAACCTAATATCCATCAGACCAGTTCCAGTGCATAGATGCTTGTGTTCGAATGACCATTGGGTACCAACCTTTGGTTATTGCTAATAGCCCGTGCCCCGAGAACATCTAAACCATCCTCCGTGAGGGTTCCCGTTTTATCAAAACAGACCACATCTAGCTTTCCTCCAACGTTGACTCTAAGATTTCCAGGGTATCAGCAGGAGACTGATTTATCACATGAAAGAGCAACTCACTTCTGGGGACTAATACAGAAGATACTCTGCTTCTTGAGGCGGGAGAGTGCAAAGTTTGTTCCAATGCTAAGGGTTGCCGGGAGGGCCGGAGGGACAACGATTGTAATTAAATCGAGGGCGCGGACAATGATGAGATGCCAAGAAAGCTGCTGTTCATCAGCAATTGAACATATATTTCTCCGGGATTGACCTACCCCCAATCTCACAAAATTGATAAATGAAGCCACAAAGCCGCAGAGCGCGACTATTGCCATCACCGCAATGTAACGGAATGAGTCTCGGTAGAATTTGAAGCCCGAGGGTTTCGGAAATAGCATTGAGCGGACTAGTGCACCCTTAGTGGTTGAGAATCCGGTTCTGGCGACCATAGCCAAGGCAACAGCTTCATCGTCGTGTGCATTCTGCGGCCGCCTGGCCCGAATGATTTTAGTTCCACTGAATAGAAAGTGCTTGGCAACATTGGCATGTATCGACGGGGCACTGAGATCTAGATGTTTGAGAGCGTCATCGATGAAGGGCGTCTTAGATACAGGCACAGATTCACCTATTGTATTTTAGAATATCGACCAGTCAAGGGTATGGAGCGGGGATCGTGAGAACATACCAGTAAGCATACTCTCATTCACAATGCAATCACCCGATAATAGGATAGAATCACAAGGTACTTGGTTCAATGACGGATCAGAGAACTCGAATACGTCCCCAGGTACCAGATCTTGTGAAGAAACCGATCGCCCTGGATGTCGTGGTCAGCAACCCGCCAATCAAGACCAAGAAAACCATTTTTCTGCATTAGCTTACAGAATCCATTCCTGAGGACACGCACGTCGCACTCGAATAGGGATATCTCTCTCAGTCGACTCATTGACTGTCCGCATATTAGTATCTCTACAGCTTCGTCACATTCCACTGGGTCTCAAGAACCTACCGATTTCGTTTCTACCACTGTGGTGGCAATGCTGAAGGCGGAGATGAGAAAGATGCAAACCGCATAGTAGTAATATTCATCCATAGACCAAAGGATGAGACTCGCCACTTGAAAGATGTAGAAGGGGTGAAAAGCCTATTCCTAGTAAGAGAGAGGCAAAGGCGTAGGTCTTGTAAAAGAAGGAGACATACCTCGTCGAGTAACAATTGCGGCACGGTTTTTTGCTGGATATCAATGACATTTTGTCCAAAAATCTGTTCTCTGCTATCTCGCTCGTCGGCATCCAGTCCTCCACGCATGGCCTTTGCATTAGTCCACGCGGGATCTCTCCAGCCATTGATCAAGGAGAATTTATCTTCGACGGGGTGGTAAAAGAATCGTAGGTATCTGTAATCGAGGAACCGTAGGGATTCAATGGTTGGATCGCGGTCTTCGTCGTAAACTTGACCAGAGGAGTCAACAAAAACTGTGGATAGTGGACGCCCATAGGACTGGCTGCCCACTTTGTGAATGGTGAATTGATTCCATTGGTCCTAATGGCGGGTTAGTAGACTTAATCGAAGCTCATACTAGGGACCCCGTTGTTGATATTTTTACCTCGATAGCAATCCACTGGCATTTCCCCAGTGGAGCCGCTTTTCCAGTCAACCTTACGCGCCATCGTGGGAGCCAGCGCAAGAGAAGGTATGCGAAACCACCAGTCAAGATACATAGAGCAATATAGAGAGCAAACCCTCCTGCACTGGTGGAGAATCCTGCAAAGACCGCCGTCAAGTCTTCCGATGCGATATACACTTTTTGATTCAGTCTGCTCCCGGACCTTCTATCACGGCCATAAGAGCTTGCAGAGATGTATCGTGACAGCAGAGGTTGCTCTACCGAGTCTCGCGATTGCGAATGTCTCTTGGAAATGAAAGAACCTCTGCTGGACTCAACATCAGCTTCGGCGAGTCCATCTGCCGACTCTTCTTCGAACCCGGAGCTCAGATCCTCCAAATCTTCCTCCACCGCATCCTCGTTCGACCATTCTGCAAAATCTTCTCCATCTTGGAAGTAAGTGAAACTGACCGTCGATCCCGTTCGGTTACGACGATGTAAGAATGAGACCACACTCGACGGAATACTTTCTGAGATTGGACCATCGAATACCTATTCAGAAGTCAATACTGTACAGTATGCAAGACGGAGCAGTCGCTTCAACATACCTCATGCCGGGCCATCTCTACGTCAGATACCACGCTCACACTACATCTTTCAGTTAGCGACATCTTCACCGTAATCGTGGGGTTCATTACCTGCTCCGAAGAGAGTCCCGTCGACGACTCGACCGGGACATGGAGAGGTCCATGGGGCCAGTCCCCGGAGGGGATGGTGGTCGGCTACCCATCACGCTATGATAAGACGGCTTTTGAGGATTTGGCGTTCGATGATCAGAAGCTCGCCCAAGCAAGCTTTTTGGCACGGGCAATGAAACACTATGGTGCCTTCAATTGGTACTGGTGCATCACTATACAGTAATGGGTATTTGTAGGTCAAGAAAGCGCCGAATGGAGTGAGAGTGGCCGCGGGGAGCTCGTGTGCCACTGATTCGGGCGGTGTCCCCGAAAGTCAGTGCTACTGCGTTATCGCCATGTGACCTTGATAAGCCGGCGAATGGCCTCAGGCGTGATGTAAGCAAGCCATCCCTGTTTAGGCAGGAGGGGCAAGATAGAGGTTTTGTTTGGGGGTAGGTAGATATAGATATGTATATATGCTAGTAAACAAGTATTCAGATCCCAGGTTTAGCAGCGTCAATTTCTTTGATTCTCAGGTTCTATGGAATCAAGAAAACCAAGTTCTGATTCTCATGTATGAGTCAGCTGTATAGCCCGGAGAAAATACTCTACAGCACCTTGAGATAATATATATATGCATGCATACAGTATCAAATCTGGAGGATGGGAGTTTGAATGAGATAGAACGACAAGATCAGCCTAGACCAATCAACATGACCTTCGAATGATGCTCCTATCAACCTCCAGATCGGCCTAACAATAACGTATAGTTGTGTTTCTAAAATTAACATCTTGGATGGCAAAATGGGTCGTGGCCACCAGTCGGACTTGGTTCCAGATGAGAACATTAAATGGTTAAGTCACGATCTACATTGAAGATCCGGAACTACTACGCTGTAGTAATCCTGATGGTTATGAGTATAGGCTTTTTGTATTCCTTTATCAACTTCAAAATTAGAAAAAAAACTGGGAATATTACCTATCATAGGAAGGTTGAATTGGAATTTTTTCCTGTGGTTTCATTATGCCAGGGTAAGCTAGGTGAATAGATGTAAATTGATATGGAGAGGAAATGCAAGAATCTATCATGAATTAGCTAATCTCCAGGAGTGAGGGAAAAAAGCGAAGGGAAAGAAAAAAGAGCGAGAGGGGAAGTTGTTGGGAGCAGTTTTTCAACCAGAACCGCGTCCCGCCAAGCCCCTCCGGCCACCGGCGCTAAGGATCCCACCATCCAGACTCTCACTCCTCCCCCCAAAACTCCACGACCCATATCAATTTTCTTCCCTCCTTTTCTGATCTTCAACTCATCTCCTACCCCCCTTTTCAGACCTTCTCTTTCCCCCTCCCTTCTCATCATGTCTGAGCCCATCAGGAATAAGAAGGCTGATTTCCCGGTCGCCCCGTAAGGATTTTTCCCTTTCACTGACCGCTTATCGAGCAAAAACACTGACGCCGTGAAAAAATATACAGGACCCCGCAAAACACCCCAGCCAACAATGCTCCCATCTCCTCGCACGCCCAACAGCCTGGTGTCTCCAGCATTAAGGAAGGTAAGTCTTCCCCCCTCCTTCACTCGTGGAATGAACCCCGGATTCTAAACGAGTTCGTGTTCCTAGAAACCCTAGACAATGCGACAGCCGCTTCACTTTTCGCACGCAACCCCGCCCTGGTTTCGATGATCCAGGGCAAGCTGGGCCAGCTCGTTGGTCGCTCATCGGGCTATATCGAGTCCCTGCCCCCGGTCGTCCGCCGCCGCGTCGCTGGCTTGAAGGGTGTCCAGAAGGAGCACTCTAAGCTGGAGGCCCAGTTCCAGGAGGAGGTCCTGGAACTCGAGAAGAAGTACTTCGCCAAGTTCACCCCGCTGTATGAGCGCCGGGCCACAATTATTAACGGAGGTGTGGAGCCCACCGAGGCCGAGGTTGAGGCTGGCAAGGAAGACGAAGAGGAGGACGAGGAGAACAACGATGCAGAGGAGAAGAAGGAGACTGAAGGCGAGGCTACGGCCGGTATTCCCGAGTTTTGGCTCTCCGCCATGAAAAACCAGATCTCTCTGGCGGAAATGATCACTGAGCGGGATGAGGAGGCCCTCAAGCAACTCACCGACATTCGCATGGAGTACCTCGACCAACCTGGATTCCGTTTGATCTTCGAGTTCGCAGAGAATGAATTCTTCACCAACAAGACCATCTCGAAGACCTACTACTACAAGGACGAGAGTGGATATGGTGGCGACTTTATTTACGACCACGCCGAGGGTTCCAAGATTGACTGGAAGGCGGAGAAGGATCTCACTCTGCGTCTCGAGAGCAAGAAGCAGCGTAACAAGAGTAAGTGGAAACTTCCCTCTTCCTCCTCCCCCTCTTCCCATCGGTATAAAGTACCAAGGCTAATGTACATGTCCAGACACCAAGCAGACCCGTGTCGTCAAGATCAGCGTGCCTACCGAGTCTTTCTTCAACTTCTTCTCCCCCCGCAACCCCCGACTGACGACGACGAGTCCGTTGCCAGTGACATCGAAGAGCGCCTGGAGCTGGACTACCAACTGGGTGAGGATATCAAGGAGAAATTGATCCCCCGTGCGATCGACTGGTTCACCGGTGAGGCCCTTCAGTTCGAGGAGCTGGGTGACGACATGGACCCCGATGATTTCGATGATGAGGATGATGAGGACGACGAGGACGAGGACGATGAGGATGATGAGGATGAGCGGGCATCGGACCGTGACGTGGAGGATGACTCAGACGAAGAGGTATTTCCTTCCTTAGTTTCATCCCCGTAGTGTCCCACTGCTAACTGTCATCCAGGATGGTACTTCTAAGCCCAAGAAGGAGGCCGCCGAGTGCAAGCAAAACTAGAAAGAAGAAAACCAGAGAAAACTAAAAGTGTGGTTCCCTGGCCAGCACACGGCTCACTCGATATGCTTGATGGAATTCGTCGTTGATGTTCTTGCTATGTTTCCTTTTTCCTTATCTTTTCCCTCATCACTGATGCCTTTGTCTCCCTCTGCACTGCGTGAACTTTTGTCTCTACCTAATATCTTCCAATCAATCGACATAATCAGTGTAATTTTATTTACTCGCCCGTCCACTAGGGAAAGTGGAGGAGAGGCGTGTATTGTCCTGGGTGTTAGGCGATATGGCCTTGATAGATAGAATCCCGAACCTAGAATGGCTTTGTTATTTTCAAAATCTTGATTTTGTCCAGACATCATACACATCATCCTTATTATTGACATAGATGCATTTAAGGTGTATGATAGATGTTGACAAATGTGACCCGAAAGATGGCGGTGACAGTGTGGGGGCTGTGGCGCGGCAACCCCCAACTTAGTCCCGAAGCTCGCGCTCCTTCAGGGGTTCTCTCTCGCTAAAACAGGTGTCACTAAACAACTTCTCCCTTTCCATCCCCTCAAATTTTACCTCTTTCCTTTCTTTATTTCTTTCGGATCATGAGTCCATGAGGGGTCACCGTGAGACCCCTTGTCTTTGGACTGTTTGTGATTGATCTACCCTTACTTTTTTCCCCCTTTGGATGCCCGGTTCCTCCGAGACCTAGCTATCTTTAGGCGCTTCACATTTTCTTCGATATCCTTCGCCTTTACGACTCAATTGTATTTCTGGAACGTTAGCGAAACACCATGGCGCACATTTACGAAGTTGGGACAAGGGCCTGGCAGCCCGATCCGACAGAGGGATGGGTTGCGTCCGAGGTCAAGGAAAAGCTGGTGGATGGAGAGAAAGTCCAGCTGGTGTTTGAGTTAGAGAATGGAGAGGTGGGTGTTGGAGTCACAAAAAGAAAGCTCTTGGTGGGTGTGCACAAGATGGAAAGCTGACGAGGAGTGATAGACCAAAACCGTCGAGACCACGCAGTCCGAATTGCAGGTCGACAACAACCCGAATCTGCCGCCGCTGATGAATCCGGCTATGCTGGAAGCGAGTGAAGACTTGACCAATCTGTCTCACTTGAATGAGCCTGCTGGTTGGTCATGCTAGAATATGAAGATCTTGTTCCCTCGACTGACGGCCTTGAAGTCCTGCAGGCTATAAAGCTCCGTTACGCGCAGAAAGAGATATATACCTACAGTGGAATTGTTCTGATCGCTACCAATCCTTTTGCGCGAGTGGACTCTCTCTACGTCCCGCAGATGGTCCAGGTGTACGCCGGGAAACAGCGCGCCTCACAGGCACCCCACTTATTCGCCATTGCAGAGGAGGCTTTTGCGTAAGATTTGGTGCACCTTTTGGATTCCTTGGATTGTCCTCTAACTTTGTACCCTCGGCTTTAGTGACATGCTTCGCGACGGGAAGAACCAGACGATCGTGGTCTCCGGTGAATCAGGTGCTGGTAAGACGGTGAGTGCCAAATATATCATGCGGTACTTTGCGACCCGCGAGTCTTCAGACCAGCCTGGAAAGTACACCACAAGCCGAGCCGATGCAATCAGTGAGACGGAGGAGCAAATCCTGGCGACCAACCCAGTCATGGAGGCATTCGGTAACGCCAAAACCACACGTAACGATAACTCTTCCCGGTTCGGTAAATACATCGAAATTATGTTCGATGACCGAACGAACATTATCGGTGCCAAGATCCGTACGTACTTGCTGGAGAGATCGAGGCTTGTGTTCCAACCCTTAAAGGAGCGCAACTACCACATCTTCTATCAGCTTGTGGCTGGTGCCACTGATGAGGAAAGACAGGAGCTGGGCATCTTGCCCGTGGAAGAGTTCGAATATCTCAACCAGGGTGGAACACCGATTATCGATGGCGTCGATGACAAAGCCGAATTCGACGCGACCAGAAAGTCATTGGCTACAATCGGCGTGTCGACACAGTTCCAAACGGAAATTTTCCGTATCCTGGCAGCTCTGCTGCACCTCGGTAATGTGAAGATCACTGCGACTCGAACTGATTCTTCTCTGTCTGCCTCCGAACCATCCCTCGTGCGCGCCTGTGAGATGTTAGGAATCGATGTGAACGAATTCGCGAAATGGATTGTCAAAAAGCAGTTGATCACGAGAGGAGAGAAGATCACCTCTAACCTAACCCAGCAACAAGCTCTCGTGGTTCGGGACTCGGTGGCCAAGTTCATATATTCCAGCCTCTTTGATTGGCTTGTGGATAAGATCAATAGGGGCCTAGCAACCGACGAAGTTATTGAACGAGTGCAGACTTTTATTGGTGTGCTGGATATCTACGGTTTCGAACACTTCGCAAAGAACTCATTCGAACAGTTCTGTATTAACTACGCGAACGAGAAACTGCAGCAAGAGTTCAATCAGCACGTGTTCAAGCTTGAGCAAGAGGAATATGTCCGAGAAGAGATCGACTGGACTTTTATTGATTTCTCTGATAACCAGCCTTGTATCGATCTGATCGAGGCCAAACTTGGAATCTTATCTCTGCTTGACGAGGAGTCTCGGCTTCCCATGGGATCGGATGAACAGTTTGTCACAAAACTCCACCATAACTTTGCTGCTGATAAACAGAAGTTCTACAAAAAGCCTCGCTTTGGAAAGTCCGCTTTCACCGTTTGTCACTATGCTATCGACGTAACCTACGAATCTGACGGATTTATCGAAAAGAACCGTGATACCGTCCCCGATGAGCATTTGGAGGTGCTACGCAATTCTTCCAATGATTTCATTAAAGAGATCTTGGATACAGCTGCCACGGTCCGTGAGAAAGACTCGGCAGCCCTCACATCTAAGCCGGTTGCAGCGGCTCCAGGGCGTCGGATCGGCGTGGCTGTGAATCGCAAACCAACGCTTGGAGGGATCTTCAAATCGTCTCTGATCGAGCTTATGAACACTATCAATTCCACGGATGTGCATTACATTCGCTGCATCAAACCAAACGAAGCCAAGGAAGCCTGGAAATTCGAGGGTCCTATGGTCCTAAGTCAGCTGAGGGCCTGTGGTGTGCTGGAAACCGTTAGAATCAGTACGGCTGGATATCCGACTCGTTGGACCTACGAGGAGTTTGCTATACGCTATTACATGCTTTGCCACTCCTCCCAGTGGACATCTGAAATCCGAGATATGTGTCATGCCATTTTGCGAAAGGCCCTAGGCGATGCGAAGCAGGACAAGTACCAGCTGGGATTGACTAAGATCTTCTTCCGGGCGGGTATGCTTGCGTTCCTTGAGAATTTGCGCACTTCCCGATTGAATGAATGTGCGATTATGATCCAGAAGAACTTGCGATGCAAGTACTACCGTCGTCGTTATCTCGAAGCCCGCGAGTCCATTCTCACCACTCAAGCCTTTATTCGGGGTTTCCTAGCACGGCAACGGGCACAGGAGATCCGCCGGACCAAGGCAGCAACTACAATTCAGCGGGTTTGGCGCGGCCAGAAGGAGAGGAAACACTACAACGAGATTCGGAGCAATTTTGTCTTGTTCCAGTCTGTCACCAAGGGTTTCCTCTGCCGACGCAACATCATGGACTCTATTCATGGAAACGCTGCCAAAGTCATCCAACGAGCCTTCCGTTCTTGGCGTCAATTGCGAGGTTGGCGACAATATCGCCATAAGGTGGTCATTATTCAAAACCTTTGGCGAGGCAAACAGGCTCGAAAGGTCTACAAGTCTTTGCGTGAGGAATCTAGGGATCTCAAACAGATTTCTTACAAGCTGGAGAACAAGGTGGTTGAGTTGACCCAATACCTAGAGTCTCTGAAGCGTGAAAACAAGTCTCTAGTCTCCCAGCTAGAGAACTATGAGACCCAGTTGAAATCGTGGAGAAGCAGACACAACACTTTGGAGGCTCGTGCAAAGGAGCTCCAGGCGGAGGCCAACCAGGCAGGTATCACCGCGGCCCGCCTGGAAGCCGTGGAAGAAGAAATGAACAAACTCCAGCAGAGCCACTCGGAAGCCCAAGCTACCATCAAGCGTCTCCAAGAAGAGGAGAGAGTATCGCGCGAAGCCCTTCGCGTAACCAACGAAGAGTTGGATCGTCTCAAACTGCTCAATGGTGACCACGAGAAGGAGAAATCAGCTCTACGCCAACGTGTTTCAGAGCTTGAGGAGCAATTGGAAGTCGCCAAGCGAACTGCTCCTGTCAATGGTGTCAATGGCGAGGTGCCTAATGGCGCCACTGCCCCTACTCCCGCCACCGGTTTGATCAATCTCGTCTCTTCCAAGAAGCCTAAGCCCCAGCGACGCAGTGCTGGTGCAGAGAAGGTCGGAACTGATCGCTTCAGCGGTGCCTACAACCCGCGGCCCGTCTCTATGGCAATCCCCGGTCTTGGCGCTGCTCGCTCGAACGTCGCAACCTCACCAGGACTGGATTCGGTGGAGGCTGAGCTTGAGCAGCTCCTTTCCGAAGAGGAAGATTTGAACGACGAAGTCGCCATGGGATTGATTCGCAACCTGAAGATTCCTCTTCCTAGCTCAACTCCACCACCCACCGAAAAAGAAGTCCTGTTCCCTGCCTACCTGATCAATCTTGTCACCTCGGAGATGTGGAACAACGGCTTTGTCAAGGAATCCGAACGTTTCTTGGCCAATGTTATGCAGTCCATTCAGCAAGAAGTCATGCAGCACGATGGCGATGATGCAATCAACCCCGGTGCCTTCTGGCTGTCAAACGTGCATGAAATGCTGTCGTTTGTTTTCCTGGCCGAGGACTGGTATGAAGCACAGAAGAGTGACAATTACGAATATGATCGTTTGTTGGAGATTGTGAAGCATGACCTGGAGAGTTTGGAATTCAACATTTACCACACCTGGATGAAGGTGTTGAAGAAGAGGCTGTACAAGATGATTGTCCCGGCCATCATTGAATCTCAGTCTCTGCCAGGCTTCGTTACCAGTGAAACCAATCGGTTCCTCGGCAAGTTGCTGCCTTCAAATAACAACCCCGCTTACAGCATGGACAATCTCTTGAGTCTTCTCAATGGTGCCTATAAGGCCATGAAGGCATTTTATCTGGAAGACACCATTATCTTGCAGACCGTGACGGAGCTTTTGCGCCTTGTTGGAGTGACTGCATTCAACGACCTTCTCATGCGGCGCAATTTCCTGTCGTGGAAGAGAGGGCTGCAGATCAACTACAACATTACCCGTATTGAGGAATGGTGCAAGAGCCATGATATGCCAGAGGGAACCCTGCAGCTGGAACACTTGATGGTATGTCCCTGGGATTGATTGTGTGGAAAGCAAGTTAGCTAATTTGACGACTATAGCAAGCGACCAAGCTTCTCCAGCTTAAGAAGGCAACTTTGAATGATATTGAGATCATCCAAGACATCTGCTGGATGTAAGACAGATCCACCATATGTTCGGTCTTATTGGCCAAAGACCAAAGTGCTAACCCAACCGTTCTAGGTTATCTCCGAATCAAATTCAGAAGCTTCTCAACCAGTACCTCGTTGCTGACTACGAGCAGCCTATCAATGGCGAGATCATGAAGGCCGTCGCCTCCCGTGTCACCGAGAAGAGCGACGTGCTCTTACTGACGCCAGTTGATATGGAAGACAGTGGGCCTTACGAAATTGCCGAGCCACGAGTCATCACGGCCCTGGAGACTTATACTCCATCCTGTATGTGCCATTCTATTCCCATTCCCCCGTGCATATTCTAACCTTCATGCAGGGCTCCAAACGCCGCGATTGAAGCGGTTGGCTGAGATTGTGTCGGCGCAGGCGGTCGCGCAACAGGAGAGACTCGACGGAGACAACGGAGTGCTGGAGGAGTAGTTCTGTATATTAGACGTGTTTCTTCATCTCCTTGTGGATTTTCTGTCAGCTACGGATTACGACATCTCACCATGAACTTATACCTGGGATGGTGCCAGGTTTGATACAGTGATATGATTTTGCATTCAATTCCATCCTCGGAATCAGTACTTCTTTGTATGACATAGTAGCATGGTATAGATGAACCCGCGGGAGTGGGTTTGGCCCCAGACAATTCAAGAACGAATACAAATGAAGTGATACAATCCATCATAGAAATCAAGGGAACGTTGAACGGCTTCTCTACTAAACTCCTTTAGTGGTGGGGCCTAAAGAAGAATGGTTTGTACGTTAAAGTTGAGTTGATAAATGACCATATGCCACATGAGAGGGGAATTGAGTATATGATAGATCAACAGCTAAGCAGTAACTCCACCACGGAAGCGGTGTCTTTGCCAACCCCGGTGGAGTCATTTCCCTAGCATCCCACTCTTCTACACCAATCGCCCATCATGACCTTAACCAAGCTGAACTTCATCACTGGCAACAAGAACAAGCTTTCCGAAGTGCGGGCCATCCTCGGAAATGTCATCGAAGTCGACAGCCAAGCCGTAGACGTCCCCGAGATCCAAGGGACCATCGAGGAGATTGCCAAGGAGAAGGCTCGTCGTGCCTCGGAAGCAGTATGTTGGGACTCTTGAGTCGACGATTCGCAACTAATCCGAATCATCTAGATCAATGGTCCAGCCTTGACCGAAGATACGGCATTGGAGTTCCACGCCCTCAAGGGCCTACCGGGACCATACATGTGAGATACCCCAATCGAAGGACACGCGCAATGCTAATCCTGTTAGCAAATCCTTCCTGGAATCGGTGGGTAATGAAGGACTGAACAAGATGCTTGATGGGTTTGAGGATCGCACTGCTGAGGCCGTGTGCACCTTTGCCTTTTGCCGAGCCCCCGGAACCGAACCTCTCATTTTCCAAGGACGGACTCGGGTGAGTACATGATATCTTATCACGAATAGCATTCTTACAATAATAGGGAACTATTGTGCGGCCTCGAGGCCCGACCAACTTTGGTGAGTTTAATTACCACTGATAATTGCTCGAAGTAGACTAATTGGGTTGCAGGCTGGGATCCCATCTTCGAGTACGAAGGCAAGACATACGCTGAGATGGATAAAGAGGCCAAGGTAAGACATTGCAAGGCTGTGAATCTCAAACCTTTGCACTCTGCACCTCTATGCCCTTTTTGGTTTCAATTGGCGACAATGACCAGCTGGATTCTAACATGCCTTGACCAGAACGTGATCTCCCACCGGTATAAGGCATTGATGAAGCTTCAACAGTGGTTGGCAGAGGGCCAACAGTGAACAAAAAGGACCTCGGGGTATATGTAGATGATCTAGCAGGGAAGACAGTAGATGAGAACAAGACAAAACATTATTTCCCACTCTTGATGCGCCATTTCAAATCAATCGGTTTCACCATGTTGTTTCTTCCAGTTATTGACCCACTGCGTCACTCTAGCGCAGTTGCTGTCGACATCACCGTCCTCTTCGCTATTCAGTTCCACCACAATCTCCTCGTCGAAGGCCTCGCGGGCCTCCTCGAGAAGGACGCCAAAGATCTCCGCATCCAGGTTCTCTTGGAGTTTGTCTTCGTGGTACCCCCTAGACAAAGAAAACCATTAGGATGTATAATTCATGCAACTCTTAAGGTGAAGCGTACCGGGAAGCAAGACGGTCGTAGTGAACGGCGGTTGAGGGGCAGCGGAGGACCACGACGAGATCGATCCACGACTTGGGAAAGAGATCACAGGCGTGCCAGTCAATCAGGTACCCGCCCTGTAGGACTTCATCTTCGATCGCATCCAGTAACTAGATATTAGAAGTTCATATGAGCATGTCTTCCATTAAATCCCGCTCATCAATTCCAATCGGTTCAGCCCCACATTGCAAAACCCCGCGAACAGAGAGAAAAGCAGTAGAGAAAAAAAGAAAAGAATTGAGGGACATTTGATGAATCTTCAACAGGGCAATGCAAACATACCTTGTCTTCATCAACGACCCAGCTCTTCCGCTCTTCATCGTATGTTTCGTAGCAGTTGCGGTCCTTGGCAACCTGGTTCACGGACAAGTGCTTCAAGCCGATCTCCTGCGCCAGCTGCTCGCAGTGCACGGTCTTGCCCACCCCAGGGGTGCCGGTGACAATCACATTCGGAGAGGTTCTCATCCTTTGCGACAAGATTGATTAACGGGGTAAGTAATGGAGGGGAAGGCAAGTGAAGATGATTTGCGATGGAAATAATTCAGATTCCCGTGACCCCGCTTATCTTATCGTAGATCTACTACTATACTACTGTCTATTGGCCTGAAATGATAACATTCTCTCATTAAAAGGTCATCTGGTATTCCTGTTGCCAGATTGCCAAGAACATTTATTGGTTCATTGATTGGGATTTGTAGCCATGTCAACCGGGCACAGCCTATTATGTGTTAAATGAATGAGAGTCACACCTGCCGAGTGGAATGCAAAACTTACTTAAGAAGTTCAAACATCTTATATTTCTGAAGGTAAGATGTCCCTCTTCGATACGCTTTGAGCAACCGACCAGGATTGTTGGATTGAGCAGACGTTCCAATGAGACGATGCATGGCAGGTGAGGTCTTGAACATAGGGTCAAATACCAGTAAATTGGCACTGCCATTATCCCGGATTTCAAATCCAATGATTGTCATAGAATGTCCTGTGAAGGTCAGTTATCGAGAATATTAGATAGATGATGAGCTTACCTTGATGTTGAAAATAGATGGGCGGCAAATCCGTCTTGTAAACTCTCTTCTCATCCTCCAGAGAGCACCCTGACCGGAAGTAGGTAGCTACATCCATGTAGAGAGAATCATAGGCCCGCAGGTTGCCACTCTCGCTCAGGCTGCTGGCATCACATCTTGAAATGAACCTGTCAGTAATGTTCCACATGGACTCAAACATGTCCGGCCTAAACCTACGGGATTCCAAGACTCATGAACAATGCTTGTGCCTGATGGTACTGTTAGCATGCCTACCAGGCTCTCATTGCTTCCCCGATAACATCACCTCTGGTGTCCCGATGAATTTCCGGGTGCCTCGAATGCCTCCCGTCTCGGTTCTGCCCGTACTATTGAATCCCATGTCCCAGGCAAGCTCGATTTTGTCCTGTAGCTCAAGGATCGATGGTACACCATTCGCAAAATGCTCATGACCTGGACTTTGGGATTTTTTGAGATATGAAACCAGCATTTGGATGTTTCGATACCCGCAGAAGCCGCCCTCACGAGACATTTTGCAGACATGGCGGACCTTGGGAGAACACAAAAAAGCCCGCTGAACGGAGCTGTCCTGCTCACACAATTGGGAAATTACTGGGATCAGATGGTCCGTCTCATTATCCACGGTTGTACGCCGAGTGAGCTTGCCGTCAGCTGTGATCTGAGTCTGCTTCGAGCTGCTACCACCCTTCTCCAGCATTTTCTTCAACCATGAGGGCATCTTTTTTTCATGGGCATGAGGACCCAGCTCTGCGCGCTAACAACTAAAATTAGCTCTTGCTTTTATTTGGAAAAGAACGTGTTCATTTCCGAGAGATGAGAGCATACCCCCAATCGTTTTGCACCGTCTGGGCCCACCGTCCGAGGAGGACTCCGCGTACGACCTGGCTTAGAGCTCTTGGTGTTTGCAAAGTCCCGACCCAAGCCTCGTTTCTCACCTTTCCTTGCGGTTGCACCGTCGAAGGAGTCTTCCGGGTCAGAGAGTTCATGATCGCTCACGACCGATCCTGCATCCAAAGGTGACTCGGCTGATCCACTTTCATCCAAGGCAATACCCTCTGCAACATGAAGATCTAGATGAGTGGATAGCTCTGCAGTAGTAACTATTTCCCCACAGCCATGTGGGCAATCCACATACTTGTCCGTTGATCCTTCAGAGTCCGACTGGGGCGGTGGACTTGATCTGGGGAGATGATGCGGGACCGACTCGTGGGCCCCATTCTCTGGATGGCAATATTCAATATGCTCTGCCACAAAACTGGGGTCTGGATCAGAGAAGGGACAGAAAGGACAAGACGAGTGAGAAACGTCCATGGTTCTCTAATCAGTCGATGCAGATTGAGCAGATGATGAAGATGTCTGCTTTTTGAGGAGAGCTCTGTCTTTTGATCCCAACAAAAGAGAGCAACAAACGGTAAGATGTGGTCTCAGATCAGAATGTCGTGTTTCAGGATTGTCTGCATTCACACGGAGTACATCTGTAGATTTCCTCCAGATTCATGGTGCTTGACAACTGTGGCTGAGGTGGCTTAGGTATTGACCCACTTTTCTTTCAATAGAAACGGAGGACAAAGTCGACAACCATGAACCATGGATGCTGCATGAGTATATCCCAGGGTTGTGTACTATACACTATAGAGGCTCCATCTAACACCTAGGATGAACACCCGATGATTCAATCATCAGAGGGACGAGGATAGTATGCCCTGAGGTAGCCTTGTGTAGTCATTCGATATTGAAACCTTGACATCAATCACAATTGAATAAACATTTACAAGCCAAATCTTGTACAATTGTATGATATGCGATTCTCTATTATAAAAGACGTAGAATTGTTCATCAAGCGTGTATTCCGCACATACGGTACGTTTTACGGAGTATGTGAGCCTGATCAGGTGGGGCTCGGGTTGAGCGTTTACCAGATTAGGTAAGCACAAGGAGTACCTGAGTCATCAATGCATCAAGTCCTCGAGTTTTTCAATCCTCCAATCCTAGAATTCTGCAATTACTCCTAACATATGAATAGGATGAAAGCTCCTGGATTATATGTATAGTTAAAGATCAAAATATTTGTCCAGTGCTGCAGTAGTACAAACAAACCAAAGAAAACTACGTCATCGGCCCTTGATGGCGTGATTTGTATAAAGAAATACTGTGATTGGCCAATGCATCTCCGACATCGTTGTGATCCAAAAAGGCAGGCGGAAGGAACTCAATTGAGGCATTGAGTCATTAGGTTCGGTGCAGAAAACGGAAAAAAAAAAGTTAATGCCGCATACGGCCCACTTCCCTCCGCTTTCGCTTTCCCACTTTCCCCTCCATCCTTTCTATGTTGACCTCGCTATCCTTGGGTTGATTTGGCTATGGCTTCCCTTAATTCAGATCTCCCGCCTCCTCAGGCTTTGCATAGTAACTGGGTCGTGCAGAAGTTCGGTGGTACCAGTGTCGGCAAATTTGCGCTCAACATCATCGAGCAAGTCGTTCTGTATGCTCCTCCGGTCTTTCGGTACACATGCCGCCACAAAAAATACAGAACTAACAAGAGTCATAGACCTAGTCTCGCAGAAAACCGGGTTGCTGTGGTCTGCTCAGCCAGAAGCAGTTCGACCAAAGCCGAAGGCACTACTAACCGGTGAGTCATGCTCGCCTTGACCATTGAATGGCCTAATAGCGGGAAGGACCAAGGTTCTCTCCAGTTGTTCACACAAGAGCCAAAGGGCTGACCATTCATTTTCTTCTCTTGACTAGATTACTACGGGCCGCACGAGACGCCGAGAACTCCCAGTCCCGGCAATATGAATCATTCGTCGAGGCGGTTCGCTTGGAGCACGTGCAAGTGGCCCAGGAACAGTTGAAATCGGTGGACCTCAAAGAACAAGTCATAGCAGATCTTAACGGAGAATGTGAGCGGGTCCTCAAGGTTCTCGAGGCAGCACAAACGCTGGGCGAGATTAGCGCTCGCTGCGTGGACAAGGTCATGAGCACCGGCGAGAAACTCAGCTGTCGTTTGATGGCCGCACTTCTGCAGGACCGTGGGGTTGACTCACAGTATGTGGATCTGTCCGATGTGATTGATTTTCCCATTGGCAACCATGGTCTGGACCAAACCTTTTATAACAGCCTAGCCACCAACCTGGGCAAAAAGATCGAGGCATGTGGACACCGAGTCCCCGTGCTGACTGGGTACTTTGGTACCATTCCCGGAGGCCTGCTGGATCAGGTGGGCCGTGGTTATACGGATTTGTGTGCTGCCCTTGTGGCAGTTGGAACTCATGCCAAGGAGCTCCAGGTCTGGAAGGAAGTGGACGGCATTTTCACAGCGGACCCACGCAAAGTGCCTACAGCCCGGCTGCTGCCAGCCATTACCCCCGCTGAAGCAGCAGAGTTGACTTTCTATGGGTCCGAGGTTATCCACCCCTTCACCATGGAGCAAGTCATCCGGGCCAAGATCCCCATTCGCATCAAGAATGTGATGAACCCTAAGAACCGTGGCACCGTCATTTATCCAGACACTGCGGCGGAGCTCGATAGACATACTCCGGGCCATGACCCGCGCTTATTCCGGACCCGGAGCCCCAGTTTAGTGCAGACACCGAAGCGGCCGACTGCGGTGACCATCAAGCACAAGATCCTGGTGATTAATGTCCACTCAAACAAGCGATCTCTGTCGCATGGTTTCTTTGCGGGTATCTTCTCCGTGTTGGACAAGTGGCGCCTGTCAATTGACCTGATCTCTACCAGCGAGGTTCACGTGTCCATGGCGCTCCATTCGGAGATGCCCCTGTTAAATGGCAATGGACGGGATGATTACCAGGTCATTGACGATGACCTGAAGGGGGCTCTCAATGATCTGAGCAAATATGGCATGGTGGACATCATCCCTGAGATGGCCATTCTCAGCTTGGTCGGCAAGCAGATGAAGAATATGATCGGGGTGGCCGGACGAATGTTCACTACACTGGGCGAGAATAATGTGAATATCGAAATGATCTCGCAAGGTGAGTCAATGATTGATGCCCCTCACATTGGGTGACCCTTGAAACTGACATCTTCCCCCCCCTGCAGGTGCAAGTGAAATCAACATCTCGTGCGTCATCGAGGAACGCGATGCCGACCGTGCCCTCAACATCATCCACACCAGCATGTTCACCTTCCTGGAATAGACCTTTTTACGTCACAAGAGTGCGTTGTCATTTAAGATATCCCCGTGGGCCGGTTTTTCCTTATTGCGTGGTTTTAGAGAAAAGTTGTCGTGCATCCCCACTGTTTGCTTTAGCTCCCCTTTATGGGAGGAAGAGAGAAAGGAACGGGACGTGAGCATCTTCTTGGATTTTGATTTCATTGGCATGGGCTTGGCGTTTATTCTCATAGAGGTGATTCATCGAGGGATGGATCTCAATTGTGTTGTACATAAAATCCGTTTGATGTCTGCAAGGGCAGTTCACCTGTTCCTGAATCCCGATAGAATATTTTTAAAGTTGCCTTCTTTCATGCATCAATAATCAAGTCTCCTCGAGCCATATTGGACTTGAACCAATGGCGCACGGGGTGGAGTTCTGTACGAATGGCTAGCAAGGGATAATCCGACTCGACCACCGTCTCAGATGTTACATCTGACATTCCAGAAGTCTTGATTTTGGAACATGAATATGAGGGGATCTATGTAAATGATATGGGTATATTGGGGTGATTTCAAGGTCTAACTCTCTATGGTGATTCAAATGTACAACTTACCTTCGAACTAGCGAACTCACTAGACAAGCACGGAGTAGAATCATTGAAGTCCCAGTGGATCATTTTAGCGTGCAGGAAGCAATTACGTCGATCGTCGATCAGAATGCGAGCAAGGGCCAAATCCCTGTATCCAGCGTACCAGCCTGGAACCAGTGTATGGTCACGCTGGTACGTCGTACATTACGCCGTCAAGTATGAGAAAACGCGCGACGCGTCGACGGGTTGACCTTACCAATACGGTATTCTCGATAGGCGGTACAACTCCCCCAACTCTTCATCTAATCATCCTTCTCCTCTCCCCACCTCGAGGGTCTTCTTAGCACTGAAACTCTTAAAGGCTGAAAAGGTGATAACGAGGGGAGACAAAAGGGACGTGACTGCCAGATCCTGCATTCTCGTTTTTGCCGTTCCCACTCTCTCTCTCCCTTCGATCATCAAGTCCCTCTACATCTGCACAAACCCCTTCGATCAACTGCTTGTTAGATCAACTTGGATATTCTCTGCATCATCTTCTCTGTAACTTGTGTCCTACTGTTTTCTCTACTTCCCTATCTCCACGCAGCAGCCCAACAGTGTTAAGGTGCTCTTGGAATATTTCCACCCAAAAATTCGCCTTGATTCGTCCGGCTCAATTGGACGTGTCTGAGCCGTCTTAGCGCCTGGTGGCCCAACGTTTGCGATCTCGACTAGTCGGGCCTGCATGACGGCCTGAGGCTGGCTGATCACACTCTTCCTTGGGCTTCTCATTGGTTCAACCCGAAAGTCTCTGCAACCAGTCTCATCACCCGGCGCTGACCCCGTCGGCTCCGCTGTCCCCGGCCTCTGCCTCTGTGAACCAACCGAAGATCCGTGTTTGGAGATTGTTTTCGACGCGTCATAAGGTCCCGACTGGTGACTGGTGACGTTCCGCATCTGCCTTGTCTATCTAGACTATGGGATCGACGCGTCCGGCGCCCATCGCGCACAATTCCCCGGCCCTGGGCCCATCTGCACCATCATCCGTCAAGTCGCAGCCCCGTCTTCAACCTTCACCGCTACCATTGCAGCCCATTGAAAACTCATTCCATCCGCTGTCCCGTGGCCCGCACAGGCCATCGCCGACAAAAGGTTTGCCCACCCAGGGCTCACATCCCGGGCGAAAACTCGGTTTCGTTCCCATCTCTGCTCCGGCCCCTCCCATGTTCACCACCGACTCCCCTACCAAGAAACCACCTTTTTCTATCTATTCGCAACCCTCAATGCCCCAGTCGGCACTATTCACCACCTTCTCCAGTGTCAATATCGAGTCCAAGGAGAACCAGCATCCCGAGGACCCATCCAATGGCAGCTTCGCCGATTTCCCGGAACCCTCATATGAATCCCGACTGCCTATGAAGCGCAGCCTCATGGAATCCGCCCCTTTGAAAGAGCGCTCGCTCAAGAAGCAAAAGCGCGAGGACGCGCCACTTCACCACCTGCCCGAGCCACATGATATGCCACCCATCGAAGACGATGGCACCAAGCCACCATACAGCTATGCGACATTGATTGGCATGTCGATTCTGCGCGCTCCCAATCGTCGCCTCACCTTGGCACAGATCTACAAATGGATTTCCGACACTTTCTCGTACTACAAAAACAGCGATCCGGGTTGGCAAAATAGCATTCGCCATAATCTTAGCTTAAACAAAGCCTTCATTAAGCAAGAGCGTCCAAAGGATGACCCGGGCAAGGGTAACTATTGGGCAATCGAGCCGGGTATGGAATTGCAATTCCTCAAGGATAAGCAAGTTCGCCGTGCAACCATGTCCAGTCTTCCTCTCCCTGCAGTCCCTCCAAGAGATCTGATTCCTCAGTCGCAAGGCGCAAGCACGACCACCTGGATGGTTCCTCCGCCACCCATGCAGCAATCAGCTCCGCCAAAGTCTTCGCGGAATGTTGACCTGTCATCGGATGCTACTTTGCCTGCATCTGACCCTGCTCTGCAAGACGACACGGATGAGGGCGTTCACACGGCGGCGCATCCCACTGGGCCCCTACGCTCATCACCTCCACCAGCAATCAGATCCTCTCCCCCCTATTGCGCCCCCTCGTTTTGCCCGCCAAGGTACCCCGCCTACTCCAACTCAGGCCGGTCCGACACCAGCTCCTCGTCCTCGAAAGCGCAAGTCGATTACGATGAATGACAGCGGATATTTCTCCTCTCTAGAGTCGTCCGCCTTGCGGCCGAATAAGGCCGGTCATATGCTGACGTCTGATTTGGACATTGAACCTCCGCGTATCAAGCGCGGTCGTGCTGAAGAAGAGATTGCACGGATTCGCAGCTCCTCCCACGATATTAGCCCAGGTCAACCTGCCACGCGCAAGGACCCAAGCACACTGGTTGGTTCTTCGCCGCTGCGTGGAGGCTATGTGAGCATGCTGCCACCGCCGTTGACCCCCGTCATCAAGTTCAAAAAACCAGCTAAGCCTCCACCATCCGTCTCGCCCAACACCAACCTTCGAAATCACCGTCGTAAGATCCAACAGATGGTCAATTCACCCATCAAGCACTTGGGCTTGACGGATGAGGACCTGCCTTGGAGTCCGGCCTTCAATCTCCACGATGAAAGCTACACGCCGCATGATCATTTCCATACCACATTCGATGTCTTCGCAGACTCAGGTCCCGAGCATGTCTCGTCGGCCACCTATGGATCCCCTGAGAAACGCTCTGTCAAGCGTCAACGGATTGACCACGGGAATACCCCTCTTACCGACATCACTTCGGTCAGCGTGAACAGTCGGGTTGGTATTCCCCCTCTATCACGGTCAAAGTCAGCCATCTTCCCAGAGTCTCCGTCTAAGCTACCGGAAATTGGACGCCTCGGCGACACCAGTCAGGATGATTTCTTCTCTTTCCACCTCTTTGATGAGGGCAATGATAGCTCTGGAGAGGTCGACGGTGTGGATCTTTTGCAGGGATTCCAAAAGATTGGAGGTCCTACCAAAGATGATGCACTCAAGCCTCGGGCCCTGCACCCACGTCCCCATCTGAGCAACCGCAGCAACACCACTCTATTTTAACGAACATTTGCATGTTTGGTTTGAACATTTGACTTTACCTGTTGGATGAGGGTGTAATTTACCCCGTCGGATCCTCTCCCTACACTGCTTGGGATCTGATTCTTCCTCCTTTCTTCCTCGTCTACATTCATGTGTTGTTTCTGGGCGTTGTTTGAATTACTGTCTGGATTCTTACCCTTCTGTTTTTTTGTTTTCTCATTTTCCTTCATTTCTGCGTTCTGGATTGAGGAGTTGATGTTTTCTGGATGTTACCAGGTTTCGATTGGGCGGTGTTTTCGTTCGGGAGTTATTTGGGCTGCGCTGAGGCGCCGGTTCTGACTGTTCCTTTTATCACCTAGCCCGGGATGGCCTGGTTACGAACTTAATGACAATGCTAAGATGTACATGAGCAAGCGATGGTTTCATGATTCGGGATTCTTGGGGTTGGGATTTTATTTATTCTTATGGGATGGGCAAAATAGGCCTTGGAGGCGCTATGGATTAGTCTAGCAAATTTGAAATCTTCATTACTTGTCTACCAAGGTTGATATTGAAGGGTATCTGATTGATCGAGAGATCGTCATGAACAACAAAACAGTAGCATCAAATCCATGCAAAACCTGAACGCCCACACAGACCAAGCTGTGACGAAAGAAAAGTAAGGGAATTTCCCCCTCTCCAATTTGCCCATAAAGTATCTCAACGAGCATTTCTTTTGTTTAGTCGCTGCTCGAGCAGCCCCGACAGCCACAGCCAACACACTGGATTGTCTGCTCCTCTTTAAGCTGAGCCTTGGGCACACGGCAGATGCAGGTTGAATTAAAATTGGTCTCTTTCGTCTGGATGCAGCGAAGACAGCACAACTGTAGACAGAGTTAGTAAGCGGTTCTCGAATCAAGCTGATTTGCCACGTCTTCATAATGCACAAGTTATACACCTTCCCAGTGTAGTCTCGTGTATCATGACCACGAGGATGGCTTTGTACGCACCTTCTCATAGCCTTGCTTCTTCCACTTGGCAATCAAATTCGCATCAGCATAGTTATTTTTAAGCAACCAGTCATATAGCTGCTTGGAAATTGCTTCTTTTTCATAGTAAAGATCGTAGATGTATCGTGAGCCTATGAGAAAAGAGAGAGAAAATGTCAGTATTCATATGTAGCATGCAGCTTGCTTAGTTGGCGGGGATCGGAGGGGCAAAGAGGGTCTATAAGTTTCACGTACGCTGATGACTGATCTGGAAGATGGGCCATAGGACCTCGTGCTTCTTCTTGCCCTCGTGAGGAGCATTCTCAGCATCCTTCATCTTATTGCTGAACTCCAGCAGAGTGTCCTCTATGTCGTCAAAGCCGGCCGGCGGCGGTTTGCGATTGCGAGCAGTACGAATGGGAGGCATATTGTTGATGGGGCCGGAATATGAGCAAATTCAGCGCACAAATCTTTGAAAGCAAAAGGCTCCAACTTTTGGAAACGAGGAAAGTACAAGAGGGAAGGAGAAAGTTGAGCGAGAAAGCGAAGTTCGTCTTCCCAACACCGCGATGAATCGTCATTTTTGTGCCGGGCGACACCGCCTTCGATTTTGCGCCGGAGCACTTCCACCTGCGAATGCTGTACTCGTCCGACCCTAAGCTTTCTTGATTACCATCTATCATACAGTCCCTCTCCACATATATTTGACAAAATGGACCCTCAGACTCAGGTTGATCTATCCAAGCTCAATGAGGCCGACAAGAAGGAGCTGAACGTGGTCCTGGCCAACGAGGCGCAGAAGTCCAACATCCAGCAGAGTAAGTGGCCCCGGAGAATAGCAGATGTCCGGATTGGGAGGGATTAGGCAGCATCTACTTGTGCATTAGTATTCTGAGCTTGGCTAATCCCAATGGGTACAGTGGTCCACCAACTCAACGACGTGTGCTGGAAGAAGTGCATCACCTCCAAGATCTCGTCCAACACCCTTAGCAAGACCGAAGAGGCCTGCGCACAGAACTGTGTTGACCGGTGGATGGATACCCAGATTGGTATCTTGAAGCACCTGGAGGAAATGCGCCAATAAATTCCTTGCCCCCTCTACCCCTTCCTCCGCTTCAGTCTCCATTCCTCCTGGTGTCGTGGTTCACTTCCACTGCGACCATTACCACCTCCACGAGAACTACAACTCAATTCATCTGGAGTTGATGTGGTCATAACCCTATGATTGCGATTCTACTTGGCCGGTGTATACCTCGAAAGGTTCTCTGAGGGTTGAGGTGCACGGTATGAGTCGCTTGTATACTAAGAGTCAAAAATGAACGAAATCCTGTATATCACACACCTGGTGTTTCTGTAAACCAAGTAAATGACGTCGAAGAGTCTCTCTGTACTATCGTGTTTAGACTTGTAGAGGGCTGTAGAACAAGTTGCACTTAGCCCTATGGGAAGCTAAGTTCAAGATAAGATTACGGGGCATAAAGATACATAGAATGCTTTGATTGCATTGATCCCTCCCAACCTTGACCCAAAAAACGCCATCTACTCGGATATGTAATTCGTACCGAGGCAATAAGACTACGTCTAAGCCATGGCTGCAACTACAGAGCCAGGGCCGAACTCATTAGAATCCATACAGTTTGTCACAGATGATCGTGTCAGAAAGTTCTTTTTTAATCATTCAGCCCTCGTTGCTGCACACACAGCCAAGGGAACTGGCTGGTATAGAGAATCACCGCGGTGGAAAACAAAGTTCGCCCAAACCCAAAGAAATCCCATTTATCGCCCTTAGACGATAGCCAGCTTGGTGGCGGCGATGTCAAGAGCATCGACATCAGCGGTCAAACGGGCGAAAGCCTTCTTGGAGCCGTCGGGGCTGTGGATATGCAATTAGTAAATATTCTTCCCCAGCCATATGATGTTTCGATATCTAGACTTACCGGACCAGGGTGTTGACCTTGAGGGTGTCAACATCGTACAGCTTCTTAAGAGCAGCCTTGATCTGGCGCTTGTTGGCCTTGACGTCGACGATGAAGACGAGGGTGTTGTTCTCCTCGATCTTCTTCATGGCGCTCTCAGTGTTGAGGGGGTAGAGAACGATCTTGTGGGCGTCGAGGACGGGCTGGTGGGGGATCGACACACGGGGGTACTTGGGGGACCGCGAGAGCTGGAGGGTCTTGGGGCGGTGGAAGGTGGTCGAGGTGCGGACCTTACGGGACTTGTGAAGCTGTATTCCCTCAAGGTTAGTAAAATGCTTGGTCGAAATTTGATCTTCCCAGATCACGGAATTCAAAAACGTACGGAGTTTCCCTTCACGACTGCCTTGGCGGCAGCATTAGCCTTGCCGGCGGTGCCTGTAGAAACAAGACTGGTTAGTTTCTGGATCATTATGGTGGCGTGTGTGCTATGTCGGAATATTGCGATTTGGGTACGGTCGGAGATTGTGTGTGGCTCCAGAAGAGACGAGATAACGAAGAGTTTTTTGTCGGAAAGATCGAGTTGTCGGTGGTGCTTGTCTTTGGCTCGCAATGATATTCCCTTGATTCCCAGCTCTTGTTGCGCCGTCTCTTTTTCTCTCATGGAAATTTCCATGCAATATTGAAATATTGTCATTCCTCCCACAACGCTCCAGCACACAATCTCGTCGCAGATTCGCAATTGGGTATATTCAAACAAGAAGCCACTGGTATTAGAACATACCTTGCTTGGTAGTAGGGGCCATGGCTGTCGTCCGCTGTCGTGTTGATTGTCGCAGTGTCAAGAGTCGAACAATTCAAAGTGGCTTCGCTAAGCGAAAACCCTACCACACTGTGGGTCAGGTGATTGCTGACTCATCTTGACCCGCGGTGCTTAGTCATTTCCGCATTCGATCTTTTTTGTATTTTTCTTTTTTTGGGGGGGGATATTGAAATCTTGATAACGAAATATTAATTAATGCACTCTCTTTCCTTTTATCATGCAATTTGCACCACTCTGAATAAACAAAATCTTTCCTCACTCCATTGCCGGGAAAATAATGCCTCCCAAGCGTCGGTCTCAGCGTCCGGGTCTACTATCAAGTACCCGCCCGCCGACAGTCAAATCCAAGCATGCGGCGCTGTCGGCCAAGGCCACTCGGACTCTCATTCGTTCCCACCATCAACTTATGAAGGCGCGAGCCCAAGCAGAGGCCGCAGGTGATGAAGTCCGAGTGAGAAGCATTAATGCCCAAATCGAAGCTGCCGGTGGTTTGGAAAGCTACCAGATTGCCAGCAAACTAGGCCAGTCCGGGGATCGAGGCGGCGACTCCAGTAAGATCCTAGTGGATTGGATCAAGCCGCAGCTTAATCAATGGAAATCCACCTTTCCCAAACTCCGAGTCCTCGAAGTTGGGGCGTTAAGCACGAAGAATGTCTGTTCCAGGACCCCGGCCTTGGAGGTGACCCGCATCGACCTGAATTCTCAGGAACCGGGTATCTTGAAGCAAGATTTCATGGAACGTCCGTTACCATCTACGGAAACAGAGAGATTCAATATCATTAGTCTTTCATTGGTGCTCAACTATGTACCAGATCCTGTGGGTCGGGGCGATATGCTCAAACGCTGTGTTCAGTTTTTGACATCGGAATGTCCCATCTCCCTTCCCCCGACTCTCTTTTTCGTCCTTCCGGTGGCATGTGTGGATAATTCCCGTTATCTCACCGAGAAGAGACTTCTTGCCATCCTAGAGAGTCTAGGCTTCCAACTCGCACAAAGCAGACGGACTTCTAAGCTCATCTACCAATTATGGAACCATACTGGTGCTTTCTCGCCTCAGTCTTTCAAGAAGGAGATGGTCAACCCAGGCCACAAAAGAAACAATTTCGCTGTTGTTATGCGCGAAAGCTGATTCTGCCCTTGAAAACGCTCCAATGAAACATACATACTCCACAGGAGTCGGCATGGAATCAAGCCCCAGAGATCATTTCATGCGGCAGAAACACCCAAATGGTCCCCACGGCCGCCAGAATTGTGGACGTGATGAGCAAAAACCAGTCCAGAATCCGCTCACGTCGGCTTATCTCCTTTCCGAAGATCTTGAGATAGAACGCGAGAGGGAAGATGATGCAGATGGAAAAGCACAGGAAGGACCCAAGGAAGGCCATGATTCTGTCGAAGGCTGGGAATATCACGGAAAGGACGACAATGAGAGCCACTGTAAAAACACGAACCAAAGCTCGAATCAACTCCTGGACTCCCTCTCTCCGGGTAGAAGTGGCTCCCACACCAACACCACAGATGACTTCAAATGTGGCCACTAAGGGCCGGGCACTATGTGCTGTCAGCAATCTGTACGACAATCAAGCCAGAAACAAACTCACTTTAGTGGCACCTTGCTCAACGGGATGATTGAAACGAAAATAATAATACAAACAGACAAAGCCCGGGGGTAGGCATCTTCACTGAGGATGTTCGCTGTGACTTCATCGCGAACGATGTCCCCAAACATGAGCCAACCGATGATGGCCATGGAACAGTCCAGCGAACCCTGTGATCAACCTAGTCAGCATTTTCTTTGCAGTGCCACTTCGCATCAGACTTTCATACTGTAAATAGATATGTGGCCCAGAGACTTTTGCCATATTTCTTAGGATGTCTCATGTCTCGATAGATATTAGGAAATACACCGTGTCCACCCCATGGTGCTATGACTTTGTTAGCTATATCCTGATTCTTGTAGAACTCCGCTCTTACACATAATGAGACCAAAACTTAAGGGCAGAGTGGCCCAGTTTTCGGGGAAGAGAAATGTGCTCGCTGGCTGTTGTAGAGAGCCCGGGGCATTTGGCTTGATTAAGCCATCCACGCAGATGAGAATCACAACTAAAAAGGTTAGTCTCAGTCTTGGGATCATATCCATCTCGACCCTTTTGTTGGCGCTTGGGACTCACTTGAGGTGCATGATATGATACCCAGAATGCTAGTCACGCTAAGAAATCTTAAAGGTAAAAAGTTTAGAGGAATCAACACCAGCCCACATACCATCTTCCATTGGAGAATGCTGAGGCCGGGAACCAGGGCATACAAGCTGTCTGCAAATAGCACCACCAAGGCCACACATGCTCCCAACAACTCCAAGCAGAAGAGGAAACTTGTAACGAGGCGAGCGTTTTGTCCGAAGCTAATGTAGGCAAGATCGGCATAGGTAACGAGAGACCGGTCCACGTCGAGACACTTGGCCAAAATCTTGGCTGTATAGGCAGTAGTGATTGCAGAGTAAACAAGGAACAGTAGACCAAGCAGCCATCCAGCGTACTTCATGGCCAGCGGAAGACTCAGTAATCCAATGCCGATCAGCACATTGACCGAGTTGAAGACGGTCTGCGGCACCGTCGATTGACCAATCACAATTTCTTCATGCGTACCATCTTCATGCTCCACATGCTTAAGCAACAGGGGTTCTCGATCAATAGCCCCCGAGCCATCTACACGGGCAAGTTGCTCACGGTGAAATTGAATGGCATGTCGCCTGGTCGACTCACTCACGCGCGACGAGATCGTGCCATATGAGGTGGCAATACTTCTATCCACAGACGAGGCAAGAAGGCCGGTGGTCGGAAGAGCCCTTCTAGGGCTTGCATGCGCATGCGCCATCGAATCGTGCTCCTCCACGTCGTCGTCATCCGCCTCGTCCTCGGAGAGAAGAGGCCGCTCCCCCGACCTGGGGCCATAATTGCCCCCGGTTGCGATTTCGAACTCATCGTCAGAGTCGGCCGATACGAACGAAGCGCGTCGCGGGAGCACCTGTGGGAAGCAGGCTGCTCTTTGCCATGAGCGAGCAAAGTTATCGATACTGTTCGGGCCACCTGCTTGTCGGAGGCGGGAGAATGACGATGATCTGCGAAATCCATCAACACTCTGGTTGCTACCCTGGCTTTGTCGTATCGGTCTTACCTTTGCCGACCCCAGTTCTCCTCGTCGATCGGGTCCCCTCCACTCAGGTGAGCATAATCGTAAGAGCCCGGTGGGAATCTCAACGATCCCTGATTGACTTCAGAGTCGTGTTCTGCATTCCTGGTGGACATTTCGTCCTCAATGATGTCGCGGATAGGCCTAGGGAAAGGGGAAGAATTTTCCCGGGTCCCTAATATATATACGGAGGACAAAGCTCAGGGTGAAATGAAATCCTTGTTTTCCTCCAAAGATAAGAAGCACGAAAAGGCCCAAACAGAGAGCTACGTGTGGGGTTGGGCGATAAGCCGATAATGATTCTCTTAGTTTCGCTTTAAAACTGGAAGCTAAACCGTGTCTAGTGTAGCGCCTGTACGGAATTAGGGGACAAATGAAGCGATTGTTAATATGGACAGTAATGAAAACGGAAGATATCAACAAGCTGCAGTCTAGACCAGGGTCGCGTGAAGTCGAAAGTCACGAGTTTGGGGCGCAAAGTCGATGTACGGGGATCGCTGTCAGATCTTAACCTCAACCACGCGTGACCTGGATCTAATACCTGGCTTGTTATGACCTCAGACGAACCTCGGGTAGGTCTTCGGGCCATTCGCCCATCTCAATATATTTTCGGCATCCAAGCCATCCCTTTGTTAGCCAGTGGAGTTTACACCTTGCTCTGGCCGGGCGCAGTCGCCAACATGCCAGATTCACCGCTGGAGGGGGTAAGCAGTGGAGCGATCCAGGCCATGAGGTATGCGATCGCAAATATATGCAAGGTGTGACCTGTACATCGCTCATCGCTGGTAGTCTCACCTCGATGGCATTGGGAACATGCCAAACGATCGCCGCGTATCAGAACAATATTCCCATAATGATCGCCGCGGTACCGGGGCGACTATTGGCTGCCTTTGTGTTCCACCGCAGTGGTGGAGGATGGCGTAAGTTGGCACCTTTTGAGGGCTGCATGGGACTGCTCGTCGCGATCGGGGTGTATTGGACGTGGTATACCGACCGGGGGAGTAGGGACGGGGACAAGGATAGGAGTAAGGACAACTAGAATGCTCACCTTATAGGTAGGTATCTTTTCGAGATCAGGGTAAGGTTGTTGGGAATATATAGGTGCACGTGCTGTCTCCTTGGAAGCCACTATATATTGTCCCAATTACTCAGGGCCCTATGGAGTGATAAGCAGTCATCCACTGCTCTTTATGTCTTGATCATTGGGGATCTACGTGATGTTACAATGGTCCCAAATTAGACATAGCATTTGAAATTGAAAGATATACTATTCTCTGAACAATCGATATTCTGAAAGATTCAAAGTTTTCATACACAAAATGGCCCCATATCTAGTGTGGGATACTCGCTTGAGCAAAGTTGATCTCGGTAGTGCATCCAAGGTCAATTTCTTCACGAATATATGCACCAACGCAAAATCCGAAGAAAATCAAAATCCAAAATCCGAAAAATCGAAAAATCGAAAAATCGCAATCTCTAAGTCTTCAGCCCCTAAAAGTAGCCAATACCGGATGAAACAGCCCCAGGTCCACCTTGCAATGAAGTACCCAGTACAACGTCAGTGCCCTGGGCCTATGGCTTACCTCAGCCCACCAGAACCCCTCGAAACCCCACGGTGCCTGAGGAAATTTGCTGTCTCTACGTCAACCAGCAAGGTTCGTTCACCCCCCTTTTGCCACTCGATCTTTTTGGCAAATTGGAACTAATATCTAATTATTGCCTCTTTGTGAACAGTTGAACAACAGGAACAGGATCTTATCCTTTGTTCCTTCGGCCCATTTTGAGCCCGGTTAGGCGTCGACAGGCTAAAGGCCGATACTCTTGCCCCCCCCCCCCTCTGGTGATACTGCACCTTCGCGTCGCCCAAAATGAGTTCCCAACAGCAAGGGAACGATGTGGAGAAGAACATTGAGATCTGGAAGGTCAAGAAGTTGATCAAGCGCTTGGAATCCGCCCGCGGAAATGGAACCTCCATGATTTCGCTCATTATTCGTACGTTCTCCTCGCGGTTCCCTTGGATTTTTGATCCTCTACATAAATCTCGATGACCTGACACTCGGAATAGCCCCCAAGGATCAGATTTCTCGAGCGGCAAAGATGTTGGCTGAAGAATACGTACGTCGCTCGCCTTGGCCTCAACTCTAGAAAGCCCCCATATGCCTAACGCCCGATTTTGCAGGGTACTGCCTCTAACATCAAGTCCCGAGTCAATCGTCTTTCCGTCTTGTCCGCTATCACATCCACCCAGCAGCGTCTGAAGTTGTACAACAAGGTCCCCCCAAATGGACTGGTCGTCTACTGTGGTGAAATCATCACCTCGGAAGGAAAGGAGCGCAAGATCAACATTGACTTCGAGCCCTTCAAGCCAATCAACACTTCCCTTTACCTTTGTGACAACAAGTTCCACACCGAGGCTCTGAGCGAGTTGCTCGAGTCCGATTCCAAGTTCGGTTTCATCATCATGGACGGAAACGGTGCGCTCTTCGGTACCCTCAGCGGTAACACTCGTGAAATTCTCCAGCGCTTGTCTGTCGACTTGCCCAAGAAGCACGTAAGTTTGGTATTCCCACTATTTTAGTCCTTCATTCCCACTGACTGATCTCCAGGGTCGTGGTGGTCAATCTGCGCTGCGTTTCGCCCGTCTGCGTGAGGAAAAGCGTCACAACTACGTGCGCAAGATCGCCGAGTTGGCTGTTCAGAACTACATCACTAACGACAAGGTTAACGTCGCTGGTCTTGTCTTGGCCGGTTCCGCCGATTTCAAGAACGACCTCAACCAGTCCGACCTGTTCGATGGTCGTCTCCAGAGCAAGGTCATCAAGGTGGTTGACGTGTCTTACGGCGGCGAGAACGGTTTCAACCAGGCTATTGAACTCTCCGGAGAGACCCTGAGCAACGTCAAGTTCATCCAAGAGAAGAAGTTGATTTCGAAGTACTTCGAGGAGATCAGTCAGGACACCGGCAAGATCTGTTACGGTGTGGAAGATACCCTCAAGGCCATGGAACTTGGCGCAGCCGAGACTCTAATTGTGTTTGAGAATTTGGATGTCACCCGATACCAGCTGAAGACCTCTACTGGCGAGGAGGTGATCGTGAACGCCACCAAAGCCCAGGAGATCAACAACCGGGAGCTCTTCCAGGACAAGGAAACTGGCGCCGAGATGGAGGTGATTGAGTCCACCACCTTCATTGAGTGGCTCGCCGAGTCCTACAAGGACTACGGTGCCACCCTGGAGTTCGTTTCGGACCGTTCCGGTGAAGGAAACCAGTTCGTCAAAGGCTTTGGTGGTATTGGAGCTCTTCTCCGATACAAGGTGAACTTTGAACAACTTGCCGATTACAGCGATGATGACGAGTTTTACGATGGTATATGCGCCCGAATCTCGATGACTTGCAGTAAATGTGCTAACACTTACTTCCCATAGATTGACGGTTGAGCGCCCTCGCAGAGAGCGAGGATGAACGGCCAGAAGCTCCCTCGGCGAGTGTTCTGACGGCTCGCCCCGTGGATCATGAAGGCGGCTCCGTGACTGAAAGCCAGGCACCCGCAAAGGATCTCTTCGAGACGCCTGCTCCAAGCCTCATGAAGCTGCTCAGAGGTTCGTTACGTTCCTTTATACTCCAAGTTCACCTACTGATCGCCAGCCAGGTTCATCCAAGCTCCGTGACATGTTCACTCAGATTATCTCAGTGGCTGAGATGAACTAAGGTGTAAATTGCAATTTTAAAAGGTTGGATGCGATTCTCTGCAATCTTCAGTACCCTATTGCCGTCTGCCACTGTGCAGGCGAGGCGGGGCATTGCTTATTGCGGCTCTGTTCGTCGCCGTTGCCAGAGTGGCTCGTTCTGGTTCGCTCTTAATGTTCCTCGCACTCGTTATAGTCTGAAAATACATTGGAGAGGCTCGCTATCCTGCTTTGTTAAATATATATTTTGTCTTTCGCCTGAAGTATACCAACCCCGAAATTTTCTATGCTATCATTCCTTTTAGGTTACCATATGAGCACTCTCTATTATTCCCTTCGTAAAATCATCCCAAAACCCATGTTCCAAAGAGGAAACTCATGCAGTTTGCGCACCCAGTTGATCTTCCCACGTTCCCAGGTCTCTACACGACTCAGTAACGTTTTGTAGATCTTGTAATGCGTTGACAACTGCATCCTTATTCTCCTCGGATAGCGTTCGTCCACATTCAACAAAAAAGATATACTGCCACGCCCGTTTCAAACTGGGCCTAGTATTTATAGTCGTGAGATTCAAACCATGTTGCTTGAAAATCAAAAGCGCGCTGGCTAATGCACCTGGTGAGGCGTGATCAATGGAGAACGAGATCAGCGTTTTGTGCGTGTTGGGCTGTTCTTCCAGAGTGGTCGCCTTGAGCTGTCCCAAGTCAAGCTCAGCCGTCCGCGCAGCAAGAACATTCCTCAAAATTAGGAACCGAGTTGTATTATCAGCCCGATCCTCGATGTTCTCTTTCAGTACATCAACACCGTGGTATTCGGCGGCGAAGCGGCTGGCAATGGCTGCGTTATTCTCCGTCGGCTCTTTTGAAACAATTTCGGCACCTTTGGATGTAGAAGAGACATCCTGCCTTTCCACTCCCTTGAAATATTTAGAAAGGACTCCCTCACATTGGCCCCATGCCTGGGGGTGTGTGTATAGCTTGGTGATAGACCCGTCATACCCCGACCAACCAGAGGGATATGAGCCCTTGTGAACCAACAAGCAGTGGTGGACGGTCAGATAGTACTCGCCACAGACTTTCACATCCTTATAGTCATCATTGCGATCGGCGAGGAGGTCGAGAGTCTGAACAACCGAGCCATTGGTTGAGTTTTCGCAAGGGATCACGGCGTAGTCGACCTCTTGGTTTTGAAGTGCGACAAAGGCATCGGCGAAGGAGAGTTGAGGAAGTAATGAGGCTGATATTTTGTCAAAGGCCTCGGCGGCAGCCTTGAGACAGGGATTAGCTATTGGAAAAGTAAAGTACGTTTGCAAAGGATTCCAGCTATGCGGGGTAAGCTGCGTACCTGGTGCGAGAAAGATGCTAACGGGCCGAGAAAAGCCACCCTTAAGCGCGCCATAGAGAAGGATTCTTCTGCGATATCCTCGGGCTATAAATGACCTTTTTGAATGGAGAAATCTCCCTTGGTGTTGAGTTTGAGTTCAACTTCCAAACATTATCCCGATTTCGGATTAATCCCATCTTTGAGCGGTGTGGAATACCCCCAAAAACAAACAAGGCAAACTTGAGACTTGACATGACTATCATGGTCTCGCCTTCTAATGTGAGATCTGGGTTGTCCATGAAATCGACTTCCATACGGTACTTACTCGAGGGAGTAGTACACCGCCGAGCGTACTCCTCGCTTCCAGAGCGCCTGCGCCATGATTTGACCACGCGGAAGCTTCCATTGACCTTCGATTATCTACATCCTCAGCCATCTCACCTTTTGAACCTCTCGCTTCACGATCTTCTTCCACAGTCATCTGGCGATTGTAATGTATCCCCGATTTTGCCTTCGATCACAAACCCATCTCCATTGCCAATCGGCCACCACTTGATCTACTTCCCGCCTCAAGTGACTCTGTCGCAATTGGTTCCAGATGGCTGCGATGTTCTTCACACACCAGGCGATCCGTTTAATCGTCGCATGTGGGCAGGTGGTAATGTGCGATTCCCAACTGCTGGTCCGCTTTTGGATGGCAGTCGGGCTGTCTGCATTGAATCCATCCGCAACGTGACTGTCAAGGGACGCGAGGGAGACGAGAAAGTGATTGTCACAATTGAGCGACGGGTTGGTACCGTGCCAGAAGGAGAGGCAGAGGAGGAAACCTGGAATCGGATCTGGCAGGAGAATGAAGCGGACTTGGGAAACTCGTCACTGATCGAGAATCGAGATCTCATATTCATGCGGGCTAAGACGGCGGAACAAATTGCACTAGACCGAGAGCAGTTTTCAGAGCCGACTCGCTTTGTCAAGTGTTAGTACTTCCTTTAGACTTTTCTCCCATTTACCCCCCACCCCGGATAGGTCTTGCAGACCAAAGAGAGAGAGAGAGAGAGATAAAGAGAGCTTACAGTTTGCAAACAGCTCCCTCCGATGCGGTATTCCGCCATTCGATATTACCCACCAAGACATTACTCTTCCGCTTTTCAGCACTGACAATGAATGCACACTCAATACATTTGGACAAAGAATATACACAGAATCAGGAAGGGTTCCGAACCCTTTTGGTTCATGGTCCCTTGACCTTAACACTGCTTCTGAGTGTGTTGCAAAACCACCTTCAAAGTCTAAATCTTCGGGTTGGACATATTGAGTATAGAAATCTTGCACCTCTGTATGTGGAGGAGGAACTGACAATCTGTGGCAAGCCCAAGAATGACGATACTTGGGATGTTTGGATAGAGGGTCCTCGTGGCAGCCTGGCTGTCCGAGGTACTGCCAAAATTTGCCCAGCCTAACCTGCAATTACCTCAGCATATGATCCATTTTGCATTGATATGGATACTCGAAACACTAGGGAATTTGGGGTTCACAGCGTGTTTACATCGTGTGGAGCTACATAGTTGAGCAAGAACGTTATCTTCTCACTCTCTTCCTGATTGTATAGCTCAGAAATTTTCGAAGCATTATAGTCCGGGATTGGTATAAAGTTGAGTTCATTGAGTTATCGCCTCGTATTGCATTATTATGCATTGTTGATTTGGTTTATTCAAGACACTAGCTCAGTGTTCCATGAAAGACGTACATTTAGTGGCCGTTATAGCACGTATTAGACCAGAATGTATGCGATGCCAAGACTCCGGTCCCCGGATAAACCGGCTCCGGACTTTTGCACACGTCGGTTTAAAAGCTTGCATCCGTGGCTTCACTTCTTCTCCTCTTCTTCATCCTTCCTTCCCCTTCAATGGCTTAGCTCTCTTGAACAGCTTGAATTCTCGTTTCTAATTTGTTTCTCGGCTCACCATGGACCAAGTCCAGGTGGCCTTCTGGGCAGCACCTCCGGTGACTCGGTACGCTGCATTGTCATTCCACCTCGGTGGACCTGTTGACTGACTTGTCTGAAGCACAATCACAGCTCTGACTCTGGTTCAATCTGTCCTAGTCTATGGCGGCGTGCTCAGCGGATATTATGTTGTCTTCTGGCCGGCCCAAATTTTCAAGCTGCTTCCAGAGATCTGGCGTCTAGCCACTCCATTCCTACTAACCGGTCCAAGGCTCAGTTTTTTCTTTGATCTCTATTTCTGTATGATGCCTCAGTGTTGCATTGGCCCTTGGCCCTGCTAACCTGCCGGCAGTGTACCACTATGGCAGTCAGCTGGAGACCAGCGCTGTTCGGTTTAGCCAACCCGGAGATTTCTTTATCTACCTGGTATTTGTAGCATTCGTCATCATGGTAAGTGGCTCGCTTGATCTCGAGTCGGTTTTTTTTTTTTTTTTTGTTATTTTCTTTCTTCTTCATATTGTCACCTCCCAATCTGCCCGCCCAGTCAAACAAATGGCTGTATCGGTTCCTGAACGTGAGGAAGATTACCCCTGCATCCTGTGCAGCACCGTCAAGAATTCGCAAAATAACTTGGTGCTGCATGAGGTGTGGGATTGGTGGGATTACCTTTAGGTAGTTGTCATGATGTTAAGTTCATGCCAGCGGTTCAGGTGCCCTACATTCTACATACTTCTATTACCATTCATTCCCAAATATCATTATCTTTTTTCCAACTCCGTTCGTGGTAGCTCAGTCTGTCCTAAAATTGCTAACTTTGCCCAAGCTTCTTGCAGGCTACGTCCTTGGCGGGATGGTGTTTACTTCTGGTGAGATTCCTGCCTAGACCCCATGTAGGGCAAGAACTAAGATTACTTTTCTCCCCCATAGCATTGATCCTGGCTTTCATCTATACCTTTGCCCAGGAAAACCGAGGCAGGAGGACCAAGCTGTGGTTCATTGACATTCCCATGGAGTACCTCCCATGGGCGATGTTGGTGATCACCATGGTCCTGAACGGATGGCCTTCAGCTTTGAGTGAGAGCATGGGCATCGTGGCTGCCCATCTCTATGACTTCCTCACCCGTATCTACCCAACCTTTGGCGGTGGCCGAAATTACCTTGTGACGCCTGCGGCAGTACAGCGCTTTTTCTCTCGCCATACCCCAAATGCCGGTCACCGTGGCTATGGTACTGCCTTCCAGGCACCAGCATCTTCCCAGCCTGCTCAGCCCTCATCTCGGGGCTGGACCTCCTCTATGCAGAACCCATGGGGTGGTCGAGGCGCGGGTCGAAGACTTGGTGGTGATTGAGCGCACCTCAGCATGAAACCCCCTTGATGTTCAGAACATCCACGGGTCTGGCAGAGGGCTGGTCTTGCATTATTTCCGGCGTTTTACCCAGCCTAGCAGTCATTTTTGACTGAACAGAATCACATATCTCGGGAGTTCACTTCTTGTGATATGTACATTAGATTAGCAACCGTTACTACCATTTGGTATTTCAAGATTCCACCAATATAACTTGCACTTCAGACAAGAAATCTTCAATCAAGTGAAACCCTAAACCCCCAGCCACCTGCTTAGACCGAGTAAAGTATGGGACGAGAATTTCCTTCGATTGAAAATCACGTGACCCACCGCGGGCGCTAAACCGGAATAGTCTATGGAGCTGCCGCACTCGCAAAATTTCCTCGAGCAAATTTTTGGTCTGTAACAGCAACACCATCGACAACATGGCCGCCGTCAAGAACCAGGAGATGGACTACGCCATCAAGCCCGAGGCGGTTAACCCTGCCATTACCGCTGAGGAATGGCCTCTTTTGCTCAAGAACTACCACAAGTGTATGTTTCATGGAGAAAAAAAAAATTTACCGCGATCCTTATCCTTGAAGCATTGGCTAACCCAGTCATTATATAGTGCTTGTTCGCACCGGTCACTTCACCCCTATCCCTGCTGGTGCCTCTCCTCTTAAGCGTGACCTTAAGTCCTACATCAGCTCCGGTGTCATCAACCTGGACAAGCCCTCCAACCCTTCCAGTCACGAGGTCGTGGCTTGGATGAAGCGAATCCTCAGGTAAATCCTCACCACATCCTATCTTCTCTCCATAGAGTTTTCAGGAAGAAGGAAGAAGTGAACAAAATGTTCTAATCGAATTGGTTATTCTAGATCCGAGAAGACTGGTCACAGTGGTACTCTTGACCCCAAGGTCACTGGTTGTTTGATTGTCTGCATTGACCGTGCTACCCGCCTGGTCAAGTCCCAGCAGGGTGCTGGTAAGGAGTATGTCTGTGTCATCCGTTTGCACGAGAAGATTCCCGGTGGCGAGGCGCAGTTCCGCCGCGCTCTTGAGACCCTCACCGGTGCTCTGTTCCAGCGTCCCCCTCTCATTTCGGCTGTCAAGCGTCAGCTCCGTGTCCGTACCATCTACGAGAGCAAGATGTACGAGTTCGACAACGAGCGCCACCTGGGTGTCTTCTGGGTCAGCTGTGAGGCTGGTACTTACATCCGTACCCTTTGCGTTCACTTGGGTCTGCTGCTGGGTGTTGGTGCCCACATGCAGGAGCTGCGTCGTGTTCGTTCCGGAGCTATGAACGAGGAGAGCGGCATGGTCACCCTGCACGATGTCATGGATGCCCAGTGGGTGTACGACAACCAGCGTGACGAGTCTTACCTGCGCAAGGTCATTAGTCCCCTCGAGAGCCTGCTTACCGGCTACAAGCGTATTGTGGTTAAGGACAGCGCTGTCAACGCTGTCTGCTATGGTGCTAAGCTCATGATTCCTGGTCTTCTTCGTTTCGGTTAGTTGCCTTCGTTTGGTCTCAATTTATAAGAAACCAAAGCTAATCCAATTTCACAGAGGCTAGCATTGAGGTCGACGAGGAGGTCGTCTTGATGACCACCAAGGGTGAGGCTATTGCCATCGGTATTGCCCAGATGTCCACCGTGGAGCTTTCCACCTGCGACCACGGTGTCGTCGCCAAGGTCAAGCGTTGCATTATGGAGCGCGACCTGTACCCCCGCCGCTGGGGATTGGGCCCCATCGCCCTTGAGAAGAAGAAGCTCAAGTCTGCTGGCAAGCTCGACGTAAGTCATGATTTTGCTACATCTGCTATTGTAGCCCCAAACTAATCATATTTTAGAAATACGGCCGTACCAACGAGGCTACCCCCGCTTCCTGGAAGAAGGAATACAAGGACTACGATGCCGTTGAGGACGTTACTGAGGAGTCTTCTGCCCCTGCCGCTGCTCCCGCGCCTGCTGAGGAGCCCGTGAAGGCCGATGCTGAGGCCGATGAGGACAAGGATGAGAAGAAGAAGCGCAAGCACGACGGTGAGACCGCCGAGGAGAAGGCCGAGCGCAAGAAGAAGAAGAAGGAGAAGAAGGAGAAGAAGGAGCGCCGGAAGTCCAAGCAGGCAGAGGACAGCGATGACAGCGAGTAGATGTCCAGGAAGACACCCTGCTAGCTCGCGGTCTACTTCCTGTACCATATTATTAGGTCTTTTCATTATTTGCTTCCGGAGTCTTTGGGTCAAAAGGGAATGTTGGTTTCAAGATTTATTCGTCCATAGTTGTTGTTACTCCAACCTGTGATGTTCTTGTAAAGATGATCTCTTTGTAATCTCTATAAAATAGTTGATATAATGTAGAACTGTTCGAATTGTTCAGATGACTAGAGCATTCCACTTTGGGGAGCGGAGAAGCTCGTCACCGCCGGCACTCCGCACTTCCCCTCTCTACACCTTTCGTGAACCCTGATTGTTCTCCAGGTATTCTCACCTACGCAGGGCAAAAAGCTTTACAAGACTAGAAGATTTGCGTTACGCGCATCTAATGTCCAGAAATGGCTGCTGAGCTGACTTCTACAAAGCTCAACGCTGAGAGTCACCTGATCCTGGTATCGCAACTCTACAACGTCATTAGAAAGTACTCAACTAATTAATCGGATCTGTATAGGACCAACCACTCCTTCGACTCCCTCATGAACTCGCGCGAAGGAATTTCAAGGCTGTACAACGAGTCGTCGAACGAGAAAAGGAATATGTTCTGCCTGCTCTCAAAGAGGCGGCGAACGCTTCCCTTTCCAACACCCATACTCCCGATCAGACACTTGCGGCACTCGATGCTATGATCTCCCGAATGCAAGGCCTGAAGCGGAAGATGGAAAGCTTGCAGGAAGAAGAGCGACGAATCCAGACCCAATCCCGCAAACGAATCCAGCATCTCGAGGCCTTACACAATATCCCGAGCCTGGCAGACGTCAAGTATGATCAATGGTCTCGGGTACGGCTGGATCGTTTGCTGGTTGATCATATGCTGCGGTCGGGGTTCTCCGAGAGTGCGAAGCAGCTTGCCGAAGAACGGGACATCGAAGGTCTTGTAGACCTGGGAGTGTTCACCCAGTGTCAACGGATCGTTGAGAGTCTCCGCCGAGGGGACACTAAAGAAGCATTACAATGGTGTGGGGAAAACAAGGCCGCGTTAAAAAAGAGCAACGTTCGTTCAACCCTTTATCTCCCATACAACCAGGAGCTAACCTGTTCGTTTTAGCATAATCTTGAATTTGAGCTTAGGCTGCAGCAATACATTGAGTTGGTTCGGACGCAGGACCGGTCAAAGAAGCTGGAGGCTATCTTACATGCGAGAAAATACTTAACTCCTAACCACGAATCTCAGAATCATGAAGTCATGCGGGCAGCAGGATTGCTTGTCTTTAGCCAGGACACTCGGGCAGAGCCATATAAGGTGAGATCGGATCCTTGACGTGGGAGGAGTACATCGTTGACTATGATACAGTTATTGTTTTCTCAAGATAGATGGAAGATTCTTTCTGAACTCTTCATCAAAACTCATCATGAGCTCCTTTCACTCCCTTCACAACCCCTCCTTCACATTGCCCTTTCTGCAGGGTTGTCTGCTCTCAAGACACCCTTGTGCCACTCAGCTTATACGTCATCCAGTTCCAATTCACAATCGACAAGCACATCGGTATGCCCGATCTGTTCGACGGAACTGAATGACCTCGCCCGTAAGATGCCATATGCCCACCATTCAAAGAGCTACGTGGAAGGCGATGCAATCGTGCTACCCAACGGTCGAGTCTACGGAAAAGCGCGGCTGTTGGAGATCAGCAAAAATCTCGGGGCCGTCGAGGCTGGCAAAATTAAAGATCCCACAACGGGCGAGGTCTTTGACGAAAGCGAGATGAAGAAAGTCTATATTTTGTAATCAGTTGTTGTGTCCACTATTCCCGAAAGCCCTGCCAACATTATTGCAATGTGAGGAATTTCAAGGGCGAACTTGTTTTTTACTGGGAGTTCAGCGACGGATCTGTATATTTGAGCGAGTATTTTATCAAGATCATGAAGTAGAATGCAACACTGGCATTCATCAGCTGCTGTACAAAAGAAAGGGATTCAAGTAACGAAGATACACCTGAAATGCATAAGACTTCCTACTCGCTATCATCTGAATCATCTTGGGTTCTAGCTCTCTTCTTCTTGCCCGCCTTTACAGGCTCCTTTTTAACCTCGAACACATACATGCGCGCCTCCCGATCCTCTCCCCGCCATCCACCTCGACCTCCGTTCTTTCCTTCCACTTCCCCAAGTGTCCGAGCATGCGAATAGCCTTCATAAGAAGCCCATGGGAACCGGAAACTAGTAACAACCTGTAGCCCAGCATGACGAGCAAGGTCCTTGATATTCCACAAGGTATACGGCTCAGCTTCGAAAAGCGAGACCAATATCTGACCTGGCCCAGTACGGATCTCCTTCCCAGAAGTCTGAGCCTCGTCCTCATCCTCTTCGTCTTCATCTTCATCTTCATCTTCATCCTCATCCTCATTTTCCTCCCAGTCATCATCATCCGGATCGATAGGTTCCGGCGCCGAAGACAGAAGAGGCACACATGCCTTGAAAAATGCAACGAGAAGTTCCTGATTCGCCCGAACCTGACGATTAACATCGGTGGAAAGACCACCCACATGCGGGAAATTGAAACAGATCACATCCCACGGTCCGCTGTGCACAGGTTTGGCTTCCGGCTCCGGTCTTAGCAATTGCCGCACATTCTGTTCTTGCTTTTGTCGCTCTTGTTGCTCTTTTTGGATCATCCAGGTAGGTCGTTTGCGCTCTTTGCGTGGATAGCCAGATTTGATTTCCTTGCCCCCACCTCCTGAGACGCCTAACTTGCGGGCATCTACAGAGTAGAGGACCTTAGGACCGTTGGGGTTGGTTGCTGGCGCAGCTTTGGGTGCATCTTGCTGTTCGTCAGAGGGCTTAGAGTTTGATTCTTGCCCTGACTCTGACTCTGGTTTGGACTTGGCTTTTGACTTTGATGCCGGTGCGTTTAGAATATCCAAGATGTTCTGCTCTGCTTGTGGGTATTTACTCAAGAGTGTTTCTTGTGAGTCGTAGCATGTGGCGTATAACTTGTGACACTTGTATTGTGTTGCCAAGGAACGGGCAAATGAGAAATCGCCTGGGACAGGTTAGTTTAAGACTCCGAATTATACACTGTTATAAAAACGTATGCATAGGAGACAGTAAGAATTAGAATCTCGGTACAATGTATGTAACGAGAAGCAACTTAAAAGGACCAAGACGTTGGGGTATACATGAAATATCATGGGGGGGGGGTAAAAAGGACATAAACATAATGAGAAACCCACCCTCTCCAATCAGCATAACCCGATCTCCCCTCAAGAACGGCACAATAGGCCTCTGATTAGCTTGGAGCGGTCCCTTCTTCTGTGCCTCGGTCGTTCCAGCTCCCTTGGTCTTCGGCTTGGACTGGGAAGGAGTTTGACCCTGTTTAGGCGGACCGGGGCGAGCGCGAGCTGGGGGACCCTTTTGCTTCTTATTGCGGGGCATTTTCTAAATTCCCGACAGTGATCGACAGTGATATTGGGGGAGATTGAGGTCGAGGGCATGAAATTTTGGAGGTTGGGGAGCTCGGCCAATCAAAGATCCGGATCCTTTTCAATTAGTATGGGGATACCTCACTTTCACTTCACTGTAGACTATGATACTCCGCTTCTTCCTTTATCATAAATACTACCCTCAATGTATTTTTTCACCATGGTCTGTTCTAAAGACCATTGATTTGAGAGAAGACGTCTCCCCCAACAATGACATATGGGTCATGGCAAATTGAAAACCCCATTAGTTCTTCTATGTCACGCGGGAAAAGGCAAAGAGGTGAGAGTCTTGAAAGAGAATGTGATAACTATGAGATCGAGCCCGGAGAGCTGGGAAAAGCCGTCCAGGATGCCGTCCGGCCCGTTCCTAGTCAAGGAAGAGTAGGGTTTTTTTAAACGAGATAGCATACTTTGCGGCCATGGATAATGATACATATTTTATAGATATTATGCGGATTCAATTGGACGTCTTGTTCGAGGAGAGGTCAAGTGCCTTCGTCGCATTTTAGATCCTTATATCCTTGGACAGATTACGATTGTTGGGTTCCTGGTATACTAGGGCATATAGTACGGCAACTCTATAGGGTAGAAAGACGTTGAGAGTTCAAGATGATATCAAAACTGATTGATGGACCCGAGATTGATATACCTTCGTATAAGGAACCACATACCTTACTAAATATACGTATACCTGTACATCAAGTTCAAAGCCTGTGTTTCACAGCCATTAATTAGGGCCAGCTACCGTGGCATGGTTTTCCAGGACTCTGTATGTAAATCTCCCAAAGTCTCGGGCTAATGATCAGGGGAAAAAAATGTAAGTAGAAACACGTTCTATTCCAACAAGGCATAGCTATATACATTGAAAACAACCAAAAATCCAAACCAGGCTATGCCCCTGCTTAAGGCAGAAAAGAAATAATTAAAGGTCATACTGCAGCCCAAGTGGCAACGCTTTCCCCTAGATGACGATAAAAGAAAAAAAAAAGCCCAACACCAATGAAGGACCACAAGAGCACCAAGAGGCTGCCATGAAACGTGAATCATAATGTCACATGCAAAAGGGTCCCAATATCAGATCAGGGAGGTTGATGCGCGGGTGGTCCTAAGACTCCGTATCGAGAAATCAATCGTTCATTCTTCTTTATTTTCTAAGAGCGCAGTGAGTCACGCATGCTCTGGCTGCTGGCACTGACCAGCGGGTTGGAGGTGGGCAGAACACCGGTTCTGGGCTTGGCGCTCTGCTTGATCTTGGCCACGGCGTAGACAATGCCGGAGAAGAAACCAACGACAATGGCAGTCACACTGGGGAAGGTGACGGGGGCATCGAAGAAGATCAATCCGGACAGGGCGATGGGCAGCTTGTTGAGAGCACCAACCATGGAGTAGGTGGTAGACGAGGTGACACGAACACACCAGGCGGAGGTGTAGGAGATGAAGACAGACGACATGCCGGACAGGATCATGGCGATCCAGATACCGTTGCGGTTTTCCTCGGGGAAGTTGCGGGCCAGGTTGGCGGAGGACCAGTCCTCAGCCAGCAGGGTGAACACGATCAGGACGGGGATAGACAGCAGGTTGTTGTAGAACATGGCTAAGCAATGAGTTAGAACGGCATAAGCCAGGGATATCAGAGTAAGCAAAACATACTGTCAAAGTCCTTGAAGTTGGTCAACTTGATACGCTTGCGCATGCCCAGGACGTAGGACGAGGTGCACAGGCAGTTGATCATCATCCAGACGTAGCCGGCGTTCAGGGTCGAGACCTTGCTGGAGGTGTCACCGGTGCTCTCCACGGCGTGCTTGATGTCGGCCCAGGCAGCAACAATGGAGCTGAGAACCATCAAACCGAAGGAGAACAGGGTCATGTTGGTAACGGAGCCACCGAACCACAGGACCTCACCGTAGGCGATGAGAATGATGGTCAAGTTCTTGAAGATGGTGTAGACGGGGATGGAGAGGAACTGAAGGGCCTTGGAGCCGGTGTAAATCATGCCAATCAGCAGCAGAGTGATCGGGAACCCTAAACAACGATCAAGTCAACAATTTGTCGTTTTGTTATACACTGCTATACACGGGACGCCTTACACTTTCTCGCCTCGTCGGTGCTGAAGTCCCGGTAGGTAATCAAGCCCATAGACTTGCAAGTTTGAATAGCCGCGATACAGACAATAGACTATAGCAAGCCCCAGTCAGCGAATCCCGTTCAATATATAGTTCAATGGAAGCGGGACATACCTGAACCATGAGCAGCAGAAAGTTGAGATTGAAGTCCAACCCTGACAGAACATACTTGTTCATCACGGTCATCAGGATGGACGAACCGCAGTAGGACAGAACAGGCAAGATAGGGCTACTGGACATGCTGCTAGGAGGAGACGGCCGGGGCTGTGGTGGCGGCGCGGCCTCGAATTCCTTATTACCCTGATCCAGCTTATCCATGTCGACGGTATAGTCGTCGGTCTTTTTGTCTTCAACCATGGCGTTTTTGGTGGGGTTAAAAACCCGGAGAGAGAGGGAAACGAAAGAACGGTGGCGGAGATGGGATAGAAGAGAGGGAACAAGTCAAAGAGACAGAAATAACGGAGCGTACAACTGGACGCGCGAAGGAGAAAACAAGTCCAGACAGAACTTTTGGTTTTGGCCGGAAGCGGCGCGGGCTTAAGTCAGCAGGGGCTCTCAGGGGAGTCACGTGCCTCATTAATTTTAGAGATAGTGCCTCTTCAGGCCTAGCGCATTGGTTAGTCAGATTGAAAGCTGCAGTAGTCTCGTTAGGGGAAATTGCATTCCAGCACAATATTGGATCGAACATTATGAAGTACTCAAATAAGAATCTCTATCCCTGTTGCTCATGAGAATAACTCACCTAGTTCAATCTCACTTATGAATATAGACCCGTGGTCAAACTAAGCCAAGACTATATACCAATACCATATACCCCAGTGGAGCAGACGCGAAGATCCTCCAAACCTCCACTTCTCCCTTTTCAGATAATTCAAATCACCACCCATTCAGGGGAACGAACAGTCTATACCATACCCAATTGACCAGAGGAAGAAAGGAGAAGACTCAGATATCCCTCAAAAGAGGAGAGGACCAAAAGACCACCATATCTCTCCAATCTTCGACCTCCTCAAACAACCCCTCATAACCCCTCAAAAAAAAAATCCCACAATGCCAAACGATCACCACGAAGTTTCGGACGACGAAGCCCTTTTCGCAGCTCTGGAAAACGAAGACGAAGATGATGCCACATACCGCACCCAGCGTATTCAACAACTAAACGCCGAACTCGCCGCGCAAAAAGACAATCGCTCCGCGAACTCGACCGGCGCCACATACACACAGGACACGAGATACCCCACCCTCAGCCATGACCAAAGCGTGCTAGACTTTACCACATCGACAACGCGGTGTATTGTCCATTTCGCACATGACGACTTTGCGCGATGCGCGACGATGGATGCACGATTGGAGGAGTTAGCGGCGAGACATTATGAGGTGAAATTTGCCCGAGTCGATGTACGAAATACACCTTTCTTGGCGGAGAAGCTGAGCATTCGGGTATTGCCTTGCGTGATCGGATTTAAGGATGGCGTTGGTGTTGAGCGCGTGGTTGGATTTGAAGGACTAGGTGCTGGGGGGACGAATGGAACGGAGGCCGGGTTTAGTGTGTCGGTCCTGGAGAAACGATTGCTGTACAAGGGCGTTTTAGTACAGGCGAAGTTGTCAGCGGATGATGTGGATGATGATGAGCATCAGAGTGATGATGAAGGGTATGATGTGAGGCGAGGAACTCGTTTGCGGAAAAAGGCGATTCAGAGTGGAAAGGCCGGACGAGGAAGATATGACGATGATGACGATGAATGGGACTAAACATAGAAATAAGAGCATTTGCCACGACTGTACTTGAAATGACCCTTTACCTGCCAGGTACATCAAAAGATATAGGACTCAACATCAAGTCCAATTTACTTGGGAGGGTTTGAAATCAAGCATGGATAGAACTGCATCATCATAGAATTACAGGCAAAATATCAATGGCCGTGAACACAGAGCTAAACAAAACCAAAAAGACAGCTCCCTAAAGTTACAAAATGAAATGCCGCGAAGCCGGAAACCGGAGAGAAGAAAGCGTGGGGAATTCTATACACGGAGAGCAGTTGTCATGTAGATCCAGAAGCTCGTCATCAGACGCCAGTTGCCCTTGAGAATAAGAAATCTGGGAAAAAAAGAAAAGAGAAAAAGAGAGGAACAAAGAACACGATCTAAATAGCCACGTTCTTCATCTCTCCAAGGACCTCGGAGTCTAGGGAATTGGATGATTCAACGGGTTCATCGTTCTTCTCTGACTTTTCTTCAGAGGGCTTGGACTCGGGGAACCCTTCATTCTCCTTATTGGAGATTTGCGGGGTGGTCACCTCCAGCAAATCTTCTGTGGCATCTTCCTTGCTCTCTTGGATATCTTCAGAGATCGTAGGTCCAGCCGAACCAGCGGGACCTTCCTCGGTCACCCGGGCAAGAGGGCTGGACATACCGAAGGGAGTCTTGGGGCTCTGGGCAGGTCCACGGTTAGGGAAGCGGTTGGGAGATCGGCCACGCTCCTCAGCGCGAGTCGGGCTGCCGTAGGGTGAATCTCGGGTGGATCCTTTACCGGATGCATTCACACCCAGTCCGTTGGGGCCACGTCTGCGCGGTGGGCGGCGGCCGTACTTCTGGTCAACTCTCCACCGCAGAACCTCCATGTATGGCGGCTCGACATTCTGCGACTTGAATTCCTTGAGTTTCATCTCGTTGGTCTCCTCGTCAACGATGGTTCGGCCGCTGCAGAGGTCGTCGGCGAAGGTGGCCAGGAAAGCCGCCCAGGAACGCGCAACCACGTATTTACAATCATAGTCACGGCCGAAAATGATGACCTGGCCCCATTTACCAGCGGGACCGGGGGCAAGATCGATCGCAAGAAGGTTGCCGCCCCAATCGCGGGCCAAGGGAATCCAAGCAGGGTGAGCATAAGCCTTTTGCACGGCTCCGGGAGGCTGGGAGTCCTGACGATCGAGCAACTCGTTTCTCCATGTCGTACCGGATTGAGGGGGTGCGGCCGACGAGCTGGCAGCGGAACTGGACACGGGAGTCGACATCATGGCGGCGCTGAGGAACTCTTCATTGACGGTCTTCCAGTTGTGACGCTCCTGCACAATCTCTTCGCAGTCCAGCAGCATGGAGCTGAAAATAACACCGGTAGGCAGACCTCCGCGCTCCTGACCATCGTGAATCATCAAAGACTCCCGCAACTCGAGTGGCAGACTGCAGTCCAACTCGTGTTCCAACTCGTTAATATCGTTCTGTGTGCATCCTTCGCCGAGGTTGTCCAATAATTCCTCGTAGTTGTGTTCCAGCCACCGCTCAATCTTTCGCCAGGAGTGAGCGACAGGCGGCGGCGGCGGCGCACCGTCGTGGAAACTTTGCATCTGAATTTCTCCCGCTTCCTGATCATTCGACCTCCGTTTAGAAGCGGTGGATCTCATGCCGGGCGAGTAAGGGCGGTTAGGGGAACCAGGGTCGGTCGGGGAGCCGTTGAATTCGGTGGATTGGGCGGTCGCCAGGCCCTTGGAGGACTCATCGTCGTATGGGTTAGAGAGATCTGGACGAGATTCGATGGCACTGGTGGCAATGGAGGTGAGAGGTTCATGGCGGCTTTGACTGAGAGGGACGTGTCGACCGGTACGGTAGGGAGAGTCGTGAGAGGCATGACGATCATAGGAGGTCATGGTATGCCAAAAGGAGCGCCATGTCGAACCGAATCTGCAAAGCGAATTAGAATCGATTTAGAGAGAGGTATTGATCTGCGAGGGGGGGCAACTAACACATTCGCCATGGTGGGAGCGGGTTGATGGAGAAGAAGAGGGGAGGGTTTTTTTTGGGCAAAGGAAAGGGAAGGTCTTAAGTCATTTAGACCCGCAAATCAGGAGGATATAGTAGAATTCTTGCAGTCTTTTGCCTAGAATCAAATAGGGTATTGAAATATGAAATCTGAAATATGGAGAAGAGAAAAAAGATGGAAATAAGACAATTTCCCCTAATGAAGGTCATAACTTCCTCCCCCTGGCCGCATCCAGGTTCCTCAGGCATGCAGATCATGATGTCGACACCCGATCGCAGAATGATAATCTTGAACACTTTATACTGAAGACGGTCATTTTTACACTGTGTTACTATAGTGGTAGTTACGCCAGGGCTGTGTTATGAGTCTCTATACCGAACAACTGCATGACGCCTTCCATACCTTCCATCGACTTCCTCTTAACTCTCTAGCTCTCCTTACTAGTCATTCTAGTCCGTCTGTATGTGTCAAGTTCAGCCACCGTGGCGCCTAGACTCCATTTCAATTAAGCTTCATCATAACCGAGACAAGATCGACGGAGGTGAAAGGTGATCCCCCATGAATCCATCGCCATTATACGTAGGTTATTGAGTAGATTGCCTTGAAAGTCAATTCTATGGTTTTGTCTCGCAGCAAGGTTTAGGGTCGGAATTGACAACCAAGGACGTACCAAACACAAATCGAGGCACGATCACAAGTTATAAAATTAGACCATGGACTCCAATGGCCAGAAAAGTGGAGCGCGGTCAGTGGCGTCGTTGACCCAGATTAAAAAAGGGGAACATTGCGACGCAGACATACAGACCACGTCAGCCCTTTGGGGTTTTCGTTGAAACGCGTTCAAGTCCCTGATAGAAAGCAAAAGCAATGAACAACACAGGGACAAAAGAACAAAGTATAAAATACCCTTGGACCCTTTTCGAGAACCAGTTCTGGCCCCGATTTCTGATTGGGATCAGCATGGCGAACCAATCCATTTGGGATTTGGTCTGCACCGTTGCTTACCAGTGGCTAGAAGTCTCTTGGTGGCTTCGGACCTTCGCCGGTGATTCGACGCTCCGAAACGGTGTGGCTTGGTCCACTTCCCACGGGGTTCAAGTATTTGCCACTTGTAGTCATCACTGCATGCAGTTGTAGAGTAAACTTACTACTATAGATATAGACCTTGAAAACACGTAATACCAAGGTAACTCGACAAGGAGTGGACGGCATGGGATTCACACCAACGTAGTCACGAAGACCCAAACGAAGGGAAAAACTACTTAACACGGAAGATGTGCAAAGCCATGACCAGAAGGTCCAGCAAATACACCAAACAATGAGAATGAGAAAAGAAAAAGAAATATCAAAGGAGAGACCATCTCGAGAGACAAAAAATCATCAAAACATGCAGCGAATTTCATATCGTAGCCATCCTCGGCTGACATCCGCGAAAAACCAACCAGGCACGCACCGCACTTGGAAAGATCCCGACTCCGAACGATGCAAAGGTCCCCTTTTCTCAAAGAAATTTGACCCAATCACTGTACCGACAAGCAAGACCTGTGTATCTCAAAAAAACACCTCCAAACCAAGTACCAATCGCGAGCGAAAGGAATGCCCAAACGAAGCCACCGAGGGGACCTTGAACCAGTCCAGGTTACCCCTATGAACCGAATGCAAAAGAACGAAGAAATACAGGGGAAAAAGACAAAGAACAATATTGAACGAACGCAGGGAGAGATGGTGTTGGAGAAGAAAGCACAAGAACATCAATGGGGGAAAAAGGAGCAGTACCAGATCATCTGGATGCCCGTCATCAAACAAATAAGTCACAGAAATTAAGCGAAAGAGCTCTGGATGCCGGGTGCCGCATCCAGCTTCAAGATGCGTCGAAGATCATCTTCCATCTTCTTGGTATCCACGGGCTTGGAGGGCGACGGTGAGTGAGTGGGCATCCGGAAGGCGGCAGTGGCGTATTGAGGTTGCGGAGATACGTAGTTATTCGGGGGCACAGCAGCCCGCGCTGGTGCTTGTCCCATGTAATGGTTGCCATATGGACCAGGCGACGGGACATGGTACTGATGAGGAGGGACTTCACGTCTCAGCGGTGACTCCGTATTACGAACGTGGTGACCGTTCGCGTAACCATATGGGTACCCGCCGTGGTTGGGCATTGGCGGAAGCTGTGCCGGAGAGTATCCACGATTGACTGGAGCGGGAGGACCAGAGCTAGTTCGACTGGGAGTCGCATATGGAGGAAGGTTGGGATTAATGTGAGGACGGCCCCCGTGATTGGCAGGATAATCTTGAGCTGGAGAGCCCGACGCCGACTTCTGGGGGCGCGGATTAAGAAGTAGATGCCTCAACTCCGCATTCTTCATGCGTCGCTCCTCCTCGGCCTCTGGAGACTCGGTAGGTGGCGAGCTGTTGGATCGGAAAGCAGACATGCGATCTTGGTAAGACGGGGCAAAGGAAGGTCCGATATTAGATGTACGTCCATTTTCGGATCCCATCTCAAATGAGAACATGCCACCAGGCGGATTGGAGTAAGGCAGTCTCGGCTCAGTTTGAGGGGAACGCACGCGACTGCTAGACTCGGGACTGCTCATGGGATTGGACTGTCGCGCCTGCACAGCAGCCTGGAACAGGAAATCCAGAGGAGTAGGTTTGGGCTCATCAGCTGCGGGCTGCGGAGGGCGAGCCCGGGGCTTGGAAGGAGTTGTTTCGAGGTCGCCCTCCGTGTCAGCGGTATCGCTATCAGTCTCGAGTGTTGTCGCAAGGTCTGATTCAGGTAGCGACTTGGAAAAGAAGCTTGGAATTGGCAATGCTGATGGCGCCGGTGATGCGTGGAAAGTAGGTCCTGCATATGCGCTATCCTTGGGTTGCGGGGTAATGTTCGAGCGAGAAGAGGTGTGTCGGTGTCCGTGAGATCCATTCGCTCCATTATATCCATTCGAAGCAGGCTCGGCTCGATTCGTGTCCTTGGGCTTCTTCCCAGAGCGGGGAGGCTTCTTCTTGGAATGGACATTATTAGGAATGGGGGAATCAGTGGCTACCCCAGCTGGACTCATATTGCGTGGTGGTGAGGATGGAGGGGTATTCAACAGGGCCACCTTCTGGGCGTGTGGGGTGGTGTTCTTCTTGGGTAGTGGCCGGCGATTGTTGTTGTTATTGCGAGGGCCCTTGGGCGTAGGAGGATGAGGTGATTGAGTCGACATGACGACAGTATGGCTTGAAAAATAGGCAGCCTGGTTCGAAAAGTGAGGAAAGGGAAAGTAAAGCACAGCGCAGACGCTAAGAAAAGCAGGTAAGGATATCGAGTAGAAAGCCGGTCCTGTCACTGCTCAGCAGCTGTCGACAATATTAGGTTATTTCCAACGCTTGGGAAGCAGAGAAAATAGGCGAAAGCGAATGTAAAAGGAAGTGAAAGCAGAATCTAGGTCGCAGGGAACGACATAAATAAAGCGCGGGAAGGCATGTCTCTAAGATGTGTGAAGCAGAAGGTGAGTCGTAGGAAAGTGACGGAAGAGTTCCCAAGGCGGGGACCACATGACTAAGGGTTTTGCCGCCTCCAGAAACAGTGGGGGTTTGCTGTGTTGAGACAAGCTGGAGCCTCATTTCATTTCCAAGGCTTGGTAAGGCATATTCCGTTCCTGCTATTTCAGTACCTTGATTACAGAGTAGGCACCCTGGGAATCTTTGTATTACACTCTACCCTTACGTCAGTGGCCTGATCCAACAAGACCCGAGAGGTCCTCCCAGCTTCCTATCTATCATTCATCCCACTCCCGACCTCCTCCCCCACCGCTACACGACCATACAAGCTACAATAATGGCCGACGTGGAGATGAAAGATTCGAGCGCAGCCTCCTCAAAGGGCAAAGCTGTCGCAAAGACTGACGGTGCCGATGCTAAGAAGAAGTTCGAGGTGAAGAAGGTACTAGACAACCACCTTGGGAGCCACGGGCGATCACGACCATGAGATACTGATTCTGATTTTTTTTTTCCAGTGGAACGCTGTTGCCCTTTGGGCTTGGGACATTGTCGTGGACAACTGCGCTATCTGTCGAAACCACATCATGGACTTGTGTAAGTTGTTGACATGACACTTGCTTGGTTCGAGCTACAGCTAAAGTACGGGGCAACAGGTATCGAGTGTCAAGCAAACCAAGGATCTTCAACGACAGAGGAGTGTACTGTTGCATGGGGTATTTGCAACGTAAGTAGCCTACACGCTCGTTGGGGTCGTTAAATTAATTCTGACGTCGTCTAGCATGCCTTCCACTTCCATTGCATCTCCAGATGGTTGAAGACTCGCCAGGTGTGTCCGCTGGATAACCGTGACTGGGAATTCCAGAAGTACGGCCGGTAAAATATTCGAGAAAGTATTCAACAGACCAGAACCAAAATGCACCGGGGCCTGGCTGCTGCCACGCATACATGTTCAATGGCTATGATCGGAGGGAGAAGAGCGCTTTTTTGAAAGACAAACAGGATTTTATGATTTCCTTTCCCGGCGTTTAGGTAGTTATTTGCCTTGGTATTTATCGACATTCGATGAATCCTTCCATGTGTTATCCCGTAAATCTGTATGCTTCTTCCAGATCCTTCATGCCACCTTGACCCCATCTACCATCACATGTGGACCCCTTGAACTCCCGTCCTTATTCAACCACCTCTCGGGGTTTTGATTGTAAATGGGCCATGGCGGGATCACGGCGAAGGCAGTGAACAGTGTACCTCCCAGGCCGACCCAAAGCGTAAGGTGGATGTCCTTGTAAATCCATCCAACGAGAAAGCTGACGATCTAGAGAAAGTCCAGATGTTAGCAAAATTGCGTTGTGTCCAATGAATGAGTTTGGACACTTGCTCCGGAAATAACTAGCAAAACAGTGCTTAGCAGCTCTGCTAGGTGTTGACCGTGGAAGTCCTGTCGCGTCATGTTAGTGAAGATCTCGCCAAAATCATGAGACACCTGTGCCATATTAGAGGATGCGTACAATCTGACCTTCCAGGGCATCCTGGATTGGCGCAAGTAGTTCGTCCATGATTAGATGTGTGAATGGGGTACTCGTGACGAAAGGTCACGTAAACCTGGGGGCCCTTATCGCAAGGGTGTCATCTGCCCACCGCCTCCGCCCAAGCTCCATGTCAACCATAAAACCATTATCAGCCATCACTCCTTCGATGGAAACTAAGGCGATCCTGTATAAATTATCAGGAGCAACTTCGAAATCTATTATTGATAATTTTCGGTTACGGAGAGAAAACCAATACGGGAATATTTCGTAATTCATCTACATCTACCTCTATCTCTATAGCTTGGGGCCATACGGCCCACTCATACATAGATCATGTAGAGCACTCACTATGGTAACTCGAGACCAAGTTTCTCACCGTACAGCAGATACTATTGTGGCAATTTCCCGTGTCTCAGATCGGCTGCATGCTGCAGCGCAGACCGCAAACCAGCGGTGAAACGGAGGATCTTGCGGCAACACATGTTCGATGCTTGGCAGAGAAAACATGATTTCGGTGCGCCAATTACGAGAGCGTCATTGATTCTGACAAACTGTCTCGCAATAGCTACCGATTGGAGCTCTTCCATCTCCGTGCATGCGCGTCAGGGAAAGACGGCAGGATTAGGGAACGAAGATCGCCGATGACGCGGTAGGATTTTGTTCTCATAAAGTTAGATTTAAATCTCGGTCACGGTGGTACCCGCCTGTGCGGGCTCCAGCAACTTCCATTGGCAGGTAATATTGTTGGAGGCGAACTGTGCGATGATGCGGTCCGCAATCTGGTCGAAATTTTCCGTCGCCAGAGCCAGGATGGTTGGTCCGGCACCGGACAGACAGATACCCAAAAGACCGGGTTGCGTCACGGGGGTCATGAATTGTAGGATTTCAGTCAAGCCTGGAATGAGGGTCTTGCGGTATGGTTGGTGAACTCTGTCCTGCATGGCAAGGAAGATCATATCAGGGTCCGGTGGGGAGGTACCCAGGGCAGCGGGCAACAGAGCTGCACGCTGCAGATTGAACACCTAGTAGAAATTGATGAGTCTTAAGTCTGGTCAGATTAGGTCAGATGCCTCAACATACCACATCGGCACGGCTGTAGGTTTGAGGAAGGACGTTGCGAGCATTGGCGGTGGGCACGACAAAGTCTGGGATGATGGCAATAGCCTTGATCTCAGGGGCCCAGTCAAACTTTCGGTAGTGACCAATGCCCAGCGGGGGCTCTGGGGGCTTGTTACCCGTATCAATGCCACCAGCAGGCGCCGGCAGGACCTCACTCAACGGGATTTCTTTCCGGGCGACGTCTTCGGGCTTGAGTTCATTCAGATAAGTTCCCACAAAGCCTCCGAATAGTGACGCAGCCACGTTATCCGGGTGCCGTTCTGTAGACCATTAGCGTCATGTATGCAATATGGTGGGGGTGTGGGCTTTTGATTGAATTTGGATTTGCGTTTGTGTTTGGATGGGCCCGAGATCCATCGAATAAAGAAATTGTACAGGGACTCACCAATCATCAAACAGTAATCCAGCAGTCGCTCCTTGCTCAAACCTAGGTTGCCCACCTCGTTACCCAGCATCACACCGGCCACGACTGCAGTACCCGACGATCCCAGACCCCGACCCAGTGGGATGGGGTTGGAGATGTGTACCTTGGTCTCCACGGGAAAGGCGCGCTGATTGTGGCAACGCAGGACGTACAGAGCCACTCGAGTGATCAGGTTGACCTCGGGGTCCAGGCTGATCTGCTCAGTGCTCTTGCTCAGGTCCTCGTAGGTGATTTGGCAGTTCAAGGGGAGCTCGGACGAGGTTTTGGAGTCATCCACGGTGACCTTGAGTTCCATGTGGAGGGATAGTGCCAGGCCGATGACATCGAACCCGGGGCCAATGTTGGCCGAGGAGCAAGGGGTTTTGATCAAGAACGAGCGCATTTTGGTTTGATTTCACAGCTCACAGAGAGGTGTAATGGCTCTATAGGACCCAATCTCCAAGGTATGACTCGATGCGGGACAGTCTTGGCACACCAAAAAAAATGATCCGGTCCGACGTCGGGGATCCTAGAGTGGATCTGACCATCACTGCGGTTCAGATTGACTATGATTGGGTGGTTTGATGGATTATCTCCCCTTTATAGATATGACAATCTCTGGTTGGGAGGATCTTGGGGGATTTTCCCCATTGTCCAATGCCTTACCCGGGTGCCTAGGAACATTCCCACTTAAGGCGATCCCACTTGTCTTTACCTCCACTTCTCGGTTACCTTAGTTGCGTTTAGTTTGCGGCCTAAAATGATTGAGTAGCTATAGGGCGACGAGAAGACGAAACATAGATCCATAATAATTAAGGTGCTATGCCCACTTAGGTAGGTGTTTATCTGACATGAATGTACATTCTACAGATCAATTTTGCTGACTAACTATTCACTGCTGTGACGATTGGAGAGATCTGATCCTGTGAGTCATTTAAGCTTTGGAAGTAGAAAAGACAAATGACCGCGAGAAAATTCAAATATAGACATGACGTGCCGCTATAGAAACGGCAGTTAAATACCTCATGGCCAATAAGCCTATGTCCATACGCGAAACCTTGACCGAGTCGACAGTCCCGCCGACCCGCATCTAGTAAAGGCGGAAAATTTTCACTTAGCGGCCATGTATATGGACCTTCTAAATCTCTCGGGTTTTAGTCTATCTCCCTTTCTGTAATATTGTGCATTCGCAAAACCAATCTGAGTTGAGATTTTCCTTGCTTTTGTGGAAATCCAATCAAAGAAAAAGTGGGTTTTGTCACATTGTACGGTGTACTCCGTACAAGCCAGAACCAGCAAAGTGGTCCCGGTCTAGTTTCCACTCGCCACGCCTAGCGTTGGGTTTTCTCTCTTCCCCCTACCTTCTCTTCTCACACATAAATTTCACCCACAAGCATTCAAGTGGGAGAAGCCTGCATTATCATTTTCTTTCTACTTCAAATCCCCCCAATTGAGGAATTCGCATACTCAACGTTCTGCTCGTTGAAGTTTCTGCAACCTCAAACCCGCGACCAGCTCGCACCTTTCGCACCCCTCTGCAATCCTGGAGCAGCCGCGCTCCTTTTTCTGGGATTCCTTCAAGTTGGCGGGACTTCGCTACTCTAAGGCCTCTCTCCTCCACCCTCTTGCAGGCCCCAAGTTCCGGGTCTTCTGCGGGGGCGACACCAGACCCCCCTAACTCGACTTATCCCCAACCTTCAACTGTGGCAGCCAGACGTGTGTCGGTAACTCCAGACCCCTACGTAGGGTCTGGATTCTGGATGGAGGGTGCTCGACCATAATCGAACCTCTTTTACCGACTTGCGTCTGCAGCTGTTTAAGCTGCCAAGAGCATATCTCATATTAACCTGAATAAAACGAACCCCAAAAAGCACAACCCCCTAGGGGAATTCAAAAACAACCTACAAACAGTCAAACTGGCGTACTGAAACTCTCAACTGCATCATGTCGGACTCGCCCCGATCTGAGAAGGAGCTGGTTCTCACCCGGTTCAGCACCCCGGTGCCGGAATTGGATGATCACCGCTTCCAAATGAACCCTCCGTGTATTGAGGCTCCCACGCAGGATTCGAGGAACCATCACAGCATGGACCTGGTGGGACCAAAGGGGGAGACACCGGAACGTCCTGACTTGCTGCACGCTCAGGATGCGCTTCGCGACCCCGGCCCATTGTTCCGAGACTTTGAGCAAGCTATCTTGGATGACTCGACCAACGACGGAAATACAATGGGTCGGCGCTTCTCGGTCGATCCTACAGCTCAATTCCACTCGCCACGCCGCATCAGTGTTGGCCAGCAAGATCTAGGCAATGCTTCCCGGAAGTCATCTGTGTCGGCTCGATCTTCGTCACCCCCGAACTCCGTGGACGCTTTTGCCGACCCCCGTCGCCGAGAACGAGCAAACACTCTTGACAGCCATGGTCCCCCGGATTTGGAGGCTATGCTGCAACGTACCGTCTCGGGGGGCACCCAGCCCCGGCGCCCGACCTTCAGCAATGCCAGTATCATTCGGCCCCAGCCTGGTGATGTGCCTATCGATGGACAAGAGGAGGCCTGCGTCCACAACTACGAGGAACCTGGTCGGATTCCCGTCATCGACTATGAGGAGCTGGAGGAATTCGTCGCGCTCAATCAACAGGCGAAGGCAAGGGCGGCTGCCAACCGTCGCAAGCACAGCCAAAGCTCCCAGATCAAGAGCCCTCGGATCTTTTGTGACCTGCGCCCTGGTGAGAAGATCCCCGATGTTGATGAGATCAACAAGTCGGATTCGGCCGGCTCCAGCGATACGTACCGAGCCCCCGAGTCTGAGGCGTTCCCCGAAGTCGAGGATGAAAAGCAGTTGGTGGAGAAGCTCCAGAACATCAACGAGCCTACTCGATTCGGGTTTTTCTCGTCTGAATCTCAGACGACGGTGCACGCGGCGGACCTGGGAGACCTGGTGTTCCCTGGTGACAGCTTCCGCGATCTCTTTCAGCTGGGTCCTGAAGGTGGTGTGTGGTGGCTCGATGTTGTCAACCCCACTGAGGAGGAGTTGGGCGCTATCTCCCGAGCTTTCTCCATTCACCCTCTTACTACGGAGGATATTTTGACTCAGGAAGCTCGTGAGAAGGTTGAGCTTTTCAAGCAGTACTACTTTGTCTGTTTCCGAACCTTCTACCAGATGGATAAGACCAGTGAGGAGTTTTTGGAACCGGTCAATTTTTACATGGTGGTCTTCCGTGATGGGGTCTTGACTTTCTCTTTCGAGGAGAACCCCCATGCCTCCAATGTTCGGAAGCGTATTGGAAAGCTGCGTGACTACGTTTCGCTGAGTAGCGACTGGATTTGTTATGCCATGATGTAAGTTTTTGATCAATTCTTGCGATCTTCAAAGATACTAACGAGAATCTAGTGATGACATCGTCGATAGCTTTGGTCCAGTCATTCGAGATGTCGAGCTCGAATCTGAGGCGATTGAAGATCACGTCTTCATCGCTCGCGTCGACGACTTTGAGTCTTTCTTGCCCCGGATTGGTGGTCTGCGCAAGAAGGTCATGAGTTTGATGCGCCTGTTAGGTGGAAAGGCGGATGTTATTCGCGGATTCTCCAAGCGCTGTAATGAGCAGTACGCCATGACTCCTCGTGGTGATATTGGCCTTTACTTGGGTGATATTCAGGATCACGTTGTGACCATGATGTCCAACTTGGCTCACTTTGAGAAAATGCTGAGCCGATCGCACACCAACTATCTGGCGCAGCTGAACGTCACCAACTTGGTGTTGGGTAACCACGTCAACAAGGTGCTGAGCAAGGTGACTCTGATTGCTACAATTTTGGTTCCCATGAACCTGATCTGCGGTCTCTTTGGCATGAACGTCGAAGTACCCGGGAAGAATGCCGATGGCCTGGGATGGTTCTTTGGTATTTTAGGTGTGATGGGGGCTATTGTTGTTGTCAGCATGTGCCTTGCTCGCTGGCAGAAGCTGGTCTAATCTTCGTGTTTTCTTCTTGTTTGATTTCTTTTTATTGCATGTTGCCTGCATTTCCTTTTGTTTTCGGGCTCTGATTCCTTGTCTGATAGTTCGTCTTATATTTTGTTGATCTTTCTGCTATATCCTTGTTGATTTGTTGATACCTTCCATTTTGCTGGCATGAGACTCTTTGAGCGTCATGTCTCTTGTTGAATATCCTAGATAGACTTATATACATGCATTCTTGAAGGACCTTTTCAAGTGAACACCACAGAGTTAGTTGAACACCCTTACTGATCGCATTGAATAGCGCAGTACTCAAGATCTGGGGAGTAACATTATTGCGAACATACCCAGGTACCTACTTGCTCACGCTACTCTGTAGACGGCGCTAGAATTTGAAGCTGATTAACTAGGGAATTTTGTGATTCTCTATGATCGCACTCCTTGAATCACTGCAAATATGTATACATATCATAAAAGCTCATAGCCTCCGAGTTATCGAATATCCATACCCATTCTCAAAGGCCCCATCCAGCCACTCATCAACTCCTCAATTGTCATGTCCAAGTCCAACCCAAATATTGAAGGGTCCGGTAAAGCGTACTGCCCAGGACTAGAATCCGAAAAATCCAACCCCTCCACCGACAGTTCCGCGCCGGCATTAGTCGAGACCTCCATACTAGCAGCCCGATAAGTCTTCTCAAACCATACCGAGGCAGCAAGCAGCCACTTCTGATAATGCGCAAATTCCCCATCTTTACAAGTCTCGGCCACCTCATGAAGCCTCTGCACATAAAATTGCAGCACCTTGGGCAACTGCAGCGCCTCACGCAGCTCCTCAACTTGGACATTGTACCTCAGCGACGGATCCAGAGACACGATGACTAGCTTACATGCCGCCGCCACGATAAATCCAGTTTGCAGCCAGTTGAGGATGCTGTAGCTCTTTTCGATTGTGGGCGGTAAGGTGAAGTAGAAGTCGACGAAACGTTTTGCGGCGGCGAGACCGTGGCATAACGTGTCGATTCGAGAGACTAGGACGAAGCCGTCACCTGGTGTGGAGGTATGTTTGTTATCTAGGAGGCTGATTTGGCAGAGTTGAAGTTCTAGTGTTTGGTACTGTATTGCGATGAGGACTATACACTGGTGTTAGTATTTTTCATCCGTGTATCTGGATAGTTATACTGACGATCACAGGTGGGTGGAATAGGTAGCTGATTCTTGTACTCCTCCACCTCGGCTCGGAATGATTGGAGTTGCAGCTCTACATCCGGATGACCCTCAATACTTTTCGTGGTCAACAAATTCATGCGTTCCAGCATATGTTGTAGCTGGACATAATATATCATGTACCGATCTGTGGGATATTCGCATTTCGCCGATAATGTTGCAGCACATGATTCGATGAACGGTGACCAGGGCAACGTGCAAGTTTTCTGCATAATGATCGCATGCCTAGATCTCATCAGCATGGCCCACTTCTCGTGAGCGTTGTTGCAAGGTCTACTCACGTTGAATTGAGCAAAAAGCATCCGATCAAAGCCCTGCTCTCATCGGCTATGGAAACCGATCCTGGTATAGATGCTGATCCGGTCTGATCTGACTCACCCTCGATATCAATCCGGGTCGCGACTCGGTACTTGGGTGGACGATCCATTCTTGCATCATTCATAATGCTTATTGCGATGTGTATGTAGCTGCTGAAACGACATAATTGGTATAATTGGCGAGATCTGCAAACGTTAGTACTGCACATAGATCGGCATATGACAGACATACCCAGACAAGACGATTAATAATCCCTGGAACGTCTCCAGTGCATTGGGGTGGTTATCATGTGGAGAATGAAGAATGACATCCCCGATATAAGACTTGAGAATATCTTCCAGGGCTTGTTGCAGAGGGGGATCTCGGAATGACGTGATCACGAAGATGCAAAGGAGTATGAATGGTTTCTCAGTTCTCAAGTCTTTGACTGTCATTCTTCCGGGTAGCATCACAAAGGGAAAGTATTGCATTGCTTCCCGGTAGTTATCTAGTAAGATGTTTGCGAGTTCATTGCTGACCAGTCCTTTGTCGATTACATCGCAAACTCGATTATTGTAGTTACTCCCATCATTGCTTTTAGGGGTTGGGTAAATATGATCTGAACGCGGGTTAATCTGTTCCATTATTTGATCAATTTTGTCTTCGAGGGCCTCGATGCGCCTGTCATATGGTCAGTGACACACACTTGCATATGGCAGTAATACATACGTCGTCCGCTTCTTGTGATGGCCTCGTGGCCTCGAGGGTCGAAAATAACATTCCTTTTTCAACCGACGACATCTTATTTAGTTAATAAAGAAGCATGTATAGAGGCCGGGAAATGTTGAGATTAAGATGAAAAAGCATCGGCTTACCGGTCGCAGCTTAGCGAGTCCGGGGTATGAGCGCACCGGATCTTAGCCCGGACGCAGTTCTCACAGGTTTTCACCCGATCTGACTCGGGCATTATGAGGCTTGAACATGGAATCACGGATACGGATACATTGGATTCTTTTAATCGGTCCGCGGACACGGACATCGGATCATCCGCGGACACGGAGTTTATGTCAGATTCCGAGGAATTGGCCAATCATCGTCGTGGACTCGGTGGAGGCCTAAACTATGGGGGCTGATTATACGAAGTTTGCATGTATCCACGTCAACTTGCTTGGAAGGATGAGTGCATAGCCCGGCTTACTCCCTGGAATCAAATCAGAGTTTTAGGCAGGAAGATTGAAACGTGGCTATGGGGGGCCAGACAATCGTGGTACAGTATATAATAATCTCGAATGCCGTGTTATAATCACTCTCAAATCTCGGAATTCATACGATCTGTACTAATTATTCAACATGTCTGACAATAATTGCACCATATCCACTTGCCCGCTTACTGAGGCGTATCTGGACTACCTACCCAACCTCCCTGCCAATGCTTTCTTTGTCGGCTTATTCGGTCTTATCATTGGAATACAACTTATTCTGGGAATCAGGTACCGAACATGGGCTTATATGATCCCAATGTTATGCGGCCTCATCCTTGAAGCGCTGGGATACATCGGCAGGATCATGTTGCACAACAACCCGTTCAATTTCAACAACTTTCTTCTGTACGTGTTTCGCATGTGTCATGACTGACCCTTAGCTGATTTCTTATACAGGTACCTGATCTGTCTGACGATTGGACCGGCCTTTCTCAGTGCAGCAATCTACATCTGTCTGGGCAAGATCATCAAGGTCTATGGGGAGAATATCGCCCGGTTCCGTCCACGAACTTATACGACTTGCTTCATCTGCTTTGATTTAGTATCTCTTATACTTCAAGCGGCTGGGGGTGCTATCACTTCAATTGCAGATGACGATCAGCGTAGCCTCCGGCAGACCGGCATCAATATCATGATTGCGGGATTGGCCTTCCAGGTCGTCTCGCTCTTTGCGTTCATTGTTATGGGCTCCGAATTTGCCCTCCGAGTGCGCAGGAGCCCGAAGTCAGAAGCCAATGACTTTAGTGGTCTTCGACAGAGCTGGAAGTGGCCCATGTTCATTTACTGTATGTCCTCTGCCAGCTTCCTGAGGTCCCAGATACTAATGTTGTATAGGCCTTGCCCTTGCCACGCTGACCATCTTTATTCGATCGATTTTCCGAGTTGCCGAGCTGAAGGGTGGATTCTCCAGTGAATTGGCCAATAATGAGGTTGATCTGATGGTCTTGGAAAGCACTATGGTTTCTATTGCATGCATTGCTCTCACAGCTGCTCACCCGGCAATCGTAATAGGCCGCGCTTGGAGTGCTCTGTGAGGAAGAGTCATTGATTTAGATAGTGTCTTATTGCATAGCAAGCGGCGTTAATCTTTTGGATTGGATTCTGTATCAATTTGAAATTACGATATAGAATTGCATATATATCTATGTCTTAGAGGCTAGACTTGAATCAATGTTGTCAGTCACATGATGTCTCCTGGGATATACAAGCGCTTGTATGTACTCGGTCATATTACTCCCTGGATCTTGAGTACTGCGCTACTTGTCAATGCGGTTAGTGAGGGTATTTGACTAACTTTGTGGTGTTCAATCAAAAAATTCCTTCTAAACTCAGCTACGAAATAAAGTGATTGGATTGGGTTAAAATTAGTATAGTTAGTATACGCGTGGCCAGGCATCAAGGCAGCAACGATAAGATCCCGATAAACACAACTTAACATCTTTCTCCAACTGATCGACCATATGTCGATGATCCGCCCTTCAGGAGTTCTCCACACTCAGACTCCCTGAAATCGCATGTGCACTCCCTTGATCACCTCCATGCGATTTCCGCGCGACCCGTTCCTCATCTTTCCATGCGACTACTCTCTGCCTTGCAGTGTCAACTGACTGCAACAGTCATTGTCACTTCCCTTCTTGCGCTCGCCAGCGCACCGACCGCATATGCCGATATCTGGAGCGATGGCGGGGTCGAGAGTAACCTCCAAGTTGAGAATATTGCCCACGGGGCCGGACTACCGTTTGCGCTGGACTCGTTCAATGGACTAGAGTTTTGGGATGACGAAGACGAGGAATCCACCGGGCTGGACCTGGTGCGAAGAGCCGTTGCTATTACGTCTCTAGCAAACAATAATTTCCAGAGTACCAGCATTAAAACTGGGGATATACAGTATTGGTACATTCCGGATGATGTGGTGAACGGTGATCATGGAACCGTCGGCAAAGGACTCCCTGACTACCTTGATGAAAGTGGCAATGTCGTGTCGCATGAGGCGGCGCATGAGCTTCGAAAGCGAGAGTTGTCTAAACGCGCATCGACAACAGTTTATGTCTCATTGAACACATGCTCTAGGCCCTCCACCAACACCACCGGCGCGGAAGGCTTGTTCCCTCAGCTGAAAGTCTACTACTCGACCTCGAAGAACCTGAAGTATCCTGGACCGGGCAAGGATGACTCGCTTCAGAATGTCACTACGGCGAGCGAAGGCTACATCGGCTTTGAAATCGAGGCGGAGAGCGATGTCTACATCAGTGTTGTTGCAGACAACTCAACGTCCTATTCCGGCTCATATAATTATGAACTTGCCATATCGATCGATGACTACTTCTTCAACGTGGTTCCGGAGGACCCGTTTCTGTACTTTGTCGACTCCGATCAAAATGCAGCGCTGCTGGTCACCAACAACCTGACCCAGTCCAATTCCAGCTCGGAGAATTTTCAAGAGTGGATGGACCTGAATCCTGCTCCCTATACCCTGTATGCCCACAACGTCAATGATACCTCATTGAGCGGTTTGAAGTCCTCTTTTTGTGCGGTGTCGGCGCATTCCCAGGTGGTCAGCAACCCGAGCAACACTGGAATGACCAGCCGCGGACTGGGAAACAAGCCCAAGGAACAGTTCTACATTTTGGGACTCAATCGTAGTTCGACCTACATAGGGATATTGGGTATGAATGGCAACTCGACGAGCTCTGGAAATAACATCGTTGGCGGAGGTGGAATAGTATGGCAGCCGATGAATTTCACCACGAAGACAGGTCCGTCGTTCTCCAATTTCACCTTTCCACATCACGAACTAATTTATACAGAGGATAATTGTGCCGTCTTATTCAATCTCACCTTCTGCTCAGAAGTCGCATATGCAGTCCCATCCAACCCCAACAGAACAGTTGAAGCTCTACGAGAGATATACGACAACTACACGTCAAAATACTACAAAAACTTCGATTACTCCCTTCAGCAGATCCAATGCAACGCAACAGCCGACTCCATGTTTTCATTGGCCGTCAACTGTACAGACTGCGCGACGCAGTACAAACAATGGCTCTGCAGTGTTAGCATCCCCCGCTGCGCAGATTTCACTTCCAACGAAACATATCTCCAAGTCCGCAATGCAGGACAAGATTTCATCAACGGCAGTTCCTTACCAGCAGACGATCCCCTCCGCTGGTCTGTCATAACGAACCAATCCCGCAATCCCATCATCGACACAGACATCAAACCTGGTCCGTACAAGGAGATTCTTCCATGTACAGACATCTGTCACGACATGGTGAAGAGTTGTCCCGCGGCATTGGGATTCGGTTGTCCGACTGGAAAATGGTTAAACGCATCATACGGCTACCGAGATCCAAACGGAGACATCACATGCAGTTACCTGGGAGCGGCCTATTATTTAAATTTCGGCACGAGATTAGGTGTCTGGGGAAGTGTGTATATGTTGATTGGGATGTGGGGAGTTTGGTTGATATTGTAGACTTAGATTTGATAATGAGCATGAGCATAGATGATTCACGTTATAGGTTCTTGGCTTCGTAGCTTTCTTGATTCCAATCAGGTCTAGTTACCACTCCAATTCCTTCCTCCCCTCCGCATATTCACCCTCAACTCTCCTATCTCCCCATCGTTCCCTCCAGACATTCCTCTCCTCTCGCCATAAATCATTAACACATGGGTCACACGAACTACCACAACATGTTCCCAACTCCGGTGGTGGTGGGGGATCATTATAGGCACGACCTGCAGCTCGAAGAAGCTGTTTCGTCCGAGTACCTGATAGTCGTTTCTTTTGAAGTGCTTTGAAGGTCGGGACTTCATTAGGTTTGTAATATGGTTCTGGTTCTTTATCCTCTTCCTCGTCTTTGGCTCTGGCTTCTTTAAGAGTGGGGGTATCATTTGCCGATTCTGAATTTTGCGGAGACGATTCCTTGGCTGATGTTGATGTTGGGCCGGATAAAAGGTTGCTGAACGGGGCGCATAGAGATGAGAGAATTGATGTTGGTAATAGTGTGGATTGTTGATTCTCTTGCTTCTCTTCTTCTTTCTCTTGCATTGGTTTGGTGGCAGAAGTATCGCCACCCGATTCAATAGGCACAGGCGTAGGCTCTGTCAAGCCCGGACTTGAATCTATACTCATGACGAGTATGAATGCCCTGTACTGAATGCAATATTATACAGCCTAGGGAAGCAAATTCGAATAATGAAGATTGGTGAAATCGATTTGATAGATTTTGATAGAAATCAGGCGGAAGAACGTTCAGCCCGACCTATTTTCTAGTCTTAGCACCAAGGATAACCATATCTTCTCCTAGTTTATTTCAACTTACCAATATTCACAGGCAGATAGATATAGGGGTTTAGGAGTTCAAGAAATCAGGTTGATCTCGAGAAGTAGACTTACGAAAGGCCGAGGTCGGGCCGGATAGGATCGGGTTGGTCGTTCCGATTACCCACTCTATGTGAAGGTTAACATATGCCGAGACAACATGGAAGTCGGATATGATTATATTGAGAAATCAGTCTCAGGACTTAAGTTTGAACCGGTTTATCAATGTACAGTGCGATCAATATACTACCCATATCTTGAGCTATCGCTGTCTCTCTTGACAATGTAAACGCCTTTACTCCCGTGGTATCATATCATTATCATAATCTATTCACTTGCGCCGTGGAGTGGGAGTCCACATATTCTTCAACCCAGATGCTCCCCCAGAGGCCCGTGGCGTACTGCCAACTCGCGACAACAAATTCTGTGCTGCAGAAGTCAACATTTTCCCCGAGCCAGGTCTCGGAGTTAGTCCATCAATGCGCGGACTGCTTGCAAATCGGGGCGTATTATTAACAGGTGTTTTGGTCACACGAGTGGCCCTTTCAGCGCGCTTGTTACGTGCGACACGATCCACCATGCGGTGGTGTAGAGCCTCACGTCTACCGGTTTCGCGTAGTTGAAAGGGGTTTGGTGTTGCATCGCTCGCGCCGAGGAGACGCCAGTCAGCTTCGAGAGACCCGGCTGGTTGTGGTTCATATTCAGGTTCATCTTCGTCGACGAAAGCATATCCGTTGACTCGTGGGGTTTCTCCTCCCGGAACAGAAGAAGCTTCAGACTCGCTAAGACGCGGGCGGCCCGCGATAGCCTCTTGAATAGCCGAGATAGAAGGCGAGGCTGGAACTTTGTTTGTAGCATCGGCGGCCATTGCTGCGTCGGCATCAAGAAGTCTTGTATTTTGGTATAAAGTCCGCTTGGGCCCTGCGCGGGACGCGTTCTCGGCCTTCTGCTGAAGTGTTTCATGGGTATCCTCGACCGATGAGGGAAGGAACATGAGCGAGTTATCCGGGCGGGATTTCCAGTGATCAGGCCTTGCTGGGCGAGCATCGAGGTCTGTCTTGATAGCAGGACCTTCATTTGCCTTGATCAGACTGGTTTCCGGGTTTCCACCCTGGGCTGTGATGCGCTTCACTTCGTGATTATGATGAGCAATCTGCCGCGCGGATGGGATCTTATTGTCATTCCAAAGCCAGCCATTTTTTTCACGGCGCTTGATGTTCTGTTTGTCCAGGACTTTGTTGAATGACTCGTTATCCTCGCTGGTGTATTTCGCCTGGAAGGCAAGAAGTCCCATGTTGGCTGCATCGGCAAGTTTCTGATCGTTGGCTGTTGCCGTTGTTGCTGTAGTCGAAGTAGATACAACAGACATGGGTGTATCGCCTTTCCATCCCCGAGGGGTCTCATCTGATCGACCTGGTATATGTTGCGGAGTGCCCGCCACGGATGCGGCGTCGGTCTTTCGTCGCGCATTTAAACCCGGGGTCGGAGTGCGCATGACATCCGCAAGCTTCTGCTTGGAACTCTTGATCCAGTCTGCATCTTTTGATTCCAACGCATCGAGGTATTCCTGTTTTGATCGGGTCTCAAGCAGACCAGGGAAGAAGTCGCGGGCAATAATGTGGGAGAGGGCAGTAGTGTAGACATCTTCGTCGAGGACGGTCGCGGGGCGTTTGATGCGATTTGGAGGTGGCGGAGGTGGCATGAGCTGACCATCTGGCCTCTTGGCCAAGGCCTGCGACTGCGACGACGGAGAGGCCATGGTGGCGTGGAGAAAGTAAGATTGAATTGAGGTTTGGGGCGATAAGATAGCCAAGTCAGATGATCCACGAGCCATGTACTCCACAGCTCCTTCCAGGTTAGTCCCATCATTTGACAGCTACAATCAACTCTAATATCTAAGATCTCAGATCTACAATGAAAGCTTGATCAAATCACAAGGTACCATGGATTTCGCCCGTGGCTCTATAGTCACATGAATATAAAAAAAAAGATATAGCGAATGTACCAAATCCTCCCGATGTCCTCTTTTCCATGGTTTTTACCCAATTCCCTCCAGACACCAAACCAATATCGCTGAGAAATGCATTCAGACCAAACGACCGAACAGATTGAACACGGCTTACACAGCCCTCCCACCATACAAAATTCAAACAGGTCATGACTCGTGGGGAAATTCTATCAAGGGGTAGAGCGAAAAAGAGAAAGCAAAACCAGATATGCAAGACATATTTGCTCTCCCCGGAAACAAGTAAAAGAAAAAGGAGAGCGCTCATTGAGCGGCAGTGGGGAAAAGAGAGTAAGAGGGCTTGCGGCTCTTCTTTCGGTTCGGGTGCATAGCAGGAACCGAGGGTAGAGGAGGCTCGCAGCCTTTGACCGGCCGGATATCCATCTCGGAGGTGGACTTGGCGCGGTCGTGAATGGTAACGGGCGCAGGGAATTCTGCGCCAATGCAAGGGATGCTGCCCGCCTGGAGCAGCAGGTGAGCTTCGGCCAGACTCTTGGTCTGGCGGTGGATAGAAGAAGAAGATGGGCGGCTGATGCTAGACCCGGCAGCCAAGGTCTCGCCGGCGCTCAATCGGTCAGTGGGCATCAGCTCGCGACTGCTAGACAGGCTGTGGATCAGCTCGGGCACGCTAGTCGTCGAAACGGATGAACGGTGTTTGCGGACAATGGAAGCTGCGCGAGAGAGCATCAAGCTCTCTTGGGAGTTGCATTTGCTAATGGGGGAAAAGCTGCTGCGTGGGGAGACAGGGTTGTCGGAGATGATTCCCTGGGGGAAAGGAAAGTGGCCATCTGACTCTGCATCGGTGCTCAGGTAGTCCTCGTACAAAGTGTCCTGAGGGATCTGCTTGCCCAGGCCAGATGGCAAGGTGCTGACAGGTTGGAAATAGTCGGTAGTACTCCGAACGATGAAATCACGCTCATACTCGGCAGTCGATGGAGTGCCAGCCAAGTGCGAAGGTGTCGATCGGGCTGGGCTGGAATCCAGATCCGATGCGGGAAAAGCGGAGGTGCTCAAGGGGCTGGGCTGAAGATGCCGAACTTTGGGAGCTCCAAGCCAGTTCTCGTTAGGGGAGGGCACACCAATTTGAGGGCGCTGAGTCTCTTCTAGAGAAGTGCGCGTCCAATCGAAGTTGCATGTGGATTCGGCTGCATGCTCATAACAGTAGTCGATATCCGCATCCCACGAGTCATACAATTCGTCCTCATACGTGAACTGGTTCACACCGGAGGTTGATGGCGGAGTGGTCTCCGCATTGTCATTGGGAGAAGTTGCGGGCAGGCTTTCGGGGAGATTCTGTGGCAGAGTCGGGGAGCCCAGGGCCTCGGAGAATTTCCTTGAAAGCTCCTCAGCCACGAAGATGGATAGTGGCGCCCTTGATGCCTTGATAGTAGATGGGTGATATGCTTCAGTTGGGGGCTGACTCTGTTGCGAGGTCGAACGAGAATGGGCATAGCCAATGCTATTGTCAGGGCTATCCCACATGCGGGTGGTCTCTTCCTCTTCCGGCACGTCTTCGAGGTCATAATGGCTACTCATGGAGGATGTGCGAGCGGAGAGATCGTCGGCAGAATCCCGACGGTATTTTATGGAGGGTGCGGTGTGAATGTTTTCCGGGTAGGTCGTGGGGGTGGATAATCCCAGAATCTCATCAATGGCACGCGGAGCCGGCTCTGCGACCTCAGCAGGAACCTCCGGGGTAGCGGGTGGAGGCGGGGTTGTGGGACAAGAACGAGGAAATCTGGGGACCGGCCGCGAGAAGTTCTCATAGGCACGAGACTCCCGTCGAACATGGCCAGGGCTAACGGGGCCTGAAGGTGGCGATCCTGGGGGACTTTGCCGGGGTTCATCAACGGTGGTAGCCGTACCATATGCGGCGAGGTCATCAGTCGAGAAGTTGCGGAAGTGAATATCGGTAGCTCGGATGCCCTTGAGACCGGTCTCCGGCCGTTGGGATGCCCGAATCACGGAGAACTCGGTGCATAGATCATTCTCTCGGGTTTGGTCTAATGACTGGAACTGTGCCGGGCTCGTATGGGTAAGGTGATGAAAGTCGAATGGATCCGAGATGAGGCTCTTTAGTCGATCTTCTGCACGTGCGCGTCAGTCAATTGAACCACGAGGGCTTGTCGAACTCCAACTCCAGCCAATGCTATCATTTCGGCACTTACGTTGTTCGACATGGCGAGATCGTCGACCAAACATATCACCTTTCTCCCGAGGCTTTTCCCGATCATTCTCATCCTCCTCGTCCAGCGTGGCGACGATGTTGATCTTGCTGCCTTGGCGGCGGAGAATTCGACTTCCTCGAGCAAGGAAAGAGCGAGAGCTCCTGTCTGGTTTCTCCGTACGCATCCCCAATGCCGAGGTCGTACGCTCGTCCTGAGATGACAGAGAGCCGTCCATGGAAGTCATAGATGAACCCGGAGATCGGTGAGACGAAGTCGACGTCGTGGTATTGCTTCTGGAGCGACCACTGAAGACTGACCGGCGTTTGGGACTATGGGCATTGGGATGGGCCGTGGACCTGGAGCGAGCATGGGCAGCATGCTCCGGGGGATCATTTGACGAGCGGGTCGATGGAGGATCACTGCTCCCATCGTCATCCCAGGCCCGCGAATAGGGCATTTGGGAATACATTGAATAAATGAAAGATCGGGTAGAGACCCCCTAATTTATGTGCGAACAGGCAAAAGCACCAACAATTGGGCTTTGTTTCATGGTAGGACCTGAAGCGCGCGAGTGTTAAAGAAGAGACGTTTTTTTCCCAGGAGATTGGGTCGGGGCGGAGTTACATATGTACAATACATTTTGGTAAATACTAGTGGAGCTCCCGGCTTTCAGGGGGGTCGCGCCATGATTCGATGCTCCAACCGTTGAATTTCTTTGTTTTTGTTCAAGCATAATCGGGGTCTCTTTGAACTATTGAACTATCGATCTAGCTTGTACCTCATAATTGAGCCTTTTCTTTATTCCATATCTGTACGCCTTCATTCTCGATTTCTTCTCTTTCCCCTATCCCGTACGACTGATACGGACGCGAAACCCAAAGGATTGTAGTGCCATGCAACTCAGGGGGACTGAACGTGTTGGTAAATGTGGGGGGGGCCGCTTATCCGTGTCGAGTAAGTATCGGCATAGAATACGGATCCGTTTTGGTTTGGTTTAAAATATATAATAATACTGTACAGATGTGGTATCTTGATCCAACGGAGCCCCCCAACACAAAGCACAATCCGAGGTCCCATGGGATGCAGCTCCCTCGCATATGAGGAATGGACATGTGCATATAATATCGAGGAGATTGGCTATCTTCCGTTGGGCTTCTAGCCTCGTCCATTTGGGTCATTGATTCGCTATAGAACTCAGCCCGAGTCTATTTTCCCTTTTCCCCGCGTCACTAGCGCACGCCTCGGTCTAACGGTTTTATTGTCGCAAAGTGCGTTTGGGCTGGGCCCCGAGATAGGGCTTGCGATGGTCACAGATCCAGTGGAGCGTAACATACCATACCTCGGCAGAGATAAACAGATCGGAGGCGGCCGTGTTGATCAGATCCTGACATACGTACATAGATACGTAGTATGTTTTTTTTTTTTCTTTTGTACAGAGTATACTCTCTTCCCTGCATCCCCGGAAGTCCCCGGTTGCACATCGGTCAGTTGTCTCAGTCAACTAGGGGGAAATCTCCCCTCATTGTATCCATGGTTGAAGCCTGTATATCCCGTGTATTGATACACCGTGATACACACAATCTCCGGTGGGGTCTAGTTCCTAAGATAACTCGAGCCCCAAAGCCCCAAAAGCCCATTCCCACAAGCCCTACGGAACAGACCCGACATCGTCATGCGAAGTGGGGGACTGGAGCCCACAGTTTGCGAAACAAGGGGAGAAAAGTGAAAAGTTAAACTAAGAAAAAAAAAAGAAGTAACGCCAGCGTCTCAGAGTGTAGACGCGGGAAGAAAGTCAAAAATCTCACCAATTACGCCCATGTACCCACGGGGAGCTCTCCTGACGATCCCTCGTCTAGAACCATCCATGGAAGCGAACGTAGCAGAATTGCTAGACGATCAGTTCGTTTCAAGTGGACCCGGAGCTGCACCTTTTGAGCAGTTTTGGGAAGGTGCTCCACTGTACAGATACCGATTTTGTTTTTTTATGACAGTAGCCCCGAATTCACAATTGTACTCGCAATGCAGTTATTTTAGGATTCATGTTCTCAAGCATGCTCCAGAAGAATCTTGTTTTCCCTGGGGCCAAAACAGATAAGGATGTTCCCGAAAGCCAAAAGCCAAACTGAAAAATCCCCGGGGGCCGACATGCAAACATGGTCAATAGTCAAAGTACTGCAGAACATTGCAACGCTACTTTGGCCCCCGCGTTACTTTCAACCTTGCGACTAGCCCATGGACGCCAATGGCAACGTGGATGGATCCTCTCGATCCAAGCTCTCGGTATATTTAGTTACCGAAATCCTCCTGCGGCTCGTTTCTCCTGTATACTCTAGGGGGCTGGGATCGTCGGATGCCCCTATTGTCATGTTCATAGCTTCAGGGGGCCATTTCTATCCATTTCTCTTCATCTTTCGTCATGGTCCCATCCCGACCCATTTGGCCCCATCGGGCTTCGGGGAGGACACGGTCTACCGAGGCTGGCGCGCGACCCGGCTTGCTTTTTCGCTGCAGGAACGGTACAACTGTAATTGCCGAAGGATGAAGGATGCAGGATTCTATTTTAACTTTTTTGGCTCTATTGACTAATATTGACTAAGCTGCCATCTACAGGATGGGATACATAATATATTATATCGCCACTGTATGTTGATGCTCAAAGCCCCGGTTCCACGCGATCTGAACTGAACGTGGGCCGCAAATCGAACTAAAGGAGATTATTTCCTGTCAGCCCCAGCTGACTGGCGCCATCGGCGACTAGTTGGAAAATCCAATCTACTCTCAGTCCATAGTTGACCCGGCCAGCTGGTTAGTACTATATTTTTGGGCGATCGGGTCCATAAAGGGGGACCACTAGGGCACTAGCCACGATAGTGAATACTTCCCAAGTGAGTAAAGGGGGAAGAATTCATATTGCCGTGTCCATTGTCAATCTGAATTAAAAAAAAAACATTAAATTACGTATTGGTTCAAATAGTAGACTAGATCCCAGCGCCAGCCCTTTTTAGACGGGAAATTCTCCTTTAAAAGTGATCTGCGTGAAAATTTTTAGTAAACAAGATACAAAGAGAGGGAGTATACATACCGTCGGCTATTCTCAAGTAAAAATAGCCTCGATAGGCGATATACCCCTTTAACGACGGATCTCAATGAGACCAATCTCGACATCCTCGGCGCGCTTCACGATATTCCCAACGTCAACGCCAGGAAGTCCCACCCCAACTGGACCAACCGAGACGTCATCAGCACGCTTCGCGTTCTGAACGCCAGTGCTACCTCCATTGCTCAGGGCATTGGCTGAGACACCAAGATTGCCGATGAGGTCCTCATCAGAGCGTTTCACGGCATTGACATAGTCTTCAGCCAGTTGGGTGTAATCAGCAATAAGACCATTTTCTTCACGCTTGGCGTTCTGACTGCTAGTGCTGTCTTCGTTGCTCAGGGCATTGGCTGCAATACCGACGTTATTGGTAAGATATTCCTCCCAGCGGGGGAGGATAGCGTTGCTACCGCCTGTCAGGATGACAGGGACTGCGGTGACGGTCATGGCGAACAGAGCTACAAGTCGGTATTGCATGGTAAATAGTGTTGGGCTTATACGAAAGCCTATATGGTGAATTAGACTTTTTAAACAAGGTCTATGGCTCTTATGCCTGTACACTGTACTGCACTTACCGTGGTGGAAGGTCAAGGCGTCAGGGTAGTACGAATTTGGGATACCAAAGAAGAGAGAGATATGGAAGAAAGTGCTGGGGACGAGCCGCTTCAAAAGGCACAGTCTTTCAGTCCAGAACCTGTAGGAGCTCTCATCATCAAAGAACAGAAGAGCGAATATAGTTGACGTGCTTCACTCCGCTGGGTAAAGTATAGAGTTGAACATACTAAACTCCCTTCCCTCCAACCAATACATACATTTGGTCCAGAACAAGGTCAATGACACCGGGAAGTCTCTAAAGCCCCACCACAAGGAATGCATAGCTAAGCTCAAAGTTTCTTTGAAGGGAGACTAACTTCACCTAGGACATCAGACACCTCAGAACCTCAACTAGGAACCCTCACTATAGCCGCGGATAACCCAATTTGAAGGCGAACCATGGCGTTGGAGCTCATGTGGAGAGCTGTCCTGTCCTGGCCCACAAGAATGAAGAAAGTGGGTTCACTGGGTTACAGAAGTTCAAACTTAACTACACACCAGGGCCATGAGAAATTTATGGGCTGTCAGGTGGTGACATTTGGTCGTTGACGATCTTTAACTAATTGGGCGAGAGGTCCAGAGAAGATCGGATGGTGATATCATTTCGGGTTGCCGAGCCGAACACCGTGTTCCCGATTGATTAGATGACAACTTTATACCCCGTTGAATTGAGGAGAGATTTTGGGAAGATCTATATTGACGTCGTTTAATCTAAGTTTTCACCAGGTACTCTAGGTATATATGATATATCAATCCAGAGAAATTTTACGCCACCTAGAATGTATATCCAGGCTTCCACAACCTTAACATGGATAAAGTTACCACCGAGGAATGGTCCGCTGCAATTCGAGTATATCGTGTTGCAATCCAGTTTCCATGGGACATTTGAATCTTGCTCAAAGACCCACAAAGAAGAGGGTCTTCCATATTTTCACAATTTTTCAATCTCTAGTACTGGAGATAGCAACTACGTAGTCATCGGCCGATCGGAGACACTTAGAGATGACGATTTGATTTCTCCCTAGCAGCATATCGGGCAAAGTTTATATTTATGCAGCTCAAGTGCTTTTGGAAATGACCTTTAGAGTGAGTTCGCGGTAATTGTCGGCTATTCTGACCTGAGCAAGAGGAATATAATACAGCACTGCGACTTGCATGCAAGAACGTTTTCTTCAGGAGCTACAGCAGACCTAGAACGCTCCGAGTTTTCTGTCACATTCTTTCTTTTGACCTTACCTAGCTCTACCCTGCATGTCTTGGCCACCCCTATCTTAGGTATCTATGCCTACCCGCTCAGGTATACATGTATCATGGAGGACAGGTATTGAAGTCGTGAGACGCCGATTCGGAAACATGCAAGACATCTAATTATACGAATTTTAAATGTGAGAGTACATTGAAAGGATAGCAAATATTAAAAACCATAAAATACATGACATTGGCATAAGCTCTTAGCAGTCGATGCAACCAATAAGCATTCTGAAAAGCGGGATGGATCTCATATGCATAGTTCCGAGATCATATGCAGTATGACAAGGGCAAAAAAAAACCCGCAAGGCACATAAACTTGGAATCAGTAATGAATTAGAAATCCAAACCAAATTCCGAAACATGCACGATCGGGACTGCTCCTGCGCCCGCATTGCTGCATGCTGCATCCTGCAGCCTGCACCTCGGGAATCGGGATCCAATCCCTGGCACAGAGTTCAATACCGCATAAAGTCTGCCTCAGACAATACACGTACGGATATGTATGTATCGAGTTGGAATTCTGTCATTTAATTCACATACACAACATTGTGGTTCTCAATTGACTTTATGGTACGCCTCAGGTCTTGACACGCGACTAAACGAGAAAACAACAGGGATCGGAAATTAAACCAGTCAGCTTAGCTCGGCCAGATGGGTCTCGGTGTTAATTCCTTTCCTTGTCCCATGTGAACAACCAACAGTTTTCTCGTATAGCGCTCGGTACCGCACTACAGTTCGTTTTTTTAATATAGCTAGGATCCGTGGGTTGCATCTGATTGCTTAGTTCTGCTTTGTGGGGGTTCCCTTGTTTATAGATCGGGAATAGATCGGACTTGATTCCTGGTGCTTTTAGGCAGGTGGTGGGTGATTGGTGGGGAATTAGAATGAGCCAGCGACCTCGGGGATTGCGTAAGTTGTGGAGATCCTGGATTCGAATTCGTATTCGCAGGATACATGAAATGGGGTCCGTGTTACCGATTCATACTGTATGGATTACTAGGAATGGGCTTGGGTCTTGTTGACCGTGTTGACTTGTAACTATGGAAGTTGTACAAGTTAGAGAAGTTAGAGAGAGGTAGTATACATCTAGACGAAGTATATCAAGGTATTGAGGATAAAAACAACTAAAAGGGCTAATTTACATCGAAGAACATCTTTGTTTCGCAAACTGTATCTGGCAGAGTAATTGACATCGTCTCTGCCACCATCCCAGACGCCGGAAACACTTTCTGCGATAGGAAAAGAAAATGCTAGAAAAGAAGTAAAAGACAGGCGCAGCTCAGTCCTCCATCTCTTCATCTTCGGTCGGCTTGGGCAAATCCACATCACCGAAGAGCTCCTCGTTATCGTCATCTGCCTCGACCGTCTGCGCTGGCGCCGCTGCCTCCTCCTCCTCCTCCTCCTCATCATCGTCATCGGCGATGCGGCGAGAGACTCGGTCGCGGCGACGGGGTGCTGCGACCTCCTCATCCTGCATTGGCTCGTCATCATCACCGAAGAGATCTTGATCTTCCTTTTCCTCACCAGGAGTAGCCGGAGCCTCTCCTTCTTCATCATCGTCCGAGTCTTCCACTCTCTCATTGCTCTTGAACTTGCTCGAGGCCTTGCTGCTCTGGGCCTTCGCACCAGACCGGCGTTCCAACCGACGGCGCTTCTTAGGGGCGGCATTCTCGCCCTCGCTCTCGGGCTCAGCGCCACTGTGCTCCTGATCATTCTCATCCTCGGCAGCAATGAAGTCATCACCTCCCTTCTTCTTGCGTTTCGTGGTGGGCTTCTTCTTGCGCTTGACCTTCTCGCCGGTCGCCGAATCATCAGTCAGCTCAGCCTGCTCGCGGGCGCGTTCAGCTTCCGCACGCTGGAGAGCTTGTCGCTCAGCCTGCTCAACCATGCTCAGGCGCTCTTCAGCAATCTTGCGCTTCCGCTCAGCTTCAATCTCCTGGGCCTTTCGGAGTGCCTCCTCGCGCTCCTTGGCTGCGGCTTCACGGGCCTCGCGAGCTTGCTGAAGTTTCGCGGCATTCTTCTCCTCGTACTCTTTCTGGCTCTGCATGGCACGGTCGAGCTGCTTGCTAATAGTGCGACCCATGTTTGCACGTTGCTCCAAAGCGGCACTGGGATAAGGCGGGTTCTTCTCCTTGGAGATGCGCTCAAATGTCTCGATGGCCTCCTTAAGACCCTCAGCTGCCTCCTGCACGTCCTGCAAGGTCTTCTGGGTGGCCTGGAGACTGTAAGCCAACGAGGCAATTTGGTTCTGCACAAAGGCCACATTGAACTGCAAGTGAAGTTGATCGGGGGAGACACCCTTTGCTCGTTGTGCGTAGTCAAGAGCCGTCTTCATAGCCACAAGGTTCATCTCCTGCTTGCCCTTCAACCACCAGACTCGACCAAGACAGGCAAGAATCTGCACGTCACGAGAGCGATCCTTGGATAGAGCGATCTCGTAATTCTCAATTGACCGTGAGTACTGACGAAGCTCGGCGTAGACATGTCCCAGGTTGAGATAAACACTGGGATCCTTCAGGGTTTCCCGAATTTTGGTAAGAATCTGCACAGCGGTGCTGTGGTCCTTCTTGTCATCGACAAGAGCAATGGCGATACCTTGAGCGGCATAGGCGTTCTTAGGATCCAGCTGCAAGGCCTTGTCAAAGAACTCCACGGCACGCTGATACACCTTCCGACGTTTCTCTTTCTCCTGCTCAGAATCACGACGCATGTCACGAGCTGAAAGAAGATGCACATTACCCATACCAGTCAAAGCGTATCGGTCATGCTTATCGTGGTATTGTAGAGTGTGTTTATAGTGGCGTTGCTCATGATCCTCGGCAAGGTTGGCAACCCGCTTCTTGGATTTGCTGAGATACCAGCCGAAGAGCGCGCGAACCTCCAGGTTCGAAGACTCGACCTCATACAGTTTAGCCATCTTCTTGGGGCCTTCATCAGTGGGACTCTGGCGCAAGCTGATGTATGTGAGTCGAGCACTGGCTTCTGTGTAATCGCTGTGTCGCTCCAAAAGACCCTCGTAGACCTTCTTGGCTTCATCCCACATGTCGGCCGCCTCGTAAGTGCGACCCAAGTTGTAGCTGATAGTAGTGACAAGCGCATCGTTGTCGGCCTTGTCTTCTCTCTCCTGTGATTGGACGCAGGCATTGAGCGCCGACTGGAACATGCCGCGGGCCAATGCAATCTTCTCATTTTGATACAAAAAGGCACCCATGTTGTTGAGCAGCTGTGGGGGAAGCATGTCGCGGAGAGCATTCTTCATATCTTCAGCGTCTTCAATTCCTTCTGGACGAGCACTATCCGGAATACTGGCAATCTGAAGTTGCTCCAGCTGAACAAGACACTGCATGCTCTTTTCGGGGGAGGTGCCCTCATACAGTCGAGAAAGGTAGACCAGAACCGATTCGTCGGGAGTCAGGTTTAGCTTCTCATCCTTCCACATCGATCGCACAGACTCCAAGAGAGTGATTGCCCGCTTGATCTCGTTTGACTTGTCCTCCTTGCCGCCAGACTTTTGAACAGCAAACACCTCTTCCGCATGGATCGCTGCCAAAAGTGTCATGGCCTCAACATTTTTAGACTGCTGAACAATCTTCTCCAGGCGGAACTTAGCGCCATCAAAGTCCTTGTTCGTGACCTGCATCTGCACTGCACCGAACTTGGCTGGCAAGTAGCCCTTATCACCACCACCGCGGGCCTGATCAGAACGGTTATAGTATTCGGTGGCTCGTGCGTTGTCGTTTTCATAGTGAGCTTTGCGTCCGAGGAGATACCAGCCGTCACTGGCAATTGGCATGACATCAGTCTGCTCGATGGCCTTGCGAGCAAGAGTTTCCACCGTCGGGTATTGTTTGCGCAGAAGGAAGTAACTGCCGAACAAAGCGCAGGTCATAGGGTATTCTTTGTCAAGCTTGAATGCTTTTTGGGTGTACTGGGTCATGGCGATCTTGTACAAGGAACCGAACATGGGGTCGGTGGTGGACCGGCGAGAGCTGTCGTAAAGGTGATACACTGCAAGCAGGATATTTGCGACCTTGGATTCGGGGTTCTATATTCGAAGCAAATTAGCTGTGTGATTCAAGAAGGGCCTGAAGTAAGATTTACCAGAGCCAATGATCTCTCCCAAGCCACCTTGGCTTGATCCTTGAATCCTAGCTGCCATAAACAGCATCCCAAACCGATGCGAGGATCCGGGTCTGTGAGGTTTGGCACCTTCATGAGAACCTTCTGGTACCCATCTAGGGCTTCGGCATATCTTCCTAGCATGTAGTGTGCCCGGGCACGTCCCAAAATGGCCATGATGTTGCGGCCACCGAAGGCTTTGGATGACTCGTCGAAGCATTTCAGCGCCTGACGCAGGGCTTCCACTCTCTCGGAGGTATCGATTGCACCGGGTCGGACAGCACGAGGGGGATACAAAGATGCACGGAGAAGACACAGGACACCGCGAGCGAGGAACAAAGGTGGGTATGCCGGGTTCAAACGTGATGCCTCGTTCAGGGTCGATGTTGCCAATTGCAGATAGTGGTCCTTAGTTTTTGCCTGCGAGTAGAGCTCTCCCTCCGGTGCAACACGAGGTGCCTGCCGGCTCTTGAGCATCAGAAGCCAGCAGACCCAGCCCAGAAGCCCGAGCTTTTCTTTGGTTGCTCCGTGAGCCACGGAGGCCAGGCCTTTATTGAGAATGTCGAGGGCATGGTCAAGTTGCTTTCGCTTCGCGTAGGCAAGCGCAATGATGACCCAGAAGTTCTTCGCTGCTCGTTCATTTTCCAACAACGTGCATAGCTCAGTAGGGTCTTCGGGAAGATCAAGGAGGCTGACTTCGACTTCGCTGTCGAAGCTGGAGGCGGGAATATCGATGGCATCGGGAATGTCGGCAAAGCGCAGGGTATTCATAGAGCTTGGAGGAGGCATTGTCTCTGTGGAACCATTGGTGTGGCCGTTTTCGAGGGGTGCCATGATTGCGACTGCGCGCTGACAAGGAAGAGGTGCCGATGAAGTTGCGAATGAAATGAAAGGATATGAGCAAAGACTTCAGCTCATGATCAAGCAAGATTGCCCATCTGAAATCTTGAGGATGCGAGCCAATTCACTAGGAGAACCGTTCGCATGAAACGCGCCAGTGAATCTCGGAGAGGCTCGCAGACCGCGGTGCTTCTAATTGAGAATTGGATGCTTGGCGTGGCTGGATTACTGCACCGCCACATAGCCACACTACGGCACCGCCACATATGGAGTGTACATAGTTCTATCACTACCATGTTTCAAAGTAATTATAAGGATAAAATAAGTGATATATATGTATAGATATTTATTATCTAGGTCTTGATAGTCATGTCATGTCTTGTCCCCATACCAATAGTCAAGTCAAAAGTCGAATGCGAATTTAATCAGTGCAACCAGCTGCCCACAAACTTGCACAAGAACACCAAACCAATCAGTACGGCAAAAATTTGTCCAAGTTCGATCCAATGATGCAGTCGAACGTATGACTCGACGTACCCAGCATCGACAGCTACTTTCTGTTCAGGAGTGGCTTTCTTAGCGTCGATCGAGCCGGCCAAGTCAGATGGGAATCGACCCGTCTCCCAATATTGATCCAGCAGCTGATCCTTCTCAGTCCATCGGGCTCGCAACCATTCTTCAAATTCGGGCTGGTCATCCAAAGGAATTTCTGAAACAGCAAATCGTCGCCAATGCATATTAACCGAGGTCGGGGGGCGTCCTTGCATATATGTAGAGCGGAGAGTAAAGAACTTGTCGGGATAGACTCCATTCCTAAAATCAAGTCAGCATGATTCAAACCCCCCTCCGAAAAGCAAAACATACGGTGGGCCCTCATAGGCGATAGTGCTGTCATAAACCCATTCAACTGTCCCTCGGAGCTGCTGGAGACAGAAAAACAGACCCGTTGACCGAGGCAGAATTTGGTGGTTGAGTGGAGCCAGTCCCTGTTTCGCCCCAAATGCATCGCTCCGTCGCTTGGTGTTGATGGACAAATTGGTTCCTTCGGGGAAGATCAGTAACCACATGGGGTCATACTGGGACCCGTCCGATTTGGCCCCCATGTACTTTGTCTTCAATTTTTGCAGCCGGTACTCAATTCGGGCCTTGTCTGAAAGCCACTTCCGTGCCAGGAAGATAAATCCATAGAACATCATTCCCTGACCCATGATGGGAATCCATTTGAGGGAGTCCTTGAGAATGATAAAGATGCGCCCATGCATCACATTGGTATAAGCAATCCACCACAGGTAGATCCAGTCGGTGTAGATCTGGTGGTTGGCGATCATCACCAGGCGCTCTGGGAAGTCGGTCTGCAACATGCCATCCTCAGACAGATGCACTTGACCTCGAACGCTGGCATCTCCACTAACTCGGAAAAGCGTCGGGCTGCCCCATTCTGTGAGTGCGGTAATCACTAGTCCAAAGTTTTGCTTTGTGTACGCCATATATGAGTAGTACCAGCTTCTGTGGATCAGGTACAGTGGACAGCCAACAAGCTGGGTTATGAAGATGAGGACCATACAGCTATTGAACCATGTTGCCAATGCCATGGATCGAAGTATTTGCATCGCGATTCCATGTTTCAAACCAGGCTCTGTGGGCGGCTTGGTGGACTGTTTTTGAAGCTCGGTCGCTTCTTTGGTGGGAGGTTTGCGTTGGCGAGCCTCGGTTGAACTCATGATGCAATTTGGGGCCCGAATGGGCAAGCAGAAAGGATACTCAAGCTGGAAGACGATCGGAAGCTTTAGGCCCTCCAGGGAAGATGTTGTACAACACTTCGCTAATGGGGAGGGGAGGTATTTGCTTTAGTGGTCAGCGGGAGCTGGCGGGATCGGAGTGATCGACAATCAGGGCACGAGCTCGGGCTGTGTCTACTTCCACTGCCAAAATACAAAGAAGGTAGCAGATGAGCTGCAAAGGAATGAGACGAATCAGTTTGAGGATAGAATGAATATATCCATTAAGGGGAATGTACTGAGAGCAAGCAAAAGTGTCCAGCTTTGTGGGGTCTCGTGTACACGCATAACGTCAGAAGCCCGAGAGCGGTGGGGCCTGATCTTATTTACTCTCTCCGCTTTTCTCTAGCAGGGCGTTTTTGGCTCTTGGTGTCACAACTCCGACAAACATAACTCTCTATACTGGACCACTGTCCGGATATGATACTCACTACACGGGTTGCTGCATGACCGAGGCTGCAGTTATTCAACCATGCAGTGTGCCCGTCGCAAATTCTCCGGCCTGTTCCTGCGTCGCTGTTTCTCCTCGTCTGCGCCCCGTCACGAGATCCGCGATATTGGCGCTTTATCGCAGCGGCTGATCCCCAAATACCAAGGTGTGGCTGAGTGTGATATTTCGGAAGGTCAACGAAAGGCTAACTTTCTTTTAGAATCTCAAGGCGAACTTCTTTCTCTCCAATGGCCAGCGCCGCCACGAAACATCTTGCTGGTGCGCAAGGATTGCGCTCCAACGGTGACAGAGTCTCTTATTGAGTTTGCCAAGTATGTCGACCTATAATTAATGCTAGACATATAATTCGCTTGCCTAACACCCTTTCCTCCAGTCATATCACCTCCACGTATCCATCCACCGCTGTGATCCTCGAATCCAAAACCGCGGCCGAAGTTCATTCGTCGCTACCGTTCCCCGTCTACTCTGCATCCTTGGACGAGAACCCAACTGCGTTTCATAACAAGGTGGACCTTACGGTGACACTGGGGGGAGATGGCACCATCCTCCATGCATCCTCGCTCTTTGCTACTTGCTCCAATGTTCCCCCGGTCCTATCGTTCAGCATGGGCACACTAGGGTTCCTTAGTGAATGGAAATTCTCCGAATTCAAACGAGCATTTCGAGAAGTTTACATGTCCGGAGCCGGAGCCGGAGATCGCACGCCTGTCCTGGAAGATAAGATACACACTGCAGCAGATACCAAAGAGCCCACACAGGAATCAGTGGGACCGACAGGCTGGTCCTCGGTCCGGGGCAAGTCCATGGGTAGTACTCGTGGGGCCCCGATCTTGATGCGCAATCGCCTTAAGGTTGGGCTTTTCACGGGCGATGGCCAAGAGACAACTCCCGTTGGCGGCAAAAGTGATCAGGGAAAAGGAGTCTATGTCATGAATGAACTGCTTATCCACCGTGGTAAAGAGCCACATCTTGCCGTGGTGGATATCTCTGTTGGGGGTCGCTTTCTGACCGAGGCGGTGGTTGACGGCATCATCATTTCAACCCCGACGGGTAGTACAGCGTACAGCCTAAGCAGTGGTGGCAGTATCGTCCATCCATTGGTGCCATCCATTCTGCTGACGCCCATCTGCCCGCGTAGCCTCAGTTTCAGACCCCTCGTATTGCCGCTGAGCACGCCGATCACAATGCGGCTCAGCGATAAGAACCGTGGTCGTGAACTGGAGGTCAGTCTAGACGGGGTCAACCTTGGCCAAGGAATGGCGACCGGCATGGAGGTCCGAGTGTGGAATGAGGAGATGCGACATGGTATGAATGAATGGCAAGGCGGCGTGCCCAGTGTCATGCGGAGAAGTATGGGCGATGAAGCGCACGAAGGGTGGGTTGGTGGCTTGAATGGGCTACTCAAGTTCAACCATCCATTTGGCGAATAGTATAACCAACCTGTATTATATTTTACTTATACCCTATAGAATATTCTATAACCCTATAAAATCAACTTTGTACTAGTAAGATTTCCCATATTGACGGGTTTAGCCGCACTTAACTACGCCTCTTTTTCATGGTACTAGTACTAAGTAGACGCGGGCCCAGATTCACAACCGTGGATCCCATCCACGACCATTGACGCATTTCAATCTCTATGATTGGTAGAGCTTTGTTTTCTGTAGATTAGCTCCATACACTCCATAGTTGGTTTATTAAATTCTTCCCCTATCCAGTAACCAAAATCCCATCTCAGGGGAGATCTGCCCCCATTCCCGCCCCAAACCACTTCTCTCCCCCTTTCATCCGTTTCCTTTCTTCTTTCCACCCCCACCATTATCATCCCACTTTTTTTTTTTTTTTTTCGAACACCCAAAGACTTCTTTCGGGAATTCATTGTGTTCGAGCCGTTCTCGCAGTGCGAGGACCGCTCCTTATCACTCACCACAGGTAAGCGAACATACCCCGATTGGGGATGTATCCCGACCCCCTGGAACGTGGGAGGCCAATAAGCTTCTTCCCCTCCTCCTTCAAACCCTTCGAACGCCCCTAGAATTTGATCGTGCGACAACAGGGATGGTGTTGTGCTAACTTCTTTTTCTTACTCAAAAAGCCACTAGCTTGGGGCCTCAGGAGGTCTCGTCGCGCATTCGTTTCTTTCAGCCCCGCGAACGCTGATCCCGACGTGATTCCCAACTCGGGACTGAACAACCATGGGTTCCTATGGAAAGTGAGTAGGCTCGTGGCTGAGAACAATCTTCAATGTCAACGACCCCCGACTCACATTCGAATAAATAGTGGTACCGCGTACTCGCCGGATCAGTTCATGAATCCGGGGCCGGCTCCCCGCCCCCCAACTGATCGTCCTAAGTTGACGCTTCCTACCAACAACCCGGTGGCCACCTCGTTCAGTCAGATGTCCCTGAATTCGCCGAGCACCCCAGGCCCCGGTGGCAATCTATCGCTGTTCCCCAACACCAGCACTCCGTCCCTGGCCCGGAGCCAAACCGGCGGAAGCGGCGTCACCATTGTGAAGGAAGGCCTTGTGCGATGCAAGGAAGATAAGTTTTTGGCAACATGGAACCAGCGCCAGTTGATCCTGCGCGAATACAAAATCGAGTTCTTGAAGACCGAGTCCGGAAAAGTTGTTCTCTCATTCCCCCTATCGACTGTCACCGCTGTTTCTCGCTCGGAGGATTCCAAGATGGCCTTTGAGATCACCCGACTGGCCAATCCGAAGGATGCGAACTCCAAGACTGCTCTGATCACTCGGGATGTGCCCACCAAGACCATCACTTGTGAGGTGAAATCTGATGATGAGATCTACGAGTGGATCGACAAGATCTATGAGCGCTGCCCGGGTATGGGTGGTGTCAGTAATCCTACTAATTTCAGTCACCGTGTTCACGTTGGCTTTGATCCGCAGTCTGGTGCCTTTGTCGGCTTGCCCCCAGAGTGGGAGAAGCTTCTGACAGCCTCTGCCATTACCAAAGAGGACTACAAGAAGAATCCTCAGGCAGTGATTGAGGTCTTGGAGTTTTACTCTGATATCAAAATGCGAGAGCAGAACCCACAATATTACGGTGGGATGAATGGCCCTTCGGGTAGTCCGAACAAGATGCCTACAAGCACTTCGGTGGGTAGCGGTATTGCCCCTCCTCGGCCTGCACCACCAGGCCCCATGCAGCGCCTGGACAATGGTCAGTCTATGCGTTCTGTATCTTCACCAACATCAGATCGAACTGCGGATCAGCAACAACAATTGCAACAGATGAAGGAAGCAGCGGACCAAGAGCGTCGCCGAGTTGAGGAAGCCCGCCGCAAGGAAGAACAGCAAGAATATAATGCATCTCTTCCCCAGACGCGTACTCCACTAGCCAAGCAGGAGCTTGGTGGATACGGTGGTGGTTCAGACACCCGCTACCAGCCAAGTCGCCCTGCCCCACAAGCACCTGGCTCTGCAGCTCGCGCTCCAGCATCCGATCCCCGTCAGCTAACCGCGCAGCGACCAGCCCCCGCTCCGCCATCGCAAAGTCCTTATGGTGGACAATCTTCGTCCCGCACCCCTGGTGGCTCCCAGGACCAGGGATCGCCCGCGCGCTATGCTGCCAACGACCCTCGGGCCCAGGCTTCATCAAGCCGGCCTCAACAGGCCCAGGGTCCTCCCCCGACCCGGTTGCCGGCTCCTGTGCAGCAGGTGAAGCCGCTAAACATTGCCAACAAGCAGCCAACTCCCAAGGCCGTCCCCGATAGCGTTCGCCAGGCAGAGGCCGCCTTGACCAAGAAGCCAGACACCCGACAGAAGGAGGTGCGTATGTCGGCAATGTCCGAGAATGAGGTCATGGATCGGCTTCGCGCCGTGGTGTCCAAGGACAACCCGAACGAATCCTACAGCAAGCAGCGCAAAATCGGTCAGGGTGCTTCTGGCTCCGTGTACGTGGCACGGGTCAAGGAACACTCCACATCGGCAGTGGCTCACGAGCTGTACCGACAGTACGGACCGCGGTGCCAGGTTGCCATTAAGCAGATGGATCTGCGCAGTCAGCCCCGCAAGGAGCTGATTGTTAACGAGATTATTGTCATGAAGGACAGCCAGCATGCCAACATTGTCAATTTCCTGGATTCGTTCTTGCAGGAGTCGAGCAACGAGCTCTGGGTTGTCATGGAGTTCATGGAGGGTGGTGCTTTGACCGATGTGATCGACAACAACCCAGTTATCCAAGAGAACCAGATTGCGACCATTTGTGCCGAGGTACATCTCCATTCTTCCTTTACTTGAACGTTTCACTAATAAATATTGTTTGTAGACTTGCAAGGGGCTGGCCCACCTGCATAGCCAGAACATCATTCACCGTGATATCAAGAGTGACAACGTTCTCCTCGACCGTGTCGGGCACGTCAAAATCACTGACTTTGGCTTCTGTGCCAAGCTTACCGAGTCCAAGAGCAAGCGTGCCACCATGGTGGGTACCCCTTACTGGATGGCACCCGAGGTTGTCAAGCAGAAGGAGTACGGTCCCAAGGTTGACTGTTGGTCTCTGGGTATCATGGCTATTGAGATGATCGAGTCCGAGCCTCCTTACCTGAACGAGGAGCCCCTGAAGGCGTTGTACCTCATTGCCACCAACGGTACCCCCCGCTTGAAGAAGCCCGAGAAGCTGAGCAAGGAACTCAAGGCCTTCTTGAGTGTCTGTCTCTGCGTTGACGTCCGTAGCCGTGCTACTGCCGACGAGCTTCTCGCTCATGAGTTCTTGCAGACCGGCTGCAGCCTTGCCAGCCTAGCAGAATTGCTGCGCTGGAAGAAAGCCAACGGCCAGTAAGGAGTTTGAGGAAGGTCGGTGTTTGTCTCTCAAAACTTAATTAAACCTCACCTCTGCACACCTATCCATTCAAGTTGGGAGATCTGTTCCTGCGCACATATGAGTCCGATTTAACGCGCCTCCGGTTAGATTATTCCTTTTTTTCTTGTGTGAATTTTGCCTCTTACGAACGAACCGAATACTGCATGGACATTTCCATATTCCCCCCCTGCCTTGAGCTTGCCCTTGAGACTCTTTTTTTATGCTGCAACACATACAGAACCCTGGGCGTGGGTAATTTGGCGTTGATGAACTTTGATTGCTTTCGTCTCTGTCTCTAACGTCTCATGCACAAGACCCTCATACCACTTTGCCTTTTGTTTCAATCCCCCATTGTGCCTGCTTCGACGACGTTGACGATTCCGTGCACTGTGTATTTTGTGTCTCTGCACTTAAAAGCGACAATCTACTTAGTTTCAGTCTGAATTGAGGGCTTTTTTTTCTTGTTACTGGCATTATACCCGCCAAGTCAAAATGAAAATTGCATAATTTGAATTCATTGAGCAATCCGTGGATACTGTATTGGTGATTTACTACTGGACTCTGAAATTTCCGTTTCAGCTGGAATCGAACAAGCTCAATTCCACTAGTCTTGGAAGGCTTATCTAAAGTTTCAAGATTCGTGAAGTGCCGTTCCGCGAAACTTATGTTAATTTTCTACAGCACCGGGTAAATGTTCATCGTATATTTTGATTTAGAGCTTGAGTAACCCCCAAATATGTAGCCATCTGGCGTCCAGCAAGCTTGATCACTATTCAATGCCTATCTATAGTCTGTACCATCCCGTCCCACAGTATTTATGTTGTGAAAAGCTAAAGACCCAGATAAGGATTGATATTCACATCAAGGGGGTACATTGGGGGTATTTGTACATACCTCGATATTCCGTCGTTTTTCGGACATACTCCTCGATCTTGTTTTCAGACAAATCTCCCAGAATCGAAAAATAAGTGCCATGCTCTTCGAAACTCTCGCCACCAGCCTTTAAGACCTTCTCTTCGACGCGTCGTTTATCAAGCCTTGTCCACACGAGGTTTGAAGGGTCGAACATCTTCCGGGCTGTGACAGCCTTCTCTTGAGCCAAGGAATCTTGTGGGATTTCTCCCTTCTTTCGACGCGGCTTTGGTGACAGTATAGCATCATTCTTGTTAAAAGTGTCAAAGTCAAAACTCTCGTTAGTACCAGGCTCTGTATATAGGGAATCGAGGGATCTGCCAGAACGTAGACTTGACTCAATCGACTCTTGAGGTTTTTTCTGATCTGTAGCCGAAAGATCAAAAGCCAGGATTTGATTGCCAGGTAAGCGGGGCTCTAGATCATTTGGATTCCAATCATGGCTCTTCTGATGTCGTTCCTGTCTGCCGCGATACAAAGGCCATCTCTGAGCTGGGTCGTCCTCTGGCTGATCCCTGCGTATCTCTCCATCATAAACATGTGAATCTGGCCAGCTAGTGTACCGAGGGCCACGGAGGGAAGAAGGACTAGGTATATGATAACTTGGCCCATGGTAAGACGAGGGATAAGGGCCATACATGACATAAGGACCAGGACCAGGACCAGGACCAGAAAGATGATAAGACGTGGAGTAAAGATGAGACATGTTTTGAGGATCAGGCATACAATATGGACCAGGCGGGGAAAAATTATCGGGCATGGGATAGGAACCAGGTGTGGAGTAAGGACCAGACATAGTAGAAGGGCCAGACATGTAAGAAGGATCAGACATGGTAGAAGGATCCGATATGACAGAAGGATCAGACATGGGATAGAAACTTGGCATATGATTCGTGTCAGACACGAGAGAAGACCCAGACATAGGCGTATAATAAGAAGTAGGATAAGCGTGGGTAGAGCTAGAGCTATTAGCTCCACTCCGCATGCTTCGTTGCAAGTCCGTCGGACGATGCCTCCCATGCAACTTGAGGAATAACCCGCAAGGGTTGCAATACATGTAGCCAAATTCGTCCCTGCGCCATAAAGGTGTGGTGTGCGTGCCACAATCCCGGCATATGGGCTAAAATCCAGGTCAGCTCGTCATCTGTTCACCATGGTGGGTATGGGCGATAAAAAGAAATACAGAAATGGGCCAAAGGGCTTAAGGGACTTACCTCTCTCTTTGATACATCTTCTTCCTTTGATATAACCAGCCCTGTCCTAGGTCTAGCGACGGAAGTTTGCTGGTCATCTCTTATATTAGCCTCAGTGAAACCCTCTTCCCTCGCTCTGCTTTCCCAGTAGTCATCTCGGAACCGACGACCGTTGGCAATGATGCGGCACCCAAATTGAAGGAATATGGACCGGGCAGACACAAACGTGACGTCCCTTTGCTGTCCTTCAACTGGAAGGATATGTTTTTCCATCATAGTTTCCTTTTCGACTGATGAGGCGACCATCCCGTGCAGAGACCGATAATTCATGAATAATGCCCTAGAACTACGAAAGCTTAACGCATCTGCACACTGTGCCGAGAGCATAAACAGCTTTTTGCCTCGATGGGGTAAGCGGAAAGTCTGACACCTGTATTCACGATCATGGCGCAGGTATCCCAAGAAATCGACCTTGGTCTCGCCCACATCATCGAACTTGATTTGGATGTATTCATCGCCCTCCTCGTTTAGGTCATTCGACGTGTAGTCATGGTATGTTGGAAGAATACTAGCCATTAATTTTGTCGGTCTATTATTTTCTGGAGGAGAAAGTCTTCTTCCGGAAAGATCTGGACTCGGAGAGTATGCCGAAATGGCCATTTTTTCTTCATCATCGGAACTGGCGAGATTTCTTCTACTACTTTGCAACTTCAAATAAACGTCGAAATCATCCAAAATAGGGGACTGATATTCACTCAAATATTGAGTAGATTTCCGTCCTCTTTCATGGGTAGGGCTTGCTCGATTAGCCTCTGGTGGCTCACGTGGACCTGCACGACTTTCCGTGGACACTTGTGGAAGACTGTGCACTAGCTCTGGGAAAAAGCGATTGAAGGCTGCTTGGCGGTCAAAAGTTTGTTTGGAAGAAGGCACCGGAGAGCAATCCGACTTTCTGTCAATATCTACCGGTGAGACCAATTCGATTGAGCTCATGGAACCTGTCGGCGAGAGTGGATCGAATTCATCTTGCAGTTCCGCAGTCGTTTTCTGTGCAGCCTGGCTGGACAAATCTGGAGGTAGGGACATATTCTTATCATTGTCAATGGGGGATTCAGGTGTTTGAAGATGGGTCATATCTTCTGAAAGAGCCATAGGAATCTCAGAAGGGTTATCGAATGGTTCAACGGATTGCTGGTCGGCCTCAAGTGATCGTTCAGCTGCTGATCCTGTACTTGTATTTTCGGCGGCAAGCCTGTCATTTGCGGGCTCCTGTATCCTCAAGTCACTAACAGGAAGGGTGGGACCCTTTGAAACCTTTGAGGAACCGTCCTGAGAGGCTGGATCTGGTATCGTGAGATCTGGACCTTCACGAAAAACGAGCAAAGCCAGCTGCTCCAAATGTTCTCCAACATGGCGGTCAAAAGTAACAGGTGGCCCAAAAATTTCTTTGCATAAAGGGCAATTGAAGGTACCGTTGTTGTTGGATACGAAATGTGTTTCGCAAATATGATGATACCATTGCGAACGGCTCTCATAAAGCTTGAATGGCGTAGTGCAATCGGACGATAGACAAGCGTAAGGCGTCAAGTCTTCAAAAATGTGACAGACCCACTCCTCTGAATCTTTGATTGTCATTAAAGAGCCGCAGTATGGACATTCAAACAGAGAGCTGTATGTTGAGGTTTCTGGAGGACTTGGAATGGATACTGAATCATGGTCTATGAAGAATGCACTTGTAGGGTATGGTGGTTGGAGTTTAAATGTGAACGTTTCAGGGAGCTGCAACTGATTTAAGCTTCCAGCCTGAGAGCTCCCTGTCGCCTCTCTTTCAGGCAGAGTAGGCTCTGAACCATCAATACCCCTGCTAGGCCTTGGCTTCTGCAATCTATACTGGAGAACTGCTCTTTGCTTTGTCATAGCAGCACTGAGCCGGTGAAGTGTGCCCTCATCAAGATTAGGGAAAGCTCGGGAAACGTGCTGCTGTGCCCATGGTTCGAAGAGCGAGACATCTTTACTGCTCACATTTAGCAGAATATCGTGGTCGGCTGGCTTGCGAGTCTCCAAGGACAGTTGATTCAACAGATTGATTGCATTATGTAGGGACTGATGCAACATTTGAGCATCTGTCATCAAGTCCTCTTCATTCAATACTTCACCGGCAGGGTCCAGGAGCGCCTCATCTCCTAGCGTATCTTCTGGCTCGTTGAGCAAGTCAGATAGATTTCGAACTACCTGCAGCACTCGCTGCAGGATCCTTGATATTTCGTTCTTCAGATGTGAAGCATCACGAAGACGATAATCTAGTGATAGCTGGTCACATTGAAGGGCACCGGTGTTACCTGCCCAAATACGTAGTCGGCCAAGTTCGTCCAACCAGCGAGTTTGGGAGACTTCGTTCTCATAGCGCTTAACCCTCGAGGAGGCCACGTCTGCCAACTCCTTCAGACAATCGTTCAAGGTGAATGATATTGTAGCCATTTGGAAGATTTGGGGTCTTGAGTCTGATAGTGAGAGACATGAGTCGAGGAGCAACGTTGTTTGAACGGTATGAGTTCCGTGTACCTATAGGTACATAATAGCCCCTCGTATTGGAGAGTGACAGCTGGTGGCTGATTGAGCGGGGAAACGCGGGGGGTGATAAGCATCGTGAACCTCTGTAAAAGATCGCTTTTCCCTCTTTCCAGCTCCGATTAGCTCTACAATTCGCGTTTCTTTAACATGGTGACCGGAATCGAGGCTGTCGGGTTGGTCTTGGCCATTCTCCCCATGGTCGTGAACCAAGTGGATAATTATGCCCGTGGGCTGGAAAGAATCAAAGTCCTCCGTCGATACAAATGGCAGTTGGAGGGATACTCTGACGGTTTAAGTGCACAGCACGCCATCTTGTTGAACACGCTAGAATTGTCTCTCGAGGGTGTTGTGAATGATCGCGACCGAGCTGAGTTGATCAGGGACCCTAAAGGTCCGGGGTGGAGGGATGCAGCATTCGAAAAGCGTCTCATTGAGAAGCTTGGTCGTGACTATATGCCATTTACAGCAACTGTGAAGGGGTTATGTGGCCTTTTGGAGGAGTTATCTCATCGACTCGGATTGGATAATACAGACTATTCCACGATTACATCAACAAAGCCCCTGGGGGCACTGAAGTTCCGCAAAATATTGTCTACTGCAATATATGATGATCTGCTTGACAAGATCATCAAGACAAATCAGACGCTCAAGACACTCACCGAGCAGTCTCAATACCGTGTGCAGTCCAGTCCAGATTCAAGACGGCGAAGAAATTTGCAACGACATCGAGAGCAAAGAAGACACGCAAGAGCTCTATATAAGATCATGGTTCAAGAAAGACAATGCTGGAATTGCGCTTGTCAGGATGCGCACTCAATTGGACTTCAATTGGACTCGAATGCCGAAACCATGTCAACTTTCCACATACTGATTTCACCACCAAGTACCACTCCTCATACGCGGCGATGGAGCGAAGTTAAATTGGAGCCCAGCGAGAATGAACTTTCCCAAACTTTGACGCATTGCATCTGCATGAACTCACAAACTAATGGAAAGGTCAAGGTCAATTCAACTACATACTGCACGGATTCGATGCACAAAGTTCCCCAGTCTCCGGGAAGCGTTGTCACCAATCTATGCTCGGTCTTGAATGAGCAAGGCATTGATCCAGTGGGATACATCTCCAGTAGAACAGCTCCATCGGGTGCCAGATATATCGTCACTCGTGTCGGCAACACTCAAGACGAAGTGTGCCGTTATTCATTGAGAGACACATTTCTGGTCTCATCCTCAGCGGTACGGCCAGACCAACATATAGAGCAAATGAGCCGCCAAGACAGCCTCTACCTTGCCACTGCACTCGCCAACAGTGTTCTTCATTTCCATGGAACATGGCTGCAAGAACAATGGGGCACACAGGATATCCTCTTCATCCGCACCAAGGAAGCTCTATATTCCCGGTATCAACGTCCATATCTTGTTCGACGAGTATCAAGTATACATCAGCCAGAGCTAAATGAGTCCGCATCCCATAAAGGGAAAAATAGGCAATGGATGTCAAATGAGATTCTCTTTCCACTTGCCTTGGTACTAATTGAGCTTTCCCTGGGGAGTTCAATTATCTCACTTGTACTTCCTCACGATGAGGGCTCGTCTGAGCAGGAGACGCTTTTCAATGCTGCTACCCGTCTTCTTCAGCGGAAGGTTTACATGACAAGTGGGCTGGGCTATGGGGATGTAGTTAAAGAATGTCTCTATTGGTCCAGGGGAGGTGGATTCGATGATGATCAGTTTGATGAATCAGTGTTTGACATGATTGTCTCTCCTTTAGTCAAGGATTTCGATTATTTTGTGGGGATAAGCAATTGACCTGTATGTCCTGTTTTCTCGAAGGCTGGGCGTGTTAATGGGCCATCAGCGCTCCAAAGATGGGCCCTCTGCCTACTGGATTTATGGGGACTTGATCTTGCATGTTATGTCGTCTTTCATTTCAATCAGCTGTATAGGAAAAATCGTACAAGTAATACATCGCTAAGCTGCTAGCCGGGTAGTATATACCCTAACCAGATATCTCAGAGGGACATAAGATACCAAGAGAAGAAAACTCTTGTAAGTACCAAACCAAGACACCCTGGCGTATTGAGCTTTCAATCAAGGCAGTCCGTTCGCTACAAACTGCCTCAACTGACCACAGGCCTCGCTGAACAACACACCCTTCAACACGCTCTCGCCCTCACTAGCAGTCCAGCGTCCAGCATCAGTAAGTCGCTGTTTCCACACAGCTTGATCCGAACCACTCATATCCTCATAGGTACGCAGGCGCTCGGCTTCAGTAAGCTGATGGTGGTGAGCAGACGAGTATGTCTCAATAAGGACACTCTTTTCGGCATTCCCGTGGTCGTTACAGCGCACAATCACAGATAGAGAATGTGGGACCTGAGTCTCCAGATCGGCGGGTGCAGCGCCGGCACTGTGAACGCGGTCGAGGATCTGCTTTAGACTCTCCAGAACGTCGTCATCGACAGTGACATCTGCGTTAGGGGTTGGAAGGAAATGGGTCTTCTCGAGAGGGTCATCGCTCTGACCACGGGATGGAGAGAGAAGATAGTCCAAGTAGGATCCCCTGCCCTGTTCTGGAGCAATGTATTCGGAGGCCCAGGATTCGCGGATCCCATCAGATAGCCACTGGGTGGCACCGAAATAGGGAGGAGTTGCACCGCGGATTTCCATATAGATGAGCATAGCAAAGATGATTGCGCAGAACGATAGGATGCAAACAATGACATAGGTGAGGAGTTCCCAGGTTTCGGAGGGACCGGGGAGAGATAGGGTGTAGCGGGGATAGCGCGAGGAAGGTGGGAATGGAGAGAGTGGGAGAGTATGGACGACGACTGTGTTGCCCATGCTGACAGAGGCGAGTTTGACCCTTTGTGGAGGCACATCTGGAGTGATGGGATGCGCGGGGGCGATGAATGTTGAGAAGCACAGTCTTGTCATAGAGAAAGGATGTACATCGCGAAGTGTTGTGTAGGACTTGATGTTTTCGTAGCCGCGGTTGGGACCATATTCAATCGTCCACAGATTGATGGAGTTATCACTGCCACTGGCGGCGATGATAGTCTGTTGTTGACCAACCGGATTGGTACCAAGTGCACAAACATCGAGGCCGAGGCCAATTTTCACGGTTCGAGGAAGCTTGCGGCGACGGAGGATCTTTGCTTGCGCATCTTTGGTCTTCGGCAGCTTGAGGAGAACCAGCTCACTTCCGCTGCGGTTCGGGGCATTCTGCAGGAGGAGAATGGCAGTAGGGGAGAGGAAGCGCACAGCACGGAACTTCGGACGAGTGCCACTGCTGGACAGAGGGATAGTATAGACGCAGCGAACATCCGGAGCAGCATTGGAACGTGTGGAAGACGAGACCTCACCAACCATGACATCGATCCCATTGGTATATGCTACACGGAACCGGCCACGAGCATCGGTCGTCTGGTCGGGATCGAATTCAAGACTGGCAAAATCCACGTCCTCTGCTTCCTCATTGGCACCGAGACGAATACGGCCGATGACATCCGACTCTGTAGGGGAGTCCGTCACGCTAAAGAAGACAATCTCGCCCGATTTTGCAAGTCCAGTTGTAATCGCACCGACTCTGGGTTCGCTGCTGCTCTTGTCGCCATCGGTCTTGGGTTTCCTCCAGGGCGACAGCCTCAGCACGCGTTGATAGCAATCGCCAGCATCAGCCCCGCTCTTAAAGCGAAACAGCGATGCACGAGATAATGACTCTGTTTTTCCAGGAATCACTTCCTCCTTCGGCTGCTCCTTATTCTCGGTCTCGTCCCCCTCCTCCCCCACCTCGGTCGACGTAGGGCGTATTTTCTGCGGCGCGTCGAATCGAAATGAGCGCATGTGCTGGTTATTGTTCTTCTTCTGTTCCACAACTGAGCTGTTGATTCCAGCAAGAACGACCAGTGAATGTTCATCATCGCCAGCCTGCGGCGCCGCGGCCAACGACGTCACCGAGTCCTCGTCGCGCGACAAGCTCAGCTCAACAGCCTCCGTGATCTCATCTCGACGTGACGTATCTAACAGCGACTGAAGTAGACTAGTTAGAGCATTGCCAAAGCAATCATTCATCGAATAGCTGTGTAACTCACGATTTTGTTTCCAACTCCGCTGCGGCCTTCGCCGCCTCCGCCGCCAACAAACAAACGACCATTGTTACGTGGATCAAATTCAGCGGAGAAGAGCGGACATGAGAGAGTTATCTTGGCAGAGTGGACTGTAGGCGCCATCTTCTCTTTTTGGTGTGGACTGTTCTCTTGACGAAGGAAGAGGACAGATCTGGGATGATCGGAGGTTTCGATTCCCCGGATTCTTGGCGCGGATGGCCACATTGGGTGATGCCGGAAGCTTAAGCTCAAACTATTGTTTACTAGACTAAGACTAAATATAAAATTGAAGTGGAAAAGAACTGAAAAAAGATGTATGAACAAAAGGCAAAAGGTGTATATTTTTTTAGACAACGTCTCTACTCTACTCCACTTCCTGACCAGTGAACTCAGGCAGCCGCTTAGCCACATCAGCCCAGGTCTCGTCACCATCGGTGAGGGACTTAAGAGCGGCCAGGATCTCATCTTCGCTGGCACGGACCTGCTTGGTGGAGTCGCGGTCACGGAGAGTGAAGGTGTTGTCCTTAACGGACTGGAAGTCGACAGTGATACCGAAGGGGGTACCCAGCTCGTCGTTGCGAGCGTAACGCTTACCGATGGAAGCGGATGAGTCGTCCACACGGTTAGAGACACCAAGACGGCGCAACTTGGAAGTAAGACGCTGGGTCAGGGGCTTGAAGGCAGGGTTGGTGGACAGAGGGACCAGCAGGACCTTGGTAGGGGCAATTGAGGGAGGGAAAGACAGGACCTAGAAAGAGTTAGTATACGATGAAAATGAAACAAGAATTGGATGAAACATACACCACGAGCCTCATCACCCTCACGGGACCAGTAGACATGCTCGATCATGCTGTACATAATACGGCCGATACCAAAGGACGGCTCAATGACGTTGGGAGTGTACTCGCGGACATTGTCAACGCGGGTGCGCTTCTCAATAGTGATAAGGTCCTTCTCCAGCTCGACCTTGCCAGATCCAACACCAGCAACCTCAATCTCGATCTTGCCGTCCTTCTCCAGGTCCAGGGACAGCTTCTCACGCAGCTCCTGGGACAAAGCATCGATGGCCGACTCAACGGCCTTGGCGTCCTTCTTGAAGCGGGGTCCGAACTTTTTCTTCTCGAGGTCGATCTGGTACTCCTCAATGCGCAATGGCTCAGCGCGGGTGGCACGAACCACAAGCGGGGCACCGGTCTTGTTCTTGTGCACGGTCAAATCGTAGGCACTGCGGTCAGCGCAGCCAACACACTCAATCCAGCCGTAGCTAGTCTGGAGCTCAGCATCCCAGCAATCAGCGGCGTAGTGGGCCATCTCGTTGGCCATGTGCTGACGGAAACGCAGCTTGTTGAAATCGATACCCAGCTTAAGCAGGAAGAGCTGGATACGACCCAGGAAGTAACCGAGGGTCTCGTTATCCACTAGACCAGTCTCCACGGCCTGGCCGATGGTCATCTTGGTGGTCTTGGTGCTGCCAGACAGCTGCACATTACGGTCAAGCAGGGACATTTCAAGGTCCTTGACCTCGACGAAGCGGGGGTGCTTCTTGCCACCCTCGGGGTCGACGTAGTGCTCAATCTCAGCCATAAGGAACTCACGCACACGCAAAAGACCGGCACGGGGAGAGATCTCGTTACGGAAGGACTTGCCAATGGAGGCAGAAGCAAAGGGCATGGACTGCTGGTTGAACTCAAGCAGCTTGGCGAAGTTCAGGAACTGACCCTGGGCGGTCTCGGGACGCAGGTAGCCGGGCATGTTGCTGCTGGGACCGATAGATGTCTGGAACATCAGGTTGAAGGCAACGGGGGGGGAGCACAGGGCCATCGGTGGTGGGGTTGCGGATATCGTACTTGGTGATGATCTTCTCAAGCTCGGGGCCATCAAAATTATCGATCTGTGCCAGACACTCCTCGTACTCCTTGACGAGAGCATCGTCCAACTGAACAGCCTTCTTGTCACCCTTGGCCTTTCTCTTCTTCTTGGCCTCCTTCTCCTCGTCAACGACTACCTTCTGGCCACGGGCCTCCTTGTCGCCCTTCAGGCGGGCCTCGAGGACCTCTTCCACAAGGTGATCCGCACGGAAGATCTCGCCAGTCTTGGGGTCCTTGCACATCCAGTCGGCGAACTTGTCCACGTGCCCGCTAGTCTTGAGAATTTCGTGGGGGGTGAGCATGGTGGTGTCGACCTCCAGCATATCCTCCTCCAGGACGAAGTGCTTGCGCCACAAGTCGGTCATGTTGGCGACAAGGGCGGTTCCAGGTGGGCCATAGTCGTAGAGACCCGACACACCACCGTAGATCTCGAAGGAGGGGGTGTAGAACATGCGACGGCGGAGCATTGAGTCCAGGACGTTGCGGTCAACATCCTGGCCGGTCTTGGTGGCGACGGTAGCCATCTTGGGGTTTCGTTTGGAAGACTTTGGGGGCGCGGTCTTTGATGTGAAAGTCCTGAGGAGGGACGGAGGGGAAAAAGCAGAGCGGGGGAAAAGTCGCGGCAGCAATTGAGTCATCCAATCAAGCCAGGCACACCCTTGCCTGACTCAAACAACGAAACAATTAAAAGTACAAGAATTGAGTAGTGAATATGGACTAGAATGCACCAAGCGCTTTTGATTTTGACTTTTTACTTCTTTATTAAGCCCAATTTACTTCCAATCGAAAAGGGATCAACAACTTTCGTGGCCGGAGCGCCTATGCCCGGGGAAAAGATCTTCCGTGATAATCTATTTTCTTTGCAGAAAAAAAAAAAACGTTATCGGACGGTCAAGCTCAACCACTCCGCAAATCTAAAACTCAGCAAAAATGGGCATGAAAGGTCGGGGTAGACCCCCTCCCAATGCGGGACTCGAAGAGTCGAAGCCTGCCAACAAGATGCGCCGTCAAATGATGCACATTAAGCGCAAGAGAGAGAAGGACTCAACGCGCCGAGCCGAGCGATATGCATTCAAGAAGGAAGAGTCCAAGAACCCCAAATTGAAGGAGGACCGGTTGAAGCGCAATGTTCCCTTGACTCTCGATCGTAAGCGAGTCTGGGATGAGGCCGATAATGACGCCGAGGAGACTGGCCTGGGTCTCAGTGTTGACGTCGAACGCATCAAGCGCGCTAAGAAGGAAGAAGAGGATGAGCTTAACCGACCTTTGGAGGAAGGAGAGGACGACAGCGATGCACCTGAGTCCGACAACGAGTCGGTCGACAGTATGATTGCGAGCGACAGTGAAGATGAGGACGAGGATGAGGACAATGAAAAGGAAGACAACGCTAGCCGCGGACGAAGCAAATCTACACTGCGCACTGCCACCGAACGTGCTACCAGCCCAACACAATCGACAAAAAGCACGAACTTGAACCTTGCGCCCGAAGCTCTCGCCGCCAAATTCCCCACCCTCTTTTCCTCGGAGCCTCCTCCTACGCCTAAAGTTCTCATCACAACGTCCCTCAACTCGACTCTCCACAAGGAAGCCGAAACTCTCACCGACTTCTTCCCTAACAGTGTTTACATCCGCCGCACTGCCCACCGTTACTCGCACAAATTCTCTATTCGCGAGATTTCCAAGTTCGCCGCAAACCGGAACTTCACCACCGTGCTCGTGCTGAACGAGGACCAGAAGAAGCCCAGCGGTATGACAATGGTGCACCTGCCTGAAGGCCCTACATTCCACTTCTCCATCAGCAATTGGATCGAGGGTAAGCGTTTGCCAGGTCACGGTAAAGCCACCGAACACTGGCCCGAGCTGATCCTGAACAACTTCCGCACTCCGCTCGGTCTCCTTACCGCGCACGTTTTCCGGACTCTGTTCCCTTCTCGTCCCGAGTTCCAGGGTAGACAGGTTGTGACATTGCACAACCAGCGTGATTACATCTTTGTGCGCCGTCACCGTTATGTCTTCCGTGAGAAGCGGGAGACAGAGAAGGCCGTTGTTGGAGCTGATGGCAAGGAAATTGCAGGTGTGGAAGGAATTCGTACTGGTCTGCAGGAACTTGGACCACGTTTCACTCTGAAGCTGCGTCGTGTGGATAAAGGTATCCAGCGAGCCAGTGGACAGGAGTGGGAGTGGAAGGGTGGAATGGAGAAGGTGCGCACGAAGTTCCAACTGTGATTATCCATTTGCTTTCTTTTGCATGGGGTTCGGGGAGTATTTAAAATGGGTTTGGGCATCTTACATACTTGAATTGAATGAACATAATGTCATCAACTACTAGATATCATTATGTGTTCAGCTCCACAGTATAAGTAGTGATCTTAATGCCACCTTGGTATCAATTTATGCAATGCTAAACTTTTCGCTATGACTTGAGACAACCAGGTCAATGACCTAGTTGTATGCATGTGAACCAGACCACAAACCCCAACACAACTCCATCTGAACATAAAACACATAGGCCGACCCAGTATCCATGAATGTATTACAAATCACCTCTCCCCTCCCTCAAAATCCTAGCCCTGGCCGTAGCCCTGGCGAAAACCTCATCTCTTCGTTGCTCAAAAGAAATTGGTCTCCTCGCCGTGACAATCCTCACTCTAGCGGTGATCTTCTCAGCAGCAAGAACCTCCTCCTGAACCTTCTCACAGAGTTCCTTGGCAGCCTCAAGTGTATATCCGGCGAGTTTGGTAAGCGGACGAAGCGCATGGGCCTCCAAGCCTTCCAGGAGTGCGATCAGTGCCATTTTCCCCAGTGTTTTGTCATGAATATCTTCCGGCCATAATCCAACCGGGAACGTTTCCTCGATGACGGTGATATTGTCAAATCCAACTGCTAACAGTGATTCTTTGCGGAGATGTTGGAGATCTCGTGGATAACCTGATATTTCGCCTGAGGCTCGGAGGGCAGAGGCGTAAGTTCGTAAACTTGGCGTATTGATATTCCCCTCATCCGAATTGGTAGTGACTGCAACGGTATCCCCTGCAGGATCAGTATCTGCAATCTCAATATACCCGCCCGGTCTAAGGTGTGCAAAAGCTTGTTGGTAGATACTATGCCAATCCCTGAAGGCCCCAGAAAGACCACGGATGTGGATTAAATCGAAAGGTTCATGGTACGTCCACTGGGATTGGGCGTCAGCAAGTTGAAAGTCGACATTCGGAAGCGAGACGTGGCCGATTCCTGAGTCGAAGATCCCCAGGTCGCAGGCGACGATGGTGGCATTTGGATATTCGGCACTCATTTCGATGGCCCAGTCGCCTGGACCAGTGCCGATGTCAAGGATGCGGGGGGAGTCGGTATTGAAAGTTGTTAGAGTTAGGCGGCCCTCGAAGAGGATGAGGTAGATTTGGTGGACGATGTTTAGGCGGCTTAGTTCTGTTTCGTCGTTGGGCATAAAGTAGTTTTCGTCGCAGTATCGGCGACCATTTTCCTCCACATGGGGGAGATTTTGCGATGTGCAAGATCGGGTTGATTTTCTATTTTTGATTAGTATGAACCTCCAGGTTGTTTCCATGGTTTTCATTATTCAAATGACCACTTACATTGATCTCTCTCCGTCTGAACTTGAGTCCAAGTCCGAGTCTGACTCTGGGTCTGAGCTCCCCACTTCAATCTCTAGGGATTCTTCTCGAGTATAAGAAGGGCCGGGGTCCTCCTCTGGCTGAATGGGCATGTCGTCCATAACATGACGGGTTGATTCACCGGACAATATTGCAAAGTATTATGCACCCAAGATTCAACAAAAATGTCTTAGGGGGAGAAGTATACGGCACAAAAGTGGCTCAGGGAACGATAATTCTGGCCCACAGGTATAACGCAACCCACACAGTTCACAACTCAATTGTCAGAAGCGAAAGAGGGGCGCAACAGCCGCCTAACATGAGCACCAGGAACTTTGACGGAATATAGTGGAGACGGACCAAGACGGATGATACGTCACTGCATAGCCCGTAAACAAAAGAAAAAGAAAAGATGAAAAAAGTGATGGAGAAGATAACCCGACAGACTGGGAACACCCACGAGAAGGGAGAACAGGTTAAAAGGCAAAACTGACCACCTAGACTCGGGCACACAGAGCACGGGAAAGCGTAAAGTCATTGGAGTAATCCCGAAGGCCGGGAAATTAGAATTGGTCCTTGCCCCATAATAAAAAGTCAAAATTAGGTGGACATTTGGATTCACTGTTCGCATGTTCAAAGTTCACCAGCTCAAGTGGACCGGGGAGATCCACGGGGGATGAACCAGTGAGATTGGGTGATATACGGGGTACTCGGTACAATGTACTCTGTGTAGAAATGACCTGTATCCAACAGCCCGAGGGCTCACGATGTGATATCGAAGTCGGTTATACATGTGTATAGTACAGGTGGATCCATGTCCACGGTGTACACAATGGTACCACATTCTCGACCCGACACAGTGGTACTATACGACCATGACAGCTCCTTGTGTCTTTGTAAGAACTTTCTAGGGATTTACTTAAGTTCCCTAGGGCATGCAGCTATGTACATATGCAGTATAGTATCCTTTGTACTCTGTAGGGGCATTTCTTTAATTGGTCCCGAAGACTTGGGTCATGTTTGCATAAGCAGAAGCATGAGTAAGTAGGCCTAGTATACACCGCTATACTTCCCTCTCTGTACCGTTAATGTCCGACTTCACTTTGATGGCTATTAATTTAATCTCGCTTTAAAGCCCCTGAATCGAAGGGTTAGATGTGACTAAGTAGCACAGACAATTTCTGATCCGCGGTTCCGAGTATCACAAGCGCTAACAGTACAATGAAAGTTTGCGATACTTGTCTGCCAACATGTACAGGTAGGCGTTCAGTGTTCTTTATAGTAATTCTCCCCATTGAAGCCCATGAATCCCATAGCCCCACAGATCATATAAAGAACCACGCCCTCGGGATACAATCCCAAAAACCCAGAGACCCAACACCCGGAATCCATTTTCTAAAAACTTATTCCCCACTGGAAACCCGACAGTCTGGTTCACACATCCCGCCAGGGTTACCTAATCCGGTAAGGACCAGCGGCACCTCCGAGGCCAGTCACGAGACGATCTCCCGTCCCTGATCCAGACGGGCGGGTTCCAGTTCCATCCAAAAAAAAAAAAAAATCAAATCATACACATGCAAAGGGATCCTCCACCCGACTTTCCCGTCCAATCGAATCCAGATCCGGTGTTGGACCCGGCTACGATTAATAAACATAAACGCCAGCCAGAAGCAATTATGCCAGCTGTTGCTACTGCTACTGTTGCAGCAGGACCACCCCGCCGTCTTCTCTTCATAGCCTCAATAGGCAACCAAGGCCCTTACCGCCGAACAAGACACAGTGCAGGCCATGTCCTCCTAGACGACCTTCTTCCCCGACTCCGTGCGCGATGGGCATTCACACCTAGCGATGCGCAAACACAACCCCCCATCGGCGCATACTACACAACATGGTATAGCCCATCTTTCATGAACGAGTCGGGCCCGAAACTAGTCCGGCAAATGGTGAAGTCATTTGGGAAACAGGATGAGGTTCTTGGGCAGGGTCCTTCCTTGTCGCCTTGGTTAGCTGGGCTAGTACCCTCTGGATCTGCACCTGGACAGGCACAGTATCCCGCTACACTGGTTATTTTGCACGACGAGCTCGAGGCACCGTTGGGTAAAGTGCGGGTAAAGCGGGGTGGACCTGAGGCTTTTAGTCTACGTGGTCATCGGGGTTTGATTAGTGTTTGTGAGAGTTTAAGAGGGAAAGGGTTATATCCTGTGAATCAGGGTCAGGGTAAACGTGGGAAGAATGAATCCCCGCGGGATCTGTCTATCTTGCGGGTTGGTGTTGGGATTGGGAGGCCGGATAGTCGGGCGAAGAATGCTGTCGCCGATTATGTGTTGACGGAGATGGATACAAAGGAATTGGCAGCTGTGCAGAAGGCTGTTGATCCTGTTGTGGAGATTCTGGAGGAGGAATTGTATAGAGCTGAGGTAGAGAAGTCAGGATGACCTCTATCTGTGATCTCTGATATCTCTGATCTATAGGAGATTTGTATTATACTTGATTGGATTTGATTTGGATCGAGCGTTGATACCCATGAGCGATGCACCTGAATTGAACTCCTTTTGTCTCCGGAAACCAAAAAGAAAGAAATAAACCGATATAGCTCGGTTGATCATGTACATGAACAAGGCTAGAAGAAACGGAAAACACAAGGAAAGAAAACGGGTCACGTAGTCTCGGCGAAGGGCCACCCAAGCTTCGTGTACCCCAATTATGCTAAACGTATCCCATCTTAAACAGTGCCAGCAATACTTAAATCACGAATCTCCTGTAGCACCTCCTCAACACGATTATCAAGATCACCACGAGCATATTGGTCTCTCGTCTCAGCATCCAGATACTGCTGCACCTGCGCCATACGCGAATACGCCTCCGCGCAGAAGCGCAGCTGGATCTTCACAAGAGCCTCGAAACTAGGATCCAGGTAAGGCACACGAAGATCGATGAGCTGGGGCAGCTCATTGAAAAGCTGCTCGTTCAGCTGCTCATAAGCCTGCTTGGCGATTTCGGTCTCGCGCTCAGTGCGCGGCAACTTGGTAGCATCCTTGTCGGGCTTCTCGACCAGCTTCTTGACCTTGGCGCGCATAGAGTCGTAGTCAATAAGCTTGTGATTGCGCTTCTTAATGCATTCGTTGACGTCGGGGAAGTAGGCACAGAAGCGAGAAATGGGATCGAGGACGGTAGTCCTACAATTTGGTTAGTCTTGATGTATGAGAGAGCCTTCGTGCGGGGGTCATACCGGTATGGTCCATCCAGAGCCTTGATAGTCTCGGCATCCAGATCCTCCACGGCTTGCTTATAGCTTCGGCTCACACCGTCCTTGGTTCCGGCATCACCGTAGAAAGCATCGATTGTTTCCGCGATGCGCATCTGTGATGCAGTCATAGCTGCATATCGCCAAACCAGTCAGTGTCCGTTTCCATTTACATTCGGGTAGTATCCGGTACCCACCTCGCAACGAGTCCAAATATCCCTTTGCCTCCTTCTGCAGCCGATTCGCGGCTGCCTCCATGGTCCGGTAGCGCCTGCGACTAGTTAGTTTCTAATGTCCAACTCGAGAGCATATCTCGGAGCATACCGTTCTTCTATCTCATAGTCGCGATCATTTGTTCTCTCCACATGGCCTAATAATTGGAGCCGCAAATTAGTATCGCAGTTGCTTTTGTGGTCGTCGGTGGTCGTCGCGATCGGGCAGCGATTCTGCGGGGTAGCATTCCGCGAACTTACCAGTCTTCATCATGACCTGCGTGGTGGCGCGGTTGACATTCTTCTTGAACCCTGAATGAAATGACTAGACTTTAGCATAGTTCTCACTAGATGACCAAGTGTCTATCACAAAAGACTCTCGAGGCCGAGGGGTTGTCGGGGTTGTCGGAATGCGTACCTGCCCAAGACATGGTGGCAGTTTCGGATTGTAGTTGATGAAAGGGGCGGGGTAATCAAATCGAGATCAAGAAGGGTTGATAATATGAAAATCGCAAAATCAAAGTACGCAGGTCTGAGAGAAGACTACTGTTGGCTGCGATCTCCCGTTGATCGTGAGGAGCAACCAAGTCCGAAGTCTGCCTTACGAGTGTGGCGGTGCGTGGCTGGATTATGTAATGTATCCTAATGCGGCTACGTCACGATGAAGTATAGAATTTGCTTCCAAAAATTGCACGAACTTCAGGGCCGAGTTGGCAAGAATCTCATGTCTTGGCAAGCAGGCATAGGAATGATCTATTGGATGTATTTTTCAAAATCTAGGATGCACCGCATGAACTAAACTTGTATAAGGCTGAAGGATTACAGCGTTTTTACATTGCCATATCCGCCGGTGCCGAGGCTGGAATGCAGATGCCTAAAGACAGTTGAGATGCGCCAAGCCAATAGTCGAAACAAAAGTTCAAGTCGAATTTTCAAGTCTGAAAACGTGGGTATTGGGGGAAGATAACTCAAGAGATTGAAAGTGCCGAGACGCAATATTGCATCAGCTCTGATAAGGCTGTGTCGATCGCTTAGAATAGATTGGGGTCGGGGCGGAAATCAAGGGCTGAAAGGTTATCAGGGCACAAGTAGTATAAAGTCCGGTAAACAAGAATCCTGGGCGGTATTGTACAGTCCGTACAGGCTGGATACAACCGGATGTAGAGCGTTCCATCGTAATATTGGAGTGGCTGTGGACCTGACATGACCCTGGTGCCACTTCTGTAACCTGATGTCATCAACCTAAGACACGGACGCCCACTCCAGGCCGCCTGATTTTTACGAGGTCATACGGTGAGAAAATGATGTCTAAGCAGTAGTGGTAAGAAGGTTCAATAGGTCATAAATCCACATTGGGGTTTGCTATGTACAGCCGCATCTGGTATATAGCGTGTTGACAATAAAAACATCCTCATAGCCTCGGTTGGGATCGCGTAGGAACCTTCCAACAGTAGAGTCGCTCATCATATAAAAATACAACCCCAGAAAAAGAGTGAGAGAGAGAAAAGAAAAAGAGGGAAAAGTCCACCCAACGCCGTCGTCTCGATATCTGTTAAATCCAGCAGACTCGAGGTATAAGGGAAAAAGAAAGTCATGACTCTTCGTTGCATTTGACGTGAAAAACATGACGTCCGTAAACGAGAAAAAAAAAAAGCTAATCAACGACCATGCTGAAAAGGATATATCAATGCGCCGGATCAAATGACCGAAAAGAACAAAAAGGGCCTCCTGTCTATAAGGAGCATTCAAAAGGACGAAGACCGCCTTTTCCTTGAAAGGGTCTAAAACACAAAAGAAAGAACCACCCTGAGATGCTCGTATAAGGGAAGGGTTACATCATAATCAAAACAAGCCCCCCTTTCCCCGGAAGAATCAAAGGTGTGCGAAACCTTAGAACCCTTCCTCGCCTGCCTTGCACAGTTTGATCTGCCGAACCCACTCGGACTTGAGAACCTGAGAGGCATTGATACGGCGAGAAGGATTCGGGTCCAAAATGGAGTAGATCACGTTGCGGCAACGGGCCTGCATAGAGCTTGTTAGGAGGATGATCCAACTTGAAAACCAATATAAGATAATGCTTACCCGATGCAGCGTCTCAATGGGCGCATAACCATCTTCGTGTTTGCGTCCCTCCAAGTACCGCTGGTAGAACTCGTCTTCATCCTTGCGAGCCACACGCCAAAGATGACGTCCAGTACGCATGGCCATGTAGATTACTCCGGTAGCCCACAAATCAACTGCGCGAGGGTCGAATTCCTTTTCGATGTATTCCTCAGGCGCGATGTAGGGAGCAGATCCACAAAGACCAGCGGTCATATGGGCTTCCTTTTCCCAGGCCATACGGAAGCATTCACCGTTACCAAAGTCAGTAATCTTAAGTGCACCGTGGGTGGTCAAGAGCAGGTTTTCGGGTTTGAGATCGCGGTGGGCAACGCCCATCTCGTGCATATACTCCACACCGCGCATTAGCTGCTTGAAGAAGCAGTCGGCTTCGGCCACCTCGAGTTTTCCAGCTGACAGGACCAGCGTGTAGAGATCGCCACCAGCACAGAATTCCATCACCTCACAGTAATCGCCCTTGGCGTCTTGTAAAAGGTCGAGGGTGTGGATAACATTCGGATGCCGAAGGGAGGAAGAGATACAGAATTCCGATGTGAGTCTCTTCTGGTATTTTTTGGCGGTCTCCTGGGGTCGGCGGCGAAATTCCTTAACAGCATACAACTGCTCACACTTGGAGTCCTGCGGGTCAACCTTGTGCGAGATCCGGACAATACCGAAAGCACCGCGGCCAACAATCTCCTGGCATTTTCCGTATTTGTCTACCAGGGATGCTGTGGCATTGGGGCCGCCCTTCTTATCGAGGGCCAGCTTGTCCCGCTCGGTTTTGAACTGGTCGATCCAAGTCGACATGAGTGAGAGCTGCTGCTCATCGACCTGGTGGTCGTCCCCACCCTTCTTTCGTCCACCACCCAACATATCACGGAGGAGGTCGGTCAATTTTTCTTGTCGTCTGGCACTCCGGAGGTGATGGGAGTGGTTACCGAGAGCTTCAGTGAGGATCTCGAAACGCTTATGCGGGGGAACGCCATCTTTCTGTTCCTTGCCGGTAATCGTCTTCTTCTTCTTTTCCTCAATGGGTTCGTTTTTAAGAGAGGGTTGGCGAGAGGGAGTGCGAGAGGAAGGTCTGGAATTGGCTGGGGTTGTCGGTTTTGAGGTTGGTTTTTCTTTGGTACTGGGTGGTGGCTGGACACTGTCCAAGCTGCTGTCGGATAGATCACGGTTGATGTCGTGTCTGTCGTGAAGAGTGGGCGTTGTTTTGCCCGTAGTAGAAAACATGCGAGAGATACGAGAAGCCATATTTGGCTTCTGGGGTTTCGTGGCGGGGGATGCCGGTGGGGGGAGAGCATCCCCGTTCGCCGCGGACAGATGCATGCCCGCTAGAGGGCGTGTTACCGGAGGTTCTCCATCCCTGGGATCATGTGAATGTTGAGAGTTTGCGGTAGAAGAGACTGCAGACGGAACAGGTGAGGGAGGAACTGGAGTCATGTGCGATGAATTTTGGGGGGGAGGCGAAAGGGAGGTAGTAGATATCGAGGTTCAAAGAGTCACGTCGTCCCCGGAGAGGATGTGGGAGACGAGCGGAGCTCGCAACGCGGCCTTGCTGCGCAAAAATGCAAGCTCTGACTGAATCTGTGAAGTCGGTTTCCCTTCAAGGAGGAAGAAGAAACAAAAACAGAAACGGGGCGAACGAAACAGGCGTCGGCGAGCGGCGGGAAAAAAAGCGGTAGTTGGCCTTAATTTGTTGCCTGAGGCAGGGAAGTGACGCCAGTTAATGTTGGGAAACGCTTTAGATGATATAAGTAGAACTAAGAGAAGAATGGCACTGGAGCCAGAACCAGCCCTATGGAGGGTAGGTATCACATATAATGTCTTTGAAATCAAGGAGAAAGATTTAGAAAGGAAGAAAAAAAAAGTGGCAGAGACGAGGGATAAAATTGGCGATGCTACGGGAGGGAGCACATTGAAATACCACGGGGAAACGGTTTCTGTGTATGGATTTGTATGGATTGTAATGGAGATTCACGGGGTTGGAAATTCCGCTTTTTTTTTTTTCTTTTTGTGTTTTCGTGGATTATTAAGGCTGATCTAGCAGAGTCCTACATAATCAAAATTGTAAATTTCCGGTGGACGCAACCGTGGTAATTACCGCGTATTTTTAATACACTGAGACCAATGTAATGTCAGACTTCAGCCCTTTCCCAATGGAAATTTTCTTTCTCGCACATTGGAGAAATAATACTTCTCTTTGCAATTATAGTAATCTCCTAATTGTCAGTCATTCTAGGAGGTTCCCTTACAGATCAAATATGGTGTGGTAGCATCATGCAATACCCCAAGTACATTCCTGGTACCGAGTACCACAAGTGGCGCATGCCCTCCTGCCCTAGTGGTGTGGATTCAGGTCCTTAGTACTTGAGAGATTTTATTTCCTTTCCGCCCTCCAACAACCGGGCAGATCCTTGGATCCGGCGCTGGGTCGTCTTCCGTGTTCGCAGCTAAGAAAGATTAAGCAATTCGCCAGACCCGAAATTAACAGGCCGATCCGTTCCGATGACGTCCCCCCCTGATTCAACCACGACAAAAACCACGTAACCTCCCCGGTTTCTCCATGTTCCCAGTGACGTCGAAGTATACCTTCGAACTGTAAAAAAAAATTAAAATAAAAAATGAGGGGGTCTTGCAAACGTCGGCTATCCTAGGCTTCCTCAAATCCAGTAGCTTTCTCATAAAGTTGAGGCGAGTGAGGCTGTGCAGCTCCTCTGCATAACGAACATCCTCGACTATGATTCGATCGGGGCCCCGCACCAGCAACAAGAGCCGATGCGCTGGGTGCGTATTGTGGCGCTAGCATGGCCACTTGTTACTCTTGGGTTTTGAGGGGTACAGGTCCGATGGCACAGTCATTATCTTTTTCGTCTTCCGAAAAACGCCATTACCCATTACCCCACGCGACAATGCACTGTCTAAGCGCCTTTTCCCCATGTTCGATGGCCTTGATTTTTACCCCAGGGATCTTAAGGTGGTATAAGAGGTGAGATAAACTTTGACGATAGACCCGAGGTAGGCTGTATACTCCGTACAAGGCAAGTACATTATGCATCTCATGTTTGGACCTACAGCACAAAGCCGTATTGGTTCCTATAATAGAGATGATATCCAGTAAAATCAGGCCAAGACTTCTCAAGGAAATGGGGAACCAATCTAATTTTTGTACATTTCCACTGATCATCTATGGATCACCGATGGCTTTCCGACATCTTCACCCCGCGAATCATCCGAAGCCTCTGTAAACCATAGTCGCCCACTTTCTACATATTGCCGGACGATCACGACGTGACGGGCTCAAAAACTATGCACATCTCCTCATCGGGTTACTCACAGGGAAGGTCCGCGTGGGGTCCCTGTGCGATGGAGTCATCCGTCAAGAAGGGTAAGCTAGTTTGTACGCCCCCTCTATCTCGTAGCGTCATCCGGGTTGGATGACGGCATCTGGTTTCGGGAAACCACAAAGGTGCACACATAATCTTGTCCAACGAGGGGAGAGAAAGAGAAAGTAAAACATGAAAAAAAGAAAGCAGATGTAGGAGCAAAGACCGTGTGAGTGATAAATCGGAGCCTATCAGGACAGCACGAGTGTGCGATCGAGCTTGATTTGTGTGCTTCACCGTCTCTTTACTTCTAAAGAAACGAGTAATACAGTATTGTCGAGTGGGGTAGTCCGCGGGTAACCCAGTCTACAGTAATCAACTGTCAAGCTCCAATTTCCAAGAATCTCGTGTTTGATCTTTGACCTTTACGGCTGATGGATTACGAGTTACGGATAGAAGGATAGTTACGCACTGAAGATTTCTTCAACCAAACCTCGGCCATATATTCCTGAGTGCACATGCGAATGCGAACTTTACTCTTTCTCTCCACTCGCAGGAAAGCACACTACGAGGCATTTTCTTTCTCGCCAATCACATTAATCAGGAGGGGCTATATCCGCCTTTCATCTCCTGTATTGCTCTTTATGGTAAATAGCCCCGTACAATATTACCACTTTCTCGTTTTCTCTACACTTCAAGGACGTTGTATAAGCATCTCTATAAGATTATCATCCAACTAGATAGATGGGACCAATGTCTATATGTTCCAAGATTAGACCATCACCTGATCTACTGTAGGAATCTAATCCATATCAGTCACGATGCTAGGAGACTCAACCCCATTTTTCAATTTCGATGGTAAACTTCGCACACGACAGCCCCTCAGGACCCCACCATCCACAAGCGCGGATGACACGCCGTAGCTCCGGATATAACTCCCATGCCAAAGCTTTTTCCACTGCCACGCCAAACAATGCTGACCGCCAGTTTAGATAAAAAGACAAAAAGCCACAAAGCCAAAAGATGAGGGGGCTGACCTTAACGTGGATCCACGTTTGATACATGAAGCAATTACCTGAATTTTGGAGATTAAACCCCTTATAACGCATAACGCTAGGGAGAAAGTAGGCGAAGTGAAACTGACGTGCAAAGGTAATTATGATTATCAATCCTGTAGAACAAAGGTAACATGCAGGTTGGGATTGTCCGTGGGCTGAATTGAATGCAAAAAATGAGCTTCATGAGATAAGTTGAGCTCAGCTCGACCTGCATACAGGAGTGTGCAGGAGTTCCGACCCGTGCTTATTTTGCTTTTTCTGTATAATTTTTGCTTTTTTTTCTTTCTTGTATTGCCCTAGGTACTGTAGTATCCAAGGAGCAGAGCCCGGTTATTGGAAGGTTTAATGGCGCAGCGCCTGCAAGCATGTACATGTAATATCAAAGGTAATACAAATGTGATCATAGCATGCTGCATTACTATAGCCACCTATAATAATAGAGGACTAATCTTGGCCTAGATCATTTTTTTCTGCTCGATCATCTCTGGACATTGAGATCCCAGCGTATACTGCAGACCGCCAAATCTTGATCACCGAGTCCCTTTGTTTCACACAGAACATGTGCGTCTGCGAAGGGCCCTGATAGCCGTGAGCTCAGGCCGTGCATGGGCCATGGGCCAGATTTCAAGGAGCCTGCTTTATCTTTCCTTGGCAACATGGGCAATTGGACCATTGGACCGCCATGATTGGCTAGCCCTGGAAAAGGATTGGCACTGCGTCTTTTTTATTGTGCCGCTAGACCTTGGTAACTCTCGGGAGCGCGGGAGCGAGGAGAAAAAGGTTCAAACTGCTTAAGGTAAAACCCACCTAAGATTTACGGGGTCGCTTGGATATTTATAGATTTGATCGTTGACTATATATGATTTCGGGTATTCTGATGCATTGTTGTCATTAATCAGGATAATGGTGTCAATCGAACCGACTAGACCTCCAATTTATCCCGCTCCGTCTGCAATTGTCCCCTGTCCTCCTTGGTCATATAACGCGAGCTATAGCCATTTGTAGGCTTGCGCCGGGGTGACAATCGCTGATCCAGCCAGAGGGCATTGGCGCGTGCGCGCCACGTGGGGATCCAGGCGCACTGAGTGGCAGCCACAATGGTGGAAAAAAGAAAGGCGGTATGGGGCTCTTGTCGCTGGGCATGCCGTCCGTGCAGGTATCTATGAAACCACAGTGATCCCGTAGAGAGATTGCGGTGTGCGTTGTCTGCTGTCGGGGTCCGAATCCTTCAGTGGAGGAAAAAGAGAATCGGTGGTTGACCGTCATATAGTAAGGCTGGCCCAACTTGAACCCGTTGTGCAACATCAGTCCCTAAATGGTTGGACTGGCAGCACGGAACTGCTTGGGCTGAAAATCACTCGATCACGCCAGAACCCGAGTCTGCTAGCAGATCAGAAAACAAGTCAACAACACAAGGGCAGATGGATATTATGAAGCGATGCAACATACCACAAATTGTTCTAATGACTCCTCAAACAGCTCATTGTTGACACCCACGCCACCAGGGTGCTCGACCGGAGACAACGGATTCTTGACCACTAATTCCAAAGATCCAAGTCAGAGAGGTTGTGCAAAAGAGTTCGGGGTTCACCAGGTCTCACGAACCATATTCGACAAACAGATTGATGTAGATCTGCTGCAGGGCGATGCGCATGCTGGGACTCTTGAGATCCGTCAACATGACAAACTTGATATTGGTCGGAGTTTCGTAGTAGTGCAGCTTGTACTGGTTGGTGGTGAAGGAGATGAAGCTATTGCATTCGCCATTAGCGCTCGAGGTTCGGAAGTCCGCAATCGCATTGGGTTGTCCATACTTGTCATCATCGCCTCCAAGCTTGCGCACCATGTTTCGGAGAGAAAACACGGTACCAAAGACCAATTTTGCATCATCATCGCTTGCTCTCACTGTCTGACCGAGCCCTGTTGGTCCACCCTGGGTCTGGGACTTGCCCGCGACGGACGTCGGGCGCGGAAGCCAACGGCGTTTGTAAATACATTCCGCTAAACGGAATCGGTGGGTTAGCCAAAGGTTGGTATGTCACAGGGCCATGGAGCACAAACCGTGGCGATCAAAGATGTAGAAGGAATAGACAGTCATGGCGGCTTCAACGTGGAGAGAGATAGCAATGGGGGCCGAAGGTTGTTGATGTTCAGGGGATCAGGGCGGTGAACCTTCAGAGATGCTTTATCGATAGAGAGGTAAAGACGCTGCCTAGTTCGGTGAAACCTGGGGGTCTTTTCTAGTCTAGTGTCACCTAACTTAGGGCTTGTACACTATCTAGGTAGCTCCTTCTTTGATACTCTTTGGTTAAATTAGAAGCTTTCTCGTAAGGCTGACTGCACTGCATCACGCGTTATCTCAACCCCCGCTCTCTCTCCCCTCTTCTACCCCACATCTTTTCATCCGTCGTTCGCTCCTCCGTCCATTTCGTCAAATATATCTTCCGCAATGGACGATGGTCCTGAGACTCCCTATGAGATCTCTGCGGAGCCTGGCGTGGACTCGCCAGGTTTTGGACTGGGAGACCCACCGCCACCCCCAACCCGAGTCGAGTAAGCTTCAAAGACAGAAAAAAGAGCCATTATCTTTTAATTTGGAATGGATGACTGACTCATGTTGTCATGTAATCTAGCTCTGCTGCGTCTTATGAGAGCCTTGATCGGCATCGGCGACGAAACCCCCGAACAAGGCGCCCGGTGAAGGTTGGTGTTGCGGGTTTCTTGATGCGTGACAGACTCGGTGAGACTGATCATGTTGTTAGGAAACGCTGGACGCTCGCTCCCAATATACGACAAGTCAAGATGACGGTACAGCTGAACACCATATCAATCAATACATCATCAAGCAAGAGATTGGACGAGGATCCTTTGGCGCGGTCCATCTGGCAGCTGACCAGTATGGGAATGAATATGTATGCACTCCCGCGATCGCAACTTTCTGAGAGGCCAATCTTATGTCAAAGTGTACCAGAATGAGTGCTGACAATATGCGCAAAGGCAGTGAAAGAGTTCTCCAAATCCCGACTGAGGAAGCGCGCACAATCGCATATGCTGCGACGCCCACGAGGGCCACGACGACAGGGCACCGGTCTGAATCTTCCCAATTCGCCATTGCACCGTAATCCCTCTGGAGATGACAACGAGAATGCGAAAAATCCACTTTATCTGATCAAGGAGGAGATCGCAATCATGAAGAAGCTGAATCACAACAACTTGGTATCGCTGATTGAAGTGCTGGACGATCCGACCGAAGACTCTCTCTATATGGTCATGGAAATGTGTAAGAAGGGTGTTGTGATGAAGGTCGGACTGGAGGAGCGGTGTGACCCTTATGATGACGACCTCTGTCGATGCTGGTTCCGCGATTTGATTTTGGGAATTGAATATTTACACGCGCAGGGCATTGTGCACCGCGACATCAAGCCGGACAATTGCCTTGTCACCAGTGACGATGTGCTCAAGGTCGTCGATTTCGGTGTATCGGAAATGTTTGCGAAGGACTCGGACATGTACACGGCTAAGTCTGCTGGCTCCCCTGCGTTTCTGCCACCTGAGTTATGCGTTGTGAAGCACGGTGATGTCTCGGGAAAGGCAACGGATATCTGGTCTATGGGCGTGACTCTTTATTGTTTGAGATACGGAAAGTTGCCATTCGAGAAAGCAAGCATCTTTGAATTGTATGAGAGCATCAGAAGCGACCCGGTGATATGCGAAGATGAGCCGGATGAGCGTTTCATAGATTTGATGAGCCGTCTGCTGGAGAAGGACCCGGCGAAGCGAATTGACATGCATGATTTGAGAGTGAGTTACCCGACTGGCTTTTTTGGAATTATTCTCACAGATCTGCAGGAACACCCCTGGGTGACAATGAATGGAGTCGATCCTCTTTTGTCCGAAGAAGAGAATACGGCCCATAATGTTGAACCGCCAACCGAGGAAGAATTGAATGCCGCCATCACTAAAAGTATAGGACACGTGATGACTCTGGTACGTTTCATTTTGATATAACCTATTGGGACGTTCCTTAACCAAGCCTGTAGATGAAAGCTGTCAAGAATTTCAAGCGTCTGGTTGATCCAAACAAAACAGCCCCTGCTATGCAAAGTATTCTCGGTGCAGATCATGAAGCGCATTTTGTTGAGCCACCCATGGAAATGGATCCAGACGACGAGTTTCCGGTCGTGGGACTGGATGAAAGTGTTGGAACTGGCCACGGGTCAGGAGGTGGTCTTCGGAAGGTTTTAGGGCGACACCCTGTGCTCGCTAGACAAGATCGTCGAGACAACTCATGGACAAGTGACTCGGCGAGCTCGTCTCGACTAGGCCAAAGCCCTGTTGGGAGCAAACGACCCAGTGGGGTCTTTGAGCCGGAGCGGAAAGACTCTGGGTCAATACGCACTGGTAGATCTCCGGCTAGCTTCGGGCATGAGGCAAGACAATCCCAGTCGGGATCCCCAATGCCACTGTCCCGAGCCAGCTCAGCTACTACCAAACGGAGTGTTGAAGGCACTCGGGGTCATGCGCGGGATCCCCTAGAAGAAGAATTCCCATATCTTCACATTGGGCCATCCACATACACGGGTTCGTCACAGGAACCCACTGATCTCAATATCGGAAGTGATCCAGCACCTCTTGTTGCTGAGCCAGATAGCATGGAGAACGATCTGGATCCAGACTCTGTCGGTCCCGTGCATTTTGTTAGCGAATCGCCAGGAGCAGCTGAATTCGACATCTACGACACGGCTTATCGACAGGAACTTGAGCGAATCAATGCCAACTCAAGTCAGACTATTCCCGGTGATGGTCCCAGGGTATACCTGACACGACGCATCGAGAACAAACATGAGGTGATGAATTTTGCCAAGGAAAAAGCGATTGACTTGCAGACTGGCACAAAAAAGTTCGTCTCTTCACCACCAGTAGCCAAGGGCCCGTCCTCGACGTTCAGTGCAGCAGTGAGCTTGCTTCGAAACCAAATAGAACAGCAGAAAGATGCGGATAGCAAGGGGACTCCACAGCAACAGGAGCAAGAACAGCCGACGGAGCCTCCGACTGAACGACGAGGATCCAATCCACCTTCATCGATCCGGCCGCAATCCCTCCCAGACCCGGAAGCGTCGTCTTTTGAGGCGACGGGAGTGCCTATTCCAGAACCTCCCACTAGCGAGGACTCCAGGGCTCAGTTGCGACGACTTCTTGCTCGGGGTCGTGACAAAGTTGGGGAATAGTTTGAACCCAGTAGGGGTATGGGATGTACAGCACATAACCCTTTGTGATCATATTTTTCTTTGCCCCTCCTTTTCCTTCGCTTCGGTTCCCTGTATTTTCGCTTTTTCATGTAAACTGGTGCATTTGCATATTTACCCCTCGATCTGGTCTAGCGGCTTACCCCCCAACCTGAGCTTTTTTAAAATTAATCTCCATCGAATGAGCTCGTAGTTTGCATTCCGACAATGCATCAGCAAGCATACTAAGAAGTCAACATGAAGATCCCCAACAGGTTTGACATTTCATTGGTCTCGGGGTAATCGATGAGTATGGAGGACCTGTCAACTGGTCATTTGCATAATGCGCTTCGAAGGTTATTGGATGTTAAGGTTACACAAGCAGTCATTTTTGGTTCCTCCTTTTTTTTTTTTCTTCTTGATCCCTTAGGCCTGCGAATGATTTTTTTTTTCTTGGATTAATTTGGTGATGGTTCGCAATGTGTAACCTATTCTGTTGCCTACGACTATACTGCAGGGCTCCGGTCGTCGGAAGTATACGTCAACATCGGCATGACCTCGAGATGCTTTGACGAGTACACCGCCATACCACAAGCACACTTATACCTGGGAATGCATTATAAGATCGCCCCTGTTTCAAATATCTTACAAGGTTAATAACCTTGGAGCGGATGAAAGAAGAGCAAAAAGCTCGCTGTACATTATATATCATATCTTACATGCACCTCAAAAAATTCATGAAGAAAAAAATTTGCTTTGGTAGTATAAGGAAGATATGAATCTGATCTGAAGTCAACAAATCAAGTCCTCAGAAAATTCAGTCATACAATCTCCTCGAAGATCCCAGAAAAAAAAAAAAAGGAAGGGATCAGCAGAACAGTAGTGCCGATCGTCAGTCAGCAGAGAAAGGAATGAAATAGAATCATTAAATAATACAAGACACAGCAGACCCGTAGAATCGAATACAAGTCCAAAAAGAGAACAAAAAGCAGCCAAAGAAGAAGTTGAAGGGCTCAATATCAATAAGCCGCCGTCGCCATGCAAGACATTCGTTAGTTGGGGTGCATGTCACATTACGCTAGACTGGGCAGGACAGAAGAGAAGAATCAAATCAAAGCCAGAAGCATAGTCAAAGAAGAGAAGACACTGGAAAGAAAGCTTTAGGTTAAGCATAAGCATAAACAAAGAGAAAATGATGCAGCTGTATCTGCACCACATAGCACTCGTTTCGTCTTGGTCATAGAAAGCCGCAGATGAAGGGAAGCCGTAATCTTCGAGCTTGAGCGTGGATCATGGACACATCGTTATTGAATGGGATTGGCGTGGAATCAGGATTCAGAATTGAAGGAGTGTCGTTGGAGACGGGTTTACATTACCGTAAACGAGCCGAGTCTCGGTGTCGCTGAAGAGCAAACGCTAACGCTAGCAGACACAAAACGCAAACACAAACGCAAACGCAGACGTGAATGTAAACGCAAAACAACAGCGCTACAGAAACGCTTTCTATTGTTCATGGATTCATGGAATCGTTGCTGGGGAGGGTCAAGTCAATGAGGGTGTATGTTTCAAAAGTTGGTCGACGCAGGAATCGTGAACATCGCATCAATGGGTGTCAAGTGAAGTCAAATCAAATCATTTCAAGTTTCAGTTGCAGTTCATATCAGATCCAGGGCTATCGAGGGTTCTCGCCAGGGGTAGAACTTGCACGTCCATCATAAGGTCCCTGTCCCTTTGATGTTGGATCTCCCCGACTGGTCACCGAGTCCCTCCGGCCACTATCGGGCGAGAAACGATCCGAGGCACCATATGCACCAGGATTACTCGTGAAGCGGGGGATAGCATCCGGCGGACCAAGTTGTAAAGCATGTGGGGAGGGAAGGGGGTGACCCAGTTCTTGGGGGCGGGGCAATTGGGGCAATTCTCGACCCATGGTGCGCGACGGGACGTCCCGACGTTCCTCGGGGCCTGGCAGACCTGGCGCAGGGGCAATTGGACGACCAGCCGAAGGATCATACGGAATGGTAATACCAGCCCCTGGATTCAGGCCATGCGTCTGATGAGGAATACCGGAATGCGCGTAGGGTGCGAGTGGGACAGGACTATTAGGGGACGGGGGAATTTTGAGTCTACCGGAGCCGGATCGTCTCGGGGGAGGGTATGTCTCCCCACGGGCTTCGGCGGCGGCTTTGCGGCGTTCTGTTTCGAGTTTGCTGGGACGGCCTCGTTTGCGCGGGGGCTCGCCGGGAGTCCCTTCTAGTCGTGGAGAGAGCTGGGCTGAGGTACCACTTTCACTGCTGTACGAGGCGACGCTGGCTGGTGGCCCTGGGGGTCTTGGTTGAATGGCGCGCGGTTTATCGTACATTGGTCGTTTGCGCAGGTTCGGATCTATGGGTGGTGCTGATGCCCTAGTTCCCTCTGCACGAGGTATCTGGACTGGGGTGGGCATCGCCGGTGTCGCAACCGGTGGATATGAAGGGTAATGGGCTTGCATGCTCTCATAGGCCATCCTGCAGGAACTCATGGTGCGACCTGTTTCCATTGAAGCATTAGAGATTTGTGGCAATTGCCATTGTGATTGCCGGGGGTCAGATACCAGGCGGAAGAGGGATATGGTCCCAATTGGGCGAAATGCGATTCTCATTGATCATGCGAACCAGATAAGTGGATGGGATACCGGCCTTTTTGAGGATCTCGGTGAGTAGAAAGTACTATGAATTGGTCAGTCTCTTGTGGTGTCTTTGTGTCTTGTGTCTGTAGTTCATACCTTCTCCTCCTCGGTCCATGGCCTATCGGATGGATTCGACATATCCAGACCATGGAAGCGGAGCCGAACTTCCTAGCACGATATGACCGTATAGAAAGTACAACACAATAGCACACAATAGAACAAAATATCTATATAATATAATAACACACAATCACCTCCCCCAGATTTCAATCGGAGCGAATGGCGGGTCCAGTAGAGAGAAGAAAAAAAATAAAACCACGGTGGTACTTTTTCCAAAAAACCCTCGAGAGAAAGTAAAAAAGAAAACCCCCCCCAAAGAAAAGCAGAAAGGCGAATTCTTAAGTGGCCATCCTCCGAGGAGGTGCTAAGGAGTGACAGAAAAGAAAGGCTTTTCAGCCAGTGGAAAAGAGGAAGTCGAAGCAAAACAAAACGCGGTCCATTCAATTCCCGGCTCGAATTGGTCAACACGGACTTGAGCCGGGATCGCGCAGGAACAACGCGTTGGACCGGGAAAGCTGCAGGGACTGGGGGAAAAACAAGTGCAGGTTTGCAAGTTGCAAGTTTCATATCTTCTGGAAGACTTCGAAAGTAAAATTACCACTAAATCACGGCTCAAACATTGGTAGGTTCGGGAAGAGGGGCCAAAGGCAAAAGTACGTAATTAAGAGGGGCAAACCCCTATTACTTACATATGTGTGTAGGTACGGAGTAGTTATTCAGGATCTGCACGTATTGAAGTTCCAGAGCCAAGGTACAATCGCGGGAAGCAAGTGCTTTTTCCCGTTCCAAACCGTGCGTTTATTCCGGCGCACTGGGTCAATGGATTGTGTTTGAAGCTAACGCCAGTCATGGTTTAGACTCGATCCACTTGTAATACTACACTACGGAGTATGATACGGGAGTAATTTAATTCTACTTTTGTCCTCGGCCTCTACCCTGGACTCGAGTTACAAGTCCTGGTTCAAGATGGGTACTGTACCTGTACCAGGTACAGTACACCCCAATGGTTCGGATCGACTCCGTATAGTTCGCATTGACACCTATCCTCCATACACTGTGTCCAGTACCGAGTCTCCAGTATTCGACTATACTGAAGGTTCAGCACAGACACCGTTTGCCTGCATTATGGTCAACGGTTTCCTCTCGTCCAATCGATTCCCGCCCAGACTACAATTGTTTTGCTGACGAGATTCATCTGCCATCCCTATCCACTCATTGTACGCATTTGTCCGCCTCTGCACTTCTTCGCTGGCGTGTCTCATTCTGTGCATGTGGCTTGATCGCTGCATGCCTTTTTGATCTATGAAACAGGAGTCTTTGGGGTCCAACGTGTCAACGTGTCAACTCGTCAAATCATTCAAATCCTTCCAAAGTCCAGAATCTATAGCTTCCGTTGATCCACACTCAACACACAAAGGTTCGGGGTCATTTGGTTCTCTATCAGACGATCCTAGCCATGGCGATCTCCCTTCACGGACGTGGTAGACAAGAACAAAATAACATTACTTACCGCAACTATTTCATCATCTCCACCATCTTACCTCATACCTTTCACATGATTCGATCTTCATGCTCTTCATCCCTAGGACGTGTTGCCAAAGACAAAGCAATCAAACGTGAACTCGGTTGTTAACGTTACGCGTGGGCGGTGAGCGCGCGCGACACGGAATAGCGCCAGTGGTTTCTTTAGGATATTATCACCAGTGAATTTGACCTCTCTTTTTCCTTCCCTTCACTTGTCCTTTTTCTTCCCTCTTGATCCTTCTTTTTCCCACGTAGTCCGTGTCAGTCATGTCTGCCCATGGCACGGACTCCCATGACTTAAAGGCAGCTATGGATTCACCAAACGGCGACGCCTTGAAAAATGGCCGGTCCGCGCGCACGTCCCGGTCGCCTTTACCGCGCCAGACCTCGACCCCGAACTCTCACTCCGTGAAAGACGACCCTGATATGGCTCCGGAATCTGGTACCGTGGAGGAGAAAGTCGGTGGCGACATTGTCGTCAAGCAGGAGCCCGGTCAGCCCCCGAAGCTGTCTCGGAGTTCATCGCAGAAAATCGTGTCAAGGCCACCTCAGCTGTTTTCGCATTTGCCTGACAGCACCGATGATGCGAAGGCAACGTTTACCCAGATTGAGGAGTGCTGGTACGCGAACAAATATATGGGCATCACCGAACATGCTATGGAGTGCGAATGTGCAGAGGAGTGGGGTAAGTTTCTCTATTCTTATGATTTCTTATCGAGTTCCTATTCTCCCTGGATCGTGAAAATGGGAGGGGAGCGAGAAGGGGAAAGGGGGTTGGCATTGCGATGTACCATCGATTTCTGGGGTTCCATGTCACTGATCCCATTTGAATAGATTCCGAGACTGGTCGAAATCTGGCATGCGGTGATGATTCCGATTGCATTAACCGATGGACGAAGATGGAGTGCCTGGGCGACTGTGGTTGTGGCGCCGACTGTCAGAACCAGCGGTTTCAGAAAAAACAGTATGCGCCGGTGTCGGTCATCAAAACAGAAAAAAAGGGATTTGGACTAAGAGCCGAAGTCGACCTGGAGCCGAACCAGTTGATTTACGAATATGTGGGCGAGGTGGTGGGTGAGGCCCAATTTCGGAAACGGATGCGAGATTACGATGAGCAGGGCATCAAGCACTTTTATTTCATGTCGCTGAACAAGGGCGAGTTTGTGGATGCGACCAAACGAGGAAATCTAGGCCGATTCTGCAACCATTCGTGCAATCCCAATTGCTATGTCGATAAATGGGTGGTCGGGGAGAAACTGCGCATGGGCATTTTCGCGGAGCGCGCGGTACAGGCGGGTGAGGAGTTGGTTTTTAACTACAATGTGGATCGATATGGCGCCGATCCGCAGCCCTGTTATTGCGGCGAGGCGAACTGTACAGGCTTTATCGGTGGTCGGACCCAGACGGAGCGCGCAACGAAGCTATCGAATGCCACGATTGAAGCCCTCGGTATTGATGATTCAGACGGTTGGGATACTGTGGTGGCCCGGCGTCCGAAGAAGAAGAAGACCGAGGAGGACGACGAGGAGTACGTAGACAGCGTGCAACCGAAGTCTTTGGATGAGGAAGGTGTGACCAAGGTCATGGCGGCATTGATGCAGTGCCAGGAGAAATGGATTGCCGTCAAGCTGCTAGGACGAATCCAGCGCTGCGAGGATGAACGGGTGCGGAATCGTGTCGTCAAGATGCACGGTTATCAAATCCTCAAGTCGCAGCTTTCTATGTGGAAAGAGGATCACAACGTGACACGGCAGATCTTGGAGATCTTGGATACATTCCCTCGGCTTACCCGGAACAAGATCATCGACTCCAAGATCGAGGATACCATCCGATCGCTTACAGATTGCGCCGACGAGCAAGTGGCCAAGAAGGCGACAGCGTTGTTGGTAAGCTGGGCCAACCTGACAGTTGGGTATCGCATTCCGCGTATGAAACGGGGCGAGCAAGCCAAGCAAGCTGTGAACCAATTCGAACGCCGCGAGTCTGGTCGAGAGCAGCAGCGCCCGCGATCCGCCAGTCGTTCTCTATCACCCGAGGCGCACAAACCAAACCAACCCAAGAACCGACGGGAGTCTCATAACCGGCAGCCTCGACCCAATCGACGCAATCGCCAGCAGCAGCAACAGCAGCAGCCTTTGCCCGATGGATGGTATACTGCCAAGGACGAGCAAGGGCGCATGTATTACTACTCTGCCTCGCAAGAAGTGACATGGGATCGACCGACAGCCCCCGCATCTGGTCAGCCTGCATTGAACAAGACCAATTCAATCTTGCAAAATATCATCGACGGAATCATGAACACTCAGGAGACGACCCCCTCCGAACAGAAGAGTGTAACCCCTGGCACACCTCAGCCTTCATCCGATCGACCAGAGAAGAAAAAGCGGGAAGAGGGCTGGTGGAAGAAGATGGATGTTCACAAGCAGAAGAAGCTTTATGAGAATACGGTATGTTTATCGGACTGGTCGAAATGCACGCATGCTAATGGAGTTACAGCTTCACCCCTATATCAAAGCCGTGGTCGATCAATACAAGCACAAGATCCCGAAAGAGCATCTGAAGCGGTTTGCCAAAGAGGTATGTCAATCCTTGTCACGGTCCACCGTTCTTCTCCTAACTCTTTTCACAGACAGCCAAGAAGCTCGTCGAAAGCGACTATAAGAGGAACAAGGTCTCAGATCCAACCAAGATCAGCGAGAAGCACCAACAAACCGTCACATCGTTCTGCACCGCCTTCTTCGATAAAGCGGCACAAAAGCACAAGGAGCGCGAGAAGCGCAAGTCCGAAACCACCGCCCAACCCAATGGTACCCCCGCGGATGAAGATACAAAGATGTCCGACGACGAGCCGGAGCCATCTGCTGGCACGGGCACGGCTACATCGCCAATGGACGACGATGCATCTGCAACCCTAAAGCGCAAGCGTCACGACCGTATAGATCAAAATCCAACCCATTTAACTCCGGGTCAAGATGGAAGCAATTCTCCTTTCAAACGACAAAAGTCCACTCCTCCCCTTCCACCGTCACCTCCAGCCAGAGATTCCGTTGACTCAAAGGAGAATGAGAATGACGATGGTCCTACTCCACCACCACCTCCCCCTCCACCCAAAGACTCACCAGGAAATGGAAATGGGCATGAGAATGGTTATGAAGACCCAGATGTGGAGATGAAAGAGATGCCGCCTTCACAGATTGAAGTGTAATGCATAGTTCTAATTCAATCCAAATCAGCGTCATATCAGCGAGGGGAGAGATTCTGAGCCTTACAAAAGTAATTGTTCGCGAGGCGGGGAATACAAGCAGAGGAGAGCACAGCTGGATAGGATTTGATATCAAATCTGGTCTAGTGGTGTTCTTGGTATTCACTTCTTGATTGTGTTTTCTTTTATTCTTTTTTTTTCCTGGTCTATGCTCGACCTTGGTCGATGCTTTTTTTTTGTCCTTTGCAAATCAATACCCCGATCATAGTTGCAATCAAGGAGTTGGATTTTCTGCTACACTGCTATACTTTTGCCTGCTATACTGCATATGCGTTAGACTGTACTTGTTTGCATAGAGCATAGAATGCACTATTTGCCAAGGTCCTTGCCATTGATACAATATCTACACTTACATCTGTACAGGGCCTCATATAATCATGATTGATACCAGACAACGTCTTCATAGAAGAAAAAATTCTCAATTCATTCAATGCAGATCCATTCGTTGAAAATAAAGGTAAACATAAGGAAAGAATAACTTAGTAGAAACTCTCAACAATGGACTCCTTATTAGGACCCTGTCCAGTGCCACCAGGAGCCATCTCGCCCAATCTGAAGACAGACTCGATAACACTCAGCTCAGTAGCGGTGGTATCCAATCCAGTAACAGCGAGCCAGTCGTTAACGACCATACCGGCACCGACAACGGGAGAACCACGGTTAACGGAACCGGCGACGAGAGGAACCTGCAAGAGGGAGGAGAGCTCATCTTGGTCGCGGATCGAGGTCTTAGGGTGGACGATACCACCTTGGTTGGAAAGGGCCATGTATGAACCTGTCAGAACGTTGTCGGCGACTGTTTGGCGGAAAACTTCTACGCCGAGGACGTCGGCGATACTAGTTTTGTTAGTAAATCGATATTTCATGGGATTGAGAGAGGTGCTTACATCTCCTCTGTCTCACGCTCCAGGTCGGGGTGCACGATTGCGACGTGGTCGTTGCAGCAGATGACGTTGCCCAGTGCGGACAATCGCTCTTCTATGCGCTGGATCTTGACCGCGTCTGGGAGGGTGTTACGCAGGTGCTGCAGTTCCTGGTCTGTGGTGGTGGTAGGGACGAGAAGACCTTTGCGGTTACTATTTCCGGTTAGTATTAACTTCATATGCCGTCTAACATCTTATCATATTATATGATGTGATGGACATTCACATACCCAACTGTTAACCGACCAACAATACGGGTACCGGCAATGGTGGCGTGGCAGATAGGGATAACATCCTGGAGTTCAGACTCGAAAACACTATAGAAGATCCATTAGTATAAGCCGAGAAATTTCAATTCGGCCTAGATCCATGACACACCTGTAGAAGTTCTCGGAGGCACCGACAGCAACGATAGCGTAGGAATTGGTCAAACGGGCGAAGACACCGACCCTGAATAGTATGTTAGAACATGTATAATTTTGGTAATATTTTTTCTTGTGAAATCTGCGACAGCCGAGACTGCAGTCTGGATCTTCATGCAGAGCGCGGCTCTGAAGTTCTCTTCCACTCTAGCAGAAAAACCAAGAACCAGAGTCGCATCGCATTCCATTCCACAAAAATATAGGTTCACTCACTCGTTCGAGTTCTCAAATTGCGCGCGAACAGCCATACTGGAGGATTGTCGTAAGACGAGGGTATCACAGGAAAGAATTTTGCGGGAGGACCGGAGTAAACAAAAGACCTAGGTAATGGAGTCCTAGGTATGAAGGAGGTGTGTGTGTTGATTCAGGGAGGTCGTAAACAGAATACCAGGATAGAACTGGAGTGGTGAAGTCGAGCAGAGAGCAGATCTTAAATGTTGAAGTGGGATGAAGATAAAAAAGAGCAAAAGCTCGGGCCAATCAGAATGCATGGTTTGCTTTGCCCCGCTGGTGGAGTCGTTGGACCTCAGGGTTAGTCACCGGTACGCGGTTTTGCTCGTGTTTTACTAGCAAATTCAGGTACCCGATACTTTTGTCTCGATTGACTCATCTTGTCTCATGTTGACGGGCAAGATGACTCGAAAAGATGGGGCTTGACTAGTACCATTCTGGATGATTTAACGTGTACGTCTAGATTCTGTCTAGTCTTATTTGTGCCTTACTTGCTGCCTGAAAGGACACAAGTCTTTTAATACAAGCTACTTGGATTGATATAGATCAAAGCATTTACTAGACTCAGGACTAGAATGGTAGGATTAAATTCTTAATTGAATCCTGCTGACAAACAAAAGGCCCGATCGAAGCCCAGGGTAATAGACGCCAGGGGGAAAACAACACCGACGCTGAAAAGCAGGTAAAAAGCAGTAGAGTACATCCAGGGAAATCGTGGGGGAAAAAGCAGGCAGAGTGGTTCGATCCGGACTTGTGAGATGGAAACCGGTCGTATGAATTGAGATATACTCAATGGGAATTTGAAGATGGCACAAGAGCACGGAGTTATTCTCCGCTCTTGAGATCATCCTTTCCTTTTTGGCGTGCCGAACGAAACATTCGGTGTGGCTGAGCCACTGGGATGAGATGGTGATGGTACATTGTGAGTTCGTATGAGATGTGATTAGGAAAGTGCCGTCAATCTTTCATATTTAATATCGGCGAGGTGGCGGAGGCCCATGTCCATGTGGAGGAGGCCCATGTCCGTGAGGTGATGGGAAATAGAGAGAAGGCGGTCCAGGGGGACCTGGAGGGCCTTGGGGAGGTCCATGTGTGTGGGGACCTGGAGGAGGGGGCCCGTGAGAATGAGGCCCGGGGGGGAGACAAGTAATTTGGAAGCGGCAGACGCGCAAAGTTAGAACCCGGAGGTGGTGGCAGTTGAGGAGGTCCATTCATAGAGGAAAACGGATCAGGAAGACCCAGTTGCCCTCGTGCGGGGAGTAGGCGACGAGGTTGCTGGGTTGGAGTTGGACGAGGCAAAATAAACGACCGAGGATCAGTCGGGCCATGGCTCATGCTCGGGGGTGGAGGGGGCGCTTGCGAGGGCTGAGACAAAATAGGCCGGTGAGAGGGTGGCATATTAGGGTCTGTTCGCATCTGAGGCAGTTGGGTTGGCATCGGCTCCGCGAGAGCGATATCAGCCAACGCGCACAATGCTCGAGGAACAGGCTCCGCTGCTCCATCAACAGAGTTGATCCTGCTGCCAACGTCTTGCTCGCCGACAGTCTTGGATGCCTCTAGGAGAATTTGCATGGACTGGTCGACCAGGCTTTGGGTCTCGGCATCATTTCCTGAGCTCAGTGCTCGGATCTGTGGATTGACATCGACACCCATACGGACTTGAATCATGAAGTCTTCCCAAGTCTCCATGCCGCGACAATAAGCAACGGCTCCCTCTGGTGTTCGCGCATGTTCAGAGAAGAAACCGCGCTGGACTTCCTTGATTCCAGGCTTGCCGATCCGGAATAGATATTGCGGCTCTTCGGCATCGGGGTCTGATCCATCAGTCTCAGTGTGCTCATCATCTTCGGCAACCCGTTGGCCTGCGACCAATTCAATAAACTTTCCCCGGGCGATGTAGTACAGTTCGTCCTGTATGTTTGTAATTTGTTCCTAAAAGCAAGTTAGAAACCATATGAAAATGAACAGGGGGTACGGATAATTACCTTGGTTCGATGCTCAACAGCATGGATCTCACCCTGATAAACCCTCTCCGAAGCTTTCACATTGCAATCATAATCAGCCTTGAGGCGTTTCATGGCCCTTCGCTCAAACTCCGCAAGTTCCACTTGCACCTGAGGCCATTCAGGACAGTCTTTGTGGGCATTCTTATCCTTGGCAATCTTCTGCATGGAATGGTCGGCGAGTACAGCCAATGCCAATTGCTGGACTTGTCCCACTTTCTTGAAAATAACAGATAATTCCTCTTGGCGATCCTTGATAGGTTGAGTGAGGGGAATGGGAGAAGGGGATCGTCGTCGACTTTCACTATCCCAGATTTCATCTTCGATTCTCTTACCGCCTCGTCGAATTGCAGTCGCACTTGCACGAACACGTCCTCCTCGACTTCCGCGGCCTCCTCGGCCTGCACGACCTGCACGGGCTGCCGTCGAGCGAACGGGCCCAATGGCACCGCCACGACTACCACGACCGCGGCCTCGACCGCGGCCCCGTCCCCGAAATCCGCCACGACCACGGCCACCTCTTTTGGCAGGCGCGGCAACAAGGGGTTCAACATCAGGATCCGCCATAGCCGCGTCTTCCGGGGTGGTTTCCTGGGATGTCGTGTGCATGCCATTCTGGAGAGTGCTCTCTGGGGTAGCTTCGGCCTCCTCAAGCTTGGGCCTTTTCGGGATGGGATCAGGAGATTGAGTCTCATCTTTCATTTCAATTGACTTGCGCTTGCGTGACAGGCGAGGTGAAGTGAACTCTTTGTTCACATTGGAAACCTCAGGAGTAGCCTCATCTGAAGATGGTTTCGTTGATGCGGACGATTCAGGCTCATCTTCCGTCTGATGAGGATCATCAATTTCTTGGTGATTAGACGTATCAAGGATTTCAGGCGTTTGAGACGCTTTCGTGATCTGCTGCGTCTCATACTCGCCATTCTGCATGTCGTCATGTTCAATTCCTTCCATTTCCTTGCTGGGAGTGGGATGTTCGAGGTCATCCCCGGGGCCCTTCTGTCGAGTTGACTGACGAGCTGTGAGGCGAGCTGAGCGAGTCTCCCTGGATGATTCGGGGACCGCCAGGGCCCGCTTGGAGCGCCGACGCGGAGTCGTCGGAATTTTACCATTCATTTCTGACAGAGCCATTGAGGGCTCATCATCTTCTGGTGAGGCATCGCCCGCGAATTCAGCGAGCCTGTCACCGGGAATGCTCAACTTGATGATCAGTGAATGAGAAATGGGGGATTCCTCCCGTGTCACTACAGGTGCTGGGAGACCACCGCGAGCATAACGATTAGCCCAGCGACCTCTCCCGCGTCCACCCCCACGCCCGCGGGGCGTTGGTGTTGAGACAGAGACTGGAGGGAGTTAGAAAAGGGAACATGCAGTCATACGGATTGCATATCCGGGGTTTTGATCATTTACCTGATGCACGACGCGTAGATAGGGATCGCGTAGCCAGGCTAGGAGTATGTGCCGCACCGACACCTCTTTTTCCTCTTCTGCCCACCATCCTGAGGTCTTTGAATGGAGGCGTTAGCGTTGGCTACAGTGGCTGGTGGAACCAAGGGAGGAATGAGCCTCACGCAGGTAGACCCAGTCTAACCGCGATCAGCAATACAAAAGATCAAGGAATTGTGGAGCAAAACGAAGATCAAGGAAGAAGAAAAAAAAACGGGAAGACAAGGTTGGTATGGATGGAGAGAAAGAAACCAGGATGGAAAGGAAGAGACTGGGAGCGAAGATTGGGAGAGAAAAAGTAAAAAAAACGGCGTTATAACCGCGACCAAAGGGAAGATGCACAGTGAATGGGAATGGGGAGGACAAGGGAAGTATAATCCGAGGAAGCCCATGCACTAGAAGAATTGGAAATAGAGAATAGCAACGATGTGAATACCACGCGACGCATCTGATACCAGGTAGAGAGACGTTAAAGTGGTAGACAGGGGGGCGGAAAAAACAAGATTACGTAGAATGCGCAGGGTTGGGGGGAAGCGAGATGAAGAACATTTAAGGGGAAAGGCAGGATAAGAATCGCCGATACTCCCATCCGAAAGGAAAACCAGAAACTTACCAAGTGTAATGGATGAGATGGGGAGGAGAAAAAGAAAGGCGTAAGGATCTACTCGGAGCGCAGGATTTGACGGGGCCAGGTGGCGCGCGAATAAGGACGCAAGGGTGGGAATCAAGTACAGTTAACCTCAAACAAAGCCCCATGGAAGAATAGGTTAAACGATCGGCTCCGTTTTCAAGGTAAAGAATAAGGAAAAAGAGAAAAGAGGAAAAGATAGGAAATTACGAGATTCGGTGCTTTTTCCCGCGCGTCTACAGTGCACGAGACTCCTCGGGATTAATCCTCAACCCAATGATATCCGTGGATGATGGGAGGGAATTACTTTTGTATTCTATAGCTTATTCCATTCTATCCTATTTGTACTATACTTTCTCACCCACTTCGTGAGAGAAAAAAAATACCGGCTTTCCCTCTTTGCTCTGGACCCACTTGAGGTTTTGGTGAAGACGAACGCGGCCGTGGATGCCCGAACCAGTACCACGCCTGGGTACACCGCTATACTCGGGGATCATACAAAGTTTAGCATTGTTGATCAGCTTAGGTTGGAGGAAACCCTACGTAACTAGGACGTCTTGAAAAGTACTGCAGATCAGATCCATTCAAAGCTCATAAAAGAAAGAAAAACTCCGGATCATTATCATCGCGCAAAGCCATTTGTACAAGACCAGCCATATCAAATCACATTACCTCCTTTCCAAAAACCAAAAATTAACAGAGACCAAATGGGGGAATTCAAAGAAACAAAAACAAAAAAAAGGAAAAGGAAAAAGGGAATCAGTTCTCGTAGGGAGATTCGTTCAGGTCATATCTCTTCTCATATTGCGTGATACTGCGCCGGACATGGCCGGCATCAATGAAAGACAACAGCCCGGAATCGGGTTCCTTTCGCGCCTGGGCCAATTCTTCTTCACTGAGAAATGGCGATGGACTTGGTCGCGATTCCCGGAGGGATCGGGCGGATCGCATCCGAGTCAGGGTCTGATGTGTGATGGTCTGGCCCGCAGACGGGGACGCCTTGACCCTCGTCCCCGGGGTCGGCGTAGGGGAGGGGCAAGGACTTGTGGATCGAAAGAGGGGATGAATATTTTGTTCTTGAATAGTGAGTGTCTCCATAGACCCTGTTGGGGAGTCTAGATGGAATGTGGATGCTGTTGGGGAAGGCTGAACGAGGGTATCTAGCGAGAGCTGCCGGGAGACATCCTGGCGGAGGCTGGGCATACTGCGGATGCTTCCATTGCCTCGGAGCAAAGGCCGGATTTTATATACCTGAAATTGGGCCTGTTCGTTTGGGGACTGTAATGTAGATGTGGTGGAGGTGGTGTCAATAGAGCCATGCTTCGACTTGGATAGTTCTAAGCTGAGCCCAGAGTCTCGATTGGCACGCCGAGGGAACTTGCGAAGAGAGCCTCTTCGAGTATCGAATCGATTCATCTCGGGATATGGGTCCGAGACCTGGGCGGGAGGTGTCACCAAAGTTGGTGTGTCAGGGAGGGCCTTGAGCTCTTGTGAGAGATTATAGGAGCGGGGCCATGCAGTCTCGGATTTTTGTTGAAAGCAGATCACAAGCAGATGTCCACAGTAAGACCCTTGTGCAAAGACTGAAAGCCCCCAGAAGATTGATCGAGCAATCCATAGCGAGGACAGGCTGTGATTCGTGGCCATAGTTCCGGCAGTTGACCCGGCCGCAATGATCAGGTATGCAATCGTCAGAAAAAACACACCAACCTTCCAACGAGGCCATTGATAGCCGTGACGAATATCTTTATGCACGAGGAAGGTGAGCATGATCAATGCCACACAGCTCACAGCACTCAAACTGACAGGGGCCAGCTCAGTGGTCCGAGTGGAAGAGGACAAGGATTGGACTGCCCCGTAAGCGAGGGCATTAAGAATAGTAACAACAAAGACAGAAAACACAGAAGCTCCTCCTAGGGAGTACAAAAGCATATTGGAAGACATGGTATAAAACGAAAGTAAAGAATGGACCCAGATACACTTCAGAGAGCGTGGGAAGGTCTGAGCATCCACGGGCAACGCCGGAAGGTGAATCTTGAGAGCAAAATTGTATGCAGGGGGGAATGCGCATATTTATGAACATGGGAGTTCGCGTGGATTAGAAATAGACGGGACGGGGCGAAGCACACGGCGTGGCTGCAAAGTGTATCGAGCATACGATATGCAGGTTGCATTGAACATGTCAAATTTTGACATATAGATCGGATCTGATCCATCAACCCGGCAAAGTGGTTAGAGTCTGCGGGGACGGGATAAGCAAGCACAATGGCCTTGACAGATTTACCTTTGAGCTATGATGGAATAGAGTAAAAGTGTCAGAAACCGCTTAATCTAGTTCGTCTACAATTGATCTGTCGAGTGGAGTCCACTGCATAAACTTGCGGTCTGCTAGTAAAAAGGACCAATACTCTACTTCATAGTATGTGGCTCTAATATGCAGGTCTACTTGCAGCGATCATATCCCAGGCACCGGCAGTCAATCTCTGAACGCAATTATCTTATGCCACACTGCATCCTAATCCCCACCTAGGTCGTTATGGGCGTGCAGGCGTTCTATTATCGACGCCCACTTCCGGGGTACGATGGCGAGATGGGTCCAGCCCAAAAGAGATTCCCATAGTGCTATTAATCCGGCCACTAGCTGGGAAACTATCTATATGATTCATCCATTGGAATAACCGAAACTCAAAGTAGCGGATCGAGAATTTCGATCTCCGGCTAAAATGTGATATATCAATCCGCTTTGGGAAAATCTCCCGTATTCCCCTGAACTCTTTTCCTTCTGGTTGGATCGTTCTTTATTGAGGTAACTCGTTTCCGAACAAGTGGCCGGGGATCGGTAGAGCTGGCCAGGTTCCTGGGACGGTGTGGACCTATATCTCCATATCTACGCAGATGGATCCATGATTGCCAATCGGACCTCCCCGTATTCCCTTGCAGGGCTTTAAGAAAAAGATCAACATCTACAATTTGTCAATCCAATCGGGAAGCTTTTTATTGTGGTTGGATTGATTCCTCATAAAGGTCTTCAATTGCCGTCAGTTGACAAGGGTACCTGGTTCATGCTCATGTCGAATGCAAGCAATCGCATGTAATTCAAAGATCGAACATATATTTCTGGCCTGGAACCCTGTAAGCCAAAAACATAGTGACATCTCATGTGGATTTTAACTCCTGTTGACTTCTAGCCAGTAAGGTCCTCTTGCTCGCAGGCACCCACTGGATGATACAATGATCATGAGCAATCGTGCAGCCTCGAAACGTTCTTGTCAATCTCAATGAGAAATATCAGTCTGAATGTGTTATTTCAAAATGATTCAGTATGAAGCAATGTCACGAGGCCAGAAAGATGGTTTTTCATGATTTCAATCCCGACTGACGTGTGGTTCCAAGTTGAGGAAATGGAAATCCCCGAGGGTTGGCCGAGTGGGGCGGTGAGCCTGGGGCTTCTTTTGCTTGCCATCATCGTTCATCTACTCTGTACTCGACTTCTACCAGGACATTCGTTGGGACCACATCTCGTCTACCTCCATATCCGTCATTCTTGACTCTGTGGATTTCCATCCTCCCTTCTTTCCTCTCCCCCCATTCCATCCTCAAGTCGTGCCAAAATGAAGCTCACTTTCAAGGTTCGTCAAAATACGCCCCATCCCTCTTTATCTGGCGATCAAAGACTAATTCGATATTCTTCACGGCTATAGGATCTGAAGCAGGAGAAGTTCGTTATCGAGGCCGAGCCCTCCGAGACTGTATGTGATGCTCTTAACACAACAAGCTACCCAACGCCACCCAGTGCGGGGCTGATACTGTACTGCAGGTTCGCCAAGTCAAGGAGAAAATCGCTCAGGTGAAGAGTGGCTATGATGCAGACCGCACGAAGGTCATCTATTCTGGTATATGATTCTTTCCCGCCATTATTTATCTGATGGACCTGGCCCGCAGCTCTAACCATCTTCGTCTGTACAGGAAAGATTCTGCAGGATGACAAGACAGTGGAGTCTTACAACATCCAAGAAAAGGACTTCCTAGTTTGCCTGCCTTCAAAGGTATGAAAGATAGTCCTCTGTATTAGAGAGCCTCGCCGCTGACATCTTTTCAAGCAACCCAAGGCTGCCCCCTCTGCCTCTGCCCAGGCCCCTTCCACACCCGCTGCCCGAGTTCCTGCTGCCACCCCCGCTGCTCCTCCTGCTCCTGCCCCTGCTGCTGCCTCAGCTCCCGCCGTCCCCGCGACTCCATCGCCCGCCGACCGTGGCACTCAACCCGCTAGCCAAGATGCTGCCTTCAACGACCCTTCCACGTTGGCGATGGGATCCGCAGCTGAGAGTGCCGTGACCCAAATGGAGGCCATGGGATTCGCAAGAAGCGATATCGACCGTGCCATGCGCGCTGCATACTTCAACCCTGACCGTGCTATCGAATATCTGTTGACTGTAAGTTGAACACAAGAGAGAGGCATGAATTTCCGAGGTCTAATTACTTCTGGTAGGGTATCCCCGAGAATATCCAGCAGGAACAGCAACAACGGCAACAACAGCAGGAGGCTGCTGGTTCCCTTCCTTCCATTCCTGCTGCTACCGGTGGCTCTGGTGGTGAGGAGCCAGTGAACTTGTTCGAGGCCGCTGCTCAGGCCGGTGATGGTAGTGGTGCCCGTGGTGCTCGCACTGGTGGTGCTCCCGCCGCCGCTGGTGCTGGTGGCGATGCTCTTGCCAGTTTGGACTTCCTCCGCAGCAACCCCCACTTCCAGCAGCTTCGCCAGCTCGTTCAGCAGCAGCCCCACATGCTTGAGCCCATTCTGCAACAGGTTGCGGCTGGCAACCCCCAGATTGCCCAGATCATTGGACAAAACTCCGAGCAGTTCTTGCAGCTGCTGAGTGAGGACTTTGATGAGGATGATGAGGCCAACCTGCCCCCAGGCACACAAGCCGTTTCCGTCACACCGGAAGAGCGGGACGCCATTGAGCGCGTAAGTTTTCTCTCGTCACATTTTATCTACGGGTCACTAACTTTTCTTAGCTGTGCCGTCTTGGCTTCCCTCGGGATTCCGTCATTCAGGCCTACTTCGCCTGCGACAAGAACGAGGAGCTTGCCGCCAACTTCCTCTTTGAACAGCCCGATGAGGAGGAGGATTAAATAACCTCTTACGTATTTCTTTCCTTGTTGCTTCTTTACGTTCTGATGAATACCAAGCATACTGCTTTTTGATTCCACATGTGACAGAGCCTATGCCTCTGCTATCCCCTTCCCCCCTACCCATCCATTCCATCTTCCCTAAATCCAAATCAAGTCGGTCAGTCCGGCATTTCCGAGCTTCTTAGCTGTCCTTGTCCAGTTAACCTGTATACCGCTTTATCCCCCATCTTTTACCCCTTTGATATGACATCTCATGTACTTAACTTAATGGGCAAAATGGGACGTTTCGCTAGTATCAAGTGGTAAATTCGTAGCGGAATGGTCCGTGCGTACCCTGTGGTCCGATCATGCGAATCATTGCAAATGACCCTGGCCCGTTGACCCACCAAACCCTGAACCTTATGTCTGTGTTTTAACATGTGTGGGTTAAGCTCTTGCATTCAATGTTGGTATAATATGGAATCGATGGTTTTAACAGGGCGGATCATGTACCTTCCAAAAGTTCTAAGAATTCCAAGTGATAGAAATATTTGGGTGCATGGTCCTTATATATCTGGGTTGGTACCTACACGACCCAAGGATACCCACTTGGAATATATACAACCACGTCCGAGGCCACCATGCTCAAAGCACTACCCATTATCTTGTTACACGCATTACTCCAATATATACCCAGCATTTTCGACTCATTTTTGATAATCAAGCACTGACCATAGTACATGGATGTTCTCCTGAAGGCTCTTGGATACTAGTGCCGATATCAAATCTTAGATAAGCACATCGCTGGTCAGGAGGACTTGCAACCCACTAATAAGATAGCTCAAATCCAACACCTGTGCACTCGGTGACCACAAGAGCTCATACGGATAGATAAGAAATATTCAAAAAATTAATTTAAGGTTTGAAATGGAGAAGCTCAATGTCCGTCAATTCATGCCCACTCCAATGGGCTATGCTACCTGGTATATCCGAATGTAAAATATAGAAAGAAGCTCAAGGTATACGTTGCGCGCCTAGGAACGAATGACTCGATCCGAGGCACCAAGAAATGACCAAAAAGAAAGCAAAGAAGTAAAAGAGATATCCCAAAGAAAATAGACATGAAGTATAGGACTAGATTCACGCTGTGATGGAGTTCGTAGCCTCCCCAACATCGATTTATTTGCAAGCTCGACGAACGGACCAAACGCCCAGCCCGCGGCGGCCGATGACCCTGTTCAGTGTCTCGAGGACACCGTCATCGCCAAAGTCGAGGTCGTCTAGGTTTAGGTGTTGGCTGTATGACCACAGGCGGTAAAGTTGGAGGTTGGGTGAGTGGGGGGCGGAGAGAGACGAAGGGGAGGAGTATTGATCGAGGAATGTCGCGGAGGAAGGAGCGACTAGATATACTGGGGAGGAATTTGGGCAGCTAGGAACAGCTGTTTCGAGCTGTTGGATCATTTCTAGACCCGGGATACCCATTAGATCCAGGGTGTCAATTTGGCCGGTGTGGTTTCCCTGTTGAGCACCAAGGAGCCAGTGTGGCGGGGAGTAGGTCTTCCACCAGAAGACAGTGGCGTCTGGGTGAGACTTGATGCCCTGGGCCGCTGCGTTGTTTTCGACAATGGACCGCATGGCAAGTTGGGCTGGGACAACACCGCCTTGGTGGTACACACCCATTAAGAAGCCCATGACTGCATTGAATATAATCCACACAGCCAGAAATATCCGTGAGCGATGCATACGAACGCAGCTAAGAAGGAGGGGCACGCAGGGAATCAGGAAGCGTGGCTCCTGGTGCGGGAAGATGGAGAGTAGGACAGTCGCGGAGACCGCAGAGAGGGCACGCGTATTACGCATCCATGGTGGCACGATCGGCCAGCTGAATAGTGAAAGGATCATAGCGATGTATGCGGGGCCGAGGAGCTGGAAGAGGTTGGCAACGAAGTGTTGGTGGTGCGGGTGAAGGCCATGTAGTGCCAGGTTCGAGGAGTCGGAGTTGTAGAGAATGTTATTAAGAGGGGTGATAATTGGATGGCGCACAATTTCCAAGAATGAAGCCGTAGGTCGGTAGAAGGATGTATCAATGAAGATACCTATCGAGGTGAAGAGAAGCCCGAAGCCGACGAAGACCGCCAAGGACGTTGGCCTGTGATATAAATCAGATATACAACACGTTAGAGAACTGACGGACAAACTCACTTGCGCTGGAAGTAGGGCAGCAATTGTAGGCCCGGGAAGAGAAGAAAAGCAGGAAAGGTGATGCGGTTAAAGACACCGACCACCGCGATGAAGGAGAGGACGGCGTAGGAAAAGAAAGAGGTATGCTAGAGCCACCAAGTTAGCCCAAGCCTTTGCGCTAGGGTAATCCGGAACGAACCTTGTTCTCAACGATGCGACGAATCAGCACCAGGCCCCAGGTCACCAACAGGGTCTCTAAAGAGTTGGAGAATGTGTGCGTCTGATATGTCCAGGTGACATAGGACGAGGCCACCAGGACAACTGCAGCGCGCCGGTGCCGCGGAGAAGGCACCAACTCATAGATCGCCCAATCCTCCAGCACAAAGCTCAGCAGGAACATTCCACCTCGCAGCGCATAATACACCAGTTGTGGTGGCGGGCTGCCCGCCCCGATCTCCATGTAGAACCATTTCAGCAGGCTCATGGGAACATCGTAGATTGGCCATAATGGAAAGACGCTGCGAATAGGAAAATCGGTAGTGAATTCCCATGTGAGTTTGGAGGGGTATCCGAAAATGCGACCTGTAGAACAACGGGTGATCAGTCAAATGTTGTCCAACTTCAAAAGGAGGGCATCGCGGGATCGCCGGAAGCCTGCAAGTTGAATTTTCCAGCAACAGCCAGAGCTGCGTAGCCGTGCTCATCGGTGTGTGTCCAGTCGAAGTCAGGAGATGAAACCTACCGGCAAAAACCTCCGGGCCTTGGAAATGCTCATCGGGATGTAGATAGCTGGGCGAGAGCGCGAAGTAAACACGGATCAGCAGTAACAGTAGGTAGGTTCGTCTCCACATGATGGGGCACCAGGAACATGCTGGAAGAGGAATATTAAGAAGAATTAATATATGAAACAGAGGAGACAAAAGGAGCGGATGGATAAGGAGTGTGTATAAAGCAAGAAAAAGAAACGCGTTAACTATTGGCGATGATATCACTTGCGACCGATAACGCGCCGGCAGAATCTACGTGTACAGTGTACGGACTATCCTCCACAATAGTTGATAGTTTACATTTACATTGAAATTCAAATTGAAATCCACAATTCTTGCATTTACTATTCGAAAGAAAAAAAGGGGATTAAAAAATCAAGAAAACATACTGGTCAACCTAAAGGATTCTATTATTCTGCCAAGTGTTTTTGCCTATGTAAAAGGAGCCATCAATATGAAGTATGTACTAAATATATTTCTTTCGCTTCTGTGGTCTCCACTATATATATCTTAACTATGAATCTGAAAAAAGAGGAAGAACCCGAAAATAAACACAACCTCTTCACTACGTAGTTGTTGCCTATTCTTGAGGGTCCTTTACTCAATGTGGGGGCGGAGGTACCTAAAAGGCCTTGGCTTGGAAGCCTTTGCCGTGTGCAGAGCCTCGGAGACGTGACTTAGGTAACCATCACTCAAACATCCGTCTTGACCTCTCCACCTCCCCGCCGAAACCCTTGCACCAATACTTAAAGTCAGTCTTCCCTCTCCCCTCTGTGTCCTTACATCTCCGCAGTGCCATTTACTTCACTCTCTTCTCCAAACCTCCCTGCGATACTCCAGGTCACCGCAAAACTGACACCCAACCTTTCAGACGTTGCCACTTCACCATTTATCATAATCAATATGGCTACCATTAGCCTTATGAGCTCCGACGATGCGTTGGTCACTGTCGGTATGTGTCAACTGAGAGCACATGTGAACCAAGTGCTGGTATGAAATTCCAGGACAGGAAACTAACCCCGCTATTCCAGAGCGCGCTGTGGCCGAACGGTCCATCCTAATCAAGAACATGCTGGAGGATCTGGGTGATTCCGGCGAGGCCATTCCTATCCCTAATGTACGTCTTGCGATTCACTTTCCCACCTATCTTCATACTTGAAGCTCACTCTTCTGCAGGTCAACGAAACTGTTCTAAAGAAAGTCATCGAGTGGTGCGACCACCACAAGAACGACCCCCCCACCGCTGGTGATGACGACGACAACCGTCGCAAGACCACAGATATCGATGAGTGGGATCAGAAGTTCATGCAGGTCGACCAGGAGATGCTCTTCGAGGTTATTCTGGTAAGCCATGACAGCTGAACAGCCTTTGTCTCAGTGGGTAAATACTGACTGACCACATTTTACAGGCTGCGAACTACCTGGACATCAAGGCTCTGTTGGATGTTGGCTGCAAGACCGTTGCGAATATGATTAAGGGCAAGTCTCCCGAGGAGATCCGCAAGACCTTCAACATCCAAAATGATTTCACCCCCGAGGAGGAGGACCAGATTCGCCGCGAGAACGAGTGGGCTGAAGAGTAAGCTTTTTCAACTCTTTCCCTCTCTTTTGAACTAGCATTTACTGATATATTTCCCCAACAGCCGCTAAGCATACAGTACAATGTTTATATGGATTCGCCCTCCCATTCATACCCCACACCTTCCGTAAGCTTGGATTGTGGTGACCTCACGACCTACTCAAATTCGGCCGTGTTCTCCCCTCCTGGCATTGTTTTCGTAATGCTTGAGATAGGCTCTTTTGCTTTAGAACGGCGTTCGGCTATGTGGAAACCATTCTAACCGTTTGCTTGCCCTTCTACATGATTCAATCCTGTAGCCAGCCTCCACACTGGTTTTATGACTTCAATACAATATTAGTTTTCAAGGTTAAATGTGCTTCTACAGGGAATTCTAGTCTTGTGAAAGCTGGCTCTAGCCTGGAAAAGAAAAACGACAATATTGCAAATATAGCCATCGGCCTCCTTTGCTTCATGTTAACCAAGCGTATCAGGATTCCTTCAGGGCTGCCCAGATGCTGCTACCAGTGATCTGATAGGTAGGAATAATTCAATGAAAGCGGTACAAGGATAGATGCCACTTGGTGAAACAATCTTTAGTTGAGAGTGTCCTTTAATGTCTCCCATTTCGAATGCTGTTGCTTTCCTTATTCCGTCAATATACTAACATTAAAATTTCGGTCAGTAACAATGTTGGATATCACTCGACAAGAAGATAAACATCCCAATTTGTACGGAATATACCCAGACGAATTGGAGCTGCTCTCTGAGGGCTGGCACACCAAATGACAAATATTTAGTGGTGATCAAAATTCGTAGGAAATCTTGCCTTCGCCTTAGCGTAGTTGCCTACTTGCCTAAAGCAACATGAGTCGAGCCACAATGGTTTCAGGACTTCGCAAGCCTCTGGTCATTACCGGTATCTCACAGCCTCTCTGCGGCCGCCGATAATCTTTATTTAACTCGTCCAGGTGTCACCAATGATTTGGAAAGCGCGACTCATGCATCTTGGTCTAAGAAGGCACGATTAATCTTATTTAGGAAGGCGCGTTTTTCGAGTAGAAGACCCCCCCTCTTTTTCGAATTCCGAGCCTTATCTTCCTGTTCTTGATTCTTGTCCTCATTCTCTTGGGACCTAAGCATGGTGAGATGTATATCAAGGCTGGATCTAGTATTTGATGTTTTCCTGCAGCAAGGTCAGCTGCTTCTCGTCGTCAAAGCTTGTAACAAAAACAATGAGGAAAGTGGGGAGTATGACAAAATGATGAAGGTGAATCTCATCCCCCACTGACACTTCTTCTTGGCGTGGAGTTTGTGACAATCACTGAACCGCCTGGGACAGATATTGCCGGTGTCTCACTGGTTGATATCCGTATCCATATGCTCTAAATATCTTACGATGTATCTTCTGTCGTCATTATCATTCATAGCGCACGTAACCCACTCTTCAAAATTTTTGGTAGCTTCCACCTTGAAGTAGTCCACAAGGTTGCAGTGTGTCCCATGCATGAGGTCGCTTCCAAAGTTGGTCAACTTTCCAAGACTCATTTATTCCCCAGGAAGGAATTCGAAGTCCTACAATGCTACGAAGCAGCACAAAAGTATGCAAGACAAAGGGGACGTCAATTCAATTCCATTCAAAATTTTTGTAAAAAGGAAAAACCGCCCCGCCTTCAAGTCCGTTCCTCCATAAAGACGAGCCCTATCTCATCCCATTCCCATAAATCGTAAAAGATGAGAATCGTCGGGACCAGGCCGGGTCGATATTCGTTATCGGAAGCAATCGAATATCGGTCGAAGTCGGAGAAATATCACCGGCATCGATCATGTTGCACCTGAAATCACACTTCGACGATCCCGCATCGGACTTGAGTAGTTCCCCATCAAACTAGCGCGACCAAGTAGGGTTGGAATGGAAAATTCATATCGAGGTAGGCGTCCCGGGATATCGACACACATCGCACAACATATTGGAAGTGTTGGAAAAATGGATCTTGAGACGTAGGTCGGAGGGAATTGTCTGGTCGAATCTAGATGCCCAGACGGGTCTTGCGCCAGTGTCGCCGCTTAGCGTTGTAGCTGTGGGAGAGATCCTGTCAGTTTTTGATTCTTGTGCTTGTTTGCGGTCGGGTCGAGAAATTCTGGATTCTTGGATCGAATCGAAATCGGGATTGCAAGGGTCTTGTTGGGCTTGGATCAGGGCGAATTACCGGATGGTGTTGCCAGTGCGCAGGCGAATCCACTGGGGGATAGGGCGGTTCTGGCGCTGAGCCTTAGCAAGCTTTTGCTTGGTGCGGAAGGTCTTGTGGCTCTGTGGGAAAAGGTGGGTTAGCGACGTGAGGAAAAAGGCGTAAAAGAGCTCATGTATATGAAATAAGGCTAGAGATGGGTATTAAACGTACCGGCATCTTGATGGCTGATCGCAACGACAAGCTGGTTTGGATGGGAGAAAGATGTCGACCTTCGGGAAAGCGGGTGGTTTGTGTGCGGACAGGGCTTGGCGACTTCGCTTGGATGGTCAGGTGACCCAGTGCCCCCAGTCTAAGTAATGTTTATGCCTGAGGCTTATTAAAATTCTTCAATTTGATGCCTTAAGGCATAAACACAGGCCACGTTAAAGTTCGTGATTAGCAATCGATACAACCCAGGGCTAAAGTGGATCGATCCATCTACACTACGATGCATCACACTTGAACGGAATATGAGTTCGACGCCCGCCTTTGCTTTGTACTCAATTCTTTCTCTTTATTTCTACAATAGAACATTGCTCCGATGCTATAGGTACATGTTGCGAACTCCGATAAAAGCAGTATGGGAAATTTACGGGTGCTATCTCCCCATGCACCGGGTAAACACCTAGGCATCTCAAGGGATACACGGTAAAGGGCATCCAACATAAGGTACATGGTTGGTATGAGTGGTAGGACCAGCCTTTTACAGAATATGTAAGCTGTACATGGCTGTGTGCCTTCGGATCTAGGGGTAGTGAGAGTGATCGGACGGCAACGCTATTGGTTCCCCTGCATACCCTTGCATCAGGAATGCAGCAGCTAAAGACCGACAGTCACTCCTTCCCATAAACAATACTTGGAGCTCCGAAAGCTCGCGATCCACTCAGTGGGCTCGGATGGATTACGCTTCTTTCGAAACCGTGATTTGCTTGTGCATTCAAATCCTCGTCCCAGATCTTAGCCTATAACCGGACTCGCGAAGGTTCAGACACTTCTGGTTGGAATATACTTAAGCGGTCCTTTTCCGACTTTACGCGGTAATCCCTACGTTCCTTACGGCTCCTGCTCGCCACCCATCTTCGCGGACAATTCCATGACAAGCTCCAATCAAATGCTGCTCGTCGTCCGGCTTCAAGACTCTCCTTCCATCAGACTATCTCCACCAACGACCTACGATTGCAATACGCCCAGGCCTGGCGACAATCAAAGCTTTGAAATCTCCCGTGAGGAGCCAATACACTCATTATAACCAGATTGTGCGACTTTCGTTCTCTCAACATTGGTTCAACAATATAGTCAACATTCATTATGCGCCGTCCGGATTCGACTCAAAAGCAGGATTTCTCGGCGCTGGCCGTCGAGCTGGTCGAGGTCCCTGTTAAAAAAGGCGCGATTGACCTCAACAAGGAGCTTCCTAATCCTCATCTTGATCTACCGATATCCGCTTACCACCTCCTCCCTGACGAGAAAGATTCTGTGGCAAGTCCTCTTTCCGAAGAAGATGCCATATACGCCCATCTGCCTCACGATGAAAAGCAAATACTGAAGAGCCAGCTGGATCAGCTCAACCCAACCGTTTCCTTATTTGGTCTTTATAAGTTCGCATCCCGCCGCGATTTGATAATTGTGGCCATCAGCGCCATATGCGCGATTGCGGCCGGCATTGCACAACCTTTATTTGCAATCATTTTTGGTTCGATGAGCTCAGACTTTGCGAAAGTTTCGATTGGCGCGATGGAAAAGGAGGCTTTTATGCAAGAACTCAACCATAAGGTTGTATACTACCTGTATCTGGGAATCGGCGAGTTTTTTACTGTGTACATCAGTATGGTCGGCTTTATGCATACAGGCGAGCATGTTACCCAGCAGATACGGGAGAAGTACCTTGAGGCTATCCTGCGCCAGAACATTGGCTACTTTGATAAACAGGGTGCCGGTGAGATCACCACCCGAATCACAGGCGACACCAACCTGATACAGGAGGGAATATCCGAAAAGGTTGGCCTTACTCTGACCGCCATATCAACCTTTGTTACTGCTTTCATTGTCGCCTACTGCAAGTACGCCAAATTGGCCGGTGTCTGTACCTCCACCGTGGTCGCTATGGTGCTGCTAGGCTCGATTGGATCGCGCTTTATCGTCAAGTACAGTGAACTCTCTCTGCAAAGCTATGGTGCTGGTGGCACTGTCGCTGAAGAAGTTATCAGCTCAATCCGCAATGCCACCGCATTTGGCACGCAGGATAAGCTCGCCCGACAATATGAGACCCATCTGAAGATGGCTGAACGATGGGGAACGCGGATGCAGATGGCAACGGGCTTGCTCGTCGCATCTTTGTTTTCCATCATGTTCTTGAACTATGGACTGGGATTTTGGATGGGATCTCGATACCTAGTCAAGGGTGAAATTGACGTCGGAGCCGTTCTTACTATTCTGATGGCCATTCTCACAGGCTCTTTCAGCCTAGGGAACATCAGCCCTAACGCTCAGGCATTTACCAATGCCGTGGCTGCTGGTACAAAGATCTTTGGTGCGATCGAGCGTAATTCTCCTCTTAACCCGAGCTCTGATGAGGGAATGTGTCTTCCTTCCATCAATGGCGATATCCGCTTTGAGAACGTCAAGCATATCTATCCCTCACGTCCTGATGTGACTATCATGAAGAACATGAACTTGACATGCCCTGCGGGTACTGTCACAGCTCTGGTTGGGCCTTCGGGTTCTGGCAAGTCTACCGCCGTGGGGCTAATTGAGCGATTCTACCTTCCTGTTAGCGGAACAGTATCCCTTGATGGTCATGATCTTGGAACGCTTAACCTACGATGGTTGCGTCAGCAGATTGCTCTAGTGAGCCAAGAGCCCACTCTCTTTCGAGCGAGCATTAGTCAAAACATTCGTTACGGTCTGATTGGAACTCGACACGAATACAAGCCCGAATGGAGGATCCGGGAGCTGATTGAGAATGCTGCCAGGATGGCCAATGCCCATGACTTCATCACTGCTCTTCCTGAGGGATACGAAACCAATGTTGGCCAAAGTGGTCTTCTACTATCTGGAGGACAGAAGCAGCGTATTGCGATTGCTCGAGCCGTCGTATCAAACCCCAAGATTCTTTTGTTGGATGAGGCTACCTCTGCCCTTGATACGAAGTCTGAGGGTGTGGTCCAAGCTGCTCTTGATAAGGCTGCCGAGGGGCGCACTACTATCGTCATTGCCCACCGACTATCTACCATCAAGAATGCCGACAACATTGTTGTGTTCGTCAAGGGCGAGATTCAAGAACAAGGCACGCATGACGAGTTGCTTGAAAAGAAGGGTCACTACCACTCTTTGGTGGCAGCCCAACATATCGCGGAGACCAAGAAGGATGAAGATGAATTAGATCCTGATATGTTGATTGAACAGTCTGTCGCTTCCAATCGCATCAAAACGATGTGGCGTGCGTCGACTGCTGACCCGAATTCTATGTTCCGTCGTGGGTCTGTAGCTCGCCATGGCTCTGTAATGCGGCAGGGCTCCATTGTTCGCCGTAGCTCTGTGATCCGCCAAGGCTCCGTTGTTCGTCATAGTTCTGTGATTCGTCAGGGCTCCGTTGTTCACCACGAACATCTGGATCGCCATCGCTCTATGGCCCGCCGCGAGTCTATAGCTCATCCTTGCTCGGCATTACGCCCTCATTCAATGTTTTATCCTGCCATGCGTGGCTCCTGGAACCGTGGCTCGTTGATACGCCCGCCTACTTTCTATCCTGACAGAAATCAACGTGCTACTATGTTGCTCCGCCCCGAAGATCGTGCTGCCCTCGGCATGTTCTCCCAGGATATCTCGAACACAATGGACTCCATAAAAGCAGTCAATCCAACTGAATACCTCCGGCATAGCTACATTGGTATGGAGGAGGCCGGTGGAGATGACTGCAATTCAAGTTTCATTCTTGCGGAAGAGGAACCTCAGGAGCCACAGCAGTACTCCCTTTTCTCGCTTGTCAAGTTCACTTTTGAATTCAATGCGGGCGAATGGAAGGTCTTGGCGGTGGGGTTTGTCTTTGCGATGCTTGCCGGCTGTGGTCAACCCATCCAAGCTTTCTTGTATTCTCAGGCAATTGGTGCTATCTCCCTCCCGCCGAGTGAATACAAGGAACTTCGCTCCGATGTTAACTTCTGGTCTTTGATGTTCTTTGTGACTGGAGTCACTCAGTTCTTTACCTCAGGAGCGATGGGTATTTCGTTTGCATACTGCTCCGAACGCTTGATTTGTAACGCTCGGAGCAAGGCTTTCCGTGCCATCCTGCGCCAGGACATGAATTTTTTCGACCGTGAGGAGAATAGTGTCGGTGCACTGACTTCCTTCCTTTCGACTCAAACAAAGTCTCTCGCTGGTATTAGTGGTCAGACTCTAGGGACTATCCTATCATGCAGCACCACTTTGGTTGTCAGTGTAATCATTGGTCTTGCCTTCAGCTGGCAGCTGGCTCTAGTCATTATGTGTGGTGTCCCTATTCTCCTGGCATGTGGCTACTATCGGTTCGAGATGCTTGCCAGGTTTCAGAGTCGCTCCAAGGACGCATATGCTCAGTCTGCTGCTTATGCCTGCGAAGCTACTAGTGCTATTCGAACTGTGGCTGCTCTCACCCGTGAGGATGACGTAGCAAGGCACTTCCACTTGCAACTAGAGGCTCAGACCCATAGCAGTCTTCTTGCGGTTGCCAAGTCTTCAACCCTCTATGCTGCATCCATGGCCATGGTGTTCTTCTGTGTTGCCCTTGGTTTCTGGTGGGGTGGAACTCTTGTATCCCGCGGCGATCTCAGCCTTCTTGGATTTTTCGTCTGTTTTACCGAGATTCTGTTCGGTGCTCAGTCGGCAGGTACCGTGTTTTCATTCTCCCCCGATATGGGCAAGGCCAAGAACGCAGCCATCCAGACCCGTATTTTGCTAGAGCGTGAGCCTCCTATCGACACATGGTCTGAGGAGGGCGAGCGTGTCTGGAAGATGGAGGGCGAGGTTGAATTTCGTGATGTTCATTTCAGCTATCCCACTCGCCCGGACCAGCCTGTCCTGCGCGGGCTGGACTTGACCGTCAAACCCGGTCAGTATGTCGCACTGGTTGGACCATCTGGGTGTGGGAAGAGTACAACCGTTTCCTTATTGGAGCGCTTCTATGACTGCGTGGATGGCGGTGTCTACGTTGATGGCCGCAACATCGCTGACCTCAATGTTAAATCTTACCGAGAGCACCTTGCCCTGGTCAGCCAGGAGCCTACCCTATATCAGGGTACCATAAAAGAGAATATCATGTTGGGTGTCGAGCGACGCCACGCTACCGACGCCGATGTCGAGAAGGCCTGCCGTGATGCTAACATCTACGACTTCATCACATCTCTGCCGTAAGGTTTTCTCCCCTTCATTCTGACCCATCATATACTAATGACGCTCAGTGATGGTTTCAACACCATAGTTGGTAACAAAGGTGGCATGCTCTCTGGTGGACAGAAGCAGCGCGTGGCCATTGCTCGGGCTCTCTTGCGTCGCCCCAAGATCCTGTTGCTTGACGAGGCTACATCTGCTCTTGATTCCGAATCCGAGAAGATTGTGCAGACTGCTCTAGATGCCGCTGCCAAGGGTCGCACCACCATCGCCGTGGCTCACCGATTGAGCACCATCCGGAATGCCGACATTATCTACGTGTTCGAAGATGGCAAAGTAGCTGAGGCTGGAAACCATATTGAATTGATGAGAAAAAGGGGCCGCTACTACGAGCTTGTCAATCTTCAGAGTCTTGAAAGGACTGCTTAATCGGCCCGAGTTGGCCAACTTATTTTTATGACATTTGGCATGACTGACGCCCCACGGTTTTGAATCATGACGCATGATACGTGATAGCCCGAAACCTCTTATCCTGCCCAGGCACCTCCATTTCCTACTTTACCTCAATAGCTGCTTTTTGCCTTGTTATGCCCTACCTGCTCCGCGTTCGCACGGCGAAGGCAACGCGTTGACTGCCCGGCTGTTCCATATACCCCTCGTCTTTTATCTTGTATCCATTATCTGCATGTGTCTACTGCAGATACGTACCCTGAAGTAGATATTACTACGACTTCGCGTTAGACTTGATTGGTTTTCTATGCCCCTGCAATGTTGAACGGCTATGAATAAATGAATTCGAAACAGTTCCATAAATTGAGATGTAGATGCATTATTGGATGAAAAAGAAATGATTCGAGCATAAGCAAAGAATAGGATATCAATTGAGGTCTCAATCCTTCTCGTCAACTCCATACTCCTTGTGAACCTCCGCTACCCTGACTCCTTTAGCGTCCGCAATCAATCCCATCAATCCCTGCGCCGCATCTTTAATATCATTGTACTCATGCAATAGACGGACATGTCGCTGTACTGTTTCTGTGGGATCATTCCTAGACCATTGGCATTAGTGTCATACTTCATCAATATGTACATGGTTCAGGTATGTAGCCACCCCGCTCCTAGTACATACCGCAGCTCCGCTTTATTCTCTGCAACCTCCTTTTCCAGCTGAGATAGTTCAGATTCGAGCTGCGCAATTGACTCGCGGAGGCCCTTCTATATTCTCGTTAGCAAATCATCATACTCTAGCCGAGTCCACTACTCACTAAGCGTCGTTCCCGTTCCGCCATGTGGGGAACCGATGCAAGTCAGATGAGAGAGAGCCAATCAGCAGGTGCGCTGAATAATCCGTGGATGGTTGCGGTGATGAGGAAGAGTTGGATCAGGGGAAGTAAATAAATAGGAAGGTAATTCGAGAGACACGAACTGTAGATGATCAAAGGACAGAAGCTTTGTTCATTTCATTTTCCTTGATAGTTGTGTGTTGATGGTTCAAGGAAAGTAATCGGATGCTCCGGATTCGTGAGATCGACATTGCCTGATCTGGCCGCTTCCCTTTTTCCCCTTCCACTTCTTCAACCCACTCATACTTACACTCCATCATGGATTTCTTGAAGCAAAGGTCCCTATGGGCCCTGTTTCTGGTTATCGGGCTCGTTACAGCCCACGGCGGCCATGAAAGTGTCCCCGAAGGCGAGACTATCTCCCAAGATCCGATTGTTTGTCGCCCCCTCCCTTATCATGGTTACGTGTCGGACTCCTATACTAACAATTTTTAGGATTCGATCCTATGGATCCATATGATTCTTATGGGCTTCACATTCGGTCTCGTCTTCCCATTTGGTATGGTCCTAGGTGTACGTATTTATTCCTCCCTTCCACGCGCCCCAAATCTAACAAGAAACAGATCGTCCGTTCTCGCTGGCACGTTCCCGTCCAAGTAGTTGGAACCGTCATTGCCGTCGTTGCCTATTTCCTCGGTCACGCGCACAAGGGTCGCCAATTCGCTCCGAACGTCCACCACTCCTTCGCAAACTGGCTGATGCTCATGCTTGCCGCGCAAGTCGGATTGGGATTCTATTTGAAGCTGCACCTTGAGAAGGGCGGCCAGGGCCGTATCCGTTGGATCTTCGTGCTTGCGCATGGTGTTCTCGGGAAGATTATGCCGGTTGTTAGCTGGACGCAGATGCTGTTCGGTGGTATTGCCATGATGGGCTTCTGTCAGGCCGACCACATGGGTCAGTGCCTTGCGCATTTCATCATGGGCTCAGCTTTCATCGGTTACGGTATTTGCTTGACGATTCTTCTCTTGGTGGGACAGTTCTGGCTACGTCGGACGGGACGGAGCCAGGAATTCTTCGACTCGTTGATTATTGCCGCTTGGGGCTGTGTGAACACATTCACCGAGCACCGGTGGGGACAGCCGTGGGCACATAATGATTTGCAACACACCACTATGGGTATTGTTTGGTGGTGTGCTGGTCTTTTGGGAATGTGGCTGAGTCGCAGCCGTGATGGTCGTCCTAAGCGCAATCTGATTCCTGCGATTGTGATCATGATGACTGGATATGCGATGTCTGCTCATGCTCAAAGCTTGATGATCAGTACTATGATCCATTCCGTCTTCGGATACACCTTGATGGCTGCTGGTTTGACTCGCATTATTGAGATCTCGTTTGTGCTGCGTGACAAGGCTGCTATTAGCATGAGTGGCCGCGACCCGAACAGCTTCCAGTACCTGACACCATTTGTACGTCCCCTTCCTTGCTGAATATTGAGCTTTGGCTAACCATTGCAGCTGTTGTACGCCTCTGGATTCTTGTTCATGGGCGCCACTGAAGAGCAAATGCAGCTCCTCAATGATGCGGGTATTACCCACGTCTCATACGTGCTGATCCTCTACAGCGTTGCCTTTATCTTATTCCTCTGTAAGTCAACATCAATTCAGTGTAATCACCTCATCACTGACTTTCATAGTCGTCAACGTCTTGCTGCATATCTATGCCGTCCACGCCTGGCCCAACGGTAACGAGGAAGAAGAGGCCCCCAAGTACACCAACGTCAACGGAGCCCATATGAATGGCAACGGACGTGCTCGCTCCAACTCTGAGGCTCAGCGCATTCAAGATGCCGAGGGCTTCGAGTTGCAGGGGCTGATCAGCGATGATGAAGATGAGGAGGAGGGCACCTCCATGGGCCCCAAAAAGACGACCGACGAAGAGATGGGCGCAAAAGAAACAACTCATGCTTGATTTGTTGAGCTCTGTTTCTTCTCTCGACTGTGTTCATTAGATGGCTGGTTAATTTGTACTTGCACTTGTGGCGTCTAGGTTTGGGGTATATCATACCAGAAAACATCATGTAGCGTACCTTAATTTTGAACATAAATGGACTCTGTTTGCTATCGTGATCTGGAAAAGCAATCTGAATAAAGGTATTGCGTTCTTACTCGCTATCGTACAACATATGATTCGTAAGTGAAAAACATTGGAACATTTGATGAAAAATTACCAATGATTATTGATATCCAAGATATCATCCCATGCAGATCCAACCGTGAAATGATTCAAACGCCCGCAAAACACTCAATTTACGCCTTATTGTTAGGCGCATCATCCATACGTAATGGAATTATGGTAGAGGGCTGCTGCCCCAAGGGAATGGGATTGGAAATCGGCGGTACGGCAGCCAATGCCTCCACATTCATATCGGCGGGGAAGAACGGATGTAGGGGGTAGATAGGGCCGACGTTCTTGTCACCATCGAAAAGAAGCATGTTCTGTAATGGTTGTTCTCGTGCAGAGAGAACGTTGATCACATCCTGTGCTAGTGCACCACCAAGGAACGCAGCAATGGGACTCAATTCGCTGCCCAGGTTCTGGAGGAACATGCGCAGAAAGACGGAGTCCAGGGACCCCATGTCAAGTTTTAGTTCCTGGTGGCTTTCACTGGCGAGCTTGGTGAAGAGTTCTAGATCGGCGTGGTTATTTGTGGGGCGGCGGCCGCCGGATATTTTTTCGAAACCCCATAGCGCGCGCAGGCAGCTTAGAAGAGGTGTGACCTGTTTGCGACGGCGGGGGAGACGGGTAAAGTCTTCTGGAAGAGGCGAGGTGTTTGCCAGGATAAGCGGCGAGTAGGACTCGCGCTTAGTGACCAGTTCGATTGTCTTGTCCGTTTTCTTGTCTTTTTGCTTGGTGGTAACCTTGACGATGCTGCGGGTTGGTGTCTCTTGGGTTGCTGGAGGCACGTTGGACTTTTCCCGCTCGATCACAAAGTCGTGGGAGATAAGGTCGGCGAAGACATAGCCATAAAGACCATGAAGACCGGAGGCGTAGAAAGGGCGGTTTGCAAGGCGACAAGCTGCGTTGATGGTTGCGTTGGTGTTGAAGTCAAGTTCCGTTGCAATTGTGATATCGAATTGGGCGAAGAAATCAGGCTGCTTTGTTCGGACGTCATCGGTATCAATGGTGAGCTTGACTCGTGGGTTCATGCGTTTGATCTGAGGACCGGCAATCTCGGCGCGCTTTGGACTGTTAGTCTGAAGAGGTAACAGAACAGAACGAAGAGACTGGGGGAATATGATCATACATTTTTCCCTTGCTTGATGAGCTCTTCATCACGGTATACCTCCTCCAAGAAGAATTGTCCTTCCAGGTCGTTCTCCGTCACCGGCTCATGGTCAATGATGGTCAGGGAACCGATACCTGCCAACACAAGGTTCTTGGCAACCTCATTTGCTAGAGCCTTCACAGTGATTAAGAGAATGTTGGCAGAGCGGATTCTGGGACAAGATGTCAGTAATCGGCGCGACTTGTTGACTTGAAATCTTATTACTTCTCTTGCGCCTGCATGCCCCATAGTCTGATTTGACGATCATATAGAGCGATCTCATCTGTGTTTCGTAAGCACTTGTTCTAAGCAAACGCAGGATACGACTTACCGGCGCTAATCTGGCCATTCTCCTGTTTTTCAGACTCAGTCATATCGGCGGTAGGACGGTGCGGAGTGGAGAGAAGGAAGAAGCTCTCCGATAAAGAAGCTCCCCACAATGACCTAATCTTATCACGTGCGAATCTACAGGGAAGCACCGGAGTCACTGTCGATCGATAGTTGTTCATCTCTTTCTTGCTCCATGGAGCAGTCTTGGCTATCATCTTTTCCGGAATTGTGAGAAGTCTGAATATCAGTCTTTCTGTTCCAGGTAAAGAATCATCCTGGCAGTATTATATTGCTCCCACTAACCACACAGTATGGTATGTTTAACATCCCTGACTTTACTTCCCAGTCTAATACGCCCCCCAAGTCAGAAAACTACGACCATCCTCCTGCTTCCTCCCGCCGGCCATCGCTTCCCAGTGATCAAAGCTCCCCTGCTGTTGTTGCCGAGAGAAGAGGTTACTACCAACAGCGACTCTATGATCTTATCAACGCCGACCCGAGCCTAGAACACGTCGCTCGCGATTTAGAGGCTCGCAGGGCGGAAGAAGCTCGCAATCTACAGCGACAGCCCTCAGATGAATACGAGTCGGATCTTGACACGATACTTTCCGACGCTCAATTTGCAAATCCCACCTCGCGCCTCTTAGACCGGTTGATTGACGAAGAGTCAAGAGAGACCCCGCGCGACAACCAATCCTCAGCCCGACCAAGAGAACGCTTGATATATCTTCGGAACTTGATCCATCAAGAAAGCAATCACACAAATACTGATGATACCACTCGTGCCTTGGAGACATTAAATCGAGAGATCGAAGATCATTACCTTGACCAAGCCCGGGATGGACGCATCACATTTCAACAAGCCTTTCATTCACTTCTAGCGATTCCCAACTTGAACCCGCGAAGAAATTTGCTGGAACAACTCCCTCCACGCCAACCAGCTCCTGTAGCCCCTTCCAGTCTTGAGCCCCGCCCACCGAGTAATAGAGGTCACCGACGTCGTTCGTTCCGACCAGACTCACGAGATACACTTCCCACACCGTCACTCATGCCTCAATCCCAGAGCAGTCGCGAACGTGAACGCCGGCAAAAGCGACGCAAGCTGGATGCCGATGATAACCGCGAGGACTCCCGTGGGTTCAACTATGGACACCAAGGCCAGGTAGTCCCTGGTGCCCTGAAAATGGAAATTGCGAGCTGTGATGGAGGCGTCTTCAACCAAGAAGGGGACAGTTTTTTCCCAGGAAATGTTTTGCGGAATGATCAAACCGTATACAGCACCAAGTCTGATCGCTGCAACTTGATTCTTCGCCACAGAGATGAAGCTCCGTTCTGCTTGAAGAAGATTGTCATCAAGGCTCCTCGTACCGGGTTCGATTCTCCGTATGTGCTTCTATATGTGGGTCCAAGACTTGGCTGACTCCAGTAGAATCCAGGAAGGCATGGTGTTTGTATCCATGACGTCGGATGAACTGCTTGCTCGGACCGCTCAATATCAGATCCAGTATTCCAGCACACGACGCCGACGTGGCTATCGCCGAATGGATCTACCACCATCCCAAGCATATTTGACTGGGCTCCGAACCCCCCTTCAATCTCTCGACCGCACTGTGCTTATGGGCCCTGATTCCAATCTGGCCACCGAGACCGAACCTTCGGGTCGGGGTACACATGATCCGCAAGCTGAATTCCGTGTTACTACCGAGTACAATGAGACCGTTGAAGAAAACGTGTTTGCAGAAAGGGAAGATGACAATCTAATTGCGTCGGTCACTGCCGATCTAGAAAGAACCAACGAACTAGACGATTTGCTCTGCTCGGACACCGATGACGACAGCCCCAGTGACGACGACGACGAAGATCATCCAATGACCCGCCGTCGACTAGAAATTCAACGTCGAATCGGCTCCGCACGCCGCTCAATGAACGGCGATCTATCTCAACGACGCCGCCAACCCCCAAGTTTGATCGACCCGATCCCTCCTCCACCCGTTCCTGGCCCAGCAATGACCACATCTAATGGCGAGGTCCTCAAGCCACATGCTCGTTTCTTCATCGAGAGGGAGAAGAGCGTGGTCAGCATTAAGTTTGATCCGCCTCCGTACGTCCTTGTCTCCCTTTATCCTTCATGTTCAGACACTAATTTCACTAGCTCTGGTCGTTTCATTCTTATCAAGCTTTGGAGTCCCCGCAGTGATGGCAATATTGATATACAAAGCATCATTGCTCACGGTTATGCGGGCCCTAGGTTCTTTCCAGCAGGCGGGTTCCGATAATATTCCTACCGATGCTATGGCTGCTTGTCAACCAGTTTCCAAGTAGCTATCTCAGATTCGGACGACGACACGATACCTTAATGAATTTATGACTATGACTGCTATTCAGGATTATCTAGATATCAAGTAGCACTGGAGTATTACCATGTATTTCGATATTCAACCCGATCGTTTCTCAAATTCCGTCATATCCATGGGCTGCCTGGTCCTCAAATGGCAATGGAACACCATATATTCCATGGTTAAGGAGCAATATCTTCGGCTATACTCGCATACTTCACTTCCTCCACGCTAAGTAGGCGAATGCGTCTTCGGATTAAGGCTCAAGCATTTGAAATACACTTTGCTAAGACCTTCTCTAATCACAAGAATGAGCTTTGTTGGTAGAAATTATTCCCCAGTTATCACCATTTTCATAGATGTTCTTCGCGACATCATGATATCACCTATTATCGCCCAGCCCGAAACGCACAGAGTTTAAAAGATACCTTGCCATTTGTCTCAACTTCTTGACCCTGTTCGTTATGACGGTAAAAGGAAACCTGCATTCGGAAAAGATGATGAATGATATCCTTCTCTTTCCTTGGTTTATGAGACCCCACCCTCATGAGTGCACGGTGCATCCTCGGACCAAACATGCGTTCAAGAAAGACATCGGAACGGCAACGGGTAAGAATTTGGTCTAAAATCTCACTATACCAAATTGAGGGACGTGGATTCTCACCGGCCATCCTGATCCAAGGCAGGCACTTGCGGATTTGACCACGTATGGTACCAGGGCCTGGTGTGCTGGCCTTGCATTCTAACGTGCGAAGAAATTGGACGTTCTGATCACCGATTCCAAGCAGGAAGACATGCAGAGTTCGCAAGTCGGGGAAGTAGAACTTGTTCTGGCTGTAGAATACCTTTCGCGCTTCAGCGTAGATTTGTGAGCTTGTGCTCATAATCGCCAAAGGGTTGTGGACCCGTGAAGTGAATGTTATCTCCTCTCGAAAGGTTTGGGAGCAGCTGACGGAGTCAAATTCTAATGGTATACCGCGGCGTTTTGGGACCCGTTCCACATCCGAACCTTCAAATGTGATTTTTTCGTAGCCAAAAAGATATTCGTAGATCATGAGCCGAATTTCTGATGGGTTTGTAAGCCACGCGAGCTTCCGGCAAAGTGATGAGAAGTGCAACTTACCGAACGGTAGATTTGTGAATCTGAAGACGGGCTTATCAGATCCTTTGCCTGGACGGTCCAGACCGACGAGGTACCGTCTCCAACCAGAGCTGGAGGGTTTCTGGTGTCTTTCAGCCTCCCAGACATCACGGTTGACAATGCTTGTTATTTCCCTGGCATCATGGATTCCATCGAGTGGGCGTCGCCAATTATTCTCAAAATAGGCGTGATTGGTGAGATGGATGTAAAGTCCATGCCCATTCTTGTAGGCCATACCGCAGTAGGGACACTGACGCGCCATGGTACAATGAAGAGGAAAGCGATAGTTAACTGAGAACGAAAGGAAGAGTGCAAAGGAAATAAATATGGATGATGATAGGCAGAAGGGCGGAAAGGAGAAGAGAGAACGTTGTGAAGGGAACATGTCCTGGTGTTAGTTTGAAGGTACGAGAGCGTCCTGTAGATCGATGGTGGACATCCCTGCCATAGTTCAGTTTGCTGAGTTGCTGCTTTGATTAAGAGTCATGGACGTGCTGAACAATGCCGTACTTGTAACTAATTATGAGGATAAGATCAGGTGGGAAGTATAGTCAGGAGAGAAGTCAAATTTTTGCGTATTTCAGGCTGATATAAGGAGATGCACTTGGCTTCAGAGCAAAGCTGAAGCATCTTGTGCCACTCGATGCAGTAGCTGACCTTCAAATGCTGACACTGAAACTTGAGATAGCGGGCATTACTACGGTGTCGGGAGGCAGACTGGAGTAGGCCCAAGCAGACATAATCATACAGCATGAATTACTCATGTCGTAGAAGCACAAGCTTCACGTAGGAACAGGGATCCGAGCCAAAAGCATGAAACACTACAGGAAGCAGATAGAAGAGACGAATGAGAACCAGGAGCCTTCATCTCTATTTCTTGATTATTTACATCAATGATACTGATGAGTTGTGTAGTCAATTTTGAGTCATTTCGTGCTGTGGAGGAAGAAAAGTGTGTGTGGATATTCTCTAGAAGTGGAGATGAAGATATTCGCAAGTCTGTTGCAGCTTTGGCGACATATCTTGGAAACTGACTAATCAGCAACATTCCACACTACTACTGTTACCTCAGATTTAGCTCATTGTCATATATCGAGAGTGGCTATATGGTTCTTAAAGATAGTGGTTCTAAGCAGAGCTGATATTCGATTTTAAAAAAGCCCTGGAGACCGAGTTCCGCAGCCTTGGCTGGATACGAAGTCATCGTGGCGGTAAACATCTGACCCGTGAGAGTGATTGACATCTAGGTGGTCAGCACCAATCTGGAGAACAGCGATGCCTTCCAGACTTTCTCCCGTTCCTCTTTGGCCTCCTTCCGGACACGCGTCTTCGCGGCTGCTCACAGCCACAGCTGTCGGTTGTACCAGATGTGCTGGTGAGCACGACTCGCGTGGTGTACTCCTTGAGACACCCTCTCTCACTCACTTGTCTCACTCTTCACTCGATGAGCAACGCTGTTGACATTTGCAGACTTGCCGATCTCCAATCTTCAATCCCAAATCTCCCCAAGACCGTGCCCAATCACCACGGAGGTGATTCGACTGCTGGGTTATGTTTGTTTAGCACTTGCCATCTCTATTTACGGGCGTACTGCGACCTCGCAGGCCCCCGGGTCAAACCATCAAAGATGATTTGACCAAAACTTTGTGACTGGCTAAATCTTCTTTGTGCTTTTACGGCTATTTCTTTTGAATGATACTTTCCAAATTTGCAAGTCCCGGGCTCTCGAGTCAACATTATGTGGTCGTTGCTGCCAATCTTACGCAGACAAAGAGTGACTTCTCTACGAGCCAACTCAAAGTCCATTCTTATCATCATCATCCTCTCTTCACGATTCCCATTTGTGCATTCTTGCTACTTTTCATTTGAACAACTCAGTTTCTTGACATCATGCCTAAGAAAAGAGGTAACGCGGCTTCCGGAAGAGGTCAACCAAAGCAGCTGCGTCGGGCCAGGATTCCTTCGGCCGAAACCTCACAGGTCTCTCAGGTCAGTACGCATCATCTTTACGTATAACTTAACTAACACATCCCCCGCATAGCAGCAGCACCCGCAAGACCTTCAATTCATTATCTCGGGAGTCCTGTCTGACGACAATACGATTAATGATCAGAGAGCCAACATCGCCGCTGAGGCAAACCAAGCCACATATCGCACCGTTCACAATCATCGAATCATGGCCAATGATCAAGGTGCATCTATTTTTGAGTCGCTAGAACAGATGAAGGAAGAAATCAGGGACATTCGCCAAGAGCTTCACGACGTTAAGACAGAGCTTCACGACGTTAAGACAGAGCTTCACGACGTTAAGACAGAGCTTCACGACGTTAAGACAGAGCTTCACGACGTTAAGACAGAGCTTCACGACGTTAAGACAGAGCTTCACGACGTTAAGACAGAGCTTCACGACGTTAAGAGAGAGCTCAGTGAAGTCCGAGAGTCATTGTTAAACATCAGAGAGCGAAACTACCTCACGTTTCTATGTGATCATGTTACCGGGTATAACAGAATTCACAAAGATTGCATCTGCATCTTGACTTCTTCAGAGGTTCATGGTGGTGACGCTCTGCTAGATGCTTCTATGTTCCTTTCGCGACGAGATGACTTTCCAGAAGAGCGGCGCCTCTTTCAACGAATCTATGGCCTAACTGCTGAGAAGCTCCAAGAACTCCGTGAGTTCTATCTACTAAGCTCGTGGGACTATAGCTAACATGACTCATAAACTAGGGTCTACTACACACCCGTCTATTCTCCGTGTGTTAAACACTGTTGGCTACGCCCACCTATCAGGTAAAATCGCCCTCAGGGAGGAAAAGCTGGAGACAACATTCGACCGGGTCGTGGAGTTGGTGGAAAAAGGAGAGATTGAGGAGGCAGAGAGGCTTGCGAGCGCACTCTCTTCGAACGATTTCTCCTACCAATGCGATGAGTAAGAACCTGGATGTCATGGCCTCGATGCTCCAGCTTCTTGAGTACTTCGCTATTTGTGTGATTGTGTCTTGTGTGTCTCGCTACCTGTATGACTACCTTCTTGCGTGTTTTGCTGCCTGCATGATTACCTTCATGCGTGTTTCGCTACCTGTATGACTACCTTCTTGCGTGTTTTGCTGCCTGCATGATTACCTTCTTGCGTGTTTTGCTGCCTGCATGATTACCTTATGCGTGTTTCGCTACCTGTATGACTACCTTCTTGCGTGTTCCGCTGCCTGTATGATTAGCACTTTGCGTGTCATTGTAATAAGAATATCTGTATCACAAGGAGAATCTCTCACTGTTATCCTTCAAGCCTATCTTGGTCTAGAATCTCGAGCAAGCTCTCTTAAATAGCGTTTATGGGTTGACGCCCACCCACCCTCCATTCTGTTTCTCCTCCATCCTCCCTAACTCTCTCGACTCTCCCATCCTGCAACCCAACTCGAACGCTTGCCAGTGCAAATTTGTGATCTCCGACCTGTAAATTATCTTCGGTTTAATGACATGCCTTGTGTCTACCACTCTATTCATCACTCTTTGTCGCTTCGGTCCTTCAACTCTTGGCTTCATATCGACACTTGCACCAATGCATCACCGTCAATGAGAAAGCTGAATACCGCACCAAAGAACCTGCTGAAGCTGATATCCAGCCACCATAGCCTAGCAGCCCTGACAACCACAACCGTTTTTTTTTAACTAGCGTCTGCGGCGAAATCTCCTATCCGATGGTTCTCAAGGATCGCATGGGACTGCGCAGGGGAGAAAAAGAGGGCAGGCGGGGTGTTGAAAGAACTACCTGAAACGCCAATGAAGAAAGTCCTAAAATTCTGGGATAGTTAGTGGCGTGCATCATCCTCGATTGTGTTGCAGACCCGTACTGGCATCATCTGTCTTCATCGGCATCTCTCGAAAGACAAGGAATCTTCCACACTGCTCGTGATCCATTCCACCCGCGCTCTTATATCCCATAACATCTCGCACATCGTCCTTAATCCAAATGTTGCGACTGAGACTGTGAACGTGGCGTATACTCAGGATGATCATGAGGCCCTCCTGCGATCGCGGACCTCTGTACGGACTTTTTGGAGAAAGCTTCGAGGCTTGATGCTGTTCCCATTCGATTCGATGACGAATGTCAGGTGGTGCGCAACATGGGCAAAACCATGAACAAAATTTTAGAAGTCAATGTGGAGAGCGCATACTGTCTTGTAGAACCAGGTAAGAGAACTAGTCAATTCTTTGTATATGGCTTACACAATTTCAGGTGTAACTTTCCAAATGCTGTATGACTATCTTGCACGTCGGGGTGGGTATTGCTTGGATTTATCTGAAAAAGTGGGTGAAGGCAAGACCACAGTTTGGCGATGTTTTCTTGGAGTAGCTCCATACAATCCCTCATACATGATGTGAATCAGATCTTACTAAGATCCTACACTCTTCTAATTCTCGACGTCTGCGAATTTGGTATATCGGCATTGTAAAAGTCTGATTGCTGAACAAGCTTACTAGGACCTTTGCAGCCTAGAGCAGCCTAGCGGGCCCACAAATATCGCTTTTCCCCCCACTAAAGGGTCCAGCTAAAAAGCTACAAAAAACTCATCCAAATTGGCAATCGCAGATCGGAATGTCTCCAATTCCATTCTGGCAGCTCCCCAAGCTTGTAGAGCGGGATGACCCCACACCAACATGGATGGTAATTTTTCTATGCCCGATGACGGAGGAGGAACGCGACAAAATCATGCAAAGACTGATCACTGTTGATGGCGACTGGCCTGATCGCCCTTCTTGTGAGCCGAGGCGATTGTTGCAAGTTCCTTGGTTGATTGATACGCCTGCACACCCGTCGATTCTTTCCTCTATCGTCAAACGGGCGGAGATAACCGAGTCCTTGATGTTTGTTGATGAGCAGTGCTTGAAAGATGAACAGGTCATTTTGGTGAATTGCGAACAGCCCGAGGAGAGATTTGGAACTTTAAGAGCTCCTATTCAAAGAGCCAATGTTCTCTTGAGTGCCGCGGCTGAAGGCATTGTCCTTCAGGGATCAATGCCACTCCCCGATAGCTCCGAGGCGATAATAGTACGTAGCATTTCTTCTCACAAATGCTCAATCTCAACTAACTTGATATAGAAACAAGGAACAAAATCCTATGGTGAAAATCCAATCTTTATCCTTGAAGAAATGACCGAGGAAGAGATTCAGAAAATCAAAGATCTTTTTTCGAAAACCGAGGACCAGTTCGACTGCGACTTGGATTGGGTGGACGTCTCGAGCAAAATCGAGACCCCTGATATAGAAGGCCTTCTTGAGTATTTCGAATCCGAAGAACACGAAATGCAAAGCCCGCCGCGTTATTTTCTCGCAGTGGATCGTGACGCTTTGAAATTTGCCACTCACCCCAAAGGAAAGGGGACGCTGGAGGCTGTGATCCTTGCATCGCAGGAAGCTGGGGAGCTCCAGTTCTCTGACGATCTGGGTGATAAGCACAGTGATGTGTGTATGGGATATGGCGTTGTACCAAGGAGTGTAGAAGATGCTATGATGGCTGTGTTGAACCTTTCATTGGCTAATATGGACTTTTGTGAAATAGTCTCTGGGTATGAATATGTTTTTTGGAAGGGATATCAGGCTTGGGTGGATGCTAATATGGCTGATTATGGCGAGGAAGGAGACAAGTCATTTTCGAGTGTTTGGGTTCCTGGAGAAGGTCGAGTTGACAGTGAAGAATATTACTAGGACTGAAAATATTCTATTACCCCTGATATCTATGTCTTCCACTGAATGTTCATGCAACGCAAAAGCTCGAAGGTGGTCCTAGGTAACTTTCCTTGACACCGCCAAGATCTAGAACAATCTTCTCCAGAAGCAAGTTTGGATGGTTCAACCGTACCCTGATTTTATGCGCACCTGAATCTAGAGAGCCAATGTGATGAGTCTTCTTCCAGACACAATCCATGACAGCATCTAGCCAGCCTTCTGCAGGGAGCTTAGCTTTGCCAGTGGATTCATGGACTAAGATATGAGATGTAGAAGGCTGATCATCGATTTCAAAATCATAGGACATTTTGTTGTTCGGGTCCAGGTCCAGTGTCATGTTGAAATAAAGAGTAACAGTCGGCAGCTCACAATGAGAGAGTGTGCATATAGAGTACTCCAAGAACGGGACATCAATAGCATTACTTAGAGCATCAGCGTCAATGGTGACTGAGCCTTCGCTTCCTCGTCCCAAATCATAATGATGAATGTATGTTGCCTTGAGACCGCTAACAGCAGGAATAGAGACACCTCCATCTGCTTCCACGAAGCCGTGAAAAGAGCTGGGGAACCTGTGACCATGAACAGGAAGATGAATGTTTTCGAAATCACCCTCCATCGATTTAACGGTAATCAGAACCTCCTCTTCAAAGTCTGTCTCAACCTGATCCCAATCGATATGGATCCAGATCCGTGCATCGTCGCCATCAGGATACAAAGTTCCCTCTCCCAACGAAATAAGAACCCACGGATAAGGTGCCGACGCTGTCCAGCGAATTTTCTGTGTTCCTCGAGTGAAGATATCAAACCATCGTCCCTCAGGTCCATACCGATTCATTGGTCCTAGTGTCAAACCAGGCACCAGATCCCGACGACTAGGATGAGTACGTTCGCTTTCTTCATTGATACGGCCTGCTCGAATACCCTCATGGCCCTCGACCGCGATACCCATCTGACCCACAATCGGGTTACTATCCTGACCCCGCTGAACATATGCCAGTCCGAAAATTGCGTCCCGCGATGGTGCATGCCAAGTATCACCGTAACCGAGATGGCTCTGGCACATAATGTGATTCCATTTGCCATCCAAAAGTGAGTGGAATTCCTGTGAGAGCTTGAAGTCGGCATCAAATAGATCAAGGACTTCTCGGAGAAGTTTGTTCGCAGTGTTGCGTCTTTGGCGGGCGTACAGCTGGTTTCGGGCTTGGGTTACCCGGAGATGGGTGAAGATAGAACTGGCCTTTACTGGGTGAACGACGAGTTCCCAGATTGCTGGTTTTTGTTCCTCATCGGCTTGTTCGTAGATCGCCTCTGCGGCGAATGAAAGTTGCTTCCACCGCTTGATGATGCTGTCGGCTTCGTTGTAGTTCAGGAGTGAGAACGTTTCTGGGTCGATGTGCTCATGTCTGCGGAGACGGATGAGACGATCGTATTCGTGCCAGATATTAACAATCCCCGGACTCAGATTTGCGCCAAAATTTTTGTCGGAGATATCGGCCAGAAATCGAGGAATACTGTCTTCCTGGACCGAGTCGATGTTCCATGCCATTTCCATGGCGAAGGTAAGAGGAACCTCAATGGGTTTGATGTCGCCGACATTGAACACCCATATCTTCCGCGCATTCCGGCGATATGCTTCACTGAGCTGGTGATATGTTTTACCCTACACTTGTCAGTCACGTTCATCCAAGGCGTATCTTGACTTACCAACGAGTTTGAGTTAATCCATTTGTAACTCCGAGGTGCCCCGACATATTCAAAATGATAGTATATACCCGCGCCTCCTGGACGAGTCAATTCAGCTCCGGACGGCAATCGCCGCAGAGAGCCGAAGTTATCGTCCGCAAAAAGAAGAGTCACATCATCAGGCACAGTAAACTCGCCTGCCTGGTACAGATCTTGAATTTCTTTGTAAAGAGCAAGGACTTGAGGAACGGCATCCTCCCGCCCATAGACCTCCTTGAAGAGAGCGCGCTGTTGCAAGAGCACATCCCGGATAACAGCACCGGGATCATCGGTCACCATTCCCTTGTCATATTCGCCCCGAATACCCAACGTGAAATAGGACTCAAGGCCCTCGGCTCGTCGAACGCCCTTACGAAAGAACTCGATAATCTCTTCCCGGCTCTTGTTCCAGTCCCACGTCCCGTCTGCACGTGGCTCCTCCTCAAACCATTCAGTTGTAGCCCGCTGCATCGGCTCGTGATGCGACGTCGACACACAGATCCCGTATTCGTCCGCAATGCGCTGATTCTCTGGGTCATCCATGAAGAAGACAGCTCCAGGATTCGGGTATCCAGGCCACATAGCTGGCCACATGAAGTTGGCTTTCAAGCGAAGCAGTAACTCGTAGACCTTCTTGTAGAAGTCACTGTTGTAGGACCCGAACTTCTCCAGCACCCATCCTGTCAACGCTGGTGCTTCGTCATTGATAAATATGCCTCGATATTGGATGCTCGGCTCGCCGTGAATTGTTCGGTTAGGGAGGGCATAGATCTCTGGGTGAAATTGGGCTGGGATATCGGCCCACCAATACCATCTGCATTGTTAGTAAGACACGGTCTAGAATTGGAGTGTGATGAGCTTACGGAGATACACCAATTTGGCGGGACAAGGTGTATGCGCCAAAGATCGCAGCTCGCTTGTCACTTCCAGCGATGACCAAGGCCTTGGAGCATCCCGTAATCGGATTGTCCACGACCGCAGTCATGAATGTTTCCCATTTTCCTTTGATCGCACTGGTGTCGACTTTTCCTTCTCTCTCAAATTTTCTGAGCATCCAACTCGACTCAATACAACCAATGATGATAGCCGTGCTTGTATTCAGAGGGGTCAGTCCAGCCTCATCCACGAGCTGGAACGGATTCGCGTTATCCCGTGTCACTCGACCGAAATCGTTGGCCAAGTCTTGACCGGCATGCTGAATCCCAACGAAGTCGACCGGGTCAACGAGAATGGGAGCTCCGACGAGATTGAGAAGGTTCGCAGACCCCTCGAAAGTTACGAGCTGCTCTTCAAACATGATGCTATGTCATGCCACAGTAGAATGACGCGGCGAACTTCCACCATTTTCATGTCGGCTATAATGCGGAGCTACCCACCCCACCTCCGCATGACGGACCGACGGCATCGGGTACAGCTTGAAAGGATTATCGGGGAATCAACCTCAATTGCGAATAGGCCTCAAGCATCTACCCACAGTGCCTGATAGGTACCGATCGAGTAGCTACACCTGCATCAATTTCCAGCTTCACATTTACGAGTTTACCCATTACAGGACAGCCTCCCTGCAATTCGGAATCGGCCCTGGGCTTGCCTTTCCAAGTCGTGGCTTGCGGGATAACCGTTCGGGAGACAACAACCCGAGCGTGGCCGTGGGGGATGATGGCGGACTGGCCCGGTGGATCCAGACTAGGGTTGTTACGGCCAACTCCGTTGCCGGCCAAGCAATCAGAGTTTGGGCTCGGTGCTCTTGTACCGAGCTTTTTGGCTCGAGGCGTCACTAGTTCCACTTTGATGAGAATTAGTCTCGCTTGGTCAAAAACCCGACCAGGGATGGCATGTTCAAAGCGTGGGGGACAGGGACATTCCCCACGGGGCACATGTTCAGGTTCACCCCCGCTTCCCCGGATAAAGGAGTGTAATATTCTTCCCCTTCTCCTACTCATAATTTACAGTTACGGTTGGCGCACGGAAGATATCTTGGCTTCAACTTACCTTCAATCGGGATTATCAACTGCTTCTTTCGTTCCGTTGGGTCTTGACTGCCCAGAACGCACTCAGAATGGCCAAGACGGAGAACCAGGAGATTGAAAATGTGGCTGGCATGAACAATTTCAGCGAGCCACAGAAGAATCACACGGATTATAGTCAAGTTGACAAGGAAATTGCCAAGTACGCCACCGATGGCGCTATCGAGATCGACGAAGCCACCAATAAACGACTGAAGAAGATGATCGATAAACGGGTGCTGGTGGTGATGATGTTTACATATTTGCTGCAGACTTTGGATAAGGGTGCGCTGTCTTTTGCCTCGATTATGGGCATTAAGACCGATGCGCACCTGGTGGGTCAGCAGGTAAGAGTGCTCTGAACTCTGTATTGCTGCTATAACTGACTGCCATAGTACTCATGGTTGACTACTATCGTTTATATCGCTATCCTTGTCGTTGAATATCCGGTGCGTATCACATATTCATGCCGAGTGGCAGATGCTGATACCTAATAGGAAAACTGGATCATCCAGCGAGTTCCCATCGGAAAGTGGCTCTCCATCAATATTTTGTTATGGGGTATTTGCATCTCCCTGATCGCTGCCATGGACACATTTGAAGGATTAGCCACTCTTCGTGCATTCATGGGTGTCTTCGAGGCTGCTTGCCAGCCGACCTTTGTCGTGTTATCGGCAACATGGTACAAGAGAGAAGAGCAGGCCAGTACCATCAACTTCTGGTGAGTATTCTACCAAACAACTATCAAAAATAATCATTAACATTCCTAGGTTCATGATGAATGGTCTCCAGAACATCATTGGTGGCCTGCTGGCCTTCGGATTCTCCTTCGTACCCTCCACTTCCCCAATCAAATCGTGGCAGGCCCTCTTCATGAGCTACGGAATTATCACCGTAATCTGGGCCATCTTTGTCTATTTCTGGTTACCTGACTCCATTATGCGTGCCAAGTGTTGGTCCGAAGAAGATAAGCGTCTGATGGTTGAGCGAGTGCGACAAAACCAGACTGGTCTACAGAACCGAAACTTCAAATGGGAGCAAGTGAGAGAGGCCTTTGCTGATCCACAGCGTATGTGGTCCAATGATACAGTTGCAAAATATATACTAATGAATTTTAGTCTACGCATTCGCTCTCATCCAACTGTTGACTACCATTCCTTCCGGGGGCATCGGTGCGTTTGCCAACATCATCGTCAGCTCATTCGGTTTCAGCACCTGGGCGAGTCAACTCCTATTGATGGTCGTCGGAGCTGTCACAGCCATCACGATGATATCCTCGGCCTACCTTGACCGCTACTTCAAGCAGACCATCATAATCATGATTCTCTCTTTAGTTCCATCAATCATCGGCACTTCAATCCTAGTCGGAATCCCATTCTCGTCAGATAAAAAAATCGGCATGCTAATTGCATACTTCATTTTCTACTCATTCTTCGCTGTTCAGTCGCTTGGCTTGAGTTTGATGTCTCGAAATGTGGCCGGTCAGACCAAGAAATCCATCGTCATCGCCTGCAACTTTGTTTTCTGGGCTGGTGGAAATGCCATTGGACCTCAGATTTTCCGAGACAAAGATGCACCACGGTATTATCTTGCCTTTGCAATTATTCTGGGCTGTTTTGGACTGTGTCTTATTCTTCTTATCGCGCTGCGCATGTGGTACAGCATTCAGAACCGCAGGAGGGATGCGAAGATTGCATCTGGGGAGGTTGTGCCCGATGTTAACTTTACACATGCTTTCGAGGATATCACGGACTGGAAGAACCCTCACTTTAGATATAGCTACTGATTTTGAGATCTTCTTTCATCACGACATTGTACATAGAATGATTTGCATCAAAACAGGATTGCGCACCATAAGAATATTTGAGATAAATTCGAGTGATGTAGGATTGTAAAAGCAAAGCTAACTCCAAAGCCACATAATCAACATGATTCAGATCCAATTTCACTTTTCCGATCAATCGTAACCTCGACATCATGCTGAACCCGAATATAATTCAGTCCCAGATATTCCTCGAGGGGATTCAAATCCCGATCAGGCTCGGGACTAGCCTCAACCCGAGCAGCATGAGCAAATAACCTAACAACATCATCCTCCTTCTTACCACCAAAGGAATCGATAGGTGTAATACTGCGTTCCATGCTACTCGCGTTCATACTAGCTCCAGTCCCGTGGAAGATCTCACGAATAGAACCCCTTGCTCGAGAAGGCATATGTTTCCGAATGTAGTAGTTGTGTTCGAGTTGAAGTGCCCATTGCACGATTGGCTGCATTGCTGGAAGGCACGAGCCAATCACTGAGATACAAGGTTCGATCGTAGACCAGAGGCATACTGGTGCTATGGTCCAGGTTATGTCGATAAGACCATCACCTTTGATTTTTGTTAAGTAGTGAATTCGGATGACGCTTGCAGCAAAGACACTATTGTAAAACCGTTAGTATCACCTAGATGAGCATTATTGGAGGCCGGGAGAGACATACAAACATCCCAAGAGCAAAACAAGAGAGACCATAATCTTCTGCGCAACACGCATCTTCAACCGCCAAACAATTGGGATCGGAACTGCCATAACGAGGAAGTCGCAAACCACATTCGTAGCAGCGTTGCCGATATAATAGTTATAAAAACTGTATCGATAATGTCCGCCTGTCTCATCGGCAATTTGTGTCCAGAAATATGAGATTGGCGCGGGCGCAAAGCAAAGGGCGACGGTGCATCCGATGAACCAGCCGATAGCGAAGAAACAAGCTAGCCAGTTGAGGGGATTCATGCCGAAGACGCGGCGGTAGAACATAAGGATTGAGATCTTGATCATGCAGAGTTCGAAATTATAGATTACTAGGGATACGAATAGCATCTTGATCGTGTTAGTGAATGTTTAATCCTTGTAGATTGGTTAGCGTACCTTTTTCATGGTGATCATGTGCCCGACTGTACAGAGCCAAACATGTTTCCCGAGTCCGTAGTGATCGGCTAGAGAGTATTAGATAACGTTGAGGCAGTGAAGCGGATTGGTACATACCGACGAAATTAATGGCGAATAATGCCCCGAGGGGAGCCTGTTCATTCAGTCAGAGCTTAGAATGACATATCGATTTGCCTCCAAACTCACCATGGCAATAATCATAATCCAGTCATCGACTCGCAGCGTCTTATTAGTACGGATGCGAACATAGATGCGTATCGGTAGAACGATCGCTGCTAAAGCACACACGACAATGATGGCGATATTATTACCAAGATTTTGGTCTTGGGAGAGATCCACCCCCGCCGGCGGGGGTGAGAGCTCTGCGATAGTTGTTGACAGATTCATCTGTGCAGTCTGCCAGCAGACGATGACACGATGACGAGGATCAGGCTTTCTTCTCGTCTTCTCTTCGCTAGTCGCCTATCACTTCGGTCGCCTATCCTGGAACCTCAAGTGCTGGTGCTGACAGTATAAAGGTAGGACCAGCAAGGGTCACAAAGTAGAGCTCGCGCATGCCGGATCAGCCATCAACTTAAGGCAGGGCAGGACTGAAATAGCTACATGACCATGTGGCGATTCCCCCGCTACGACCCGTCATAGCGAATAATAAATGCAGAAAAAAGGATGGGCATTGGGGCCATTGTGGTAATCTTGGGGGCCGGGGAACTTTGTACAGGAAGAGTGGGTTTTGACCCCCAACTTGTTAGATTAAAGTCAAGTTCGCTGTTTTCGCGTACCCAAATGGGGGCGGAAGTATACTTTCTCGGTCTGTGATTGGCTGAAAGGACATGATCCTGAAGGATTTATGCCAAGGATGATAACTCCGGTCTTGCAAGTATTTTAATCTGACTTGCATGGAAATGCCAAAAAGAGGGGAGACTATATTTGAGAGACTGGATAATCCATGGATTCGTCTTGGATTAAGTTTAAGCATGTGGAGTGAGGGTGACCCCGGGCCGTATGTTGGGATGCAGGGAAGTTACTGAAATTAAGATTCGCAGGGTTGCAATCTTTGTCCACGGCAGCCCCAAATGCATGGCTGGTGAGGGCGTAATGGTGTGCTCGATACATGGGCCTGTATGCAGGGTGCGTCACTGATTGTGCGTTATGATGTACCTGTTGATCCTGTGGGGGCCATAGTATCCCAGTTTACGCTTATCTAGCTGCATAAGTTACGGGAAAACGAGGAATTGTTGTATGAGGAATATCTAGTTGGCTAACCTTGTCTTTCTGTCTCTCGGGTTTATCAGCCTGTTTTGAACCAATCCCAAAATGAGCTGCAAGGCTGGGTAGCGTTATTACCACAAATAGCTCTGTTCGCCACAAGCATTTCGATAATAATGGCTTCAAGTCAGCAAGTAAGCAAGTCAGCAATCGAAACTCCTTTCTAGAAGCCAGTTGTAGGTTTATCTGAAACACACAATGGTTCTCGCAGTTGTTTCAGAACCTAAAGATCTACAGGTCACCGAACTGGATCCACCTCTTTACCGAACAGCCCACTAAGATGTCTCTGGACCCAAGGATGAAGTGGACCAAACGCGCTTGCTACCGATTGTGAACATAGTATGCGGTAAGTCCTGAGATTATACGTCACAAGGCACGGGGCACAGGGCACAGGTTATTTCCCGTTTTGACATTCGGTCATGTCATGTCATGGTCTCCACCCAGAGGAAAAGACCCAAGTCTGTACCTTGCATACAAATGGCTATGTTGTGAGTTTATTGTGAGTTTATTGCCAGGGTGAGAGACCCTGATAATAGAAAGGTTTAAAGGCAGCCCCTTCGAACCTGGTCCTCCGCAATGTGCAAAGAAACCCACCCATCTAAACTGAAGACCCTCCAGCAGTCTTCATTGATCCTATAGCCGATGTGCTCAAATTAGGAACTGTGATCATACCACTATAGTGGCCAAAGCCATAGCCACAGCCTCAGCCAAAACAGAAGAACTACCAGGTTGGGATTGGCCACTCAGAAAGGATCCGTATCACGAAGCCCGTGCACCACCACCCATTGCCTCATTTGGAACAACTAAAACAGAAGAAAGAGCCGCCCTTAAAGCAAAAGCCTTGGGAGGCGCAGGATTCTCAAATCTTCAGATTTGAAGAGGCGTTGTGCGTTAATATTCAAGTGTCCATCACATCATTACCCTGTAGAAGTATTGATATTCACCCCAATGTAAAAGAAGTCTGGAGATAGGTACAAACAGCTTGCATACACTCAAATCAAAGCTTCCACTGATTCTTCTGGTATTGGCGAGGCCATACACCCGATTTGCCCGGCGCCATAATCCCATTAGGGTCAATGGCATTCTTCAGAAGCTCATTGAATTTCAAAAAGGCTCCATCATTCCAATTATAGGTACCCATAATCTGATCCATGACAGCCAAGTGCGTCCGATACTCTCCCCAACCCTTAGCAGCACAATCATCAATAAGTGTTTTGATCAGCCAGTGTGCTTTTTTCTTCTGTGCGGCATCCTTTTTGTTGAATACAATACAGACAATGTGATCTGAAGCTGAGATTAGTTGAAGATACCAATGAGTAATGGGAAAATACGTACGCATCTCTCGCATGCCAATCGTGAAAGTTCCGATGAAATCTAGACCGGCTTCGTGGCATCTCTTCTTCGTTACGGCGTATTGCTCCATCGCGTCCTTTCCTTGGACCGGGGCAATTGGTGAGAAGAATAGATGAGCTCCGTTGGGAAGCCAGTCTATCCATTTGAGTTCATCGTACGTCGGGATACCCTGCATGGTCTTGTGTCGGATGCGAAGGACCGAGTTCTCGGGTGTGTCCTCCGGGAAGAAGAACTGAGCGCCCGGTATGGCGGAAAAGGCCTCTTTGACGGCGGCCCAAAGGGCATTTCGAATCGGTTCGGGGCCCTGCAATAATATTAGTATCCTATTCAACCCCCGTGGGTAAGAAACCTCACATAAAGTGCTCCGTAGAAATTCCATCTGCCAAGTTTGAGCTTCTTGGCAATTGCATCCAAGTCTTCCTCTCCGAGTGGCTCGGTCTTCGAGGTATAATCCTTCTTGGGCCCCATGACTGCGGCATCCATCAAGATATGCCGGATGGTAGGAACATTTTGAAGCGCCATGTTCAACCGAAGCGGGCGGATAATATCAACTGCCAGCTTCAAGTCCTCTTCCCGGGGAATGGTTACAAGGTAAGACTGATACCCACCTGGATTAGGCATTAGCCACATCCCAAGCTTTGTCACGATACCAAAGTTCGACTGGGTAAAGATCCCATCGACATATGGACCGAATCCATAATTGAATAGCTGGGCTGTCTTGTTCCACGGCTGATCTTCTGGTTTGAGACCTGTTGTCTCTGGACGGCTAGGGTCTGGGAGAGCCCCCATTCCTGTTCGTAGAAGTTCGCCATTGGGAAGAATGACTTCCATACCGCTGTGCATCATCCAGTGGTCTGATAGGTTAGTTGATGGCAGTAGTGTAGTATTTGTGATACGTACCGCCATACGGTGTGTAGCCCACACCGCGTTCCATTGTATTTCCAAGGACAGAACCACCGCCGATGTCAGGGGTGTCGATCCAGAGTTTGTCTTGTAGGTTATTGGCGACGAGATAGTCATACAGCATTTGGAAAGTTACACCTGAAATTATGTAAGCCATATCCAAAGAATTGGCTTGTTCTCTTACCTGGTTCTAGAAGACAGTATGCGCCCTCCACATTGACTTCTAGAATTTTGTTCATGTTTTTGCCCATGTTGAGCACCAGACTGCCTGATACACGAGGCGCAGCACCGCCATATCCAGAGTTTCGTCCGATGGAAATCGGCCAAAGGGGGAATGACAGCGTGTTAGCTAGTCGGACGATCGCTCTGTTTCACACGTTAGTAGGCTTCTGTAATTCTTGATGTTCTGCACATACTGAACGTCGGAAACATTTCGAGGCGCTACTACCGCAGAGGCAAGGAAATAATCCTGCTCCATCACATGGTGAGGGTCGTGTGTATATGTCGGATCCATGTATGACTTGTCGTCAATTTGATCCTTGGACGTAATGATGTCGACATTCTCGACACCAACGAGTATGGTTATCTCTTCGATGAATTTATTGAAATCGGCGAGGGTCACCTTGGGAGGCAGCGCCAAAGGAGTGAACTTGTGAGAATCAGACATCTTTTGAACGAGTCTTGAGATACTTTAATGAGGAATTGCGAAAGCGACGAAATTTGGAGAGCTGGTTTCATCAAATACCTGGACCCGCTGTCATGCATTGTCTGACGAATACCACCCCGTCCACACCCTTGATTGCAAGCGAGCTCCACCTTGCTTCGTGTCAACGCTTCAAGTGCTATAATGGGAAATGATAGCCAGTGATGAACTTAGGGGTCAGCTGAAGCTACCACAGCGGTGTGGTGATAGGGAGGAGAAGCCCCACTGACATCACGTCTAGATGGGGCCGAAGAGGGGAAGAATGGAGTATCTCGGCAAATGCACCTGAGGTGTTCATGTCAAGTGATATATCTCTAAATAGAACCATCTAAGCAAACAACAAGCTTCTTACCCTCCAAGTCATTCAAGCGCTCCATATAAGAATTTAGTAATGGCATGGCAACCATTATGACCTTCGGCACAACCACACCTCGACGCACAAACTCCGCGGCCTCGGCAATATCAGCTCGATCCCCCGTAATGCTGCCGATCATTCTAATTCCATAGTCAATCAAAGTCAGTGGATGAATCGACATCTTCAACGGTGGCGGCGGGATTCCAACGGCAACAAGCGTCGCGAAATAATCCAGACACTCGATCGAAGACTCATACGCCGACACAACACCCGCACAAACGATAGCAGCCGCACAAAGCTTCCCACCTGTCTCCCTCAATACCGCGCTCTTCAAGTCCTGATCCTCTTCATAATCGATGTAGATCTCCGCCCCGGCCTCGATGACAATCTCTCCCCTTTTTGAACCCCCGTCAACGCCGATAGGCCGATACCCCATCGCTTTCGCATAAGAAACAGCCAACGCCCCAACTCCACCCCCAGCACCAGAAACAAGCACCCATGATCCGGGGGTAATCCCGGCAACCTTCAGTGCCTTATAAGCCGTAACGCCAGCACACATCACCGGTGCCAGTAACTCAGGAGAAACGTTCTCCGGTAAAGGCGTAATGTAGCGCTCCGGAACAGCCACATAAGACGTCAATGTGCCCGAAACATCGCGACCACTGAATACCTGCGTCTCGCATCGAGTCGTATCTCGTGCACAATTTTGACACGAGCCACACGCATCACGGATCCAGCCTACACCGACCGTTTGACCGAGCACGGCATTAGGACTGGTACATGCGGCTCCGACTTGTATGACTTTCCCAACTCCTTCGTGGCCGAGGATGTGCTGGGTTGGACCTAGATAGCCTTTTGCGAGTGTAATATCTGTGCCACAGACCCCTGTTACGGAGAGTTTGACGAGGACTTGTTGCGGGGTAATTGTGGGGACTGGAACATTCGCAATGCTGAAGGCGATGTCCGGACCAGGCTGGAATTGTGAGTCGAGATCAATATGTGGATTGAATTGGACTTACGTTCTGGAGAATGGAGGCCTTTTGGGTTTCGGGGATGTTTATATCGGGCATTGTGAAATTGTATTGGTAATTGAGATGGCCTGCATGAATCGAGGTAGATATTCACCCCTCTTTGGTATATTATAAGGTACAATAAGATATATCCTCACTGATGATGAAAAAGGTTGCTGCTCTTTTGTTGGATCAATCTTTGTCGAGGTAATGAAATGCCATTGTTTAGCCAATTGGGTTGACGATCTTGTCACATGATGGACACCTTAGCGACTTGGCCAAAAAAAATGCAGGAGAAGCAGTAATATTCCACTATCTTTATTTCCGACCGAACAATATTGTTTAAGAATTTGAATGCAATATCATTCCATTTAATCACATGGATTGTCAAGCAAAGCAGATCTAGAGTGCCTGACGAAACCGGGGGCTTCCCCGTGGGTTGGCCCATGGGTCAAGCAGTATGAGCCTTCTCGCGCTTAAGATGTGATCTATCATCTTTTATTCCACCTCCACCATTGCAATTAAGCTCATTGCGCCACGGTGCAAGTTAATCCTTGAGAGCTTAATTATAGAATGACGTAATTCATCAACATCAATAGTATAAACATGGTTCTTCCATGCCCTCCATATCCCATTAAGCATCATTTGATCTAACCGGAACCGGAAACAATCATAATCAAACCAGCGGGTCGCGCATATTCCTGACCCTCCGCACGATCTTCGAAAACACCGGCCGAATGAATTCCTGCAACCACAACGGAGCCGCCCGAATAGACCCGGCTAACGAAAGATGCCCCGGAAGAATAACCTGTCCACTCCTCCTTGTCACGATCTGCTCAACGATAACATCCGAGACAGCCTTCGGGGACATAATAGGTTGTCCGAAGTGGGATTGGTGATCTGTGAAACCCTTGATCATGGGCGTCCCAACCCAAAGTGGATGAATGATGCTAACAATCATCAGTAAACCAAAAAACATCTCATAAGAATATCATGTTGCTGGCTACTATATAAACTAACCTCGTCCGCACATTCGGCGCATTATACCAATACTTCAATTCCTGCCTCAACCCTTCGTGGAAAACAAGCGCCGAGGCTTTCGAACAACAATAATCCACCATCTCGCCCACGGCCACGAAACTAGCAACGCTTGCTACCGTGATGACGTGGCCGCGGTTCTCTCGGATCATATACGGGAGAAACTCCTTGACCAACAGGTAGTGGGCAAGATTGTTCACTTCGTACGTCCGTCTAATCTTTTCCTCTGTCTTCTCGAGGATTGTTCCATGTTCGAAAACGCCGGCGTTGTTAATTAGAATAGTTGGGTCGCCGTGTTCTGTTTTAATGAGGCGGGCTACTTCGGATATTTCCTTGGAGGATGTGATGTCGGCTTGGTAGAAGATCACGTTGCGAGGGAGAGTGTATGTTGGCTTCTGGATATCGAGGACTATCACGTGGAGTTGTTGGTTGGAAAGATCTTCCGCCAATTGTTTTCCTATTCCGCTTGTGCCGCCTGTCAACAGAACCAATTCGTTTTCCGGGTCCCATTCTTCCGTGCGTTGAAAGTTATTCAACACCAATTGGGAAAATCTCTTGTGCGCGTAGTAGGCTAAAAGCGAACTTCCGAGTGCTCCTAGGAATATAGTTGAGCGGAGGTTGGTGTTGACGGTATTCATAGTGCGCTCCGAGAGCCACTGCATCCACTTTTCATTACTCATGACAGAAAGAAAAACAACTTGGCTGGTAGACTTTTGCTAAGACCAACCGTGCCATATTTATTCTCGGGTCGCTCAGCTGCTCCGAGGTCTTCGTCGCAAGGTTCATCCAATCTCTTAGTAGTTTGCTTTTGGAGTACCCACATCCGGCTAGTCCGACGAACTAAGTCTGCGCTCGTCCGAAAAAGCCGATGTCAGATCACCCGTCATTCGTGTATCGGATAATATAACCAGACTTTGCTGGTTTTCGATTTGTGCCTGCGGCCGAGCGTTTTCCACGTGTGGTTGCACAGGCGCTTAATGCACGGTTCTGCTGGGCCTATTATGACCCCTGTAAGTAGAAGAGGCTCCAGACATGAATGGTTCGTGAAGAAGATCCCCCAATTTTTGAGTTTGTAGGTCCATTTCTGAGTGCCATTGACCGTGAAGATCTGCTGATCGTGATTGTTTGATTTTTTATCATGAAATTATCGCGTGAAATCGGTCGCAGATGGATATCAGCAGGTGCCGTGTTTGTTCATGCTGAGCTGATTGTGATTGAATGCCAGCCTATCAGGTTGAAGTTTTGATTATGGGTCAGCTCATGCGTCGCCTCGGGCCGTGTGGCCCCACTGACAAAGGCATTTATGTGCCTGCAGTGGAACCGAGCTATGGTTCGTGTCAGCGAGGTTGGTACGTGTTATTACATGCTTCAAGGGTGTGGTGCATATCCGCATGTTCATTAATGCATGTGCACTAATACTGGACTTCAATCGATGGTTATGTTGGAGGTTCAGGGGAGCCACGACAAGGTAACACCGAGTTGATCTGAGTGAGCTTATCAGAGATATGCGGGAAAGTAAAGGGGAGATAAGAGACCAGAAAATGGGAGCACTTGAGGGCATTATGGGTAGTTCCTCATCATTGCCCTGGTCATCTACCCCAATCTAACACGGGCTACACAGAAGAGCGATCCGAAGAGAAAATAGACAAAAAAATAAATAATATCATTAAACGCATTAATCATATCCAGGATAAATAAAAGTCCTTTCAATCATGAGAATACATAATCATAGTCAACTCCTTACAGGGAGTTCAGAATCCCATCAATCAACGGCAACAAGGCCGAGACATCATCAATAATAGTAGCCGTCTCGTTCACGAACTTGGTGGTAAGTAGGTCACCAGCGTTGGTCAGAAGGGAGTGCAATTCCTTGATAGTAGCCGGCTGCAGGAGGGATTCGAGCTCGGGCATAGACTTGTCGAGACTGCTCACCAGACCGCTGAGGGACTTGACAGTCGAGGGCGTGAGGAGCTCGCCAGCCTCGTCGATAAGGTTCTTGGTATCGGTGACGAAGGCGGTGTCCAGGAGGGTGGTTCCGTTGCCCAAGAGGTAGGTCAGGTTCTTGAGGGTCGTGGCGTTGAGGAAGTCCGCGGTAATATTGGGGACGACTGGCACCAGGTGGTTGAGGAGCTCGCTGAGACCGCCCACCACGTAGGGTGTCAGGAGATCGTGAGCGCCCGAGATGAGGGACTCGGTCTCGTTGACAAAGGTTGGCGAGAGGAGGTCGTTGGCGTTCATCAGGAGGGAGGAGATCATCTCGATGGTGTCCTTGGTGAGGAGCTTCTCGACCTCGGGGAGGAGCGGGGTCACCTCGCTGAGGATACTCTTGAGACCAGAGACCAGCGATGGGGTGAGCAGATCGTCCGCGCTGCTGACCAGGCTCTGGGTCTGGTTGACGAATGAGCTGGTGAGGAGGGCATTGCCGTTGTTGAGCAGGTCCTCGAGCTCCTCCAAGGTTTCCTTGGTGAGGAAGGTCTTGATCTCTGGGAGCAGAGGAACGACAGCGCTGAGGATCTCCTTGAGAGCGTTCGACACCGAGGTGGTCAAGAGACCAGCAGCGCTGGCCACGAGAGACTTTGTCTCTGATACAAAGGAGTCGGAAAGCAGGTCGTTGCCGTTGGTGAGCAGAGTCTGGATGTCGGTGATAGTGGCCTTGGTGAGAAGGCTCTTGAGCTCCGGAAGCAATGGCACAACAGCGTTGAGAAGCTCCTTGAGCGAGTTGCTGACCGAAGTAGTAAGTAAGGCAGAAGCACCAGCCACGAGAGACTTGGTCTCCGAAACAAAGGAGTCGGACAGCAGGTCGTTGCCGTTGGTGAGCAAAGTCTGGATGTCCGAGATAGTGTCGTTGGTGAGCAGGCCCTTGATCTCGGGGAGCAGTGGCACAACAGCATTGAGAATCTCTTTGAGCGAGTTGCTGACCGAAGTAGTAAGCAAAGCAGAAGCACCAGCCACAAGCGTCTTGGTCTCCGAAACGAACGAATCGGATAGAAGATCGTTGCCGTTGGTGAGCAAAGTCTGAATATCGGTGATAGTGGCCTTGGTGAGTAGGCTCTTGATCTCCGGAAGCAATGGCACGACAGCATTGAGAATCTCCTTGAGCGAGTTGCTGACCGAAGTAGTAAGTAAGGCAGAAGCACCAGCCACGAGAGACTTGGTCTCCGAAACAAAGGAGTCGGACAGCAGGTCGTTGCCGTTGGTGAGCAGAGTCTGGATTTCCGAGATAGTGTCGTTGGTGAGCAGGCCCTTGATCTCCGGCAGCAATGGCACAACAGCATTGAGAATCTCCTTGAGTGAGTTGCTGACAGAGGTAGTAAGCAGGTCAGAGGCTGAAGCAACCAGGCTCTTGGTCTCAGAGACAAAGTTCGCAGAGAGCAAGGAATTGCCATTCTTGAGCAGACTCTCCAGGTCATTAAAGGTCGAGACAGTGAGGAAGGACTTGAGCTGGGGCAGCAGAGGCACAACAGCATTAAGGATCTCCTTGAGAGCGTTGGTTACGGATGTGGTCAGGAGAGCAGTGGCGCTCTTGATCAAGTTCTGGGTCTCGGTGACGAAGGACTCTGTCAGAAGAGAGTTGCCGTTCTTCAGCAAGCTGGCGAGCTCGTCGAAAGTCTCCTTGGTGAGGAAGTCCTCCAAGTTGGGCAGTAGGGTGACGACATCGCCCAAGATCTTCTTCAGGGCGTTGGTCACATCAGTAGTCAGCAGATCGTTGGCGTTGTTAACCAGGCTCTCAATAGACTTGACATTCTTGGCACTGAGCAAGTCGTCAGCATTGTCGATAAGGTCGTTAACCTTGTCGATGTTGTTAAGCAGCTTCTCAATGCCAGCCAGGTTCTGGTCAGACAGCAGAACATCCGCCTTGTCCAGGATGTTGCTCAAGGTCTTGGTGTTCTTAGCCGACAAGAGAGTGTTGGCATTGGTAATGAGGTCACCAATAGCCTGGGTGTTCTCGGTGGAAAGCAGGACTCGGATGTTGGTATCAACAGGGGGAGCCAGACTGGTGGACAGATACTTGAAAGTTGAGGTGACCTCGTTCAAGAAATCGGGGTTCAACAGATTCTCCAGACCCGAGGCCAACTCACTCAGATCAGTGCCAATGGAGCTAAGACCAGAACCAGACAGAAGGCTCTCAATGCTGCTTAGAAGGCCACTGCTACTGCTGCTGCTGCTACTTGAGTCGGTAGAGTCGGTAGACGAGGATTTGGTGCTAGAGCTAGTAGCTGTGCTCTCGGTGTTGGCAGACTCAGCAGCCGCGCTAGCACTAGCAGTGGAAGCGGCAGCGCTGTTCGTAGCAGCGGCAGCAATCGAGTTTACGGTGTTGGCATCGGCGGTAGCAGCGTTGGCTGAGGCAGCATTGGCCGAGGCAGCATTGGCATTCGCATTAGCAGCTGCACTGGTGGCTGTGTCCTCAGCGGACTCCTCCGAATTGGCAGCATTGGCGGCGGCGGCGGTTGTTGCGGCGGCCTCCGCAGCATTGGAATTGGCATTGGCTGCGGTGGTAGCCGCATTTGCAATGGTATCGGCCACATTGTCGGCAGCAGCAGCCACGCTGTTCTGACTGTCAGCAGCAGAAGCAGCAGCCGTGGATGCTGCAGCGGTAGGCGACGCGCCTGTGACCGAGGAGACGGCCAGGAAGGCAGTCGCAAGGACTGGAATAAAACGCATGTTGTCGGTGTGGCTCCAATATCTTGTGTATGCGTTTAATCCGCAGTCACAATGGGCGTCGGGCTATATTGAAACCGCGAAAGGAGAGCCTGGGGAGAAAAGACCATGGACGCGGGTCGCACCAGGTCTTTATTTTGGCGGGTCGTGGGATCGTCCATCTGGGGTATCATTTCGGGGGAAGCCTCCTCCACCCGAGTCTTGCGCTAAGAGGCTGTGGTGGAGGAAACCGAGATGTGGATCGCCGTCCGAGGCAGCAAGCTCGCCATGTGATGAGCAGGAAAAAGCAAAATCCCGTCACATCACTAGCATTGAGAATCGCATCTTTGACATCACTCGGGTTCCTGGGGCTTGAGCGGTGCGCCATCGACCGGGGTATCTGGGGGGGAACTAGGCCGGTTCCGAGGCAAAGGGGAGCCCATAGTTCGAACGAACCCAGTTCAGGGGCGTAGAACGACCAGTTCACATGTGTTCCGTTATTTTGGCATTGTTTAATTTCGTGGCTTTTGTGGAGTTAGGTCGTGTTGGAGAGGAAGCAAGAACGGACTAAGGGGTTAGCGGCAGGGAGCTAAACCCAGAAGAGCGGATCGTTCTCCACGTCGACGCCCATTGTTGGGTCGAACTGGACAGACCAAAGACCAAAATGAGGGGTTTTCGGAGCTAGAGCTAGAAATGGCAGCAAGACCTACCCCGGACCTTCTTAAGCGGGGCCTAAGTGGGGCATTATTGGATGCAGAGCCTTGGAATTGGCAGTGTCCTGCGTCCTGCGTCTACGGTGGAACCCGCCGATCATTACTCCACATGAACATAATACGCCGGAGAGAAAGACAAATAAAAACGGCTGTCATTGGTTCGACTGCCAGGGACCAAAGACCCTGCACAGGTTCCTGGATGCATCATTTAATATTCCATAATGATGGCGAGTGCTGCATGTCTGTTTAGTTCTGTGTAGTCCTGTTTTTTTTTTCTATGCTTCGCTTGTTAGAGCCGTCAAGCAAACTATCTCCGCAAACTATCTCCACTCTTCCTACATCTTCTTTGATCGACGAGAATTTGCTCCATGACGGAACTATTTTACTAGCGTAAATCATCTAAGACATCGAATCGTGGTCACGTTCCCCCGATGATTGACATGAAGCTGATTGGTTGAGGTCTACTTCCCGTTTCGCTCCACTTCCCCGGTCTCGCTGTCTCCATCGCCAATCTTCATTTCCTGCTCTCCAGGGTTCTTGTTTCTTCCCCATGTTGCGTCATGTGGAGAGTTGCTCAACGTGAGCAGTATCCTCGGGTGAGTGGATTATTGGGAATATCATTATCTAATCTAGCAAAAGCAATTACCAGGGGGAAAAGAAGGAAAGGGGCAAGTGGCGTCAGAGACTGCCAAGCAGAGAACCTGAACTAAAAGCCTCGAAACGAGCGCGAAATCTCGGCCATTGATCAGCCTAGAACATATCAGTGCTTTTTCACGTCATACAACAGGTTTGTGCATGTAATACGGTGCAACCGACGTGGGCTCAATCTCGCACGACATACATTATCGTGCGTCGCTTTGACTCCTGGACCCGCACGCTAAATCCTGCATGCATACTAGAAAGCTCTATAGCCCGCTAGTTCAGCTCAGGCTCCACGAGGTCCGTAGCTGCAGTAAAAAGATCTTTCATAGGAAGCCCTGCACGATCGGAACTCCTTCACTGCCCGATCCCGATGGCTAATGGTTAGGCATATCGCCATAGACTTTGACAAGAAACATGATTGAGCAAGTGATTTGTTCAATGTATATCATAACGAAATCTGCGAGATCCAGATCTCCCTTTCTTGAGCTGCGGCCTCCCGTTCCAACGGGATCCACATGCCTCTGTCGGACGTGATACATCGTAGAGCCGGGCATTCTTCTTCATCTAGTCACCGTATTCAAGCAGAGATAATAGAATATCAAATTATGAAACTGATCTTATATTGTAGTGTCCAATGTAGGTAACAAGTAGCCGGAAACAACAGTGGTAAGGCCCCGCAAAAATCTTGTTGGTGCCCGAACATCGTAAACTTTGCTCAAATTCGAGTCTTCTCTGCAAATAGATCGGCATTGACTCAACGGTTGCGGCTCTCTGTTTCCTAGTTCAAATCTCCCCCCAAGTTCTATTTATGAGGTTATTTAGACTATCCACCGCGTCTCAGGTCATCCCCATAGTTTAGTACAGCCCCGACCGGCCCGACCCTGAAAATGAACCCTGCATGATGAGAATTCAGATATTGTGAGGGTGTACCTTTTAGGGTTGCCTAATGGCTTTACGTTTTGCCGTAGCCACACAGAGCTTGCCGATAGATTAAGGGTGCATGCGGGGTCATCCAAGCCATTCATTTAATTTTTATTAATATCGAAGATTCCGAGGCTTAAATCTCTTCGATAGATTAATCATGTGTTAATCCATCGTCGCTTCTCTCAACGTACATTCAATCCAAACACAGTCCCAGGATTACCAAACCCAAACCTGCCTTTAGCGAGGTCTAGATGACTGCCCCGCCACTCGCGTCAATGATCGTTCTTTCCAGGGTTTGCGCTAATACTTGCAATCACCATCTGTCTAAATCTTTCACTTCTCAGTCTACCAAGCCACGGAGGCTGCAGCTTTTGGATCTCCTCTTCGAGTCCATAGCTCTCTGTGCCCGCAATATAAATAATTCTACGGTGTAATCGCAGGATTATCCGAGCTTCGAAACCCAAGTTTATCAATAAATAATCACCAGGTAGAATTAATCAAAGCTCAAAGGTAAAGCCAGTTTAGCAATTCTGACTACTTTCCCAACCACCAGACCGGACATTTTTGCCCTGGTTTGTACAAAGAGGGTGTTAACTTTAGTCTAGAAGACAAACATGAATGTTTGATTGGGCCATCTGGCAGATATTCACCGCTTCCAAGTCTGCCACAGTCTCACTCGGAAAGGCGGTCGAGTGTCTTCAGGCAGATATGAGGCCAGCTAACAAGGCATTCAGGCACTAATGGGCTGGGTCTCCATTGACTATGGAGCACATAACCTCCTTAACATGGCGTAGGCATTGTATCCTAGCCCTCAAACCCCACAAAATACATTGATGGTGGAATCATACTCTTCTCCACTGTTGGGTAATAGGGTATTAGGATTGAATTTATAGTGCAGGGCTGCCAGGGTCACATAGATGCAAGCCCTGAAGACTCAGAAAGGAAAACCATCAACAATCACAGATACGTTCCAAATATGGAGTTTTGCGGATCATTCACACTTGATCGTTCTGTATTCACTTCTCAACCCTCGCCTTAAGATTTTCCAGATACCTCAACCTCCACACCCCTACGACCACCAACTGTCTCCTTCCATTGAATCTTTCCACATCATACGAACACAATTACCTGTCATCATCTCATCCGCTACGGCAAATCATCATGACCCAACCAAACCACACAACTACATGGGAGAAGAACAAGGAAATCGACTTCAATGCCCAGGAGCCTTTCGCACCTCAAAGCCTATCCGATATCCGAAGCCACCGTGCACCCAATCGCTCTAGCAGATTTTATGAGCATTCCCGAGCCCCCTCATTCTTCGACAGGAAGAAGAAGAGAACGAGGACCGAGAAGGTGCAAATGCGAGCATGAACTTCAAAGATGTATCGAGACGCTGACAAGCTTAGGCCCTTGAAAAAATCCGAGTCCAGAACAAGAGCATTGCCAAGAAAATGAAGCTTCCTCTGACCTTTACGCAGCTTTACGTAAGATGGTTTCGTCTCATGCTGAAGTGACCTTCGAGTTAATTACTAACATACTTCAAGCGACTGCCTTTCAAGACCCGGCTGCGACTCCTCAGTCGGTGGTATGATGGGGACATCTGCCCTGAGAATCTTCAGGATGTGTACTATCGGGAGTTGAGATGCCACAGGGAGCAGATGAAATTCGTGAGGCTGGATAGGAAGATTGAGAGGGCCCTTGCCAATGTGCATGTGACCGAGCCGCGAGGAAAGATTGAGGAGATGCAGATTACCCTGGGCTGCTTGACTATCATCTCGGAGGATGAGACCATGGATTGAATGCGTTTACTTACAACGATGCGGATAATTCTGCATGCAATGCAAGCATTGTCTGATGTTGTTTGTTCCTACATCTATCTTGTTTTTATCTACTTGTTTACGAGATCCGATAGGACAAAAGGCAATGCATAATATGAGTTACAGCACATGCTACACAAAAGGAAGCACTAGATGACTGTCATAACCTCCTCCCATATGCACCCAGTGCAGTCCCCTGTTCAAAGTATGATCGGCACCAAACTTGGAAAAGCCCTGATAGCGACCACTGATTCTCAGCTGCAGGGACTCCCCAGCCTCATATTCAATCCCCATGACCCATATCCCAATCTCCAACCGCACCACCGTGCCAGGCACAACCTTCTCCATTTTTTCGTGTGTGTAGAAGGGCCAATTTAGATGCATAGACCGAGAAGCATCTATTTCTCGGTTTGATGCACGCAGAATCCCTGTGGGACCTTGGTAAAGGATGAGCTCAGAATGCTCTTTTTCTGGTATCTCTGCAATTGATGAGACCGGCAAATTCTTCCAAGGAATGTTGAAGTTCAACAATCTTTCGCCAGATTTCGATATCTTCTCCAGAACGACGAATACATCCATGTCGTCAAGATCGTCACAGTGCATGTAGAGCACTGCCTTGGGAATGCCCATGAGTTGCGTCCGCTCAGAGAATGTGTGTTTGAAAACCACACCTGCATCTGGATCTTGAGAATTGTACGAGGCCGCTGTCTCAGGACCAGATGGCTTATCAAAATTCAAGCCATCGGGTGTCAAGTATGCCTTCCGGTACTTGGTGCGCGACGGCGGAAATTCTGACTCGACGATATTCTCAATCGGCGCTTTCTCCCCGAATCGCAGGAGGGACATTCGAACTCGAGGTGTCGTTTCCCAGTCATTGCTGATGTCCTTCAAATACCGATCAAAGAAAGACAAAAGCTCGTCTCGCCCTTCCTGGTTACCCCAAATATCATACCACTCCTGATAAGGATGCCAACGAAGCCATTTGTGAGGAGAGTTCACTTCTAACCAACCCCTGATCGCTCCCATTCCGTGCATGGTGTTCGTATATGTACCAGTGATGTACGTCGGGATATTGATCTTGGTCATGTCAGGCCGTTTGTCATTCCACCAGTCATTTGCATGAGGATGCTGCTCGAACATTTTGCGGAAACTCTCAATCCCGTATCTCCCTCGAAGCATGTACTTGATAATGAGATTGTCGAAAAGATCACCACCATATATACCCCCTCTTGCGAACTGTTCCCGATAGAGATCCCCACACCCTTCCCAAGGTGCAATGGCCTTCAGTGATGGTGGCTGTAAGGCGGCGATGAACCACTGGACAATCGCCAAGTGGGAGTTGCCGGCCATGCCGACATTTCCATTGCACCAGCTTTGCTTGGCAATCCACTCAATCACATCGTATCCATCTTCCGCCTCTTGAGTCCCCATGATTGCCATTACTCCCTCCGAGTCGAATGCCCCGCGAGAATCCACATTAACGATGGCGTACCCGCGATTCACGAATTCGGCGGGATCGGGACCTTCAAACTTCTCCAGGCCGCTGAGCGCTTCCTCAGGAATACCGAGATTCCATGGTGTCATCAACTTGAGGGATTGTATCCCATTGAACTTTTTGCCAAAGGGACTCCAGGAGAGAACTGCTGGTGTGGTTCTATCGAGAGCGTCGGGGGGTCGGTAAACATCCGCGTAAAGGGTGCAGCCATCTCTGACCGAAATGGCGACGTCGTGCTCAACAAGAATGTCACAGGGTAAGATCAATCGTCCTGGTGCAGTTGAAGTGCCTTTTGCTAGGACCTCAGAGTGCGGTTGAAGACCTAGGTAACCCTCAGTTTGCTCTGGTGCTGAGAGTTCCTCCCACGGAATGTCCACATTGAATTTGACCATGATGTGATCAGAAAAGTAAGGGATAAACACAGCTGCGAAGCGTTACTGATGAGACTTGACGCGCATAATATAGTGTCAACATTTGTGGTCCACTCATCCGGCTCGGTTCGGTTCGGTTGGCGGCTCAACCCCAGACTGAGTGTGCCGTGTGGGGGCCCCACAACAGAACCCGGGGTACACGAAGGGATTGCTTTCACAGAAGCATTGATAGGCGAGAGCGTTCAGCTATTAATATGTGGCTACCATCCAGCTCCACAATCTCCACAGAAGCTGTCTAGGTTCTTGTTCTTGCTTCCCTTCAATCATTCTCACTATGGATAAGAGCGACATATCGCACATTGAACTTGCTGAGCAGAGTCCCAAGCCACCTACAGGACTGCATGTTGAGCTATTTAAAGGAGATGAAGTGGTGCTTATTCCGACCCCGTCGGCGGATCCCAGGGGTATGTTCCATCCTTCTTTGGAAACTCGTATCCTGACAAGATGAAGATCCCTTGAACCTTCCCGCATGGCGCAAATGGGTCCTCCTGATCCTGGTGTCGGCATTCAGCTGCACGGCTGTCGTTCTCGCATCAGGGATGGGATCCATTTTCTCCGTTGTTGAGGCTTCTTATCCCGGACAAGAAGCTAAAGCTAATGACCTGATGACTTATCCGACTTTGTTCATGGGGATCGGGAACCTCATTGCCATGCCTTGGGCTTTCACAATTGGTCGTCGGCCAGTATTCCTTGCCTCGATTCTGCTGCTCCTTGCAGGTGGAGTCTGGTGCCAGTGCTCCACTAGTCTGGAAAGTCATATAGCTGGCCGTATTATTATGAGTCTCGCTGCCGGACAGAGTGAAGCGTTGGCGCCCCTGATCATTCAGGAGATCCATTTCGTCCACGAGCGTGGTCGGAAGATTGCATGGTTCATATTCATTCAGAATATTGCGTCCGGGGTTTTCTTTGTCATATCGACGTACATGGTCTCAGCCTGGGGCTGGAGATGGTGGTATGGGTTCTTCACAATTATGAACGCAGTGATCTTCGTCTTTGCCTTCTTTTTCGTGACAGAGTCTCGATTTGAGCGAACAGAGGAACAAATGCGTGGTGAGGCTCCGGATCTGAAAATTGATGACGTGTCCGCTGTGGAAGAACAATACGAGCCTCGTTGCTGGCGCAATGATATCAAGCTCTTTGTTTCCAATCCTCAATTCTCTGATATTCCGACTTTCTACAAGCATGTCTTCCAAGGGTTGTTTATCCCGACAACGGTTTGGCTACTTCTCTTAAATGGCGCCAACCTCGGAACATATGTCTTCGAAGCCTCGACCTTTGCCAGTATCTTGATGTCATCCCCATATAACTTCAGCTTCGACGCGCTCGGCTACGTCCAAGCCGGTCAGATTGTCTGTTGCCTCGTCTTCCTCCCATTACTTGGTTATGGAAGTGACATGGTCATTCGGATCTTCAGCCGCCGTAACAACGGAATATATAAGCCGGAATACCGGCTACCAGTCATCGCAATCCCAGCAATTGTTGGTATCATCTGCGGTATCATATATGGAAGGGCGGGTGCACACCCTGAGAGCTGGAGTGTTGCATCGATTGTCATTGGGTACAATGCCAGTTACTTTGCATTCCTGGGAGCCAATATTGTAGGTATCACATACGCGGTGGACAGCTTCCCATTTCGTGCGGCACCATTCTTAGTCGTTATTTGTGCTGGGCGGGGATTTATTTCTTTTGGTCTGAGCTATGCCACTTTGCCTGCTGTTGCTACTCTTGGATATGATGGGACGATGATAGTGGAGGAGGTGATCTGTGCCGTGTTGGCTTTGTTCGCTATCCCGATGTACTTCTTTGGTCCTCGTATCCGCGAGTATGTTCAGAGATGGTGTGAACTTGAGAAGAACCATTGATATAGTTAGCGACGGCCAGTCTATGTAGCCCACGAGCCAACTCGGAGCCAATCATTTTGAAACATGGAACAACCCCCCTATTTTTGATGTGTTTGTTGACAGATATTGACACCAAATACGCGGTTTCATGCGAAATATGCGGCCTTCTTCAATATAGGCAATCCCAAGGCTCTAAACTTTGCGTAGTTGGAGGACAGAGGACGTGTAGATGCTGGTCAGGTCTACATTGAGTAGTATACCAATTACTTCCAATGTTTCTTTTCAATTATTGACATGTGTGCTAATTTTACACGTCCCTCTCCTTCACTATCACCACTTTCTCCTTCCCTCTCCTTCCCTCTCCTTCATCACCTCCAGCTCTGCTACAACTTCCACCCTTCATCCTTTCCAACTCCCAATACACCTTTGCCTTTTGCTGCAACCTCACCCTCTCGACTGGCATAATGCGTTAGTCCACAACTTCGGTTCTCGATGCATGTTATGACGAAGCTTGCTCACATCATCAAAACAGCCAGAAGGAAGAGATTTGCGCAAGCATTCCCCTTGGCACGTAAGTCATGTTATTCGTGGGCCCTCATCATCGTTTTCAAACTAAATGACTCGCAGCTGCGTCGTTGGTGGGTGTCGATGGCGAGGGTAACCCCAAATTTGGGGGAATTATTCATGAACTCATCACTGAATTTGATGAGAAACTGTTGCGAGTTCCTCTTGCTCGAGATGTTGACTGGCGTGATGACATCGTGCAGAGTTGTAGCACTGCATACTCCAAACGATCTGCCCTCGTTCAGCGAACAGGACGTATCGCTCCCGCTGGACAAGCTTGCACTTGTTGCGCAAACCGCGAGGGGCCGTTCAAAGAGTGTGTTGTCCTTATCTTTGAAGGAGATCTGATTTACAACGGTGCATGTGCAAATTGCTGCTTTCAAACAAGACCATACAGCTGTTCATTCCGGACGGCTCTCCCTACCTGGGTACTCGACTGGCTGAAGCAGCAGAACCCATCGCACCGTATGATGATTGAAGCCAAATCCAATGTATGTTCACTTAAGTTGGAGAGTGCGGCTGCTTATTAGCTAATGCACTACCATCATCAGGAGAAGGGAGTCAGACTTCAGCAGAATTTCTTTCCGAGCCCTGCCCCTAAGAAGACCCAAGCAATCCAAACAACACCTGCATCCCCTAAAGTTCTCGAAACGAAGAAGGAACTTGAACCCATTGAGCTAAAGGCTAAAAAAGAGACCGAGAAATTCGGCCCGGACTACAACAGTACTTGGTATCAGTCTCCTCTGGAGGACCAAACCCTTTTCGGCTCTGATGAAGAGGGTTTCGCGAGGGCACGCCTCGCTTATCATTCACACCACACGCTGATTACCCGCGCCTACTTCGATCACGCTTGGCTGAAAAGGTACCTTGAAACGCATGGTAGAATGGACGCTCCTCCCTCTGAGACGGAAGACTCGATGTCTTCACCTTTCTCAGCCCTTTCTTTGGCCGACCAGTGACCGATAGGGTCTCGAAACCCTTTTATGTGATTGGTTTCGTCGTTTTGAAAATGGAGGCTCGTATTGAAGTGGAAGTGCGTCTGGGGCTTCGAGTTAGTCAAGAACATGTTTCGTTTGAGCGGGATGTTATTTGATGATTGAGGGTAGAGCAACTCAGGAAACGACGTTTTTTGCAGCTTATTTTCCTTATTTTCTCCCCGGTAGATAGTTCCAGATATCATGGTAACCTGAGTACTGACTCCAAGCCATCAATCGGGATGTGGGCACTTTGAGGAGTAACATTCAATTGACGACCAGAGAACCAAGTTTACAGAGTTCGGCATTTGATAGCACAAGCATCGTGCATGGGGGTACACTTAGACTTCCCAACCGAACCGGACCGAGCCGAACCTGGTAACCCGAACCGAAGTCTTCCACTAAATTTTACAGTGCAGGCTTTGGATATAAAATTCGAAACGTCTCAACTTTCTTTGAGTATTTATTCGCAATACATCAGGGCTACTCACTTCGTAAAGAGCCAAAATCTCACCAGTGACCCAAAATGACCACCGTCACGGCAACGGCAACCTCAACCCACCTAACAGCGTCATCCGGACGCTTGTTCTCCAAAGGACCAGACGTAAACTACGGTGACTTTCGCGATGACTTGCTGAAAAATGGCTATGCGGTCATCAAAGGCGCCGTTCCACGTGAACGAGCATTGGGATATGCAGATGATATCTATGACTGGCTTGAAGGCTTGTAAGTGCATCATTCCGTCCCTAGTATATCTACTGACCAATTGTGTGCTTTTGAAACAGCAATCTTGGTTTCAAAAGAGACGATCCTTCAACAATTCACAAAGATCATCTCCCTGATATCAACGAAAAGGGAATGTGTCTCGGCTACGCCATCTCCCACGAATCGTTCACGTGGGCCGTGAGGCAGGAGGAAGGAGTGGTCAAAGCCTTTGAGAAGGTTTACGACACTGAGGATATTATTGTGTCGTTTGATTCCGTGAACATTGGGTTCCCATCGCGCAAAGATATTCAGCCCAATGTACCATGGCCGCACCAAGATCAGGATCCTGAGAAGCCAGGCTTCCGCTGTTTGCAGGGCCTTGTGAATCTGCTGCCAAATGGGCCAAAGGATGGAGGATTGATTGTTTGTAAGGGGGCTCATTTGCTGAGTGAGGAGCTCCACGAGGCCTTCAAAGGAGAGGAGAGGATTTGGTCTTGGTATGTTGCGCCCTGGCTGTTTGGAATACCTTCATACTTACTGAGTGCTATGCAGGACAAAGGAATGGTACGGCTTGACCGATGCGAACAGAGAATGGTTGAAGGAAAGAGGGTGCGAGTGGATCAAGGTGGAGGCCGAGCCTGGTGACTTGATACTCTGTAAGGTCGGTCTGTGGATTTTACCACCCAGAAGCTAATGATTTTTTAGGGGACTCGCGCACCCCGCACTACAACTTGTCGTCGGAGACATCTCAGCCGCGTTTCTGCGTTTACACTTGCTACATGCCTGTGGCGGACGCTACCAAGGAACAGCTTCAGGTGAAGAAGAAGGCTTTTGAGGAGACTAAAATGACTACTCACTGGCCAAATGCAATGCATGTTGTGGACCTACCGGTCTTGAGAAATGGGGAGCCCGATTCCTACCAACGCTCGAAGCCTCGCTCGGAGGTTCAGCTTTCCGACCGAGGCTTTAAGCTGACGGGCATACCATATCTAGAGAGTATGGCTTGAAGTAGTGCTTTGTACTTGAATATTTTACATATCTGTATTTGAATTGTGATATGCTGTTTCTATTCACTGTGTGCGAACAAGTGGCTCAAATCATTCCAATCCCATCCGGCCCAGTCTAGAGCGGACGGGCCCCAAGTTGACCCTATTTCGAAGGTAGAAACTGTGTCTCTCATAGGTATATCACTCAAATTGAGAGCATTCGTGTCTAGATGGAAGAGATCTGGTAGGCTCAGTGCTGGCGCCTCCAGACAGCGAGATGCGTATTCCTGCAAATCAAGAAGAATATCATCGACATTTCCCGCAGCTTCGTGCCTATCGTAGTATTCCTTCGTGATTTGAATCCCAACCTTCATCAGCTGGAAAGGGTTAGTGCCGAGCATCTGTTGAGAAACTTCACTTACCTCAAAGTCAGACCGAATTAGCAGTGAGCTGCGTTCCTGGAATATATGAACTGCCAAAGTATAAACTGCTGCCAAGGGTGAGGTCATGGTCTTGAGAAAGTTTGGTGTTCCTGAATCAATCAGGGCAATAAATAATTTGATCGTTTGTCGTGCGGCTTCGATGACCATTGTTGGTGCGGAAAGGAGACGTTGGCGCCATGCCTTTCCAGCAGCAAACTTGTTGACCATTGCTTGAAGCTCATCCTTTGGTACAAGAATAGTAGATCGTGTTACTAAAATCACCCTGGGAGAGCATTAGCAGATATGCTGCGACAAAGGGATATGACATACCCGAGATTGTAGTAGTATGAAAGAAATGCAGATTGTGGTCCATTACTGAGCGCAGATGTTGACCCAGGCCTGGAGATTTTTCAGTTCAACCCTAACGGCAAAAATTTTGTTCGAGACATACCTGAATGCAGGGGGTAGGCTATCTTGCCATTCAGAAAGCAGGATTTGCAGCTCTCCTCCAGTCCGAAGTTTGTCCTCGATTGCCTGTTCTACCGACTGTGGCATCCATTCTTCGCGTTTCCAGGCTCTAGCGGAGCGCTCTTGCATTTCATGTAGTGTGTTTGCCAAGCTTATCAATGCGTTGCGAAATATTAGCTCTGACCCACACTCCTGATCGACTTGAACTGGCGATGCGAGTTTTCTAGATAGCTCACAATCCCATATAACGGATGGGCGACCAAGTTCCAAAGCTAGAATTCGTTCAAAGACATACATGCACCACCAGGTCTGGAACTCCGGGGTATCTTGATTTGATGATCCGTTTTGGGGCGAACTCGTTTGGTTTATCCCAATAGACTGCGCCATGGAGACCCCCATCGTAAGTATATCCCATGCCCAGGCAACCTTGTCGCAACAGCGCAGCACCATCGCAAAAAGGAGCACGGTCTGCACTGATATTATCTCGCGATGGGAAATAATATGGCCAAGCAGCGAGTTGCAGTAGCTGATGTATGAGGATACGAGTGATCTAGAGGATCCGTCGGCTGGCGTGGCAAGCAAACCTGCTGTAAGAACGAGGTATTTCAAAGCCTCTCTCGGGGAATTCTGTCCATGACTCGAAAATGAGCTTTGCGTGCTGGAGGTATCCGAATCGTAGAGTGAGTCGACAATAGCCCGATTTAGAAAGGGAAAAATTGGGTGAACGGTATTCCAGTAGCTCTCAATGCAGACCTGCAGCAGTTCACCCGGTGGAAGCTTTGGTGGATGCAAAAGAATGACAGATGTTAATCCCTGGTCAATTACTGGAGATATTGCATGAGCCTTGGGGCCTTTCAACCGATAGAAGGCCATATCAAGCCACTCGGTCATCAACTCCAGCAAACTAGATCCCACAAAGCGGGGCATCATCGGAAGACGCCCCGTCCTCCAGCCTTCTGGACCCCAGCATTGAGACGAAAGCCGTGGTCTCTGTTCAGTTGAGGTGCGGGCAGCTGAAGTAGAATGAGACTCTAGTGGTTGAGGCGTACACACTTCTGGTGCTGGTGACATCATTGTGCGTCTTTGCAGTTCAACATTTGCCGCATCAGAAGGAGGTAGAGTATCATGATGTTTACGTCTGCGATGCCTGACTAGTGCGCCATGGCGTCGTTTGTCTGTTGTAACGCATTCCACCTCGGCCATGCGACAGTTCCGACATGGGTGTTCCTCGTCACAGCGCGTCTTTTTCTCACGGCAGTAGTTACATGCATAACTAAGTCTTTTGCGCTTTGCAGTGGGTTGGACAATTGATTCGTTCATGGGTCAGGTAGAGTCTCTGAGCCTGTATCCCCGCAAATCCAGTACTTGTCTCCTCCACTTGCCGATGTATCACGTGACGCATCGGCAAGAAATCCAGCATTTGTCCAAACTTAGTGCCAGATCGTTTGAACCTTTGGTGAATTAATTCAGAATTTGGATGATGTGTCGCTTGAATTGATACTACATAGTTCTCGCATTATTGTGTGTCTAACATACCATTGTGGAAGATTCAGACATAATAGTAACAGGAGCGAAGGTTGTAATAATGAACAGCAACCGGCAATGGTTATTTGGCTGCAAGTCTGCCCTCCGGACTGGAATAAGAGAATAGTTGAGGGTTTGAAGGGTAGAGAGGCGGGGAAGTCAACAAGTGTAAGTTTGTCATAGCATAAGTGACAAAGGTAGACGTCCCATGTGTGCGATTGAAGTTCGGGCTTTTTATACTTCGTATTCGTATCCCAGATAGAATTTTCATCCAACTTGAACGCCCTCATAGCGGCCCATGGCCTGACTGTTTACTGTTTAGAAATATGATCAGCCCTTTTCAGCTTGCATTGTCATAAATATATGTAAAGCTTGTTTGTGTTGACAGCTGCTAAAATGTGATTCATCGTTTTTATTGCTTCGTCGTGGCATCCCGTTTGGGTCGTCCGGAGATTTGTATCATCGCAAAGAAATGAAAACCTACACGTCCGATCTATCCCCACCTTCTGTTTATTCCATACTGACCATTTTCCTCAATCAAACGCATGTGTTCTTGCACTCTGGTCCCTTCGATATCTACGTGTTACTTACCCTTTGTCTTAATAAAAAAGCCGCAGTTATGAAATCAGAAGCCGAACCGGACCCTAGGTACAACTTCCAGAAGCCCAGTGACTCTGAGTTCATTATACGGCTGTTGAGCTTGATTCTGGTTCTATGCTTACTGGTTCCAACTATAGGGATGACTCCGACCTTGATGATGATTCTGAGCTGGAGGATGAGCACTCTGCCACGCAGGATGCTGAATGGGACCTTGAGGATATTGAACTTATGACTGCGCAACAGTCTTTTGCTTCCGATACTTTGCCCAACGAATCCGTGAATACTTTTGCGAATGAAGTTCCCATTTGCTCTGGGGGCTTCTCCGCAGGAAACAATACGTCCTACGAGAATGTTCAATTCTCAGACTACCTGAATCAGGTTGAGTATTTTCCTTTGCCAACCTATCCTGCGGGAATGCCTAGAGTGAACCCCGTCAGTTTGTTCGGAGAAATGGTCTCAGATGTCCCGGTACTGTTCGACAGTGCCAATCAAGGCGTACAAGATGCCGATCTGCCCAGGCCTATTGCTCCTTTGGACTACAACCCAGGAGGTCGCCACCCAATCATACCCTACACGATCATACCTCCTGAACAGATGTACCAGAACCGGCCATACTTGCCACTCCTGGACCCCCAAGTGTCAGCTCCGGCACAGCGCCTTGTGAAACGAGAAGATGGTCAGCAGCCGCGGCAGCTTTCCCAAGTTCCTATGTTTGAAGGCCGTAGACAAGCTCCCTTGTTCCAAGGCCGTGGATTTCAAATTTCGCCTCGAGAGCCAGGACTTACCAATGCTGAGCGATACCAAGAGGACTACTTTTGGGCTCAAGAGCAGGTTGAACTCAAACGGAACCAGGAGCTTTACAATGAAGGCCACCTCTATCAAAAACCTCGCTTCCAATTGCCGAACTTCGACGTGGAACCACCAGTCCTTGATAGTGATCCGCCGCCTTTCAAAGAACTTGTCTTTACGGCGGCTCGTGAAATGTGTCAGGAAAGGAGAGCTGAGGCTGATCTTGTCCAGGTACGAAGGAGAAATCTAAACTTATCGAAAATTTTTCTAACATTTTGATAACAGCCCTCTACTCCTAAGCCCCGCAAACAACAACCCGCCTATGGCACTCCTGATAATGAGACCCAGAATGCCCCGAAAACATACCCTCCCAAGCAGGCCATGGCCCACAGAGAGGACAAACGGCGCAGAAAGTCTGATTTCGTATTCAAGAAGTATGCGAGTTTCGACATTAAAAAGGATGTGGCCCAACTTGCGAGTAGCCTGAAGGAGACTGCAGAAAATGTGAAATTGAACCCGGGAACCACTGTGTCTAAGCCCTTTTCTGCCAAGTCGGTAGAGGAAATCGGTGCATTCCACTATTCCCTACGAGATTCTACTGTGGCAGCTCGTCGGAGATCGGACCCAGTGAATCTCGATTCGGTCCGCTGGGAGAGAAGCATGGGCGGTTCGACTATGGACAAGCAATCTTCACCAGATGCAAAGCCTCATGATACACCGTCGCCGGGACAAGATGATTCATCCTCAGGGCAAGATAGTCCAACGCCAAAGCGCAAGAAGGTTCGCGTTGAACTCCAAACGCTCAAAAGAAAAGTTCCGGCTACAACCCGCAACACCAGCAAAAAGACTCCGGTTTCCGAGCGTACTGCTAGCAAAAAGGCTAAGTGCAACAATCCAAGCGTTGACAGAGCTCGGTTGCAGACACCACCAATCAGAAAGATCAGGACGAGGCAGTCACTTCCCAATAGCTGGGCAGAGGCCTCTGCGTCAGACATCTTGATGTTCGAGCTCAGAAAGCAAGGCGCGGACTTCCCAGCAATCACCGAGACTTTGAGAGCAACATGTGACTTGAATTATCTCTCAAGGACCCTTCGCAATCGCTACTGGAAAATTGAAACGAGCATCGGTAAAATGCCGGACAATCTCCAACCCAGTAAGACGGGTATATGCTCTTCTCTTTTTTTTTTTTTTTTTTTTTTTTTAAAGAAAAGCGCTGGAACGTCATTTGCTAATTTTTATTATTTTTCACAGTGACGAAAGATGATGTTAAAGACGAGAAGGAGGATGTGCCCGAGGAAGCGGACGAAGATACTTCCGGCCTGTCTACTCCCAAGCCCAACCAGGAAGAGAACACCTGGTACTTTTAGTACTAGGTTTTCAATTGCCTGAGCTGTTACGTGTTATTGATCCGTTTTTACTACCGAGAATATGATTTATGGGGGAGCAACATGTTTATGGGAGTTGTGGTAATGCGAAAATTAACACGGTGGCTGGAAATTTTTGTTGGATGGAAACAATGGGCGGAGGTTTAGATACGATGGTGATTCACTGAACGTTCATTCTTAGGCTCCATGTGGAGGATTTAATGGGTCTGGTGATCTTAGGAAGTGATCTATGACAGAAGATGATTTGTATGAAGTTTGTATTGAAGATTTCTGTTGTCTGTGTAGTATGGGCAGGTCTTGATTTGACCAATTTTGATGGCACTCGGCTGCTCCTTGCCTCCAGTCAGGCCATATGGCCTCAGAATGTTTAGCTAGTTGACATAGGCAATATGATTGACTTCAAAAACATCTCCGGATTCTAGTGCATGGTCCGAAGCTCGGATCTGAGGCTGAGACTATCAAGACTGGAAAGTATCACGAATTGTTGCGAGCTGTGGACCTCGGATAGAAGTTTTTTTTTAAAAAAAATGGCTGCCCTTACTGGATCGAACGTCTTGTTGAAAACCGCCAGTGTAATTCGGTATGCTGCAATTTTCAAGTCATCTCACGATAAAAACAGCCTGAATGTGCACTTCCTCATCCAGTTGTCCCACTTGTGATGCAATAGCCTGGGCTTTCAGGTCCATGATCCACTATGATCATCAACAACAAGCCCTATCGAACCTTGGAACTCAAAATATCATCGAACCAAACTCTTCGATGGAGCAAAGTGGGTCGATCAGAGACAAAATCGCAGATCGGCCAATAGCCGTAGACCAAAAGAGTGGATCCCATTGGAACGACAAGTTTTGCTTCAGTCCTATCAGTACTATCGATGTAGATCGCGTCAGCAAAGTGGAAATAATCACGCTAGAGCAAGGAAGCGGGTCCAACTTGATGCACTTTCCCCTTGAACACCCAATCATCTTCTCGGGTTTGAGCAGACCGGTTTCTTTCGGGGGATTGTTTTCTATTTAGTGCAGCACTCCGGGCCACAATATAATGCTCGGTGATCCACCGAGTCGGGCTGCGATCGGGGTGGATTCGTCTTAGTGTTGTCTCCCCGTGTCCTGATTTTTCTCGTACGCTCAGCTGAAATGTGACTCCGTCACTTATCTCGCCATCGCTAGCGCCATGAGCAAACTCGCTGGAGAGGAACCTGAGCGAACAGGAATCCCCTACTGGCGCTTGATCTTCGATGCGAGCGTTATTCCTCGCGAGGTCGCAGCGCACCATCACGATGGGGCCGGTACAGATGAGGATCCCTTTCAGGTAACCTGGATTGATAATGATGCGCGCAATCCTATGAACTTCGGTATTGTGCAAAAATGGATGATCACGTTGTTGGTCGGGATCAACACCCTTGCAGTCGCATTGGTCTCGTCTGCGTACTCGGGCAGTCTGGTTGAGATCATCGAAGACTTTCGAATCAGCGAGGAGCTGGGTATTGTCGGAATCTCGTTATTCGTTGTCGGATTCGCTGTCGGACCCTTGATCTGGGCGCCGCTCAGTGAGATGTATGGGAGAAGACCCATTCTGATCGCAAGCTCGGCCGGATTGGCGGCTTTCACGGCGGGATGTGCTGGTGCGCAGAATATCTGGACTCTGCTGATTCTGCGTTTCATCGCTGGATCATTAGGCTCGGCTCCATTCGCTGTTGCGGGAGGTGTGATTGCGGACTGCTTCCCTCCCATCAGCCGTGGACTTGCAAGTGGTCTGTATTGCGCTGCGCCGTTCTTGGGTCCAACGCTGGGCCCGATCATTGGTGGATTCTTGTCGGAGTCTGCTGGTTGGCGCTGGGTTGAAGGGCTGGTGGCCGCATTCGCGGGACTCTTGGGAATTATTACTCTTTTCTTCTTACCTGAGACTTTTGCGCCTACCCTGCTGAGCAAACGAGCCGAGCGATTGTCTGCCTCTACTGGCTATGTGTATCGTAGCAAGCTCGAGATTGACCAAGGCAAGAAGAGTCCTGCGGATGTCTTCAAAGTGGCTCTTTCAAGGCCATGGGTACTCCTTTTCCGGGAACCCATTGTTCTGCTACTTTCGATCTACCTCGCCATTATCTATGGAATGTGAGTATTCATCCATCTTTCAGTTAACTAGATCTCTCACTGACTCCCGCCAGCTTATACATGCTCTTCGCGGCAATGCCAATTGTCTACCAAACGGAGCGCGGCTGGAGTGAAGGACTCGGCGGACTCTCGTTCTTAGGAATCACAGTCGGCATCCTCTTCTCCGTGGTCGCAACTTTCCCGATCTACTTCAACTACAAGAAGAAGACTCTCGCCGCTGGTGGTCGCCTAGCACCGGAGAAGCGCCTCCCAGGTGCCATGATCGGCTCAATCGCATTGCCCGCAGGTCTATTCTGGTTCGCCTGGACGAATTCTCCCTCCATCCACTGGATGGCCTCTATCGCAGCTGGTGTTCCCCTCGGCTTCGGCATGGTGATGGTCTTCCTTCCAATCCTGAACTATCTGATTGACGCATACACGATCTACGCCGCATCGGTTCTGGCTGCCAACGCTGCCTTGCGCTCGGTCTTCGGAGCCGTCTTCCCGCTGTTCACCACTTATATGTATGAGAATCTCGGTATCCACTGGGCTTCTTCTATCCCGGCTTTCCTGGCCCTCGCATGCGTGCCCATGCCTTTCCTGTTTTACCGCTTTGGTCCGGGGATCAGAAAGCGGTGTCACTATGCTGCTACCTCGCATGCATTTATGGAGAAGTTATATGAGAAAGCTGCATTGCCACCAAAGGTTGAGAGAGATGAAGCTGGCGATGGCGAGACTGCGTCAGATTAACAGGTTGGACTTAGAAGATTTAAGATTATCCTTTCTTTATTTTTGGCGAAAAAAAGGTGGCAAAGACGTAATAGAATAGCTAGAATAATAAACTCGTTAATGATTGTTTTGTTATCGATCACAAGTAACCCCATCACTGTAAGACCTATCATTAACTGCTCACATGCCACCTTATTTCCACCAGATATATTTGTATTAATATCAGCTACTTTACATTGGCCTTGGCTTGCGCGTAGAACAACCTTCGTCTTTGTCCCGCGATTCACGCGTTTTCCTTAACCGCTTACGACGTTTTCTGGACTCTCCCATCTTTCCCAAAGTTCAATCGATTTTATACGTTCTTCGACTTAGAAAGCTCCCCCTGGAAGTCTTTTTTCTCATTGTTTAAGTAAGGTCAAAGATAATGGTAAATTAAAGTAGAAGATATTGAACAAGTAAGACAACTTGCCTATGGTATAGATATTCCTCTTGAATACAATTTTATGGTAGAAGTGAATCGATTTTCACAGTTTACCTTTTTGAGACCCCAAAGAAAGGCTAATCGAGCCTTGTTAGAGTACTGCTGCTTTTTATGGTCATACTATGTCTTTTTGACTCTGTGGATTTACATCATGGGCATTTTGTAAGCCGCAAGAGACTGGCCGTGCGATATGGGTGTATTATCACCTACCTGTATGTCTTAAGTGTGTTTGAACTGAGTGACTAAAGAGTCTTTCGCCCGCTCAATATCCGTTGGATGTTTGACAGTCTTCTCCAGGTGTCTGTCACCTGACCACTTTCTCAACTATAAAAGGGTCAGCTTCTCTCTTCTTCACCTCTTCTTCTTTCCATATCTCCAACCCAGCTTCGGAAAATGAGTCCATGAAGTGACACCTGGCTGCCAGAGCCGGCTTTGATGTTTTCTTTCGCCCTCGCCCGAGAGGAAGACATCAAAGCCGGTCTATGATGACCGGGGGGAGCCGGGGATCCCTCAAGAATCACCGATATAAAGCATACCACTGACTTTGTCTATACTACCAAGTTGATCGCCCAAACTCACATGAATATTTATGATAAGTTACCTGAGCGCCAGTTTATGAGAGGGGAGAGAACACCGGCGAGTACCAGCCCTTCCGTTTGGGGCTTTGAGGCAATCTCCCTGCACTGCCTTCAATGGCACGTCATCATGACTTTCGATGACCAGTCTTGGTGCTAGCCCCGTGGGCAGAGATCTGACGAGTGCTATATACAATTTCCCAGTGTACCCAATTGAGGGGATACTCATCTGCATGCATATATACTGGGTGTTGAAATCGAGAATCGGCAGTTGATTGGGCATTGGACTTGGGTTCAACAACAAGTTCACCGATGCGGGACCGGAAGCTTCCGTGAGGTCTCTTCACTATGCGAGAAGTCAAAAGGCGAGCCTTTCCCTCCATCTTATGAGAACGGATTGTCTCTGATACCAATTTTCTATAGGTGTGGGTTCTTACCCAGCTCGGATCCAACGCCTCATGAGAACCATTATATCACGGTACCCTCTTCAGTGATGAAACTTTCGGGCCAGCAGCAACAGGAAAACAGAAATGGCGGTATCAACAAGATCTCTTTCATTATTGATCCAGATGGAATCCATGGATGATAGCTGCAGGGCGGTACGAGTCACACCCTATTGGGCTCGGCGGCAATCCGCTCATGCTTGACATGGAGTTGCGCAAGAGCTTTTGATCCTGGAATCCTGGGCGGGCTTGGTGTTTTCCTTTAGGGGTAAGCTTAAAGGAAGACATCAAGCCAGCCCAGATGTTCAGGATAGTCGAGAAAGCTGGGATTGCTACGAAGAGGGCACACGGGAAAAAAATGGAACTCCGGAAAGTCTGCGAAAGGCGTCTATCGTTCAAGCCCAGATTACGGATCTCGCTTCCGAAAGTACCGTATCACCATGCTGATTCCTCCGGGAGCACTATCTCAATCCGTGGGATGTTTCAAAGATGCAAGGAAGTGAGGCTGATGGTTTGATTGTCTACTAAAAGAGAAAGTATGCACTGGTGGCCTAGGATGCAAGTAAATATGGATATGGCGGACACAAATACTAATGTTTTCACAGATACCAAATCGTGACGCGATCTCCGTTGTATGCTTGGGTTGATACTGGAGTGGGGCCAAAACAAGCTCACATATCGCATAATGACGTCTTCCGACTGGACCGATGGATTTTGCCCTAAATGTTTGTTATGATATTTGGACACTATAGCTAGAGGAAAACATAACATATTGAGTAATTGCCACCATCCCTTACACGCTAAAGTACACTCCGGAACTCGGACAGTCGGTACGAAGCGGAAGAGGCCACCGCCGTCGAAGGATCAATATCCCGTCCATTTGTAGTCAAAGTAATTAATGCAAGACTGTAATTTTTTCTCACTTCACATCTGTTACTAACCCATCAAATTCGTTATGTTTTCATTCACAGTCCGTCCAATTCAGAGTAGTGGTAAGTACTTCTCGATGTTTGAAGGCTTAACTGACCTCACCATGATGTCTAGCTCGCTCCGTCCAAGTTGGACCTGGCCTCACGGGCTTAACCCAGCGATTTGCATCACCGAGAATGTAAGCAGTCTTGAAACGACGACATCCAAGCTTGGCTAATATTTCTCGTCTCCAGTCTCAATCTCAGATACTCATCGCACAACAAACCCCATGATGCCACTCTTCTCGTCGTAGAACAACGTTTGAGACGTCCGGTCTCGCCTCATCTCTCCATTTACCGCCCCCAGATCACCTGGGTTCCCAGCATGCTTACACGGCTTACCGGCATTGCTCTTTCTGGTGGATTATACCTCTACTCAACGGCCTATCTTCTGTCCCCAATGACCGGATGGGATATTGGATCCGAGTCTCTGGTTGCTGCATTTAGTAGCCTTCCGCCATTGGCTCAGATTGCTGTGAAGTTTGGTATTGCGCTTCCATTCGTCTTCCACAGCTTTAATGGCGTACGTATTCTGGTTTGGGATACTGGTCGACTGTTTACGAATAGGCAGGTAAATTGGGGAGGTTGGATGGTTGTTGGTACTTCGGGGGTTTTTGCTCTGCTCCTGGCACTCTGGAAATCGGATGATGATGCATGAGCATGCTTGGCCATACTTTCATGCAAGGTCATGCGAAGTGACTATGTGAGCAGAGGAGCGCTGGTCGACAAGGTAGTCTGTGTACGCAGCTGATGAGTGAGACTTGGACCGAAATAATACTTGAGGAGGCCTGGAGAATCAGGAGCTCAAGAGACCTTAGTTGACAAATAGTGCCGCTGGGGTACAAATCGTACTTTGAGATGCTGATTTGAATCCTCTAATAGATTGCACATGCATGCTCAAGGCTATTTTTGAATTAATAAAACATAACAAACTCATCATATCCATCAGAAATCTGAAAAAGTTGGTTTGAGCAACAGGACAAGCATGATTGTCCTTTAATATCACATAGAGTCACTATTTTTAGTTGTGCACAACATTACCTTCGCTATCAGATGATTCCTCGGCCTTGACCAAGCTCTGCTCCTTGCTAAGCTTAGGATTTCGCAGACAAAGAGCAAACACAATAAGCGGGATTGTCAGACAGATTCCTGTAATGCACAGAAGCCGCTGAGTCGCTTGGTAGGCAAGTATCACCTCGTCCCGGGCATGAGTACCAACTGGGTTGGCAGCCGCAAATACCAATGGCTCGGCGTAAACTGACGCGGCGAGTGTCTCGTTTCCGAGTCTGCGGCTCAGCTCTCCGGGGAGGACTTGGTTCCAAATGGAACCAGATATCGTGTTACCGAGGGCACTTCCAATGTTGTAAGATGCAAGGAAGATGCCGGTGACGACAGCGAGATCTAGGATATAATTAGCATGTGACTGGATTCCGAAATTGTGGTCAACCCTTTCATCACTTACGCTCGTGCCTGGAAACTGCCTGAATACTAGCCTGGGCAGGGTAAGGGAAACACCCACCAGCTATAAAGACTAGGTATTAGTACTTTGTTCTGGGATACCGAAGGTCCTTGTGGCATACCTATTCCCAGAAGAATCTGTCCACCGATCACACCCGAGTGGCTTGCATGCCCACTGCCGCCACGGAAATGAATCAAAATACCGAAGGCGACAGTGAACAGCATGGTTCCGAAAATGATGAAAGGCTTAAGCTGGCGGACTCTTATGATAATGAAACCCAGAATCGTTCCAGCGATCACGGATGTGAAACTGTACAGTGAAGTGATGCGTGTCGCGCTGAGAATCGACTCATCAAATCCCACGTAGAGTACTGTGTACAAGAAATCACCCTGGAGATACCATGCTGAAGCGATGTCAGACAAGTTTCGGACTCCATGTTATGTCATACATACCTGTGTTGAGCATAACAGCAATCCCGAGGGCAGCCCATACACCACGGTCTTTGAGGTGCTGATAAAGTTAGTCCCTGCAAATACATAGCACCCGATCCATACTACATACCTTGAAAGGAAGCATTGGGTATTTGCAATTCTTTTCCCAAAATACCCAGACTGGAATCAACAGCACACCTATGACCAAGGGCGCAATGACCTTTGCCGTTCCCCAGGTTGTCTTGACACCTCCGGCGAGTGTGAATGGAACAAGTATGCAGGCGAATATGGCAATCATTAAGAGTATACCAATGACGTCCAGGTGCCAGAAAAGCGCGACCGCAAGTTGGCGACCGCCCATAAGATCGAAGGAGCTCTTATACGGTTCCAGCTGACCGGATTTCTTTGCGCGGCGATGGACAATGAAGAGGACTGTGAGCAGAGGCAGCGCACATACAGGGTAGATGATGGCGAACATTCCGATGCCCCATCTCCAAGAAGTGACTTTGAGAACAGCTGCGGTTAAATTACCACTGATCCATGTATTGATCTATTTGCAGATGGATGATTAGAGCCGTCCCTGGTGCTTGTAAAAGGAAGACGTAACTCACGATGAATGGCAGAGCTGGAATATATGAGAACAAGAGACGAGACCGTGTAGAAGTCAAATCTGCAATAAGAACTTCGACAAGTAGCATGATACAAGTGTATCCGATCTAATCTGTCAGAAATACTCTGGTATGTGTGTAGGGCCCACATACCTGATAGATAACAGCTCCGGCGCAGAAACTTTCCACGTTTTTGGCGCATGCCTCAATGATTGTACCGATCGTGTAAAAGACAACGGAAACAATGATAAGTTCAATTCTGCCAAAGACATCGGCAATTTTTGCAGCGGTAGGCTACATAAGCAAAGGGTTAGCTTCGCAAACTCAGGCCTCGGAATTTGTGGTATATACCTGAGCGGCGGCGGCAATAACAGCGCGGAGAACGTTGATGGTTGCGAGAAGACTGTGCTGACCATAGCTCTGGGTAGCATAGGGCTGTTATGAGCTCTGGTTAGTATTCCTGTTAATTTCTTGCAATCTTCCGGGAAACGGACCTGGTACGTGTACCGAACGGTTCCATCCAACCCGTAAACGTAGGCAATGAGGAACACACTCGCAAACAAGCAGATGCGATCAAAGAGACGAAAGTGCGAATTGATGATCTCAATACGATGGACTCCAGGACTGCCTTCACCCAACAGCTGAACATCCTGAGCTGGCACAGCTTGAGTATGGGGGTCCTTTCCCGAGTCTTCCCCGAGGCGGCCGCTGACAGGGCTCTCAGGAACGGCCATGATGAACAGTGTCAGATGTTCAAGAGATTAGAAAGATCTGCGCGCTGATCACTGGGTCAAGGGGACTTCAGACCCTTTAAGTCAGAAGGGAAAAAAAGAAAAAAAAGAAAGAAAAGCTGGCGCAGGATGAGCTAATTTGGGGAAATACTAAATCCAGGGTCTAATCCATCTTATCAGATGGGGCCCCATTACAGTGGACCAATCACCGTGCTGTACACAAGAGCCTGAACACAAATAGACTTTTCGCTCATTTGATGACACAAGTTTATTGCCTTAAAGCGGTTTAGTCACTATACACAAGTTGGATCAGCCAGTCATAGCCAACTTGCCAAGGGCTTGTCCGGACCACAGGCCATATTTGCCGCGTTCTCCGGCTCGTCCCTTGGCCTTGTAGCCCAATCTCATGATTATGAGGACTGACAGCTTAGTCATGTCAATACTTGGTCGTATGACTATCAATAATGACTTGAAACATTTTGATATTGGATTCCATTTAGATAGAAGTAAGCTATCCTGCAGTTACAACTATCCAGAAACCTCAAGACCGCCCTGAAACTTAAAAATGCCGCCAAACGCCAGCCTACCACCTATCCAATCCAACCTCATAAATCATAAATAAATAAAATCAAAGAACGCTCAATTCCCGTCTTCCACTTGTCCCACTCCGCATACTCATTCCCATTCCCTGTCCGCTCCAATCCGAAGAGGATGAATCTCCACGGGCACGGGAGCCACCGGTACTGGTGCTAGCACCGATACTGATGCCCGCCGTCGTGAGGGAGTCCCCATCATCCATAATCGTGGGAACGGGTCCACCAACCATGACAGGACGTATCTTTGCGCCAACGAAGCCCCGACGATCGCGACCTGTCCGGCCTCGGCCGAGCCAGTTGTGCTTTAGAGCTTTGCTGAGCACTTCAATTCTTTCCTGCGATTCGTCATCTGTTTGGACGCTTGCGAGTACGCTGACGCATTGGAGCATGCGGCCGACTGTCTCGGTGATGACGTGGGATGAGTCCGCAGAGCCAACGCGGTGTATTATGGTTGGGCGTTGGTTCGAGGTTGGAGGAGACGAAACAGAGGAGAAGATCATTGGGTCTGGGTTAGAGGATGTGTTGGATGCGGCGCGGCTGCGGGAGTCGCTGCTTCCGGGTCTGTAATTGGTGTTTGTGTGAGCTAGAATACTCACTGAGTCGGAGGAGTAGCTGTCAGCAGCATTGCTGAGCATTGTCGAGGATTGGGAGTTGTAACTGCCAAGGCCTGCATCTAGTGATGCAGCTGTGCCTGGTCGGCCGCCTGTGCCGGCGCTTTTGGCTGTCACGCTAAGTGTAGGGAATCCAGTGTTGATGCTGTCGAGGCTGAGGCGGGAAAAGGTTTGTTTGAGGGTCTCGTAGCGGTTTAAGATCATGCGGTCGCGGAAGGCGATCAAGACTATGTTTCGGACGTCCAGGAATCCACCGACTGGTAGTGATCCCCAGAATTCATGAGCTTCACGAGGGGTCATCAAGGAGCCAACGCCCTTGAACTCGAGGTCCAGAGGTAAGAAAACGGCTTGGATGAATGGCAATATAGTGCCAAAGACCAACAGCCACACTTGAACTAAATGGGGAACGAGTTTTTCATCGGCAATCCCGACCAATGAACTATGATTGAGCGTCGCAAAGCCCGTCTCCAGCAGTTCTTGAAGATCGAAAATGATTGACGTAGGAGTGCGCTTCTGAACACAGCGTTGTAGGTGCACCAGCACAAGCTTGTTCAGGTCCTCGATGGCAATTCGCACATCCTCACCATCAAAGATGACCAGCAACTTCGCCTTGAGGAAGTCCCATGCATCCTCAGGGGACATGTTGTTTAGTCCGAAGCCTTGCAAAGTCTCTCGTAGCACCGCCTCTCCCATCGCACCAGACGAGCTGTTTAAGGAAGAAGGCCCAGTAAAGACGGTGGCAGCAGCATTTCCACCCGCCGCCGCATTATTGAGCCATTCAGTATGCTCGGATTCCCCGAACGCCTTCTCCTTCACCTTTTCTTCCTTCTTCTTTTCGCGCAGAGCTCGACCGCCATGTAGCAGATCCAACCCACTAACGGACTTCCCGAATGTGGCACCTGGTGCCGGGGATGAAGGTCCGGTGAACGAGTAAAGGGACTGAGGAGCATTGGGATCAGCAGGACGAGAATTACTCGACGCCGAGGATAGAGGTAGCTTCAAATGCTCGTCACGGTCCTTCAATTTCAGCTTCTGCCGCGACAAAAAGTGATGCTTGTGTTTATCCTTGTCCTTGGTGTCTTTCTCCGGCACAGCAGATTGAGCTTTATCTCCAGCTGGTACCACGGTGCTGACGGACGCATTGGACAGATTATACATGGAGGAGTTGTTAGAGGGCAGATCGGCCAAGCTGGCCGTAGACCCGCTAACCATGCGCGAAAGACCATTGCCAATCTTGCTTGGAGACGGCAGTCCACGATCCCGGGCAAAATTATCCGACTTCTCTCGATTTAGGACGATATGTTTCGGTTTTGAGAATAATTTTTTCTTCTTCTTGTTTTCTGGTTGGTCCATCGGCTGGGCTGCTGCGCCAGCCCGCGGGAACACCACGTTGGCAGCCGTTGTTGCCACATTGGGAGAGGGCTGATTCAGTCGAAGAGGAGCGGGAATCAACGCGGGTAAAGGTGGAGGAGAGGAACTGCCACTTCGTAGTGCGTCATCTGAACGTTTGATCTGCTGCATCGCAGCCTGAGCAGCAATGCGGGAAGCCGACACCGCGGGCATTTGATCGGACGATGCAGTGGGTAATGAAGGCTCAAAGAAACCCTGTGAGTGATGTCGCGATCTATGTCGCGTCAGTTCGGACGAAGGGCCTCGACCCGACGGCCGACGGTCTTGCGGCATTCTAGCGGCCGCGTGTTGGGGCGACGTGGTTGCTGAGGAGGATCGGTGTGGAGAGAAATAACCACCACCGGGAGGTGGGTTGATCGGGGTGATCGGGGCAGCGGAGACGGTGGTCACATTGGAGGAAGCATCACTACCGGAAGATCCGGGGCGAGCCAATTCGTCGTCGTCTGAATCGTCTTCTTCGTCGTCGGAGACTGGTGGAGGCTGGGGGGGGATGACGATAAACCGGGGCGGGGGCTCGTTGGGACCGGCCCGGAGAGTTAGGAGAGCGATAAGTAGGGTTCATGGCGAGCGATCCATGTTATATAGGTTTCTTTATCTATATATAGGAGTGAGTGTCAGAAGTTGACAAGGTTGGAGGCCTGTTTAATCGGTGATCAACAAGCTCACCCCTTTGGGTCTAGTCAATCGACCCTCCGCCGATCTTTTCTTTTCCTTCCCCGCCACTCCCACCTTCACATTCCACAGTACGCTCTCCATTTACAATCATGGCCAACACTCCTCTTCAAGCGGTCTACACCGCTCCAGACGCCACCAAGTCTTTCCAGCATGCAACCCCAATGACCTCCGTGACTGCATCAGACCCCCTCGCCGCCAAGCTCACCCACCTGAGAGCCCTCCAATCCCTGGTCCCAAAGCTACAGGACGAGGTTAACGTCTACTTGACCGCACGAATGGAAGAAGATAAGAAAGCTCAAGGGCAAGGCTCAGAGAAGGAAGCTAAGGAGGAGGAAAATTACGGCGAGGAAGTTGTCGAAGACGATGCGTGATCAACATCACGACATGATATAATATGCTACAACTGGGTATCAAACGAAAACACCAAACCCTGCAGGATGCAGACGAAGAAAAAAAATTGGAACCGAACATCTTTACCCGGAACGAACACTCGCAACCCGATTCGCGCAGCCCAGATGAACAACAGTGTTGCTAGAAAAGTTAGCAGAAGTTCGAGCTTCTGAATAAACCTTGGAACTTACTCGGGGAATACATTGATCACACTTCCTCCCAAGCGCTTGTGACACACACCACAGATCCGCTCCTCCGTGATCGTAACATGTCGCGCTCGGGTTCCACCTCGGATATTCTCGCCGAGTTTGAGTTGTGCTTCGGTCTGCATATCGCGTGCCTTGCGCAGGCTCGCTACGATGCGGGCCTCGTTGAAGACGGAGTTTGCCGCCCGCATCCGACCCTTGAAATAGAATTCAAGGTCCTGCACGGCCAGGGTGGCAGGGATCAAACCCAGAGCTGCATCCGCGGGTAATCGGGAGCCGTGTTTGGCGAGCAAGGCCAATGCAGGTCCATTCTGGGCTGGATAGCCGTGTGGTGGGGCCAGGTACAGCGACAACAGGGTGAGATAGATGGATTGTTCTTTTTCTTTCTCTTCGGTGCTTTCGGACAAGTGAACATGGTTGCAGTACCTAAATTGATTAGTCAAGATAGATGCATAGGAATGAGAATGAGAACTTACTCTTCCGCTTTTTCGTGAGCCTCTAGCTTGAACACGTATATCTCAAGCACCTGGCGATGCTGACCCATCTTGCTGAAAATAATGGCTCGTGCCTCATAGAATCCAGGATCTGCATGGTCAGTAAAATTCCAAATTTCGAGTGGGTTTGAGCCTACCTTCGCGGTCCAGCCGGTTCAGAATTTTAGCTGGCGAATATTGCTCGCTTTCTTTGAGCATATCCAAGAATTTTTCTTTGGTCTTGGTGTCATTTTTGTCGGTGGTAATCTGATCAAGATACAAGACCAAAAGCTGCTGATGTAGATCCGGAGTCATGTCATTCCACTCGTGGATGACATGTTCAAGGTATCGGACGGCGAGTTTGGAGTCAACGCTCTGCAAGAACTTCAAAACATGTGGGCGTGGCAAGGTTTCAGCATTCTCTGTGTCTGTCAGGAATATCTCCATGCCAAGATCTTGGTCATCTTGAAGGGGCCATTCTGCAAATTCGAGGATCAAGTCTATTTGATCGGGTGGAAGGTTTTGCAGATAAGCCACAGTGCGAGCTGGCCCACTAAGCACGCCCTCCTCGTCCTGTCCGAATCGTTGAAGCAGTTCCAAAGCTTGGCGGTGTAACTTCTTTCCATAAAGAAAATCAATCAGATCATTATACCGACCGGTGTCTTCCAATCTTTCCATTACCACTTCTGGATCACAGAAATTGGCGATGCGGAACAGAGATCCTGCGAGTGATGGCGTTGCGTACATATGCGCGCGGAACAATGTCGTATCAACAAGACGCGCCTTTTCACGGATTGTAGACAAGAAGTCTTCGCTGGCCGGAAAGTCCAACAGTTTCAGCACAGAGTCGCTAGCTTCGTCCGTGGATTCAGTTGGCACGGGAGCTTTGAGACATCCATCTTGACCCAAGTATCTCTGGAATCGCCGACGAACATCTGCTAAATAACCTTGAAGTTCACGTACAGAATTCTTCAGGTCCTTTTCTTCGTCTCGGATGCTGCCCGAGTCGCTGCTCCCATCAGGTTTCGTGTCAGCTCGTCTGAGGAAAGACTGGACAGACGGCGCATAAAGGGACGACGTGGGACCTCCATTGGCTCCATTGGCTCCATTGGCCCCATTGATTACATTGGCGGGGGGTCAACGGGGCTGTCAGCTTGCGAGCCGTTGATTTTTGGGTCAGAGCTCCTTGGGTCAGAACCACTTTCAGTCTGCTCAGGGACAGCTGAAAGTTCACCAGCAATTGACCGGGGATAAAGGCGAATGACTGTCTCGGGAGAAGCTGCAACCTCTGTGAACAAGTCCAAAGACTCTCGGTATTTGTGTAAGGCGAACAAGCTTTGGGCCTTTTCAAGCTGTGCAGCGCGTAGTCGGCCGGCTTTGTCTCGGAGCAGAGCATCTTCCAACATTCCTAGAAGACTAATAGCCTCATCCAAGTACCCCTTCTCGACCAAGGTGTCAATCTGGGTATCGTAGCTCAAAGCATCCATCCGCCAGATCGTCCGATCACTCCCAACCAAGAACCCTTTTCCAGCATGGGCAAGGCTGATATTCGGCTGAGGTATGTGAAGAATGCTTGCCGATGGAAGCGGAATCGATTGCAATAACGACAAAGTCTCTGGATTTCGGACTTCTAGAACGCCCTTAGCTGTATCGTGAAGGGCGAGGAGAAACGGGTACGAGTAGCCAATCTCCATAGGAGCATGGCTCCAAGGAATCTGTCGTCGCCCGAGCGGCTGACCCTCCACATCGATGAAGTTGGTATTAACATCCTTGGCCAACAAAATCTGGCCTTCTCGTAGCCTCGAAGCAAGTGGCTTTGGTACCATGCCTCCCATCCCAATATAGCTCATGCTCGCTGCACCGACTCCCGTAAACCGTCCCGATTCCTCCAAGCTCCCCGGGCTAGGTAGTTCAGTAACCTGTCCACCTTCAACATCCACCATTACGAAGCTCGAGCTTAGTCCAACAACCATTCGCGTCGCTGATACCCAGGTGAGCGTCTTAACCCCGCTCACCAAGCTCAACTCCGTAGTGTTCGGTTCCAGCTCCATATCCCGCCACACCCACATCAAGATTTTTCTTTTCACGGCGACAGCCAACCGGGACACAATAGCAGGAACATTTGTATCGGGATCATTGACGACATTTGAGGTGATCGCAAAGGCCGAAGCGCCTTTTGTCTGCGCAAGTTGTTCCTGAAACTCATAGGTCTGCGAGTCATGGAAGCTCACATAGCCACCAGACAGCGAAACAATAACATGTGCCTCCTTTACCAGAGCCAGTTGCTCAATCTTGTATCGGGCGAACTTTTCCAGCTCGCGAAGTAGCTCGGTTTTGCCATCGTCTGTCACGCGGTAGATGCGGAGTGTGCCGTTGTTGAGGCCGGCTAACAGTCGGTCGCCGTAGGCTAGCACCGAGTCGATTCTGGATTTGTCGCGTGGCTTGAGCTCCACCAGCGGTTGCGCGGTGAATGCGGATAACATCGCGCGCCGGCAAGGGTCAATTTGTCCCTGTCCCTCACTGGACTCCTTGGTGCTTGTGGTGTCGAGGAGCTCCGCCATGTGACGTCTTGCTGAGTCATCCTTATGCCTGAGGCAACAACGTCAATTTTAAGTGAATCTTGGAAGCTTCATAAGGATTGCACAATCGTAGCAGTGCGCTCAAAGGCTGGGCATGTTCTTTGATGGCTTTTTCGGAGCTTGTGGCTTGATTGAAATAGATTCGAAAGCTCTCTGACTGTTCACAATCTGTTTTGGAAACCTCGTCTTTGTTCCAAGACTTATGACGATCTATACTTGATCGAGGTCATTGGCTTTGACGCGAGGGCTTCGCCGAGACTGTTTCTACTGTCATCAAAGGGAGCGCCCAGAGGGTCAATGATTCAAGAGTTTTGAAAGCACCTAATCTGAATTTTTAATATTCTTTCATCACCCATACACCTCGTGGGGATTAGAACGCTATTCTTGGACAATAATGATGAATACTAATGGAACCAGTCCCACGAGTGGACCTATCTTGATAGAACTAGGGCACTCAGAGAGAAATATATAAACAGGTATTTGGAACAAGAACTATCACTAACAATCCAATATCTCCTGTACCTTTCTAAGGTACTTGAGTATCAGAGCAATCCGACGTCTTTGCTTCCTCTTAGAACTTGTATTCTTATCAGATTATCTGCAAGGGCTCGGTGGCTACACTCTTGCTACACAGATTATCAATCTGTTCTCCCCCACCTCGAGTACCTTGCCCGAATCGTTACTATTGAAGATCCTGAGTTCCTGAATTCCAAGCTTATCGCGTCACCCTCATCCGCATCTTCATCCAGTTTTTTCTTTCTTTCTTCCCAAGACTGTTACTATGGCAGCTGTGCCACCAGCCGCTGTTCTTCTTCGACCGATAGAAAATATTTTCGGTATACTTCATGATACTCTGATAAAATCTATGGTACACGAGGGGACCCATGAAGCACTCCATGCTCTTGTTGACCTTGAGAGAGGTGCCATCGGCCTGCACACGATGGGTGTCATACGAACCGGAATGACAGCTGCCGTGAGAGCTCTTGCACAGAGTCTGTATATTCATAATCATCATCCTAATCATGCTGCCATGCTCGCAGTACCAGGTGGTCCAGTTGCTCTACCAGGACCAGGTCCAGCATCAACCGCATGGGATGAGATAATAGACGCTGGTTGTGTCCAATGTTTTCACTTCCTGGTGAGAAACAATATCATTTCGGTAAATGGATATACCAATGCACTGCAGGGTTATATGTTACATGCGGCTGAAAATAACCCGGTTTCTAAACCGATCATGGCATATATCGCGGCCAAGATACCCCTAGCAGACTATACGGTTCCCCAGTCACTTACCGATCCCACTTTGACTACTTTTGTAGTTGGCCTTATGGAAGAACCTTCGATGTGGGCTACAGTGGGAAGAATAGCTGCGCCTCCGCCGGCTTTGCATCCTGGGAATGACCTTAGCACTTGGGTAGATGATCACCATTTCCTAGAGATGGGTTCATGGATTAATGTGGCTGCTGCTAATGCACTTCTGATGTTAAATATTCACGTTGGTAGGGGGACCCATGCGGGCCATACGATATGGGGGAGTGTTATCGCTTCGCGGAATCCACAAAGAGGCAGCATGCTTCAGTGGCTCTATAACCATCCTGCTCCAGTGACTGCGTTGAATCCAACGGGGTTTTTGATTAACTCATTATCTAATACTCCTGGTCTAGATCCGCCCTTACCTGGTCACTGGCCACCGTGGGGTATTGCTATGGCGTTAGGAGATAAGACGTCTGCTACTATACTTACCCGGATGGCCGGTTTAAATACTGTCGCGAGTGGTCTTGGGATACCCGGGATTGCAGGAACAATGACAGCTGCAGGTATGTCATATGTTAGACAACTTGGGTGTGCCGCAGTGTATTTCCTTGAAGAGCATAATATAGCTATGTTAAGGCATTGGCTAGTTCATGCTCCCATTTCTAAAAACGCAATTCTCTCTGTTTTAGTTTTTATTCTAGACAGGCTTGCTGATGCACGCGGCGATATTGATGCTACGCTTATGCCAGTCGGCTATGCGGGGACGATCCAGGCCTGGACACGAGAAAAGTCGCAGCAGAAGAAGCGAAAGAACCAAATAGCTATTCGAATGATAAAAGTCATTCTCTCAAGGGGCTTTCGACGTTTCACGGCGAGCAATGTTTTGGACAGGCGAATGCCAACAATGATGAGAGAGATGATGGAGGATCCGAGGTATCAAAGGTTTCTTGTCCTTATCAGAATAGACCAAGCTTATGGACTCTATCCTGGGATGGCAGATGTGATATTGCAGCTGGATGGCCGATCTAGGGATACTCGCTCTGGAAGGCATCTGGACTTGAATGACTAAAATAAATTTGTAATTGTCATTTTTTGGTATCTGAATACTGTATATCTGGAAACTCTTTTCTACCGCTATTTCTGTACGTGTTCATCCGCTGGGAAGTCCTGGTGTTTCGCTGAACTTCCTTTCCCACGCCAAGTAGAGACGGCAGATATACCTGCCTTGAAGCGTTGTTCTTCTGTGCCGTACGCACGGGGCGTAAGCTTGATCAATGTATGCAGGGGAACCTCCATCCATGGACTCTTCTCCTGCGGTACATTCATAAAGTATGAATAGATACAACGCAATACAGCCTGATGCGTAACGATAATGACATTCTCACTGCGCTCAAGCTCCATGATGATGGGCTCCAGGCGAATGACGACGTCGCGATAGGATTCGCCGCCACGGTAACGGTAGTTGTATTTGTCTTCGTCGCGAGCGGCAAAATCTTCGGGGTATTTTTCGGCAATTTCTTCATAGGTGAGGCCGTCGCAGACGCCGGAGTCCAGCTCGTCTAGCGCTTTCCATTCTAGTTTCTCGAAGCCAGTCTCGGCTTTCAGATGCCGGGCTGATTGGATGGTGCGACGGAGAGTTGAGGTCCAGATGACGATTTTGGTATTCTCGGGAATTCCAGACTTGCGCAGTAGCTCGGGGAGAGCACGGGCGTATGCTTCACCGCGCTCTGAGATATTGGAGTCACCTCCGATGCGGCCAGTAAGATTATATTCCGATTCGCCGTGCTGCTAATGTTAGAATTCGTTTATCTCGTATTTAAGATTGAAAACTCACTCGAGACAGCCAGATCGATCGTGGCTTGATGTGCAGGTTTTGAATGTAATATACCAAACGACTGGACAAGTAATCCTTGATCTGGTTGATGATAACGGTCGATCCAACATTGATGAGTTTGACATAAGTGTACTGTTTTTCGCCATCGTCGATTGTCTCATAGACCTTTTCATAGTTGACAATGCGGTTCCGGAAATCCAAGGCGGCCAGCTCAGGGTCCTGACCCTTATAATCCGGAGAGGTTGTCTTCACCTCCAGAATATTGTTCATGATGAGATCTTCATCGTCACAAATCGACTCGACAAAGAGAGTTTCAATATCGGCAGCAGTACATTGCTCGTGAATCCACTTGCGGCGCTCCTTGGTGGAATTGGTAGCATCTAAAATAGCGACTACACCCTTGCCCGCTTGGAACCAAGCTAGCATGTCGGTCATGGCGGCCTCGGCGGCCGCCCGACGCATGCGCTCACCCTCGGCATTGTGAGGGTCAAAGAAGGTCGCTTGTGGCTGGGGAGTGTTATGGCGCCGGTAGCTGCCGACATTGAACACACGAGCCGGGATGCCCACCCAGGCCAGATATCGCATGGCTGGAGCAATTAGTCTTTAGGTTCATCAGTTGGTGGGGTTGGTGGGGAGCTTACCCTTTCCAGCTATGAGACTCTTGCCCCGCGCTGGGAGGCCAACCATGACCACGCATATCTTGGACTCATCTGACTTGATAGGAGGTAAGCTCGGGATCATTGTGAACAAAGATCAAGGATGGACCAAAGGGGATATGGAGCACATGGGTAGAATTAATCAAAATGACAAGGAAGGGAGAAAATGAGTCCAGGTGAAGGAGAAGCAGGGGATCAGATGATCATAAAGGTCCTATTGTAAGAACCTTATGGTCCCCTGATCATATCAAGCCCTGTGATCCAGCCTCGTCTAAGTGACTTCCCATATTAAAAGATAGATGAGGTCTTATAGCGATCAGATATGATAGGGATAAGCTTGAACCGAGGCAAAGAGGGGCATTCCCCGCGGACAGCAGACGATCCGGAACTAAGGGGGAAAGAGGGGCAATTGCAGTATAACTTACGCTAGCAATAAACACCTTATGCTGCTGCTGACTCCGGATAACACTTTTTGAAGACATTGCGAATTTTGAGATCGGGAGGAATAGGGATAGCTTTCCGACCCGAGGCCGAGAGATGCAGGATTCGGGATTTCACCAATGCAGGATTCGCAGTATATATGCGAGGTGGTAAGTGGATTGACTAGTGTAATCCCAAAAGTAAAAAGAAAAAGGGTTTAACTTTTTTTTCCTCTAAAATGTGCAGGAAAAGGGAATGCGATCATGCGGTGAGTCTGGAATTGGTTTGCTCCACTATCGATAACTAACGTCATCCACCCCGTTTTCTTCTCAAATGCTTGATTTCCCTATGAATTCATCCTGAATGCCCTTCTTTAAACTCCTGTCTATAATTTTTTTGTTCATCTGGTCATCTGGTCATGATCATCAATCTTAAAGAGCCTCAGGGCTAATGCGCTCCTCTGGCTTGGTAATGCCCCGCGCCCGCTGCACGCGGATCGGGCCACCCCATGGTCCTTCTTGGCCATTCAGAGTGTTGAGGGCCCGTTGGGCCTCTTCCACACTGCTGAGATCGACAAACAGATAATAGTGCTCGCCGGGCTCGAATCGCTTCGCGGGGTGGGGGGAGAACAGCTTGCTCACTTTCTCACTAGGATACGAATCTCGTCAGTAACGTGCCAGGAGAGAAAACGCTGGGTGAACATACACGGTGTATCCCTGGAAAAAAGTCTTGATCTGGGCCTCCGCAACCTCGGGCTCGGCCACACGAGGCAATCCACCCACATATACGCGTTGACTGGAATCCGAGCTGACTCTGGGTGAGCTCTCAGTCTCCGAGCGACGCCATCGATCCATGGCAATGGGGGATCGCTGCTGTTGTTCACTGGCACGCTCGGCCGACGACTTAGCCACACCGGGCTTGATCTTAACCGGGCGGCCCAGCATATCCTTTCCATCCAAGTCAATCATAGCCCGCTCGGCCTGTTCTTTTGTGTGCAGGTCGACGAAACAGTACGATGGGTTCCGGCCGGTGAACGGGTCAATGGCAATGTCGATGCGCTCGCTATCAAGTTTCAGACTCAGCAAGGCCGACTCGCCAGCAGAAGGTTAGAAATGCCATACATGGAGAATTCGGATGCTGTGAAGAGTGCCTCGACATCCTCGGACTTGGCAGTATAGGGCATGTTGCCGACATACAGACGGCGGCCATCGGAGATAGCCTGGGGCACATGGGATCCTGGACGACTAAAGGCGGTGCGGGAGGTATTGGTTCGCGGGGAGGGAGAGGGGGGTTGAGGGCTTTCTTCGCCCTTCATGCGCCAGTTGGCAGAGTTGAAGGCACGGCCGTTGGTGCGGACATTCTGGTGAGGAGTTCTAGGAGCTGGAGGAATTGTAAGTTCTCCAGTACTAAAATGATCGGCTGTGTTTTTCTGCACACCTTGCTGCTCCTCGGGTCTGGGGATCTCGATATCGGCCATGGTCTAAAGGTTCAGTTGGGATTCATTCATATTGTGGACAATTCTTACTGAAATTTCCACCGGAATTAATCACCCAAAGATAGTTTTCGTGCAGAACCAAGAAACCTCCGAGTGATGCTTCATCACTTTTTTTTGTTTGTGAGTGCAAACAGTGCAAACACGTGATTCCACTATTTATTTTTTCGCGCGGCGCCTCGCTTCTCCTTCTTTTCTTCGTTACGGAAAATTCACTGAAATATTATGGGATTTTCTTGACTCCAACCATGATTCGGGTTTCTTTATGACATTGAGATGCTGCAATGAAGCTTTCCATATGCAGTGCTCGCACAATGCCGGCATTGCATGAGCACAAAGCTAATTTTGCCTTGCCTCGAAAACTCTAACCACGCAGAATCCCGATCAATTAATAATTGACTGGTAAGTTCTTGTCTTTCTTTCCTTGCAACCCGCTTCAATGATGAGTATGATTATACACAGACCTGTTCCAAAAAACCTTGAGGATACCAGATCGATATTCAAATCTGATGAAGCTTTTCAATCGTGTTTTATTCAACACCATGTCTGATCATTGCTAATGACCATTCAGTAAACAGGAAACAAGATACCCAGACGACTATTGACCATATCTTATACACTAATCGGTGAGTCTCTTTGTTTCTTATCCCTCCCGCTTCAGTGATGAGTAAGATTTTACACAGACCTGTTCCAAAAAACTTTGAGGATACTAGATCGATAATAAAATCTGATGAAGCTTCTGAATTATCTTTGATTCAATACCACGGTTGATCGTTGCTAATGATCATTTCAGAACAGGAACTTCAAATACCAACCTTCTGTACACCAATTCAACGACCCTTCTATACACTGGTGAGTGCTTTTGCTTTTCATCCCTTCCGCTTCAATGATGAGTAAGATTTTACACAGACCTGTTCCAAAAAACTTTGAGGATACTAGATCGATAATAAAATCTGATGAAGCTTAGCCTCTTACTTTACTTGGCAATATGTTGTGATCATTGCTAATGATTATCACCAGATCCCAGAAGTCCATACTTTGAATGCTAGTGACAATATAATTGCTATATCATCCCGATACTCGTTTCAATTTGTAGACCAACTTGGATTATATCCGCTTCCGATACCATAGCCATTCGTATGATAAAATCTAGCTCTCAACCTCAAGCATTGTATCCCAGATCCTCCTGCACTGGACCCACGGCCTCCCTCTCATACAGAACCTCCGGTTTAATGTCCTGCCGCAAAACATACCTCTTCATAAAATACGGTATCTGCCTCAATCCATACTGTACATTAAATTTGGTCGGCACCGAAAAGACCTGATCCAACTCCTCAAGAGTCTTATTCTTCGTCTCAGGCATAAAAAGCAAAACTAGCCACCACCCAACAAGATTCCCCCCAGCATAAAAGGTAAATGCTCCTTCCGCTGTAAACGCACTCTGCATGGCTGGCCATGTAATGCCTAGTATGAAATTGAAAAACCACGTCGTGGCTGTTGCCAATGCCATCCCGTGTGGCCGGACATAGAGCGGATACGCCTCTGCAGAGTAGGTGAATGGTACTGAACCCGCGCCGGGGGAGTAGACCATGCCAAAAAGGTAAGTTCCCAGGACTATGCAGATAATTCTAGCGTTGTGGTCTTCTGGTATCCAGAAGCTGAACCCTGTGAAGAACATTGCTAGTGCCATTAGGGGAAATGTTACCAGGAGGAGATTGCGGCGGCCAAATGTGTCGATTGTGTAGATTGCCGGAATTGAGAAGAGCCAGTTTATCACGCCCCAGCCAAAGGAGACGAGCATGGATGAGACGGCAGAGAGATTTGCGTCCTGAGATTCATCAAATTGGATTTCCTTGGGGGTAAAACGCGGAGTCAAACATACCATGAAAATTGCAGATGAGTAGTACGCGATAACATTGACGCCGCAGAGCTGTTCCAGTCAATAGACGATCAAGTTCTTCGTAAGGTAGTTCTCACCTGCTGCATGAACATGAGAATCTGCGAGGCAATCATAGCTCGACGATTGCGAGGTACTTTGATAAGCTCCATTATACTGTTCTGTCCAAGCTTCATACTCTTCTTTGCTTCCAGCAACGTGTGCATATAGAACATGTCCCTTGCCGCCTGGATCTTATGATGCCGCAGTGAACACATCGACTCATAAGCGCGGTAATACTGATTCTGGCTCATATACCAACGCGGGGACTCGGGGCATGAGAAAACAAAAGTCAAAACAATGACAGCTGGGATCAATGCAGATCCCATCATGAATCTCCAGTTAAGACCGACGATCGTGGAAGGATCAGTGATCTGATAGAACGCCAAATCCGCTACATAGCCCAGCATGATACCGAACGCAGTCCACATCTGCCACTGCATCACCAGGGCACCGCGGATAGACGGTGGTACCGTCTCGGCTGCGTAAATAGGAACAGTAGCGGACTTAGGACCAATACCAAAGCCCAGTGCAAAGCGGGAGAGAAACAGGTTCCACCACTCTGATGCGAAGCCGGACCAAAAAACGGACAGGGCACTAAAGGCACATGTAATGAAGATTGTTCCACGTCGGCCGAACCATTGATTGAATGGGACTGTGAGCCAGCAACCGATGAAAGCGCAGCAGAGATAGGGAGCTGAGGTGATCAGGCCTAAGATCCAAGTACTTCGAGCACTGTCATCGGCGATTCCAAATTGATGCTTGTACCAAAGTTGGGCGCCGTTGATGGTGGTTTCGTCTTTGATAGATCTATGTCAGCTCTGTCATTCGGTTGGCTCTGGGGTGGTATTTACCCATTCCCTGAACAGCAGCAGATAGCGAACACAGCACAATCACCAGATACAATTTCTTTGGTTGCGACCATCGGTGCTCGACCTCGTGGAGCAGTATTGCTTTTTCTTGAGCCGTCAAGGCCTCTATACTCGCAAAGCGCTCTGGAGCTTGGGCCAACACCGCGCCCAATTCAAAGGCACGAATGTCCTCTTCATCACCTATCTCATGATTGAGCGCAAAGACACGACCCTGTTTCCGCAGCTCGGCATGGCTATAGCCAGCAAGCGGATTCGAGAGCTTAGCATTGAGATTGCGACGGGCGCGCTCGGCCGCATCGCCAACATTGTGCTGCGGCACGAATTCGGTGATCGGCTTTTCATGAAGGGACTCGTTCTTCTTCACCATTCTGACCTTGGTTAGGATGACCACAAGTAAAAGAATACTAGCGAGGAAGCATCGGTATTAAATGGGCATGAGAAGTATGTGGGTGGGCGAGATCAAGACAAAGAAATGGCCGGAGGCAAACATGTTGCTTGCTTTTTGAGTCTAGTGGGTATAGTAGTCCGTACTCGTCCTGTCAAAGAACAGACATCCAAGGATATAAGCAAGCTAGTGCAGAATACCGCCCGGTGGGGGATCGGTTCGTGTGTTCTTTCAAGTGATTGGTGGGCTGGAGAGTAAGCAGCCAGATAAACAAAGGATCATCGCTCGGTTTCTCAATTAGTGCAGGGGTACAGGCAATCTATTGGAGTGACTGGGCGCCGAGAGATGCACGGAGCAGTATGCAGGTAGAATCACGAGGGTGGATGAAGCATGGAGAATCATGGGCCCCCGAGTATTAGAAGGTGAGCTAGACCTTGAAACTATACTGTGATAGCGAGATGAACTGCATCTCACAAGGTCGCTTGGGGAGTATTTGGCTCGGAAGGTTGTTCATAGCTGCAGGGGCCATGTATGATCAGCGGCCTCTTCTGCCTAGGGTCACACCTAGGTAAGATATCCAGTAGTGGGTGCCCAGCCCTGTGACAGAGTATCAATTGTTCGTTTCTCTGTGAAAGTATCATTGAATTCATAATCTGATCGTGACGGATACTGCTTGTCAATTTACATATACACAAACCACTTATGCTCACAATCTTGGAAGTATATAATCTTTCAAGTGCATCCATGGATCACTCATTAGAATGGCTAAGTGGCGGACCGAGATTTAAGGATACTGCTGGAATATACCTCCAGCCTTGGAGTGATTTTGAGATGCCATTATTGCTTCAGCTCTTCCGCGTCACCCACCAAGGTATGATGAAGTTGGATGATAATTTTCCCGGTGATGACGTGTGCGATGCGAAAGTATATTATTTGCCTCGACAGAGTAGGCCGTCAACCATATATATTTAACAACATAGAATTACATGTTCACACAACCACTTGAGTTCGAATCAATCTGGTCTTATGAGCAGACCTTATTCGAAAAATCACTGCACCGCTGCATAAAGCTTATGAAGCGCCCGTCGGATAAAGGTCGGCTCGGCGTGGGGAAGCGGGCGATCCGCCCCGCAAATCCATGTAAAGCAACCGCCAGCGGATCGCCGACCGTCGGATAAGGAGCCGATTCAATCACTTCCGATCGTAACAGCTGAAATGCTCAGTGTCATGGAGCAGAGGCTTGAGACTACCTTCCGAAGGTGCGGGGAAAGTAACGCTGAGCCCAATATAAAGTGACACGGACAAATCACTCAACTGAACCCCTCACTTTCCTTCTTTTCATATACTTTGACCACCCATACTACCACATCACAAAAATGCTGGGAAAGATTGCCCTAGAAGAAGCTTTCGCGCTTCCCCGTTTCAAGGAGAAGACAAGATGGTGGGCTGGCATGTTCGCCACTGATGTTGATAAGCATACTGCCGAAATCAACGACGTGGATTCCATTCGGTTGAATTTCGCGGAGAAGCACGGCGTCGGTCTTCAGATTCTCTCATACACCGCGCCAGGTGTACAGGATATCTGGGATGCCAAGGATGCACAGGCACTCGCTGTTGAGATCAACGACTACATCGCCGAGAAGGTGCAAGCGCACCCAGACCGATTTGCTGCTTTTGCGTAAGTCCCATATATCGTGGCCATGGCACGTCGTATTAACGCTGCATTTAGAACCCTCTCCATGCACGACCCCCAAGAAGCAGCTGCAGAGCTCCGCCGCTGTGTAACAAAATACGGTTTCCTCGGTGCCCTCGTCAATGATACCCAGCGCGCAGGACCGGATGGCGATGACATGATCTTCTACGATAATGAGAAATGGGATATCTTCTGGCAAACATGTACCGAGCTCGACGTGCCGCTTTACCTCCACCCCCGCAACCCTACCGGCACAATCTACGAGAAGCTCTGGGCAGATAGGAAGTGGCTCGTTGGACCTCCTCTATCCTTCGCGCAAGGCGTGAGTCTCCACGCGCTGGGTATGGTCACGAACGGAGTATTCGACCGCCACCCCAAGCTGCAGGTTATCCTTGGACATCTCGGTGAACACATCCCATTCGATATGTGGAGAATTAACCACTGGTTTGAGGATCGCAAGAAGTTGCTCGGATTGCAGGAGACGTGTAAGAAGACTATTCGGGAGTACTTTGCACAAAATCTGTGGATCACTACCTCTGGACATTTCTCCACCCCTACACTGCATTTCTGTATGGCTGAGGTTGGGGCTGATCGAATTTTGTTCTCGATTGATTATCCGTTTGAGACCTTTGAGGATGCTTGCGACTGGTTTGACAAGGCTGAGTTGTCGGAGCCAGATCGGTTGAAGATTGGAAGGGAGAATGCTAAGAAGCTATTCAAGCTGGGTGACTATAAGGATAGCAATGCCTGATCTGCATCATCATGACTTACGTTTATTATAACAATGTTTTTGGTTATGGGGGTGTTTGTTGCAAATATGCTTAGTTATTTGGAATCCGCAGAATAAAAATGGGTATCTGGTCATCATATCATGCTCACATCGAAACTTCAGCTCGAGCTTGGGTATTCCATATCTCTCCTTCCCCTCACAATTTATCTTCCTCGAAACATCGTGCCACTTGAGAACCACCCGCGAGCTCCACCATGACCGGCGCAAAGAATCGGCTCTTGATACTGTGCAGAGCATCCCGGTAGATAGCGTAGCTTTCAATCGCACGGGACAGAACATCCCAGATAGCATGGAGTGTTCGGGTCAAATGCAGACGGCCGATATCAAGATTCTTCTCCTGGGTGATTTGGGTGTTGCGGAGATGGAGAAACGTGTTGTGGATCCACTCGTCGTAAAGATCGAGGTACTTGGAAAGAAGGGTCTGCTCAAGGTGTCGTGGTTTTCTGAGATGGCTGCCTGCCTGCGTTAGTCATGCTTCAATAAAGGCCTCGAAATATGGCACTAACGTAGCGACTAAAAGCGCCATCCGTCGGTATCGAGTCACCACTGCGACATCCTCGACGGCCAACAATCCCAAGGTGCCCGCAACGAAGCCAGTCGTCTCGACAAGCTCTTGCATCATCCCGTCTACCCATGAGGCAAAAGCGAGAACCAAAGTCGCGATTGACTGGGCATTGCCCGTAGCCTCTGAGTCCAGGAACTGTTCCTCATCGGAAAAAAGGGTGTTTTCCAGACGGATGATCATGTTGGTTAGTGCAATGAATCGCAGGCGAGTCCTCTGGCGAAGCTGCGGATGAGAGAGGGCTTCCTTCATGGCTTCCAGTGTTTTATGTTTCTTGTCTACCACTTGTCTGAGCACCAAGATGTGAGGGTCCACGGTCTGGGTGCGGATCTTGTCATGCATGACTGCAGTGAAGGCGACTTTGTAAGCCTTTTCGGTTTCTGCATCGGATACGGACGACTCGTCATCGTAATCTGGGAATGGCTCGGAGTAGATGTGTTCATGTCTCGACTCAGTTTGCTCCTGGTCTTCGGGCTTCAGCGTGGACGGTGGAGAAGCGTCAGCGTCCCAGTCGACGACGAGTTGGGAGCGGACTGAAGTCAGCAATGACATAGCAGATGGATCAGTCATGCTGTGTGCAGTGACATTGGAAGTAGAAGGCTAAAAGTAAATAGTGGTTGTGGTTTAGGAAGAAATGAAGTGAGAAAATGGCAAAAACGGTAAGGTAAAGAAGATGTGAATTCCGAAAATATTTCCTATTATACTTATTATTACTGTAGATATATTCCACTTCTCAATCCCCGAATGCATCGTGAATAGTGTCAGAGTCACATGAGTGACCCTGACAAAAAGAATGCCTTCTGAGTTAATTGAGATGTGGTCTTGCCTTCCCCTAGATGAAAGCCTGAATAGTGAAACAGACCAGTAACAGCGGAACAAGACGTTCCAGTAGTTACCGGAGCTATCTCTCAGGTGATTCCATCAAGAGTTGATGAAGGCAAACTGGTTCTTCGCACATTGACTAATCAACGTCTCATCGGAAAGGAGGACGGCAACTTAAGTAGTGCGATTTTGATATGATTACTCGGTTTTTGGGTGAGTAGAGGGTTCATCGGGTACCATTTCATCCTCATCCTCGTCGTCTGGTAAGGGGACGTCCATGACCTTTTCACCGGCCCATTGTAGGGTTCGTTTGCTCCAAGACCGGACACCCTTATAGACGGTCTGCAAAAATATGATTAGTAGATGAGGTAGCGTCTCAGCAATGCTCAGCATACCCAAAGGAAGGTGGCAACTCCCGCCACAATCACTAGCCAGTTCAAGTTGGCAGCGCGGTTGCGTCCAGTAGACCGACCATTGCTCACAACACCTGAGCCACGGATCCAGAATGGCGGCGAGAGGGTGAACAAGGCCCTGAGGAACGACGTCAGTCCCAAGGCAGCAAATCCTTTAATAAAGTGTTCAAGCCAAGAGGCCTCTTCGTCCAGCTCCAGGTATTCATCACCCAAGGGGCCGACGTAGAGCTCAATGACGGGGTCAGCAACAAATCCAAGTAAGAAAATAGTCAATAGAAGAATTGCCAGCGTAAGGGTCATCTGGGTAGCAGTGCTACTGATCCAGCGAGCCCACGTCAAACGCTCCAGGCGATATTGAAAACCGCAGGTCGGGCACTCCCAGTAATTCCGTGTGCCATACCCAGGGTTCGCATGTCGCCAGGACTGCAGGCAGCCTTCGTGTACATATCGCGAAGATCCTTTGCATTTGCAGGGGCGCAGCAATCGACCTGATTCCGGATCGCTGGACTCATAAACCAAGCGAGGTTTTTGGAGAAATTCCGAGGGCTGAACTGTGGGCCATACTGTTTCCAAGCAGATGCGACAGACTCGTGGGGGATAGCTCTGCTCAGAAGTCCCTAGCCCCGGTGAGTCCGACTCATTGCTTGGGGAGTCCATCGAGTGTATTGAGGATCATCTCCCAGAACTAAATCGCGGCAAAGACAAGAGAGGTTTGAAGGAAAAGCGGAAGAAGACAGATAAAGAAACTGTGGGAAAGACCTGAGGAACTAACCCGATTGGACTCACCGCCTTGGAGCAGCTCAGTCACAGCTACCTAAGCAACCGCGTCAAACGTCACCCTCCGTCTGCCTACTTATCCAACCTCCTTCTTCTCATCTTTTCGATCTCTGTGGTTTGGTGTTTGTATTCTACACATTATCATGGCTGACCGTTATTCCTTCTCCCTGACCACTTTCTCCCCCAGGTAAGTCGATGGTCCCAACCCCCAGCATTGGTCCATAAGCTAACCCATCCTCAACAGCGGAAAGCTGGTGCAGATTGGTAAGACCGAATCAAGAGGATAAGAGGGAATATCTTAGCAGTGACTAATTTTGGACAGAATATGCTTTAAATGCTGTTAACCAGGGTGTTACAGCCCTCGGCATCAAAGGTAAGGCTCCCATCTCAATCAAAACTTACAAAGCTAATAATTATCCAGCCACCAATGGCATCGTTCTTGCAACTGAGAAGAAGTCCTCATCCCCACTTATCGATCCCCCCTCTCTCTCGAAGATCTCCCTCGTCACCCCCGACATCGGTATGGTTTACGCCGGCATGGGCCCCGATTACCGTGTGCTCGTGGACAAGGCCCGCAAAGTGTCACACACTGGCTACAAGCGCATCTATAACGAGTACCCGCCGACCCGGATTCTGGTGCAGGACGTCGCCCGGGTGGTGCAGGAGGCCACGCAGTCTGGAGGTGTTCGGCCATACGGTGTCAGTCTGTTGATTGCTGGCTGGGATGAGGGCGTTGAGCCCCAGTCCGAAGAAGCTGCAACTGAGGAGAAGCCCACCACCAAGACCGGTGGGATCCTTAAGGGGGGTCCCAGCCTGTACCAGGTGGACCCCAGTGGAAGCTACTACCCATGGAAGGCGACGGCCATCGGCAAGCATGCGACAAGTGCCAAGACTTTCCTTGAGAAGCGATACACTGAGGGCTTGGAGCTGGAGGATGCCATCCACATTGCGCTGTTGACACTCAAGGAGACCATTGAGGGCGAGATGAACGGAGACACAATAGAAATCGGTGAGTTTGAGCTAGTTCGGCTGATTTTTACTTCAGGACTAACAAGAAATAGGTATTGTTGGCCCGCCAGCAGACCACCTGCTGGGCTTCGAGGGTGTGGAGGGAGCCCAAGGCCCTCGGTTCAGGACATTGACGAAGGAGCAGATCGAGGACTACCTGACCAACCTATGAGAGACACGATAGAAATCGAATGACATTTCATTTGTTTGAGCAATTCATAAATAGAATCGCGAGGACAACTACCGTTGCAGCACGGACCGGGTAGACGCCGCTTGACATTTGAAAGTCAGTCGACAGTAAAATGCCATATTCCGTATCTCCACGGCCCCATTCCACTTCCCTTTTGGAAGAACATTAGGTACTCACGTAAGTTTTCCAGGGGCTGAACCTCGGCAATTTCCGTCGCGTGAAGTGCTACGTATACCGCATGAACGTCCCGGGTACAAAGGTCTGTGCCCTTCCTGTCATTGACTGAAAGGAGGAATCCGGGAAAGACCCGACAAAGTTACAATCCTGCCCGCTAGTTCTTAGTTTCAGATTTGGCGCTATGAACAATGTCCTGGATCTCCCGTTACCCCGGGTTTGGCTAGACTAGATTCTGACTCGCTAACTCTCTTGTTTTGAGCCACTAACTACACTATTGGAAAAGTATTTGATTGTATCTGCCCCTGGGTCTGCAGGTCTAGAATCTACTGTTCTGCGATTTGTTGCATTTGTATCTGCTTGTACCACCCGTCTGTCTTTTTCTTCTTTCTTTCTTTCGATTCCCCTCTATCTTCTCTACGACTCCCCTTATACTATTCCCAGTCTGAGAATGTGGGTATACCAGACCGGGTGAAAGGCTCTACAGAGTCTAATCGCTCTGCATTATTCCTCCCCGAATGAATCGCCACTATACAAAATGCCCACAGCTATGCCGTCACTCCCCCAGGATCTACTAGATGGAATATCGGGAGCCCTTGCAGCAGAAGGAAATGTCCTACAAATGGTTCTCGTGACCTTCATCGCATTATCATGCTACAACATCGCCGAGCTAGTCGTCCTAGTGACAGCAACCTTCCGCCGTTGGCGCGGTCTATATTTCTGGTCGTTATTGACATCAGGCTGTCTTGGCGTGATACCATACACGATTGGATTTATGATGAAATTTTTCACACGAGCCGACTCTGTGCTATCCGTTACTGTCCTCACAGTTGGGTGGTGGACGATGGTGACCGGCCAATCAGTGGTATTATATTCGCGACTCCACCTCGTTCTCCGGGATGAGAAGACCTTGACCTGGGTCTTACGAATGATTGTGCTTAACTTCTTCCTCTTGGAAGTCCCCACTACCATCCTGACCTATGGAGCTAATGTCATCCATACGGGTAGCCTGGCCTGGGTATGGGGATACAATGTTATGGAGAAGGTCCAGTTGACCGGATTCACTATCCAGGAGAGTCTTATATCTACGCTCTACGTCATCCATACTGTCAAACTACTCCGTCTTGGTGCGGATGCGACCAGTCGTTCCAACTCGCGGACGATCATGTACCATGTTATCGGGATAAATTGTACTATCATGGCAATGGACTTATTATTGTTGAGTTTGGAATATGCGAATCAATATGCCGTCCAGATCGTGTTGAAGGGGTTTATATACTCCATCAAGCTGAAGTTGGAGTTCGCCGTGCTGGGTCGGTTGGTCGACATAATCCAGGGATCGAGGCATCCTATCTCGGTTGCTGTCGCTGACACACTGCCTCTTTGTTCATTTCCCCGTTTGCCCGAGTCTTCGAGTAGTTCAGAGCAGACCGATCCGGAGCCGGAATCTGAGCCTGAACCGAAGGATGTTATTGCTTCGCCGGACGGGGATGTGGTTGAGACGAGGGATTTTGTCGAATCGAGGCAGTCACGGAGACCGGTTTCATGGCCATGTATTGAGTAACGAGAATCTGAAGTATCCCGAATCATTCTTCGGCGCTCTTAGCACCGACTAATGTCTCATCATTCCAGTCAAATTCGTTTTCCGAGTCCTCATCCTGGCTGTCAGCAATCTCATTAGATGCTTTCCGCTTCCGACATGGCGTAGGCTGAGTCTGCTGTAATGGTAATGGTGGGTGCAAGCCCAAAAACCTCCGCTCGGCCACATCAATCCATTCACGAAGACCGTCCTAAACCTATTAGATGACGAAGCAAAAGTCATGGTAACGAATATACTCACCTCCTCAATCCGAAATGGAATAATCAACTCCCCGATCCTAACAGGGAATATCTTTCCACCTCTCTTAGTGATCTCCATAAACCGCTTATCGGGTAAATCCCGATACATAGCAATACGCGTCATAACATTCTGTTCCCATCCCCCGCCCGCAAGAATAGGCTGTAACGTTGCACGCAGTTGACCTTTGATTTTCGTATGTGCCTGATTAATAGCTAGCACGGCAATACCCCGACTCGCTAACCTGGCCAGGTGGACCGCTAAATCGGATGAAACATTCCACTTCCGATTAAGAAGCCACTGTAGCTGTGCCTTGTCGGTAATTTTGCCTTGGGATTGACGTTCTTTCAGCTCTGCTGCGTTGGGAAAGTAAGAGGGGAGTAATGAGGAGACAGAGTCGACTATCAAAAGAGAGGTTTCTTGGGGTGGGAAATCTTTGGGTGGATGGATTAGGAGGGACAGGAGATGGGGGAGAGTTGGGGTGCGGAGGTAGATTAGGTTTGTTAAGGGAATTTGTGTCAGTGCTTCAAGTCTGGGGAGTGGGATTGGGGAGCTCGTGTCTGATATTGTTAGACTGGATCCAGGGTGTACATGGTTGGAAGGCGTATCGCGTACCAATCCAGACGACTTTTCCGCCTTCACGAAGTGCATTTGATGCGATATTCATTCTATGTGGAGTTAATATCCCATGTGCTATTGATATATTGGGTTGATCCTCACGCTAATGCAGTTTTTCCCACGCCTGGTGGCCCAAATACCTCCGTCACTTGTCCACGCAGAATCCCGCCAGGTCGGCCCGGGTCTACCGACGCGCTATCCAGCGCCTGATCAAGACGCGCCAGTCCCGTGGGAATAGGCTCCCGGGAAAATTCAGATGCATTAAGAGACTGCGAGGCCGATATTGAGATGACAGGCTCTATCAAAGGATCAGTATGGTTTCCTGCACCTTGTGAGTCAACGTACGCGTATCCTGGCCGTCGGCACCGAACAGGTCGACAGTACCGCTCATTATGAATGGGCCCAATCAACTGAGATTAAAGACTATAACATATTGAGATCGACCATCAATTTGAATCCACGCTTGTCACGAAGATCGAGAGGTGTAGTCGAGTTGTGTGGGTCAAGTGGGTCCAGATCAAGTCGCGTGCGGCGCGCCGTGATGTGTGCGTGCAATTATCTGCGGTTTCTTCTTGGGTCTACGCCGCTGTCAACTTGATTTCGTAAAAGCTTTCTTCCGTATGTCGCATCCTGTATCATAGCTTCACAGTTTCGCCAATACACTACGACATTATCCCGGTGTAGTCAGGCGATTGGACCAATTGCTGCCACGCGCGTTAAACTATATGGCAATGTAATATGTTTTTGCACTAATATTCGAAGATTGAAGGGATTTGAGAATGTCAATTCCAGTTGATTCCATCAATGCAAAGTGCTAAGTACTACCTACTAGCTAGGTAGGGTCATGAAAGGCTATATACAAATACAAAACGCTAAACAATTAAAATCCCAATTTATGCAGTAGACTCCAACTTGCCAGAAGTTGTCACGGTAGGTTCAGCCTGCTCAACAACCTCATCCTCCGACTCCAAAACAGGAACCTCATCCGGCTCATCAGGAAGGATCAGGTTGAGAATAACACCCAAAATAGCAGTGACGGCGAATCCATTGGTCATCACCAAGTCAACGGCATTCAGCAGACCCTCCAAAGCATGGTTATCACCCGAATAGGTAAAGAAGTAACTCCACCACGAAGGAACAAGCGTGATACCCATTCCGAGCGCAAAGCTAGCAGTCAGGATAAAACGGTTGCGACGGGTAAAGTCAATCTGGGAAATAATGCGGATACCCGAGATAGCGACACTGCTGAACAGGAAAGTCGTCATACCACCGAGGACGGGGCTGGGGATGGACACGAGAGCAGCGGCGAACTTGGCGAACAGACCCATGACAACCAGGAAGAAGCAACAGCAGAAACCGGCGGTGCGGTTCGCGCACTTGGTAAGGGCGATGACACCGTTGTTCTGGGCGAAGACGGACATCGGGGAAATGGTCATCAATCCAGCGAGAACACAGGTAATTCCGTTTCCGAGAACACCACCCTGGATCCGGGAATCAAACATCGGGCCCTCGACTTGCAACCGGGATACATCGCAGGTGGCGGTAATATCACCGATCGACTCCATCATGATAACGACGTACAAAGCCAGCAGCGGCAGGATGAGCGGTGGGTACACCGATAGCGGGAAGGTATGGACCCAGGCGAATGAAATGACGGGCGCCTCAGCGATACCCGAGGACTCAAAGTAGTTGCATGCAGCAGCGACGATTGAACCAACCAGCAGACCAACGATGACGGCACAGGACTTCAGGATTGGAGGTCCGAACCGTTCGCATAGAATGATGGTTACGAAGACTAAGAATCCTAGACCAATAAACTGTGGACTACCCCACAGTAATGCGTGCGGGGCATCGGCACTGGGACACATGCTGCGAGGGGAGGGTCCACAGCCGGAACCACCACCCCAGTCCTCCATAGCGGATTGAATCAGGGAGGCACCGATCAGGAGGACAGTTGGGCCGGTGACGAGTGGGGGGAAGATGCGAGCCAGGAGGCGACTGCTCATGAACGAGAGACCAATTTCGAGAAGGGCACATAGACAGGATGTTCCGAGGAGGGCGCCGTAGCCCTTGTGGCAGGGAAGTTTGGTTCCGCTCGCGGAGGTAGGACAGTAGCCTGTTTCGTACATTTGGGTGAAGGCGCCTTCAGCGACAGTAATTGTGGCGAAGGATGTACCTGGAGGCTACAGTTAGTATGTGGAGTTCCTGTATCGCTGGGGTATATTTAAGGGATCACATACCGACAACGGATAACAATCCAGTTCCAATGTAGTATTTTGTGCCATAGATATGGAATCGGGTCATCTGGATGGCGCTGAGAAGACCTGATACAATTAAAGATGTTGAGACGAGGTACTGATAATCCTCTGTGCCAAAGTTGACACCGGAGGTACCACCGAGCATGATTGGTGGCGAAATGACTATTTTCGATCAGCGGATATTTTAACCCATTGTCTTGCGATGGTACTCACCACCAGCCAACATAGCGAGCGCATGTTGTAATCCGAGAATCAAAGCGAGAACGACGGGAACGCGATCATTCAGACCGAAAAACGGAGCGGATTTCCGAGCTTGTTTCGTGAAGGGTAGCTTTGGTGTAAATAGGTGGGCATAGTCGTAGTCGCCGATGAGACCATCGCTAAAATAATTGTCAATTGGATGATCTGAAGTAGAATTGGCGATGAGCATACCGAGTAGTAAAAGCTCTCACGAAGCCTCGTAGTTTGTCGCTGTAGGTGCGCTTGGGCGAGAGATCCGGACCAATCTGATCGGGGCCGTCCATGATGGGGAAGTGGATGTGTTTACTGGAGTCCACATCAACCTGGGGATGTCCCACACTATATAGGATTCCATGTCGAGATTCATGATTCACGCAATCACCAAAAAAAAATATCTAACCCCGGTCCCAATATCGTTAGCGGTCTGTGTGGGGAAAGGCAGATAAGATTTAATTCTCTATCATTAGGCAAGAGGATCGAGTAAATCTACTGTAACGGTGCCTGGTCCACTAAACTCCGTTCGGCTACCAGAGCCCACCTTGCACTCTTATCTGGGTGGGGCTTGTTCGCCTCCCACTTCAACCAATCAACTTCCAGTTGCCCAGACTGGATCCCGAAGTCTCGAGATAAGGAACCGAATATGTCTTTAGCCGCTATTGGATTTACGGTTCGTCCTCGTTGCCTTTCTACATGGCTGTCACTCCATTCCGTGCGTGTCGAGTGGGTCTGACCGTCGTTCTATGGCCTTTCGCCACCCTGTGATAGGCCCGGGAGCCATCGGGCACGTGTAAACACGGGTCCCCCGAGAATTATTCGACAGTCGGTTATCGTGATATCTGGGGTTTATCTCTGCTCTCCAAACCATCTGACGGAGCCCCCCGTGGATCATGGAAGGCGCCGATGCCTTATCAATATGACCTAGGGTGTCAGAGTTGTGGTATATGAGTTGACCAGGGATGAGAAGTCAAAGCACAAAGATATCTAATCTTCTGCGATTGATGCATTCAAGGTTTCTAGCCTTGCTTTGCTGCCTCGAAGCGAGATTAAAGAGACAAACTCGGAAAGTCCGAAGTGTCTAGTTAAAGAATAGGGTTGAAGAGATTTTAGGAAAAGTTAGAGACAAGTTATGCAAAAGGCCTCTTTGTTACACATTTTGATTTATATCGCGTCTATGGGGAACCTCAGTCCGGTAATCTAGTCCATTTTCGATCAACTCCGATGGCTGTGGTAATGGAAGAACTGTGGCTGATTCCTGATGGTTTGAACATGAAGCTATTCACAGTGTGCCTTCGTACTTTTGTAGTCAGCTTACCTGGGGTATTGCCACGGGAGCACTTACAAAACACTCTCTATATTCACTTTATTGCTTACAATTACAAGGTTCACCCACAGATCAAAACCCACGACTTCAAACAAACATTTGATGCTTGTGTCTACCTCAAATTATGAGTCAGGGAATTATGTAGCCATAGACAAGGTGGCGACTGTGCGTGGCCTTTAAGCCACCAAGTTGTGGGGTTTTTACCTCTTTAACTTTTCCGCTAGGCCTAATTATGACTAGGCCCGCGTGGAAGCTCAAAGAGTGACAATTCGAATAGGGAAATCGAATCTTCAAGCTTGGACTGCGATTCTCGGCGCATTAACACCCGACGCTTACTAACAACAATCAATATAGGAACTACATAAACTTTTTCTTCACTGAATAACATAAAGCATTGCTAAACTGGCGCAATTACTTAGCCATGGTGCCAGTAGTAATTACCTGGGGAACAAATGGCCTTCCAGTGTTCCGTTGACGTCTGGACACTCATCAGGTTTCTCAAAGCTAATTTAGCTAGCCCTATTCATAGAAAGTGCCCTGTAATTATTGCACATTTGCATTATTCATTGACAAAATTTCCATCCTCACCGTTGCCTTGAGCAAGAAGGCCCGAGGGCGGAGCCACGAGGCGTTCATATGGGTCCGAGAAACTCCCGTTGGTCTACCTTCGACCTTTCAAGATCTCGTTTTCTGGGTTGGGTTGTTTCTGCAGTCTAAATGCATCTTCCGGGATAACAATGTGTTTTGTTGTGAATTATTACTACATCTCTTTCGATATCATGACGGGTATAAGTCACGAAGCCAAGCCACGTGTCACATGCGAGGGGCCAACAGGGCTTCTGTATTAAGACTAGCGTATAACTTGCCTTGCAAATAATTATGGAGAACATGACGGCGAGGAACCAAGTGCGTTGATTAGTGGCTCATTTAATAACCAAATACGGATAGTCTCATCCAGTCTCTCTTCTAGAGTGGGGCTACTATTAGCTCCAGACTGAAGAACAACATTCACAGAATCATCCTTTTCTGAACACTCTACCATGCACCAGTGATAAAGTGTTGACAACAATATTAAAAGACGCAACGTGACTACTCAGCTCTGCGTCTTAACCGTTCGTCTTTTGCAAGTACTTAGCCGCAGCCTCAAGCCCTTTCAGTGTTTCTGTTACGATCCCCAATTGTCAAGGCTTGGTGGCCAGTGTCGATCACTCCAATATAACAAGTGATATCATTTAAAACAGCTCCTTCCGCCTATGTGACTGAACAGTGTATGGAACTATGTTGTATCAGGCTCTCTGGGCATCTCTTTCTAACCAGGAAAGGCCATTGAATACCCAGCTCATGCTGGAAGACTCTTCCCACAGCGATTGCAGGGCTACACTATCGATAATTCTAGGAGCCTAAACTTGACCATGCATCTAAAGAGATAAGTGCGGTAATTATGGATTGAAGAAATGAATACTGACTCGATAAGAACCGGAAAGCGGCGGCAAGCAGCAGCTCCAAAACTAGTACGGATATATTTTCCTAGAGAATGGATAACGCGTCTGGGGCGGAAAATAGGTTTAAACTCGACACCCTCAATATACTTCACCATTTCGTCGTAAGCGCTGTCGTTAAGCGCTGTCAGTGCCTCGAAGCAAGTTGGGACTATTCTCGCCAAATAGGGCCAGAGTCGGGTGTAATTCTCTTATCTGTCGGTAGTGTTATCTTTGCTGTCATTCAGCGGAAGGCCCACTTCCTGTCTAATGTACTTCAAAGATTCCCAGGAATATGCGCGAGCCTTTTCGGTATCTACTGAATGAAACTACGCCACATGATCACGCCATCTCCACGTTGAGTGAACTTGTGCATATACGCTAGAACCCAGATCAACATTCTGGTACGGCCCGCTCCGTCGTCATATGTGGGAAATACATTGGCTTTACCGCTTGAAGTTAGCGTTGCATGGCCAAGTCTCAGCCAGCCACGACTTATATATATATGAGGTGGAAATCTAGGCTTGGTGTATGTTGATGCCTACGAGGCAAGGTAAGAAGCTCAGTTAGAATCACTACCATTGAGCAATGGGTGCACTGATATTCCCAAGAACTAGAAGAGCATTTCATTAGATAACATGCCCCAACCAGGGACACTCATTTGCACATGGTCACCGGGTGAGTTCATGCGACCGGCTTGGTCTAATCAGGTAGTCCGCTGATTGGTATCTCCGCACAAAAACCCTATTAAACACAGGAGAGGAAAATGGATCCTGCCTACGGCGAACGTGCCAAGAACTCAAAATTGAAGGTGATGTAGTCTTGATTCAGCCCGCGAAGGTCTCTGGGAGCCTCTGCACCTAGGCTACGACTCGTCATCCTGGAAGAAACGGAAGAAACCCTTGCCGTCCGAATGGTTCGTTATCAGAGGCTTCTAAAATATTACCCGGAGACTTCTGTTTGAAGATGGGGCTTCGCTGCTGCTCCAACTTCCCTAAGTTAGGTACCTCCCCAATTATACAGACGAGTAAGGCACAAAGAGGCCAGAATATCTGGTCTACAGGTTTGGGCGTGTGGGAAATGGAGGGTGGACACCAGCCCGCTCAGCCTCAGCTCATTCATATTGATGTCCCTTATCAGCATGTCAGTCTCACTAAAACTTTGGGCCCAAGTGACTCAAGCTGGGCTATGGACGGCCTGATAAGGAATCTAGGCCCTTTCAAGCTTATCTGCGAGTGCCTTGGCCTGTAGAATATGGTTGATCAAAATCGCGAGAACCTCGAGACCTAAACCTTGTAGATGTCATAGACCTAAATAGGGTTTGCACCAGCCCTGTGCAGCTGTTATCCTCGGCACCTAGTGGCTCCTTGGCGGTCGGCCAATAAGAGAATGACGTAAAGGAAACTCGTCAACACTCTTCGGCCTTCTTTGGAAATTGAGATGCAAGTATAGAAACAAGTAATCCTGTGTCAATTCATGCTTTTGAGTTTCTATACTTCTTGTCAATGACCGAAGTGGGACTAGTTGGGACTGTGGGCCAAAAGCTTAAAACATTGTTCACGTGCTGTCACGTGAGTCCACCGGCCTACAGTTGTGCGGAGCAGTCTTCATCGGGTTTGCCACCGTAAGGCGTTGGTGGCGCAGGGGTTGAATAACCTTGGATTTCAAGGAGGGCAGTGAATTCCAGTGCAGATCCCAGTGAAAAACCAGTCACTTCAAGTCAATTGGATAGAGAATCATATGTCTTGCTCTTGAACACAGGGATCGACCCTTACTCTCGCGTATAGACAATGGAGATCCCCCTGGTGCCTATGTTGGGGATCACGTGTCTAGGCCCAGGCCCTGCACCTTATTTTCCCTACAATGCAGTTCGCGGGTCTACGAACTAGTACAGAGGCAACATGGTTGCACCCTGTTGAACGTATGATTCCATGGATATTAGTCAAGGAGCTTTAATATAGAGGTCCAACAACACCATGCCATCCCACTCTGGGTCAGCAAATCAGAGAGTTACTAAAGCAGGAAATTTCCTAATCTTCCCGGAGCTTCCGCATGGGGTAATGGTTCCATGCCTCAGGCAACAAAGCGTTGGGGCGGGACCCAACATTGTTCGGGAAAACATTGATCTCGCCACTCACAATCAGGGTAAACTGAAATAAGAGAATTGATCTTCTTCTTTTCTCTCGGTTTCTCTACCTCGGGATCTTGTGATTCAGTGGCCTTTTCGTTTCATTCGCTTGGGTGCTGAGCTCCCCCCATATTCGTTGGCGATCAAACCCTTCGACGCCCCCCAACGTTGGTCTTAAGTGGGCCCTTCCCATATAAAAAAAGCTCTTGCCCGCGCCCTCATTCCAGTCTTTTTCCTTTCAAACTCTTTGGTCACCTTCACATCACTATCATCATGTCGACCAAGGCTGAGGCTTCCCGCCCCCGGCCGGCAGACACCAAGAAGGTGCACATTGCCGACACCCAGATGACTCGTGCCAATTGGTACAAGCATGTCAACTGGCTCAACGTCTTCCTCATTCTCGGTATCCCCATGTATGGCTGTGTTCAGTCTCTTTGGGTGCCGTTGCAGCTTAAGACTGCCATCTGGGCCGTCATTTACTACTTCTTCACCGGTCTAGGTATCACCGCAGGTAAGTTTTCAGTATTCGACGTCTTCTTTGGGGGCGATTTAGATCTAACCTGTCCCAGGATATCATCGTCTCTGGGCTCACTGCTCGTACTCGGCCACTCTTCCTCTCCGCATCTGGCTCGCTCTCGTTGGCGGTGGTGCAGTTGAGGGCTCTATCCGTTGGTGGGCTCGCGGTCACCGTGCTCACCACCGTTACACCGACACCGAAAAGGATCCTTACTCCGTTCGCAAGGGCTTCTGGTACTCCCACCTTGGTTGGATGGTTATGAAGCAGAACCCTAAGCGTATCGGCCGTACCGACATCACCGATCTCAACGAGGACCCCGTCGTTATCTGGCAGCACCGTCACTACCTTAAGGTCGTCTTCGGCATGGGTCTCATCGTTCCCATGCTCGTTGCTGGCCTCGGCTGGGGTGATTGGTTCGGCGGTTTCGTCTACGCTGGTATCCTGCGTATCTTCTTCGTCCAGCAGGCTACTTTCTGCGTCAACTCCCTGGCTCACTGGCTCGGTGACCAGCCCTTCGACGACCGCAACTCACCCCGTGATCACGTCATTACCGCCCTGGTTACTCTCGGTGAGGGATACCACAACTTCCACCACGAGTTCCCTTCGGACTACCGCAACGCTATCGAGTGGCACCAGTATGACCCCACCAAGTGGACCATCTGGACCTGGAAGCAGATGGGTCTTGCCTACGACTTGAAGCAGTTCCGTGCCAATGAGATCGAGAAGGGTCGTGTGCAGCAGCTGCAGAAGAAGATTGATCAGAAGCGCGCCAAGCTGGACTGGGGTATTCCTCTGGAGCAGCTGCCCGTGATGGAGTGGGACGAATATGTCGAGCAGGCCAAGAACGGCCGCGGTTTGATCGCCGTCGCTGGTGTTGTTCACGACGTGACCGATTTCATCAAGGACCACCCCGGTGGTAAGGCCATGATTGGCTCCGGTATTGGCAAGGATGCCACTGCCATGTTCAACGGTGGTATCTACTACCATTCCAACGGTGCCCACAATCTGCTCTCTACCATGCGTGTTGGTGTCATCCGCGGTGGTTGTGAGGTTGAGATCTGGAAGCGTTCCCACAAGGAGAACAGCGAGTACGTGCGTGATGAGTCTGGCCAGCGCATTATTCGGGCTGGTATGCAGGTGACTAAGATCCCTGAGCCGGTCCCCACTGCTGATGCTGCTTAAATGTGCTTTGACTGAGATGACGTGACTTGCATTGTGGGTGGGCTGGTGTTCTTTCGGCGTTATTTCTCTCTTCTATTGTTTTATTGTGTATCAGAAAAGCGACTTTCATATAGATAATTTGTCATGAACTAGAAACGACCATTTTTCATATCAGATCTGATTCCTGCAAATAATTCAAGTTCTTGTAGTCCGTGTATCATCGTTGTCATGTAAATCTATAGACTTTCTTCCTAGTACCAAATCAGGGTCGATTCAACAAGCGGGGAACTGTGTAGGGACTCCGGAGGGTGTCATCACCTGACCCATATCTGTTATCTGTTGTGTACTCCATAGGCCTCGATCCCGAACTTGGTTGCATCACAGCTGCAGCTTAACTCTGAAACACACACCGCATCTTTCTTTTAGTTTCCACCATTCCTCTCACCCGCCACCTCCTCATCATTCTTGCCGCTGTCATCGTGGCGCCCCTCCTCCGTCTCCCCGCCGCCCGCCTCACTTCCGTGCTGGGTCATTTGCGTACACGGTCTACACCTATTCGATATCTGACAACCTCCAATATGGCCCCCGCTCACCTCCGGAATCCACCACAGGCCCCGCCGACCTTCACGGCTACCCCGCAGTCCGTTGTCGCCGATGCTGAGCGACTGCTGAACACATCTCGAACCATTCAAGACAAGATTGTTGCCGACATCAAGCCCGATGACGCCACGTTTGCCAACGTGCTGCGTCCGCTTGCTCAAGATGAGAACGTCATGGCGTTGGAGGCACACATCCTGGGCTTTTACCAGGCCGTATCAACCGATCAGAAGCTCCGGGATGCTTCCTCCAAGGCGGAAGAGCTTATGGATGAGTTCTTCATCGAGGCCGTGATGCGAGAGGATGTTTTTAAGCTGGTGGATGCTGCTCTGAATAAGAACGAGGATCTCGATCCTGAATCACGCCGTCTGTTAGAGAAGGCACACAAGGATTTCGTGCGAAATGGACTGGGTCTGCCCGCCGGGCCCCAGCGAGCACGTTTCAAGGAGATCAAGAAGCGTCTGAGTCAGTTGAGCATTGAGTTCCAGAAGAACCTGAACGAGGAGAACGGTGGTATCTGGTTTACCCCAGAGGAGCTTGATGGTGTGCCGGAGGATGTGACCTCCGGCCTAAAGCGCGGCGAGGGTGAGAACGCTGGCAAGCTCTGGTTGACCTTCAAGTACCCGGATTTGTTCCCGACCATGAAGTACGCCAAAAACTCGGAGGTCCGTAAGCAGGTCATGGTTGCCAACGAGAACAAGTGCAACCAAAACGTCCCGCTGTTCCGCGAAGCTATTGTGCTGCGTGATGAAGCTGCCCGTCTTCTGGGCTACCCCAACCACGCCGCCTTCCGCATTGAGGACAAGATGGCCAAGACACCGGAGACCGTTGACACATTCCTGGGCGATCTGCGCGCCCGGCTGACTGACGGTGGTAAGCAGGAGATCCAGACCTTGATGAAGTTGAAGAAGGAGTTGGACCCCAACTCTGATGACCGCTACTACTTGTGGGATCACCGATACTATGACCGACTGATGCTTGAGCGGGACTTCCAACTGGATCACCAGCTTATTGCCGAGTACTTCCCGTTGCAGACCACCATCCAGGGCATGCTGAAGATCTTTGAGGAGCTGTTTGGATTAGAATTCGTCGAGATTGTTGGCGAGGACCGTGCGGCCTTAGCCCCCACCGGCCAGGCTGATGACATTGTCTGGCATGAAGATGTGCAGGTCTTTAGCGTGTGGAATGACGAGGGTGAGGGTTCTGGCTTTGTCGGCTACTTGTATCTGGACTTGTTCCCTCGTGAGGGCAAGTATGGCCATGCCGCCAACTTCAACCTCCAGCCGGTATGTACAGCAAAAGCTTCGAAGCAGCAAGGAACTAACTCTTTCTCTTAGGGTTTCATTGACGCAGAGGGTAACCGACGCTTCCCCGCCACCGCCCTGGTGTGCAACTTCACCAAGCCTGGCCCTAAGAAGCCCAGTCTGCTCAAGCACGACGAGGTTGTGACCCTCTTCCACGAGCTGGGCCACGGTATCCACGACTTGGTATCCCGTACCACTTACTCTCGCTTCCACGGCACCAGCACCGTGCGGGACTTCGTTGAGGCGCCTAGCCAAATGCTTGAGAACTGGTGCTGGACTCCCTCACAGCTGCGCTCGCTGAGCCGACACTACTCTACCCTGTCGCCCGAGTACCTCGCCGGATGGCAAGAAGCCCAACAAGCGCGTAGCGGCGGCAAGACAGCTACTGCTCCCCCCTCGGAGCGCATCCCTGACGATGTGATCGCCAACCTCATCCGTACCAAGCACGTCAACGACGCCTTGTTCCAACTGCGCCAGCTCCACTTCGGTATCTTTGATATGACCGTGCACGAGCCTAAGAGCCACGCCGAGATCGAAGCCCTCCCTATTTCTGCGACTTATAACCGTCTCCGCCAGGAGATTACCCAGATGGATGGCATGGAGGCACTAAGTGGTGGTCAGGAGTGGGGTCACGGCGAGGCGACATTCGGTCACTTGATCGGTGGTTATGATGCTGGATACTACGGATACTTGAGGTAAGCCCAATCCTACCTTTTGATGATTATTCATACTGACTCCATATAGTTCCCAAGTGTACTCCACTGACATGTTCTACACGGTCTTCAAGGATGACCCCATGAACAAGGCTGCTGGTCGCCGCTACCGGTACCAGGTGCTAGAGAAGGGTGGCAGCCAGGACGAGATGAAGACGCTGACCGAGTTCCTGGGTCGTGAGCCGCAGACTACTGCGTTTTACAAGGAGCTTGGTCTGGCGTAGTGAGCTAGTGATAAATATATACAAATACAAATTTTGGTTCCTCCTGTCTATCAGATATTCTACCTTGTTATCTTGTGTTGTAATCGGTAGATTCGAGATATCAGATATCTGTAGCTTGGATAGTGGGCTGATATCGATAAGCCCACCGCCTTCAAATTCACATCTCCAGCTTTCAGCTCCGCAAGCTCAACTTCGATTCGATCCAATTCATCTTGATTTCTCCGGCCGTAAGTTCTTGAACGATGGCTCTGAATGCGATCCTTGCAAGCGATTAAATCTGACAGTACCACACAGAGTCCCCAGACTGTCTCAAACACTACATACAGCCACGACGGAAATCAGCAAAAGCAAGCTTGCATACCACCCGCCACACGCATATGCACACATTTAAAACCGATCAAAAACAATATTCTCCTCGCGGAGTGTCGAAGAAAACACAATGGCATCTTCCGATCCCCGCCTCCAGATCCGAACACAACACTGCGCATTCTGCAATCATCTTCTGCTCGCGACAACACGAGATATATCAACCCTCCCCCGTCGCGGCGGCGAAGCAAAGGATAAAGCGATAATTGTCCCACTGGAAGACCGGACGAATGAAGAGGACTTAGAGATGAGCGAAGCGCAAGGCGCAAGGACGAAACATGCGACTCTGCTTCTTTCTACTACTATACCTGATCGACGAGCTACACTTATCAGACGCGAAGATGGGATTGAGAAGAGGATTCTTCTGCGGTGTGGACGGTGTAAGGTTGTGATGGGGTATTATCTCGATGGTGTGCATTATGGAGAGAAGACACAGATTGTTGATGGTGATGAGAATGTCGAAGAGAAGAGGCGGGCTGTTTATATTCTTCCCGGGGCTATTGTTGAGACGGACAAAATGGGAGGGAATAGCGATGACGCAGAGTGGAGAGGATGGAATAACGAAGCCTAGATTCTACTAGGTAGCTAATCACTTTTCATGGTATGATTAGGATCATTGAATACATTTAGTAATATAGACATCCATTCAAACTGGATTGTAATACAAGTATCCCTTTCACGCCGAGAACCGTGGATAGTGTAGGGGCGTAACCAAAAGAAAAATAGACAGCATTTAAAAGGAAGAAGTGTAAAGCCCGATTCCGCCAAGACAAGACATGTTCCATAACCGTAAACGTGTGCGCATCATAAACAGAAATTCAAAGTTGCATTGATTGCAGGGGTATCGGGTGACCTAGTTGGCCAAAATGGTGCGCACAAGATCAGTGTAGTTGATCTCGCCAGAGCTAGTATCAACAGCCTTGAGGAGCTCATCGACTTCGTCATCGGACATCTTCTCGCCGAGGTTGGTGAGAACTGATCATAGTGTTAGCGACTGTCTAATGCAGCGGTTGGGCTTGGTTGCAATGATCACGTACTGTAGCGCAGCTGTCCCACACCAATGAAGCCCGTCATGTCTTTATCGAATACCTGGAATCCGCGGCAGTATTCCTCTGGCTCGCCGGGTTCACGGAAACCACCCGGGCGGTTAAGGACCTTAAGGAAGGAATCGAAGTCGACTGTTTTCATCGTTAGTTGGTGTCCATCTACCACGGCAATCGCTATTCACGTACAATCAGGTCCAACAGACTTCTCGAGATCACCGATCTCAGCAAGAGTGGGATTCTGTCCGCAAGCGCGGAGAAGGTCGCCCAGCAGATCACCGGCGACACGGCCGGTACCGCGGCGGTCGAAGAGGGAGAACGCTTCCTTGTAGTTTGTGGAGGCCTGATCGTGTTTATTAGCCATGATGAATCGAAATAGTGTATCTTGTGTTGTGCATATGTGGAGTGGTGGATGTTGTTATGACGGTGAATGTGGGATTGGGGAGGTGATCCAGGGATGAGGGGGCGGAAAGTCAATCGGGACTCGGATCGCACGGAAGAGGCAATTCGTCAACATCCCTTTGGTACGCACCATTTTGGAATTGTATTGCTTTGAAGGAGGTCAAATTGTAAGGGGAAACAGGGAAAGGAGCAGAGGAATGAGAAGTGGGAATCTGGGAGAGTGGATCGGCGGTGGTTGTTGCGGCAACGGGCAACAAGCCAGATTAAGGTGAGATCATATTGCACTAGAGATCTAGGGTGGGAACCTTGGACCTTGAAATATACATTGAATAATTAAATACTACGTTTATGATTGTAGTTTCGCAATGCAGCTGTCCAGCAGCCGCGCCGCTTCACCTAACAATTCCCATCGCGAAGTCGCGAATGAGTCGCGTAGTACCATCAACAGACCCAAACACGCATTTCGCCCTTTCATCCCCTCCAGCTCGTTCGGTTCACGCACCCCACCAACGCGCTGCAGAAATAACTGCATGTCTTGTCTTCGTTCGATAGACGTTGCCAGTGTGGGGGGTGGTCGTAAAGGGCCATCCAATGCAAACCCGTAACACCACACCACCAACGCGGCAAAGTACATAACCCAGGGCCGGTTCAGAAGGTAGTCGTCGCGGGCGACATACTCCCCCGACGCCTGTTCCACGAAGCAAGTTGATAGGAATTTCAGAGCATAGAAGGTGGCATCACGAGCTGAAGCTTTAGTCGCCCAGCGACCGGTCTTCTCGAGCGCAGTACTATAGTCTCGTGCCGTGATGGACCGACCCATTAGCCGATCGGCGCCAGCAAAGATCTGGAGATCTACGATATCCACATGGGATGCCATGTGAGCCAGACCATGAAGTACATCGCGAGACTCGGACTCGGATGACGGGGACGGTCCTAACGCCTCATCAAAGTCTCGACGCCAGTTATCGAATGCGCGGAGGAGCGCAGTGCGCCACTTGTCACGACCACCGAGAGTCTGCCCGACTCCAAGCGAGCTAACCTGCAGATCTCGCTGGTTCAGATGCCAACTCACGCTCAGTAAACCCGCTATTAGGATACTCCGACCGAACACGTTTGTTCTGACGGGCTGACCGTTCAGGGTACGTTTCAGTCCGTCGAGGAACATGACAGGCCGTACGCCGTGTGATTGTAGGCTTGATTGCACACGCGCGACTTCTGCAGCGCTGGTCGCAGCCCACAAGGCCTCATCGCACGGTAATGGCAGTCGTAGCTCATGTGCTACCATCTTGGCTGAGTGTCCGAACATCGTGGCGTGGGTTGAATCTAACACAAATGCAGCAAACGCAACTCGTCGAGTTGCTTCGGCTTTGATCCAATGTGCCCACGACTCATCCTCCTCTTTGGATTCGGGGGTATCAAACGACGACCGTCCAATTAGAGAACTCCCTCGCCGCATCAGGGTCAATGTGGTGTCATGGTGGATATGGGCGCGCTCATGCAGCGCTCGGGTCGAGAATCCCTTCTCATAGACCTCCAGCAGTAGCAAGGACTGGAAGACCCATAGTCGTGCTGGCGGTCGGAAATCCGCATCCATAAATATTTCCCAGCGTAGATGCCATGCAATAAAGCTAGCTAGTTCAGCGGCTGTCTCAGTAGCCGCCTGTCCATGGATCTTATCCAAAGTAGCTGCTCCAATAGCCATGATAGCTAATAACAGTAGATTGGGTGTGCGATCAGCTGCGAAGGTCGGCTGATGAAGAATCGGCAGTTGTGAATGGAAATGGTACCAATAAGACCCAATGTATGTCTGCATCATGCGCAAGCTCAAGACATGCCGGTCACTATCCAGGTCTCCGTCCATCAATGCGTCTTTGCGTTTGGTATCAGCCGAGTACGCTGCCTCGTTGAATCGCGTCGCCATCAAATGAAGCAATTCTTGCCGTTTTTCTTCGGATATAATAGCCGGTAGCGATCCTGAGTCCAAGATGCTGGTCACGCTCATCGGGTGCTGGGGAATGACGGTGCAAAAGTTATGGTAGGCTGGCTCGTTCACATAGAACTGGTTCTGTACCAATGGCATCATTCCATACCCCAGCGGCGCAAGCGGTTCACTGAACAGCCAAGCCGCAAAGTCATCGGCCATGGCAAAAGGTGACCGGTTATACGTCTCTCCACCAAATATGGGGTATGCATTGGACATGGCGTCGAGATCCAGCATGCTTTCGGGTTGGGTGAATGCCACGGAGAGGTCCGGGTAGCCCGACACCGGGATACCCGCGACTTCGATGCTGGTAGATAGCGGGTAATTTGAGCTCGGGGGAGACTTAGAGCTTGGTGCGCCATCAGTCATAAATGTATAGTCTGCGGCGGTCATGGACGGTGACGAGGGGGACGAGGCGGGGATCAAGGATTTCGGCAGGTCATCATGGCTGTCCGCCGTGAATGAGTCGCGCTTCTGCAACTGTGATCCGCGGGTAGTATGGCGCTCGCGATGGCGGACACATAGGTCCTGGCGCACGAAGGATCGATAGCAGTTGGGGAAGTCGCAGCGAAAGATCTGTTTTGGGGCATCTTCTCACAGTCAGTTCTGGGTTTGAAGCGGGGTAAGAAAGAGCATACGGTTCAACTGGTGTCGGTATAGATGCTCAGCGCGTGAGTAGCTTTTCCCACAACCCTCGTGAGTGCACTCGAACTTGCGATCAGACGGGGCGCGACGACTGCGTCGCCGCCGCTTGGAGGGTTGTTCATCGTCCATGTCTGTGTTAACGGCGGGCCACACCATTGGGCGCCATAGCACGTTGGTCACGGAGGAATGTCGATCTACCGGCGGGGAAGATGTAGAGAATGTGGGATGAAGCAGGAACCGGGGAGTGCGGAGAACTGGAGTGGGGTTGGTTAAAGTTAGCGGAGGTAATATTCGCCGACCTGGGGAAATTAGTCAAGGTACCTAGCTATCGATACGAGGTATCTAGTAATATCTTAGACGTTTACTTAAAGTAACTATTCAAAGCATTTCCATCTATGCAGACACCTTGTAAATAAAGATGTCGTCATTGAATTTGACTTTCCAAGGTTGTTCCAGAGTGGCCTTCAATCGACGTCAACTGGTTAGTTTAGATGCGACTAATCTATTAATTATTTACAACAGATCTACTTATGTAGAGTAACATTCCCATCAGATGTAGACGTAGTAGATCGAGGGTTGTATTTATAGATGGTCCTGCATTCATATGTGGAGGCTTGATGATATATTTCTGCGATGCCCAAGTGTTCGACAGTTAATCAAACTCCGATATATTTATAGAATTATTGACTCGCCTTCCAAGGTTACCTCCTTACGCTTAAATGATTCTTATCTTATTCCTCAATCCCCCTTACATCTGACACCACATTCTACTTGGATTAGTTAGGATGAGAACAGTAAGCATAAGACCAATTATATGCATGAGCCAGAATTGCAATCACTCCCGGACTCTTGGCCTGGACACCTGACTGGTCGGATTCAAACGCGAAAAGATATCCAGAAGGATGGTATACTGTACTGATATGTGAAAGATTGGAAATATACCTACATCACCGCCTCCTTTATACTCAATCTCGGCATGATTTGTTGGTCCGGATTCCATACGAGTACGAGCCCCGTGACTACGAGTACGACTGATCTCGTACTTCGTACATGTTTTGAGCTTGAAATCCCACTTGAAATCTATCGGGACATGAATACACCCCGTACACCCCTTTGCAATCACTCTTTTTAAATACAATTTTAATGCAAGTTGGCCCACTTATCTTCAATTTGAATCACTCGTGTGCTTCGACCGTTCGGCGGAGATGCTTGGCACAAGTCAATTTCATTCCAAGGTTCCCCACCACAACACTGTGAATATTCAATTCCATGGGCCACTTTATGTTCAGGGGAATTCAAGGCACTCATCTAATCCAGGACCCTCGTTTTCCCTAATGATTTCTTCCATTTCAATCCCGTTATTCCCATCTTTTACCCATACGCAAGCGCCCCCCCACATCCGACGACGGAAATGCCCCACAAGACGCGTATTCCGCCACAGACTGGCGTGGACAGATGGCCGATCTCTTTGGTCTGTCAAATCCCACCCATGCAGTCTCACTCTAAGGGGCTTACGATAAAGTGGACACGCGGTCCTGTCCAATCGGGAGCCATGTGCTTGGAAAATGCTTGGTTATCTCCGACTTGGAGGGCGCGTTTGCTCCCTAAAAAGTCGGTTTTCGGCACTAATTACGATCTTCTGACCCTTAGAATTATTCGGAGCTGTCCCGCTCCACCGTTCAACCAAGTCTTTTGACTTCTTCTTCTCCTTCTTTTCCTTCTTTGCTCAGTTTTGCCCTTTGCTTTGAAGGCCTCCGCTCTACCATGAGTGGTGTTTCCTTCTAGTCGCTCTTTTAATGTTCACCATGCTGTTCCTCGTTTTAGGACTCATGTTACTACATGGGTCCGCCGCGCAACATGATAATGACCTCTACTCATTTGTCACGGTGAGCAAGCTCCCATCTCGTTTGTCGCTTACCAACTAATCGCATTTTATTTAGCTCCCTGAAGTGCGGGCCTTGAAATTCGAGATGGAACATATTGACCGAGAGCGACAACAGCCGGGCTACTGGTTTGTGGCCCCGTATGGTCAAATTGACCCTGAAGCATCAACTCATAGGTACACTCAGTACCAAATTGGTCCGTATATTTATGATAATGATGGCGTAAGTTGCTCGTAATCTCCGATATTTTGCGCACTCATGCTGACATGCGCATAGATGCTCATCTGGGCCGGATCACCGATGTACGACAATCGGAATGTTTTCGACTTCAAAGCGAACTGGAACATCGACGACGATCCCCATCTGTCTTTCATTATACAACATGACAATCAAGTCAAAGGAAGCGGTATGATCCTGAACACCAACTACGAGATCGAACATGAAGTCGACGTGGTCAACGATCTCGAAGCCTTCAACATGCATGAATTTAATATTCTGGATGGCGGTAAGACCGCACTCGCCTGCACATATCGGACTCAAACGATCAGCTTTGCCGATTTCGGCCGACCCAACGAGGAAAGCTGGGCACAGACTGGTGGTTTTGTCGAGCTGGATGTCGACAGCGCCAGGGTCCTCTTTGAATGGGATTCCCGGGACCAAATTTCGGTTCTAGAGTCCGCCGTTTTGAGCTCCTCGAGTGCGGCATTGGGTCCTCCCGGTACGGACTATGTACACATCAACGCCGTCGACAAGAACGAAGCTGGCGACTACATCATCTCTATGCGTTTTACCAACACCATCTACCTGATCTCGGGCACCGATGGGCACATCATGTGGCGTCTAGGCGGAAAGGAAAGCGACTTCGATATGGATTTCACCTTCCACAAGCAGCACGATGTGAAATTCATCGAATCGCACGGCACTCACCACGTTATCTCGCTAATGAACAACGGCGCGGATGAGGGTTATGCCGATGAGTCTATCTCCGCCGCTCTCTATATCGACATTGACGAGACCGCCATGACAGCCCGCGTGATCCAACGCATTGAGCGACCCGACGGCGGTCTTACTCGTCTGCGCGGTAACGTTCAACAACTCCCAAACCTGAATACCTTCATCGGTTGGAGTCAATGGGGATACCACTCCGAGCACGCCCCCAACGGAGACCTGCTCATGTGGGCTAAGTTCGCATCCGAGCGATTCTCTAGCTACCGATCCTACAAATTCGACTGGGTCGGCCGCCCGGACACCCCTCCCGATGTCGTCTCTTCCGTCTACGGCACAAATGACGAGGACGTTCTGACCATCATTCACGTTAGCTGGAACGGAGCCACGGATATCGCCGGATGGAACTTCTACGCTCGTGCCTACGACATGGGCGAGAACGTCTTCATTGGACACACCGAGAAATACGATTTCGAGACTATGTACCTGGTAGACGGATTCATGGACTGGGTCTCGGCAGAGGCAGTTGACAGCGAAGGAAACGTCCTGGGAACCTCAGATCTCCACCGAACCAACAAGCCAGATAACTGGCAAGCCGTCGGATTTGACGGAACTAGCCCGCCAAGCCCCGACGACCCTTCCATCCTATATGTCACCGATGAAACCGACGACGCAGCTGATAGCTCTAAAGCCTCCGTTGGCACTAATGTGAAGTCGCACGAAGCTGTGTACTCCGATACAAAGGAGGTGGCCAAGGCGGTCTACAAGGCATATGAGATCCTGCGTGGAGTAGAGGGCTTTGTCGTCCTGGCAATACTCGCTGGTTGTGTTTACGCAGCTGTGGTAGGCGTACGGAAGTGTCTTCGTCGTCGTCGACAGGTGCGTTCCTATAAGAATGTTCCCACTGAGGAGGGTGGGGAAGCGGGTGAGAATATCCCCGTGGAAGAGATTCCGTTGCGTCGGAACTCGAATGGGTGATCACTGGCATGTTCCTAGGTTCCCAATAAATTTACATTGTACAGTATATATTCGATTATGAAACTAGTTAGCGCTGCATTCAATAGATCTATTGATTCCTTTTTCAAAGTCTTTCCACTAGCATTTTGATGTTATCATTGCCCAGAGGGAACTGTACCTCTAAATATTGCATGTCATATTGATAAAATTTATGGTAACTTAGTACAAATTAAATATGAAAGATGGTTTAGCATCCGAAGTTCTATATACTTTTCTCTTGTTGAATAAACACCTTTAGTCTTGGTGGACCGTCACCACCGGCCCCTCGTACTCCTTCTTTCCCTTCACGGCATACATCACAAGGCTGATAATAAAAACAGCACCAAAGATCACGATGCTCCAATTGAAATTGTCAGCTGTGACGGGCAACTCAGTTGGCCAGAATGACCAGAACATCGCAAAGATGCAGTAGAGCAGACCGATGATATTGACGACCAGTCCGCAACGGCCAAGGTCCCATCGGCGAACAGGAAGGGTCTCAGGGCACCAGATCTTGCGGTAGATGACACAAGAGATCGAAAAGGTGTAAGTAAACATCAAAGCCGCCGTGTTCACGGAAATGATAGCGTTGAATGCGGTGCTGGAGCCAATGTTGATAAGCGAAAGCAGGCAACTAATGATGCAAGAGAGAGCGATGGCATTGACGGGGATCTTGCGCTTGTTATCGACCTTGGAGATCCACCCAGAGAAAGGGAGACCCTTATCACGGGCAAAGGCCCAAGTTTGCCGAGAGGTGGCTGCGTTGAACAGGATGTTGCTGAAGATCACGGGAAGCAAGATAATCGATGCAAGCGCATTGACACCCGCGGTAGATGTGATCTGCTTGAAGACGTAAAGGAAGGGGAAGCCACTCGAGTCATTCAGGGAGTCCTCGACAGAGGGAGTAGCGAACAGGTAGGCGACCAGCAAAATGGCGGCCATAATACCATTCGAGAAGTATCCCCAGTACATCGCTCTTGGCACATTGCGACCCGCGTCCTTGATCTCCTCGGACATGTGAGCACACGCATCGGAACCTGTATAGTAAATTAGTATCTTTTCTTCCAAACCAAATATCTCAGACTTACTAAGACAGCCATAGATGGCAGAGATCTGGCCAACCATCACACTCACTCCCATGGTGGGCAAACCTCCAATATTCTTCCAATTTGTGACAAAGACCGCTTCAGCAGACTGGTGGGGAGCCATAGCCCACAGCACAATCAAGATCGAGGCCCAGGATAGGACATGAAGGATCATCAGGAGGTTACTCAGAATGGGCATGAGCTCTGCGGCATACACATTGAAAAGATAGATCACCAGAACCATCGAGAACACGAGCAGTGTGCCCTGCCAGCCCGGAGCAGTATAATCGGGATTGCGAACACTGATCAATCCTTGGATGATGGTACCCGTGAGGAAAGAGCCAGAGGCTGTTCCTGATTGCCATGCCAAAACCGACATCCAGCCTGTCACGAAAAGGTTAGCTTGTATATGCCAAAAATGGGTAACGGGTGGACAATACCGGTGATGTAGCTCAGGAACTTCTGGTGTCGGGGCGAACAGAACTCCGAGACCCAATGGTACTGTCCGCCATCAGTGGGCGCCATTGATGCCATCTCCGCCAGGGAGGCGATGATGAATCCGAATCCAATGAAAGTCCAGATATATGACCAGAACATGCCGGCCAGACCACCATCTTCCAAACCAGTGTAGTCCGAACTGAATAGGTGAGTTACAAGTTACAGATCGGTCGGAGGGTGAGCCCTGGGGTAGAATAATAAATGCTTACATGATAAGATATTCCCATGTCGCTTGCAAGACCGATGCGAAACTTAAGGCTGCCAGGGGTCGCATATTTCTCTAGCGACACATGTGAGTGACCATGTTGGACTGTCTGTATTCAAGTCCTACGTACCTTGAACTCCTGGACTTTTCCCATACGGTGCATTTCATCATCATCGACCACTGTCCCAGTTTTCTGGGGGGTGTCCTGGTCTCTGTGAGTCAACTCGATGTCCGTTGTTTCCAACGCGGTCGTCTTAGTCGCCGCCATGGTGACCAGATTCTTGAAGTTTGGGGGGATGAAAGAGAAGGATGAACAAGGTTTCTAAAAAAGTTGCAAGCACGAGATATTTAGCGTCAAGGGGAGGAACTGACTCCCACGTGCTGTGCCGGTGCTACCGGGGAATGAAGAGGCGCCAGACCATTTCATACTGGCGTGCCATTGTGGCGGGTTGAATGTCCAGCAGTTAGCGTGGTTTGTAGACAAGCGAACGTGGTGAAACAATTAATTAAGCGATAGCAATTCAGAACGGTCGAGACGCCAGAGGTGGCAGGTTGTCCCGGCACTACTTTAGTAGACTTTAGTTAGATGCAGACTCGGGATGCAGAACGCCTTCAATGGGGGAACAACTGTGATTGGTTCATCTAAAGCGTATATTGCTCCTTTCATCTAAGCTTGATGGTTAGCGTTCATTTTTAGTGCATTTTTATTAATTAATTCTAAGCCATTGTTGTTGCGCGGGATGAGTCTCTTAGCGTGAACTAGTGATCTAGACCAATGGACTTGCGTGGTTAATCTACCTTGCCATTGAACATACAGGATTTGATTTCCATTTCGCCACGAACTCGAGGGTTTACGCTAACGTTACCTCGCATATAATTCCCTCACAGATAAGGGGCTTACAGGATTTAATCCCTGCACGGCATGAGGGCAAAAGTACCGACACGCGTACAGGCCAGCTATACTCGATCTGGTATAGATGCAGATGCCCTCGGCCTAGCATCGTGATCTCGCCCGTAGACCGATGTTCTATTGATTCTATCTTATCGCTTGAATTGCCCTGCATCACCAGGCGTTCCGTTTTAATATATTTTCCTCCTCAAAATGAATATGCGCCGCACATCACTTTTGCCTGTAAAAATTCTACCATTGTTTCTCTTTTCGCACATTCGTGGGTGGCCATGTCAAAGTCATGGCCTGCGGGTATAACCGCACCACTTACGGTGGACAATGAGTATAACCACAGCGGATTGATCGTTGTACTGACTGCCTTCACTCTGGTTCTATTCATTGTTGCTATTGCAGCACGGATCAACTCATCTTCTCAGAAAGCCAGTTTTCAGCCAGACGATTTTGCCTTCGCTGCGCTCGTGGTACGATACTCTGCATTTCCACGGAATCGATGGCTTTGTTTGAGCTCCGGGCTTGAACTAATGGTACAATAGACGGCAGCATTCATTCAGGTTTCCTTGGTGTTCGGGCAAGTCCATTATGGGTGGGGAACTCGGATGAAGAGTATCGATGCAGGGAGCAAGGAGCAAATGCTAAAGGTAGAGTTGACCTGCAATGGGATGATTAAGGATTATACACTCACACTTCCAAAGCTAGGATATGCGGCCGACATCTTCGCCGTGATCACTTTGGGTCTTTCAAAAGTGACCACTTGCTTGTTTTATGAAGGGCTTTTCTCTCAGATGCAGCGTCGATTTATTCGTTCCATTCTTTTAAGCGTCACTGTTTGGACCGTGCTTGCTGTGTTGCTATTGGCAATTCGGTGTACCTCCAAGCCTTGGAACGACATAGATACCGCGCAGTGCAGTGGTTTGGTATGACTTGGATTAGACTAAATTGCCCTTCAAAAACATGAGCACTAACTGGTTACTTGCTTTATAGCTCGCCCGCTGGGAAGCCGTCACCGTCATCGATGTTATCACCGAAGTGCTACTCCTCGTTTTTGCTGGACTTGCCATCAGCAAAGTCAAAATCTCTACGAAGAAAAGAATCATTGTATTTTGTGCTCTGGAGAGTAGAATTCTGTGCGTCCTATCGTTGGCAAACAAAGGATACTTTCAACTTGCTAATGGATCATGCTATAGGCTCATCCCCATGTCCGCTGTCCGTGCCCACTTGGTCAAGATCCAGCTTGAGTCAACGGATCCAACCCTTTCCGGGTCCTATGCCACAGCCATTACCGAAATATACCTAGCTCTCAGTGTGACCTGCCTATTAACGGCATTCGCGAAATCTTTCATTGCGGTCTACGAGGACGAAAATGGGATCTCCTACAGGTATCGGGAGCCCACCACCAAGTCGGATTCAAAAGGGACTTCTCAGCTGGGCTCGCGATCCGGTATGACGCGATCGAAGGATACGATTAGTCGGCGATTCTCCCGTCGTGGAGAAAGGACAGAGCATCTCAAAGGATGGGAGCGCGAAGAAGACCCTATCATCGGGCAGGCAGAGTCAGGGCACGGTCTCCAAATTCTCAGAACTGTGCAGTTGAGTGTGAGAAATGAGTCTATAGAGCTGTCAGAGCGAGGGGGTTCTAGTTTATAGATTATGGAGGTCTTACCATGTCGACTATATTATTTGGATATTGATTGACATATGACCAAGTTCAAAATGACTAAGGTCATGAAGGTGCCATACGCATCAATCATATCCAAGTTCCAGATTGGCTGCATTTCAACTTTATGTAGATTCCAAGAGACGGCCTACCGATACAGCGCTCATATCCGCTCCAAGCGTCCAAGAGGCGTCAACATTGCCCATTCGTTTTCAAATTTGGGTACCTACTTCAACCAATTGTCAGATCACGGTCATCATTTACCCAATGTGAGCCCTGTGCTGCTAGTATAAGCTTATGTAATATATGAGGAAAGACCGGCATCTGCTCAATGATTACTAGGGTCTGACACCACATTGGTATTTCTGACTAGACCCACTAGTTACGTTATAAAGTTAAATATAGAGGCAATCTGGAACCATTTCTCTAATTGGTATTGCTCAGTTGAAATAAGTGGCCGATTGCGCTACCAAATTGGAACTATCAGTCTACAAGAATGCAAGTTGGACCTTGGTTAATATTGTTGTTAAGGGGCCGGCTGCCATTGTCCATCATTGTGTTGTGTGATGCAAGCGGGAGGTGTTGCTACATGTTTCATCGCAATTTAGCCAACGTTTTCGACTAACCGCGACAGAATTTTGTATCCGAGACTTCGGCAAGCAGTAAACGCAAGTGGAGGTTGTTTGAACCAAACTCCGCTATGATAAACCTGGGGCCCAGGTGTCAAGGAAACCAACATCATACCCATCTAATTAGACTTTGGATCTTGTATTGAGTCAATTATCATGCAAAGCCCAATTCAGGGCTTGACTGCGATCAAGCAAAAACTAAGACTCTATGTGGATAATTGAGTTAGTTCTCAGCCTCTTGATTGCATGGTAATGACTATCTAGGCAAAATTACATGAATGCATAAGGCGACGTATTGTCTATTTGTATCTTCTACCTGTCATAACGCACATAATTGGGAAACCGATTCGTAAAATCCCGAGGATCCGGTCACTGTCGAAAGACCAGATACAAGATCTGGCGGCCAGCATGAGCCGGCGGATCATAAATCATCACGAGCACGACCGGATTCGTGTGCCTCATAGCATACTACACATGCCATATATCGCGTTAAGAGGAATGGACCAACACCTGTTGTGCAAATGCTCGGGGGGTTTCTTTTTTGTTCCGGAGAACATATGAAGGATAAAAGAAAAAAAAAATTGTACACATGAAAAGATACCTCATCCGCTGAATCGGAATCGTGTCGCTTCCAGGCGGCCGAGGCCATCGCGGGGGGCCACGTTGCGGCGGCGGTAGGAGTTGGTGAAATCTGGGAAATGTTAGAAAGGAACGATTCAATGAATATGAGACGAAACGAACCTTGAAGTAAAACGCGGATCTTCCGCGTTTCACCAGACTGGACCTTCTCAGCAATGCCCTTGAGCAGTCGCTCGGCCTCGACTGGCTTCATGGACCCAGGGGGCAGCATCTGCAGGGTGCTCTCTAACCAGGCGCCAGTCTCATGAGGTAGCACCTCAAAGAGGGTCATCATCACACCCGATGCATCAGGGAAACAGTCACCAGGGAAGATGAACATCATGCCTGTTAGAACACGCTGGAATAGAAGCTGGCCCTGCGACAGAAGAAGAGCCCTGACGGCCTCACGAACCTCGGGAGGATTGCTGTAGGGTGTGCCCTCGGGGCTGGTAAACTCGGAGACGGTGGGCTTGTCGAATGCGAAGCTGAACAAGTCGCGGTAGTAGTGGAGGGTAGCAATAAGGGGATCGACTTGTTGGAGGGTGAGAGCACTAAGTGCGGCGGAGAAGATAGGAATGGCTAGAGATGAGGTAATACATTTCTTAGGGTAGTAGCGGACGGCGTCAGAAGACAGCCGGAAGAAATCCTCGATGACTGTCCAAATTAGTACAAAGCTAGTGAGCTCATGGATAGAGTGGTCTTACCATCGGGAAGATTCTCCGGGGGCAGATCATTCAAGATCCGTAGGAATGAAATGGCTTGCTGCTCATAGAACTGGTAGACAGCATCGCTAGTCGCCTGATCCACGTACTCAGCACCCTCAGAGAATTCGCGAACCACTGCGTCAGTGGCCCACAAGAAGCAACCCTCTCGGGATGCCTCAAAACCACTGGCAATGCTTTGAGCGAGAGTGGGAAGAAGGGGAATCATAGCGGTCCGGTAGGAAATAATCATGTAGCGCCAGCACCGGCAGACGCGCTCCAGAATGGGGGTAGAAGACGTGAAATTCATAACGATCGTGGCCATGATAGGCAAGATTTCGCCGCAGTACTTAACGGCAGGGTTTTCCTCGCCGGGTGCAACGATGGGGGTCACCACTTGAATGAAGATTGTGATCAATTGCAAATGGTCGGCAACCGCTCGCTGACCTTCTTCATCTTGGGCGTTGTTGGCGAGGCTCATAATTCGTTGCATGATCGGGTCACAGAACATTTTGAAAGAGTCATAAATCTTGTCCAGGGGTTGCACGGACACTACGGCTGCAACACCCTCTGTCACTTCCTCTTGGCTGGTGGGCTTCAGCTTGTCAAGCACAGACAAGAAGAATGAATGGAGGTGTTCAATATGGCCACCGAGCAGCTTTTGGCAATCAGTTCCGAGGAACTTGAACGCAAGAGCAGCCGCCTGAATGACCTCCGGAGAGGGGTGTTGGAAGGCGGAAATTACATAGTTGAGCTGCGCTTCAAGGGTTTCTGGGTGAAGAGCGGTCCACTCGGTGTAGCGAGCGAGAGCCATAATTGCTTGGAACCGGACCTTCTCTTGGTCAGGGATCTGGACAATCAAGCTGACCAATTGACCCAGCACGGTACTTTCCTCGGGGTCAACCATGCGGCCCATGGCACGCAGTCCAAAGAGAGGGGCCTCCAACTCCTGCCAGTGTGGAACGTGCTCGTTACTAGCCTGTGCCGCGTACTTGCCAACCCATTGCTGGATCAGCTGATAGATCTTGCCGAGGCAATCGGTCACGCCAACGACAGAACAGCAGTCCTTCAAGACATCACCCATGGAGTGTCGGAACTGTCGGAACTTTTCCTCCTGCTCTCGGTCACCACCGAAGAGGTCGGTTTCGCCATCCTCGGGGCTAGGGAATTCCAAATGCTTAACCATGATATCCACCAGCTGGGAGAAGATATCCTGGAAGTTAACTCGAGAATCGGCGTATCGGTCGATGGTGATGTACTGCTTCAGCTCGTACCAAAAGATGAAAGTGAGAGAAACGGCGTCCCGCTCCCAGTCGCGCGCGCAGCACTCCAGAACGGCCTCAACGAGGCCGCGGAATTCGGCCGGTAGGCGAGCGATAAGAACGGCCCAGGCTTCACCAGCCTCTGAGAACATTCTGGTAATGCCTTTGAACGCCTCCAAGTCTTCTGCTTCGGCGGTTTCAAGGATCTTAGGCCGGAGAGACATCAATCGGGGGTAGAGGGCTTGGATTATGGAGAGAGATTCGTCGACGTCTTTGGTATCGCGGAAGAGGGTACACATGCAGTCAACACCAGCATCGAAGGAAACGTCATTGTCCAGCGCCTTCATGATTACATCCATTAGAGGTGACTCGACGACCCGGGCGGGGGGAATTTCGCGAAGCCACGAGGTAATGCAGTCCAGAAGACGCGGGTTGGTTGCAGCGGAAGGCGAAGACTGAGAATATTGAATCATCACCTGCATCACCTGCTCCGCATTATCCTCCAGTAGCTCCTTCGTTCGCGACAGGAGTTCATCCTCGCTGAGGTTGATTTTGCGGCCTTCTGTAACCTCCTCAGGGAGAATCTTCAAGAACTCCAAAACACAATCCCCCGCACTGCTGCCCAATGCGGATCCCACGGTGGCGAGAACATCTTTCCAAGCGGTCATCTGGATCGCCAGACTGGCCAAGCACACACATAGCTGAGTCTGGATAGGTCGCGGACCGGAGGCAAAGGCCACGAGGAGGCCAAGGACGGAATCCCGGAGGGCTAAAACGGACTCTGGGTTGAGTTGGTCCAAATCGAAGACAATCTACCGGTGTCAGCCTCGCGCATTCTTTGTGTTTACCCCGCAATCTCTATCGCAGTACTCACTTTTCCCTTCAATGTGGTCGCGGCGAACAATTTGGCTTCGATTGGCACCTCGGGTGACTGTAATAGCGAATGCGTGGTTTCCCATGCCTCGATCTGGAACGCGTTAGTCGAAAGTGTTTCTCTTTTAAATAGAAAATTCGTACCGATTTTTGGAATTTCTCGAGGAATTCATGGGCTTGGGTCTTCTCGGCCCTGGATACGTTGCCTTGCATTGTCGCGACGGCCGCTAGGACCGGGGCGAATGCCTGCCCACCATCCTTGCTGGCCATATCGTGAGGAATTGCGATGTACAAGAGATCAAAGCTCAGCAATTTAGACCCCAAGCGACACAGAAAAAAGAAAAAAAGAGTGTGTGGAGGGGTTAAGGTAAAGGGGGGTGAAGTCGCGATATGAGTGCGAGATTGAGAGGAAGGTGGGATGTTGGTGCCCGTGACTTGTGTAATGGTATTACCGCAAATCACGGGACGCAGAGCTTGACTTCTTCATTGCTTCAACACCTTATCAACTCCAACCAACCACCTTCACATTCATCATGGCTGGCCGCAAGACATTGTTGGCACCAATTCACTTTATTTTCAGCCTGTTGCAGAAACGCAGCACCGTTTCTATCTGGCTTTACGAGCAGTTGGCTATTCGAATTGAGGGAAAGATCCGGGTAAGTCACGAGTCCGCAGGGCAACGCGATTCCCCACTAACATGCTCCAGGGCTTTGATGAATTCATGAACTTGGTCATTGATGATGCGATCGAGGTGCGCCTAGCTACAAACACAGAGGAGGAGAAGCGGAGGCCGCTGGGTATGATTATATCCTTCCAAAGATTTGAAGGTAGCTAACACCGCGATAACAGGCCAGATCCTCCTCAAGGGCGACAACGTCTCCCTCATCCAAGCCGTTTAAATCGATTTCTGTTTCTGTTTCACTTCGGCGGTCCGGATACCGCTCACCCACCATGCGCGCACCAACCCAGCCAGGCCAGTCATGCGCCAATACCGGATCTCATCGACATCTGCTCCTGGAGCGACAAAGCCACTAGTATCGGAGTTAAGTTATTTCGGATAGGAAAATACAAGGGGATTGGGTTTTATCAGGTAATGGCATCTTGCCAGCTATGAACATCGAGTTAGAAATGGTTATAATATCCTTACCATATCCAAGCAATCCCTGAAGCGCTATGCCTGGAATCACAATCAGATCGAATCCGTTTTCAAGTGCTCCTTCAAGCCATTGTATGATTTAGTAAACGTGCATGCTATAGCAAGTCTCCGGGGCCAGGTTCTCTGTGTCGAAATGACGGGGATTGTCTATACCCGTCACTTTCCACAGCATGAATGAAAATCTAGCCCGACACATCAATTCGTACTTAAGCCGATGGTCAACGCCTGGTTTGGTACTTAAAGGTACTCAGAGAGAAGAGATGCCTCTGAAGATTATAATACATCTATTGATACATATTGTACACGATCAGTTTGCTAGAGCTTTCTTTACCAAAGCCGGCACATCTGCCTTATTTACTGGCTTGCCATCCAATGGTCCTCCCTTGGTGAAGAGAGCTCCAATGAGAGGACCAGAACGAACTGTCTCTCCCTTGGCTTGGAGTTTGGCAATCTGTTTCGCAATGATGGCTTCCAACTCCTCAATTGGCATTGTTTTGATTTGACCCGCATACTCTTCCAAGATAACGACTTGTTCATCTTCCTTTGCTTTCAGATCCGCACGGTTTTCATTAGCAAACAGCTCAGCAGCTTCTTGGGCGGCCTTTGAACGTCTTCGGATAAGGGAAAGAAGTTGAATATCGGTCTCGAGTGGGTTGGAGGTTTTGGCGGCATTGTTGGTCTCGGAAATCAACGCGCGAAGGACATTGAGCCTGCAGTACTTAGCGAAGAGGCAATTGCTGAAATGAGCATTCGACCATACCGGGCAGTATCTTTGGCACGCATGGCTGTCTTGAGATCAGCCCGCAGGGTTGCCATCATAGGAGGTGTGGTAGCAGTGGAATTCCAGCGCACCTGGCGCAAAGGAGCGCAGGCGAATCTCCCGATGCGGAACATGGTTGAAATTGTGGAATTGAAAAAGTGACTGACTTGGTGAATCGAGTCGAAAGTGCAGACATTCAAAAGGCGGAAGATCATTGAATGATGGTCCGTGCGTGGGAATTGTTGACCTCGCAAAAGAAACCTTGAAACTGATCACCTTCAAAAGCTGCCCGCAACTTCCTCCTCTATCTGCCGTTTATCTCCTTCTCTTGCAGCTTTGCAATTTCTTTGATTTCTACTGCAGCTTTCTTTTTGTTTTTTTCTTCAGCGGGGAGTCCGTCTCTCTCTCCTCCCCAGCTGAGCGCAATGTCGTACCCGATTCTTCAAGCAAACCTACCTCCGGCGACGCCGCAGAAACCCCTACCCGGAGCTTATCTGCAAACGCCAGCTGTGCTTCGCAATGGTCCCAGGTCTCCTCCACAGCAGCAGCAGCCGCCACAGGTCCTTCGAAGCCCGCCCCAGATTAAGCTTCCCCCCATCGCCGCGACACAAAATCGGGACCTGAGCGTACAAGAGCGAGGAGCGCGCACCATCAATGAGTTTCTCTATCAAGAGTCGCGGTACCCAGATCTGGATAGCTATTTATCACGTATGTTCCTTTGCTTTGCTGGTCCAACGTGATCGGTACTAACTTTGAACAGAGGGATTCTCGTCTGAATATGACATCCCCACGTCCCCGTCATGGGCACCTTTCCAAAAAGTCAAAATGTACAACATCCCGGACCAGATCTTTGACCAATACAATCGCGCCCAGGTGTCGACAAGCATGGGACTTTTTGCTGAATTGAACCACGCGTGGGTGGCTATCGACAACGCGCTCTACTTGTGGGATTTCACACACCCGAACCCTCAATTGGTCGGATTTGAAGAACAGCCAAACAGTATCAACACCGTCAAACTCGTCAAGCCTCGCGCAGGAGTGTTTTTGCCGGCGATCACTCATTTGCTTGTGGTGTCAACGACTGCCGAATTGATTTTGTTGGGCATGGGAGTGGAAAACACTCCGACGGGCGGGCGACAGGTCACCTTGTATCAGACTGGAATGGCAGTTCCGATTCGAGGTTTGGATATTCACGTCATCGCGTCATTTGACTCGACTGGTCGGATTTTCTTCGGTGGTTCATCCGACAACGACGTGTACGAATTGACATACCAACAAGAGGAGCGGTGGTTCCAGGGTCGATGCGGAAAGGTTAATCACACCAGCTCCCGGCTTGCAGCATTCACACCATCGCTGAGCTTGACGAATTTGGCAAAGGTGGCCATGGAGAATATGGAACAGATGGTGATCGACGACAGCCGGAACCTTCTCTACACTTTGTCTTCGGCCTCCACCATTCGTGTTTTCCACCTGAAACCAGATGGTTCTCTCTCCCTAGCCATCACCAAGCATGCTTTGGACATTTACTCGAACATCGGACATATCATTGCATCTAACGAAACCCTCAACCCTAAAGTGGCAATTGTCTCTATCAGTCCCGTCCCTGCCGCGGAGGCCTCTCGCTATCACCTTGTTGCAACAACTGCCACTGGATATCGTATTTATCTGAGTGCCACAGGTTCATATAGCTGGTCACCTGTGCCGAATGGCACCAATGCGCCTACCAGCATGCAAGCCCAGCACGTCAAGACCCCACCTGTGGACGCCCCTACTGATTTTGGACTGCCTCACTTCCAGCAGCCTGGTGGCAAGCTTGCGATTCACACTTTAAAACCGACACGGATGGCAGCTAGGTTCCCGCCTGGATATTTCTTCTGCTTCGCCTCCAAGGATCAAGCGCAGAAGGCCGATACTCTATTCATTTCATCCCCGGATTCTGGTCGAGTTGCCAGGGCCCAGGATAACGTTTTGACTGGCAAAACAGGCGAGTCCGCCATTTGGATGAGCTTAGGCGGCCGAGCAGAGGCCATCGGTCTTTGCTCCCCGCCTCCACCGAGTTCTTCGGGCTTTGGAAATGAGCTGGCTATCCAGTTTGACCACCCTGCCGCCGAGATTGCTATCCTGACAAACACAGGCATCCATGTCATCCGACGGCGACGCCTGGTAGACATCTTCGCCTCTCTGGTCCGTGGGGGTGGTACCGGCGAGGAGGGTCTGGATGGCGAGGCTAAGAACTTCATTCGCACATATGGCCGACCTGAAGCTCTGGCTACTGCACTTGCTGTGTCTTGTGGACAAGGCGTGGAGATTTCGTCGGATCAGCGACTCACTCAGATCAACGATCCTGACGTCCTGGAGTTCGCCCGCAAAGTTTTCATTGGTTACGGTGGCCGCCCCGCGATAAACGAGAACATCGTTGCCGATAGTTCTACCCCTACAATTGACCTCGTTGAACCCTCCCCGCGACATGCCGGTATCGCCTTGTACCTCTCCCGTCTGTTGCGGTCTATTTGGAAGAAGGAGATTGTCCATGTTGGCAAGGGAGCCAATGGTGCTTTGACTGTCTCTGCTTCAGTGGCTGCCTCTAAATTGCAAATTATCCAGCAGGATCTCTCAGCCCTTGAGAAATTCTTCAAGACCAACAAGAGCTTCATTGAAGGCCTCAGTGGGCCCGAGGCTCTCGCACGAGCGGCCACCAAGCAAGAAGAAACTGCGCTACAAGGCGAGCACCGTGCCTTACACTCCCTTGTTGAGTTGGTCTCGCATACCATTGAAGGAATATCGTTTGTGCTGGTCCTTTTCGATGAGCGGGTGGATGAGATCGTGGCTACCCTGCCCGAGGAGTCGAAGCAAAAGTTCTTGAAGCTCACTTACGAGGAGCTCTTCAGCACTACCAACGGCAACGAAGTCGCTAAAGAGTTGGTTAAGAGCATTGTGAACCGCAACATTGCCAAGGGCTCCAATGTTGAGACCGTTGCTGATGCCCTCCGGCGCCGTTGTGGCAGCTTCTGCAGTGCGGAGGATGTGGTCATCTTCAAGGCGCAGGAACTCCTCAAGCGGGCCACTGAGGCTGGAGCCAACTCAGAGCTGGGCCGCAACCTTTTGAATGAGAGCTTGAATCTGTTCCGGCAGGTGGCTGATAACCTTCCTATGGACTATTTAGTTTCTGCGGTGGAGAACTATATTGCAAATCAATTCTTCGCTGGTATGTTTTATCCCCCAATTCCATTATCTTGCTAATGTTATTTTTAAGGTGCGATTCAACTAGCACTGAATGTTGCTGCTCGGTGCGACACGGCGAATCTCGCGATTTCCTGGATCATGGATGGGCGCCCTGAACAAGTAATTCTTCCCCCCGAATATCACGCCATGCATCCACTTATCGATCAACAGGACCCACGGAAAACCGTTTATTTGCACCGCAAGCAATGCTATGACCTCGTCTTCAATGTTATCCTCGCCGTTGATACTTTGGCCGAGGCCGATCCCGGATTTGTCGATGGTCAAATGACGCAGATTGCCAAGCGCCAGAACGAGGCATACACTGTCATTTCCGACTCCAACGACGAGGTGTTTTTAACTAGCCTTTACGATTGGTACCTGGAGCAGGGGTGGAGTGATCGACTTCTGCAGACACAGTCTCCATTTGTGGTCACTTACCTAGACAGGAAGTCTACTGACGATATCGCTCATGCCGATCTGTTGTGGCGTTACTATGCACAGTCTCAGCGCTTTTTCGAGGCCGCCAAGGTGCAGTTCCAGCTCGCGCAGAGTGCATTTACCCTTCCCCTGAGCCGGCGTATTGAGTACCTGGGTCGGGCCCGGGCCAACGCATCCACTTTCACACCGGATGTGGGGCGTCAGTCACGGCAGCGCCTGTTGCAGGAAATTTCTAATCTGATCGATGTGGCCAATATCCAGGACGACCTCCTGCAGCGCCTGAAGGATGATGATCGGATCGCTAAAGAGCGTAAGAATGAAGTGCTGCAAGATGTCGATGGTCCAGTTATGGACATCAGTACGGTAAGTCCGGAACATATCCGACAAGAACCTGGGCCGTGCATCACCCACTGACTAAAAATATTAGCTTTTCAACCAATATGCCGACTCAGCCAGTTATTATGACATCTGTTTGCAGATTTTTTACCTGGCCGATTACCGGAATGCAGCCGACATCAAGGCCACTTGGCAGCACCTAGTCCAAGATCTTCACGCCGTCACTGTGGAGCGGGGCTCCCCACAACCCTATGAAGCTGTTGCTGAGAAGGTTCGGAGCCTTGGCAGTCGGCTCCGGATGTCGGAGACGGTATTCCCTGTGCGTGAACTGGTCCCCTTGCTCGAACGCTATTCGCTCGAGCACCAGCGCCAGGTCGGACCTGAGCATTGGATTGTCGATCTTTTCCTGGATCTGGGAGTTGCACACGAATCCATTTATGCAGTCTTGGAGGCCATGTACTACACCGACGAGGCTCCATTCCAGGGGGCTTACCGCCGATTCATCGCCACTGATCTGCTCTACCTATTGGAAGGGTGGTTCCACGAGACCATGCGACTAGGCGGGATGGTGTTCGGGTCGGATGTGGTTGCCGAACGCGTTTCAGAGACCCTCTTGTTGCTGCAGCAGGGAGCAGCAGTCAACGGGGCTGATATTGTGGAGCAAAGCCGGGACCTTCAGCGAAGGATTTCGGACCTTCTGAACTAATTTTTTTCTTTGTTTTCCATGTCTCCACCTGGAAGGATTGGTGTCTTATGCTTGTACTCTAGGCGGCGTTCGGAGGTGATGAATCTGAAAATCAATCTTCATTATAATGAACCGTTTCAATGATTACTAGGACACGAAAAGATATAGGTATCATCAATTAGGCAATATAAGAAGGAAATTTTTTGAAGAAACCCGAGAAATGAAAATACAAACAGAAACAAGTCTAAATCGAACTCCCGCCAAAAAAGCAGATAGAAACAGGAAAGAAGCAAATAATGACAAAAGTCTATCTACACTACTCGGAATATTCGTCGTAAACCGGAATCGGCTTCTCGCCCAATGCGATAAGACGGAAGATGTGACGAGCCTTGGCGCCATAGTCTTCGTCAAGGTAATCCACAATTGCAGAGTCTGCGCGTGCACTGATCAGCATATGTTCCCACAGCGAGGACGAAAGAGGAAACTCACGAGTCGTAGCCCTGTTATCAAACATCACAATAGTTCTCGGCTGCCACCGCACTCTGGCCTGGAAATCATGTCCAGTTACAATATGATTCATCAAGAAATCCAACATCCACTTTGTCTCAGGCTCCTTCATGCCCTGGACCTTGGTGATAAACTCGGCATTGACAAACAAACACTTTTCCCCGGTAACAGGGTGGACCCGTACAAGCGGATGAACGGTATCAACAGCATCCTTCCGCACTAAACCACCCATCAACCGCGTATGATTAATCATCTTCGCAGATGAGTGCACTGTGTTCAACGTATCCAGGAATCCGCGCAAAGTAGGCGATAACCGTTTATACGCCATATCCGTCGCCGCGAAGACTGTATCACCGCCCACCTCCGGGCCCTGCAGAAGACCCAGCATGACGTACCCTGGCGGCTGGATCTCGTAACTGACATCCTGGTGCCAGAGCGTCGTAGTTGTACGCGCTTCCAAGAATCGGGCGATTTCCTCACGGTTTCCATCGCGGTGAATCACATGGAAAGCGGGGTGATTCCGCACAGTCCCTGAGACGGGCTGGTAATTCGGTTTACCGAAGTATCGCATGAAAGCTTCTTGCTCGGCGGGCCCGGCATCGATGAGATCCTGGTCTGGGAAGGCGAGAACTTTGCGTTCGGAGATGAGCAGGGCTAGTTCATCCTTTTGGACGTTTGTGAGCTTGTTCAGCTGGATGCCTTCCACTACGCTGCCGATTGCTGGTTGGATGTCATTGACTTTGACATTTGGTGTGAGGAGGTTGGGCTTGGATTTGTCTTTAACGCGAAGAGCTGGGTCTGCGTAGTCGTGTTCTGGCAGTGGGTCGAACCACATCGGGTCCCAGGTTGGCAGGTACTCCGGGTATGGGGTTTTGATTTTGGATAGTTTTTCCACGTCCACGTAGGGGATGTTGATGTCATAGCTGACGGGCATCTCAGGTTTATGGCCATTGGGAGCATTGGCTTTGGAGCGGATCAGGGGGGCGGAGGAGGGCATCTTGATCAAAGTATGAGGGTTGGAGGGAGAATACTCGATTGAGCTGTATATACTGATTGATAAACGGGAATGAAAGTCGGGGCAACGATTTAATTTATATATCCACATGCCCCATCAATTACGTCGATATCATCTCCAAGGGCCCAACTTCAACGCTAGTGAAAAGCATGCAAGTGGTCTGTGTCCTGTTCGCCAGATGAGCGGTCTGGGAAGAGAAATCCATCCATAGACCACCTTGATCCCGGTGAGTTCCGACCTGGGACCCCTGGGGTTCCCTGTGCGATGTGCTCATTCTTTAGGGGGACAAGGAAAATCTGAACTCATGAAGAAATGCCAAACAACTTGGGCGTTTCATGTCCCGCTTTTTAATTTCTACGTATGGTATCAGCCTATTTTACCGTATAGTATGCAGTTACTACGACTGATAAGGCAGATGCAGGCAGGATGGCAACTGCATTATCTGCCGTGATCGGTGCAGTGGTTCGGATTGGTCAATGGCACAAGCCGACAAAAGTCCACCAAATACATCCTCGGCTTCCAAACGATGCAGCTAATCTCTCGCCAACCGGAAGGGGCAGCTCCCTGGAGAACGAGCGTAGAATGCCTGGGCGTTCGATAGGTTCCGGGATTGGATTGGGTGGAGAAGATGCGGTCTGCAAATCCCGCATTCTATAGAGATTAACGGACACGTCGCACGGGAAGTTCGGTGCCACAGGATTCCGAGAATGTGCATGGACACGTATGGTACCTGGATGCAATTGGGATTGTCAAGTTGAGGCCATCCTGCTCATCCTGATGGAATCTGGCGTAGCCAAGAGGCCGTTCAAGTTCAAGCTCCAGCAGTTCGTTCCCTTGAGTTGATACATGCCTAATCGCACAAGGTACCTATGCCGTGTTACTAAAGAGATTTTCCGTTTCCCCTCAAAGTGGATCTCCCCAAAAACGAAAACATATAGCCCCAAAAACAAGGATCGGCCCGGAGGCAGTTCCAAGGCACAACCACGGTAGAAGTATCGTAACGAATTTCCTGATTGATAACGAATATTGTATATCATGGTGGACCGAGATCCCCACAAGCTTATTTTGGAGGAAAAAGCAATATGGTGTAGCTACCGCCGATCTGGTCGCCCCGCTCTAGGAGGCCAGAGAGACCAGATGTGCAGTGTTTACTGTACACCGCCTCAGAGTGGACCATCACAAGCTACCGAACATAGCTATCAACACCGCCATAACATACAAGGTACCAACATAGACTCCTGCAACACCCAATTTTGGGCCTATCACAATGCTTCGCAGAGACTATGCATACCTTTTCTTCTTCCTCATCCATATCCCTATCATCTTCCTAATCGACACGGTCCCCCTCCAACCGAACTTCCTTCGCACCGACCTGTCTAAATCCCTGCGCGATTTCTACATCACGACCTACCGCGATAAATTCTTCGAAGAACCCGCCCCAGTCTGGTTCACCACTTTTATTTGGATGGAACTGCTGTACCATGTTCCCCTGAGTGCGTGGGCCGTTTGGGCATTACTCCGAGGTAATACGACCCCATCTTGTCTGGATTGATATTTATAGTTCTCAAATGGCTCACTTGCGTGTGATAGATCATCCGCTTGTGCCTGTGAATCTTCTTATCTTTGGCGTTCAAGCTTGTGTGACGTCTTTAACTTGTTTGGTGGACGTATGGAGTTGGGAGGATCGCTCGACCGACGAGAAGGTGCAGATCACGTATTTGTATGGACCTTATGTGGCTTTGGGTATGTATACTCCATGAATCCCTACCTTATCGTACTAACCGGTGTAGGGGCCTTGATGGCTTTGGATATGGTTTTCCGGTTACGAGACAAACTTACCCCCAAGCCCAAACGCGAATAAGAGTAAACACGAGCATACACACACAAGACTCTTAATCGTACATTGATTCGTTACGTGCTGTGATATAATCCGCTAAAAAAAAAAACATACCGAAACGCCTATACCCTGCTTTAATTTAAATCAACCATCCAATTGCGGCATCTAGGTTGCCATTGGAGGCGTTGAGTGCCTGCTCTGCCTCACCGCGCGAGAACCCTAGCTCTGTGATCTTGGAGATTAAATCCTCTGACCACCGCGATGTGGAAGGTGATGGCCGGGCCGGGGGAGCCTGGGATGCACTGGAGCTCCCCTCACCCGGTCGGCTTGCCTGATGCGTCACCGCTCCAGTCCGAGCACCCACCTCGGCCCCATCGGATCCCTTGACAGTAGGCTCGTCCTCAAACTCTTCCGTCAAATGTTTGGGAATATCTGCCTCACCGAGGAAAGGGACTGCCTGGTCTTGGATTACCAGTGCCCCGCGCTGGAGGTCAATGCATGCCTGGTGTCGTCGGAGCATGTCCAGACCCAGGAGCAGATCGATCTGTTTACCCTCCATGACTGTGAAAGAGCAGGGCAAGAACATATCTCCAATCTTGATCTGGGCTGAGTGCACACGACCCAGGATCGGGGCGGTTCCCACACCCTTGGCGATACCTCCGTAGCGTCGGTCGACCAGTCGCATGATGTTACAGGCAACTGCGCACTCGGGCGACATGATGGTAACCTGGGCGCCGGAGTCGACGAACGCATTCAGTCGGTGACCGTTGACTTCGACGGGAATATAGAGCATCGTAACGCGGCCGAAAGCTGTTTTGAGTTTAGTTCTCTGCTGTATGTAGCATCATAAAATGCCGAGCGCGGATGCCTACATTCAGGATGATGCTCCATAGCATTGTGTAAATTCTCCGTCACGGCGTTCTGTCGAATAATCTCCTCGATTTCGCGCTGATTCTCCGGATTAAAAGGATCAGAGTTCAACATCGCAATCCTCGCCTCCTTCTCCGCTTCCTGGCGCGCCTCCCGCTGCTGCTGCGAGAGTAAGACCTCCCGGAACCGCTGTGCATTATCCGCCGCCTCGGCCAGCTCGGGGTTCTGTCGGCGGACAGCCTCCCGCACGCGCGGATCGCCCAGGATATGTAGTCGGATGGTTTCGGGATCGGGCATGCCAGGTCGGGGGGCCATCTGGTTCTGACGCGGTGCGGAGCTGGGGCCAGGGCCCGGGCTGGGACGCGGAGGGAGTTGTGGTGGACCGCTGCGGTTGGCGGCGTGAACACCCAACATGTCGCCTTCGCCGATGCCAACTTGATCTAGGGTTTGTGCTGGATTCTGGAGGAGTTGGTTGTTGTAGACGAGCTGTTGGGCTTCGGGTGGGATGGAGGTTTCGCTTTCGATGATGGCTTTGAGGAGCTCGATACTCATATCTCCGCCGACTTCTAGGGTGATGATGTCAGAATCCGCATCTGGGCGGATGACACTGACGGTGATACGCCTGCGTCAAGGTTAGTTGAGGTTGAGGTGCGTCAGCCTGGAGGGGTAGGTACATGACTGTCGGGTTGCGTCAGGTGCGGAGAGGGATGGTGAGAGAAAGCAAGAGAGAGGAAGGGATTATATGCAAGATGATCACAAAGCCAGGCAGAAGCGAAATGGGATGAAACAAATTAGAAGGAAGGTGATAGAAGTGGAGAGAGTTGCGCGGGCTGTGTTTCTTGTCCTCCTTACATGATCCACAGCTAACCACAATAACCGTTCTAGACCAGCTGCAGGTCCATCACCTCCTACGTACGTGGATCTGCCCCGCATTACTATTAATTGTTCCCTATATCTCCGGTGGTATAGTTTTTATTGATTTACGTAGGTAAGTCATCAACCTACGCGTTGGCCCTCTTTCATCTACAAACTCAACTTACCACCTTCGGGAGAATCCGCTCTAATGTTGCTTTGATGGCTGAAAGGGTACGACCGCAGGAATCTAAAAGCTACTAAAAAACCCATTATGCTCTCGGATAGAAACGGGCCCGCAGGATCATCCCGTCCGCCTGTGAACTTCTCTGTCTTACGATTAGTGCACGCAACTTTGACTTTGACCCTACATCCACTACGGCACCTACAGCCCATAGCATAAGCTGACCGGCGTCAAGCTCGCATGTGCATTGACAGCTGCAACGTCTGATTCCCAATGCATGTGGATGATCCCTCGGGAATTGGAAGAGACTAACTCGAAGAAGAAATCACTAAACATGGATTGGCTGCACCCGTCCCAATGGAGCACGTACTATCTCCTACGCTCACTCGATCCGTTGAGCACTTGAAACATCAGGAACCCCTCTTCCCTCGGTGATCTTCGCATCAATCACCTCGTCAATAGGAATCTCCGCCAGCCGCGACACCACATGATGAAGCGTGGGGAGCGCGTCCCAGTTTAACTCGTTAATCTCCACTTTGGCATTCTTGGTCCGCCGCAGACGCGTCACTTTCGACGGCACAACCTTAGACTCTTGCGCATGGGGCACAAAGACAGGGTACTCCGCCTCAGCCTCACCTTTGGTGCTTTTGCCGACCTTGGGCATGTAACGGTATACGAGGATGCCGTCGTCGTCCTCGCCACCGATCGTCCCCTTGTCCGCGGCGGGATCTTGATCTTCCAGATCTTCGAACTCGAGATGGCCCCACACGGCTCCCTGCCAGCTCGTTTGTAGCCGGAAGGACTTGTTACGCTCGTGGATGTCAATTGCCGTGTACAATTTCGGCATGCCGAGTTCTTCGCGTCCCGACACAATCGGGTCTGCCAGACTCTCGAAGAGAATTGGCATGTAAGTACCCTTGAGTACCTCGCCGTTCTCCTTGGTGTACTGCACTCCGTGGATGTACAGTCCGATGTGTCGGTATCCACCACCACCCAGCCAGTCCATTCCGTTGAGGGTGGTCTGTGAGAAAGAGGCTCGCGCCACGGTGGACGGGGAGATGAAACTGTACCGATCGGAGGGGAACAAGTTTTGAAGTAGTGTACGGCTGGTCTTGAATTTAATCGAGGCAGTCTGGAAGGTAGATTCTAGGGATTTGAGTGCGCGGTCCCTTCCCATATGATCCTGTCGGGGACCGGGCATCGGCCCAAAGACGATGGGCTGACGCCAGTACATGTGCGGGTTTTGTGACCAGAGGTGCTTTCGGAGGACCTGGGCGGAGTGGTCGAACTCGTCGTGGCCATAGATATAACTGACCATTTGCAATGCTAGAGGAGTCAGCAGGTGTGATTTGGTGCTATTTGGATTTTAGCGGGTCACTTACATCGTTCAGGCGAGACCAGTGTGACTGACTCGCGAGTCATCTGCTGGATGGTCGTTGCGCGTTCATGGCGTGCCTTTTGATACACCTTCAATCGCTCAGGAACGTCGCTGGCGGTAATGTCACCAGATAGCATCACAGACAGTGAGACAGCATCTTCAATCGCCATTGCACCGCCAGATGCGCGGTAGGGCAGGAAAGGATGAACAGCATCACCCAGAACAGCCAGACGGCCCTCCACCCACGACGGGAGGGTATCCATATCCAAAAGAGGCCACAGCTTGAGAGTCTGCGGGTCGGCCTTCTCCAGCAGTTTGCGGACTTGTGGGTTAAAGTCCTTGTACACATCGAGCAAAGTGTCTTTGCCGATATGTTGATTGTACGAATCACCCTCGGTCTCGATGGTCGTCAACTCCTCTGGATGGATACAAACAAAGTTGAGCAATTCATTGTTCGCACATGGATAGATCACCACACGACGATCAGACGAGTCCCACATATCGACGGCGCCAAAGTCGCGCGCGATGCTGTTGGTCTCTGGGTCATCCAGTGCCTGTTGACGGCTAATAAGGAAGCGGAAGGCATGCTTTCCCGAGCTTTTTGGCTTCTTGTCTGACAGCTTGGTCCGAGTCATTGAGTGGACTCCATCCGCACCGATCAACACATCACCTTCAACGACATCGCCATTTTCAAGAGTCACTGTTGCATTTTGGGCATCAACATCGGTGATCTTGCTTGCGGTGTGAAGTATAGCAGGCTTGCCCTTGCCGGCACCGGTAGCTGCGGTCTTCAGTCCTTCGTGGAAATGAGCACGATGCACAAGGAGCCATCGCTAAGGCGTTTGAGTAAGCTGAGAACTGGGCATCAGCAGATCCGGGAAACTTACATGTCTCCACATATCCGCATGGTCCTTCACAGCCGTTATGTGGACTGGCTCACCGGATGGAGTGTATTCGCGCAACTGACCCGTAAGCTAGGTTTCAGTCAGATCAGGGATAAAATCTTACCAGCTCAGTCTCCACAGCCCCAAACTTCGTAGCATCGATCCCCAGACGGCGCAGGACGCCATTTGCATTTGGGGACAAGTGAATAGCAGCGCCGATTTCATTGGCGAAGCGCGAACGTTCGAAAATCTACTAAGTCAGCCATGTTACAAAAATACGTTAGCAATGAAACATACCTCTACATGATGGCCTTGCTGTCTCAGGGCGATCGCTGCAGTAAGACCGCCGATCCCCGCACCAACGATCAAGATGCGCAAACCAGAACTACCGTTTAATTCTTTCAGCGTCATTTTGTACTGGTATAATATTGATCAACTAATTCCATGGGAATTCTGAGACTTTATTAATTACGCTCGGCATCAACTCCTCCCCCGCATCTATACATGGCCCCCTCGGTTGACGACATGGATGCTCGGACTCCGCGTTTCGGGACGTTCTCGGCTCCACATACAACGCTGCGGAGCACGCTCAACCTTCCGAGTGGGGGAGAATGTATATGAAATACAAACTCCAAATTATTTTCTTCAAATCATTCGTTCACAGATCTCTCAAAATGCCTAACGAGATCAAAGACATCACGACCCGCGACGAGGTCTCCTTCCCTTACATTTTTGAGCAAAATGTCTCCATCAACCTCAAAGATGAATCAGGTATCGTCCGCGCAAACGTCTACCGACCCAAGTCCTCTTCCAAGGTTCCCGTGATTGTCACCTACGGCCCATACGGAAAAGATATTCCCTACAAGGATTTTCACGCACAGAGCTTCAGCGAGGTGAACCCCGAACAAAAGTCCGAGCACTCGTCCTGGGAAACTCCCGACCCAAATTACTGGACTAGCCAAGGCTATGCCGTTGTGCGCGCAGATGAGCGCGGTACGGGCCAGTCTGTTGGTAAGCTCGATACCATGTCTCGGGGAACGAGCGAGGCATTCTTCGATGTGGTTGAGTGGGCTGCTGAGCAGGAGTGGTCCAATGGCAAGGTTGGCTTACTGGGTATTTCCTACTACGCTGGTAGCCAATGGCGTGTTGCGGCACGTCAACCCAAGGGTCTGGCCTGTATCATTCCCTGGGAGGGCATGTCTGACTACTACCGGGATCGATGCCGTCACGGTGGAATCCTGTCAAGCAAGTTCATTAAGTTCTGGTGGGATCGCCAGGTCGTGAGCAACCAGTACGGTCTTGGTGGTCGTGCCGCCAGGAACTGGGGTCCCGATACCATTGAGGGAGATTTGAGCGAGGAGGAACTTATTCAGAACCGACAGGATCAAAACGTCGACAACGTGTCTAATAAATATCGCGATGATCTTTACTATGCTTCCAAGGAGTATAGTATGTCGGATATCCAGGTCCCGCTGCTGTCAGTCGCGAACTGGGGTGGTATCTTGCTTCATCTGCGTGGAAACGTCGAGGGATACACACAGGCTGGGTCGGAGCTCAAGTACCTCCGCTTCGTCACTGGTCGTCACGATTTACCCTTCTACTACAGCGAAGAGGTCGAGCTCCAGCGCAGTTTCCTTGACGCCTTCCTCAAGGGTGAGGACCGTGTCGGTTGGTCAACTGGCAAGGCACCCAAGGTTGACATCGTGCTTCGTAAGGGCGACGTCGGTTTCAACAACGCCGAAGCCGAGAAACAATACACCCGTCGCACGGAGCACGAGTGGCCGATTGCCCGCACTCAGTACACAAAATACTACCTCACTTCTAAGCAAGAGCTTCTCACACACGCTCCCGTTGAGCGCCCAGTCAAGGTCTCCTACGAGGCCCTTGGCACGCTGGATACTCCCCAGCTCATCCAATTCACTACACCTGCCTTTGAGAAGGAGACCGAGATCACGGGGCACATTGTCGCACACTTGAATGTCTCAATGAGCGCGAACCCTGGTGCACCTACTCCCCAGGACCTCGACCTCTTCATCACATTGCGTCATATCTCTGCTGCTGGAAACGAAGTCTTCTACACCGGCACAGCGGGTGATCCCGTTCCTCTGTGCAAGGGTTGGCTGCGTGTGAGCATGCGACAAGTTAACAAGGAGCATGTCCGGAATCGGCCTTACCTTCCTCACCGTGACTACTATTCCACTGACTTCCGTCCTGTCATCCCTGGTGAAGTTTACCCTGTTGATGTGGAGGTTTGGCCTACCAATGTCGTTGTTGAGAAGGGTGGAAAGATTGTATTGGAGATTTCCAGTGGTGATACTCAGGGTTCTGGCATGTTCCAACATAACTCACCTATTGACCGGTAAGCTTGCCCATTCTCTGTGCTACTCATGAATTGTGCTAATGACTTTTAGATCTGTGGAACGCTTCCAAGGTCAAAATCACATCCACTTCGGACTGGGTGAGAACTACGTTACTCTGCCGATTATTCCTTGATTATCCTAGCCCCATGCTAGCTCCAAATACTATAAAGTAGATATCAATGAAATTCATTTGTACTTATTAGCATTTGATATAGTCTTGTAACCAATGGCAAATTATCATGGCTCAGCCTTCACCTCACCTCCTCTAAGCTGCTCAACCCTAACAGAGAATGGATTTATATCAAAATTCTGATCCAAATTTCCAAGGGTATGATTGACCTCACAATGCTTCGCCTCATCGGCCCTCACATAAAGCAATAAAGACCTCATACACCGCCGATCAACAGGCATCTCCCAATACCTCACGGCCATATCCGGTGCGCGGAGCGATTCCCACCGTGGAAGTCGTCCGGTATCGAGATCACGAATCGCCTTGCTGTAGGTAATAACAGCTTCTTCCTCTAGATACCCCACACAGCGATGACAGATCTGTGGGGAGATAAGATACGCGACTGAGAAGCCGGTGAAGAAAACGCATTGGGCGCCTAGGACCATGGAACGCATTAGGGGAGTTGGTCGGGCTAGTTGGAGGAATGTGAGGAGGTGCATTCGTTCGTTGTAGGCTTCCTCGAGGAGGGTTTCGATCCTTATAAACATAGTTAGTATTATGACTTCTTTGACACAATTTAGGGCATTTTTACCATCCGTTGTCTCTGCGCATTTGCCTCAGGCTTTTTAGATGACGGAGCATTCCGGCCACCATACCTGGCACACCCGCGACACTTTCTAGGAATATAAATCTCCGGAGCCATTTTTCTTCCGTCATACTGTCCTTGGATATAGCTGTCGATCCTGAGGATTGATATCCGGTTGCCAAGTCCATGCCCCAGCGTAGTAAACGGACTTTTTGGAGAGCTACTCGGTCTTGCCAGGTGTCTGGCTTACGGTGGGTGGGTTCGATGGCGGTGATTTGCTCCTCCGTGTAGCTGCTTCTGTCAGATGATATGAGTGGATAGAACGGGCTGGACATACGTGGGGTGTTTCCATGATGACTTCTGTGGTATCTGGGATGTTGTGTGGTGCCTTGTGTGAGGTATCGAGGCTGGGCGGTAGATAGCTCTGGAAATCGGGATTCGCAGATTACTGCGAGTCAAGGGAAAAGTGGCCATTGTTTCTCTGTTTTGAATGAAACTGAAGCTGTTCAAATGAGTGATATGATAGAGAAGTACGAACGAGACAGGAACATACTTTCACTTTATACTATATGAATGCTCGTTCCTACAATGTAGAATGTAGAATATCATGCATTGTTTTGTTGGGGATGGGGTGTACTCCTATGTACGGCGCAGTCTATACGATTTGTTGATTTGTTTCCTAAACAACCCGAACGAACTCTATGTAAATAGCCTTCTGACTCACTTTGAGTTTAATGTGTCGGGAATTAGGGGCCAACATTGACGTTCACCAGGCTGTTTCAGCCTACGGAATGATGGATAGGTATCAATTGTCGAGAGGGTTATTGAGAAAATCTGCTTAAGAAGCATGGAGAGGTCATCCTGATGGAACGACTCACTTTCATAGCACTGGAGATTGTGTCTCCACTCTTTTCAGCAAAGTGGAGTTCGTATCGGTATCCCGAAAGGTCCGCTGTGTTGTACCCAAGAGGCTTGTTATTCGGACATAGCAAAATTCTAGTTGGACATAACACCTTCTATATCGGGAAAATGTGGTATTTATATTATAGACTAGTATTTCCGCAGTCACATGACTTATTTCCACATACGTAATAACTAAATAGTATCAAATACTTTTAATTAGCTAAGTTTGCTGAATACAACCTGTAGTTGCATTTTCAATTAAAGGGCTCAACATGAGAACCAAAATTGTACCCTGTGCGCGTGTGTGTTTGCACATGTGTAAATTCTTTATTTTGATGACACTCTACTCAGGTGACTGTGAAAATACTTGATTGAAATACAAATACCATCTTTTCCCAATATGGAAAGTGTTATGTCCACCTAGAAAATTGTTATGTCCGAATAACATTACTCGTACCCAAAGCCCCGACTTCCCACACTAGACAATAACAAATCCCTCGGTATTTTAAAGGTATTTCTTCAATATTTTTCGAATTCTAAATAGTCAATTTCCTGCTGAAGATCGATTCTCTGAGATATGTACCGCATGTCGCATCGATGCTTCATTCACCAATCAGCGCCGAGCGGACTTTTCTAACCCAGGAGTACGAAGCGAAAGTCCGCAGCTGCATATTTGCTGTGCACGCTATACTCAACACTCGGCCTTCGCTCTGATAAGTCACCGAGCTGGGCATGTCCTCAGGAAGCCCATAAAAACCTTCATGGCTGTTATCCGCACAATGCCATCTCTCGCAAATACAATTATTCCCCTTCTGCATCATCCCAATTGATTACGCCCGGACTTTTGTCCTTCTCTTTTTCCAATTCCTTGCGAAGCTTCCATCGGCCCTCAAAACATCCAACTTGCAATGCCTTCACATCCACCAGTTTTAACTAGTGAATCGACTCTCGCCGCAGCTCGCCCGGAGCAAGACATCCAAAACTATGACGACAAGGCAAATTTACAACATCTAGCTGGTAAACCCGTCGATCGGGGCCGCGATGCTTGGATTGTCACCTTTGGCACTTGGTGGGCTCTCTTCATTGCCTTTGGCTGGACCAATTCCCTCGGCGTGCTTCAGAACTACTACGAAAAAGAACTGCTGAGGGACTATTCAACTTCCACAGTTGCTTGGATCGCATCCACTCAGATTTTCATGATGTATGGTGGAGGGATAGTCTTCGGCAACATGTTCGACTCCTATGGGCCTCGATGGCTGATTTATATCGGTGGTTTTGCCCACGTCTTCGGCTTGATGATGGTCTCTATTTCCAAGAATTACTATCAAATATTCCTATCACAGGCCATTTGCAGTGGTCTCGGCGCCAGCGCAATCTACTATGCTTGCATCGGTTCGCTGGCTAGCTGGTTCCAGGCGAAGCGCGCCACTGCCTTTGGTCTCGCTGCCTCCGGTGGCTCTGTCGGTGGTGTCATTTTCCCCGTTATGGTTGACCGTCTCATTGATCAGGCAGGCTTTGGTTGGACTATGCGCGCGGTTGGTTTCATCGTTCTTGGGGGTCTTGTCATAGTCATCTTCACTGTGAAGTCGCGACTGACGCACACCCCTAAGCCGGTTCGCGTTCGACACTATATTAAACCGTTCACTGAGCTTCAATTCCTAATGCTGGTTATTTCGCTGTCACTTTTCTCGTTCGGGCTATTCCTGCCGTTCAATTTCATCACTGCTCAGGCGCAGACCCTTGGCATGTCCTCTACTATGGCAAACTATCTTGTGGCAATTATCAACGCAACCAGGTAAGATGTTTGTCAAATCCCAACTTCCGAGACAAATGCTAATGAACTTAGTGTTCTTGGCCGTATCGTTCCCGGTATGGTCGCTGACCGAGTGGGACGCTTCAATGTCATGTCCGTAGCAACACTGGTTTCAGGTATCCTCACCTTCGCACTGTGGCTACCAGGTCGCAGTAATGTAGCGGTCATTCTCTATGCCGTGTTTTTCGGTTTCTTTTCCGGTGCATATGTCTCCCTGACACCTGCTCTCGTTGCCCAATTATCTCCTATCCAGGAGATTGGCATTCGCACTGGGGCCCTTTACTTCTTTGTCTCGATCGCCGTGCTCACTGGTAGCCCAATTGCCGGCGCACTCGTTTCAGTTGATCAAGGTCGTTATGATTATCTGGAGATTTTTGCTGGGGCAACCATGTGTGCGGGTGCTGTTTTGCTAATATTGACTCGTGTCGTGAAAGCAGGATTTAAGTGGGAAGTTTTGTAGGATACATACGTTTTGGTTGTTGTTCTATTGAGATAAACTACATTTTGAACACTTAGGATTTCTGGGTCAGAGATATATGAGTTAGAGGGAACAAAAAAATCAAGACGATCTTTTTAAGGAACTACACTTCTCGGGTTATCATACATTGACTTCTTTGCTCATGAAATAAAGAAACCAGAAAAAAAAACAGAAACGGAAGAGAAGTTTTTCCACGGCATTCATTAGACTTCAATCATAGCCCAGTACATCAATCGACCAATTTCCAGAATTTGAACACATTGGACTCTGGAAATCTCAGAACAGAAAGCCATCGTAATGACAAGCACAGCAGTGAGTAGTGAATGCTTCGAGGTTAAGGTCCGCTCAGATCGGGTGCCATTATACTGAATAAAGAAGCAGTTTCTCCAACGGAATCAAGAGTTCCAAACATGCACTCTTCCTGGAGTGATTGACGACTACGGTGATTGGTTTATTAGTACAATAAATAACTGATGAAGATCTCTAGGCTTCTGCATTGCAGTCTAGAATTAAGCTAGTCTTAGTCAGCAGACTCGCGGGTGTTTTGTCGAGGTTGAACTAGTTTTAACTTCTAATCACTTTTAACATTTAGCCCCTAATTATGAATCTCTCCACTCTGTCATGTGAGCGCTGTCGAAATCATAAGGTAAAGCCACTTCTTTGCTCACTAGCTACACAACTGACCTACTCAGCGCAAATGCTCCCGCGAACTGCCAATATGTGGCCGATGCCGCTGCTTAGGCGTTGCGTGCTCATATCCACAGCGAAAGAAAAGGGAGCGAAAAAAACATGGAGCCCCTGAGATCGCTTCTCTGGGAGAGTATTATAGCACTCCAACTATTAACACGTGCCAAATCACAGCCGTCACAGACCGATCAAGCCTCCTTGCATTACTCTCGCCGGACACTCAATTAGCCTCACAAACAACAGGGCTCGCTCTACTTGACGTCTACTTTTCTGGCTTTATTCCATCTAGTATCATGTCCCAGCAGGAGCGCACCAGGCGGCTCTATTTGCAAGGTCAATTATGTAATGGTGCTCTTCATGCCATGTTCGCATTGGCATCTTTGTTCTTGGGTCACGCACAGACGCCCAGTAAATGGCGTCAACTCGATGGCATTTCCGATATTGCTCCAAATGCTCGTTTTCATGGCCAGGACTGGGCTAATAACGCCAGCCATGTCGTATCCCTCCAATTGCATGCTCCGTCCCTTGACACTGTTCGATCTCTCTCCAATCTTACCACATATTGGTTCGGCGTTGGGCAATGGGAAAAGTCCCAGGCGAATGCGAGTACGTGCATCTTAATCAAGAGACTGCTTCTATTCAAGTCTTGGAACATATCGCTGAATATAATATAGATATGGTGATCCAAGCCACACGAGATCTACAATTGCAAAATTTACAATTACCGAAAGCTCAATCTCGTGGTTTGCGATGGAGCTGCTTCTGGGCTGACATGATGTGCCGATGTTTTGTGCTTGATGATAGCTTTGCAAGCTCTAGTCAGAATATCGATATTTCTGATATTACACACACCTCCGATAGCTTAGAGCCTATCGGTGATGAAACCACGGACCACACGTCCGTCTCATTAGAAACCCACCCAACTGCAGGGCAAGAAGCACTGCTGAAAACCTTGGGTCTCTGGTATGTTGATTTGCAGCGCAATCATATGACAGAGAACCATAACTAACTCTGCTAGGCGTGAGGCTCGATGGTTCATTCGCAATCTTAGGTTCATCCATAATTTTGCACCGGAAGCAGATCCAGCGGCATGGTGGGCTGCTCTCTTTGCGCTGGATAGCAAAGTCACATCTTGCTACTCATTATTTCCCAGCGCACTTCGGGACTTTAATAGAGGCCGCCCTCATGATTCGGCTGAGGCCCCAGAATTGCTGCTATCGCTCCATGCAGTCTATCATCAGTGCCGGGCTCTGCCTCATCTTGCCATGTTTATGTTTTTACGACAAACTGCCTCGGCCTCCCCTGAATATGTCCACCTTTGCGCTCGGATTACAGTGTGCCACCTGAATCTATTTGCAGACGTTGCAACTAGTTTCATGTCTTTCGCCTCATCAAGCGCTTCTTCCAGTCCACCTTTTATTGCATATTGTGCCTTTTTGACAGCATCCATCCATTTGGCCGCCTTGTGCCTCTTCAAGGACTCCACACAAATCCTTCCTAAAGATAGCAAATTTATGCTCGACTTGTTGAGGAAACGGGCTTTGTCCAGCCTGCTTTTGCTCCAGCGCCTGCAATCTTACTGGTCTTCTTGCAGGCAATTGGTAAGTGGATGTTCCTTTTCCGATCTTCTGCATGATATAACAAGTTGTATCTTTTACAAAAGCCTTTGCAAGGGAGGGAATTGCTCACTGTATTATGCATACAGCTCAATCGTCTCAGTCAGTTATGCTTCTCTGTAGGAATATCAACCGACGAGGTCGAATCACATGGCTGCGTCTTGCGAGAAGGATCCAACTTCTCCACGTCTACCACAGCGAATGACAGCACTGGAATTACTCCACGAGCACCAGGACATGAGGATCTCGAACTAGTCATGACTCGCCACCTCGCGAACATTCTAAAGACGGTCAATATCAGCCACCCGTTCTACTTCTCTTTCCAGGACCAGCAATCCTCACATCTTACCGCATGGGATTCTTCAAGTCATGATGACTCCTTTAGTTTCTCGCATCAGCCCTACGAAGCCGAAGCCGAGCAGGAAAATTTAGCGTTACTTGACACTCCAGCACCCCTCCAACCGGTTTTCCCGGCTTCCAAATCTCGGCCTCGCCATAAACCAAGGACTTGGATCCCAGCCCGTCCAGTTACGCGCGATTCTATGATGGCAGAGGACTCAATGTCTTTCCTTAGAATGATGGATATATAAAAGAGTTCCCTTATGAGTTATGAATACCCCAATTATCTCCCCCCATACAAGTAATACCCAGTGTGCAGGCATATTGGAACGCCTGCAAATGATATATTATTAGGCACCAACCGATGGTCAGGCTTCTATGATAGCTTACGCTAAAAATCACGCCGCTATAGTGAGAGGGTTTTTTAGGAGGCAGGGGAAGGTGGTCCAATGGATGAGATGACCCTTGAACGGCAGATTTCACTCCTGCCACTTCCTCTCCCCCACCACGAACTAAGCTTTCAGTAGCTAGATGCCGGAATCTGAATTCCATGTTTGTCAACACGTGAACTGCTGGTTACAAATTAGAGGAGAAAGGAAAGAAGGAAGCGCAAGCTAGTATAAGGAAGAATAAACGTACAGATCAATATACTAGCATTGGTGGTTTGGAGAGATGAAGGGAAAACAGGAGAAAGAAGCGCTGGTCTATTCACACGACTGGTGGTCACTCGGTCTCCAGGCTTTGACAATCCCTTTCTTGTTTTGATGAGCAGTAACGGCCAAAATTCTATGGCATTGGGCAGAGAGAGGAGGGTCATACAGAGGCTGTTGAAAATGCGGGGTATCGTGGCGCCCTCGACTCGCGGGCTCTGCCCCGACACGGCACCTCTCCACTGTCCCCGCTTCCATCCCCGCATTTCCAGCAGATACATGATTGAAATGTCGGCATGATGCCGTGATTCGAGAATTAAAATATATACACAGTCTAAGTCTCTTCGTTATATCGGGAAAATATCTTAACATAATCGTTGGAAGGTTGAGAGCTGGTGATACGTGCATACCCACTATCCTCAGCATCGGGGCCACCGGCTAATGGTCTGAATCTGAGCTTTACGATGGCCTCTTTTGCATTGATTCGCAGCTCGGTGCTCAATAAGCCTTTCACTCCATTCCGACAGTCAATCTCTCGCGCGATCGCCACCCGGGCAACCTCATACACACTAAACACGGGACACAAGATTCCCGCACTCGGAATTGGCACATTCGGAGACGCAGAATCTCAGGAAGCCATCGTCACCCAAGCATTAAAAAAGGGCATAAGATTCATTGATACTGCCCGTGTATACGATGTCGAAGTTCAAGTAGGCAAAGGCATGAAATGCAGCGGTGTTCCGCGTGAAGACGTGTACCTCGCCACTAAGCTCTGGTGCTCGGACTACCACCCCGAGGATGTGGAGCGTGCCTTGGATGACTCGCTCCGTGACCTGGATACTCCATATGTTGATTTGCTTCTTATGCATTATCCGTGTACCTTCAAGCGTGGATCTGATCGGTTCCCTCGCGACGACGGTGGAAGGATGATCGAAGGGGAGACCAGCTATTTGGATACCTGGAGAGCGATGGAGAAGTTGACTCGGTCGGGCAAGGTGAAGTCTATTGGAGTCTCCAATTTCAGCAAAGGAGAAATCGAGACATTGATCAAAGATTCGTCAACTGTGTGTTCCTCTGGTCCCTGAAGTAAGCTCATGTGCTGACATTGGTTAGATCCCAGCCGTTCATCAGATGGAAGTTCACCCGTATCTCCAACAAAAAGGATTCAACAATTGGCTCCAGGATAAGGGAATCCACGTCGTTCAATTCAGTCCTCTAGGCAACATGAACGATTTCTACCGGAAAACTGGCTGGAGCAAAGAGGTTTCGCACATGATGCGCGTGATTGACCAGCCAATTTTGAAGGAAATCGCAGAGAAACACAATAAAAGCCCGGTTCAGGTCGTTCTTGCGTGGGGCATCAATAGTGGGAGAAGTGTCATTCCGAAGAGTGTGATTGATTGGCAGGTCGACGAAAACATTGCTGCCGATTTTGAATTAGAAGAGGAGGACATGTTTAGGATTGCGACTTTGGATGCGAGAGCGCGGTTCAATGATCCTAGTCTGGATTATGAGTGGAGGCTTTATTCAGACTTGGAGGGGATTGACGGGACCGTTAGAGGGAAGACTCATTAGGGTTTTTATGGAGTGATAAGTTCGGTTTTCAATTAATGCTGCTATAAAATAAACTGCTATAGGTCTGGCTCGTCTGGGTAATCTGTAGCATCTTGGAAAATGATTGTAAGATCCCTGCCTGATTCAGAAGATGCATTTCTCGTTTATTGCTGAATCTTCGGCCGTGCTGGCCTAGGACCCAAGAGCACGATGAACAATGAAAAGGTCGAAGCATCCAATTGATTCTATGGGATTCGAGGCACCGATCGCTTTGGCGCAGCATCCCCTGCATGTGAAGGCACAGATTCATGGCAACTGAGTTGGTGCGCCTCTTCTTTCTACGAAGAAAAGTCCTGTCCGGAACTTCTCCCGGCCTATAATCAGTAATCAAGAATCTTTAGTTTCTCTAAGTTCAGTAAATCTTCGAGCTGGAATGTGGGGCTTCTGGCACCGTGTCGTGGTCAAACCAAATGTAGAAGGCTCTGTGGCGGTCGCTTTTTTGTCTGATTTGCACTTCAAAGTGCATTTCGATGATGCGTGACAGGTTTTTCTTATTCATCCCGGGGTGCTTTCCTAGGCACTCGTCTCGTGGGGCTGTTGAATCACTTCACAATGGTCATGTGAAGCTTCGCATATATTTCCGTGATGCTGCTGTTCACAAGTCATACATATTGATTTCAATGCAGACCAAGCTGTGCAGTCATCAAAAGCCTCGTTCAGAGCAAAATGAACTCATTCGAGCTTCCTCGCTTCATGAGGGCACTAGGTAAGACTGTGTTTACTGCCTTCATGAACACCATGATAACCGTTCAGAATATTCCAAGGCACAAAAATTCAGCATTGTCAAAAAGACTCTGCCACAGATACGAGACCATGATATTCTGGTATGCCTCCCTTCAGTTTGAGTAACAAATCTAACAATTTGAAGATCAAAGTCAAGGCATGTGGAGTATGTGGCACCGACCTCCATATCCACGACGGTGAATTCGGAGCTCAAGTACGCCGAATCGAAGCCCATGAATTTATATGATTTCTCACAAAGCCAGTTCCCTCTTGTCCCCGGTCACGAAACAGTAGGCATAGTGGCAGCATTTGGCAACAAAGTTCATGGTTTCAAAGTAGGAGATCGCGTCGTAGCCGACAACTCTGAATTATGCGGTACATGCCACTACTGCCGTGTCGGCAACGGCAAAGAACTTTTTTGCGAGAATTTTGTCGCACATGGAGTGATGGTTGATGGGGGTTTCGCCGAATACGCTGTTTATCCCGGGCATCGCGTATTCAAATTCAACAATTTGTCGGACGCCAATGCAACGCTGATCGAGCCCGCTGCCTGTGCTGCCCATGGTATCGATAGTATCGCTCCGCATATGAACTCCCGTGTTCTTCTTTTCGGTGCCGGCCCGACAGGATTGATGCTAGCGCAGCTTCTCCGCCAGAATGGTGCAAATCATCTTGTTATCGCTGCGCCTGGCGGGTTGAAAATGGAGCTTGCGAAGTCGCTGAATGCTGCTGATGAGTATGTGGAACTTCCTCGTGGGGACGCTGCGAATGCGACGTTGGAAAAGCAGGAGGCCGAGAGTCCGTACGGATATGACATTGTTGTCGAAGCGACGGGGAGTGCTAGGATCCTGGAGAACGCGATTAGATTCGTGACGAAAGGCGGAAAGTTGGTGGTGTACGGCGTGTACAACGACGATGCCCATATTTCTCTGTCGCCAAACAAAATATTTAAAGAAGAAATCAAGGTGATTGGATCATTTTCGCAGATCTATAAATTCCCCGCCGCGATTGATTATCTAGGTAAGCATTCAACTGGTGGGAAAATAGTGGATTATTATGCTGATAAAGATTCAGATGGGAAGAAGATCAACGTTCATGGAATCGTCAACAAGACCTACAGATTGGAGGAATGGGAAGACTGTCTGCAGGCATTGAGAAACAAATCAGTGATCAAAGCTGCAATTGTATTCGATTGATAAAGAGATGATGTGTATGCAACAGTGCTCATTACTGGGCCATCATTAGCGGTTGATACTATTATTTTCGTATGAGACGCGAGAGAAGATCAGAATGACATTTTAATCTACCGTTCTACTTCCCCCTTGTTTTATTTACAACAATATCTCTTCTGGAGCTCACTTCTTACGCGGGGGTTGTTCAATGGTCAACGCACCGATTGCGGCTTTGTTAATGCATGAGACAAAGGGAGATCCTTTGGAGATCAATAACATAGATTACACGATGACTAAATGAGCTTATATTTATACATGACCAAAAGCTTGGTGGTAGAAATAATTCGATGATTCTCGAAATTTAGAATTCATTTGTATTTCATTCATAGGCTGCCAAAAAGTATGTGCGATATAATGCCACAGTAAAATTTGAACGCTGAAAATGCCACCCGTGATAATCATGCATACTTCTGAGGTCTTTTCATAGACTTCCACTGAACAAGTGCAGCTCCAATAAAGGAAAGGGCAGCAGCAGCAACAGAAACATAAAATGTCTGTGTAACTGCAATATTATAAGCGTATAACACAGATGAAAGAGCCTGCTTAGGAACCCTGTGCGAAAGATGGGCTGCTCCAGCTTCGATGATAGCCCCTGGACTAATCGTTGGAGCGTACTTGGTGATGCTGGCCACTAGTCGATTCTGAAACACAGTCTGTGCAATAGAAATAAACAACGCGCCGCTTAAACTTTGAGCAAATGTAATTATCGCAATCCCAATCGGTATATCTTCCAATGGTAGAACGGTCTGCAGGCAATTGATGCATTGTTGGAACCCGACCCCTGCGCCGATACCTATTATAATTTGGTAGCCGATCCACATCCCATTTCCTGTGTGAACTTGGAATGTTGTACAAAGGCCTGAACCAATCGTGAGGAGGGCGCTGCCAAGAAACATGAGAGGCGTGTAGTACCCAACCAAATTTACCAAGAGCCCCCCAAGTGCGGAGGAGATGATCATTGAGACAACCATAGGCAAGTTATTGATTCCAGACTGCGATGCTGAGACCTGTTCAATAGCCTGGAACCAGATAGGGAGCTGTGTTGTGTGAGCTATGATCTTCGAGGAGGTGGTTCAACTTACATAGTATCCGAACACAAAGAAAGAGCCCCCGAGAAACGTTGCATGTATGACAGCGCCAAGAATATTGCGATTCATGAGTAGGCGAGGAGGAACGGTGGCTTCTTCTTGTTTCCAGTGCTGAACATAGCACCAGGCTAAGGAAAACAATGAAAATAAGACGAACAGTACAATGATGCGCACATTTGACCATTCATATTTCGTGCCACCCCACTGTAGGGCCAAAAGGATCGATATAATAGCGGGGATGAAGAGCAGGATGCCGAGTGGATCCATCCGTTTAACCTTGTTCATCCGTCCTGATTCGATCGTTTTCCTCGGTTTCACATCCTTGAAGAATATAGCAATAAAGATACCCGTAATTGCGCCAAGGGGAAGATTAATATAGAAACACCATCGCCAACTCAAATGGTCCGTCAATAGTCCCCCCAGTCTGCAGAAAGAGGTTAGTGGTTGTAAATTCCCTGGAAAGGGTCATTCCTACAGTGGCCCAGTGACAGTCGCAATTCCACTCGTACTCCCAATGATCCCAAAATAAAGAGCACGTCGATGGAGGGGTACACTATTGGCGAGCACTAACAGCGCACCAGGTGATAATCCTCCCGACCCAATCCCTGCAATCGCCCTTCCGAGTATCAGACCCTTCGATGTTGGCGTAGCTGCACATGCCAACGACCCGATCTCAAAAAGACCGAGGGCGATCATGTACGTCCATTTCGTAGAATAGTAGGTGTATATCTTGCCGAAGGGGAGGGTGACCGCGCAAGATGTCAGAAGGTACGCGCTTGCGTACCAGGACAAGTCTTCCAAAGAGTTGAATTGTTCGGTGATCTTCGGTACAGCTGTGGCGAGGATTGTATTGTCCTGGATGGATTAGATGAGAATATTAAAACTTCCAAGGTAAAGATGGACTCACCAGTGCGATGCAGAATGACTGAAAACAAAGGCCTATGAGTACGGGAAGGAATTTGATCGTGGATGGGTACTCGATTCTCTCATCATCACTTATATCGCTGCTGCCCGACTCTTTCAAAGGGATATCGTCTCGACAGTCGTCATTGTGACAATCTCGCACTGAGCCGTTTGCCATTAAACACGTAAATCCACAGCCAAATCAAGACTGTGAAAATATGGTCAAATTGTTTGGGACATTCGGGTCATAGGTGGAGGGTAGGTAGAAGGTCAAGAGATTAAACATGACCTGAGCTGAGCTAAATTTCATAGAACTGCTACCTTAAGCTTGATTGTAACTCACATTCAAGCAAGGGGCACAGGAGCTCTCCAGTCACGGAAGCTCGGCTTTATCAAACATTCCATTGAATCAGGTATGCGCTAGCTCCGTCACGACGCGAAATACACAGCCAAGCAAAGCGTGCTCTCCCATCCCGTGATTACCTGGTATCTCCTGGCTTGCACAAAAGTCCCGATTCTAGAATCGATTCGTGGGTCAGATCTACTTTGAGTCCATCTCGCGGGTTCCCACCCGGTATGTTTTGGGGGTTGGGGACGCCACGTACCTGCATTCCTGAGATGAACTACCGAGCAGGATTCATGCACTATTACTAACTCTAATTTGTTCCGCGGCGAATTATCAATGCAATTGTCATGTGAGTTTATTGCATCATTGGGATAGGGATACCATGAGGGTGGGAGTAAGTTCGACCTAAATTATGCCGACTAAGTGACGATAGTACTTACCCCTTGGGAAGTGATCGACCCAAAGTTAGCTTCCAGTGTGCAAACAATATTAGCTGATGAAGCTTGAATTCCCTGCGTCTGCTTTATCGTAGGATCTTACAATATTTCATCCTTCACGTCTTAGTAGTTGCTAATTTGTTGGTTGTAAACGAAATTGACAAAAGCCGAACCAATCTTGATTAAATATGCCCTGTTGGGGCGTCGCCTATGTTGCACTATATTTAACCTCTTCAATCAGCAGATTGTACCACTGCATTGGCAAAAAAATAAAGGCCAAGAGGTAAGAATAATTGCAATAAGAGAGCTAGCTGCAAGTTCTATAAAGAGCTTTCATGTTGAGAACTCACGAATAACACCAAAAAGACAAAGCTAAGACATAGGTTCATATTAACGATCACTGCTTCCATTCGCGATAGCCATGCCCAAGGCCGTACTCAAGACTCCTCCTCTCTCTGTGAACACAGCCATCGATGAACTTCTGAGGCAGACTAGCTAGTCGTGGAACCTTCCCCTGGATAACCTGGTCCGCCCTTTGTACATATGCTGTACTAAATATTTCCCACAGTTCTCTATCCAAGCAATCCTCCAACAGCGGAAGAGGATAGTATGGGTCATTCTCGAAGAAAGACATAACAAGGTGAGAGATGAGTGTGTCAGGATTTTTCAAAGCGACTGATTCATCCCAGATATTGCAAAGATTGAAATCAAGAATCCAAAGACGTGTCGTACGTGGCTCAAAGTCAAATGGCATGAGAGACTCGATATCTGTTTGTGGTGGCATTGCGGCTAATTGCGCCAACGTTAGTTTACGCGTAAGACAAAGATCACCCGTATATTCCATAGATTCTTCACTTCCTAGAACGAACTCAATGTCGTATCCATCAACATGGGCGGACCAATGGACCACTGCTAGAGCTTCACCTATATCGAAAGCTAGATTTTTGACAGGAAGCCCAAGTTCAATCATTTGGTCGAGATGAAGATTAAAGTTTCGGAGGGTGAAATTGGCCGATGACGCAGTTGTGGTACGGCGCCGACCTAGGTAGACACGAGCCAGACAGTCTCGATTTGTAGGATGCGCAGCAACCCACTTGCGAGATTTATTAAGGCAATATTTCTTGATCAGAATATCTCGCGCAATTTTTGGCAAAGGGAGGATGCGCTGGGTAATCAGAGTCATAGATGGTATTGAGATGGATTCTCGTCTAAAAGGCAAAAGATGTCCATTCTCTTTCCACCATTTCTTATTACCCTTTGCGACATAAGAGAAAACTCGTGGAACTCGGCATTCGATCGGCTTGTCTGTGATTTTTTGTTGCTCAAAAGCTTGCCGCACAATGAAATGCGCCTTGAAGTCGGCCCAGAGCCTATCTTCATATGAAGGTTCGCAACTTTGAGAACAAAGCCTCGGCCAGGTCTCTCAAATACGATGCCACGCTGACCAAAACCGATGGCACGGTATTCAACCTGCTCCTGGTCTAGAAATCTGGAGCAGTAGGTTATCCAGTCCATGTCAGCATGAAGAGAAGAGCTTAGGGACAAAGGCAAGTCCTTTTTAGGGGACTGCTTGGAACTGGATAGATGCTCCATCATAAGAGAAGAGAGATAAAGGGGATTTCGCTTGAGAAGGTTAAGGAAGGGAGGGATGGTAGAGAATATTAGACGGGAAGTGAGGTTTCGTTTGAGAGATCAGACCAGATGTCATATTTGGCTGCGGCGCGCTATGGGTTCCAAGGTTTGAAATCGCTAAATACCGTATCAATGGTACGGAGGTACATTGTTGCAGTGACTTGGACTGAATACCCATACGCCTACTGACATTACTTAGGTGCCTGATTATATTGCTGTACCTAATGTGAAGGTGATTGAGGAATGATGCGGTGATACTGAGCCAGAATAAGATTTTGGCGTGAATGGTCGAAACACAAGGAAAGTTATAGTTAGGCAGCATTTCTTAAGGATCTAGCCCATAGGGCCGAAGCCTAGTCCCATGGGAATCCCACGGGAAATGCAACCCGAAGGTCTGACCAAACCAATTTCAGTATACTATAGACACCTATGTTAACAGCCACGATAGTTTAAAGTGGCCAAATTCGGATCTCAAGGGGAACATACAACAACTGCTTGTACAGCATTGTGTTCATGGCGGAGAAATTATATTTAGACATTAGTGCAAGCACGGCTTTGAGAGTGTCTGATCAAATGGCGCGTATGAATGTGTCGAGGCGAGGATATCACTACCGCCTAGCGGACCGCTTTGCCAAAGTTTAGCCCTCTTTGAATTGATGGGTGTATACCATTTTTTCTCCTGTTGGCGACAAGGTAGGCATCTGCTGTTAGCACTAGGATTTGATGTGGCATGGACTCATGTAGCTTTGGCCTGTACCGCCCTTTTTCGTAAGACATCTGGTACGCAAAGTCGCCTTATTCTGCCCTTGTGGATTTTTGCGGTTGGTTCAAGTATTGTAGAGATCTCTATTTCGCGTCAAACATCGAGGTGACAAGGCGTTGATGGAATTGATGACATAAGCGAAGATTTTGATCATAAGAGTAACTTATCTCAATTTCTGCTTTTAATAGACCATCATGAACTGCATGAATCTAGCCTCCCTACTTCCTTTTCCACAGTACTACCCGTTGGACAGAAAGCTAGCCAGGTTCGACTGGAACCTGACCTGATTTTGCGTCTTCACGGTCCGGTACCTCAAAACATCGGTCTGAAACGCGCTAGATCGCATCGCGTTTGACTGTACCAACATAACATCACCATCAGGAATCTAGAATGCAACCAACCTTATCATGCGTAAAATCTCTTCCGGTCGGACATTTGGCAAGTCGGACATTTGGCAATTTGGGCATATCCTGTCTGTTGGCATCTGCCACGTGTTGACTCGGCCATCGTGGCTTCGAATCAGCAAGGGACGTTGAATGCATTCTCACTGAAACGGAGTTAGAGCCTGATACGACGGGCGCTGCACTGGACTGATGCAAGGCCAGATCGGTGTACGAACATAGAGCTCCATAATACAAGGATGACGCGGTGGATCCACTTAAATTGTAGCATCACGACAATCATTTACCCTAAATTGGCATCGCTGCCGAATTATCTTAACTCCGAGCGACGCTAAACTGGGAAAACATCCAACTCGGAGGTCCCGGATACGCGAAGATACGGAGCCTCGGGAATTCCTTGTCTCAAAGTAGTTATCGTCCCTGTTAGGTCTTGGGTTCGTTGTTTCGTACATGTGACGCAGGGGCCTCTGCTCTGAAGAATGCTTAATTAAACTAACTGCTTAGTCAAAGGGCGATAAGTAACTTAGGATCTTTGAGAGGGACGCGTTGACACGCACTATAATTTATAGTGAGTCGGATGTTACTCAGGATCCGTTGCCGATCTTCGGGATGTGAGTCTATTTAAGAACCCTTGTCGATCTCTCTCAATGCATTTGCAACAATCCTTTCGCTCTTCAATTGCACGGTCATTCGTTCATCATGCGTAGCCACGCTCTCCCTATTGCCCTGGGCCTGGCACCCGTCGCTTCTGCCGCTCTCTATGACACCGTCATCGATACCAAGTATGGCCCTGTGAAAGGTTACCCTGCCTTCAACAGCACCAACACTGGCAACATGACGAACTGGAAGGACATCACCGTCTGGAAGGGCATCCCCTTTGCAGCCACTACTGGTGGGGATAACCGCTGGAAGGCCCCCAGCCTGCAAGCGCCTGGACCGATACTTTGGATGCCCGAACCTGGGGCCCTGTCTGCCCTTCTGCTACCACTGGCAACAACGACTACACCATCAACGAAGACTGCCTGAACCTCAACATTTGGTCTCCTGCTCAGAAGACTGATGCTAAGCTTCCTGTGGTCATGTGGAGTTACCCGGCTGAGTCAACTGCTGCCGACGCTCTCTTTGATGGCGGTGGTATGGCGGATAAGGGCATCGTCTTCGTCAACTACAACTACCGTACCGGTCCCTTCGGATGGCTCGCTCACTCTGAGCTCTCTGAGGAGTTTGAGAAGGTTACTGGATCCAATAGTTCTGGTAACTGGGGTATGCTCGATCAGATTGCCGCTCTGAAGTGGATCCATGCCAACATTGCCGACTTTGGTGGTGATCCCGACCACATCACTGTGCAGGGTCAGTCTGCTGGATCAGCTGCTACTCAGCACATCTTGTACAGTGAGCTTACTAAGGACCTGATTGTCGGAGCTATCATTGAGAGTGGTGTCCGTGACCCTCACGACCCTCTTTGCACTAGCCTTGCGGAGGCCTATACCACTCTGGATGACGCTCTGGAGGATGGTGACACTTATCTCTCGAACCTGGGTGTCTCCAGCATTGCGGCGGCTCGTAACCTGACTATGGAGGAGCTGATCAACGGTGCCACTGGCACTACCCGTGAAGATACTATTATGTTCGAGGCTGTTCTCGACTACTACGCTATGCCTGACACCTATCTCAACATTTTGAAGAAGGGACTGGCCCACGATGTCCCTGTGATCACCGGAAACAACAAGGACGAGAACGGTGCCACTTATGGACTTCAGCTCACTCTCGAGGAGTACCTCGAAGACGTCAACGAGACTTACAGCGGTGTCTGGATCGACCGTTTCCTCGAGCTCTACCCTGCCAACAGCTCCACCGCCGCCGGTGCTTATAACTCCATGTTCACCGATCGATCAAAGGTTGGAACTTGGTTCTGGACCCAGCTCTGGTACGAGGCCAAGAGCTCCAAAGTCTGGAACTACTTCTGGGATCACGCTCCTCCTGGCCAGACCTCCGGTGCTTACCACGAATCTGAGATCAACTATGTCCTGAACAACCTCTATGCCACTGACCTGCCTTGGACTGCTGAGGATTACGAGATTGCCAAGAAGATGAACGATTACTGGGCCAACTTCATCAAGACTGGTAACCCCAACGGCGAGGATACCACCGTGGCCTGGCCTGCTGTTAGCTCCAAGAAGCTTGTTCAGCATGTTGGTGATGGATGGGGCCAGATTCCTATTGCCTGGAGCAAGAAGGTTACCCTCTTCAAGGAGTGGTTCGCAACTTTGGTTGCTTACTAGACGATGCCGTATCCTGGTATCACATCAAGGTGTGGTTTGAAGTTCCAGTTGCTTGCTGGACGGCGCTGTATATTATCGTCACATATGCCCCCAGGCGCCTTGAATCCTGTCGCTATGAAGTAGATAGTACATAATTAGTGGATTATAAACTGTTTGAGTAGAGATCCAAGTTTCAGTAACAGTGCGAACACATCCTGAGGTACATGGCTTCCTTTGTTAACAATTTCTTTTGTATTTCTAAGATCAGTCACTTCTGTCCAATATTATACATATCGCTCTGAGGCCCCGGTAACTAGTCCCAGACCTGACCAGTAATTTACCCGCTTAGTATACCTACTAAGTGTCCTTACAATACCAAGTAGATGCAAAAAGACCAAAAAAATTGACCGACGCAGGGGTCGAACCTGCAATCTCTTGATTCGTAGTCAAGCGCCTTGCCATTGGGCCAGCCGGCCTTGTATGAGTGGAGACTGGACCTGTGGATATATATTCTAGGCTCAAAGCGAGCTCGGGTTCCGTGTTCGGGTCCGCAATTTGTGGAGACTGCTACCAGGATCGCCAAGCCATATCTCTTGCAGGGCATCAAGGTTCTCAAAGGTAGATAATTCTCCGCCGGAATTCCGGAATGGAAGTCAATACCTCGGCATCGATAGTCTTATGTATGGACCTTTTGTTTTATTTTTTGTGTTATCTGGGCTATACCCATACTGGCGATCTCGTGCACCGTCAGAAGCTTTAAAATATATAGCAGGGCAACAGACGAAAAAAAAAAAAAAAGAGAAAGGTCTTGTAACATCAAAAACTCTTGAACTCTTTTAAAAAGGGTTAAAACCTTAATTCGAATCAAAGGGCTATTAAGTCCAACAGCCCTAGAGAAATTCTACCTCAAACTTCTAATCTTCTGGGTTGATTCTTCGTCCCCTTACGGGATAGTTGCCGACATTGGACGCCCAACAGGGATATGGTCGCGTGAACGCCACGTTGGCCTCCCTTTCGCCCGGTCAAACCCAGTTGAAAAGCCACGCTCGATTTTTTCCAAGCTTGGAATGTATGGCTTATTCAAAGGGACCTTAAATAGTCTATTTTTCAAGATTGACAATTCCGGAGTTGACCCACCGTCGATTTTCTCAGAGATATTTCCCCCCGTGTTCTTCTTCTATGGGACAGATGTAAAGCTATTAGCAACCCAGCTCAGTCAGAGCGAATATACCGGGTTGGAAGCTCAGGGATAGTGGCGGAGCTAAGGCTTTTGTCGCTGAGTGTCATGCTTTTGATGAGGATAGCTGATGGTGGATCTATCCTCATCGCGGTTGTGCTAGCTTTCCTGGACCTGAGCCCGAAAATCCGTTGCCGCAATGGAATAAAGATATCGTTGTTGAGTGGGCTGAGCTGGCACATGTCACCCGCTTGCAGGTTATAGTATTTGCCGTAGTGTGTCGTGCCGGACGCCGTCGGCCCGACGGGCGCCAGTGTTGATGCGCCTTATACCGCCGTCTGTGTGTCGGTGGCCTGCCATATTCATATCATTGCAAGATCCACCGGGAACTCTCACACATATCGTCATCGACCAATAGATTGGTGTAGTCGGAGTTGATGCCCGGGCTCCAGTATACGAATTGGTACCGGGAGTTCATAGCTGCCTGCGATGCTGACGCAAGGATCACAAATGACCACTGTAGTATATGTGGTGCGCGTCTCTGGTAGGCGGAGAATCTGCCCACCTCGATAACGACACAGTTTGGCAGGATCTGTTTTATGGGGTTAAGGGTCTCAGTGGCGCCAGTGTTGCTATGGGCGATTTTCTAGCAATTGTAGCCAGACACTACTTAGCATTCTCAGACAGGCAGGATGCAGTGTATGACGAGTTGACGTAGCCCGGTAGAGATACCAGTGATGCAGCGGTCGGTCGCAGGTTAGTTGGGTATGAGATTAGCACCCCTAGGATTAGGTCTTCCCCACGTAATCTAGATCCGAAGCAAATATTCCCTCGCTCAAAATCGCTTTCATGGCGTATTGTATGCAGGATCGAGGTGATAGCCCTTAAAGTAAGCACTGGCAAGAGATATGATTGAAGAACCAATCTCCCAGATCCGCCAATTCTGGTGTTCGAAAATGTCATATTGCCCTCTTTTGATTGCGTTTGAGACCGCAGCTGACAGCTAGGATAGGTTTAGCCTAACAAAGAATGAAACTAAAATTTACCAATCAATAGGCATGGGACCAAGACTCAGCGTTGAGGTGCATATCTACTCAATGTAGCACTTTAGGACAAAGCTGAGTTCAAGCTCGCTGTAAGAGAAGTCCAGCCGAAACTTCCATACGGTGGAGAGCAGGGCAAATCGTGCATATTACATGCGACTTTAACTTCCAAGGTTCCAGAAACTACGGTGAGCGATGCCCTAAGCTGTGGAACCACCCAGGTAAACGCCTTGCATAAGAAACCTTATGTGGTTGGTTCGATGGTTCCTCCAGGCACCGGGTTGACTGGATCACCACTTACATTTCCATATATAGGCCACAAAACCTCCACTTGATCACTTGGTGGACATGCGCCCCGTCGATCAGGCGTTCGGAGCCGCATTCTCGGAGGCTGGAATTAACAGCCAAGCGCATATGAGAGGACAGATGCAAGAACTGCCGGGCAAAGCTCCACAGTGCAGGGATCAAACTTCGCCTTCGAGAAAACTTTGGAAAAACGCGTAGGCTAATATGTGGCTCTGAAACGGGGTATATTATCGATCGGCAATGCGAGTATAATGTACTGTACAGTGTATATTGACTTTCCAGAGTGTCCCACTCGAATCTATGAAGCGTAAGATGGTCGCGATTAGTAACTCTCGTCTCTCCATATAACCATGTCATATGCACTCCGTACATATTCGCGATATTGTTCCCCGCAAACGCCAAACCCCGAGACAGCGATAAGCACAGACAAAAGCGCCCGGACCCGATTCTCTGATCCGCGCGCCATCAACACTCGAAAACTCAGAATCCCGCAAATGATCTCAGTGGCGGCGGGAAGAGCCCCGTGGCGCGAGGCATATATCAATATGGCCTAAAGATGGGGCATGGACCGTGTATACTCAACAGTGTGTGAGACGGGAGCGAGCCCATCAGATCAGGCCATGTGAAACGAGGCCCGGAACTGCCTATTTAGGCAAGTTGAGCGACTATCCCCCAGGATTCGGATGTCACCGTGGGGAATGACGTTGCACTTTGCGGCTTTTTGTTTGTGGGGGTGCTATGCCTGTTTAGGGGCTACGAGCCTACGACTACACGGGAGACTGCACAGTCACATTGATTCTGACAAATCTCAGTCGAATCTCAGACCGCGTAGTCAATAGCGATTTGAAATACACGAAATTGCAATTGCATGCCAGACCATAGCAAATCCCGACTTTTCTTAAACAAGATTTCCCAGGATTGATTAGGTTAGCGAAGGTTTACCAAGCCCCCCGAATCAGTGGCTTGACCCATCTAGGCGCCAAGCCAAGTCGCGATTTATCCCGTTCCGATATGAACACCAATTCCTTGTATGACCGGGTTATCTACATCACTTATGGATGTTTTGCATACGCCATGCCGCTACCGCTCTTCCTAGCGACACGGGTCGCCTAACTCCTTGTATTCTTTCCATTTTAGCAACGAAGTCAACACGGATTTTCTCATTGTTTTATTTCCTTTCTTCCTCTTTGTTTGATTTCTTTCATTATCACGGCTTGCCTAAACTGAACTTCAGCGCGTGCCCCACAACTCTCCGCAGAGACAGGGTAATTCCCCAGACCCAGTTTATTTCCCACCTGGACAAAGGAACAAGCGGCTCCACTCCACCAAACTGAAATCTGACAGGCCGAGAGCCGATCGGCGGGCTGAACAACCTGGGGGGTTTTAGTGCGAGCTTGCTAACCCAACCTGGTGAACCCGGACGCCGATATTCCCCGGATTACTGGATTCTGATTGGATCTACGGGCTCGCGTGGCCCGATCCCGTCTAAGAGATTACTCGGGGGCCGTTTACCCCCAGTGCCTTTTGCGCCCTGATGACCCTCGGGTCCAACCATGGCGCGGTCTGGGGACGGTGGAGCCTGTACCATTGGCTCCGACTACTACAGGTTTCTCTGTGTACTGAGGGGAACTCACGGTCCCCCATTGGCATGGCTTTTTAAATTCGGCCAGATCCCCGGACATGTTGATCGTTTTTTTTTTGATCTTTCTCCAGCTTGTCTTTAGATACACTTCTCGGAGGCCTTGTTTTAATCCTCCCTTGGCATCTTTCTAGACATCTTTCCCCCCGACTGGGTCGGTTGTGTATAACTTGGGAGCTCTACAGGCCTATACTATTGATTGGATTGAATCCACATACCGACACCATGCAGACAAAGCGCTTCTTGGGCCTCAATGGCACCAAGCTTCAGATCGCCATCGGTCTGTTGGCAGGCATGGACTTTTTGCTATTCGGTTACGATCAAGGTGTGACTGGTGGTCTTTTGACGCTCCAATCTTTCATCAAATATTTCCCCTCTATCGACACGACTGGAGTTAGCGCAACTAGTTCAGCTTCCACCCGTCAGGGTATCACTGTCGCCGCCTACAATCTCGGATGTTTTGCTGGATCAATCCCGACCATCTGGGTCGGTAACATGCTCGGTCGTCGCAAGGCCATTTTCCTCGGTTCCTTCATCATGGTCATTGGTGCCATTCTGCAATGTACTTCCTACGAGCTCGCACAGCTGATCGTCGGTCGTCTGGTCACTGGTTTCGGAAACGGTATCAACACATCTACCGTGCCCACCTGGCAATCCGAGTGCTGCAAGCCGCATCGCCGTGGCCAGATGGTCATGATCGAGGGTGCAATGATTACCTGCGGTATCACAATTAGTTACTGGGTCGACTTCGGTCTTATGTTCACTGATCCTAGCGAGGTAGCTTGGCGATTCCCTTTGGCATTCCAGATCTTCTTTGCAGCAATTATTCTGGTCTTTGTCATGTTTCTGCCCGAGTCCCCTCGCTGGCTCATTTTGAAGGGTCGGGAGGATGAGGCACGTGAGGTTTTGGCTTGTTTGATGGGTGACGAAACCGATGAGGTTTTTCTCGATACCGAGTTCACAGCGATCAAGGCCACCGTCCTCGAAATGGCCAAGGGTTCGTTCCGCGATATGTTCTCTATGGGTCCGGATCGTCATTTCCATCGTACAATGCTCGCCTATGTCAACCAAATGTTCCAGCAAATCTCGGGTATCAACCTGATCACCTACTACATCCCGACCATTTTGGAAGAACAAATCGGCCTGACTGGCACTATTTCCCGTCTTATTGCAGCCTGCAACGGTACCGAGTACTTCGCCGCATCTTGGGTAGCAGTATTCACTATCGAGAAATTCGGTCGTCGTACCCTGATGATCTTCGGCGCTGTGGGCATGTCTCTCTCTATGGCCGTCCTAGCTATTGCTGAAGCCATTGCCGTGGAAAGCACCGGTCAAAGAAAAACCTCCGCCAGTATCGCCCAAGTCGTCTTCCTCTTTGTTTTCAACACCTTCTTTGCCATTGGCTGGCTTGGTATGACGTGGCTATACCCGGCTGAAATTGTGCCATTGAAGATTCGTGCGCCCGCCAATGCCTTGTCTACTTCCTCGAACTGGATCTGGAACTTCATGGTCGTCATGATTACGCCCGTTGCATTCGCCAATATTGGATACAAGACCTACGTTATCTTCGCTGTCATGTAAGTTTATTTCCTTCTCTCGATGTGAAGATCCAATACTAACCTTAGTAGCAACGCATTCATCGTTCCCGTGGTCTACTTCTGGTTCCCAGAGACAACCAACCGCTCTCTTGAAGAAATGGACTTCCTGTTCCGCAAGTCAAACAACATGTTCGATATCGTCTCCCTCGCACGCAATGAGCCGCATATGTATGGACCGAACGGTGAACTACTCCGCACTCTCGAAGACGTCGAAGATGAGGCTGTTCGCCGTGCTAGCGTGTTGAGTAACCCGGCTAAGACTGCCGAGCGTAGCCATCACGAGCACATGACCGAGATCAAGGATAGTGATGGAGGTAGCAGTGAGGGGAGATAGAGTGGTCTGTCCGCTTAATTATATACCCGTGCTCTTTTTGTCGTGTAGCTTCAATGCTACCGTACACTGTTTATTTGTTTATTGAGCCTTAATGTCCATACATACATTAATTGTTCATATTTTCTCTTCTCTAAGGTACCTTCATCGGTAGTTTAGTAGTTTCGGCTTACTTGATAGAGATCACATCACAATTTATCGACGGGTTACGAACTTTGACCAGAAGACATTGAACTGAGGCCAACAGGCCAATCTAGATAGTGGACCACGTAACACATGAAATCAAAATTGAAATCAAAATAGTTTCTGTATTCATATACGCATCTAAATCCCCACTCAACTCCTCAAATACCAAGATATAATCTAAACAACTTCCTTATGATCAACATCCTCCTTGACCCCATCAACCTTTCTTCCAATCTCCTCATCAAATCTATTGGAAATGACGTTCGTCCGCCACGGTTTAACATCCGCATCAAACACCATATCGATTTCCTCAAGAGTCCGTCCCGCAGTCTCAGGGTAGAGGAAGAAGACATGGAATGTCATGACGAAACAGAAAACAGCGAAGATAATATATGTCCGCCATTGGATGTTGTGGAAGGCTGGCGAGACAAAGTAGGCGAGGGCGAAGTTGAAAATCCAGTTTCCTGATGCCGAGAGGCCGACTCCCTTTGCGCGGTATTTGAGGGGGAACACTTCGGATGCGTAGATCCAAGCTGCGGGTGCCTATAGATTTCATCGTATTAGTTTTGTTTGAAACACGAATTGAGCTTGACGTACCCAGGTGAAGCCGTAGACGGCTGTGAAGATATATGAGAACGCGATCACGGCTTTGCCGGCATCTCCCTTGATTTCCCATGTCAAGTTGGCGTTGCCGTTGACGCTGGACACGGCGTGTCCCTTTGTGGCCATAACGGAGGCGATGATGATGTGGATTGCCATGGCGCTCACTGACCCTACTAGTAGTAGTTGCCTTCGTCCGATGCGGTCGATGACAGGGAGCATGACACCCGTGGTGAAGACGAAAATGACATATTGAATGACGGCCGAGTAGAGCGAAGAGTTACCAGTCTAGTTGAGGTAGGTTAGTATTTGCCTTCATGTGTTCGGTTGGCCTTGAACTCACCATTCCAGCCATTTCAAAGATGTAGACAACATAGTACATCGCCACGTTACCACCGAGCAACTGCTGCCAAACTTGCACACTCACACCGCATAGAGTCCGCTTCCAGATCTTCGGTCCAAACAACGCAAGGAAAGAAACATCCTTCGCTTGGTGCGCTATCCGAGCAGCTTCCTGCACTTCCTCAAATTCGAGCTGTACAGCAGGATCGGTCCGGTCACCGTTGCCATGCAACAAAGCCAAGGTATCCAACGTCTCCTCCCAGCGCTCCTTGCCAGCCAGCCAACGCGGCGACTCAGGGAAAAATAGCAGCGCAATAAAGAGCACAAGACCCGGGACGGCCTGAATACCCCAGCAAATACGGAACGCGGATGGTCCCTCAACACCAACCGCACACCCGTAAGCAATGAGATACATGATTAACATGCCCCACTCGATAGACCATTGCTGCACACCGACAATCCGACCTCTGATTCTTGCAGGTGCAAGCTCAGACATGTAAACCGGTGTTTGAGAAGATGTAATACCAACAGCAAGACCACTGACTACACGTCCAGCGACCAGGTGCGTAACATTTTGTGCACTGCATTGCACCATTGCACCGACGATCCAGATCCAAGATGCGACCATTAGAGAGCGGCGTCGACCGAGGTAATCACATAGCCAGCCTGCTAGTATAGAGCCGGCAAATGAGCCGGCGGACATGGAGGCTGTTATTCCACCTTGGAGGTTTGAGTCGGGGTATCCGAAGTATTCTTTGTAGGCATCTACACCTATCCAGGCGCTCATGGAGCTGTGACTTATCAGCTTTTTTTGTGCTTTTGGTTCTGGTTGCGAGAGACCTACCTGACATCGAAGCCGAAAAGACCTCCACCGAGGGTGCCGAATGCGGCGAGCACTAGTTTGATTTATTGGCATCAGCTGGAATTTCGAATGGCCCACGAAGCGGCCTCAACTTACCGTATATATTAGAAACACGATACATATTGATGACCCGCTATGTATGAAAATCAAGTCAAGAACATGAGTGAAATTCCAGCTTTATACCTTTCACGGGTCCAGGGTCCATGCGCCATTCTCGGGTGGCTCTCGGGGTGGCTTCAGACCCGGCGCTACTCACAAAACCGCCGTAGCGTAATGGTACCACTGTGTTGAACGGGGACATTCTTAATACGGGAGTGATCATCCGGGGTTAATGTGGAGGTGGATCCCGGGGAGAGGAGAGTCGGGGAAGGGCGCTGCGTCATTGGGTGGGGAAATAGTGGTGCGAGCCAGTCGGGATATTTTGTGTGAGAGGGGGTTCGGGTCGGCTGCTGGGTTTTTAACCGATTCTTGTTGCTTTTAACCGGGGTTTTAGCCAGGCCTTGTTTTGATGATCCTGGGCCCTTGGGGCGTAGTCTTTGCACTCGGGTGCTTTATTTCTTGCATTCACTGGGGTTTTGGGTGGTTACGTAGGATTGAAGGTGGTCGGCACGGTTCCAGGATCGGCATGCCGACGTCATGATACCGAGCAGACGAGCTATTTTGCTGAATAAGTCTACTCAAAGCTAATGGATATGTCGGTTACTTGTCACAAAATATGGGGAATCGTTGAATTGGTCTGGAATCGAATTGTGATACTAAACTCGGTTCCTGGGATCCTTGGATCCAAAGCTGATGAGCTCGGGTAAAACAATTTTACCAAGACATTTCTCTGAATTGTATTTTGATTGATTCTAGTTCTAAGACAGACTTGGAAGCATTTCTTGTAAAATGCTCGGGCTGCCCGGTGGTCGTAGTAGTTTTTCCGCATTTCGGGCCGCATTCCCTCCCGATGGCGTGGCGCCACTGAAGGAAATGGCGCACCTGGCTTGATGCCGAGATCTCCGACTGGTCAATGAACGCGTCATGTAATCCCAGTGATTATGTGAAAGACGACAGTACTTGAAGGAACTGCAACATCCTGATTGAAAGCAATAATAAAATTACACTGGTCCTCGGTTAATTTGACGGGCTGCACCGCCGGGCTATTACTAGTTCGGTTGACCCCTCCTTTGGCAAACTTGGTTTGGTATCCATTTAGTCCAACTACCATGGCTTTGGACTCGGGCCTTGGAGGTGGGAAACATAAACATATAGAGATTGATCCTACTGATCGGCCTATCGAGACGGGCTTGAGTAATCCAAATCAACTTTTGCAATGTTAACGTGCATTTCGGATAAAGATAGAGTTGTATCTCCTATTCCATGCTCCGTACATAGACTCGGCAAAGCTCGAATATGGTCCATCGAATAGCGATGTGTTAAAATCCCCGAAGTGAGACTTCATCTGTTGAACAAAATCCTGCTCGGAACGCAATGACTTGTGACGCGAAGGTGAACAGTGGCCATACACTAAAATCCCGTATCATTATCTAGACCAGGACTTGAGAAGAAGCGCCATACGATCCAGCAGACAAAGATCTCTGGTCATAATTTTCTCGAAATCTGTCATGATCTGATCGATCAATGCCCGCTGCGCTCGCACAAATTCATTACGCAAGAATATGTTGTATTCGTCGGTAAGATGCACCCCCTGCTGGACTGAGAGAGTATCGCAATTTTGAGAGTCCATTTCGGCAAACTTCGCGGACGCGAGTCGCGCTTCTCGTATGATCAGTTGGAGTTGTTTCATCTTTCCTTTCAGGACTGTTCGCTCCTGAGAGATGCCTTTGAGCTCCTGGCGAATGTTGTCATGGTTCTCTTCCCGCATCTTTTCAAGATCTGCCCTTGGCGTGGTTGAGGAATCTGGCTGACAGCAGCGAACGGAACGAGGGGCGGACGCATCATAGAACGAACAATCCTTCATTTTTTCTTTCCAGTGACAATTGCCACAAGCGGAGGATCCTGGAGCCTTCACGCAGAGAGCGAATGGTCCATCATTTTGCTGGTAATGCGTACACTCGTCTACCTGAACGGTTCTAACCACTTGGATAGTGGCCGCTTCGACATTGGATATCTCCAGACCGATCTCCCGTGAAAGACTTTCACCGGTCCACATGTTTTGACAGCCAGACCGTAGGTTCAGCTCCTGCCTTGGTGACAGGAGGCGCGACGCAAACACAGCATCTGTCTTCGCAAGTCTGCTTCTAACTTGCACCCACCACGGCGTGCTCAGAATGTAGTTTGCCCATGGTCCAGTCTCTCGCATACTAGTCCCAGTTGGTACCGGGGGGATGGGGTGTGAGTTCGCTTGGCGGTTGGCGATTTGAGCGGATACTGGTCTCTCGCTATTGATCTCGTGTCAGTGTTTACGTCTGATAGCGCAGAATTGAGAAGTTGGGGTATGCTACTCAGACATTGAGGAGATCAAAGTGAGTTTTGGGTCCGAAGAGGAAAAAGAGGCCATGCAGATGAGAAGCTGGAAGATGCATGGAGATAGCGTGTATGGGCAAGATGGGTTGAGGGTAGAGAGGGGGAGAGAGTAAGAGCGTTGAATTTGTGAAGATGAAGATGAAGAGGGTCGAGGACGAATTAGATTGTCCAAAGAGACTAATTTGCATTGAGACATTTCACGCTGGTTACATAAGTAACCTCGTTTAGGATTCTGTGCACCCTTCTTTTCTAACTGCAATTCTCTCCATTTTATCGGACAGAACAGACATTTATATGCTCATGCAGACTGGCGAAAACACACGCCACATATTGCAGCAAGGAAGTATGATGCTCGCTGACTTATAGTGAAACAGCACAAGGGCGGTTCAACATAGCCTTACACGGCTCATAGTCTGCATTTGCGCGAAGATATAGGTTTCCAAGGTTGTTTTTCTCTTCAAACCCAGAGTGGTATTCTGTCGTACTCGAAATAAGTCATTGATGCCTTTCCTGTCTGCATGCGATGTGGGTCCTGGCCCCCAACCCTTTCACTGGAACAATCTACTCAAAGAACTGAGGGTACAATCAAATGCTTCAGGCGAAGAGAGGCATTTCCCTTCCCCTACATCTGAAACACTTCTGTCGTGCGATTTCACATATAAAGCTTCCCTTCAGCCAGACGATCTCACAAAAACTCCCTTAATTAGATTTATTGCGGCTGAAGTGTGACCTGCCCCCCACGGGCCAGTATCAGCGGGGCTTTACTCTGCTATTTTTCTCTTCATACTGATTGTATGGAAATGTCTAGGCCTGATTATGCTGGTCTTCGTTACTGCGACTCATCTACCTCATATATCAGTGCCAACATAATGGATCGATATCTTTAATCGCGATGCGGTGAAGTAGGCCAAAGTGGAGCCGCGTGGGGGCCAGCGCATAAATATATATTCTGCCGACCGAGACGTAATTGTTTTGTCAAGCAGAACAGTGATAGGAATGTTATTGAACTTAGAGATAATCTGGTTTGATTTACCATCTACAAATCTGCTATACAAATCTCTCTGGGGTGTTCAGGGAAACTGATATGCGGGCCAAGTCAGGTCTAAGTGGATTAGGTGGAGTCATTGTTTCCCATGCTGGTAAGGAGTTTCAGCGCCAACCATCGAGGGGATCGCTAACACAAAAAGGCTAGGCCATTGGCGCTTAGAAGAGGACCAACCGCCTCCTTCTCCTCACTTCCGGGCGCGTTCATTATTTTCCCCTTCTTCTCTTAAGCCGCGACGAAATGGCCACACAAACATTGGCCTCAACATGGTCTCCAACAAGCTGCCCAGCATCAACTGATCTTTGGGAGATTTACGTCACCACCAGTGCTGTTTTCTTTCTCCTGGGCCCTCTGATGGCAACCTCCGAGTGCGCACCCTCTGGCTATAACCCGACAGTACCATATTATGCCGCATCCTGTCCGACTGGCTATACTTCCGCCTGTGCAAATGGTCTTGACGATGCGACAACCGTCTGCTGCCCAACGTTAGTCCCTACAATTCTATCCTGTACCCTCATAAGACTGACAGATAGGTGACTAGCGCGCGTGCCATGACATGTGCATCCAGTGCAAAGGTATACAGCTCACTCACCCTAAGCTGCGAAGAGAGGTTTTCGAGCTCGTATACTGCAGAGGTCACCACGACCTCGGTTTTTGTCACAACCGGTGAGACGGGGACTGCAACGGTCGTTTTAACACCTGATTTCGATGCGGTCAACGCGTTTGGACTGGAATACGTTCCGGTGAGTGCTCTGATAATCAGGCTACTGTGGAGTCTGATCTGAGATGCATAACCCTTAGGTGACTTCTACGAGCAGTAGCTCATCCACAGCAGAAGCGACCATAACCTCGACAATCACTTCTTCCTCATCTACAGCGACAGCCACCTCTATAACCCCAACTACTGCGGATAAGACTTCTGGCACCAGCCTTTCTACCGGTGCAATCGTCGGCATTGTAGTCGCAGCTGTCGCTTTCGTTGCCATCATCGCTCTGGTTTGGAATCGCTCAAAGATCACTGCATGGATCCACCGTCATACTGCTCCACAGACAGATCAGAAGGAACGAATAATATATTCAAATTCCTTCCAGGAAGGCTCGGGACAGCAATTTACCGCATATCATACAACAAGCATGGTTCGGCCCACAGAGCTAGACTCAGCATGGGGACCATCGGAGCTGTCATCGACGCCACAGATTGTAGAGAAGGGCTGAGCGGCTGAGCGGTGGCCCACCAGGAAATAGTAATATTATCCATCAATCATTCCCATTCCTTGTTGGCAATGGGAACATACATCATCCCCATCGAGTAATTCTCCCGTCGCTTGGGCCAGTAGCCCTTCGTAATTTGATTTCTTCGTGGTGAAAAAGGCACTAAAAACCATGCCTGTCCATGGCCACCGACCCCAGCACCTCTTTTCCCTATATTTGACTATAGGTTCCCGTAGAAGTGGAAGGTAACGCATTGAATTCATCAGCGTGCCCACTTTCTTGATCGCGGCATCAACCTTGTTCCATTTTGGAAACCGAACCAACGCTGTGGTTGGATCCTGAGCGTTGTTGGCCTAAAAGTCAGGAGGCAGATTGGTACCATTAATGGTTGAGGCCGGAGGTTTAAAGTCGGTATTCGTCTCTAGTCTTGCGTTAGCCTCATAGGAATATTTTAAATGTAATATACCTGCCAAAATCACCTAGAGAGTCAGACATTGCGTCCAAATGCTTGTTGGCAAGGCCGAGGGAGAGTCTGTAATCAAATACATCTTCGTTAGCTTGGTCTCATCTAGTTAGGCTAGAGGCTCCTCTTTGAATACTTCTAGGTGAATGGTGGATCTTCTAGGCAGTAGGAGAAACGTATAAGGTTATGATAAGAGAAGAGCAAGGAAGTAGAGAAGGTCATGAGTAATAGGATAATTTAATCTATAGATGGTTCTTGCAAAGAATCAGTATGTCGTGGACCAGACGCGGTGTATCCTCGACTAGGCACGGGATATGCTTGACCGAACGCATCTAGAGCGGGTAGCAGCACTGTCTCCACATATAGATGTCGAGTCTGTGAAGCTGGTCAATTCCAAACAGCGTACAACCCGGTTATGGGCCACCCCGTCAGCCGATATTGAACATGGTTAGACAAATGCAGTCATTTTGTTCACGTTTCCTTCCGTGGCAAATAATAATCGCTCAACTTCATTTTGAGTTACGTATATTCTTGAAATCTCGCCATGTTTTCTCGAAGCATGATTGGCCAAAGGAGGCACAGGAACACGCCCAAGTGCATGAACCCGTCAATTTAGGCCGCGAACAGAAGGGTGGAATGAAATTTGACTGTATCATCAATCGGTTCTATGAGATCTACTTATCTCTAGTCTATCCGAGCCATTAAACAAAACGCAATAGATACTAAAATAGAACATCAGGGAATAGAAATGAAAATTTACAGCTTGCTCTTGGCCGGCTCGTTCTTGAGAACGTTGTTGTTCCACGGGTATGGGTCAAACACCAGGTCGTTGACCGGGTTCTCCTCGCTGGCGCGGCGGAACAGATCTTCATAGACCTTGCCGTCAGAGCGACCGAGACTGCTGTCCAGCTGCCAGTCGGGAATGGCCCAAGCATCAACCAAGCGAATAGCGTGTGGGCGGACCTCGTCTAATAGCTTCATTACAGCTGTTGTGCGGGTCAGAGTGATCTGTCGCACGGTGACAGCGCCCGAAGAGAAGAATTCGGCGGCTTCGCGCTCAAGGGTGTGGAGAGCGAAGAGACGGAAGAGAGAGTGCATCAGAGACTTGGTGTCTTGGTCCAGGGCTGAGGACAGTTCAGGGGAGGTAACAGCATCGTGGAAGTTCTTCACCACAAGGTACTGAGAGTGAGCGGTCGAAAGGCGCCAGAAGTCAACCAACAGGCTGTTCCATGAACGCTTCTCAGCATCACGGTGTTTCAAAGCCTCGAAAGTCAAGTGGGCTGTACGCCAAGCGAAAGCAGCCACGATATCGGCGTCTTCCTCAAGCACATCGAAAGAGGCACCCTTTTCCCGACGGTCAAGGTAGTTGCGCAAAATGCGGGCAGTATCATTATCAGCAGCCTTGCCAGATAGGCCGGCACGGGCAGATTTAAGCAGCTATGTTAATGTTAGTCTGGATGGCCTGTTAAATGTTTGGAGAGAAGAGTATACTTACGTAACGAGCGACCTGTTGGGTCAACATGTAGTTGTCACCCTCCCAGGTGAGAGTGGGAAGGTAGTCAGAGTACCATGGCCCAATACCACTGTAGCTGCTATAGCCGTGACCACCACATGCGCGACGACACACTTCAAGACCTTCACCGGCGGTGGTACTGGCCAAAGCCTTCAGACCGCAAGAAGTGGCGTGCAGATCTGCCAGCAGGTCGGCACCAGCCCGAAGCTCCTCAGGGCCAGCTCCACGAGAATCCTGACCCGGCGAAGCGGCTGCCTTCATGCGCTTTTGGTTCTCCTGGTACAGACGCATCATACCACGACCAGTGAAATGCAGAGCATACATAGATGCCAACAGTGGCAACAGACGGATCTGCACCATCTTGTAGTTGAGGACTTGGTTTTCACCAGCGTGGGGCTCTGCATCACGGTCCTGGAATTGTCTGCGAACAGCGGCGTACCGTGTCGCAATAGTAACACCGCGGGCCAGGACACCACCGGCTTGAAGAACAATGTTGGAGCGAACCCAGGTCAGGGTGCCGTATACCAAACTTGGCACAGCAGGGCGGGCATATTTGTTGGTCTCCTTGTCAATGCTTGAGAAGCGGGCCAGCATGTTGACGTGGGGAACCTTGACGTTGTTGAACAGCAGGAAGCCGTTGTCCATAGTGTTGTAGCCGAACTTGGGACCGATGTCGCCCACGTACACGTTCTCCAGCGGTTGGTGAGTTTTGAGATCACGCACTTGTACCACGAACGGGTGAGGACCGAAGTTCTTTCCGCCAATGAACAGCTGTGCCATCACGACGGCATGGTTGGCGGTGCGGCCCAAGGAGCCAATCCACCACTTGGAGGCAGTCAGGGTTGGGGAGGTGATGGTGAAGGTCTTATCATCGGGGTTCCAGGTGGCGGTGGTCTCAAGACCACGGACGTTAGATCCGTGGCCCAACTCTGTCTGAGCATAGCAACCGATGATCTCGTATTTTTCGGCACGTTCGAGGAAAAGCTTGTGTTGCTCGGGGGTACCTTGTTCGCGGAGGGTCACCTAGACGAGTCGCGAGTTAGCCATATTCTGAGTTTTAGAGGATTCAGAACATACCAGGAACATGGTCGCATGGAGGCCATATGGTGTGGGCTCACCAATGAGATCATTGGCGGTATGAAGCTCCTCCGTGGTCCATTTCTCCTGTTCGGCCAGCTGTTGCAAGCGCTTGGCCTTGGCCAAAGATCGCTGCAGACGCTCCACGCGACCAAGAGAGTGGTTTTGGGATTTGTCAAAGACCTTCTCCGGCTGTACGATAGCCAAGATCTTTTGTGTCCTTTGCAAGGCTTCCTTGGTGTGGAGCAGCTCGGACAGTTTCTCGACGTCGACGTTGGATTGGGCCCGCTCTTCGGCGAGCAGCTCGGAACCCTGCGGGCCCGAAGGCTTCAGAGCCTTGACCCAGTCAGGTGGTGGGGACGGCATAGTGAGGAATATGGGGAGTATTGGAGAAACAGGAGGTGGATAGAACAAAAGAAAAAATCTGGGGGAAGAGGTTATAACTACGGGGCCCCGGGAATTGCGGACTGGAAGAGCGACGCAGGGCCGAGGGACCAGGGTGGCCCAATCCGGTAAGTGCCTCGGCTTAAATTTGACCAATCAGTGGCTTGGCCGAAGATCACCGACCTGCCGACTCTATGTATTCAGTTGGGTCCTGTGAGCTGATTGAACATTTAAATCAAAAGTTACTCATATTTTATAATTGTCCAAATAGTCAATGCCTATTTACTCTCATCGTCGCCCTGTTTAGGTATTTTGTGGGGGAAGCCGAGTGGGTGTCGGCTGGGTCCATCCCGGGGTCAGCTTACGTTGGCGTCACCGAAGTCGGTTGTTAGTGTAGCGGGGACCATCACCCGATCAGTTACGGCTATGGCCGGTGTCGCGCCATGTTTAAGCCCCTCTGGGAGGGACGCCACAACATAAATTTACCTCGGTATATAAGGGCAGAGTAACCGCTGCGGTTACCGCATATATTCTTGCCTTGTCCAATTGGTTTGTCACGTACGTTTCCCACACTTCGTACCAACCGGCTCGGCCCCGGCTAAACACCGCAACCTTGGAATTTGTGAGAAAGAAATCGATATAAACAAGAACATCATGCTAAAATATTCGACTGCGTTGGTCTTATACAACAGAGGAGTATGAAATAAGACAACCATCTGGGCACCTTGGACATGCATACCCCTGTCATCGGGCAAGCGGCTCGCCGATCGGATCAGATAAGAGATCGATCCCGATTTCACATGTTCACATGTCAAATAATCCTTTCCTTGTGAAAAGACACGAGCTTGTCACTTTCTCGACCTCGTGAGAATCATTGTGTGTTTTGTTTCGAAACCCGCGGTAGTCCAAGCCAGGCCAGAAAAATTGCTCCTGACAGAGCGATAATGAACGGCTGGAGGACACTCACGCCCTTGGCCTGGGCCAGTGCGCCCACCGCAAAGGGGAGGATGGCGGCTCCAGATCCTCCAAAGGCCGCTGCAAAACCAATCGAACTGACATGTAAGTGCTGAGGAAGCAGCTTGGTCATCATGATGATAGCACCTGGGAACAGTGGACCGAGAAAGAAGCCCTGCATTGAAACCGCCACAGCTGATGCATAGAATTGAGGCACAAGCCACAGAACTAGGCTGAATGCGATCGAGGAGATAATATAACCCTAAGCTCACGTCAGATATGGTCTAATATATGGATTGGTTCAAAACGAGGTTTAATCTCACCGCGATCGCCAACTTCTCGCCCAGTCTCGGAGTTACAAATCCCAAGACAATCCGACCCACGGTTATTCCCAGCCAAAATCCGGTCGCCGTCATACCACTGGCAAAAGCGCTGCCATGTCGAACACGGATCATAAATGTGACGATCCAGCCACCCAATGCAACTTCGACGCCAACATAGCCGAGCAAGAACAAAGAACATAGCCAAGTGACTCGTGCAGAAGGCTTTCGGAAAAGCGCACTCCTCAAGCCACCCTTATTATCACCAAGTGCATGTCCGTTCGTAGCTCGGAATTCTGCACCGGTAGATTTCCAGAAGCACATTCCGCACGCCACGACTTCGATGACTGCACAACCTACCTGAGGGGAATCAATGCATGAATATTCACAGCCAAAGAGAATTCGAACTTACCATGATGTAATAGAAGTAGAACCATGACAAATGGGCTTCTGTAATCATCGAAGTCGCTGCCAATGGACTTAAAACAGCACCGACGCCATAGATCCCATGAAGGATTCCTAGAAGTTCGTTCGCATTGGCCATATTTCCAATCCATGCATTCCATGCTGCATCTTGAATGCCGTTTCCAAACCCAGCAAATATGAACGAGATAACCAGGACAGGGTACGGCGGATGCACACAGTTAATGATATAAGCCAGGAGGTGACACCCCGGTCCAATGATTGCTGGGCCACGACGACCGAGAGAAGTATGGATGCGCTGGTTGAGAAAAGCAGCAAGTGTATAGCCGACTAGCGGCGACAGGAAAACAAGCGACACTACTGTGTAGCTTAGATTATAATATGTCTCGAGCTGTGGATAATCAGCACGAGTCTGAGCTGCGACCTTGAGGATTTAATCTCACATATGGAATCAATGCCTGGCTTAGTTAGAATGGATTTATCTTTGGCCGTGGATTTCATTTCTTTAAACTTACACCGTACGCAGCATCATTAGCACCCATCACTAGAAAACTCCAAAATGTCGAAAAAGATCGATAAATATTGATCCGTGGAGAGTTCCATTTCTCCAAAGCTGGAAACGCGCCCGGTGGATCATCTGAGGAATCTATTGTAAGCTGCTCGCTCCGTGGCAGCGCCTCGAGGGTAATGTGATCCGCCTCGTTTGTCTGTTCCTGCACTACACATGTTGATGCCATGATGAATATGGTATTTTTCTGACGGCCGCTCAGCGCGAGTTCTCCGATGTCGAGTAACAATCTTGGAAAATTTCGAATATATATGGAGAATCCATACCTGGCCAAGACTGATCCAGATCAAACACGAGGTCATGTCGCCACTTGCATCTCCAGTGCGGAGGTGCTTGGCGTCGGAGGGGTTCCCCGGTCGCGGGTGAATGGGGTCAATGCCCGGCAGAACTTCGGGATGTAACATTCTGTACTCAGCAAAATGTGTGTCCTTTATATTGGTGCGCTATATTTCAAAACAATTAATATATTCCATTGGCAGATGGAAAGTTGAACTTGGAAGGTGATCAGGTCTGGTAGTTCTGGACGACAAACAGTATTAACAAGTCAATATACACTAAGCGCGGGGTTAAGTAAACAAATAGTCTATAACTCTGGAGAATGTTATGTGATCGCGTAAGCAGAAGCACCATCCTCTCTCAGACTGGCTAAACTTCACATACCAAACTCGTTTGACCATCCAGCCATGATTCTCGGCTAAAAGAATCACATACAATGTGATTCTGATATGGTGGATTTGAGAATTTCATTGCAGATTAAGTTCAGCTTCACCGTATTAAGATCTGATCTAACCATCATAGTGGGGAGAGATAGAGAGTGCAAGGTCACCGACCTACGATACAGATGCACCTCGAGAAGTTTTATACTATTTTACTTCTTGACTACGCGATGGACGACGTGATGACTCTATCTTCCGACCGAAGGGCCTCCTACACTTCTCGTTATTTCACCATGAGACAATCAAGACAGAATCTGCTACTATATTGATGATAGTAATACGAGATTATGCAAGAAGATTTGTTGATCATCGATGCGTAGGACTGGAAGATATGACAAGGATGTCAGCGCTTGGCGCTGGTCGAGTGTTAAAGGGAGAGAGAAATGCACACGCTGTAGGACTACCAGTACAAGGAACAACGAACAGACAGAAAGTCCGATGGTGTTATGGTGGTATGGAAAACAAGAGGAAGAAAGCGCTGATTTACATGGACTTTGTGGCACCTTATCTCCAGGTTCTGACAATGGGAATTAGGCTGGGAAAGGAGAAAAGTATAGGGCATTGAGCTTAGCTACAGCGCAATTATGCATAATCGCTGGTAAGATCGTGTAAAATGCTGGTTTTTAGCTACACAGGTCCTGTTGATGTGATCTGCAATCAATCAGGGCTTTAGGGAAACACTGCATCGATTCCTTCAGATCCGTACCCACAATATGGCCCCCAGCTTTACATAGCCAAGACTTTTTAATTGGTCGGCATGATTAAGGTGGGTCACAATCTTCGGATCGAGAACTTGTCTCCCACCAATGTCAGGCCTCGAGGCCGATGGCGATATTGTGGACACAACTCCAGATAGTCAAGGTCTCTGCGGCTTATCCGGAACAAAGCGGTCGGGCTGGGACTGGAAGATTGGTATATTCTGTTGAATTCAATCCCATTTGTATGACGTCAACACTGTAATGAGCTCATTCTAATGCGTGAGCTCCTCAATTCTGGGAAACAAAATGGCGTAAATGAACTGTGACTACACGAATGGGATCAGAAAGGAATGCTTTTGATTAATGACGACTGACAAGTGTTTTGTTAGCTTTCTTGCTAGGAGTTCCCTAGGCCAACCACGGCGATTTGACGTGCGACTGCATTCAAACTTTATTTAGCTACAAGAAGCTTCATTACTTGGTACTGCAAAAATATCGCTTATTTTAATTCTCCCTGCTTACTTGGTCTGAAAACATCTGTGGTCAACATGATCTGGACTCTGACCTTCAATTTGACTGTGGGGATGTGCATCCCTATTTTTCGGTAGTATCACTCAATCCAAATAATCAAGTTTGGCGATCTGCTGCGATCAGTTTCGCAATTTGAAATTTCATTTTTCAAGCCAGCCTCCAGACCAATGTCTCCCACTAGACGTGGGAGCTTGGATAGCCAGAGCTCACGAGTTAGCTACCGGAGCGTCGAAATACCAGACTCCGAGCGTGCCAACAGACATGATGAACAGTCGGATATTGCTTGGCAAGGCAGAAGCCCGCGTGGTACATCGCGATCACGGCTCCCCCGGGTACATTTTGGATCAGAATCAATGAAACCAAACGCCAACACAGATACAGCTCCGCAGGTTGGTCAGTCATCATACGATTATCAATCACCCAATATTCCCGAGCCTCCCTCTACTGGTCATATGCCGTTCAATGATGAGAGTTCGCAGAGTGAAAATACTCTGGGCCAGTGGGAGAAGTCCTCTCCGGAGCCAGAACATACCATCCAGCCGAATCCCTCAGCGCATCACTTGCAGAAGAACAGTGGGCACTCAATATTAAGGAAAATTAGCTGCCTGATTGCCCGCCTGTACAAGCCGTCCCCAGGTTATCATGGCGCATCAAATCAGAGTGAGCCTGAGAGTGAAGATCTCTCTGCTAGTTTACAGGCGCATCAATTGGTTCGGGGATTGGTTTACGATCAATCTGATGAACACCGCACAGCTCGCTCACAGGCAAATGCAATGCCAGAACCTGTGACACAGCGTCGTGAAAGCGAGGGAGGAGTTCTGGCTCAATTGCTCAAACTCTATGGAGGCTTGGATCCACCGACCCGCGATACACGGCCGCACAGCAATGTTTTACCGGCAGTAGGGACACCCAGTACCCCCTTCGGTGGAAGCAGGTCAAGCAGAAAGAAAATGCCAAAATGGTACGAGAAGCCACAGAATATGCCTATGGATATGACGACCAATAGTGCAGGCGCTTCAGGTTGGAACAGCCCCATGGCATCCAGAGAGATGCTCAGTGCTACCCCCAGACGGGCACATAGATTTGGCCGCCATATGCGGTTAGAGGACGAGATTCGCGTGACAATTCATATTGCCGATATCATCTCCCGCCAGAGGTATATTATTCAACTCTGCAAGGCTTTCATGATGTTTGGGGCTCCAATGCATCGGTTAGAAGAGCACATGCAGAAGACTGCGTTTGTTCTCGATGTGGATAGTCAATTTCTCTACGTGCCGGGCTGTATGATCATGTCCTTCGATGATCCAACAACGCGGACGACGGAGGTGAAGTTGGTGCGTGTGGCTCAAGGTATTGATCTCGGACTTCTAGCCGACACCCACGATGTATACAAAAACGTGGTTCACGATGTGATGGGGGTGGAAGAGGCGACTGGCGAGCTTGAAGAGATCATGAATAGGAAATCTCGGTATAACAAATGGATTATCGTGATGGTCTATGGATTAGCTTCCGCAATGGTTGGCCCCTTCGCATTCAACGCCCGTCCCATCGACATGCCGATTATCTTCTTCAACGGCGCCCTCCTTGGCATCCTACAACATGTTCTCTCTCCGCGATCTGTGCTATATTCCAATGTCTTTGAAGTGACCGCTTCTGTTTTGACGTCATTCATCGCAAGAGGTTTAGGAAGTATCGACTGGACCACATCTAGTGGAAACCGCGAGCGTCTGTTCTGCTTTTCTGCTGTTGCCCAATCGTCTATTGCCCTGATTCTCCCGGGATATACTGTGCTCAGCAGTAGCCTGGAGCTCCAATCACATCAGCTTGTGGCTGGATCGATCCGTATGGTATACGCTTTCATATACTCACTTTTCCTTGGCTACGGGATTACCGTCGGCACAACAATTTATGGACTGATCGACCCCAACGCCACGTCTGATTTGACTTGTCCAAGTACTGGAGCATGGGGTAACGAATACGTACAGCGATTTCCGTTCGTGGCGGCATTCGTATTATGTTTGTTGGTAATCAACCAGGGCCGGTGGAAACAAGCACCAGTCATGTTACTCATCGCAGAATCTGGCTATATTGTCACCTATTTTGTGACTCAGCGCATCGGTACCAGCTCCCAAGTCGCCAACACCGTCGGTGCATTCACTATTGGCATGATGGGCAATCTTTATAGCCGCCTATGGCATGGCCATGCAGCAACATCTATATTACCGGGAATTTTCGTTCTAGTGCCGTCGGGCCTGGCGGCATCGGGACCTATCATCAGTGGCATCAAATCTGCTGACGAGACCCGGGATAATGTATCCAGTGCTATAAACCATACTAGCTACACATTTTACTCCGTGGAATCTTCCCAGCTCTACACGGCGGATCTGGGATTTGGAATGGTGGAGGTATCAATTGGCATCACCGTGGGACTGTTCATCGCAGCTCTGTTGACCTATCCGTTTGGGAAGAGACGGAGTGGATTGTTCAGCTTTTAGGTTTCTTGAAATCAGTGTGGTATATCTAGATTTCTTGAAAAACAATTAGAGAGCCCTAATTTCAGTTAAACTGCAGCATATCAGGACTGTATCGTTTGGGAATTTCAGACTGCGTTCGAAAGACATAAAGACCCCTTAATCACCCACCATGACTACAATAATGGTAAAAGTAGGGCAAGCTTTCGGAAATAGCCTAGGTCAAGAGAATTGAGACAAATTGTTTATCAAGCTCACCGTTCGAGCGATCGACAAAGCACTCAACGTGGGTAATTGGTTCGAGGAGGAGACCGAATTGACGGCGAGTGAACACCTAAACCGTGTTTGTCGTGGATGGCGTGGCCAAGGACGAAGTCGAAAAGAACGGGACATGCAGAAGTAATAGCGGCAAGATGAACGCAAACAGGACGCCAAAGATAATTCACTCCTGCGATATCTGACGATGTTGAACTACCCGAGACGCAGATTCCACGAATCAAAAGAGTCGAGGTGATCGCTAGTGTCAGGTGAAATACGGCAAGCAGCGAGCATGCATATGAACACAGGCTATGTGCACTATATTCCTCACGAATATTTGTTGTAATGGACGAGTATCAAGTCAAGTAAGGTTGACGCAACCGTATCTGTCATCGGTCATGTGGCTGCTGTCTTGTAGATAGACCGGGGCTTCTCCCTCTTCTCCTGTTCTTCTCTCCAGCCCCCAACAATACAGCTGATTGTACCTTACATTCAGCGGCATTGATCAACTAATGTTGCCTAGGTCGCTCTTGGCCCCGATTGATGGACAAAAGACCTTTCAGAGGGATCCCACCACGAAAGCGAATGGGAGTCATTGATGTCTAGAATTACAGAATCAGTTTGTTGTTCATATATTGATTCCTGCATTTATCTATACGAAAGTCTTGTCAGTGAATTCAAATTTATACTCGTAGTCAGATAAACATACTGCAAATGATATCTGTTTACCGAATCTAATACATATTCTGGTGCTTCCCATAGCGAGATGATTGATTTGTCGGACCTTAAGGAGGTACTTGAGAAGTCCTTCAATCACAATAAAATACCGAATTATTGTTGGAAAAGTTCTGCCGCAGATCTGGGCGGCGTTCGGTTAGTTCCCGAAAAGCGTGTACGTGGTTCTTCCCCGCGTTTTACACGATCGTTGCCTACAACTTAGCTACCCCACAACCCCAGATCTTAAGATCTTCACAACCTGCAGCAATACTACAATGGAAGGAAAATGTCTGAACGACCCCTCTCCAATCATCCGAGAGCAACGTATGCATGGTATAGGCCCCGTCAAACGAAAGAGAAAGATATCTGAGTCTCTGCAACGGGCATCTGTGGCTTGCGTACCTTGTCAAGAGAAGAAAACAAGGGCAAGGGCATTGAATCGAATCGCATGTAATTGAAATGGCCCGCTGACAGTTGACTTCTAGTGCGATAGGCAATATACCAACCTTCATGACTCCTGCCTCCAATGTCTGCAGGCTGAAAGAACGTGTATTTTCCGCTCCGACGATGGCCGAAAAAGGTATGGGAGAAACAGCACGTCCATAAAGTATTGGAAACGCAGCAAGATAACACTGCCTCCAATGTAGGCAACCGACCAAAGCATATCTGAGTCAATTTCAAAATCGCATCGCCGCACTGGAAGAGCAGCAAAAGAAAGCATGGAGTCAGATGTGGGAGAAAATACAAGACTCTCGTGTCAATTTGGACTACTTCGATCCTGGTCTTATGTACACCAGAGACCCTACCCGCCCAAGTACTGGCTCAGCATTTGGTTCTGAAGCAGGCTCATCACCTTACAACAGAAGCTCGATGATTAGGCTCGTTCTGAATAAGAGATCCATCAGTCGAGATTTTGGATTGGCTCAGAGAAAGCTAGCCCGCGACGCGGCTTACTCACCCGCAGAGACGGAGTCCTCTGTCGACTACGTTGCCTCGGACGAAACAGGACAGTTTCATTATTTTGGATACACCTCTAATCTCCAGGTCGTCGCTCGTTTCCCGCCCCCTCCTTCTCCATGTTCAGAATTGCCCGTTCCTAGAGACAGCAGTCTAGAAACTCTGGCGGACTCGGAGAGCATTAAGTCACAACTCTTAGATTTATATTTTACGTATCAGAACCCCGCAACGCTCATTATTGAGCACGAAACATTCATGAAGCACTACCAACAAGGCCGGAGATCATCTTATTATTCTACATTTCTTCTCAACTGCATTCTTCTCCGAGGTATTCGACTGAGCGATGACCCACGGGTAAAGAGCCTCGATAATATTTATCTACAAAGGGCCAAGGTGGAACTCCTTGGGGAGCTGGAGAACCCAAATATTGCTACTATCCAGGCCTTGTGCCTTTTTGGTCACTACCAGGGGAGCTGGGGGAACGATCGTGCTTGTTGGTTGTATCCAGGTACGGTGTCCACGATCGCCTCAGCAATTTGACCCCCCATTAGCTCACTGCAATTAGGCATCGCTTATCGTCTCCTATTTGATCTGGGGTTGCACCAGGATTGCCAGGATCTCATCCGTGCTGGCTTCCTCACATCCAGCGAAAGAAAGGCTCGCCATGCCACACTTTGGGGTTGTTACGTGTCTGATAAGTATGCCTCTATGACCTCATTCCTTTGAAATATGCAGACTAATAGTTTTGCAGGTTGTATTGTATATACCAAGGCAGGCCGTCTGCTGTAAAACTTCAAGATATCGCGATCCCACGACCGTCTCTAGAGACTGTCGGCCCGCAGTGGGAAACCCTCGACGCTTGGGTCGATCTGGCGAGTGTTTTAGACGAGATAATCACCACATTTAACAAATTTCCCCACAAAAAGGCAGATTCAAACTGGTTAACCGCCACGAGCAACCGTCTCTTTGAATGGTTGGAACATCTCCCAACACACCTACAATGGAATGCACAGGCCATCCCAGGGATATGCGCACTCCATATGCAATTTTTATCCGTGATTATTGTTCTACATCGCCCATTTGCCGTGTACAAACCCAGAGACGACCAGTCGAGGAGTACAGATCATTCTCCATCTACCCTTGCACGTCGGCTGTGTACTGAAAATGCGATCCGCATTTCCAAGCTTCTACTGGCATTCAAGAACAATTACGGGACGAAAAAGATCTTCTCGACCGTATGCCATATGGTGCTTACAGCAGCACTGAGTTTAATTTCGGAGATTTCCACAGAAAAGGGCGATAATAAAAGAGACGAGGAGCGAAAATGGCTGCGGGTCTGTTTTAGCATCCTAGAGGAATTATCTAGCACATTTACAGTTATTGGGCGGAACTTGAAAATTCTGACGGAGATTGTTGAGTCGTGCGGATATGAGGAACTCGCAATCAATCAGGCTAAAGGTGCAGATGGAAAGGAAACCCTACAGGAAAAAGAATTATTTGGGGAGAATGAAATCGCGACAGAATTCCAGACGGATAGTGACATACACAGGGCCAATGACCTCCTTAGCTCTTTTGGGGGGAGCCTTCCATTCAGCCTCGATTTGGCAGATGGAATGATGTATTTGGACCCAGTGCCAGATGGGTTTGCCATGGACTTTTCACCTCCTGTGGGTGTTGGGGGCTATAATGGGATGGATTTATTTGGGTTTCCCAGTGCCGAGAATTTATAATGCACTGCGTGATCAATATGAATGTGGCCCTTCTACCATAGTGAATGGGCGCTGTAGAATGCAACCACCATTTTTTTTAAAAAAAAAGCTAGAGACAGTAGTCAACTGAATTGAAACACACAATCTGTGATTGATTTATTAGGGGAGATGTTGAATATTGTACTTGATTTGAAATACGGCTAATAGGATTGTAAAATGTCATTTGGTCCATAATATGTACACAGATCAATCTTATATCTATTCATCAATAATTTAAAAGATTACTGGTAACCACCATCGACGTTGATCACCTAGGACTCGTTAGTAGATGCCAAGTGGAACAGGAAAGGAGACATACACTCGACGTCACATAGCTAGACACGTTGCTAAGGAGGAACAGGATAGTCCTGGCAACTTCCTCTGGCTGGGCGACTCGCTTGAGGGCTGTTCGTGTGATGAGTCGGTCATTGACCTGCTGAACAGGTCCTAAGGCCGCCATCAGCGCGGTATCAACCACGCCCCTGGATTCATGTCAGTTATATCACCCCAGATAATAGGCAAGGTGCACTTACGGCGCGACAGCATTAACTCTAATATTGCGTGTTCCTGCCTCCTGTGCAGCGCACTTTGTCAAAGAGATCACACCCCATTTTGCCGTTCCGTATGGCGCATTCCAGGGGGTTCCTCTCTGACCTGCAATGCTAGCGACATTCACAATACTTCCCCCATCCTTGATGTGACGTAACTCTGCCTTGAGACTATTCTTAATGCCAGTCAGATTGACATGCATCATGGCATCCCAGTCCTCGTCTGTTATGGTGTCAAGGGCATAGGCCTTTCCTGACCATCCCTGTGTGCCAATCCACCCGGCTAGGTTGGCCGCGCCATCGATGCCGTTGAATTTTTCCGCTGTCGCCTTCACAGCGGCCTCGACAGTGGTAGAATCTGACACATCGACTTGGAAGCCCAGTGCCTCAACGCCTAGTCGAGTCACTTCGTCGAGCACCTCCTGTGGGAATCGCAGGTCGAGGAGTCCCAGGTTGGCACCTTGGCGGGCGAGAAGGAGGGCAGTGGCGCGTCCTTGCCCGGCTGCTGCGCCGGTGATGACGAACGTTTTTCCTTTTAAGTCGCTGTATGACATATTGTTTGTTTTAGGGTGATGTTAGGTCTTGATAGATTGGGTTGATAGTAGAATTGCGGTTTATGATCGAGTTCTGGATGGCAGGCTGTATTTAATGCTGTTCCCCCCTACATGATGGCAAGTCACCCCGCTCTACATCTTTCGCACTCCATCCGAGTCCTACACAATCATGCATGTGCTTTACGATGAAATTAGCCGAGCAGTATGCCTGGAGTGGTGTAGGTGTTCGGAACCGGAATGTATCTTAGTCTAAAATCTTTCCGAGAAAGCTCCCCGCGGAACGACAATGAACAACTCTACATCTCCAACTGCAGGTATTCAAGTCAATCAACGGAGTTGACCCGGTGTTGAATACAACCACTAGATAGAATAGCCGAATTATGGCGAGATAATTGGTTTGTCTGCTAAGAAGGTGGGGTGATGTAGTTGCAGAGTACATACTTGGGTTATATATAATTGAGCCCCGGGTAGCAAAACCAATAACATACCTACCTGATCTTATTCTCAACCTTGGAATGACCTGAGAAATTCTTTCTAAATCTGATTCACTAAAACCCCAATAACCATGGCAATCCAACACGATGGCAAAAGCCAGGGACACCCCGATCTCCCCCCGGTCGCAGTCAAACCTATTGAATCCACTGAGGCCTATCGCACCAAATGCCCTGTCGCATACGAACTCTCGAAACTGCCTTTCAACCACCCCCGCCGATTAAAGGTGATTGTCGTTGGAGCGGGCATCAGTGGCCTGTCATTGGCACATGCAGTTGAAACGCAACAACTCAAAAATGTCGAGCTGGTGATTCTTGAAAAGAATGCTGGCATAGGCGGGACATGGTACGAGAACCGGTATCCGGGGTGTGCCTGTGATATTCCGGCGCATAATTACCAGGTATGTGTTCTTAGGTGTTTACAATGATTTATTCTAATGTATTACAGTTTACTTGGGCCCCCAACCCGAAAACATCGTCATTTTACATTACTGCTCCCGAGATTCTCGAGTATCTGGAAGACGTAGCAGACAAGTTCCATCTGACGAAATACATCCACACACACCGAAAAGTGACCGAGTCTCGTTGGCTGGCCGATAAACAGGTATGGCAGGTTACCAGCAAACGGACAGACGGCCGGCGGACTGTCGTCTCCACTGCCAATGGCACAACGGAGGGAGAAGTCGGAGAGGATATTGTGGAAGAGTGCGACGTGTTTATCAATGCTAGTGGCTTCTTCAACAACTGGCGTTGGCCTGATGTCCCTGGACGCGAGGAATTTCGTGGGGTGATGGCACACAGCGCAAATTACAACCCAGACGTGAGCCTGCGAGGGAAACGCGTGGCGGTGATTGGCAATGGCAGTAGCGGGATTCAAGTGACCGCTGCGGTCCAGAAGGTCGCCAGCCATATGTCGGTGTATCTTCGGAACCCGACCTGGGTCACTGGAAACATGGCCTCTCGCTTCATTCCCGCAGGCCAGACAAACCTTGTTTTCGACCAGGAGCAGAAGAAGAAATGGGCATCCAACCCCAAGGAATACCTACAGTATCGCAAGGACGTAGAGAAGGAACTCAACATTCGGTTCCCTCTCTTCATTCGAGATACTGCTGCCCAGGCAGGGGCCCGGGACTTTACCGAGAAGGCTATGAAGTCTAAGTTGGAGCAGCGACCTGATTTGATTGAGCGGATGCTGCCGTCATATGCAGTGGGTTGCCGTCGTCCTACCCCCGGGGCTGGCTATCTCGAAGCCTTATGTGAAAACAACACCGAGGTCGTCTGGGGCGAGCTAGATCGTTTCACGGAGAAAGGAATTCGCTCTGCAGATGGGACGGAGCGCGAATTTGATGTGATTATCGCGGCCACCGGATTTGATACTTCATTTGTCCCCAGATGGCCCATCATCGGAGACAAGGGCATCAACCTGCAGGACGAATGGCAGAAGAATCCAGCCTGTTACCTCTCGGCTCTGGCCCAGGATATGCCCAACTACTTTGTGTATCTAGGCCCAGGGAGCCCGGTTGGACATGGCAGTCTCATCACCTCCATCGAGCGCATTACGCTCTACATCTCGGATATGATCACGAAACTGCAGCGGGAGAATTACTCATCCTTCCAACTCAAACCCAGGAAGGCTTTGTCATATCAGTCGCAGATGCTAACCTGGCTGGATAAGACTGTCTGGGGTGATAATTGCCAGAGCTCGTTCAAGAACGGCACAGTCACTGGGGGGCTCCATGCCTTCCACCCCGGGTCTCGTCTGCATTACTTTGAGCTGTTAAGGAGACACAGATATGAAGATTTCGACTGGACTTCGCGGTGTAATGACACGGATCTCGAATACGCTTGGTTCAACAATGGGTTCCTGTCCCATGAGTTGAATCCTGTGGAGGGTGAAGAGGTGGATCCTACGTAAGTTCTACTTTATATCCATCTACAGGCTAGCAACATGCACTAACTATCTTTAGGTGGTACTTGAACCAGGAGGAAGATATCCTCACCAGCTTCGTAAACGCTGAGGCTTTCTGAGGCTAAAATAGCTCTTATTGATGTAGTATCTGCTAGCTACCTCTATTTCATTCATTTGGCTCTCTAAATTATATCTATCTCCATAATTTCCAGTTTACAGTCTACAGTATTGAGCTTATATTCATTTATTCATCGATATACTTCATAACCAGTAACCCTACGGGCCCTTCTGATCAAGTTACCAAGGATGTGCTGGGCCCCCAGCCACGCCATACTAGTAAAACCTGCTTCCCCGCATTTTGAATATTCGGCCACCGCCCCTTCTTTTCTCCCCGCACTTCCGGATATGTAGACCGGAATCAAAATCATCTCACTTCCAATTTCAGAGTGAAGACGCTAGCTACATGCATACACATCATGAGGGCTTGAAATAGACTATCTTATTTAGGTTATCTCCAAGTACCTACCAAACCACCATAAACAACACTTCTCTCCACAACTTTTGACATTACTAACATGGCTGACGCTACGCCCCCTCATCGTCACAGATTGGACACCCAGCGGAATCGTCGAGCCAAATACATTCCACGCGCATGGTACGGGCATTATCCAAATGTGCAGCAAGTATGCCTAGACTAAGAGATACGAACAGCCAGGATTGTCAAAGGCGGAAAGTGCGAGTACGATGAAATACCCCTTTGTATCCGGATCAACTGAACTGGAACAATCAACTGATGGTTTTCAAAGTGCTCTGGAAACGAGCCATGTCTGAACTGCAGCGCTCGTGATGTCCCATGTCGGTATCTGCCCAAGATGGATGGCCTCAGGAGGCGTCCCGGGAAAGCGCGAGATTCCAGGCAAGTGTCTTCTCCCTTCATTCTCGGTTAGTAGTCTTTTTTTAACAAAAGAACAACCAGCACTCGACAAGCGAATACCCGTGAACCAGACAAAGAAGATACTGATATTTTGCGCAATACATCAAACAGGGACAAAAATGCTCTTTCATGGAGGGAGAGACTCTCACAGCTCGAGGTAGAAATCCAAAAGGTCACCCAGAAAAACACATCTCCTCCAACATCCGATCTCTGGTCCGAAATCGAGGTTTCATCTGGCGTGTTACTTGCAGATTCCCACTCCCCTCACTCTTTGGAGAACCAATCCGATCTGTACAAATGCGACATCCAGGTTCCCCCGAATGTATCCATTGCCTCGCAGCTAGCGGTATTGAGAGCCACCATGCGTGTCCCATCAGCCTCTCAACAGCCTCCACTAGACCGCGCAGCACGATTGGCAAGGCCGTTTCCCCTTGAACTGCCCCGCCCACGACGTGTTCGCTATCTTCTTGATGTCTACTTCCGCGATATGGACTCATTTTTCCCATTCTTGGATCGCGAGGATTTGAATAAGCGCGTATTCAGTGCATTACATCTGCTCGGCTATTCTGACCACGCAACTATTGTTGATGTCGATGAAGACAATCACATATTACTGGCAGTATTGTGCAACGTTCTTATGATAGGCGAGTCCCTGGATCCCGATGAGCAGAGCGAGGATACGCGACCGGGGTGGACGATATACATGCGAGGTAGAAAGCTTCTGCAGCACTTCTCCTCTCTCCGGGGTTCCAACCTGGACTTTATCTGCTATCATACGCTTTCCACATTATACCTACTTCATTCCGAACTGATTCAACCCGCTGCACAGGCAATTCGAACGGCCATCCAAATGGCCATGTTTTCCCGGCTTAATGATCAGTCTGTGTGGGCAGCTTGCTCGGCAGAGCAAGTCAATGCCCGAAAGCGATTATGGTGGACCATCTACTTTCTTGATAGGCGCATCTCACAGCGGAGTGGGATGCCGTACACAATCCACGATCGCGATGTCGCAGTTGATGAATTTAAACCCAGACGGAATATGGCGGCGATGGACTCTACCGACTCATCGAAGGATGGAGACTATGTGCAGGCATTGATTGATCTTGGTCGTACATGGGGATATATCTGGGATACGTTATTTGCAGCGTCTGCTGCCAGTCAAGTGGACTGTGACGAGATCGAATTGGCTGATGCTCGAATTCTTCTCATCCGACGACATTTGCCATCTCAGCTCAGCTGGAGTACAGATCATCTGGTCTCTACGTACCTAGCACAGAATGAAGCGGAGCCTCAGATTCGTCGCCGTCTAGCGATGTTCGTGGTAAGTCTGGACTAGAATACATACATACTTAAAAAGCGACTAACTCATGCAGCGAATCAATCTCTCACGGATGATCATTCGCCAAAATCCACTATGGCCATGCCAAGGAAACAGCGATATGAAGCATTTTTGCGCCCTGGTCGCACATGATACCATCGAAGCCATCGCCCTCTACATTTGGGCATGTGGACGAGTGCGACCATCCGGCTTCTTTTTCATCACCTCCCTTGTTGAATGCATGTACCATCTTATGTCTGCACTGCAGGATCCAGCCCTCAAAGCGGACCACGAGACTGCCTTGGAAGCATTTCGGATTGCCGATCAAGTGCTAGAGGATCTATCAAAGACGCTAAGTTCTGCCAGCCGGGCGCGTGCAGCGATTCAGTCCATTATTAATCCTACTGGAGGGGCCCCGGCCAATAACGAACGAACAGAATCGTTGCAACCTGATAACGATTCCCATAGCCCAGGGGGTAGTCAACACACAGCAGCCAGCTCGCCTAGGAATGACGAGGCCAATGAGGCCGGGCCAGGGAATGTATCAACTGCTCATCCTGCGCAGGGACAAATTGTCCGTAACGATGTGCAATTTCTCAGAGGCTTAGCAGATAGTTACCGTGATTTGGATTGTGGTACTTTTGCATTACTACAATAATTTATTTTATGCTATCCCATCATTCTATCTGTATTTTCAAGTCTTTGTGTTGCATAAATCTGCTCTATTCAATCATTTGCCTGATACCGGGTTTACTCCGATGATCACTCCACACTAAGAACGTCTCCTCCTATTGGATTACTGAGTACTAGAAGTGACGTAACGATTGTTCCGGTCGCACCCCTCTCGGCATTCGGAATTGAAAACAAGGAATTGATGCCGTATTCATTCCGTTCGGAAAATACTTCGGACGTTTCCCCCGCATTAGGAACAGTTGACCCAACGTCCATTCGAGCGGAGATGTAATGAATTGAATAGATATTTATGCGCATCAAGTTATGTACGACTATGCACATGTGAAGGTATTAAAATATGAGGAATTTGCCATTAAATTGCCAATTATTGCTTCATTGACATCCCAATAAGTGAACAGGCTGTATCCAACATGGGTCTTTTAACGCAAGCCTATCTTTTGCTGCGGGAGAATTGGATCTTCCTTGTCCTTGCCCCAATCGCATTCCGTCTCCTCTACAACAAATACGGGCATGGATTGTCCAAGATTCCTGGTCCCTTCTGGGCCTCGATATCAGACATCTGGCTTTTAGTGCATTATACCCGACGAAAAGGACTTACAGAGCGCCAGATGCATGAGAGATACAACAGTCCTCTGCTACGCCTGGGACCAAACACTGTCTCGGTTTCGGATCCAGAGGCAATTCGTGTCATCTATGGATGGAAGCCTGTCCTAAAGAAGGTAATTATCCTTGCTAATATTATTGAATCGGATTGATTTTAATGGCATCGATAGAGTCGGTTGTACATCTCCCAGCAAGTCACCACCGAGCATGGAAATGTCTTGGGTACCCTTTCGTCAACTCGAGATGAGGACTGGCATTCCAAGCTGCGACGACCCGTAGCCAACGCCTATGCACTGAGTACGCTGGTAGAATACGAGCCACTTGTGGATTCAACAACGCGTACATTTGTACGAGAGGTCACGGAGCGTTTCGTCAAGACGGGCAAAGAATGTCCGTTATCAGACTGGCTGCAGATGTATGCCTTTGATATCATGTCAGTAAAACTTACCATCTCCTTTGTGAAATATTGGGTGGCAGCTAAACCTGGATAGTGGCGAACTCACCTTTAGCAAACGATTTGGATTCCTCGAATCTGGAAAAGACCTGAACGACATGATGTACCATACCGGACGAGCAATGGACTACATTGGTATTGTATGTGCTTTGCCCTTCCATAGCGAACCTCACTGACCTTTGAGCAGATCGGCCAAATCCCACTGCTGGACGAGTATCTCCGTCTCAAAGGCTTCGGACATATCTTACGGAAATTACGCAAAACTAATGCCCAGATGAAGTTTACCGTGGCCCAGATCGGCGAACATATTACCTCAAAAGATAAATCTCGACCAGACTTCCTGAGTCGCTTCCTCCAAGCCCGCGAGAAGTACCCTGGTATTATGACGGATGGCCAATTGGCAATGTATACGAACACAAACGTTGGTGCTGGCTCAGATACAACTGCTATCGCACTGCGAGAGATTATCTACCGACTTCTCACGCATCCTGGGAGCAAGGAAAGATTCATTTCTGAACTGCGAACGGTATTACAGGAGCGGAATGCAGAGGATGCCGACCTCCCCGTGACATGGGCCGAAAGTCACAAGATGCCGTACTTTCAGGACTTTGTGAAAGAGTGTCTGCGATTATGTCCAGCACTAGGACAGATAATTCCACGGGATGTTCCAGAGGGTGGTCTGACGCTGTGTGGGCAGTATCTACCCGAGGGCACCGTGGTTGGGTGCAACGCATGGACCGTTCATCGGGATGAGGAAGTCTTTGGTCCCGCGGCAAGCGAATTCAGACCTGAACGATGGGCGGAAGCCAGCCCCGAGAAGCGCAGGAATATGGATAACTCGTTTTTTACGTTTGGGGGTGGGCCGCGGGTGTGCATTGGTAAAAATATCGCCATGCTCGAGATTAATAAGTTTGTCCCGGAGATCTTTCGACGGTTTGAGGTTGAGATCGTCGATCCAAATCGTTATCAACGGTTACCGGGTTGGTTGGTTGTGCAAAAGGGGCTGGATGTCGTGTTGAAAGAGAGGAAGATGGGGCTTTCAAGTTAGAGTATTCACCGCAATAACATCAAGTACTTGAATCATTGGTCGACATGAGTAGAAGTGAAGCCCTGGTGTGTCTAACTATATTGGGAGTGTGGATGATCTAGGTGAGAATCCGCACCCACTTCTCATCTCTACCTCCACAGTCTCCAAACTTCACCCATATCACCCTCACTCACTACAAGGTCAGATTCAACGCCATTTTGGAGCTCAGGCTGCATTTAGAACCGACTGCGCCCTATCCGTGGCTAATTTGCGGCCAGTAATCGAGTGGGGTGAGAAGGGTGAGTGCGCAATAGACAGCGTGAAAATCCTGGTTCAGGACGTAGGCAATGTCGAAGGGATCATTGGTGGTGACAGCGCATTTGAGGACATCGATCTTCTGGTCAAGGATAGATTCCCAGGTATGGTGGGCAATAGCAAGAGCAGAGCCAGTCATGATGACTTTGCTAGAAAACTTAGTGGAGTAACAATAGCCCAGCTGACGTTGCGAGCAGGAAGTGCGAGGACCCCAGTTAATCTTTGGAAGGTACAGCACAGACGCAGAGATCAAGTTGAAAATCATTTGAAGGGTGTTCTCGGCCTTAAGTAGTGCCGCGCCAATGTGTCATACCGCGAAAATGACTCCTCCGACGCAAGGGTTGGCGGCTGCAAGATTCCAGTTAGGATGAACGTGCTGCTGCACGCTTCATCGTAGTCCGAATAATCTTTATTCCTCTTTGATGTACTGTATATTCGCAGGCAATCCAGACTCTCCACCCCGCGATTTACCGAGCAATCAGACCCGTTCCGAGATGGATCATAAAACAAGGCCGTCCTTTTATTCACTGCGATAATCAACATTGGAAACAATTGGATTGTGATGAAGATCGCCCGAGGCGTCTTATAACTGGGTGGTGGAGGTTATTGGAGATCGCATCTGGGACACCGAGGTTTTCCGAAACTAAGAAACCTGCTTTGGTGCGGGGATCGACACAAATCGATCGGCAAATCTGTCGATCAATGAACTATCGAAAGCCACTACAGTCCACCCGGGTTCTCGTCATATATACAGACATATGCAAGGGGGCTGGTCTCCATCGATGCTGAGCCATCCGTATCTTGTTAGCCGGTAAATGCGTTTCCTGGGCAAAGAGTCATATAATCTTGTGTAGGTTCGGCCAATTGGTCCGCTGCATCGTTTTCGAAATTTCTCACTGCGGAATGAAGCGGTAGGGTCCACTTAATCCTCGATCGATAATCTCTTCGCACAGTAATATTGCAAATAAGTTTTACCACCACACATGCGTTACCTCGGTTTTGCTCCTCAAAACAATTGCCTAGATATAATTTCTATCAATTTTCGCTATATCACCGAAGGTGACTAATCTCCCTTTTACAGATTGAGCCCCCAGATAAAAAAGCACTATCATGTGTATGTCTACACAAGAAAATGTCCCTGTCGATCGAGGACTGTGAGATGACGTCCTCGGCATGCAAGGGCGCCGATCTCGATCAATTTCGTCCGCCGGTATATTATAAATACCATGCCCTTTCACCTCACCTTGTCTATGCAGACTGCTCCCATTCTTCGTTGTAAATTCTTCACGTCTTATCGCCTATCCACCAAAATATACTGCTCAAATTTGCAATCATGAAGCTTTTCCATTATGTCTGTGTGATGACGAGTATTCTGGCTGCTTCCACGCAAGGTAAATCGTTCATACATTTCCGAAGACCATGTTGATCTGATTCATACGTGTAGCCGATTTCCTCCTGCCCATCGAGGATGCTTTTGCTATAAGTGGCCGTGGAGTCTCTGTTACTGGGAAAGTGGAACGTGGTTCTGTGAAGATGGGAGACGAAGTCGAGATCGTTGGTTATCGTTCCTTTCGTTCGGTTTGTGCAGATGTCGAAAATTTCAATAAGGTTCAGGGTCAAGTCACCGCTACCGCTGGTGATCAAGTCGGGGTGTTGCTCAGGGGAATAAAGCGCGAAGATGTCGAGCGCGGTCAGGTAATGGCCACTCCTGGATCTATAAAAGCATACCAGAGCTTTGAAGCTAGTGTGCACCTCTTCGACCAGGAGGACGGCGGTGCTACTATTGTTAAGAACTCTTCGATAAGATTGCAGATCCGTACCGCCTCGCTATCAGGCCGTGTGCAACCGACAGGGGATGCTGATAAGATCAAACCGGGAGAAACAACTCATGCAAAGATTATTCTTGTTAATCCAGTGGCCCTGGAGGAGGGCCAAGAGGTGCTTGTGCTGAACAGGAATGGGAAAAAGATTGGAACTGCAACTGTATCTATGCCCCTGGATTCGTGATTCTTAATAAGATGATCGATCTCTTTTCTTTTCTACCTTGGTTTTTACTCTCTACTGCAATCACTATTCGCTATACTAAAACAAGACCTCGGGGGCGGTGTATCTAATAACAGGAAGGCCATCCTTTCGCCCCCAGGAACCACAGCAAGTGAAAAGTGACGTGCCACGTTGTCCGTTGTAGAGTTCAGTGCGCATGGCTTGCGAATGTCGTTCTCCGGTGAGGCTTTTCTAATTCGTAGTTATACATGCCTTGGGGTCCCATGGCAAATTATGTACTCAAATATACCAGCCTTTGACTTGCATTTTTTAGTCTAAGGGCGTGCAGTGCTATTACTTTCCAGTGATGTTGTATCTGGGAAACACGCTCGAGGTTTGGGAAAAGAAGTAAGAACTAGCGAGATGAAAATCGCCAAGTGTTACTAAGAGCATCCTACTGATATGTGACTTGATGCATTTAGCAGAAGATCTTATCCCGCCTGGTTCGCGCGGGAATTCATCGGCAAATCCACTGGGCTGGTATAGATCCAAGCATACTCACTGATGGGTTGGGAACGCGGTGGCATTACCCTGATGGGCTTTCAATGAAGCCCTACTCCTCTTGCAAGTTCACCCATTCTTTCATCACGGGCACTATCGACATAATGACCAAACATGCGATCGACTATAAGGATATAGCCGCCATTACTTGTATTGGTAGTGAGGGGTCAAGAATTACTACACAGCCAGAGTTCGCGAAGTGGAACCCACAGACAACGCCTAAATGCTTGTTTAACGCTCCTTATACAATCTCGACTGCTGAAATCAGCGGAAATGTGTTTCCTTCGGACTTTGAAGATTGGAAAAGGTATAGGTCGGACAAACGTGAGCTGATGAAGAAAATCGTCATCACCCATGATTATTCGATCTCACATTCTGAGGGTTTCTCAGTTAGAGTACATCTTCAAAATGGAAAATCCCTCCGACAAACCGCTCCTTTTGTTAAAGAACTTACCCTTAATCGCATGACTTGTGATGATCTGAACGCAAAGTTCTGGAAGTGCGTGCCATATTCTGCAGTTCCTTTATCCGGGGCAAAGCTCTGCAGATTGATTGAACTGTGCAAAGGTCTTGATAACGTATCAGATGTACGAGACTTGGTGGATGCTCTGACACCATAGCCTCTTAGTATCATGATTTACTCAGAGCATTTGTGTCATTCGCTTGGCTCTGCAATCTTAATTATCATAAAACGGTCAATTAACAAGCAATACTGGGACACCACCGTTGCAGAAGAAAGAGCAAAAGGTGGAGATAAATGATGACATCCACATACATTGAGACCTTGTCCTATCTTGCTTGGTCTGTAAACCGGGTCACTGATGTGGTACTATTCCCCCTCCATCTTACATAATACATGCTTCACTAGTTGAAGTTTGCCAAATGAATGGAATCAATACAATATGGTACGTAGTGTAATGTTCAGTAGCAACAAGGAGGTGAAAAGGATCTACGAAGATGAAGTCTAAATAGTGGCAGGATGAAAATGACTAGTCCCAATCAGGACATCAACATGAAGGCATGGACGTCTTGTTTGTATGCTTGGTATAGACATATCCAATACTAATGAAACGCCGTATGTACCCATTTGTTGCCTATTTGTCCCTGAAGTACTGGTATTTCTCCTTGTATTGAATACATATCAAATTGGTAATGGACAAGTCGAGTTAAAGCACATGCGGGCAGAAACTGTATTTCTCGCATGCTTTTTAGGTGGCTAATTGATCCTTTAAAGCAAGCCCTTCTTGAGTCTGCTCATGTCCTTTTCTTACTGGATCCTTTCGTTTCTTGTCATCCTCCACCTGCTCTTCTTTGACGGACCTCCATTCAATGAAAACTGCCCCAACAATGGTCAAGCAAGTCAAGGACAGTGCCAGATAATAGACATCAACGATAGCATCATTGTATGCAGTTCTCACACCTATTGCATATTCATCAGGGATAATGTTGTTGATCCCCAGAGCACCATTATCCAAGACTGTTTTTGGGTCTAGACCCGGCACTTGCTTGGTCAGATTGCGTGTCAGTCGATTCGTGAACATGTTCTGCGCGATCGAAAGAGCCACGATTCCACCAAGCTCTTGAGTGAAACTAAGAACTACTAGTGCAGTGGCGACTGCAGAATCTGGAAGGACTGTTTGCACAGCAGTGTAGGGCTGTTGGAATGCTAGGCCAACGCCGATCCCATATAGGATTTGATATGAGACCCACTCGGTAGGTGGAGTAGTCGGGGAAAACGTGGTGTAGAGGCCTGTGGCGATGGCCATAAGAACACTACCTAGGACCATTATAGGAGTATAATAACCGATTGCTGTGGTTAAAGGTCCTGCAGCAAGAATGGCGAGAGCGAAGGGGACCGCAGTAGGGAGGTACATAAGACCTGATTCAAAGGTAGTGGCGTTTCGGATTGCTTGGAAATAAATAGGCAGCTGTTTGTGAATCAATTAGTCTTTTTGCGTTCCAGTTATATGGATGATTATGAACGGCAAGAGGAAGCATACTCACATAATAGGCGGTCACAAAAAGGGCCGCGGAGTTACAAAAAGTGAACATAGCGCCAAGGGCGACCGACCGCTGACACATAAGTTTCAAAGGGAACATGCTATCCTCTCCACTTCGGGATTCGACCGCAAGGAATACCAGTAATAGAACTCCAGCTAGGACCCAAAGAAGGATGATTCTCCAGTTATCCCATGTATATTCTGTTCCCGCCCATTCCAAAGCAAGGATGATAGAAATTGCCAACGGGACAAAGATTATGAATCCCACAATATCTAGCTTTTTCAGCTTCTCCTTGTTTGGTAGATCGACATGCTCCGGGCGTTGTATATTTTGGACAAAAAAGAGCACGGATAGAATGACCGCAACACCCACAGGAATTATGATATAGAAGCTGATTCTCCATTCCGAGTATCGAGCCACTGCACCACTGATTACTGGGCCGAATGCTAGTGCAATACACTCAATACCGCCCGACACAGCAGTGTAAATCGGTCGATGTTTAAGCGAGGTCGTGTTAGCGACAATACTTTGAATAAAACTTAGCTCATGAGTACGATTGAGAGTTCTTTGTGAGGACTTACATGCTGCTACCAGCAAAGACGCCAGCTGATCCTAAACCACTCAAGGCACGTCCGACTATGAATGCTGTTGAATTAGGCGCCGATGCAGCTACTGTAGAGCCAATGACGAAAACGAAGAAGGATACCATATAGGCAAGCTTCATAGAGTAAAAAGAATATATCTGGCCATAGATGAGGACAGTGGAGCAAAACGCTAGCAGACTAAGGGTTTGTACATATTAGCATCGATCGAGGGCTGGATCGACAAAATTAGGAACCGTAGGAAAGACCTACTATGAAGTTCCATACCACCCTATCTGATTCAGGCTGCCGAATTCGTCTGAAATCACAGAAGTGAGTGTCGCCACGCAACTTGAGTCCTGAATGCCCACCAAGAGGCCAAAGTCAGTAAATCAGCCGGGCGGGGTTGCGGCAGTTGGAGGGGAAAACATGATATTGCGTACATATCCAACAAAGAAATCTCCAGCGACAATTGAAAGGAAAAGAACAGCGAACCTCACACCCTTCGGGCGCGAGGGATTTTCAACCTCACCGCCGCTATCCACGGTCGGGTTGGTAGGGGCTTCCTTCTCGGTGGCGGTTATCGTGTTCATTGTGGCCTGATCGATGCGAGCGAGAAGGGTGACGAGGTCATACTTCTCAGGGATATTAGGGGCCATCACATATGGTTGGTTCAAAAATAACAGCCCAGGGAGAAGAAGAGCTCGCGAAAAAAGAGGAGCGAATTCTCCAATGATTACCTTACCCCGGTCAAAAGATCACCTGACTAGAGTAGTTCGTACAACTTGAACATAAAATTTCGGCTTAATGCCTTGATTGTCCTCCCGGAACCCGCCTGACTATAACGCGTAACCCGGGGTTTGAGGGCTCTTCGGAGTCCGGCGGCCGAGCTGATATACCCTGCATAGAGTAGAACTTTCGAAAACCAAAAGACCCGCCATTCATGCATGATATATGAAATTGCCCCTCAACCGACGGGGTTGCTATCCTAAGAAAACACGAAGACACATTTTCCACCGTATTCCGTATGCTGGTTCAATGCCATGCCCTATCTAAACTGGATTTCCCCGTTCTACGTTGTATGAGTCAGTACTATTGCAGGCGCCCACCCGACGAAAAATTGCGTTGTTACCGGATCTTCCCACGAATTGATGGGGCATTTTTTATAATTCGGATGCGGGCCATCAATTGGCTTTAATTGGCAGACTAAGTACTGCCAGCGTAGGTAGGTTCGGCCAAGTGAAAAAACTGGCCAAAAGGCCTAGGTGGTATATCCGCAACTTACCACACCACACCACCATACTTTGATATATACATAGTTAAAACATGTTCAAGGTTATTGGTAGATATTTTTCGCACAAACAATTCTCTTAATACTCTATATAACATCCCTTGGCCACACGTACGACACCTAAATTTCTTCGCATGTTCAAAATTAGGCGAGTGAGGGGACCTATCATCGGCCTACTCTTGCGCGCCCGAACTCATGTGAATTCTGAAGTTATTCTGCTAAACTATAAACCGAGGTCAACAAAATAGAACTAGATTTGTTTTAAGTGCTTCGAGATAAGAGCTAGTAGTGTAGCCTCTCCCCGAACGCGAGTCTTGGTCCCTTTATCACTAACTCCGTCCGTCCACCAAGCTAATTTCCCGCCTAGAATATTTACGAAATATCCTTAATAACACCTTATGGTCGATAACATTTCTTATTAGGTCTTGAGTTCGAATTGGAACACCCAATAGGCGCTAGAATTCGAAGTTCGCTAGATCGAGTTATGATCAAGAAGTATCCATTTTTTCAACCTGATATCGTCAATTTGCATCAATAAATCGCAATACGCGAATGAGAGGAGATTCAATGGTGTAGAGTTGAGCACGCTCCGATAACGAGCGTTACCGAATTGATACGCCTTAATACAATATCGCCACGAATAATTCTTACTGAAGAATAACCAATCTGGTGAGATTTAAATATCAACCTTGTCATGGTTGTCAAATCGCTCATGTAGCTATCCATACCAAAGGTTCACAAAAGCAAAAACATACAACAGTCAGGATTCGCATGTGGTCACCCACCATACTACTAACTAACCGACGTGTGGCTTAAGTACGGCTGAGCGGACGGGAAGCCCTGTTCTCCACACCCTATGGTCGTATGTACATGGTAGTGTACTAATGAGGTTTATAAGAGTGGCTATTTGTTAAACGGGAAGACAATATACCCCTTTCACGTCTTTCCTTGTATATAGGCCAATAAAGCCAGGCAAAACCCACAGATGAGCAATATCTCCAGTCATCATATAAAATTTGCCATTAGTCAAGTTCGCCTTCCTCGTACAGCCTATCCATCTCCTTGAGACAATCGGGCGTTTATTGAACAATCATTATTACTCCTACAGCACAAAGCAACCATACGAAGCGCCATTGCAGGTATTAAGTAGTATACTGAATAATTTGTTATTTTCTGCTGTGTATCGCGCGGAACAGGTGTTCGGGGCTTGCTCTTGACATGACTCACTATCCTCTACCTGATCCGGTTAGTGTACGGAAATGTCCGCATCGTTAAGCAAGAAAGCTTGACGTTGACAAATTCGATGGCCTCGACATCTTCAATTTGATGCAGAATATGGCTGACTTATGATTGAAAATGGGGTTTCTTTCACTAATAGATCGTAGCAGTGGAACAGCTAATCAGTTTTAAACGAACTGCAGTAAGTTTTGCAGCTCGGCCAAAAAGACCAAGTTTCGACATCAATTTCGACATCAAGGATCCACTATTGATCTCAATTCAGCCTGGATCGATATATAGCGTAGTGTGGCTTGCCCAGAAAATCTTTTAATTTCCTGGATAACGTCCTTGTCAGCGTTGTTTTTGTCTCTACAAAAATCTCTCTTTTAATCAGATTGTGTCTTTGCATACTCTACTGAACCCATGGGACCATCTGGGATGTGGGTTTCGGGATAATGCATCCAGTCCTATAAACCATACTAGCTACACGGTTTTCTCCGTGGAACCTCCCAGGCTCTACACGGCGGATCTGGGATTTGGCATGGTGGAGGTATCAATTGGCATCACCGTGGGACTATCCATCGCAGCTCTAATGATCCATCCATTTGGAAAAAGGCGGAGTGGACTGTTCGCTTTTAGGTTGCTTGAATTGTTGTGTTGTACGGCGTGCTATACATAGATTTCGTGAAAATGCTTTGAAAGAGCAGTATTTCAGTTATATTGCAACATAATAGGACCATATCGTCGGAGAATACTCATATCGCATTCAAGGAAGCACAACTACATCTGGACCCTTGGTTACCCGCACATCACCAAGTGTGCGGTCAACGAGTGTTCCCTCTTCAATAATTAGTCATAAAAGCTCCTGGGCCAAATATTTCCAGCTAATAGACAGACAGATTCTCAATTAATGCCTTACGCGATGTAGATCTTCACCTGCGTTGAGTGAGCTAAGCCCGACACGACGACCACAACCAAATGCTGCGAAAGAGGACATCATACACTTGCTTTGTCACAAGATCAGACAGGAAATTCACGTCAATTAATGAGGTTGGTCTGATAACATTCAAGGTCGGCTGACGGATATGGATACACCGATAATCCTTGCATTCGCTGCCAATAGTATCAACATTCAGGAGGCCTATGTGCCAGCTAGGGGAGCGCATGAAAGAGACCAGGTGTTATATATAATCTTGAAAATGTACAATAAGTCAAGTAAGTAAGATAGATGGCATGCGGAAAGGTTGATTGATGTGAAGATAAACCATCGGATTCAGTAGTAACTAAGCTAACGAATAAGACTCGAGTCGATTAGTGCAGGCGTAAAAGGATAAAGCTATGCACAAGTGCTAACAAGAGGAGCCAGGCAAGATAGACATACACAAAGAAAGGTAAGGCTTTAAAAAAGGTGCCGAGAACATAAGCTAGGCTTCGTGGACATGAATATGACAAGGTCACTGCTTGAAATCGCGGTGGCCGTGACCAAGACCCTTGCTGATACTCTCCCGTTCCCTCTCAATACAGCCATCAACGAATTTCAAAGGAAGAGTTGCGAGCCTTGGATCCTTTCCATTCAAAACACTGGTTGCCATCAGGAGATATTGCGTAATGAACACTGCCCAAATTTCTTGTTCTAAGTCACCTTCCATTAATGGAAGTGGGTAATAAGGGTCATTCTCGAAAAAGGACATCACTAGATGCGATACCAGTGCCTCGGGGCTCGCCAGGGCGACGGATTCGTCCCAGATATTGCACAAGTTGAAGTCTAGCATCCATAAACGGGTCGTACGCTGCTTGAAATTGACGGACATCACAGACTCGATATCTGTGTGGGGAGACAGTGCTGCTACCTGCTCTGGGGACATATTCAAAATACATGAAACATCCCGTGCGTAGGTTGTATAGCCTTCACTTCCTAAAACAAATTCAATATCATACCCGTCAACATGGGCAGCCCAGTGGACGAGAGCTAAAGCTTCACCCATAGCACCAGCCATCTTGTTGATAGGAAGGCCGAGGTCAATCATCTGATCAAGATGTAAATTGAAGTTTCGCAGGGTGAAGTTTGCAGATGGAGTAGTTGTGACTCGACGGCGACCGAGGTAAACCCGAGCAAGACAGTCACGATTAGTCGGATTGGCAGCCACAAGGGTTCGAGATGGTTCTGGGCAGTACTTGTTGATGAGGGCCTCACGAGCAATTTTTGGTAAAGGGAGGATCCGCTGAGAGATCAATGTCATTGCCGGGAACGACACTGATTCATGCGTAGTGCTGAAAAACAGTTTATTTTCGTTCCACCACAGGTCGTTTTCCTTTGTAACATAAGAGAACAGCTGTGGAACGCGGCATTCCATTGGTTGGCTAGAGTTCTGATGCTTTTGGAAAGCCTGGCTGATACTGTAATGGGCCTTGAAATCGGCCCAAAGGCTGTCTTCATATGACGTCTTGGCAATTTTCAGAACATACCCTCGGCCAGGCCTTTCAAAGACAAGGCCACACTGGCCAAAGCCAATGGCACGATATCCGACGGAGCTCAGGAGCTGTTGGCTCTGCTGGAGACGGGCGAAAGAGGAGGCGGTACTCGTAAACGACTCTGGGGTGAGCACTTTCAGGAGGATGTTCTCCGGGGAAATGGTGGCATCGAGAAGATTCAGCTCTCGAACGACCATATCATTGTGCTCCCTGTCCAACAGAGTGGAGAGGTGATTGGTCAGGTTCATATCGGCAACAAAGGAGGAACTTGCAGAAACAGGGGACTCCTCGCTGGAGGACTGCTTAGAACGACGAAGACGATCCATCACGCGTGGTTCAAAAAGACACAATGATACTGTGAAGATGTGTTACCAGATGACAGAATGAACAGAATGGGAGGTTGAAAGCCAGGGGAGGAAGGTCTGGGTTAATAATTGCCTTAATCCGGTCCGATTCTGTAGTCCGATTCTGTATTTGGCAGAGGCGCACGAGACCATGGACACAGTCATATCCAGATACAATAAAGTTTACACGGTTGGAACACGTATTGGCTACAATATGGAATTGCTTTTCACACAACGGATTCAGTAGAGAGCAGCGTTAAGATTCATATGGCTTCCATGTAGACAAAATTGAAAACAAAATCCCAAGGCCATCCCGGGGATCACCTTGGTTAAGATCAAACTAAGATTACGGTAGGCTCATGGTATGATCACGGTTTCCTTAGAGCCGCTTCCTCACTGTGCACCTTCCATGGTTAGGTTCATTCTACTAGACCCTTTTCAGGCCATTTCATCTACCCTTATCTCTTCATCCTTCATCTTTCACCCTTCATTTTTCAACCATCGTCCTTCACTATCATCCACTTTGACACTGTGACCTACAAGATGTTCCCATCTACCCCAGATCTTTCGTCTCCGGCTCCCGGGCAGTTGGTGACTCCGCCGCCTTCTCCGAGGAAGCGACGACGCGTCCTGAGGGATTCTGAAGAGACCAGTGGCAGCATGAGTCTCGAAAGATACATCCTAGCCAGCGATCCTTATCGCAGCACAAGCCTACCCGACCCTCCTCCATACCCACTCTGCATTACTTTTTCTCCCGAGTTGACCACTGTCTTACGGCCGTTCTATAGTGAGGTTCGCGAGATCCTCCGCAATCATGGCTTCCCATCTTCAGCCACTTTGGAGGCGGATATCTTCTGCAAGCCCGGCTACCCAGGGTGGGATGCTGAAATGAATCTCCTGCGAGTTGTTGTAAAAGGCACCCAGCATACTCAACTCCGTTTCGGCCCAGCCAAGGACGAGATCATGAAACTCCTTGAGGAGAAAGGTATGATGGACTTCAAAGTGGAAATTGTCAACACCGACCTCTACCATGTTCCATCTTTTTTTTTCCTGGCTAGCATGGACCCCCTCGTCGTCGCATTCGAGCGCACAGCAGACGAGATCATCACCATCCTGAACGCGACGATCCCACAGCGGTGGCGGATGGTGTGCCCCTTCAATATCGGTACCATCCAAGACAGGGCACAGCCTGCGATGGCTGTACTTGTCAAGCCTTTGACAGAGGCAGAATGGTCTATCATCAGGTCGCGCATCAGGGAGCTCATCGATGCGGTGCTCCCAACAGATGTCACGTTTGACGTGGAATTTGTTCCAGGGGAAATTTCCTTGCTTGGCTCTGGTTCTGACTCTGGCGGCGAGTCTTTCATAGACCGAATTACCGCGGTCCCTAAGATGGGAGACTCAGTGGGTATTGCGGACCAGAACAATGCTGGGACTCTTGGGGGTTTGGGTGGAACTCAGACATGATGGGGTTGTACACCGGGGCTTCTTGACAAACTACCATGTTATCCGTCCATCTGTGTCGGAAAGGTACAGTGAACCTTTCCTCAATGATCTGGATCGATATGGAGCAACATTCGATCGGCCTCTACCACAGCCAATCTATATCCATTCTCTTCCAGGCATGGATCGCGATGAAACTCTCAAAGACATTGAACGTTCAATCTGTGGAGTCCAGGCCCAAGAGGTATCACTCTTGGAAAAGGCGGAGCAGCAGAAGATGGTGGGGGAGGTGAAACCAGGGCTTCGACAAATGCTGGAAAGTTGTCAGCCTCTAATCAAGGATCTCTTACGACAGAAGAACCTAGTGGAAAAGATGCCGATCATCCTCGGAAAGGTACTAGTAACGTCGGGCGCGTCGTTGCTTGGGAATGCCCTAATGGATTGGGCGTTTGTTGAGGTTTCCAGTGAAATCGAGAAGCAATTTTTCCACCCGAATGAAATGTTCGAAATCCCGGCCAAAATCAGGCCACATCTTTTCAAAGAGATGCAACGTAACATCACACTACCAGCTGGGTTTAAGCTCGATACCCTTGGTTCCTTAGAATCAGGGGAGTATTGTGTCAAGATCGGTCGTACCACCGAGGTTACATCCGGAATATGTCACGGAGCCAGAGCACTTTGTATTTGGGAGGATATTATAGTGCGGTTCACCCACGAGGGTGAGGAAGTATCAATGAAGAACAAGCCGAGCCAAGAATACCTCATCATCAATAAGAAGCTGGACGCCAGGGATTTCGAGGAGGAGTGTTTTGCTAAGAGTGGTGATTCTGGTTCGTTCATTTTGAACGAAATGGGAGACTTGACAGGCATATTATTTGGTGGTATCAAGCGCCAGTGGGCTTTTGGGGGTATCGCTATGAGTATGGCTGATGTCATTGTCTCGATGAGGCTCAAGCTTGGAGCCTCGGTTTCTCTGTGGCTGCCACAGTAGCTGTTGTGGATTTCCAGTCTGTTTCTAATTGTTACTATTGCTAGTATTGTTAGTTTGTTGTCAGTATTTTGCTTATTTTGCTCGGAACATGAATGAGACTAAATCTTTCCCATTGCTGATAACCTTCTCTGTTTTCGTATTCTTCTCTTATCATAACTTCATACGTTTCTTCCACTACTTACAAGCTCACCATTCACCCAGAAGTATTCAATGAGCATCTAGCCCGACCAGATAAGACCAAGCTAATGAAGATTTATTTGATTACAGACTCTCCCCCGGCCTTTCCAACAAGCATTTTGACGCAATGTCTGACCCCCCTCGTGAGTTTGTCAGATATATTCCAGTGGAGATATTCCCATGAGGCTAATGCAAAACTTAGAGACGAATACCGAATATGAACTTCCGGCTCCAACGATCAACGGTACCAACCTGCCTCCTGGATTCTGGGCCATCGCCGCCCAGAATCCAAGTACGATATTGGCCTATAACCCCAACTGGAAACGCGCCATGGCCGAGATTAAGAAAGGGCGCACGCTGATGAACTCTATGTGTCACCTACCTCTCCTAAGGGAGCCGGCAGTTGTACATAGAACAAAGAGATGGAAAGATCATTGGCCATGGACGGGAAAGTGTTTCAGCGACTTCATCTCTAGCAAAATGTCAAACTACACGGGGCTACTGGCCCAAGCGACCGGTGGATTACTTGATGGAGACGATGCATGCCACCACTGCCAACAAGGAATGGGCATGTTTGATGGGTGTGTCCGGGTCCCTGGTCTTGAAAACTGCGCCAACTGCCACATAGGTGGCAAGAATAAGCGATGCAGCTTAGGAAGCGGTATTCTTCCCCACATGACGACTCGACATGATGTGGTAGCAGGAGGGCATATCTCAAACGCCCAACAGCTACTCGACAGGGCCAGAAAGGAACAAGCTGATCTACAGTTGGTTCTTGCAAAGAATCAGTATGTCGTAGACCAGATGCAGTGTGTCCTCGACCAGGCACGGGATATGCTTGACCGGACGCAGCGTATGCTGAGCCAGAAAACTCAAGAAGTCAACGCCTTGATTGATGCAGTGAACGATGAATCAGATATATAGGCATCAAAAACCTGTTTGGCATCAGTAATACACTTTTTCTTTCACTTTGACCTTATTTAATTCACTGAAATTCAATATTACTGTGGCCTTATTATGATCCTAGCGTCATCCTAACCAATGTCACCCCGTGGCACTGGGACGCGTTCTCAATTTTGTTTATATCTCTCTTCCAATCCTCTTCTTTCTCTTTCTTCCACCTCAACCACCTTTTCATATTTCCACCTCACCTACCTCCAGCCTCCTTATCTTCAGACTGCTCCATTCCAAAGCTCATCACCTTATGAACCTGACTGATCCTGCAACTACCATCACCCTACCCGTTCCACACGCACCGCCAACGAAATGTCCGGGTAAATATTGCTTACCTTTCATCTCATGATCATTTAACTGATAGAACGACAGCGAGGGTAGCGGTCAAGGTCAGGGCGGCCATGGAAGAAGCGTTTCGTTGCCCACCGTTAGGGGGTTCACCACCCAAATACGTCCTCCTGTTCAGCCGCCGGCCACCCCACCATCAACCGCCGATGGGCCTCCAACGTTGGCCACTCTGCCAAGCGAGGCCGAGTTTCAGACCGTGACACTGTGAGGAATGCACTTTCTTACATCGTGTTATGAAGCTGAATGCTAATTTTGAGATCAATAGGAGCCCCACTCAGCCCGCGTCTCGGGTAGTCGGGTTGCCCCAGCACCTACCAGCGCCAATCATGGGCGCTGAGGATATGGCGGCAGGGGATTGGTGCAAGTTTATTCTTACGTCCCCCTTCCCATTCTCCGTGGCGCTCTCCGGCCATAAGTTGAAAGGCAAGCTCTTGGGAAAGATGTTGAACATGCCAGGTAAGAATGAACCAGTTCTTCGGCCTGGATGGAGGATCGACTGGGATGCGACGAAGTTTTTCACCAGAATCAACTCTTCACTAGCCAACGTTGAAGCGGTGGTTATGCAGTGCGTTGGAAACGTGATCACGGATCCAGAGAAGATGTGCGAAACTTGCAGCACGAGGAAAGGCCCATTTGCCTTCTGCGTGACAGTGGGGGGGATTGAGGAGTGTGCGAATTGCCACTGGGACAGGGAAGAACACCGATGTTCTTTCAACACTAATCCCTCGACCCCAAAGTCCCGACGTAGCTCGAAGCTGTACACACAGGCGGAGATTTTGGAGTTCGAGAAAGAGCGTGAAGACCTTCGCAAGGAGAAGGCAGGCTTGGATGCTCAGTTCATCGCGTTTCGCAAGCAGCTGGAAAAGGTCGGGCAAGGCTGCAGAACGGCTTTGCGATCACACCCCGAACGGCTCACCCCCCCGGTGCCTGTTGGAGAAATGGCGGCCAAGCTGGACAGTTACCGCCGTGAGCTCGAGGGACGTTGGCTTTGGGACGTGGATTCACTCATCACGACCATGCAAACCGACTTCGGACTTATCGGCGACAAAACCAGAGACATCATTGAACGACAGGATGTATTGACCACCCTGTAAGTTTTTCGCTGGGGGAGTTCGGGGAGTTCGGCATTTTCGCTGGGATCCGACTTTTGACTACGGGCGACCAGTAATGAGTACAGTAATGAGAACCACCAATATCAATTAGCCATCGAAGTCCCTTTGAATTTACAATATCTGTCAAAATCTCAACTTCTCGACTGGCTTTATGTCAGAATTTTGTTTATAGAATAAGTGAAATCCTTCTCGCTCGTCTAATCTTTTGTGAATTTCTTTTTTCTTTTTGGGTGGGGAGAATTTCAAGCTCGGCCAAAATGACCGATTTTCAAATCTCAGGGATTTATCCACTGTTTTTCTCATTTTGGCCTAGATCGGGCTATAGCTTGGTGTGGCTTAGGCATAATGTCGTTCATTTTTCCCTTTGATCGAACTCGGGGCCTTTCTGTCATTCTTGCGTCTGGTTCTGTCCTTACAAGAACGTCCATTTCTTTATCCACCTTCTCATGGGTCCATCTCCGGCATGGGTCTGGCCTCTAGCCTTGGGTCTGGCACAGAGCAGTCTTGCGGTCACGATCCCTCTCGCACCGGCTACGTCTCTGACAACTTTGACTTCAACCTACTCTGAAACAGTGACTAGCACCATCACCAGTCTTGTCCCGGTCACAACCATTGAAACTACGTGTACTCCCGGGACTGCATTGGAATCCGCCGTGTGCGTTGATTCCGTATGGTCAGCCAATGGGGCTTACTGGAAAGAGTGGTGTACCACATCCTCCTTAGAGGGAGTACGCCATGCTACTTTAGCTGGAGCCAACATCTATCTATGCTATGAGTACTGCAGCATATATTCTACAATATGTACAGCCGTCAACTATATGGCAAATAATCTCCAGTGTGATTTATTGGGGACTGTGACAGGAACGGCATCATTCAGCAGCAGCGGGTATGCAGGGATTGAGAGATTTACCACTAATCCATGTGAGGTTACTGTGACGGACACGTCAACTCAGCTATCTACTGAAACGACGGTGGTGGAATATACGACTACCATCACATCAACCATTACTCTTGCCACGAGTACGTCCTCTCCAGCCATTGCTACAGTGACGACTTCTTCTTCGGCTGAGGCAACTTCTGCGGCTGCCACGGTGTCTGCTTCCTCAACATGCTCTATCTCTTCTCTTCCTACCTCTACCGACTGTGCTGATGGTAATTATCTGTATGATGGTCTCTATTATCAAGTTATTTGCGATGATAATATTGAGAGTTACTCAGGATTTGATATTGCGAATACAAGGAAGGACGACATCTGGGCATGTATTGAAACCTGCTCGGAATACTCAGATTGTATTGGAACATTTTGGCAGAATGGAATATGCTATTATCCAAGCTCAACACTCACCTATCGATATGTCCCGTATGACTACGATGATCCCGACGACAACATTGTGGAGTACATCGCCATGCGACTCGATGGTAATCCTTGCTCAGCAGCAAGCTTCAGTGCAGTCCCAACTTCCTCGGCAATTGCCTCTTCCCGGATCGCGTCAATATCGCCTTTAATGGCTGAGACAACCGTGTCTGCCTCTACAGTCATGCCATCAAGGCCATCTTCTGCTTCATTTTCAACAAGTTTCTCATTCACTTCGTCTATTCGAGCTTCCAATATTGCAATTCCAGCCCAGCATACATCTTCTGCCTTGGCCTCGCGCTCTGCACCAGCTTCCAACTCTGTATCAGCTTCCCACTCTGTATCAGTTTCCCACTCTGCATCAGCTTCCCACTCTACGCCAGCTTCCCACTTTACGCCAGCTTCCCACTTTACGCCAGCTTCCCACTTTACGCCAGCTTCCGAGCCAGTCATACCTTCGACATCTTCACCGCGTCCTGCTTCGGCTACTGTCACTATTTCTCTTAAGCCGATCAGTTCCAGTGCGAGCTCAACAGCAACAAGTTCTTTCACTAGCGCTCAAGGCAGCTCATCTGCATCGTTGCCGCTTTCAATGACAGGTGCTGGCTCTGCCAGTGCCACTAATCATTCATCGTTGCAAAGTACCGTGCCTGTACCGCCACAGTTTACCACGTCGACCGTCTGGACCGCCCAGGTACATACAGTGACTGCTTGTCCACCATCCGTTCATAACTGTCCAGCGTCAGAAATGACAACTTACTTCACCACTGAAACTGTGGCTGCCTACACCACCGTTTGTCCCATTACAGCAGAGGAGGTTGCAACGGCCAACCTGGCTGCGGGATCAATTGCCAAGGGACAACCAACTGGATCTCCTAGCGAAGTACTCACAACATCCACGGTCTATACGACGTACAATCGCTACAACACAGTTTGCCCCTCGTCGATGCAAAATTGTGTTGCTTCCCAGATGGTTGCTTCGATGACAACAGAGACCGTGGTAGCCTATGTGACTATCTGGCCCGTCGCCGAGGCAGAGTTAGGCGGTGACACTGGAGCTCTGGACACTCAAAGTTTGACATCAAATGGTGGCAATGCATTCACTACTGGTACCCCGGTTACCTTTGGCACAGATATTGCCACTATTACCGCGACTTACAGCACTTTCCATGAGGGATCTATCATTGAGGGAAAAACCACCTATCTCATTACTACCACTATACCAGTGACTAAAGCAATCACAGTGGCTACCGTTGTAGGTACTGAATCAGCCATTGCTTCTTCTTCCGCAGTTGATATTTCTCAACCCGCCCGGAATAATGATCATACAATGGATGAATCCGGAGGCGAAAGCGTGGGCAGTGAAAATTACCTTTCTGGTTACGCTAGTGGTGACACTGGATTCCACCCTTCATTGAAGACCTCACAAGCGATTGCGGCTTCTTCTGCATTGTCTTATTCCGCTAGTGGAGTTGCTAGAAGTGGCACTTCCACTGTTATCAGCCCTTCTTCCAGCACTTCTACTGCCCAAACCGCTATCTACACTGGAGCTGCATCTAAACTGCATGGGTTGGGCGCACTGCCTCTCTGCTTGATTGCCATTGCTAGCTACCTCGTTCTCCGATATGATCCAAGCGCGGTTTTGGATTGGGTTGATCTTACTTGATGTTTTTTCTACCTAAATTTATGTATTTTTAACAAACATATTATATGGAATTCATTGAACCCGAAGACCAATTCCAACATGTTATCATCCTTAGACACAGAAGCGGGTGATGCCAACCTGGGAGCACACTTTTGCTTTCGCGAAATCACCTGACTTTAGCTTCATCGGCGGCGAAGATTGTGTCTACAGAAGTCACCGCCTGGTATACATTAAAGAGGCGCGATTATTGAGATCATCTAACGCGAGAAAGACGAAGCGATAGGGTTGTTCTATTGCTGACATCAGTTCTTGACTGACCTTAAATGAGCCAAAAGGGGAGCTCACTAGTTGAACACCACAAAATTAGTTGGACACCACATCACTTCTATATCTGGTATGGCGCAGTAATTGTAGGTCAGAAAGAATGCTATCTCGAATATTGAACATCGCATCACCTTCGCTTAATTCACCTCAATATACGAGATAACGCCTCGTGGGAGTCATGGTATGGGTAAGCTTAGTGTGTATCAGTCTTTGATCACCTTCACGTTTCAGCCTAGTCTACAAAATAACGTGAGCAAGTAGGTACTTTGGTATGTACTCAATAATGATACTCCCTGAATTACATTTACTACGCTTTCCTAATATGGTTAGCGGTAGTGTTCTTCTGAAATTGTGGTGTTCGTCTGGCAAGCTCCGCCAACAAGCCGCCATCAACAAGGCAGGTGTCCTACCCTGGGCATAAGCCTGCTACCGAATAGTCAAACCTACCGTCAAGTCGAACTTCGTTGATCTCGCCAACCCAATTTCTTCTTCAATTTGATGGAGAATATCCAAGCACTTTGAAAAACCATCATCATCATGGAGCGGGGCTTTTTTAGAGATGGACCGATGAGAGAATTCTTGCGCGATTTGTTAACTCTTAGCGGTTTGGTAAGAACTGAAGGCGATCCCCTTCAAGCTGAAAAAGTGGTAGGTAACCGAACTACCTTACAAAGCGCCTAGGAAAGTAAACAAGCACATATTGAATAGGCTGCATGTTAATATACTATGCTGGTCACCTCTATACCGCGATTGTCTTTTTCACATGTGATTATACTCGACTTTCTAAAAGAACCGGAAATACTCCCGTAAACCTCGGAATTTCGAAGCCAAGCCTTTAGGGCGAAAGGCGTTTAAACTAGTGTTTCCCTCCCGTGCCTTACGTAGATCTTTCTCCGCTCGCTTCCGCTCCATGATCAGGGATAGATTCCGGATACTTTGCTAGTAATCTCTTTCTTCGTTGCCCTCCACCTTTTTCGCTATTCCAAAAGCCCCGTCTACCCGAACTTCGTCGCCAGAGCTGACGTTTCCCCTATATAATAACATTGCATGCAATATGGCATATGATTTGCATTGTTAATCTTTGGCTTGGGTTGAAAATATCGCACCACGTGGCACATAACGGTTATTACCAGTTCAAGCACTAGTGCAAGCCATAATATCCACCAGCCAATTTGATTCAATGGAGTGGACACGCTGCACGAAGCGAATGGGGTGGTGACACTTTAGCTAAAACCTGGACTATCAGTGGTTTCTGTCTCCTCGGCCAATCATATCAATTGGACTTTTTGTGCCATGAAGCACTAAAAGCAGTAAAGAGGGGGCGTTGTATGGGGCGGGGCGCACAGGATATTTTCTCCTTTTAAGCAGTCACTTTTCGTAGATGCGACCGCAAGGTGAGCCTATCTCAAATACTTCTCTAAAGTAGTGCCCTTGTGCTGCCTTATCCTGATTCTGCTTCTCTCCACCTTCTCCTCTATTCGATACTTTCAGTCGCCTACCATGTCTGATAAGCCGATTGCCGTGGTATGTGCTACAACAGAAACAGAGGTTTTCTTGGTAACATTCTCATTCTGTGCCAGGACCCGGATTACGTTATCGCGCGTAATACATATCAGCCAGATGACTTTGAATCGTGAGTTTCTGTCTGTATACAGAACAGCAGCAACGAGGCATACATTAATCACAGTATCTCCAGTGAGACGACGTCACTATCATCGACAATCTACAGAGGAGTGATAGAAAACGGTCGTCGGTACCAGGCGTTGAAGGAGGGCGAGTACTGGTATGTTCGATCGTGCTAATGGGCACTCTGCCGATTGACAGACATTGACCGGCAAGCAGGGGTCCCGCAGACGAACAGCAGTTTGAAAGTTATGAAGCAGGGTCTTTGCACCCGTTTTTCGATATTCCTCCAATACTAAGCTGATTGCAATAGACATTTGGTATACGTGCTGCTTGACTCTGAGAGGAAGAATCCGCTTTTCCACTCTCCGGTGAAGAATCCTAAGGTATTGCCTCCGAGATGACCTCTTTTGCAAAAGCTTCGCGTGTTTTGTCTAACAGGTCACGCCATATTTCTAGCATGTTCTGGACATGGGAACCGGCCGTGGCAGTTGGGCTGTGTGAGTCATATTTTGCGTTTGCTATCGAATTCGAATTGAACTAGAACCGACTAATACTTCATCAGTGATGTCGCCGACATTTTTCCAGACGGCAAGTTGCTCCCACGAATCAGCTTCACAACACAGCTAACGCGTCACTTGCAGCAACTGTTAGGGGAGTGGATTTGTTCCCTCCACCTGAGAACTGGCTACCTCCAAATTGTGTGATGGAGGTTGACGACGTGCTCCAGGATTGGACCTGGCGCGACCCATTTGATTTAATTCATATACGCCAGCTGATGGGTTCATTCACAGACAAAGAATGGGAGAAGGTGTACAAGAGCTGTTATGAGTAAGCCAAAGCCCTCGTCGCTATCACATCGTGTCCTAACCAGCGATTCGTGACGTAGCAATCTGGAACCCGGAGGCTGGATCGAACAATTAGAAGGCAACCCTCGTGTTCGTTGCGATGATGGCAGTGTCCCAGATAATAACAGTCCCTTCGTGTTGGGAGATGAGGCATGCAAGGCAGCGGATAATTGGGGCCGCCGCATTACAGTTGCGGATACGATGAAAGAGTCGCTGGAGAAGGCAGGTTTTGTGGACGTGCATGAAAAGACATACAGGTGGCCCATCGGAGCTTGGGCTAAGGATCCCATCCTTAAGGAGGCAGGAAGACTACATTACCATCAGTGGGTATCAGGCATGGAGGGCTGGGCCATGTTCTTTTTGACAAAGTATGGCTTCCCTCAGCCGTGGAGCAATGAAGAAGTGCAGGTACTGTTGGCGAAAACAAGGAAAGAGATTCAAGATCCACGTGTCCATGTCTACCAAGTTGCGTGAGTTATTCTGTGGTCAAGTTGCTAGTATGTCTGACTGACCCACTATAGTCGACGAGTTTGGGCTCGAAAGCCCCTGCCAAATGAGGGGTCGTCGAGGAAGACGGACGAATGAGTAAAGCCAGGAATTTCGTAAATCCGCATTTTTCGTGTTTTCAAGGCATGACGAGCGTTACCAGAGGAGCATTCTTCGACCAACATCGACTATATTATTCGTGTACGGCTCTACACATTTGATATCTTTATGGATCAATGTCAATATCTGCTTGCATAATAACAGAGCATAAGACGTATCGCTGCGATAGAGACAGCCTTTTCAAAGGCGACAAGGATTAGTGTGATGCATGTGCGTATCCGATCCGTAGGAGAATGGCCGCTTTGTCAACCTCGGGATACGGAACCGGACTGGCGGCCGCTCTATGGAGTACTTAACTCCTCTCTACCTTGAATAGTCAATCGTGCTTGTACCGTACTCAGGGTCGTAGGATTGGAGGGGCCTTTTTTTCAACCCGTAATATGTCTTAGACCAATTTGCTGACAATAAGACGACGAGAATAATTGAGCATGTTTTGAGGGCACTAGAGCTGGAGGCGCGGTCAAACCCCTCCCAAGCAGAATTTGCTAGACCAACCGAGCCGGAATAACCAGCGCATTCACATTTAGATTATTCTGCTCAGCACTTCGGAGCAGACGTTTTTTGGGGGGGGTTGCAATATGGAGATTAATGACCACAATATCATATAACAAGAGTCGGTAGATCTGCAGTACCTTTTTCTGGCCTGCTTTGGTTCTGCCCCGTCAGAGTTGCGCAGATTTGAGCGTATTCTTTTTTTTTTCGAAGTCATTTCATGCAAACTGTGATGGTGAGATTGTGGCTGCAGGATCTCCATTGACCAAACAGCATGTATTTCAAGATCCTTACATTTAGTCTGGAACGACTTCTCAAATTATTCTCTACCTAGTGCCGACCCTGTTCTATTGTCAATCCCACATGTTCATTTTCTTTCCCTTTTCGAAATACCACGATTTTCCAGCTTCTGCGTTCCTCCAGCATTGAAGGCTAGAGAGTCAGCAATCTAATTCAAGACCGAGCGGATTTGTGATCATGACAGCGGATGAGGCTTGGACGGATCCACAGAAGGTGGCCAGAATCCGGGCTACGACTGGAGATTGTCAGGCAAACAGTGATAGTGAGAGCTTGGAGGAAAGGAATGAGAGGCAGGTGCTAGACCATCCCGATGAGATCACCACAGACGCTCAAATTGGAGTCCAAAAAGCCGAAGCTACGGCTTTGGTCTGGTCCAGAACTGCCTTGTACACAACATATGCCTGGTGAGTTCAACTATTTTTGTCTTTTCTTTAAAACAGACCCAGGCATTCCATTCCGAATGAATTTCAAGGCAAACTCAGTATATTACTAACATTCTTGATGCCAGGATCTGGTTGTGTTTCTTCGTTTTGTCAATGCAGTCGTCAATTGGCACTAATGTTATGTATTATGCCTACGCCAACTTCTCTTCGGCACCTCAAATATCTCAGGCTTTCATTGTATCGACCATCGTTGGTGGAGTTCTTCAACTTCCTATTGCAAAGGCTTTAAACGTATGGGGCCGTGCGGAGGGCTTCCTTACGTTCCTGGCTGTCTTTATTATTGGTCTTATTGTGATCGCCTCTTGCAATGGACCGAATGGATTTGCAGCAGGTTACACCCTTTATTGGATCGGTTATACCGCCGTCAATTTCATTTTGAGTGTCTTTGTCGCTGATGCATCTGGGTTACGAAACCGAGCCTTTGTTTACGCGTTTATCGGGACGCCCTCAATCTGTACGGCCTTTGTTGGCCCACTCGCTGCCCAGGCATTCATAACCCATTCTACCTGGCGTTGGGCTTATGGCTGCTTCGGTATCATTACCTTGGTCATCTTCGTGCCTCTTGCTCTCGTCTTCAAATTTTATCAACATAAAGCCGAGAAGATGAATCTTTTCGTTCGGGTACCCAGCGGTCGAACCACTGCACAGTCCTTCGTTCATTATTTTCACGAATTCGACATCATTGGCGCTTTCATTCTTATGGCGGCCTTTATTCTTTTCCTTTTGCCATTTAGCCTGAGCACCTATGGCCTTACTGGATACTCCTCCGCGACTTTTATTGCCATGGTCATCGTCGGCATCCTACTGTTCCCGGTCTTTGCCATTTGGGAGCGATTTTTTGCTAGAATTGCTTTCATCAAATGGGAGCTATTTAAGAAGCGCACAGTGGTGGGAGCCTGCATCTTATCGGCTGTGATATTCTTCAACTATTACACATGGGATCAGTACTTCTACTATTATGTTCAGGTTGTCTATAATCTTGATACCTCAAAGACTGGATACATGACACAAATTTATGGTGTTGGATCGACCATATGGGCTGTTCTCTTTGGAGTCGTGATTCGCCAGACCAAACACTTCAAGAATCTATGTTTATTCTTTGGCGTGCCACTGTTTGTACTTGGTGCCTCGCTAATGATATATTTCCGCGGATCCCAAAGCGACATTGGATACCTAGTCATGTGTCAAATATTCATTGCCTTTGGAGGTGGGACCCTGGTCATTGGGGATGAGATGGCTGTTATGGCTGCTGCAGACCGGGATGGTGTCCCATTAATGATCGCCATTATCAGTCTGGCCTCCAGCTTCGGGGGTGCAATCGGCTACGCCGTTGCAGTCGCAATTTATTCCAACACCTTCCCCCAGGCCTTGCTCAGCGCGCTTCCTGACTCTGCCAAGGCTGATTATCAAACAATTTACGTCGGCGGCTCAGCGACTCAGCTTCTGTATCCGCCTGGTAGCGAGACAAGGATTGCGATCAACTATGCGTGGGCACATAGTCAAAAGTACCTGTGTATCGCAGCAGCAGTTATTGCAGTTCTTGCTTTCCCAGCAGTCGCTATATGGAAAAATTACAACGTCGACAAGAAGCAGGTGAAGGGTAATGTTATCTAGACAAAGCGTTTGCTCTTCAAGTTCCCGAAAGAGGTGGATTGCCATAGAAAGAATGGATAGTAATACAGGAATCACGCGATCTATGCTGGGAAACCTAAAGTGTTCTGCAGACAGGATTGTAAATGTATTCAAATCCCCTAGGTCATTTGAATTTCGCGATGGGGCAGCTTCTTGTATGCCTGACCGCTTACAATACAGGCTTTCACATTTTGTACGATCAGGTGCATTCCATCCCATAAGACATGTGGCCCTGTGTTGGTATGCGAATCAAGTCAGGAATTGGAAACGACAAAGACCCGATCACTGCATAGACTCGTTCCAAGTGCATTGCAGATGCAAGACAACAAAATTCTAGACTTTCGTTTACCCTTTTTTACATAGTGTCGGTCTGTGCACACTAGATGCAAGCCACTAGACCAGTCACCTGCGATTTGGAAAATTCTAGGCGATTTCTTCGAGAAGCATGTCACTGTAACATAGGTTATCGGGTTATCTGCTCAATATTATGGAGTTTGCATTAAAGGATCCGTTACGACTGTAGCTTTTAGTTCCCGAGGTGACCACGCCCATATGGGAAATCTGCTCAATTGCACTCACACCTTGCCTTTTTTGGTAATTGCAGACCTTGGAATCACCACACCCCTTGGCTCATTTTGTTTGTTTTGTTAGGTCTTATGTTAGGTTGAGTACCTCTTGCATGCTTCCCAGGAATTGATGTTTGGTCCCTGACAGTATGACAAGAGAAACATATTCTTACCGGCCACTTTTTGTTTCTTTTTCTGTTAACGATCACAGGACAGTTCAACTATTGCGGAAATTGGGACGGATGGATTGCTTCGCATTCACTGAATACTTATACTACGTGTCTTCAAATGAGGAAGCATTGGTGGGAAAAACGCCGATACGAAAACAAAGAGGTCACAACACATACTTTAAGATCATTGGACCTCATGCTCCTTCAGTAAAGATAGAAGAGTATAAACAGCAAATAGATATCAAAAAGCACATGTTGAAATGTCTGTGCAAAGCTCAAACAGGTAGCCCTATGACCGGAACGATGGTACGAGAAGCAGACTCCCTGAGGTCATCAAGAAATGGATTTTGCGTCATTTTGTTGACATTTGCTGCCTTTCACAGTCTTCCACTCGAGAAAGCAAGCTGCGACAAAGGCTGCCATCATCAAAGCTAATGTGACACGGTAAGTATCCCTTAGTCCATTCATGTAAGCACGAATCACACCATCCAGCTGATCAAGTCGACCCAAGGTACTCAAAACATCCCTCATTTCGGTGGCCCCAGCACTAATTATCGCACTTGGATCAACGCCAATTGTATGGGCGGCAATCCCTGTCAATAGACCATTCTGGAAGATTGACTGCCCCACCGCGACGAAAACGGCGCCACCTAGAGTCTGAAAGAACATCACGGCAGCGGTTCCAACAGGAATATCCTCTGGCTTCAAGACGGTCTGCACAGCCGTCATTGGGATTTGAAGACCAGCACCGAGGCCTGCGCCGACCACAACTTGGTATCCGATCCATTTGCCGCTAGAAATGTCGACGCTGTATAATGTCATGAGCCCCGCACCGATGGTGGCAAGAGCAGTGCTGATGATCAAGAATGGTGTGTAGTAGCCGACCGCAGTGACCAGTGCGCCCACCACCACAGAGGAGACTACAGTGCCAAGCATGAATGGCAAAATCTGAAGTCCAGAGGTCATGGCAGAAGAGCCTTTGACGCTCTGGAAATAAATAGGAACATAGTACACTAAGCAAAAGAAGCCACCGCTGAAGAAAAAGGCGAATAGTGCTGCAGACCAAATGGTGCGTTGCTTGAGGAGCGACGGTGGTAAAGTTGCCCTTGCACTCTTGCCCTCTTTCCCGCCTCTCTTGTCTCGCTTGCCTAAATAGACCTGGGATCCGGCAAAGAGGGTTGCCAGCAGGCCAAATCCCACAAAAAGTCCAATTATGCGGGAGCTTTCCCAGGGATAAATATTGCCACCCCATTTGAGTGCCAGTATTAAGCAGACAATAGCTGGAATGAGCAAGCTGGCACCGACCAGATCGAGCTCCTTGATTCGTTGCATGAAAGGCATCGCTGACACATTGTCATCGGTCGGTAGACTGAGGAACCAGAAAACAACGACCATGGAAATCCCACCAACGGGAAGATTTATATAGAAGCACCATCTCCAAGAGACGCTGTCGGTGAACGCTCCGCCAAGTAGTGGGCCTACAATCGAGGCAATTCCCCAGACCATGCCGTAGACACCAAAGACGAGTGGCCTTTTTGCCAGGGGTACAGTCATTGAGATGATCACCAGAGCGCCGGAGAAGATACCCCCAACCCCGATTCCAGCGATCGCGCGGCCAACGATCAACACCGTACTAGATGGGGCCACGCCGCAGATCAAGGATCCAACCTCAAAGATGCCCACGGCGGCTAAGAAAGACCATTTCACCTGAAGCAAGGTTAGCCCTCTTCATCTCAGGATGAGGGTGGTTTTGCTCTTAACATACGCTGAAAACTTTATAGATCCTGCCATACGAAGGCTGCAGTGCCGTGGAAGTCAAAAAGTAGGCACTGCCATACCATGCGATATCGGTAATACTCTTGAACTGATCCGTGATTTTTGGAATTGCGACTCCGATGATAGTTTGATCAAGCGCCACCAGAAAGGCCGCTAGATAAATCGCCAAAACAATCATGACGACTTTTCTCATTGGAGGATACTTTTGCTTTGCATTGGAGTCCGAATCCTGCGTTTTGGCCTTTTCACAGTTCAACACTTCGGATTTTTTGGAACAAGTTTCCAAATCTATAAAATTGGAATTTTCGCTCATCATGGTGGTGGTTGCAGCGGCCGATGAAAGGTAGTCCGGTCTTGTGAGATCTATCCGAGAGCTTGTGTTGAAAGGTAGGGGCCAAGACAAGCGAATGCAGACCTTGGGTGAAAAATTTGTGCACGACAAGCTGCGAGACCAGGTTCTCCCCTATATCTAATATATTCAATCTGCATCAGGGTGTCTCTATGTCAGCTCTGAGTCCACCGGTTACCATGCCTCACGTAAAAAGGTGCAGATGGAAACGACCAGTATGAAAATTACCTTAAACCTGCTCTATTGAGTTGGGAGATCCTTTTCCAATCAAATTTAACTTCTTCTGGGTTCAGGGTTATCCCAATATAGTTAGTCCAGCCATACGAAAACTTTCGCGAGGAGGATTGCTCAAATTCACGTTGTGACGCGAATGGCGCCAAGGACGTAAATGTCTTACAGGACCGGCTGATGCTGTGCCTTTCTGTGACTTCCGAATAACAATTCAGACTCTCTTCACCTTGACTTTACCGAGACGTGGTTATCCTGAAACCGAAGGAGGTTCAGGCACGTGGCACATCAGAGTAATGTCCGCGGGTGCACCACCGTGAAAGAACCCAATCTGACTCAGATTACATGGATCCTAAGTTGATTCCTCTCGCTTAGACTTCGCAGCAATATCGGGCACATGGCCCCTGTAAATGCGACCTCAATGCCAATCTCCTTTGGCCCGTCAAGGCCTTTTGCGATGAATAATTGCCTCAAATATGCGCAACAACGCATGCACTAAACCCTTTATGTAGTTCCTAACTTTGGATATCGTAATGAAGTCTCTTGTTGACGTGTTTCTTCGTATACAAGAGAAATGATATCACTGGCCTCTGATTGGCACACGGCCTTCCGTTTGCAGATGTGGAGCATTCCATGCAATTACTGATTTAGTGCTCGAGCTATAATAAATGTTTTCGACTTGCACTCGGGAAGAAAAGCTCCTCCATTCTCATATTCACGGGCCTGGCTTCATTCAGCGTTTGTGGAGCATTTTCATTTGTCCAATCCAGGATTTGGTTGGTTTCCGGCCCGAGCTTTGCGGTATAGCGTCAACATGGCTCCAATGGAAATTTATTCTGGCCAATCGACTTGGAGAACTGCAAAGAGCCATATCAAACCTAATGAAGTCCCTCCAAGCGAATCTTCAGACCCTGCAAACAATGTGCAGGAGATCTCGCGGCTCATCCTTGATATCTTCCTCGCGTACGCTCTCAATAAATTTGAGTATACAGAAGACCATCTTGAGGGCTCTAAAAACGGTTTTCTTTCTGTCATTGCTCGGTTTGTTATCAAAGGAGAGCGTGTACAGGCTTGCCTTCCAGCTTTTCCCTTCAAGTCATCCAATAAAGTGTACAAGGTCCTCGGCAGCCTGCCAGACAAGGCAGAGGAGCTGGCTCTTGAACGATTGAACACGTTGTGTCTGCGCGTTCAGGAAATCTACGCTCCAGGCGCTGAGATTGTTATCGTCTCCGATGGAATTACCTATAACGGTATGCGAACAGACTTCCTGATGCAGCCAGAATCGATAGGTCACTGATTTGCTGAACTTCGTGATCACAGACCTACTGTGCATTTCCGACCAGGAAACCTGGATTTATGGCGAAGCCCTACGTGAGATCGTTGTTAAAAAAGACTTCAACAACATCTTGTTCTCGAGAATCAGAGACCTTCTCGACTTCCCGCTACCAGAGAAGTTGAACGAAATTATCTACGTGGCTAACTGTACCACATTCCGTCGCTTGCTCTTGAATAAGTACGGGGATGACAACCTTGACATCGACCATCAAATTGCCACTGATCCAGATGTCAAGTTGACATATCTTGGATACAAACGATTTTTGGAATCTGACCTTCAATACATCTTCCCTCGAGGGAAAGGTCGTTCCGCACACAGCTACAAGCGGGATTGCAAGTATCTGGCCAAACAGATGCTCAGAAGAGGATATGTAAGAATGCCGTATCCATATCGACGCCTGCTCTGATCCCAAATTTGTAGCTGACCTAGAATGACAGGCATTTGCAGCGGCAATCCAGAATGCCTTCCCCAGCCATCTGCGACTTTCAATTCATGAGTCCGTTTGCGGTACCAAGCTACCTATAAGTTTGCTAAACACAAAGACTGGTTTCACGACCCCATGGCACTGCAGTGTAGCCCAATTGGCAGATGGGGAATGGGTTAGTGGTCCCATGGGTGAATTTAGCCAAGATGGCCGTCTTCAACTGGTTCACGTCGATGGGAAGCCCAGTCACTACCAGGAAATGTTACACCATGAAGGCAGTCCCCCTATCAGTGAGGAGAATGCGAGCTATCTCCAATCTGCGAAGTCGATCAATATCAACCAATATAAAAATGGGGCTTTGCAAATGGCACGACTTGAGTCATCATCCAGCGAAATCTCGCTCTTTTCTGAGGGTAACATGTCAGAAAGCGCTTCTACCACGCCAGAGATTCCACCAAATCGACTATTCACGGCGGAAGATATTGTATTAAATGTCACTATGGACAAGAGCCTTGGCAATACGGCACTGGGAGAGGAGACGAAGAGTGCTCTGTCAATACCCTATGGCAGAAGACTTATTCCTCAGATAATGGACAACATTGCTGCTATCGAACCAGGAAGGACAGTATTTTCCCTCGCAACGCTTTCTAATGGGTCCCTTGAGCTGGAACCTGTCACCGCCTTGCTTTTCGCCAGAGCAGTCAACAAAACTGCTTCTTGGCTTCGCCATCAAATTGGCATTTCAAGCACAATCCAACCCCTGGCCTACATTGGACCACGTAAGTTCAACTCGCAGTAGAAATTCTTAAAGGCATATTCTCCCTTCGGTTGCTGACTTGATTGAAATTGTTAGATGATCTGAGACATATCTTGTTGACTTATGCATGTGTGAAGGCGGGTTATGCGGTATGCCCATACCAAGGATTGTGATAAAACGTTGCTGGATCTAACCTTCTTCTGGCAGGCTCTTTTCTTATCCCCAAAGAATAATGTGGATGCAGTTCTTGCAGTGCTCGAGGCAACGGGTTGTATTATCTGGGTCAATGCAGTCGACGCCTCTCCGTCACCCATGGTTGAAGAGGTTCTTGAAAGACGATCAATGACTTCTTTAGAGCTTCCTCTGCTGAGAGAGCTTCTTGATGCCGAGTATAGTGAATCTTTCCCATACACAAAGTCATTTGAAGAGGCTATCAACGAACCATTCTGCTTCCTACATACATCAGGAAGTACTGGGCTACCTAAACCTATTCCATGGTCTCATGGTTTGATTGGAACTATGGATGCAGTCAGATTACTACCACCAATTGGTGAGAATGCTGATCTTGTTCCATGGACCTCAGACTGGAACGAGCGAGATAAGATATACTCTTCATTTCCGATGAGCCATGTAAGTAAACCACTTTTCTGTATTACTCTGCGCTTTATTGCCACATCGGAGATCTTCAAGCTGAATGACTTGTTTACAGGGCGCTGGTATTATCATGAATATCCTGATGCCTGCATTTTTCAACCTTCATTGTATTTTAGGGCCAGTTGGCGTTTTGCCAAATCTCAATCTTGTTGAGAGATTGGCCATGGATGCGAAGATTGATATTTGGAGTATGGTCCCATCTCTCGTCGATGAGTTGGGCGAAACCCCCGACATTTTGACAAAATTACAGCTGAGCAAGTTTATCTGTGCATCCGGCGGTCCTATCAGCCCCGTCAGCGCTGGCAAGGTGAATGAGGTGGTGAGGGTGCTCAATTTGACAGGTACCACCGAAGGCCTGTTCATTGGCAATTTAAAGACATCACGGGAGGACTGGTTCTGGTTCTGCTTTCACCCTTACTCTGGCTTCGAGTTCAAAGAGCATGAAGCGGATACCTATGAGCACTGGGTGCATCGCAACGAGCATTGGCCCCTCTTCCAAGGCATCTTTCATACTTTCCCAAATGAGGATTCGATAAACTTCAAAGATCTGTACATGAAGCACCCTACCAAGCCCAACCTGTGGGCTTTTAGTGGCAGAAGTGATGATCTTGTTGTCTTGTCAAATGGGTATAAGATATCGCCACTGGAGACGGAGGCATTTATTACCACGCACCAAGCCATCAATGGATGTCTTATCTTTGGAACCGGAAAGCCTCAAGCCGGACTACTCATTGAGCTGAAAGACCCGTCAAGCAAGCCAACTGCGCTCATTGACAGTGTCTGGCAAAAGATCGAGGAGGCAAATTCTATGTCTCGACACAAAAATCAGTTACTGAAAGAGTTTGTCACTTTTACGCTACCTGACAAGCCCTTCCTCCGAACGGATAAAGGCACCGTGAAAAGAGCAGCTACCTTGGCTTTGTATGCAGACTACATTGAGCGCTTCTACGGTTCTCGCAGCGATAATCTAGATGAGACTATTGATCTTGATCTGACCTCTGACAATGCGGTGCAGGACTCGATCCGTACAATCCTCAGCTCTTCACTGCCTGAAGCCCAAGTCGCCCTTCCAAATGCAGATCTATTTGCACTTGGACTTGACTCGCTCGGAGTCTTTGGAGCTGTCAAGACGATTCGAGTAGTTTCAGGTCTAGGGGAGAAAATAGCTCCTCGACATATTTACGCAAGTCCCACCATCGCGGGCCTTGCCGCCACTGTCACTCGATTAATGAATGGGCTACAATGTAACAATATGATCAGGCCATTCGACAAGATACGGGATGATACCTTGGGGATGAACGCCATGGTCGCCCAGCACAAGGCGCGCCAGTCGTTCCGCTTGAATGCCTTCGACTACGTCAACCCCAACCACGGTATGGGCATCGTCCTCTACTTCCCTATTCACAAGGAAATGGCATTCAAGCAAGTCTTTGAAAATCTTCAACAGGGACTTAACCGAACATTCGATATGATCCCAGCTCTGAGTGGGAAAATGATGTACTGCTCGGAGCAGGAAATCGGATATACTAAAGGAGACCTTTGCGTTACTATCCCGCCACTTTCCATGGCAGCTTCTGTCCATAATCGCCTTAAGTTTAAGGATCTCTCGAACATCATACCACCTTTTGAGAAGCTACGCGCAGCTGGCTTTCCCCCTCGGCCTTCAAAGATGGTCTCGTCCTGCGGGACGATCCATTCCCTCAACTCCCTGCTGATATTTTCTCCGGTCAAGTGAACTTCGTCTCCGGTGGTTGTGTCGTGGCGATTGACCTGAATCACTGCTGCCTCGACGGACTGGGAGCCATGGTCGTGCTGAAGGCTTGGGCAGAAAATTGCAGATATTTGCAAGGTGATCAAACTGCAACTTGCAGCTGGTACGACCCCGAAAGCTTCAATCACAGCTTACCGGAGATCATTCATGAGCAAGAAGGTTGGGCTCGACCGATGGAGGAAATTGACCCCGGAACGTGGGGATTCTTGCCATTTCTCCCACCTGACGGCAACAAATGCAGAAAACGCGTTTCAGTTCACGACACCACATCCACCACCAAGGGCCATACACTACCTCCTGCCCCTGAATTTGTTTTGCATAATAACTGGCCACTCCCCTGCGCTGAAAGATGTCTCAAAACAACAACGTTCCTGATTAGGCCCGAGAAGCTCGAGAAAATGAAGTACGATGTCATGGCCGATCCCGAAGCCAAAGGAGTCATCACATCAATTAGTGACATTGTGCAAGCCTTCCTGTGGAGATCTGCTATCAGAGTACGATATCAGGTTGCCAAGCAGATTCGAAAACAGACCTTCAGGTCTGACGAGATGTCCATTCTTGAGCTACCAACCGATGCCCGGCCGTTCTTCTCTTCCGTATTGCCCTCAACGTATATGGGAAGTATGCTCATTATCAACCGATCTACCATGCCTATCGAGAAACTCTGTTCTGATGAGACTAGTATTGGCCGCGTCGCTTATTTGCTCCGTCAGTCTGCTGCGCGCGTCACCACTTCAGTTGTGCACGACGCGTTTTCAATCTTACAGTCTTTGCCAGACTATAGCCGATTCTCTACCGCTAACATGGGCATTGAGCACATGCACGCTATGATATCCAACATGATGCTCTTCCCGACAGATGAAGTCTGCTTTGGAAACGCGTTTTTTGCAAACCGAGGACAGCCGGAATGTTTGAGGCCACAGCTTGAGCGCGGAAATGGGCGATTCCGATTTCTGGTAGTACTTCCCATCAGGAAAGATGGGGGCGTTGAGCTTGTTTTAGGCACTCACCCAGAGGAGTTGGACGTGTTCCTGGCGGATGAAAGTTTCACGAAGTACGCAACACTTGTAGATACGTGTTCTTGAATTCTAATTTCTGTACTTTACTAAATTGAGACATAATTTGCGACATGATGTTCTAAACCACGATTAGCAACATTTCTTCTACGTAGCTCCGTGCTTTCAAGTGTTGAGTCAGTGGCCAGGGAAGCTCTCTTCAGCGCTCCACAGAAGTTTATTCATTGGAGGCCGTTAGAGGATGCTATTAGAATCCGTGCACGTGAATTTGACACATATTATTCTTCCCCACGTCTAATTGGTGTCGCGTACTTTCTATTTGTCCCATATCCGACTATTCAGTTCGTAGAAAACATGCTTTTGAATCAGTAAAACTGTGATGTGCGTGTAATTATTCAGACATGCACTTCCCAATCGCCATCTCAATCTCAATGACGATAACCATAATGCCATTCCGGTGTCGCAATGTCTTCCCGAATCTTGTAAACGCTTTCTGCCTCCTCCAAAATGTTCATGTCCACATCGACGATCTTCATACCCTCTTCGCTGTTACCAAATCGCTCAATGCAGCCCACAAATGGCAAGGCCACCTGTGAAAGTCCCGCAAATCCTTCATTTTCAGGCCCCGCCACGTTGCAAAAAACTACCGCACAAGTGTTCTCGAAAGCCCGGCTAACAACCGCAGCATCTAGGAATACTCCTTCGGACTTAGGATTTCTCTTCATACCGATATCCGAGGCATCGGTATATTTCCAATATGCAGGCACAATTATCATCTTGGCGCCCTGTATGATAAGCTCCCGGAAAGCCTCCGGGAATGCAAGGTCCCAGCAGATAACCATCCCGACTTTGCCCAAGGGCGTGTCAAATGCGGTATGCCTGGTATCCCTCTGGGAAGGTTTGACAAAAGGTCTTTCGGGATGCCAGAGATTTTTCTTCTCGTATTTGCCGCATATAGCCCCATCGTTGTCAATAAAATAAGTGGCGTTGACTACTGTATTGTCGTCGTGGAGTTCAGAGAAGGAGCCAGGCACCACGCAGATGTTGCATTCCTTGGCTAAGGCGCAGTATGCATCAAGGTATCTCTTCCAATTTGCGCATTGTTGCCGAGCAACTGAATCATGGCTGGTGACAAAATCGCCAAGATGATATTCTGGAAGGACAGCCAGCTGTGCTCCCGCGGCAGCAGCTTCGCGCATGAAACCTATGGCCCGACAATGATTGGACTCTAGTTCATTTGGCTTATCTTGAAATATTAGGACCTCCCTTCATGTAGCTTTGAAGAATAACAAGTGTCAGGGGGTACAAGCCTTGGGATAGAACTGTATAATGGCAATCTTATGGCTGGCCATGGTGAAGGTTATATCTATTTTGATCAGCAGGTTGGGTTGTTGACTAAAGATGTCAGTGAAAATAAAGACAGGGGAGGTTGCAAGCTTGGCTTCCCTTAAATACGAGCAAATAGGGTTCCCAACTTACGTACTGTATTCATTATCCCCGCACTCAAGCGAGCTTCCTAATTGGGAAGTCACAGGGGCATCGATGGGTTTACGATCGCAACTGCGTGAACCACGTAGGAATTGACGAAGGTTTTTCGATTAGATCATTCGAGCTCTGTATGTACTCGTCAGCACGGCATGCCACATACCAGAGTACTGGCTATATTAATTAATTCATCACTCAGGATCTCCCCCTGCAGTGCTAAGTTATTAGATCAGCTATGCTATGCTTACCTAAGATGCACTTCAGATTTAGCATGGCTATCTTTATTTAATTTATCGGTTCGCTCAGGTCACTGAAATAGCCTTCATCAATTGAATTTTGAATTAATTTCAGCTCTTCTTGAGACAACCTCGTCGAAAGTCTTCGGATGAGCCGATGAACCTTCGGATGCACCGAAACGAACTGCGGATGGACCGAAAGGGATGTGGCTTCGTGTTAGTTCATGCGGTATATCCGCTGCAGGGCCAAAAATTTCCTAGAGGGCTTTCTATTATCTGAATGTACTCAAAGCATAAGGTTCTTTGCAGCTCATAGCTAGCTTGTGACGAGAAGATGCATGAAATAATTGATATCGTGACTACGGCGGATCCGGATATGGAAGCGTCGTGTAGTGAAGACGTTAGTGGTGTTTTCTACGCACCTGGAACCGTGTTATTGGAGAATATAGGTATGTGAGCATTATCGGGAGTATCAATCATATGATATGAATCTTTACCGTCTCCCACCCATCTCTGAAACTCTTCTGCTAGGTGCTCGCTCAGTTATCTTACAGCCTAGGCCAACTGCAGACCCTAATGACCCATTGGTGAGACTTCCGAATACAACCGATGTTTGTTTATGATTTTAACACTTGTAAGAACTGGTCAACAGCTAGAAAATCCCTCAACTTTGGGATCACCGCATTCTATACCCTTCTGATTTTTGGCCTGTCCGTCAAACCAAATATTCTGTTTGGTCCTGTATGACTACATTACTGATCGGACTGCAGAATCGATATTGGTCCAGTAGTATGGCAAGACTTTCAGAGCCTCCTGGGCATAAGTTACCCTGAGCTAAACGATCAATACGCTGTCAATTGCGCCTCCCTCGGTATTGGTTCAATTATACTAATCCCGTTGGGACTGAAATTTGGCCGAAGACCTGTTTACATTTTAACGGCATTGATTGTCTTCATTACCGCAATATGGCAGGCCGTTCTACGGGATTTCAGAAATATGGTAGCTGTACAAGTCTTTAATGGATTTGCATGCGCCGTTGGCTGGACTTTGGTGCCTATCACAGTACGTGATATTTCTGCTTGCTATTGAATTTTGTCGCTGATTGAAGTTAAGATCACAGACCTGTTTTTCGTCCATCAACGAGGACGTGTTAACGCTATATACCAGCTCATGCTAAATGGAGGGGTATGTCCAGATGTCTTTGTCTGCGGATTCAGCTCAGCGTACATTAATACTGATCAATCACGCCTATAGACCTTCCTAGCTCCAGTTGCTGCTGGATACATCGCAGACGCACAAGGGTGGCCATGGATCTTCTGGTGGACTGCGATCTTCCTGGCTGTGAATCTAGTGCTATTTGTATTCTTTTTCGAGGAGTCTAAGTTCAATCTTTCCAGCATTTCCCATGACAGCCCACACAGCCCTGGGAGTACATATGATCATGAGGAGTCGACTGAAAGGATCAACCATGCTATTGCAGGGAAGACATATCGGGAACGCATGGCATTTCTCACCAGAACTCCCGGCGACCAAACTCGGTATTGGAATCAATTATATGAACCAATCACTGTATTGTTCATGTTTCCAGCCGTGACATACGTGACGTTGTCCTATAGCACTCTCCTGGTCTGGTTTACTGTAATCGCGACCACACAGTCGGAATTCTTCGCACTTGAACCTTACAATTTCGGCACCGCGGAAATCGGCCTGTTGAACTTTTCACCGTTCATCGGAGCAGTCTTCGGGTGCATATGGGGTGGTCCAATCAGTGACTGGTCTATCCAGCGGCTCTCCAGACGGAACAATGGTGTCTACGAACCGGAAATGCGCCTCTATATCGCCATCTTACCGGCATTGATAGGGCCGGCAGGTATTTTCCTTTATGGCTGCGGTCTAGCAAAGGTAGCGCAATGATACACTTTACCTATGTCACCAAGGTAGACTAATTATCACTAACACTACTCATTAGGGTATGCCATGGATCTGGCCGTGTCTTGGATCCGGCCTCTATGGCTTTAGCATGGCTGGACTTCTCCCAATCTCGCTCACGTTCCTAATAGATTCCTACTCTCAGGTCAGTTTCATAGAAGACTCGAATACTAAATCTCTTGGAGTCAACATTTTTGCTAACTGGCCTATGAGAAGATCATTGGAAGTGCCTTGGTAGGCGTGAATTTTGTCCAGTATATGTTAGCCACCATAGTAATTTTTACATTGGACCCATGGATTGAGGGAATGGGACTGCAGAACACCTTTATCTTAATTGGATGCCTTACGCTTCTGGTTAATCTTCTGTTCATTCCGATGATTTGGTACGGGAAGACATGGCGAATCACTTGCAAACAGAGATATGAGAGAATGGCTGCGCGACTCATTGATGAGCGAACTTAAAACTCTACCTTCGCCCTATCATGTACTGGAACAAAATACGGGGGAAGTGGATATCCGCTGCATTCTAAGATCTATATTTCTCCACCAATGAAGGCGATGGAAATGATCCGCGTTCCGGCACCTTGAAATCCGTCGCCTTTTTGCTGACCATGATAACATTTGGACACACATTTTCAACGCTTCTATTACCTTAGTATGAGCTTCACAAATCCCATCATACCGGGTTTCAACCCCGACCCTTCAATTATCCGAGTGGACCAGGATTTCTTTTTGGTCACTTCAACCTTTGAATACTTCCCAGGCATTCCTATTTACCACAGTCGCGATTTAATTCAATGGAAACTGATCGGTCACGTTTTGACAAGACCCAGCCAGCTTAAAATAAGCACCCCTGAGCCTGGGGGTGGTGTATGGGCGCCAACGTTGCGTTATCACAAAGGAGTGTTCTACGTGGCAGCGGCCAATTTTTCCCGCTATCGACCCCAAGAAGATGATCGGGTCTGGCCCCTGGGCTTCTACGTGCGAACGGACAATATCTGGGACGACTCTACGTGGTCAGACCCTGTCTATTTTGACCAGGTTGGATTCGACCAGGATGTGAGTTATGCGACAGTGGACACCAGAACTGCAGTGAATGTTAATGTTTACAGCTTTTTTGGGACGACGATGGCACAGTGTATCTTTCGTCCACATATCGCAAGCTTGAACGTACTCCGAATACCAACATGAAGGATTTTGCGGTGCACATATGCACCGTAGATCTAGACACAGGCCATTCTACATCTGAGCCGAAGCTGATTCGCGAGTCAACATCCGGTGTGGCAGAGGGTTCCCACATTTTCAAACATGGTCTCTACTACTACCTGTTTACTGCCGAGGGGGGCACAGAGAGCGGACATTGTGAATGGGTGAGTCGAAGTTCCCATGGACCGCTTGGACCTTGGGAGCTTGGGCCGAATAATCCACTTTGGCGGAACGGAGCGGAGGATGAGGTGCAAAACACAGGCCATGTTGATCTAGTTGAAGATACTCAGGGTCAGTGGTGGGCTGTCCTTCTTGGAGTTCGACCTGTCCAGCGCGGGGACAAATGGGAGGAATCCGTCTTAGGTAATTGTAGGCATGGTCTGCTCTTGAGTCTTTCAATAACTTTACCATAGGTCGTGAGACATTCCTCGTGCCATTGAAGTGGGAAAATAACTGGCCAGTGATTGAAGGGGGAAATATCGCTCTCCAAATGACTGGGCCAGGACTCTATCATCATAAAACCCCGGTCTCCTGGAAGGACGAGTTTTCGAGCCCTCAACTACAGTTAGGCTGGTATAGAAAAAGTAAGTTCTTCAAGTCTTGGACGTGGCCTTAGCTAACTTGTTAAGACACCCCATTGGTGACCGACTACTCACTTACCGAACGCGTTAATCACCTCAGACTATATGGTGGCCCCTATAACCTGTGTGTTCCTGCTTGCCCCACGCTTTTCTTGCGCAAGCAAATCCATCGCTTTTGTACGTGGGAAACGAAACTGTCTTTCCAACCAGACTCGGAGTACACCGAGGCTGGCACAGTACTGTGGTGGAACTATTTTGCATATATCAGTCTGGGCATTCGGAAGCGTGGTAAAAGTCGGATTCTGCGGCTTCAGCAATCTGGTGGGTCTCTCGTGGACAATGTTCTATCCTCGATGTCAGAAGTGTCACTCGTGATAGAATGTGGCGATCAATATCGGTTTGGATATCGTGAATCAACGGATCCTGATGTGACTTGGGTTGGCACGGTCGACAACGTAGCGGCAGTCAAATCCCCACCTTTAGGAGCAGCATTTACAGGGATGATGCTTGGACTGTACGCATTTGGCGAACGGCAAAGATGCATGACCCCTGCAGACTTTGCGTATGCAGAGTTCCATTAAAGAATTGTCTGATACAAGCTTATTGTTTGACTATAGTGAGCTTATCTCTAATTGTCACCCAGTATGAGTTAGGCTTGTTAGAAAAATGACAAAGTTCGACTACCCTTTGGCTTACACACTCAGATTGCAAATTATCCCGGGTCTTTATTAAACAGTACATAGTATCTCTCATGATGTCTTCATGTGGGGGAAGCTGGGCTATTGCAAAAGAAGAGCCAAAATGGCCAGCCCGAGTGCCGATAGACTGCCCGAGAAGGCTTTGGAACCGACATTGGACAAAACGACAGTAGAGGTGGGCTTTGGTGGGGAAGTCGGATGCGAAGTAGCAGTGGTCGTTTTGAAAGACGATGTACAGGAAGTGTGGGCATGGTGTGAAGTGGAAGACTTGCTCATTGGGTTACCAGTCACCAGGCTGACAACGGTTGTGGATGCATCCGTGTGGGTACTGAAGCCCACTTGCGGGACAGTCACGGTGTGGGAAGACCAGGTAAGAGTCGTGCAAGGAGTCTCATGTGCCGAGGTGATCGAGGCAATCGGTCCTGTAGGTGAAGGAGCACCGGTGGCATGTTGAACAGGAACGCTGTTCGATGATGTGCTGGTGGGAACCATAGTAATAATTGCGGGGTTCTTGGGAACGTAAGGAGCGCAAATGCCGGCAAAGTATGCAAGTGCAGAATCGGTCTGCTGCTGGGAGCTGCTCCAAGCATGAACGCAAGAGTTGAACTTATCGGTAAATTCAGACGAGGGACAGAAGCAAGCAGCGTCGCTGTTGGAAGTACACTTGGGGACAGAGAGCCACGTGTTCAAGCACTTAGGCACCAAATCTGGGCAAGGAGGAGGACTGGGCGAGCTTGGCACAGCCGATGTAGTAACGGGCAGAGGAGCAGTGGTTTGCGGGTGCTGCTTGACAGACTCGGAAATAGTGGCATGCTCGGGGCAATCAGTCACAGAAGATGGGCATTGAGTCACAGTAACAACATGGGTAGTCCATACAACTGGGACTGTAACCTTAGGGGGCTCAGTGGTGTGAGTAGACACTGTCACGTCACTGGTTGTGGGCTTGTGTGATTCAACTGGAACTGTGGGCTTGTGTGATTCAACTGAAATTGTGGGCTTGTGTGATTCAACTGAAGTTGAGGGTACAATTATGGTGGACGTCGAAGTAGACGGAGGAGCAACCAGAGGGCCTGCAGGCTTCGGTCCAGAAGCGCAATCAAAGCCCATCTGATGCAATTCCAGATCCACATCACCGACCTGATCCAGCACAGAGAGTTGGAAAATGACTGAAACTGCACCGCCACACTGCTCGTTCACAATGTCGCTTCCCATGGGGGAGGTCGAGGCATACTGGTGGCAGGTGGAGCCATCCGCCAAAAGATAGGTCAAAATGAGATCCGCATCTCGAGACGTGGTGATGTGGAATTTCCGAACGGAGAAGGGAGCCTGCTGGGCATCGATCTGCAGCTCCCAGTCGTCCTCTCGGGAGAATCTTCCCTCGATACATTTGCCCTTTTTGATGTTAGAATAGACCAAGTGATCAGGTGCTGTCGGCACTTACTCCTGAGGCACGGCAGCCATCCTTGGGCGCGAATCCATCGAAGCTGAAGCCCTCATAACTCCAGTTATCTCCATTGGCCAACTCAGACCAGTCGAATCCAGACTCCTGAGCCACGGAGCAATGGTTGTCTGTATTCTCTGGACTTGGGTAGCAGAAATCAGTACCCCACCACTGTCATACATCAGTAAAAGTCAAAAGGATGAAAAACGCAATTCGCGGTATACCAAAGCATGCGTATCAGAACTGGTACCAAGGGGAAGGAAAGCAAATACGGGGTGGAACTTACAAGACCACTTGGGTGGGCGAGAGCCGTAGCACTCAGAAACATGACGGATCCAATAAACTTCATCTTGGATGAATGGAGCAGCTTTCCTTTCAAGTAAAATTGCGATAATGAATGAAAGACAGCAATGGATAAATATTAAAATTAATATGGTAGAAGACTGGGTCTCAAAATGAGACAAAGGAGAGACGATGAAACAGAAAGGCGAATTTGTCGAGTTGTCGAGTTGTCGATTTGTGGTTGATTCGCATCATGGACGGCGAGATAGAAGGCTCTTAAATCCTACAGATTCAAAGCATGAGAGCTACCAATGTCCCCTGGTATCAATAAGGGGCAAGAAAGCTTGGCGCATGATTGGCCAATTTGTTTGTTTAGTATCCATGGTGTCAACACAAGTCATTCCACGGAATGTGATGCTATACCCGCAACTTTAGCCTGGACCCTGTTTCGATGTCCTGGATTTCCAAGATAGAGATCATAGGCGGAATTTTACCCAATCATGGCGACTAGCTCAACCTCCATGCGATGTATTGCTACTCATCCCTTGATCAAGCTTAATCGGGGTGAGGAATGTTATTGACGCCAATCACATAAGGCGGAGCTTGAAGCCTTGGAATATTCCGAGCCCCATTCTGTACAGTCCCTTGCCTCGCCCTCAGGAACGCATTTTATTGTCATCATGACCTGTTTTATGAAATTCAGGGTCTTGATACTTGGCCATGCGGCATGCTACGTCTAGGTGGAAATTGCACAGGAACACCAAGTTAAGTGCTGGAATGTACCCGACTGGAGCTCTTCCCAGTGAGTGAGATCAAGGTTGGTTTTGTCGTTGTGTATGGTGCTTGTTTCTCGGGTTGTCAAAATCCACGGCCAAGTATATCCCGGCTCTTCAATCGCAATCTGGATTGTCGGTGTCATATCAATCAGCCCATTGAAAGGCTCTGCTCGGTTAGCATTACTACACGATATCTAATGCCCTGCCCTAGTTGTAGTTTCTCTCTGTCAGTTCCGGGAATCTGAATGGATCCTGCAGCTCTGCAGCATATCTGCCCATTAGGTGTCATTGCTTTTCAAGGGATCGAGGTTCGACTAGAACAGTTTAATCACATATCGAGCATAAGGCGTGCGTGTTAATTGCGAAAATCTTCCGTTGTTCCATGAAGAATGACTAGAGAGGCTCCTAGCTTGCTTTCATTTGGCAGATCATAAGGTCAATACCCTTTGCATACGCTATCACAAAGATTGGGGCGGGGTGATAGGGTGATGAGGGGTTTTTTGACATCTGAAGGCGCTAACCTATAAGTGGCAGACTAGTTTGAATACCTGGGCAGGAGATGCACACTTCAATGATTGGCTCCTAGGAGTCTAGGCCTTGAATTCACTGAAACAGGCATTATCTTTCAATTGTCTGAAAACTGCCCCTGAGCTAGACGGTTACGCAAGTTTAACCTGTGCTACCCCGAAATGCCCATACTGTTCCCATATAAGTCTCACCGAGATGGTTTGCATAACTTCTAGGATTAGCACTCTGATTCAATCTCTAATTTACATTATGGGTTGACTGAGACGTTAACCGTCGAAGTCAGTTATCTGGGCGAGTGACAGCCTTATAACGCCTATACAAAGGCAGAAATGAAAAGCAAAGTGAAGTGCATTTTGTCCAAAGATCCAAACCTCGGCTTCATCATTCGTAACGAATCGATTCCCCGCTAGGCTTGGTGCTTACTTTGTGCATTATTCATTTACTGAGCGTGGGTCTCGATCATAGAGTCTGTTTGTCCTATAGGTTCATGCTAAGAAAGCCTCATGCAACAAATCTAATGTGAAATGGCCGCGCTTGCCCAAGTTGAATATCTGCTAATCAACGTATGGAAAGAAAATCCAATTTGGTACGCTGTGGCCTGTAATGCAATAGCTGATGATCCTCCTTGTTACAACTTGTTTGCCTATGGGGAGAAGTCTAAAGGTTCGTAATGCGTTAAAATAAAAGGGAAATGTGTCAGCCGGAGGAGTTTTCCCAAGGATGCGCTATACTAGCGTCGAACCAGGCCAGCAAGAGTCGCAACCAATCAATATCCAGATTTAATGCATTCACAACCAGATCTGGTAAAGCTTCGTCAGAACAGTGGTATCCCCGATGCAGGTCATCTTCTACTCAGGTTAGAGCTAAGCCGAGCCCCTGGCTAGTTCATTTCAAATTGCGGTAGTCGTTCTTGAATCGGTTTAGGGCTTATTCAATTGAACTGTGAGATACGCTTTTGTATGGAAGACTCGACGGGAATTTAGCTTTTGGCAGGAATAAATGAGTCAAAGAAAATAGGCTGGACGCGTAATGAGGTTGTATGTGGCTGCCAGGTGGGAGCAAACCTCACCTATATAAAGCATTCATGGATATCGAAACAGACAAACGTTCTTAGGTTTCCAAAATATTTTTCATATCACCCTGGCAGCCTAGAGTTCACCATCATGACGCTTTTTACATTTACTCTTCTCGCCATTGGACTGGGTGGATCCCTGGTCCAGTCTCAGGGATATTCCTCTGAATGCACTGATATATCCTTGATTGATTCTTGGCTGATCGGAACTTGTCCCACAGACGATGGTACGGGGGAGATCACAAGTAGTGTGTATCTACCCAACAAGGTTGAGAATAGCGAGGGCACTCTGAAGGTACTTGACTGTATTGTCCTATCTTGAAACGTACTGCGCAGCTAACACACTAGCATTGTTAGTGGAAAACTGAGTCAGTAACCACGTGTCCCCCTCTCGATTGAACTTTAATAACTGAAAGTGCTCTCTAGTGGCTCGTATTGGTCTTCCTGTGATGACTGCGAGATTGTTGATAGTGGATCTACTCTGCAATGCTACTGCGATGGCACGTACGCATCCGAAGATGGAACCACCACTTTAAACCTGGGTAAGAGCGAGGCCAATAACCATATTAAACCACAATTTTAATTCTCCCAAAGAGACGTACATTGCCAACTATGACGGGCACCTCCTCTCCAACTTGACGGGTGCCATCACCTCGATCCCCACAAACTCCTCCTATGCAGTCCCGACCAATTTTGACGTCGAGCTTGAGTTAAGCAGTGAGAACAACACCTGCTCTGTTCTGGGCGCGTATCTCACCCTCAATGACCCCACGGACTGTTACTATCTCAACCTTGGAGTAGAATATACCTGGGCTTGCGGCACGTCAGTCGATAACGAGGGCTGGGAGATTGTAGGCTTTGCGGCCGAGGACTGCTCGGGTGATGCGGTGGCGACCTACACTCCTAGCAATGTCAATACTTGCTTGACCTTTTCGACCGGAGTACAAGCTTTCTCAATCACTCCTTTGTGGAACGCAGACTAGGTCATCGACATGTGGTGTTTGCCCTGTCAGCCTTAGCGATAGCCAATTGGCTTGGAGCTGGCCATTTGGAATAGATCCATGTCTAGAGAGGAAATTCAGTCTCTAGAAACGGGGCCCCAATGTACCGGAGATAATGGAGGGAAACAGGGAGATATTCAAGTACAATATTATCATCAATTATCCGTTTCTTTTCATTATCATCACTTTCTTCTATGTAAGGTTGCCGTGTCGCTCTGAATAGACACACCGATACTTGCGCAGCGAGGGTAAATGCCATCATTAGTAGTACTCGTCCAGTCCCAGACTGGAGAAGTCAGGTACATCATCCCCGCACTTGAAAGAAGGTGAATACGCTTTGTCCGGCAGGAATCCCCCTTTCCACGCCGTACGGTAGCTCCACTGTGCTGCGGTTTCGGTGCGCCAGGTCCAGTAGAACCAACCCATGGCAGTCTCAAAGACAGACATTTGGGCTTCGGCGTAGTATAGGAGCCATTTCTTGTATGCGTCCGAGTATTCGGAGACGTCGGCGTTGGCATCGGCACAGCTACATGTACCCTCGCTGGCAGTGGGACAATATTGCGTCGAAGAACTCGTGTCATATGTTCCTTCCCACCTGGTACCACGACCGACGTTGTTCAAATACTCCGCGCAATCAGTATCAGCTTGTGACCACTCGCCACATATGGTGGGGCCCCATCCGGAGCTGGTGCTATTAATGGCTTCGATCATTGTATACCAGCTGCTGCAGATAAGCTCAATTTTGGCTGTGTGGTTTAGCACAATCTCGCCGGTGTTGAAGGTGGTATATTGGTGCGTGTCCAGGTACATGTTGTCCGGGTGGTCCTTGAACATCGCATCCCATTTATCCAGATTTAGGAACCCGTCATGGAAGACGATGGTGGCATTCACACCGTTCTGTCGGACCAGTTTAGCTGTCTGGTTGTTCCATTCCAGCACCTTTTCCACAGATAGAGAAAGCATGAGCGGCTCATTGACAATACCATACATGGTCACAATGTTTTTGTATCGGTCTTGGGCAAAGAAGGTCGACAGTTGATCATGAATCTCCAGACTTCGATTAGCGTTCAACTCCCCATCTGTTCCATTCAACCAGCGTATCTTCCCTTGATGGCCACTATGTTGCCATCCGTTTTGGCTACCAGGAACGCCATGGAGATCGAGTTTGATTCGGAGTCCATATTTGCGGCAATATTCGATTGCACGCAGCAGGTATCGCCAGGAAATTTTGGCCACGTAGGGATCATCGTCATAAACCTTGACTGCCCAGTAGGAGTATTGGATACGCACATGGTCCAACCCTGCTTCTTTAATTTCGGCAAAGTCCTGCTCCGTGTAGAAGGTGGCATAGTGTTTCTCGATGGTTGTTGCGGCGCTGGAGCCCAATTGCTCACTCAATGTCCACTCATCAATGATACCCTCATCGGACGAGTAGGTATCAAACAATGATGGCACAATCCATGGTTCAATCGACAGCCAGCCGCCAATGTTGACTCCTCGGATAGGCTGTGAACCATAGGGAAAGGCTTCATTTAACGGCGGCACGTTGTCATTTGGTCTGGCAGAATCATCCCACGATGAGTTGAGACCCATGATGTAGAGGCCACCAATGGTCTCATTTGTAAAGGTAAGATTAAACCCTTCGGTCTCATACCAAGTAAAGGGATCAAGAACGGTTCCTTGTGCATATGACTATTTTTAGGTCAGTTTCATAATTCGCTTCTAGTCAAGGGCGAAACTCACCGGAATGCTATCTCGACTGATAGTGTCTAGGTTGGCAGTCAAGTTGCTCGAGGAGCTTGATGAGCTCGAGGAAGAGGAAGAGGATGAGCCTGTCGCTTTCTTCTGTGATTCAATGACTGCGATTGGGATGACAATGGCAAGCAACAGCAATATTCCAGCCATCGTTCCAATCCAGATGCGTTTTTTCCTGGACCATGAATCCCAGAACTTCCAAAATGGCCGTCGCTCAGTACTTTCATAGCTCCCTTCCCAACCATTTTCATATTTCCATGCCTGTTCCATCGCAGGACCACCACCGCCACGACGACGAACATTCATATCCGGGCTGTGGCCTGCTTCCAAATAGGACCCAGATACGACTCTAGCTCCAGACTGATGTCGTGACCTTCCTTCGAGGAATTCAGCGCCCAGTGCACCGGCTCCTGCCCCCAAAGCGGCTCTTTTCCGTTGTCGACGCTCTCTGCGGTCATGGTCTTCATCCGAGCGGCGCCTGGAACGTTCCCGCGCTCGCTCTCGTTCTCTTTGGCGACGTTCCCATTGCTCCGGTAAATCCTCCATCTCGTGCTCCGAGGTCTCTCGCGCCAATGTATCCGCGGCAAGTAAATGAGACGCACTGCTTGTCGACTCCATGCTCTGATGTTTCTTTCCAATAGCCCCCGCAGCAGCAGCTTCCACGTTTCGCTCTCGCTGTCTCTCTCTTTCACGCCGATCTCTTCGCCTCTGTCTCCTCGCCTCCGCATCAACATCGAGTTCCCCTGTCCGGTCTCTGTCCCGATGTCTTCGGTCTCTCATTTCCTTTGTAGGACTCCCTTCCCCCTCCACAAGATCCCTCCTCCGCCGATGTCCATCGCGATCCCGCTCCCGATCCCGTTTCTTGATAGGCGATGTAGCCGGCGACTCCTTTGCCTTGCTCTCCTCCTCCCTCCGTCTCCGTCTCCGCTCTCTGCGCCTCTGGTCTTCTTCGTATGCATCACTTCCATCTCGCTCCTGGTCGTAGGAATCATAGCCCGTGTCCTCCCCCGGAACCGATACTTTCCTCTCTGCGGATCCGTAGGACTGGACACTGCGCCACCATCGTCATCATATCTCCTCCGTCGATGCTCCCTTTCCCGTCGACGCTCTCGATCGCGCTCTCGATCGCGGGATTGCCCGTGTCGATCGCGGCTACGAGACTGCCCCGGCATCCCCTGTCGACCCTTAACAGTGCCACCGCAGGACTGGAGGCTTGTAATGATCAATCATGCACGGATCTTCCAAGCTGATTATGGGGCTTAGTGCGCTGCAGCGGGCCGATCTCGCTCTTCCGGGCCGCTCAGGGGCGTGGAATGCTCCACGCGTGGGAATTGGTATGAGCCCCGCGCAACGTGTTCGGAGAATCGGTGTGACAATTCGGATTATCTATTTCCGCGGGTGGTTTGGAAATCCTAGGATCGTAATGAGAGCAATTATCGGAGGCAAGTCGCAGGCGTCGAGTGGGGAAACTGGGAGTTGTTTTGATTTCCTTTTCGCACGGCGCGTTAGTACGGAGTACCGCGTAGGGTGGCTAGACACGTAGCAAGGGGTTTCTTACTGCGCGAACGATGAGGGCTCGGTCGCAATATTCTTTGCTGTGCTCTTTCAATGTGCACAGTTGCTTATCTTGTCCAAGGATGGTGCGGACAGTGAAGTGTGCTCTGTGGAGTTTGCGATTTGAGGAACGCGTAAGTGGTGGAGCTTGCGATAGTCAGGGTCTTTGATCGCAAAACATCGTCTATGGCTACTGGGATAGTGATTTGAACTTTTTACTTTATTTTGTATTATGGTTCTCGTCCTCAGCTACCACACGCTTCTCGTTGTCAATCCCAAAGTCTGATGGGCAGGAACTCGTGTCAGGTCAGAGCTGTTTCTTCGGTTGTTCAGTCTCGGGGTCGGCCATTCGGTCTCGGTCTTTCAATTTTCGCTGCCATCCTAAGTAAATCGCCATGAAATCATTCAGAATATTTTGAGATCAAACATTATAACTAGCAGCCTTTAAGGTATAAGTCTTGGAATATCCCTGAGGACCTGATTCACGGGTCTGGTGCCAGATCAACAAATGGAGGCTTGCGGGAAGCTGTAGTACGTGGTCGGCGATGACCATGGATATATATCTACGCCGATCTTCAGGCCTACTACCCCACTCGCGTGAGACTTTAAAACCCCCCCAAGGCCCGTCAATTTTGAAATCAGAGAAAATAAATTATCTTATCATTCCTGCTAAAATGGTAAACAAAATCCAACCTCGCAGGGCTGAGCATCTTGGCTCCCTACTGCGCCCTGCAGAGCTTCTCGAAGCTGCCTCCAGCAGTACAGACCCAAAGTCTTTACAAGAAATCGAGAACCGAGAGATCGCAGGGATTGTGAAGGACCAAACCAATCTCGGATTCAGAGTTGTCAATGATGGAGAGTACAGACGCACTCGTACGAAAGCTTGAATCTTTTGCCAAACAAACACTAACTTTGCTAGTATTTTGGGGATCTTTCTTTGACCAGCTTGATGGCTTTGAGGAAGTCCCATTGGTAGCAGAGCATGTTCGAATGTATCTTCCTAAGAACAAAGCGCTTCTGGAATACCACATTGGAAGTACTGTTCTATGCACGAGCAAGATCAGACACCCCGGACATAGCCCACACCTGGAGGAATTTCTCTATATGAGATCTCTTGTCGACCCGGACAGACTGGGGGATGTCAAAATCACCATTCCCGCACCCCACTGGTACCATCTCCGGTATAAGCATGGTCATGCTTACAGAGAAGATGTTTATGCATCCGACGAGGCATACTTCAAAGATCTGGCTGCTGCCTATCGAAAGGAACTACAAATCCTGTACGATGCAGGTCTGAGAAGGGTTCAAATAGACGACCCCGACCTGTCATGTGAGTTGAATATACTTTTCTTTCACGAGTGTGTTTTTGATATTATGATGAACCGACTCTGACACCTGGTGGCTTGCAGACTTTTGTTCTAAGGATGTCCTAGAAGGCTGGGCTCTTGACGAGACAAACACACAATCCCCCATGGAGCTACTTTGTTCATACGTTCAATTGTACAATGACTGCCTTCAAGAAGTGCCTCCTGACATGCATATCGGAATCCATATTTGTCGAGGCAATTTCACGGACAGCCGATACTGGTCGGCTGGCGGCTATGACACGATTGCTATTCAGCTGTTTCAGGAACTCAACGTCAACACTTACTACTTAGAATTTGACACTTCACGAGCCGGCGGTTTTGAACCTTTGCAATTTTTGCCAGTGGAAAAGAACGTGATATTGGGTGTCGTGTCGACAAAATCGGCAGAATTAGAAAACATTGCAGAGCTAAAAGAGCGCGTTCTCAAGGCTGCCAGTTTTATCGCGAAAGGAAATGGTATCAGCCTTGAAGAAAGTCTTCGGATGGTAGGCGTCAGCCCTCAGTGTGGATTTGCTAGCAATAGTCGAGAGGATCGATTCACGAAGGAGAAAATGTTGGACAAGTTGAAGTTGGTGAGAGAGCTGGCAAATGCTATCTGGCCGGGAGAGGCGTAATACAGGGATATATGTTACGAAGGCGGTTGCTCGGCACTGCAGGACTTTTACTGATCTATGTTCGCTTGGCTTCAAGCTCCTGGGTATCCCAGGATTGCCCATAAGCATGCACTGGATTGCGAATGCGGCCTAGTGAGGCATTACATGAAGAATGTGTCAGAGAGATCAAGTACAAATTGGATATGGAGTCTGAGATTGAGAAACACGATGTCTATAGCAACACCTACTATCTTCGTATTGAAATAGTCCTCAATTCAGTCAATACTATGAGCTCTCAACGTACTTTCCAGCAGTTCCATCCAGTTGAGCCTCCAAAACCGCACTTTTCCCACTAAGGACGCTTTGGATTGCCTCGGGGAGCCTTTGTGCCAATTCCGCCACGTTGGAGGCCCGGCCGGCCCACAACTCCCCACCAGCCGCAGCTTTCGCAATTCCAGCATAGTCAGGGGTGGGCACAAATGAGATGTTCAAGTCCTCATTTGTAGCTCGGGAACCATCGCCATTCGGGTGAACCAGCAGCATACTTCGCCGGGGCGCATTCCATCCCTTGTTGTTCAACACGATGGTTAAAATAGGGATATTGTAGCGACGTGAGATCCAATAAACTGAGCCCGGGACGGAGAACAGGAATGTACCATCACCGACAACCTGTACCACAAATTTACCCTTACCAGGGCCTCCATTCTTCACATCCGATGCTAGCTTGATTCCAAGCGCACCACCACCAGACCAGCCCAGACCGCCACCACCGCAGTTAATCCAGGAGTTTGGCAATGTCGCAGCAATTTGATCCGATACAGCGTGTGTGAGTGTGACCGATTCGATTGCCCAGATCGTGTCTGTAGGGCAACCCTGGCGAACTTGCGCCATAAGATATGAAACGTTGAGCAAGGCATCGTCACCGCCGTCTGGCAGAGCAGCCAAGTCTGTGATCTCTTGTCGTCGCTTTAGATATTCGTCGTCACGCTGCTGCCCCATGATTATATTGTCCTTGGATCCAATGTACTGTTGGATCTGGCCGTTGATGCCGATATAGTCGTTAAGCTGCTTAAGTGCGGTAGTTGAGTCCGCACGGAATGTAGCCATCGAGTTGATGTAAAAAACAGGGATTTGTTGCTTGAGAGGGTCGACATCAATATGAATAATCTTCGCCGAGTCGGAGGGCTTGAACTGAGTTGGCACCCATGGTACATCACAATCAATGACGATGATAAGATCGGCGGTCTTCACAAGATCGTGACCGGGATATCGCAATCCCAACCAAGCCGGATGGTTGGCAGGGAAGCACATGTCGCTTCCTCCGGTGTCTAGAACTCGGATTCCCTTGAAGTGGTTTGCCAAGGTGACCAGTTCCGTCACAGCCTGGGCGCTTCGTCCAGTATATCCAACCACTACCAACGGGCGTTTGGCATTCGCAAGCTCGGATGTGATCAACTCGACTCCCGCTGGGGGCAAGGCGGCGGGTGAGACAGGTCCCCACACCTTTTGGTTCAATTGATAAGGCTCAATCTCTTCCTCCATGACCTCTCGTGCTCCAACAAGATATACCGGACCCTTTGGGTCACTCGTGGCCCATTGCAAGGCCCTGTTCACTATTTGTTTCACATTTTTCCCAGTTTTGAGTTCACCAGTATAACGGCAGTATTGTGAGACAATTTGCTTTTGGTCCGGCACATCCTGAATCCAGTGGATATACTCCGTCCGTGAACCCCTCGTCTCTCCCTCGATTGTGTATGGAGAAAGACCAGCAAATATCAGGACCGGAGCTCGGCCACAAGAGGCATTGTGAACCGCGGCACCTAAGCCTTGAGTGCCTACATCGACATGGACGATAACAGCTTGAGGCTCACCGGTGAGGCGAGCATATCCATCGGCCATTGAAAGTGCTACCATCTTAACAACAAAATTAGCCCTGGCTCTCGTCCCGAACAGACATATTGAACACCACTGAGACCGCAGGTCCAGAAACATCGGAGAAAAGCACTTAGCATACCTCATTGGGACATGTGATGATTTTCGGAAATTGGCCTTTCTTCTCACGCTGTCCTTTCAGCATAGCCTCGAGAATCGACGGGTGGTCTGACCCCAGATTAACAAAGACATGGCTAACGCCACCCTAGGAAAGAAGACGGTATTAGATGAGTGTAGGGTGAATAACGATGTTCTGGCCACCAACCTCCCAGAGAGCCTCGAAGAAGGCAAAAGATGCAGTATAAACCCTGAGAAATCAACAGTGAGATTTTAGACAAAGAAACGTGGATACACCGACATACATCACTGTGTTCTGAATTTTCTTGTTGTCCAAGGAGATTCAGGGCAGCAGCCAGGTAAAATAGTTGGAGAGAAAAAGAAGATCATCGTAATGCGGGGCAATTCTGTGCTTCTTGCTGATAAACCAAGTTGGTCTGTTGCGTGGAGTTGATCATCTCGGACACAACTCCGAGATGAGGGGATGTGGGGGCAACGCGATGCCAGCATCGTCCACCGGGTCGATTTGCATCCACCAGATGATTCGCTATCTCCTAGTCCCCAGATGAATGCTCTTTTAGCCAAAGTTGGCTTTGAACCCTCGAAGATGCAAAGCAGATTTTTTTTTGGTTTGCATGGCCCATACTCTTGCATCGGAGACTCCGGCAAAATTCAAATCCACTTAACCGGGACACCCATCTTGTTTCATGAGGTCGTAGGAGTCGATCGTATCAACGCCTGCCCAATGGCAAAGCCATCCGCAGGTCAAGAGCTCAAGGGCAGTAGCAATAAAAAAAAAAACCATCGAACTGATAGCTTACACTCCAGGGTCAACAACCGTTGTGCATACTCAGGCTCTCCTCATTCTTTTGATCTTCACAATCCATGGATCTGCCCCTGGCTTCAGATTAACCAGAACGGAGGATAAGAAGTCGAAAGCATAAGTGTTATTTTGTTTTGCGAGCAGGTCGCACTTAATAAATCGAGTCCGCTTCATTGGTGGAAGATAATGTTCAACCCTTGCTATACCCGGGAAGATCAACGCAGCAAGCCCTTGTTCCCCAGATTCTTCCAACCGGGGGAGATTGAATCTTTTCCGTCGCTCCCCCGCAAATGGAAAGCCTTTTCTCCGCAATTTCATGTTCGGCATAAAGATGTCCGACAGGATAGACTGACAGGGGGCTGCATAAATATGATGCCATTCAATCCTCATAACGTATTGTAGGTTGTAAGAAAACACCATGCATCTACTGGAACTCTCCTCAGTGCTGACCATTGGGTTAGCGCTCTTAACCCCTGTCAATGCAGTTCCTACCACTGGAAATGTTTGCACGGTGAAGGCAAGAGGCCACCAAAAAGATGATGTTGAAAATATCCTCCAAGCATTTAAAAAATGCGACAACGGTGGTACCGTGGTTTTCCCCGAGGATCAGTCATACTGGATCGCGACACGATTGAACCCAGTGCTTACTGATGTGAAAATCGAGTGGCGCGGGAAATGGACAGTGAGTGATCCATTCCCAAACCGAGGTCAAGTACAAGCGTAAATAGCTAACGATATGAAGTTCTCTGATGACTTGAGCTACTGGCGCAACAATTCCTATCCAATTGCCTTCCAGAATCATCACGCGGGGTTCATCATCTCAGGAAACGGGATCAGCATCGATGGTTATGGAACAGGCGGAATTGATGGGAATGGAAATGTGTGGTACGATGCGGAGGAAGGGACTACGCAGCCAGGTCGACCAATGCCGTTTGTGTTCTGGAACGTGTCAGATGTGAATGTGGAAAACTTCTACGTGAAAGACCCACCACTCTGGAGTTTGAACATTATGAACGGCACAAATATGCGTTTCAACAATATCCTATGCAATGCCACCGCAGTCAATGCACCATATGGCGAGAACTGGGTACAGAATACAGATGGCTTCGGTGAGCAGCTTATGGTCCCTACTATCAATCAACAGAATATTAACAGAGCCTTCCACGAAATAGATACAATGGATGTGGATAATGTTCAACTCACCAACCTGGTATACCAAGGTGGCGATGATTGTATAGCGATCAAGCCACGTTCCTATAATGTTGATATTCGCAATGTGACGTGCCACGGAGGAAATGGCGTTGCCATCGGAAGCTTGGGGCAATACCTAGAAGACTCAGGCGTGGCCAACATTCTGGTCGATAACGTGAAGATCATTCGACGCAACAATGACATGGAGAACGGTGCCTATATCAAGACATGGATGGGCGGCCTTGTGCCACAGAGTTCGTATGAAAGTGCAGGGCTTCCCCGTGGTGGTGGCTGGGGGAGCGTTCGCAATGTCATATTTTCGAATTTCGAAGTCGATGGCGCCAGTTCTGGAATTGCCATTACTCAGGATAGTGGCGACAATGGCTCATATGTTGGAACAAGTAAAATGAGCATTTCCAACGTTGCATTTGTGAACTTCACAGGCTATATCGACAAGGACTCGACTAAAGTCGCGTCGGTATCCTGCTCCAATCTGCATCCATGCTATAACATTGACTTTGACAATGTTGTGTTATACCCAGAGAACATGACCACCCCGGGCATAGGATCTTGCTCTTATACAGCTGATGATGGGGTGCATGGACTTGAAGGATGCTGAGTTGTGTTATTTTGTGCTTGGCTAGCCCATTGCTCTCAATCAACATCCAAATTTGTGGTTTCGTATTGAATTCGGTTCTTTCATTTCTTTCCTACAGATGAATTCTTCAGACACTTTGTATGTAGCAGTGATGGTAAGTGGCATGAAAAACAAACGGTGTGATCATTGACACATGTAACAATGGGAAATTCAAAATTAGGGTCCTCGTTCGTCACATTGCTGCAACATCGAGCTCTTTGGACTATTTACTCACTCGGAAAGCTCAAAACTCCATCCCTTTTAGATTTCATTTTTGTCCAGAGCATTCTATTCTGATTTTCCGACGGGGCAATTATTGCTTCGGAAACTAATATATGCCCATTGTAAGGACATTTTCGACTGAACCAGGTGTACATTTCAATCATGTCGTCAATTTGTTGAGGCAGATCTCCCCAGGCTTCGCCACTCTCATAGTCAGCCTTTGACGGGCGGTGGTACGGTTGATGAGAGGTCAGACTGGGATCGGATGGCCTGAGGTTGCCCGTCTCATGTCCTGAAAATGACTCGACAGGATGGGGCTTTCTGCCTCCTTCACTGCCGTATTCTCGATCAGATTTACCTGCATTTATACAGGCTCGGCGAACATCCTTCATATCATGGGCCAGATTGATCACAGTGGCAAAGATTTCCTCGGCTTCATCATCGCCGAATTGACCAATGCAGTCATCAATGAACGTTATCAACCTATGCATGCTATATTTACCACAGTCATCAGTGCGGGCCAACAGTACAATTCGCAGATCTCGAAGTGTTTCCTTCTTGGATCCGATTCGGGCCAACATGCATCCAGAACATTTGTTGACTTGGTATTGCCAGGCTTTTGGAGGAACAGGTACAGTGTTTGGCGGGGTCCACATTCCCTTCAACGCTCGAAGGTCGGCTAAGGTCTTTGTTCCAGACGGTGGAATCCCCTCTGGATGTGTATCGAATGGATGGAAATGCACTGTGATCTCACGTTGAATAAGTTGTAATATGCCAGTGGTCACTTCAGGATTGATCAGGTGGTGGACGCCACATAGTTGAGGTGATTGATTCAGCAGTGCCCGTCTTAGGCGTCTGGGAAGAGCTCGAATAAATTGCAAGATCCGAGTGTTATAGGATGGGTTAGTTGTTTTGTCTAAATGCAATATTCGTGTCAGCATTGTGACCTCAGCTGGTGTCAGCTCTTCAAGTGACTCCGGGTACTTCTCGAGTGGTCGAAAGTAGGGTCGATTGGGCCTACCAACAAAGGTGGGAATATGTTGCTTGCTATACTTGTGGATTCTGCACCAACTCATGCCTGTTCCGAAATATGAGTTCTATATGTGTTATCAAACAAAAATGCCTTCGAGAAGTCGGATTGTCACTGTGATGAGGTATCTGGCTGGGAAACGCCACTGTATTTATGCAGTGTCTTTGACCTATGAATATCCGAGGTCTTTGTTTCTGTGAACCCAATTTGTTTCATGTTCTTCATTCATGAATACAAAGGTCATTATGCTCTGTATCCGAATCTTTGTTTATTCCTATGCCATGCTTATCATCCATTATTTGCCGTTACTGATTCTCAAAGAGTTTCGTCTCCTTCATTGTTTTCCATATTCTGTTTACTTTGCCTGGAACTCCAAAGGTTCATCAATTACACAGTTGTGTATTCTCATAAAAACATTCCCTCCAGCTAGAGATGGTACTGAAACATCCACACACTAACAAATTGAGCTTGCTACCTCAAAAAAGTCAGTTAATATATCTTACCTTGGGAGAAAGTAGATACCTTCCCTTGGGTAGTCCACAACAGATGCAAATATACCTCACATCCAGATACGCACACAGGAGTCGGCCCCTCCTGTCCCCAGAACATGGCAAATTCCCCGATCTCGATGAATCTGCTTTGGGCCCCACCGGATACAAGTAATGAATTGCTCTGAGGAATCATCAACTGTTTTCACTAGGCGTGCATCTTGTGACAAATCCCAGCACCGGATCGTTCGGTCATCACCCACAGTAATCAGGTATCTCCCTCCTGGATGGAATGCAAGACCACGGACCCAGCTGTCATGCCCCACCAGAGTCTTGATGAGGATCCCTCGGTCATTCCAAAGTTTGATGGTTTTGTCTCTACTTCCAGTAGCAATGAACGTGGAGCCCCTTAATGATGATGCCATCGATGGAGCCAGAGCAGCAATATTGGAATGGCTCAAAGCAGGGGCAAAGGCACAACACTCGATGTAGCTCTCATGGCCTGGTAGACTGGCCTTTGGTTGACCAGAAGAGGCTTCCCAGACCATAGCGGTGCGATCATTACCCCCGGCTACTATGTATACTCCATCAAACGAGGGCGCAATGTCTCGGATCCACTCGCCCCCGGTGTCAATGTGCTTCACACAGTAACCTGTTAGAATGTCCCAAATGCGAATCGAGGCATCCCGACCGGTAGATACTAGGAGAGTTCCCGTCGGCGTGAGAAATCGAACTGCCGTAACCGGTTGATCGTGGCCGTGTAAGGTGCGGACATTCGCATAGTCTGTATTTGGATCCCATAGCTTAATGGTGAGGTCGCCAGAGCCAGACGCGAGCAAGGTGCGCCCTTGGGGTCCGCCAAAATCTAGGCCAAATACCGGTCGCGAGTGTCCTCTCAAAGTGTACTTCAATACTCCAACTTCCCGGTCCCAGATCTTGATAAAACAGTCTTCGGATGCAGAGGCCAGAGATGGATAGAGTGGGTGAAAAGCAAGACAGGTGATTGCCGCGCGATGAGACTGCAATGTATGTTTTGCATTAGATCCAGGCAGCCAGGTGGTTGCCATCGGTTCTATATCGATAGGAAAAGCACATTCAAGTCTGGATTCCAGGTTGGTGATCCTTGATTCCAGGTCCAAGATCTGTTCGCTCATTAGCCTCCTACACCTCAACAGACCAGGGACATATGCACCCTCCTCTGTAGTCGCATCACATTAGTCCACTTCCGCGGCAAAAGCCCTTCATATTTCTTGCGGGCGACAACATCGAAGTTGTTGTCCATCGGAAGCTCTTTTTCGAGGCTGGCAACGCTTTGCAGCGCATTGATGGATGCCAAATAGGCTATCATGGACTTGTGACTGTGAGGAATCAGCTGGAGGGTCTCGGCACTAAATAGTATCAACATACAGCTCTCTGGCCTGTCTATTTGTCAAGATGTGGGCCATGACGGGAAATGCTTATAACAAGGGAAGGGGAATTATCACTGTCAAGAGACAATACATATACTGCTCAACTGGATTTCGCGCCCTCGCACAAGCTGTGACTTGCATGTCATCTATCATTTTGACATGCGGCCAAGGTCACACGAAATCTTTAGTCTCGTCCCCCTACCAAAAGAAAAAAGGGTTTAATAGTGATCTTCCATTGGATATTTCTGGAGTATTTGTAAAAGAAGTCTCACGACCTGCGTCATATGAGACTCAATGCGGGTTTTTGGGAGTTGTACATGAGCAGAGGCCACCCTGTGGCCGTAAAGGAACTACCGGGTCCGTCACTCATTCCAGACATTGGCCACCAAAGGCACCAGGTATCAAGAAGTTGCGTGTCCTCTATCATCTAGGAACAAAAGAAAAAGAAAACGCCCGTCGCCGTGCAATGCAAGTGGAAAGTACGAAAGACAAGAGGAAGCAAACGACCACTTCAAGCCTTGCCCTTCTTCTTGTCCTTCTTTTTCTTTTCCGAGTCGGCTCCCGAGCTCTCGCCAGACATGCCAGGCATGCCAGGCATTCCCGGGATCGAAGGCACACCGGGCATACCTTGCATACCCTGCAGCTCCGCCAAAGCTTCTTTGAACGGATTATCGCTCACACCACCTCCACTATAGGCGGGCGAATGAATGGGCAAGATGGTTCCGATTTTCCATCCACGCGGGGCTTGGGGAGCTTCAGGGAGTTTCTCGGGGGTCGGGAGGCCACGAATGCGGAGGCGGTATGGGGATTGTTCGTTGGTCGGGTGGGCTTTCAAATACTGTGCGACGATTATGAAAAGATGGTGTTCTGTGGTATGAACAGTTAGCGCAGATCCAATGCCATTGCAAACCCCCGATAGTGGATTGTGGGGAGACACCATTAAGGCACGTACTGTTCTTGATGTTGGAGTTCACCAGGCGGCCATCTTCATCCTTCAAAAGTACACGCACTCGGCCAGGGTTCGCCCAATCCTTCGGGTGCAGCTTCTCGGGCTCCAGCGCGGCTTTTAATCCCAGCATCTGTACGGCATCCACAATGTCTCGAGCCAGCGGGTTTTCCACTGCAAGCTCAGATCCAACCTTGCGACCCTCGGCGCGGGAGCGGGTCTTATCGAAATAGACGGGGTACAGGCATTGATAATGTCTGGGGATCTCGCGCTGGGGTTGAGGCTCCGGCATTTGGGGGAACTGGGGCATCTGGGCCACAGGTGGGCTGGGGGTGGCCGTAGGTGGGATGGACACTGGAGCAATGATGGAGTCCCTGGGAAGGGGCTCCGAGGGAGCGACCTCATCGGGGTCCGAGTCAGATAGCTCCTCAACGCGGGCGTAGTGCGACATGGCGATGGTGAATAAGGGGAGTTGGGGAAGAAAATGGAAAGTGGCCTGCTCGAGTTCTGTGCGGGTGGAGAAGTGTGGGTTGGTTCTCCCCGCGCATTGACCAGTTGTCGCTGATGCATATTTCCGTACTCATAATTCCCATTTGGTCGACTAGAGACCAAGGTTCAAATGCGGTATTCTTTTTATTATACCCAGGGGTATAAGTAATTCAGTCAGGCAAATGAGCAAATTCGCAGTTAGACGAAGCTACTGGGGCCACTGGATAGACTGCTCTTAAGCTTGAAGGTTCCATCTAAGCCAATGGCAATCATAATGTCTCAAATGAACTTATATTACATTTTACCACTGATATGTAATTCAAAAGAGGTCCGCATCCAGATCCTCTCAATTCGTCTTCTTCCTTTCAGTGAATGAACATCCAGGGGTATTCTTGTGGAGTTCGGTAAAACAGCAAGGAAACGTCCATCCAATTCCTTCCTTTTTTCGATTTTTCCTCTGTTGACATGTTTGATAGGATTTTTGATAGAAATTTAAGTGATCCGGCATCAATGTCTCTAAAGCCCATAGGACACACCTTAACCCCCATAGTATAGTTATGCGAAAGAGTCGATGAATCGGCTTTATCCTATTAGCCTTTAACATTGCAGGTAGGGAAAGTGCATTGGATAATCGCAGTCTGGGTGGAGAAACCTGATAGGCAGACTGATCTAAAAGGGCCTCAGTGATCAAATGACCTTTTTCTGTGGGCACCATCTCCATGTCCTCTATTCGCTGGCAAAACTGGATGATGTTTGAAGTCTTCGAGAAAGTGTTCCTTCAATGAGACTGGCTTGTCCACGTAAACAATAAACAAGGCGGACAACTCTTTCCAGGTGATTTGAGCTGCTATCTTTTGTTTCTTCATATATCCCTTCAACCCATTCTTTCTTTCAGCTGATGGGTGGTGACATAAAGCACATCATATAGAGGAAATCATTGATGTGTGAGAAATGGCCTGGGTATGTTTGCTCATAATACTCATGAATTTTGTTGATATGATCGGCAGATTTCTTGGTACGAGGATGTTAAAGGCGTATACCACCAAATGGAATTGTTCAATTGGGATTGATACTGACGCTCAGTTACTATGGCTCCGTCGTCACGCCAGGCTGCTTCTAAGCCCCAGGGCGTGGGAATGAATTTGGAGAAGGTGGTGGCATAGACGAGGTTTGAACAAACCCCCTATTTCCAGCGTATTCGGTAGATAGGCGTCATATCTCCGCGTAGTCGTTTTAGGGATCGAGCTTGGCAAAGCTCTGGCTGATCCACTTGTAGGGCTTGGGCTTTGTCGCTGTAGCTCTGGTCTCCATAGCGAACCATGACACTTGACTTGAGAGAAAGAAGAAATAACATCTCTGGAATGGAGTGAAAGAACGATAAAACTTCCACAAAAGTAACAACTTTGCTGTTGAAAAGTAAGCAGTATTTCCGTGAGATGTCGAAAGCTACTCTGTTTATTGTTACAGGGTATCACGGAAGCCACCAGACCGTCACTAAATGCGATCAAGTGCCAATAGATTGGGTCTGATTAGCTACTATACTGAACACTCGATCCAGTTTAAACTAGGCCTCGTCAAAGGAGATTCCATAAAACGATTATTTATGAAGTCAAGACTTATCCTGAATGATCAAATTTATTGATGGGATTCAATAACTCCGTGTTCACGTCGGGGAAGGTCCAAGCGTCAAAGCTTGGAACCTACCGAGCTCGGGTAGCCAATGGAGTCATCGGCAGTCATTTCGCGAGCCGATCAGCCCAGTTATACCATGCGACGGAGCGATCGAGCCGAGGGCGCCGGGGTTACTCCGAGTGCTCTCGAGTCGAAGTCGGTGATATTTCCGTATTTCATTGCCAAAGCAAAGTTGGAACAATACTACAGAGCAGTACTAAGCCGAATTGGGTGCCCGACAACGGGATCAGTGAAGGGCAGGTGAAGACCGAGTTCATTAGTCAACTTGGACACAGTTACCCCAGGTCCCCAGGTCTCGGCGCGAAGTTGCCTAGTGGAATCGGTAAAAAGAAATCTCCGGCTAAAAGCGGGTAATAAATAATGACATCACAGATGGGATATGCTAGGTGATGGAAGATGAGCTTTAGAGAGGGTAAAGTGCAATCTTGAATCTATAAGTCACCTTTCAAGGTGTAGGTGCAAAAGGCACACCATATAGTTTATAGTAAAGCTATACGGTCAATGCATACGGGGATTCAACGACAGACGATCTTCCCCCCTCTCGGTGGGGTCTAGTCCGACCCAGGGAGGGGCTGCGTGGGATGTATGCCAACCCCGCCGGAGACACGTTTATTAAACCTGCCTCTCCCCAGTTTCTGCTCTCTTTTCTTTCTCAATTCATTTTTCGCTCTCTGAAAAAGTCCTCTGTCAAATCTATCCAATATGTCTCTCGGAAAGAAGGTCACTTTGAACACTGGTGCTGAGATCCCGTACGTCTACCCGAATCAAAACACAAGAACTGCAACAATTAACAATTTCACAGCCAGTTGGGATTCGGTACTTGGCAGTCGGCTCCTGGTCAGGTCGGTGAGGCCGTCTACCAGGCCCTGAAGGCCGGTTACCGCCACTTGGTATGAGCCTCTTCGCGCCCCTGGAGAAGACTAGTCGAGCGGAATACTAACTGCTTTCTAATCTAGGATTTGGCCACTATGTATGCTATAATTGATTCCAGCGGATTCAATTGCAAAGAGATGGATGATATTGACCGATCCTTCTTTGTCTAGCTACGAGAACCAGCGTGAGGTTGCCGCCGGCATCAAGCGTGCCTACCAGGATGTCCCTGGCCTGAAGCGCGAGGACCTGTTCATTGTAAGTATTTGATTTACTGTTGCCAGGCCGTTGAATGACGTGTTGCTAACTCAAGTTCTCATCAATAGACTTCCAAGCTGTGGAACAGCCAGCACCGTCCTGAAGTTGTTGAGGCCTCTCTGGATGGCTGCCTTGCTGAGTTGGAGCTGGACTACCTTGATGTATGTGGAAAAACGTGGGTTTTGCAAAGAACGTTGGCTAATGGACTCAGCTCTACCTCGTCCACTGGCCCGTTGCATTCCAGAAGGGTGACAACTACTTCCCCCTCGTCGCCAACAGCACTGTTGAGGGTGGTGATGTCGTCATTGACGATGATGTTTCTATTGTTGATACCTGGAAGGGTGAGTCCAAATACCAATAACACTGCCACAATACTGCCACAGCTTGTTAGCCTTGCAAACTAACTTAATGATTTCCTATAGCCATGACCAAGCTCCCCAAGAGCAAGGCTCGCGCCGTCGGTGTTTCCAACCACACTATCCCTCACGTTCGTTGTCCTACCCAGTGCCGGTTAACCTTGGATCTATACTGACTTTCCGATAGCTTGAGGCTATTATTAACGGCACCGGTGTTGTCCCCGCCGCCAACCAGATTGAGCGCCACCCCGTCCTGCAGAGCAACGACCTTATTGAATACTGCCAGAAGAAGGGCATCCACGTCACTGCCTACTCCGCCTTTGGCAACAACATGCTCGACATTCCTCTTCTGATCACCCGTCCTGAGGTGAAGGAGGTCGCTGAGTCCGTTGCCAAGCGTACCGGTAACACCGTCACTGGTGCTCACGTTATGTATGTCTCTTTCTAGTAAATGGCCATTGTTCCTATCGCTAACGCACTATTTTTTCTCAGCCTTGCCTGGTCCCAGGTCGGAGGTCACAGTGTCATCCCCAAGTCGGTTACTGCCTCGCGTATCCAGGATAACTTCAGAGAGATCGAGCTCACCGACGAGGAGGTGGCCAAGGTTAGCGCTCTGGGCAAAGACCGGAAACGTTACAACACTCCTTACACTGCTAGTAAGTGCCCTGCCATGTCAGCCCACCATCTGACAGAAGTAATTGACGTGCTAATCCCATGACAGACAAGCCTCGTTGGGACATTAACATCTTCGGTGAGCCCGAGGAGCAGCCTGCTGGTCACAAGGTGATCGTTTAAGCGCCTTGATCAAGCGAATGAAAATGAAAATATGAGACATGTATATCTGTGAACACTTGATAGGGATTCAGATAGAACAGGGCATAGAAACAAATTGGATACCCACTGCTGTTTCCCAACTTTGGAGTCTCTTTAGTGAAGATCCACGCACCGCCACCGAGTCATATATGAATGGTGTTGAGGTTATGCTAGGTTACTCTTCATTTATGGTCAAGTATATTATTGGAACGTGTGCCTAGTCCACGGATACCAAAATGCAACCCTGGGGTAAATAGATTGATGTGAATCCCTCCCGAAGTACGGTAGTGCCTGTCGAAGTAGTACTATGCCTAGGTATAATTGTGCCGACCACACCACTCTTCTTATGTCCACAAAGACAAAGACAAATTTTTAAACAAGTCAAGCCCGGCCTGCGGTCGACTCGAGGTGCCTGGTTCCAGTCTTATCCTGGGCAGACTTGGCTGTGTTGACAGACTCAGCGCCATCCAGATACTGCGGTAATCTCTCTGCCTCCGCGTCCAAGCCATCAACGATCGCATCATCCTTCCAGCCTTGCTCGGCATCAGGATCAATACCATCAAACATCTCATTGATCTCCTCCAAGGTCTTGCCTGCAGTTTCCTTCAGATAGAAGTAAGTGAAGATGAGAATAAGAACATCCAGGAGACCAAATAGTAGGAACGTTGCCCAGCCAATTCCAGCCATGATGTATGGAGTGGAGAAACTCCATACAAAATTAAACAGCCATTGGGAGCCAACACCAAATGCGACCCCCGGCTCACGGATTCGAGTGGGGAAAATTTCACTCGCACATGGCCAGGGCAACGGGCCCCAACTGAAGTTATAAGCGATAATATCGAGATAGATCAAGGCAACCGTAGCGATGCCTGCGGAGGACACAACTCCGTCCTGCGGTGGGTAGTTTTTGACGACAGCAGCGGTAATTAGCATGCACACTGCCATGAAAGCAGCTCCCCCAGCCAATACTGGGCGACGTCCAAACCGGTCGGACATAAAGAGCACGAAAATCAAACAGGCAACGACCTTCACAGCACCGAAGATGCCAGTCAGTAACAGATTCTTGTCACCAGGACCAACGATAAGGGAGAAGAATTGAGGGCCAAAGTAGGCGAGGGCGGTCGAGCCAGTCGACTGCTGTGCCAGGAAGAGGCCACCGCCGACCAGGAGCCGGTGCAAATTAGGCCCTTCGAGCAATTCACGTGGATGGAAGCCAGCCGTAGCATGGCGCTCTTCTTCAAGGCCACGCTGCATTTCTTCAAATTCCTCCCGCACTGCAGCTCCGTCACCAGCACGGATCCACACAAGACTTTCCCACGCCTCCGCGGTCTTTCCATGAGCCAGGAGCCAGCGCACACTCTCATTCAAAGTGAACATGCCCAGGCCCATCAAAGCACCTGGAACGAGTTGCAGACCAATTGGCACCTGCCACTGCTTGGCACTGGAGGGCATCTTTTCAACGCCGTAGTCAATCCAGTAAGATGCTAAGATGCCAATTGTGTAGGTTAATTGGTAGCAACTGCCAAGCCGACCGCGAATCTCCTTAGGACTCATCTCGGACAGATAAATCGGAATGACAGTAGCCGATGCTCCAACTCCAAGACCACAGACTACACGTCCGACATAAAACACTGACAATGAGTGGGTATCGATGACCTCGAGCACGACACCTATGCAGAACACCACAGAGCAGACCATCATGGCGATTCGTCTGCCCCACCGGTTGGTCACTGGCCACACGATAAAACAGCCAGCTAGTGCACCAGCCTGTTGGATACCAACAGCAATGGCACTGATCTGAGTCTTCTCTTCCGCAGTGAATTTAAATGATTGTTGAAAGGAGTCGAATGTGAGGACACCGCCTGGGGGAAGTTAGAAACAGCGAAAGCAAGAGCGGATACCAAGGGCCGCATGAGTACACACCAATAACACCCGAATCATATCCAAACAATGCGCCACCGCAACAGAGCACGACCGCAAGCCAGTAGGTGCGCCATCGGGCTTTAGATAGCCTCAATGCCTCCATTGTGGGATCTTGCGTCTCACCCTCCGATTCAGCGAATTGTTGATCAGAAGCTTGAGGAAGCTGTGAGTAGGATGGTAAAGAGGGACGAATATTCCACCAGCTGGTCAGTCCGGCCCACCAAGCTGAGAAGATAGAGTCAGGAGAAGCGGAGGCGGGCTGGGGCGGAGATCTTGATATAGAGCCGGGAATTACATGGTCGGACATGTTTGCGAAATGAGAAAGAACGACACAGCTAAATGAAAAAGACTTCCCAAATGAGTGAATGACAGTCGGTTGCCAAAGTGTAAAGTCTGGGTCGCTCGCTGCATATGGTCAACATCATCTCCGGATTCGCTGATGCGGGTCTAATTTGGGCGGTGAATTGCTCGAATAGACCAGATGTGAACGTCATGGACTGCCGAGAGCCGATGTCAATGGTCAATCAGGAAAGTGATAGCACTGTGGGTCATAAATCTGTTTCAAAACTGGTGTGGTGATTCGGACTACAATGAAATCATGAAGCGATGAACTATGAATGAGCACAAAGGCTTATCCAACGGGCTTCATGGGCGTGACTTGTACAAACTCAAAACTTTGTTACCATACGTATTCGTGTGGTTGAACACCTTCCCCGCATGTAATATTACAGCCGATTACAAAATTTCGCCAAGGGCAGAAGCCGCGTATCCACAAATATCCCGTGCGGCTCATTCCGCAGCCGAAGGCCGATTGTCGACAAGCAATTGATGGAAATATTCGGGACTGACCATTCGCGGGGTAAATCAACTTCCAAAGCGAGGTGCTGCATAGGCCCTTGAAACTTGCTATGGAAACACACTACTAGATCGAGCTTCAGGATAGGTTTTGCTTCCGACTGGAGGGTTGCAGGACGACAAATCTCGAATGAATTCAAGGATAAGCTCTGGTAGCTACCGTATTCTGTTCCTTGCAAGTCCATCTATTCCAATCATCTCATCATGCATTGTACCCAACTATGATACTATCTTTATGTACTTCATCCAGTGGCATTGTAATGAACGATTTATGACTTGCGGTGCATGGCACCGGCACCCGCCTGATTTCATTAGCTTCAGGACATCATACAGGCTGTGTGGATTGAACTTACCTGATGGCTAGGGTAGATTAATGTGTCAGCAATTACGACATTCTCTCTTCGGCCTGCGGCAAAGACCACAACCTCGGCAATATCATCTCCAGTCAATGGCTCGACGCCCCTGCAGATGAAAGTCAATTACGCGAGCCGTGTAATAGCCTATTCTGGTCCCACTTACTTGTACACGGCGTCAGCCTTGGACTTATCTCCATAGAACCGGACGACAGAAAATTCCTGTACACTTGTTAGAGAATGAGAAAGAAGAACTCGAAGGGCAGACATACTGTCTCAACCTGACCTGGGTCGATCTCAATAACACGGATTCTGGTCGCAATGAGCTCCCTTCGAAGAGAGTCTGTGAAAGATCGCACCGCAGCCTTGGTAGCGCAGTAAATGCCACCACCAGGGTAAGGCTCGCGACCGGCGATACTGCCAATGTTGATGATATCACCACGGCCACCTTCAGATCGGCTCTTGAAGATAGGAAGAATAGCCTGGGTCATATGGATCAGACCAGTGACATTCGTGTTAAACATCACATTAATGTCCTCAGTCTCAATATTGGGAGCCTGAGCAACGCCCTTGACGAGACCACTGCATGCGCACTCGGAATTAGTATTTCATCCTGCCCCTCAATTTGTTTTCGGAAAAATGACTCACGCATTGTTGACAAGGACATCAATATCCTTGAACTCCTCCGGCAGTGAGGGAACAAAGTTCTTGATCTCTTCCGGGTTGCTGACGTCCAGCTTCACGGGAAGCACTTGGACACCATTGCCGACTTCCGCACTGATCTCCGCGGCGACCTCCTTCAAGGTGTCAATGCGGCGCGCAGTTAGAATCAGCTTCAGGTTCTTCGGCGAGGTGCGCGCAAACTCCTTCGCAGTGCTCTTTCCAATACCAGAGGAGGCGCCGGTTATAAGAATTGTCTTGCCCTCCAGGCGCTTTGCCATTGCGGAAGCCATAGTGCGTCGAATAGAGGCTGGGTGAATGGCTAGAGCGAATGGGTTGGTGGTTGACAGGTAGGGTGCGGAGAGCTGTGTTGAGAATATAGATGGGAGCCGAATTGATCGTAGAGAAGTCCTAAGACGGTTCATAGAGATGTACCAGCTTTATTTGCAAGAACAAACTGTACAGAAAGAAATAGAAGCAACGGGGAGATAACGTGCGGGGACAATGGCCTGGCGTCATATCGGGTTATGTAATCGGGTAAACATTCGGCGTGAATACCGATTCCATTCCGATTGACATTGGGATGGAGGATATACAGCCTTCATGTGAGTATCTCTCTGGTGTTGTCAGTAAAGCATGCTGTTCATCGCCAGGATTGACGTGAAAATCACCTGGGGCTCGGCTTCCGAATTTAGATACAATGACAAGAATAGGTGATGATCCAATGCGTAATTATTAATTATTCTACTGTCAATGTCTATGTCTATGTGGATTGAATTTGGTATTTACATGAGGAACAGTCAATATTAACAGACACCGAGCAGCAAGCATCATGACATCCTAGGGACAGGGATGGCGGTGCTACGCCGCTGGCGCTTCCGGGAGTGAAGGGTTTCAATCCAACCATCCGGCCCTGCGAGCTCTTGGAATGCCTTTTGATTTGGCGGCGCGTCCCAAAAGTACTCTCCCTTAGCTTTCCGACGCGACTTCACGTCCTGGTCATGTTGGCGAACAATGTCTCGCAGAAGCTTGCGGACTCGGCGACTTGGATCAAGACCAGCATTATCCATATCGCGCAAGAATGAAACTACCGCCGGAAGATCGTTGCAGCTGTGCCAGTAGAAAGCCATCAACTCGTCGCAAAGGACCTCCGAGGTCCCCAGGAAGGCAGATGACCGTCCGTGCGCCTTGGCTGCACTTCGGAACTGGCTGATGAGTTGTGATTCTGGGAAATGAGTACTAAGTATCCGGAATGCGAGAAGTAGAAGCTGCGGGTAGAGTTTTGCAACTACAGGGCCAGCTGGAACCGCGTCTGGGATGTTCAATGGACCGGATGAAGGGGATGCATCAGGGCTCTGGTGCGCATTACTGCCAGAGCTGAATTCGGGTTCCTGGGCAGTTGATGACACCGGACCTCCTATATGGCTTATCATGGTGAAGATCCGCTGCCTACAAACGTCCCAGAGACCTGAATCGCCCTTGCCCTGTTCCACAGCTTGGAAAAGCTCTGATTCAATCCTCTTCGACTCTCGCTCAACGACCATATTCACTGCCTCTGTCAAAGTTATGGTGGCATCGGCGTCGGCGCTTGCACTTCTTTCCTCAAGTCCAAGGTCGCTGAGGTAGATAAGATCAGCTTCATCGATTATTTCCTCTGTTTGGCCGCTTTGGCGGGAACGGCCATGCTCCTGCTTGTCTACTGGCACCTCGTGTTGAGAATTCTTCACAGTTTGGCGCTCTTTCGCATCGGCACGAGTATCCTCCAGGATCGATTCAAAAACGCTCATAACAGCCATCAGATCGTCGGTCTTTGGCACGGACTCTGGCTTTTGTGTCTCCGGCAGCGGGCTTTGGGCCTGCTGCGTCTTGTTCAACCGGCTCATTAAGCCCCCAAACGCCTCACGCTCATTTCGAGTGATAGTCCTTGATTTCAGGTTTGAAGTCCGTTTCTTATTGCCCTTTGGTGTTGGGTCGGGGATTGAAGCACCGCGATGGCGCAGATAGCTCATGCGCCGTGGTGGATGATCGGCGGATGTTGATTTCGCGGAGTCATTCTGCTCTGGCTGGTCTGGGGCTTTTGAAGAACCATGGTCCTCCCCTTCCATATCTAGTCCATTGTGCTCTTTGGAATAGTGTCGGCGCAATTGGTGAAGCAGTGGGAAGGAGCGAGATAGTTGCGAAAGGGTGCGGGTCTGGTAGAGAAAAGTTGTAGATGAGGTCGCTGCCGACAAGAGGTATATGCGTGAAAGGTTGGCGGCCATCGGAGTGAAGCAAAAGTGCAGTATTATCGTTCAAGACAGAGTCAAGCTCAAACTGAGACTTTCTCTGAGGGTGACGTTTCCAGATGTGCCTTCTGGTTCAACCTGTGTTCTTTACTCCCCAGATTTTCTCACTAATTTTGTCACCTGACCTCGTGTCCCATGTCGCGTTCACCCGCGCAGCTCCCACTTCTACACGCCTCCGTCATATTTTGTTCAAGTTTCGGGCTGTCGTTCACCCTTCCGCTCAAAATGGCTATTGATAAATTGAATGCCCTGTCTGACATTGAAAGGCAACGCCAAGCCAATATTGCCGAGCAGAAAGCGCTGCTGAAGGAGTTACAACTCACTCAGCCCACAGGGAAATTTGCGAGTGCGGGCAAACCAGCGAAGAGTGACTCAACGAAGAGCAAAAAAAGAGCTGCACCAAAGCGGGTGAAAGAGGAAGAATCCCCCACTCCACGACGTCAATCGTCCCGCCTGCAGGGACTCGCTGCCGACAGCGAGGTTGCCAAGCGTAAGGCTGAGGAACAATATGAGGCGGCCAAAGAAGTCGAACGAGTCAAGAAGATCAGACGTACAGATTCATTTACCCAGAATGACATGTTCGTTGCCGGACAGAAGCTCAGCGGGGACAGCCTGATTGGGATTGATGTCGTCAACAAGGGTGTTGCGGAACCATATCTGCGAACATTCGGGGATGAAGAAATTGAGAAAACCACTGATAAGGGTCTCAAGGCTCTTCGCGAAGAGATGAACGGATTGCAATTATGGGATAAATGGGATCCACAGAGTATGCTTCTCTTCGCTGATCACACTCGTTCTTTTATGGACTGGAACTCACATGATATGCGATATTTACAGGGATCAAGATAACCCCCGAACGAGTGTATACCATGGCCTTTCACCCCTCCGAAACAAAGCCTTTGGTATTTGCGGGTGACAAGATGGGACATCTGGGCATTCTGGATGCGTCACAGGAGAAACTTGAGGTGAAGCAAGAGGATGATGAGGATGATGATGATCCTGACCCCGTTCTCACAACCCTCAAAATTCACACGCGCACGATCAGCTCGATGACAGTTCACCCTTCGAAGCCAACCAGTTTGTACACAGCGAGCTACGATAGCTCAATCCGCGAATTGGATTTGGAGAAGACGGTATCGGTCGAAACCTACGGGCCAGAGTCAACAAACATCGACGAGGCAATTTCCGCCATCGATATGGCTCCCGATGATCCCAATGTCATTTATTGGTCGACACTTAATGGTGGATTCGCACGTTATGATGTACGTACCCGCAAGAACTCAGTATCATCATGGCAATTGTCTGAAAAGAAGATTGGCGGTTTTACGTTGTGTCCATCGTCTTCGCACATCTTCGCCACCGCCAGTTTGGATCGCTTTATGCGACTGTGGGATCTACGCAACCTTTCATTCGACGAACCAGAGCCAGTTGCAGAGCATGAGAGCCGCCTCTCAGTCTCACATGCTGCATTCAATGGCGCGGGTCAGATTGCTACGTCCTCCTACGATGATACCTTGAAAATCTACGACATGGGCCCTAAGGGTATCTCCTCATGGGCAAAAGGCCACACAGTGCCTGATCAAGAATTCCGCCCTGATACTGTGGTCAGACACAATTGTCAGACAGGTCGATGGGTTACAATGTAAGCCGAACACGTTGTCATTCATTTATTGACACACTCTTACTGACTCTTTTTTAGCCTGCGACCCCAATGGCAATTAAATCCGCAGTCTCATATCCAGAAGTTTTGTATCGGCAATATGAACCGATTCGTTGATGTGTACAGTGCCGGTGGTGACCAGCTTGCCCAGCTGGGTGGCGATGGCATCACTGCTGTTCCTGCCGTAGCGGTCTTCCATCGCAGCAAGAATTGGGTTGCTGGTGGTACTGCCAGCGGCAAGCTGTGCTTGTGGATGTGAACACGCATGTTGTCTGGGTGTTGTTTTACTCGGTGTTTATTGGACCCTTCGCTTCTACGCGGATGGATGGTTCTTTGTTGGCTGGTCCTAGCCCTGGAGTTTAAGGTGGTGGGGATGTGAACAGCTTAAATTAGCTTCTTGTAATATACACTACCGCGAAGCACATCTATGTATCATGGCTTCTTAAATCGATGTTAGCCCTATTTTTAGAGCTTTGTCTACTAGTAGTCTTCCATTTTAGACAGGATATGGCAGAATTTGGAATCATTTTTTTGAAATTTTGCTGTCAAACCACGAGGAATCGTGTCATGGGTTCCCTGGGGTGGGCTTCAATGTAAGATTAGACTGCCACTTCATGAAAGGATATGTAATATGAATGAAATATATGCAGATCCACCCCATACCCCCATAAAAGCCTTAGACTGGTGTAAAGAATGAATATTTGTCGACTGACCTAGGCCCAAAACGAACCGACGCCCATATCCGATCCGCCACCGGGCGCAACAGAGGGACAGATACACCCAGGGGGAACATTAGTGGCAGACCAGTCCGAGACCGGAGAAGGAATGGACCGGCCCATAGCGCGGGCAAGAATATTAGTAGGGCTGGAGACGGCACCCTCACGGGCATGAAGAAGACCGAATCGGAGAAAGACCTCGGAGATGGTGACGAGGATAGAAATGACAATGAGGACAATGATGATCCATGTTTGGTCTATTGCCAAAATTAGTAAAGTGAGAATGTTGAACAATGCGCATTTGAAGTAAACATACGAGAAGTGCGGTTGTCAGCGATCGAATCAGACAAAATCTCTGCGAGGTCTAAGAAGACTCGACAGCGCTCGTTGAGCACCTGGATTCGCGGTTTGATTTCCAAGTACTCTCGTACAGCGAGGTAAAGGGGGTACAGTGTAGGCTCGCTTTCCCAGAAAAAGTTCGGAACGTCGAGCATGTTAGAGGCTAAAGAGTAATGATTAGTGACTGTTGAAACGCATGTGATAACCAATGAATACATACAAAGATTGACTTCCACGCGGCTCTTGAAGAGACGGCCAAGAATTCGGAAGACCTCTTCACGTTTCATGCCCAACTTTCCAGTCACGGCGAGACGACGGGGCACGTCTTTTGCGTCTGCCATTTGACGGGCCATGACCTCCTCGAAGAAACACAATTTTGTGCTTTGAGATATGCCATGACTGATTGCCAGCTTAATCATGTGGTCACCACTGCGCAGGGTGATCATATCATTGTACACGCGAGGGCGCGAGATCTCAGTCGAGTACTCAAAGTGGAATTCTTCTGTCTCAAAATCCTCCTCGTGAAGCGGCATTGTAGTAAGCGGAATGGGCGTTCCAGTTGCTGATGACGTTGCAAATGCCAGATCCGCCAGCAGATCTTTCTCCTGTCGCTCAGTAAAGTTCCAGAATACCACAACTCCGTAGCCAAAGACGAACATCTCCGCAACATTGTAAAGAGTCCGCGCCGGCGCGGGGGTCCTCGATGATGATGGCGTTGCTGCTGGCTGGGGAAGGTCTCGCAAAAGAGAGTGACTGTCACCAGAACTGTGCCGACGACGAGGAGGCGGGACCTCAGAAGCCTGTTGGGCTTGATCAGACCCACTCTGGCTGGAAGTGTGGAATACATCGGAGTCACCAGCTGCTTCGTGGTTCTCTTGAATGCGACTCTCCTCTTCCGAGACGTGGGTCAAGAAGCGTTCTTGGCTCTCCTCCCGCGAGCTTTGATCATCTGGCTCTTGCGGGGATGCATCTTGATGATGCTCATCCTCGGGGCGATTGTGACGTCCGACTGAGTGCTCTTCAATCTCACCGATGTAGTCGTCGTGGTGATCACGAAGTTCATTCCGTTCAATTTCCTCATCCAGCAGCGACTTGCCACCAGGGAATTTCACCACGGGACTGCTTCGAAGGCGATATCCTTCGTGGCCTGGGAGAAGTGGAAGGTGGTAGGCCGTGTAGAGACAGTCGTCATATAGCTTGGTCCGCGCTCCGTGCCATTCCTTGACAAACGACGCCAAGGATCCCATTTTGTAGGCCTGCGCGGTGCAGTATGCCGTGACACGAGCCAGCTTCTCTGCACGGCGGGCTTTTGGCAGTCGCTCGGCGTAGCTTTTAGCCTTTTCGGGTGCAATACGTCGCTTTCGGAGTAAATCTTCTTCGGCCAGCAGAGGTGCAAGGTCATTATCGACACCAAAATCCCCACCCAGACGCTTTTGCATCAGCAGCTGCCGTCTGATCAATTCCGGGTCCACTCGTTTTTCCTTGGCCAACCGATCCACAAGCTCCTCATCCACAAGATCGGCGTCATCTTGAGCTTCGTCGTCGTCGTCGTCGGCAGTATCTTCCTCACCGACGCCGCCGGTGTCGGGTAAAAGTACGAGCTTTTCACTGACTTTGGTTGTCCGCGGGGGCAGACGTGGTTGTGCCGCCAGTCGGCCAATAGTGCCGCCCGAAGTCGGCAGTCCTCCTGAGGTTCCGCCGGCATTGCCCATTAGGCCGCCTGATGGGAGTCGGCGTGGTCGCGAGGTCGGTGGAGGTTGTCGTTGTTGCATTGAGGGAACATCGGAAGCATATTGGAGCACATTATCGACAGTGATGAAACGGGTGGCGGGAGATCGGTGTCGTCGCGGTGTGGAAGCAGATTGTTGATCGCGAGAATCAGTGACCTTGAAAAATCGATTAGCTCAATATTTGCATATCAGGGATCAATTGCTTCCTCCATACCAAGACAGTCGGACTCCGCTGGCTTGTGCCCCGTCCACGAGCGGGAGGAGCCATGATTGAATAAGTCTCATATAAGATGATTGAGAAGACATTCAAGTTGCTTCCGTGAGGCTAGGCTGGATATGGGTTAGCGTCTGACGTAATGACTTTATCTTCAGTCTAGTGTGTTGACAATAGTCACTTTATCAACTTTATTAGTATTGAAGAACTTAGACTTGCTGATTTTGACATATGTGAAATGTTGATAGACTACTGATAAACTAAAATGGTAGTCAAGCAATTCATGGGTGGGCAAAGCGCTTGCACATATGAACCTTTACAGCCCAGCTTCATTTGTGGATTAGGTAACATCATGTTGAATTGCCTTTTGCTACAACCAGCTTTGGAGGGTGCCTTGTATGGGCAGAATATATCTTCCATTATTGCAATTTTTAAGTTCCTTTGACTATTGATGCAAATTCCAGAGAAGGATCCATTCCGTTCAAATGTTTCGTACATCATGTCTAGCTTCGAGAATATATAGTGGGTAATATATCACCTAGGCAGATGACAAACCACAACTGCATACTCAATCACTTTCATCTCCAAAAGCGCACACTTACGCATTGACGGGACAGACCTGTTACATAGCCTAGACAGGGGGTGAATCACTAAAAAGCTAGGCGACCCTAAAATGTCCACTAGGTATAACTCCAACTCCCTATCCTTCAAATGCAAGAATAGGTTAACATATGACTGGTACAAAACTCAAGCTCCGCTGACCTCCTAAGTAAATCTAATAAGTCATCTGTCATGTTCTATGCATGAAAACCTTGGAACGTGCTTAAATAATAGCTACAAGGGTGTTCACTGTGAATCGGCGAGATGTCCGACCCGCATGGCATGCCTTGCTTGGCGCACCGATTTACCAAACCAAACAAGGGTTATCGACATCCTCTGAACGATCAACCAAAGGCAGAGCTTTGTAATGACCAAACTGTTCACAGGATAAGTAGTTTTTTCAAGGTTCAAATTCTTGTTCTTTTTCCAACATAAATCTGGATGTACAATTCCCACTGCTAATGCCAAGCACTAGTGTCACGGACCCGGTCCGGCACCGGTCTACAACCCGGTGCAGCTTCATTGTCACAAGATCTGATCTAGTATGAAGCCAATAAGCGAAGTTCTAGGGTATTCTTGCAAGCTCTAGATCATTAAGGCCTGTGCATAATTTTTGAATCTTGCTCTTGTTCAAGTGATTTATGCTTGATGACCTACGGACACCTGGACGCATGCGGATAGGAACTTCTTAAGTGAATTTTTAGATCGCAAACGATCTCCAGAACCTCGTTGTTTGCATTGAAGCCGTATATTTGTGCGAGATTACATGCGAATTCAGACTAGATACTGCAGTAGTAGCAAACTGGGTTGCGACTGGGAGATGCCAAAACTTTGCAAAGCCGTGTTAACCGAATCGCCGAGTTGATGGCTGATCAACATCAGTCCTACCACATTGGAACCGACTAGGCTCGAAATTCTCAGATTTGGTCCAGAACAGTACCGCACACAGACTCCTGTCATGTCTAGGGCGCAGACAATGTGAAAGCATTGGGTAGATGTGGAGCCAACCCACAAACGACCGAGTTTTATTTGCCTCTTACCCCAACTTATGACTAGGACCCTGCGAGAGTGGAGCTCAATTTACATTCGCTGAAATCTGCTGGTGCTTTTTTCTTATAATCGCTAACCCCACCAGAACCTGCATTTAGTAAGTTTTCTTTCAGACAATCTGATGTGATTCACCAATACAAACATGGCGGACCATTTCCCAATGGAAGAGAACTTGCAAAGAGCACTTTCAGCGACAGGTTCGTCTAAACAAACCAGTTTAGTTCCCCCGCCAGTCTTATTAAAAATTTACTGCAGAGAATGTAGCCGTATCTCCCAGTGAGCTGTCTAGAGACTCGGACCAAGACTCAGAGGCTCTACATGAACCCATTCAAGAACGTTACGACAACCCATCACATGCTCGCTTTCGACGTGTGGCTTCAAAAACAATTGTATCGTTTGGGCCAAATGACCCAGGTAACCCTGTCAACTGGAAAAATGTACAGTAAAACCGGACACCCCACATGATTAGAGCTATCTAGTGCCGAGAAGGCCCTAGCAAAGTAATATCGTATACTAACAAATAGCCCAGAGTCGCAAAAATCTGGTACTGGCTGCTGGTGTAATGCAGGTGAGTGGCTACCCTAAGCAAGTTCCTCATATCTATCGTTTAACATCCTGGGATACGTCTAGGTTATGAACAGCACCATTGCTTCATCGATCTGTAGCAACGCAATTCCTCAGATCGCAGCGGAATTCAACATCAAGAATGAACAAGCTTTAGTGCTGCCCATCTCCATTTTTCTGATCGGATACATCCTAGGTCCCCTTCTTTGGGGTCCTAGCTCCGAGTACTTTGGGCGTAGGCGACCTTTGCTTATCGCATACTGCGGCTTTATGATCTTTATGCTGGCATGTGCAGTAGCAAACTCTTATCCGTCGTTATTGGTTTTCCGCCTCCTGAATGGAATGATGGCATCGGCACCGATCGCCACAGTGGGTGGACTGTTTGCTGATGTGCATGATAACCCGACCAAGAGAGGCCGTCTAATGGCCTATTTTATGGCGGTAGGCGAATTTCATATCCGTTGATATTTGTCAATCGCTAAGATTTCACAGTGCACTACTTTTGGACCAGTCGTGGGTCCCTGGGTATCGGGTTTTGTCGCCGTTGTGAGTTGGAGATGGTGCTTTTGGATTGGCCTCATCTGCTCTGGTGCCTCTTTTCCTTTGATTGTTCTAATGCCGGAGACCTATGGGCCCGTTGTGTTGAAACAACGTGCGATGAAGTTACGCAAAGACACTGGAAATTCAAATATCGTGTCGCCACTGGAAGTGGAGAGCCGCGATGTTCGTCAGATGTTCCTCATCACCATCTCCCGACCATTCCGCATGATACTCCATGAGTCGATCGTGTCACTGACATCTCTGTATCTCGCCCTTGCATATGCAATCTTTTACCTCTACTTTGAGGCATACCCCATCATCTTTCAGGGTTAGTCCTCTTTCCCGCTTGTATTAACCACATAATTTGAGCCCTCCATATTAATCCGATTCGGACAGATTTATACGGAATGAGTGCTGGTGTTGCTGGTTTGATGTTTTTGCCAAGTAAGTGTTTCACTCTGTTGTAGAATGAAAACTTCCTAACTCAATGAGCAGTTGGTATCGGTGCCATCCTAGCCTGTTTCGTCTTCCTTTGGTATGACGGCTACCTCGCTCGAGCAAAGGCTCGCAAAGCACCCTGGGCCGAAATTGAAGAATACAGGCGACTCCCTCTCGCCTGCCTCGGTGGTCCTTTGTATGTCATTTCGCTCTTCTGGGTGGGCTGGACTTCCTCTGAAAATATCCATTGGGTGGTACCATTCCTCTCTGGAATCACCTTCGGAATGGGTTACCTTCTGATTTTCATGGCTATGCTGAATTATCTGACCGACGCATACGAAACACTATCGGCCAGTGCTCAGTCAGCTGCGAGCTGCACCCGTAGTATTCTGGGAGCAGTGCTGCCCCTTGCAGCGAAACCCATGTTCAACCGACTGGGTATTCACTGGGCATGTAGCCTCATTGCCTTTTTGGCCTTGGGCGTGTCTGTTATCCCATTTGCCTTCATCCGCTACGGTGATCGTATAAGAGCCAATAGCAAATTCTGTCAGGAACTGAAACGCATCAAGGCATTGGAACAGCTGGAGCTTGAGCGAGAGAAGAATCAGCATTCCGAGGACCATAATCTGGAGAAGGTCCCAACGACGCACACTTGTCCGATAACAAGAGTTGATACAGCCCGCAGTCAAGCGGACAAGGCCTCCATCATATATTGAAGCGGCCTCAAAATCGGCTTATCTCAAAATCGTTGATTTCATTACTAGAGTGCTTCTTTGTTGCATTGCTTCCTGGGCGGTTGTGAACTTACCATGAATCTACCCTAATGTCTAAAATTGATTTAGCTGAGCGATTTAAATTGTAGCGACAGTTCTTAGCATCTCTCATGCATAATGTCTCTTGGTTGTTTATGATTAGATAGTAGCCGCCTCTAATATCTATAGCCGAGCTTCCCACATACTCATTCCGCATAGCTTTGTTCCATGATACATTGCAGACAACCTGGTTAGCACTCGGGCAGGTGATTCTTTGTAGATATATCGGCTCTTTTTCTACTCTCGTTTGAGACCAACCTTTCCCACTCGCCGCAGTCCCCAGGCACTGATTCCTATAGCAGCCAGCAAAAGTCCAAAACAGGCCCAAAAGACCGCCCGATACCCGGCCATTAGAGCCTCCGGCGAACTTTTGTTATTGTATGAGGATCCATCTGTGACACTAGCTGCGATAATGGCAAAGGTAGTGAGACCGATTGATGTACCGAATTGGGCGATAGTGTTAAATACAGCTCCTGCAAGTCCTTGTGTCTTGGGCGAAAAGGAGTCCGCGATAATCAGGTTTGCGACAGTAAATATCACTGTGAATGATTAGGTCAATTTCCAAACAAAACGGTTAAGGCTCGAAGGTGTTTTTACCGTCTGCGGATAAGGGACCCAGTATCATTACCCAGAACACGCAATACCACCAGGACCATTTGGGATCAATTATCGCCATGAGTAGTGGAGAGGCGGCGGAGAGAATCGAGGTGATTAGGACAAGGTAGTTAGCACGAAGGCGATGCACTAAGAGTCCCGTACCAATATTGACGATAATTCCGATTATGACGTTAGGTAAAAATCGAACAGCTGCTTGGATTGCAGACAGTTGTTGAACTTCTTGCAAGCTGGTTTTGAGTCAGCCTAGTGCACCCGTGTTATTGACGATCAAGACTTACAAAAGACTCATAATGGTCTCCATTCCGTTCAACACCCCCCAAGTGAAAAGGACCATCACACAGATGGTTGCGAATGCCGTATTATTCCATAATGAGTTGGGGATTAAGGCTGGTCTCCCAGACTTTTCTCTCCATTGCATCCAGGCCCAAAAAGAGGGTATCATAGCAGCAGCCACACAAAGCAAGCTTATATTTTCGGGGTTTCGAATGGTGGATGGTTTATCAGTAATGTTGCTTTGCAAAAAGATCAGTTCGAGGTTCGCCTCGTGACAGAACGCAGGACTCACGCGAAAACATAAGATATGATTCCCAGGCACGCACTCGAAAGAAGAATGCCCACCCAATCGATCTCGGTCCGGAGTCTGCAAAACGAAAACGGATCTCGAGGCCTGTCTTGAGGTAGTTTTAAAAAATTCACAAACGTCAAAATAAAAGTCGCTCCCGCACAGAGATAGTAGCCGAATCTCCATCCGAGGGTGGAATCTTGGAAGATTCCACCTAAAACAAGACCCACGGAAAAGCCAAACGGTTGACCCAGCCCGAGACAGGAAAACCCAATGTTTCTACGTTTACCTGCAGGCATGCTGTCTGTCATAATACTGAAAGCAGTTGGGAGACACATCGAAGTCGCAATACCTTGAAAGGTGCGAAACAGGATTAGCTGGAGACCAGTCTGTGCCAGGCTGCAAGCGAGGATGAACACTGTCAAGAGACAGCATCCGACCAGATTGATGATTCGATTCCCGAGGAAATCTGCCAATGAACCCGCCAATAGCAGGCAGCATCCATTTGCAAGACTGGGGTTCTTGTTATCCGCAGATCCCACAAGTGTAATGGAAGAACACATACGAGTATACAGAGGCAGGCCTTTAGTTTTCCAATTCAATCATGTCAGATTCGCAGTACTTAGCTGAAGAATGGAGAATCACTTACCATAGAAGGAGGTTATCAGGTAAATTCAAGTCGGCTGCCATGCCAGGCAGACAAACTGTTAGAAGACCACCACTCATACTGCCAATGAAGGTCAGGCCCGTAAGTGTGATCATCAAAATGACCGCCCTAGCTCGAGAGAGTTCCAAGGGCTCGGTCTCCTGGGCCAGTCGAGAGAGCTCATCTCCATGATTGTTCAAGGGACCATGAATCGATACTTCTCGTGAAACAGAAGTGTCCCATCTGTCAGAAACCTGGTTGGAGTCGAGTGTTGCCAACGGGATCATTTGGGTCTTAGTCTGGACTGCTGTCGCCATGTCTTGCACAGCCTTCAACTGAATGAACTCGTTCGAGACAGTAGAGATAAGCAATCTAAGTGAGATTTCCAAGTTATTAGTCAGGACCAGTGACACCCTAGGTGTGGAGACACGCCTTTCAATGACAAGTGGGGCGGAAATTGGAGTCAAGTGGGCCTGACAGGGCTTCTCAAGGTAGTACACGATCTAAAGGGCAACAATTACTTTTCATCTATAGACCTCGCAACTTTTACAGGCTTAACGTCCCTCAAAGCTCCGCTTTTTCTTGTCCTGCCAATACCCCTTTGCGACGAAAATCAAACTCAACACAATGCCCAGCCCAGTCAAGCCAATTCCGAAATACCAAGCGCCGCGATACCCAAGGAGGACATCAGCAGGTGTTTTGCCACCATTGTTAATATGCACCTCGATAGTACCCGCAAATCCCAATCCAAGTGAGATACTATAATTCACAACAGTAGCAATCAAGGCCGCTCCCATACCCTGATGCTCCTTCTTCACAGCGTTCGAGAAAATAACTGTGGCCGCAGGAAACGACGTGTCCATACCGAATGGGATAACCAACATGCACACAAACACCTGGGCCCAGTATGTTCGGTGCACTGGCGCTGTCGCCACCAGTATAGTTCCCACCATGAAGCAGGTTAGTGAGAATGTCATAACCCACGCCGCGCGAACATGGTGCAGTAAGAAGCCTGTCGCGACGGACGCAAACGCGCCCGAGACCGCCACGGGGCAGAAATATGCGGCTAGGAGCAGTGGCGGTGCACCCCTCAACACCTCGATGAACTGTGACAGATAGTACACCCAGATACCAAAGCAGGCCCAGCCGCAGGCGATGCAGGCGACCACAAAGATAATATCCCCTGTGAAGACCTTGAAGGGCACAAGCGGCATCTTAGCCCAGCGAGACTCGACGAAGAAAAAGCCAACCGCGAAGAGGACACCAAGGATCAAGCAGACGTAAACATATGCTTGTTGCCAACCGTAAGCTGGGCCTTGGTTCCACGCAAAGTTGAACAGTACCAGTGCTGCGACCCCAGTGATGGCTCCAGGGATATCGAGCATTTGAAGTTTCTCTCTGAGCCCCTTATCTTGGTCATGCGAGCGACATTGTGCTGGGATGACCAGGGTGCTGAAGCCAGCCAACAGGACCAGCGCGATCGCAAAACTCCAGAATGTCCAGGGCCACCAAGCTAACTCAAACAGACCGGAGAAGAGGAAGCCGAAGACACCCCCGCCTGGTGCACATGCGCCGAATAACGCGAATGCCATGTTCTTTCTTGGCCCGGGCGGATAGGAAACTCCCAAAAGTGCAAGCCCGTTGGGTAGTAAAGCCGCCGGGCCCAATCCCTGAAGTACCCTTGCGAAAACAAACAGGTACTCATTCGAATAGACACTGAGTCCCGCAATCATGCTCCAGACAGCAAACCATAGCATGCCGATGACGAAAATCTTTTTGTAACCAAACAGATCGCCGATCCGACCCGCAACGAGGATAAAGGTTCCCGCTGTCAAGCTATACCCAGCAATGAACCAAGAAAGGACCCCGGGGTTTGTGACGCCAAAGCTATCGCCGATCTGATGCAAGATGCCTAATGTTTGGGTGAGACCCACTTGCGTCGTGAATTGCGCCGTGCATATCGTTGCGATGAAAACGCATTCGTGGAAAAGTGACATCTTCTCAGAAGCGTACGTAGAGGATGCGACTGTTTTTTGATCATTGTCGCAGGTAGTAGATGTGTGTCTCTCCGGCTTCTGCTCATCCTCGACTGCGGTTTCTTGGCTCTCATCGTCATGTGGGGATCCAGCCTCATAATTGGGCTGACCCTCCGTATCGATATCGTGCTGCGAACTCGCCATGGGTTCAATTTTTGTCTCTGGGTCCATGCCGCCAAGGCAATGATCACCCTACAAAAATATTAGACGGGTACACTTGGGTCCAAGAGTTGAACAAACCGTGATGATATACTCAAAAACCGAAGGCGATAAAATTGATTAGAAATATGGATAGCGTGGTGTGTCAATACTGCACCGATCTCAATTGCCACCTGCGATCTGGAGGGTGCAATCAATTAAATGAAGAAAGGGTAAAAAAAGGAGATTACACCAGAGCAGGAACAAAGTATATCATAGATATTGCAATGTCGAGTGATGGACTCCCAAGTAGAGGTAACGTCACGTGTTTGACGGGATCATAGACTCGCGTCGACTTGATATTCCTGCGAATATCAAGTCAACCAATTTGAAGGGTTACATCAGTGCACGGGATGACGCTGGTCTCATTGCATCTAGAATTAGGGGGAAATAGTAGTCTATTGGTAAGCTAGCAGATCGCGTAAAACTTGGAAGGCGTGGAGCGCGATTCAGCAAATACATTTGCTCAATTCCGTAGATCGGTTGCTTACTAAAATAGTTCATTTCTGGCATAGTAATTCACTGTCATCAGTGGGTGCGCTGGAGGTGGCCGTTTCCGGCCTTGTGTAAATAAGGAACTTCTCTTGCCTTTTTGCTTCTCCATTCTCTGACACCCAGGTCAGGAAAGCCATAAAATGCTGAGGTGGAGTTACCGGAGACGGAAAACCCAGCCCCACTTAAATCGAGTTGAAGCCGAACTCGCGGGTATCTAGCCTTTCCCGTGGAATATTCTTAAAAGGAGTGACCTGATCGAAATAAAGAAATGTCCGTGAAAAGTCCGAACTTAAGCGACAATAAGGTTATCGTCGGTGAGATGTTGAGGTTCGACGCCGAGAATCGGAAAGAATTTTCCAACCTCAACGGCTCAACATCCCGCTCTTAAGCTTGGTTTTTTTGGTTTTGCTCGAGTGAACGTAAAAGTCTGACTCACGCGCAAAACGTAAATTTAGCGATATTCATTTCAGTATCTGTCCACGGTACTTTTGCCAAGAACCCCTCTGTTTATCTTTATCAGATCGGCCTATTTCTCCGCCTTCAACTTTTTTTTTTCTGTCCCCCAAACCCATTTTGCTCTACAGGGAACAGGGAACAGGTTTTAAGGTAGGTTGTCCGGGTATTTTTTACTCCCCATCGTTAGGGACTCGATAAGCGACATGCCTCGGTAAAGGCTGAGCGAGAACAGCCCGGGAAACATGATCCTAGCAATTGGAAAGAATCTTCGCTAATAAATACTTTCAGTAACGGGCAAAGAATTATTTAAACTCACCTGCCACAATCTTGATGGTTGTTATTGTTTGAACCGGCTCGTCTGGGTTATTTTCGGCAAACGGCCTGCCCAGTTCGAAAGAGAGGAAGAAGGGAAAAGAAATAAAGAAAGCACAGCTTCAAAATGATCGCCGAGGCATCGTCCGCGAGCGTGCCCAAGGAGCCCATTTCCGAGGATGTCTACGAACGCCCACAAGATTCAAGCGATTCCGCATCTGGGAATGAACTTGCCCCGGGCGAGTTCAGCGTCGAGAATGTCGAGCGCATTTATAAGTAGGGACTCACCCAAAACCGCTAGGTTCGATGTACTAATGTTGTGCATTCAGTAAATTAGATTGGCGCATCATCCCAGCCCTCTGGGTGCTGTACTTTATGGCTTCGGCCATTCGCTCGAATGTGGGTCTGGCGCAAACCATGAACGAAGGCTCCGGCCACGACATCGGCGATGTTCTGCACATGACCAGTCATCAGATCTCAACCGCTTTGGCTCTGTTCTACGTCGGCTATGTGGTTTTCGATCTACCATCTAATTTGGTGATGACGCGGTTGAGTCCACACGTGTGGATGAGTCGCATTGTGATCAGTGTTGGTCTGATCGGCACCTGCATGGTCGCTATGAAAGCGGCTTGGAGCTTCTAGTATGTATACATCGTTCGCTGTATCAGAACCAGACTAACAGACAGACAGCCTGCTCCGGCTTCTTCTGGGCATTGTGGAAGCTGGACTGTGGCCAGGAATGACCTACTACTTGACGCTCTTCTACCCACCCTCTCGAATGGGAAAGCGTATTGGTCGGTACTTCACTGCTGCGCAAGTATCAGCAGCCGTCGTGGGACTTGTCTCTGCTGGATTCCAGAAAATGGACGGAGCCCGTGGCTACGTTGGATTTCAATGGATGTTCCTGGTATGGGGTGTGATCACTATCGCGCTTGGATTCGTCTTGCTTTGGTGGCTACCGGACCGTCCTGTCACACCGGGTGAGGCAGAGCCTCCTCGCGCATGGTTCATGAAATGGGTTCCTCGTAGCACCCCGGCTTTGAAGGGACGTGATGCGGTGATTCACTACCATGACTTGAAGCGTGTCTACCATGCCCCCGCGTGGAAATTCCGGGACTTGCTACATGTGTTCATGGACTGGCGTCTGTGGCCGCTCTTAATCATGTACTTTGGCGTCGTTGGAGTTGGGATTGGTGTCCAGCTCTACGCGACTCTGATTATTCAGGCAATCAACCCGTCCTTGAACGGAGTCGATGTGAGCTTGCTCACTGCTCCTATTTGGATTGTAAGTTATCCATCGAGCAACTATTACTTTACGTCTAGCTAACCGAGTGCCCAGATGGATTTGATTGCTATTCTGCTTGTAACACCTTTCTCCGACCGCTTCCATCGCCACCGTGCTCTTTTCTTCTCCATCCAAACTTTGCTCCAGATCCTGGGTCTCCTTCTCACGAGCTACGCAGGCTCTGACGAAAACCCCTGGCCGCGGTACGGCGGTTTGTTGATCGTCGGCTTCGGCCTCGGTCCTACTGTACCTATCACGATGACGTGGACTGCAGAGATTTTCCAGCCCCGTCACGGCGAAGTCGGCGTGGCAGCTGCCTCTGCCGTGGTTTCAGGCTGGGGAAACCTGGGAAGTATCATGACAACGTATGCTCTGTATTCTGGATGGGCGAGTGACGCCAATGCCCCCGGACGGCAGAAGTACCGTAAGAGTAACCTGGTGATGATCGGAATTTTGATCGCCAGTATTTTGGCGGCCGTCCTGATGCAGGTCGCTCTTCACTATACGGATCATCGGTACCGTCACACCGAGGAGCAAGAAGATGCTGTTGACGGGGCTGCACGACGGGAGGCGCAACAGCGTGGCCTGCGGGGACTAGGATTTGGGATGGGTCAGTGGTTCGGACGTGGCAAAGCTGATCAGGCGTGAAAACAAAAAGATGTGATAGATGGATTGCTTTGTTCAATCAGGGTCAGTGAACAGGATCCCGACTTCAATTGCGGAAACGAGCTGTTTCCCAGATCTAAATTCTGGTAATAATACGGGCCGGGCCTTCGTAATGAACACAAAAATGTACTGCATGGTCTGTGCTATGGTTTATGACCAATTGGGTGCTAAAAGTAATCTCCGGCTGAGCTGGCCGTGTTCCGCGATTCACTAATCCTTCAGCGATTCCGCATGTGAGGCTTTCGCTCCACTGGTCACTTGAAGAGTCAACCCCACTTCCAAGGTTAGGTCCTTGCGATGGAGTTCCAGTAGCATTTTCCACCCCACCCTACCATTAGAGTCCATCTGCAAAGGTGTAATTATCTACCATCTCTGGCCACTGAATATATGGATATCAAGCCTCAAATAATGGCTCAGGGCATCGTAGACCCTGCCAATGTTAATTACATGACATTACTCAACGAGTGATGGCAGAAATACATAAACACTCAAATACGGTACATTTGTAAAACTGCAGCTGGAGATAACGAGATCCATTATTATGCATCTCATTGCTGGCGACGTAAATATAATAAACCCGTCTTCCAAGGTTGGGCGCCCACATTAATTCCCGAGCAAATATTTTCCACACTGCATAGGAGAGAATTTCGGGTGGGTCTATAGCGATATCTATCATTGACGAAGCCAAACTAAAGGTACTTCTAGAATGTTACATCACGAGCCATTGTTGGCAATATGTCTCTTGATTCCGATTCTCTACTTAGTTTATAATTTGTATTTCAACAATCCTGTAAGTATTACCCCCCTGTACACCCCTTTACAGATACTGAGCCAAATATACCCAATAGTCTGAAGTTCCTTCTGTCGGGGTTGCTCCCGGTCTCCTAGGCTCTTGGATAGCAGCTTATCGCTTCTCCCATGACTCTGCGGCGATTCTCCAAGATGGCTATCGATTGGTACGCATCGTATGTAAACAGACGCCTCCCTGGTCTTACACTAAGTATAATGCAGTACGGGCGGCTTGGGAAACCTTTCAGAATATCAACTCCAAGACGATGGATCGTCGTTGTAACCCATCCTGCCGTTTTGAAGCAAATAAAGAACACCGACGAACGGTATCTTTCCATGCAAGCAGCAGCAGACGAACGGAATTCAATGTCATATCTCCTGAGTGACTGTATTCACAAGAACCCGCTCCACGTGGCCATTATTCAGAGAAAAATGAGACATCGACTGCTGGAATTGATTCCAGACACGCTCATCGGGTTAGACGAGATATTGAAACGGCACATTACCGTGGGTGCTGATTGGGTTACAATCGAAACCAGCCATCTGGTTCTTAAATGCATTTCACTCACAACTAATCGAGTTTTGGTTGGGGAGGAGCTATCGGGAGATGAAGAATGGCTTGACTTGTCAGAGAAACTGTCGTTGGCTATTGGTAAAGCTGGTCTTCTGGTGGATCTCACGCCAAGATATCTTAAGCAGGCTGTGGCTTGGTACCTGCTTCCGTCCGGAATCTGGAATGCATACTTATCGAAGCTGAGTGGTGTCTTTGAAGAGCGTGAGAAAAGGATGCATGAATATGACACAGGCTTGGTTGAAAGACCAGTAAGAATTCTTCATTGGCAGATTTTATTGTTCACATCAACTGACATCCATCAGAAGGATGCAATTCAGTGGATTTTGGAAGCTGCTGGACCAACTTCGCTGTACAATCTATGCATGTACATCCTTTACATCCAATTTTCTTCCATCCACACTTCCGCAGCGAGTCTGATGAATGCACTCTTGGACCTTGCCTGTCATCGTGAATCGCAACTTCCAATCTAAAGGGAGATCGCTCAAGTTCTCAGATTAAAAGGCGGTTGGAACAAGCAAGCATTATCAAATTTGAAGAACGTGGACAGTTCACTCCGTGAAAGTCAACGACTGCATCCCATAACCACAGCCACAATGATGAGAAAAACCCTCCAACCTCTCTTTCTGGCGGATGGTACTTTCTTGTCCAAGGGTCAGTGGGTTGTAGTTCCGGCGTGGGCAATAAATCGGTCAACTGAGATTTACACCGATGCTCACACATTCAAAGCTCTTCGATCCGTGGAAAGTAGTCAAAATGACAAAGAGTCTCCAGTTGACGCGTATATGCCTGGGGATGGGTTCCTTTCATTTGGCTTAGGACGACATGCATGGTAGGTCCACAGAAAGACCCTCGATTACAACAGAATTATCGCTGATTTGACTGGTTCTCCAGTCCAGGCAGATGGTTTGCAGAAAGTGAATTGAAGTTGATCCTGGCATTCATACTTGCTCGGTACGACTTCAAATTACCTGACGATACGATCATTAGGCCGATGAACAATTTCTGTTTCTTTTCTTGTGTACCTGATGGGATACAAAGATTGGTGTTCAGAGCTCGGGGGAAAGCTCTGAGGTAAATCCCCGAATTTTGGCAAGTTTCGCCAATAGTTATGTGAGTTTGCCGATAGGGCGATCTCAAGCCGATTTCGGGCAAAGAAGGTGGAACGGGCGTTCTGCACGCGATGGTGGAGATCCCAACCAGGGAAATTATCATATCAGAACCAGTGAAATGAATAATAATCAACTATCAATTCAACCGGGACTCTCCGCTGCCCCGCCATATCACGTGTCGATCCCACGTTCGTGGTGATCGCGGCCATCGATCTTGCTTTTGGAAAAACTAATCGCGAGAACACAAGTCAGAGCCATTTACCATTCAACAGCGGCGAGATTTGTTGGCTGCTTTGTGCATTTGCTGTTGTGTCCGTAGGACATTTCCCCGCCAAGTGGATCTCCAGTTCTCGGGGACCTTGGCATGCCGTCAAGAAGGTGACGGCCGATAAGACTAGGAGAAAATTCTGCCGCGAAAGTGGTGCATCTGCAAGCCAAGTAAAAGCCAAGAGCAGTTGGTATAATAAGCGGTCTCATCCGCTACTGCTCTTGGATCAGTGCTCTGCAGATTTTTCAATATCTGATTCCTACCAGAGAGCATCTGCAAATCAAGCGGGGGGAGTATATTTCCGAAACGATCGGCATATAATTTGCTCATTCTGTCTTCAAAAATGTCCTCCATCGTTGACGGAACGCCTGCGGACTCGCACAGTCTGGACGGTGATAAGAAATGGAGCTTGCAACCCTTGATCCGCAAGGCTGAGCGTTCTCATAGTCGAATGCCCGGAATTCGCAAAATTCCTCTTCGAGCCATCGCGATCATTGCCCTGATCGCCTTTTTGAACATCATCGTGTGGGCCGCCGCAGCGATTGTGCTGGTATGTTTGGTCTCATTTGTTCAGCAGTAAAAAGTGAATTGCGAGAAATTAACATCATGACAGCACTATCATCCGTATGTTTGGCTATCCCATAGGCCCTGTCCATGCGCCATTCAATTGACGATGTTTTAGATCCATGATTTCCACTGCAGCTCTAGCATATTCTCTCGGCTTGAGACATGCATTCGATGCGGATCATATTTCCGTAAGCTCAACACGGTTCTTTCTTTTGATGAAGTCCAATCACTGAATTGAATAGGCCATTGATTTAATGACTCGACGATTGTTGGCAACCGGCCAAAAGCCTGTCACGGTGGGAACTTTCTTTTCCCTTGGGCATTCCACGTAGGTGATTGAGAGCCGAATATGGTATAATGGATGAATGCACTAAGTAATTTTCAGAATCGTGATCATCACATCCATTGTCGTCGCAGCTACCGCCGCTGCAGTGTCGTCCAAGTTCGATAGTTTCAGCAAAATTGGCGGAATCATTGGTAGCTCCGTCAGCGCGGCATTCCTGATCCTACTTGGCCTGATGAACGTCTATATTCTGTTCAAATTAATCAAGCAGATGCAAAAGGTCTTCAACTTGCCTGAAGGACAAGAGGACGAAGCTTGGAAGATCGAGGGTGGAGGACCACTGTTCTCCATCTTGAAGAAAATGTTCAAATTGATTGACCGGTGCGTTGCAAGTACAATTCTCCTTGTCCTCACACTGGCTGACTATCTCCCAGCCCTTGGAAAATGTATCCTCTTGGTATCTTGTTCGGACTCGGTTTTGACACCTCATCTGAGATTGCGTTGCTCGGTATATCATCCATCGAGGCTGCCAAGGGGACATCGTTCTGGGTGATTTTGATTCTTCCTGCGTTGTTTACCGGTAAGTGCATTGCCATGACCATCGGGTAAAATCTTCACTGATTGTTCTCCAGCTGGAATGTGCCTCTTGGATACCGTTGATGGGGCTCTCATGTTCTCTTTGTATATCCAACCGGCACAGAACTTCCTGTCCCAGAAGGCCGCCAATCAAGTCCTTGAAACGGCTTCGGAAGTTGGTGATGACGAATTACCCCAGTCTAGAGACAATCATCGAGATCCCGTGGCGTTTTTGTACTACTCGATTGTACTGACCGTTCTGACCGTCATTGTTGCCATTGTTATTGGTGTAATTCAGCTCTTGACCATGATTCTCAATGTCACCGATGCGACCGGAAAGTTCTGGGACGGTGTGCAAATTGCCGGCGACTATTATGATGCCATCGGTGGTGGCATTTGTGGGTGCTTTATCATATTCGGAGGATTGAGCGTTGTGGTGTACAAGCCGTGGCGGAGATGGATGGACCGACGCCACGGGCGCTCTACCGTGACCGACGAAGAGAGATACCAAGATGAGGCCCCTGACCCTACGGAGGATGGTGCTGCAGCTGGCTCCACAGCTGAAGAGGGTGACATGTACGAGCGTGAGCAGACCACTGTTGTTTGCAAAGGGGATTCCACTCGTGTCACTGCGACTGAAGAGCGACGGGTCGATGATCAGATCGTCTAGCACCACTTTCTGAATCGGAACCACTCATTTTTTTGCCATCGAGCAGGGGTGCGCATAGGCATCAAAAGAGAACTGCCGATGGTCTCCTTTCTGAGGGGGCTCAACTGCACATGTGAGGCATGAAGGTTGAAGGACGCATGATACACGCATGCACTAGACGTGCCTCGAGGTAGCAATCTCAGTTTCTCGCCGGTCAGTTTAATGAGATTTGCTTAGTTGAATGATATCCATGCATGGAACGATTACATGCTTATCTCTGCTCAGCTATTCTCGTACTCCATTCATGTTCCATTTTGCTCTGTCATTTCTGATATCTGCCAATTATTGTATGGAAGCCACACGACTGAAACCTCTGAAACCTCATGCCATTCGACCTATAGTTACAATTATAACTCCACAGGATACCTATGATTTACTTGTAGCTCACCGTATACCTACTTGAAAATGTCCCCACCAATTTACTGCATGAGGCTCATGAGTCTCTACTTCTTCACCCGCTAGGTCTCTCGGGCTGCTAATACTGAATCAAGATCCTCCTCTTTATTATCTGTTTTCTCTCTCGCCGACTTATTTATCCTTCCGTTTCTGATATAACCCTCCTGCTTATACAATTAGAGTGACATGATGTCAACAGCTGCTTAGAGCTTCCGAGCAAGGGGACAATCAACGTAGCTAAAATTGCCATCCTGAATTGTTGAATTGTCGGAAACATCACTATCCCTACTCCGGTCTTAGCGTAGAATTTATATTGCCTCATACACATGTGACTTATGTTCAAAGTCCTCAAGTTGCAGAACAATTTATTCGATGGAACTGATGACGCCTCTAAATCCCGAATATCGTGTCTCTACTGTTTTCCTTCGAGGAAATCATTCATCTGTTACGTAGTAGTTTAAAACTGTTCATTGGACGGTTTGCGTTGAGAAAATTACTTATTGTAGACTGGCTTTGTTGATTATGCACAACCTCGCAAAGCCACCTAATTTGATTATGTCCTCTAATTAATGACCGCGCTGACGTATGATGTCCTCGCTAAATACAAGAGTGGCACAGTGACACGTTTAGTTTCTACAAGGACTCCACTCTTTCGCGCTTTCTCAGCGCCACATCCGACAACGGGCGGCTTGTCTACTATGAGCCTTGGTTATTGTTGTAATTTACCCCTTGTATTTAATAGACCGACAGATTTACTTACTGTAAAGATACCTATGTGCCCGTGCGAGGATATGTCTGTTTTGTCAACGCACCAAATGTCGAAAAGTTTCTGTGCGAGAAATACTGCAGCAGTAAAATGTACTTGGCTTTGCCTCCCAAGGGCTTTTTTGGGGGGAGGGGCTAGGCCCTGGTATAGCGACATGTGATTATGTTAGACAGGCTATGTAATTAATATTTCTACAACTAATTTTGACCGACAGGCCAATGATACCGTCCGCTGTCGCCGACAGAAACTGAGGACACGTCCAGGCGCAGGTCATGGCTTTTCAATTTTGATATGATATTTTTTGTCGGACTTTGACGAAGTGTCATGTATTGGCGCATTACTTAGCCAAAATCCACTTGGACATGGACCACTCGGACCGTTACCCGTTACGAGAACAAAGTCCGAGCACTTTAGGGTCGTGCTCAGTGTACAATACGTATTGAGTTTCATTACCTTATCCACATCGCTAGTACCCGCGCAAAGGTACCGTGAAGCGCTATAACACTACCGAGGCCCCCACCCCGGCTGCATTTTTTTTAATCCACCACATCCCTGACGGTTACCCGCCATTCATGACACCTGGCTCCACCCCCTCAAAACTTCCAATACTATACTCTCCATTTCATCGCGGTCCGGCCTACCACGGTTCCGTCTAACTTTCTTTACCATGACCGACAAGATCACGGTGGATGTGGACCCGGATTTGCATGTAATAAGAGATGAATACAGTCCTGAAGATTGGCAATCCGAGACCACTTCTATCGGTTCATCTATATACAGGGGTCTTATGGAGAATGGCCGAAGATACCAGTCCCTGAAGTCTGACGAGTATTGCTTTCCTGCCGATGAGAGACAGTTCGAAACCTACGATGCAGCACATCTTGCAGCTATAATCGTGGATTCTGATGAGGAAAACCTACTATTTCAGTCTCCATTGGCCCCTAAAAACGTTCTTGATATTGGAACGGGAAAGGGGTCATGGGCTATTGATGTTGCCGATATGTTTCCTAATGCCGCTGTCCGTGGTGTGGACCTTTTCCCACCGCCAGTCAGCTGGATGCCACCCAACTGTGTTCTCGAGGTGGATGACGTTTTACAGGAGTGGACCTGGCGTGAAAAATTCGATTTGATCCATCTCCGCATCATGGCAAGTGCCTTTACTCCTTCGGAGATGGAGAAATTGATGAAGCAAATCTACGACTGCCTAGAGCCGGGTGGATGGATTGAACAGATGGAAATTCACCCTACAATCTATTGTGATGACGATAGCATTCCGCATGATAATGTGCTATTCGATATCGGACCAAGGTATGGAAAGAACCGCGCGTCGCAAGCTCTAAAGATTTATAAAGGTGTCCGTTGTTTAAAAAAATTCTAATTGATATTTTAAGGTTCGATGCTGCCGCTAATAAGTCTGGAAAACCTATGGACCTTATCAAAACAATGCGCGCTACGATTGAGAGAGCTGGCTTCGTTGATGTTCACGAAAAGAACGTGAAGTGGCCAATTGGGCCATGGCCTAGAGACAAAACATTGAAAGAACTTGGGTCGGTCAACCTCCATCATTGGCTGACTGGTATGGAGGGATACACAATGTATCTAATGACTAAATTTGGGAGTCCCACCCCATGGTCGCCAGAGGAGGTACAGGTCTACAACGCTAGGATGAGAAAGGAATTGATGAATCCTCGTCACCACTCCTATCAACGCGCGAAGAGAGTCTGGGCTAGGAAGCCATTTGCAGACGAAAATACCGAGCACAGAGTGAATTGATGATTCGTGGTGGCTGTCTCACTCCCAGTGTGAGCTGCAAGGATTTGCGGCTGTCCAGGAGATTACAAGTATTTTTAGCGAGGCGCGTTCAGTTCGACCTGATCTGCATTTCCGAGGTCGAATTATCACATATCTCGCATTTTCTTTGATTTCCATTCTCTATAGCAGATTTATTGTCACAAAAGGTTTCCCAGCCTGGCTCTTGGTCCCTGGGTGTGACAAAGAAAGTTGAAATAAAATCACCCATGCTCGTATCCGTACTAAATCTCTAGTCGAAAGTCAAATGGCTATATTCGCTCACCAATATATCGAAGCCTCAGGTGACACCTTGAGCGTCAGCCTTCTACTATTGGCAGAACAGACAGAGGAGTTTTGAATGCTAGGTAGTATATCTATGGATACGTTCAGGGCTCAAGCCAATTATCTTCATCGGGAGTTGCTATTCCAGTGAAATGTTGCACAGCACAGTCTCATTCGGATTTTAATGAATTAAAACCTCTAAATCTGTTGTGAGTACATCTGTCTGAGATCATCTTCATTTCGACTATATGTGCTCAATAAGATCGGGAAACGCTATGTTGGTCAAAATGAGAATACCTGTACCTCATTGACGTAGAAACCCTCGAGTGCAAATGGGCGACACCTGGAGCGTGTCACTTTACGCTGTTGTAATCTTTAGTGTTTCTGACACCCTTCAATATAAAAGGAGGTCATGGGCATCTCAAATTGACAACGCTATCTAGCTAGGTTTTCAAGTATTATTTTAACTGCATTTCAGAGAACTATTACTCCCTTCCATTTGCCAAAATGTCGATCTCGGTGCTTGTTGCACTAGCTGGCTTTCTGACATGCGCGTTGGCTGCCCCTGTCGACATCGACACTAATACCCATGAAATGACACCGTGTTTGGTGAGGAATTAACCCAGATTGTATTCTTCACATATTACTATTTTCTCACAGATGTTGTCGCCATAGCTCGTGTGTAATGAACAAGCAGCTATAGTCGGAGAGTGTTGGAAGGGCGTCTCAGATACGGCATGCACGTGCCCAAGTATACCCTACTTGGATCACCTGAAAGTTTGCATCAAGGCATCATGCCCGTACTCAGACTGGGAATGTATGTTTTGACAAAGCTACACGGTAGCTCGTTGCTAACTTAGATAACAGTGGCCGTTAAGTTGCACGTTGAGGTCTGCAAGACACCCTTCTTAGAGGGGACTGCACTTTAAACTTAGATCTCTACATATCTCCATATCAGTGGGTTACCCCGTGGTCTGGGCCACTCGGAGATAGTATGAGCATCGTATAAGTCGTGATAGACGAAAGTTTGGTGGGATGACTACCAAACATTGACCTATGACAGATGACCAGGCACTTCGGCCTAGCAAATCATATATCTATATTGTCATCGCTCATTTCCATGACTGTAGGCCAATAGGTAAATGTAAAACCTTCCTTCGCACCAATTCACCGAAGCGATACTTCACGTACGTAGTATGCAGAAAACGGTGAAGATGATCTCGGGAAAAAATATATGACGTCATTTTAAGAATTTCACCGTCTCGCCTGGCCCCAACCTCACGTCTGTAACCACCACGAGATGCGTTGGCGTGACTGGCACTCTTCATCTTTCACTTAGCCTTTATCGTTACATCTGACTGTGAAGTATATCTTCATTTCTCCCATATTAGAAGGCTCCGTTTACTCTGGACTCAGACGCGACGCGACCCAATCATGTTGCCAGGTCACTGCATGAACATGTGGTGGAGATCACGATAACTGGTCGTCTACATGTTGAAACACAAACACAATGAGTATCGAAAGCCCCATCAAAAATGCATCAGACAGCCACATCGAGGTGGAAAATGAGAAGCTATTTACGGGACAGCCCCCGATATTCATTCTGCCCACACATATGACACTGGACAAGCTACATGAGACTGAAGATCGTCTGCTTGATCATGGGGGCAATCTAACATATGATATCGCGGAAGCGGGTATCGTTTTGGGCAAGATTGGCCACAAGAAACGTGCTGCGCTAGAGCTGCGCTCGCGTGGAATATGGACCGAGGAGATATCCGCAATTCCAAAACTGATGCCGACTTCACCTAAAGTCGACACGGAGCCTCCACTTAAACGACAAAAAACGACAAAAGCCAACTTCTCTGTGGATGCTGCAATAGAAATCGTGGATCTCAGCACAGAATCCGAGGAAGAAGGTGAATCGAGAAGTCGACACGATCATTCGCGACATATCACAGCCAAAGCCGAGGATGATGCACAAATAGTCGCAGTCGTCCAACTGGACTGGCTAGACCGCTCAATCAAGAGTGGTGAATCTCTTTCCTATGGTCCATTCCTAGTTTACAAGGGACGGAAAAGCATTGGCGCCCCGTCAACCACCCCTACAGTGCCACCCACTCTCATATCAAGCCAGATCATCCAAAGGGCAAGAGAAGATGCAGCAGGAAATACCTCGCCAGCGCAGCAACACCATCAATTTCAAGCTCGACGCTCCAAAGAGCCCACGGAAAAAACTTCAAGCCAACGAAATCCACCGATACTATATCGACAATCCACATCCGAGCATGATGAGACTATCTCACTCCCGCCTCAACCGGACTGGGTGCGCGACCAAGTATTATATGCCTGCATGCGCTCGGCACCTCTTCACCCTCCCAACGAAGATTTCATCGCTCAGCTCGTGAAAATTCGTCGAATCCGAGAGCTGACTCTTGATGAGATTGGCGTACGAGCCTACAGCACGTCAATTGCTGCTATAGCTGCATATCCTTATGTCATCAAACGCCCCAGCGAGATTATCGCTTTGCCGGGGTGCGATGTGAAAATTGCCAATCTATTCGCAGAATACCAGCAGCATGGTGCCTGTAGCCACACTGATGACGATGGCAATGTTGCTGCTGCGAACGCTTTGGAGAGTGACCCAGCATTGCATGTCCTTAACACTTTCAATGAGATTTGGGGCGTTGGAGCTAAGACAGCTAGGGATTTCTATTATCATCGAGGGTGGAGGGATATTGATGACATTGTGGAGCATGGTTGGAACTCGCTCTCTCGCGTGCAGCAGATTGGGGTCAAGTTCAATGATGAATTTAAAGCGGGAGTTTCGCGCTCTGATTCTGAAAGTATCGCTGCGATTGTACAGCGTCATGCAAACCGGGTGCGACCGGAAGCAAACGGTGATGTGCAAGCGATTTTGGTAGGCGGCTACCGACGTGGGAAACAGAACTGCGGCGACGTAGATATTATACTCACTCATCGTGATGATACAGTCACGCGGAGCCTGATTGTTGATGTCGTCGCTAGTCTTGAGACGGAGCAGTACATCACTCATACGCTTTCCTTGCATCTAACCTCAACGCTTCGTGAGCAGCAAACCACACCATTTCGAGGCGATGAAACAGGGAAGCATTTTGATACACTCGACAAGGCGTTGGTTGTTTGGCAAGACCCACACTTTGACCAAAGCTCTTCAGGTGGTCAAGATTCCAGTCGAAAGCGAAACCCCAACCCCCACCATCGTGTCGACATCATTATATCTCCCTGGAGGACCATTGGCTGCGCCGTCCTTGGCTGGTCCGGCGATACGACCTTTCAGCGAGACCTGAGACGCTATGCAAAGAAGGCTCATGATTGGAAATTCGATTCCAGTGGGATACGGGAGCGCACTGCAGGGGGTCAAGTTGTGGACCTAGAGCACGATGGCGCCACCTGGGAAGATAGAGAAAGACTTATAATGGAGCGACTGGGGGTTGGATGGAGGCCAGCTGAAGAGCGATGCTCACGATGAACAAATCCTTATAGCGGCTGATACAGTGCTGGGCGTTCGGTTCCATTCTTCATTTCTTGCATTGTGAAGAGCAAATTTACGGCAATTTAAGAGATAATTAGTTTCTGGAAAGATTTTCGCGTCTAAAAGGCCAGTTGATGGGCCTCACGCGAATTCCAAGGTTTCTTTGTAAGTAACTTGTTATGACGACATTCCCGAGTGAACAACGTCGTATTGATTCACCCTGTGAACATCAACATTCCTTTCGGTTACGCAGTTTGAGCCTTTAAACACCCCCCTGAGAATTTACAACACGCCCTATTGCAAGGGATTCGAGTCCCAGTCATGCGTGTAGCCGTAGCTGGGGGTACGAGTCCCACGCTCGGTGCATCGATTGTATCCGCTCTCCTCGCCACTCAAGGCCGCTACACCCCAGTGGTTCTCTCGCGCGAGAGTAAACGAGAAGCCTCTCGACTCCCACCACTTCAGCAAGATGCTGAGATTCGATATGTAGACTACAGCTCACAAGCTTCCCTAGTGGCAGCTCTGCGAGATGTGGAGGTAGTCATCAGCGTCCTCTTAATACCTGGCCCGGACTGGATCACCGCACAAGTGAACCTGCTCCACGCGGCGGAAGAAGCCGGGTGTCGACGATTCGCACCATCAGAGTTCGCACTCACAGACCATGCACACACAATGGTTGATTTACTAGCAGCAAAGAACGTAGTCTGGAAAGAGGTTCAAACCTCAACGAGCCAAGGCAAAATCGACGCCGCTCGCTTTCCATGTGGTATGTTCATGAATTACCTTGGAATTGGGATCCCAAAGGACGACACCAGACTCGACGCACTAGCTGGCTTTCAAGAAGAGTCCTTTCTTGTTCACCTAGATGCTCCATTACCTTGGATCGAGGTCCCACTACGTGCAGATGGATCGTTCCCGAATTTGACCCTGACCGACATCAGGGATGTGGGACCTTTCATAGTCGCTGCACTTGATATTAAGGAGCCGTGGGGAGGTAGAGATCTCGGAATGGCAGGGGATACCCTTGGCTTCACCGATCTGATCAGTCTATGCAAACGATACACTGGGAAATCAATCCAGGTTCGCAAGGTAACGAAATCAGAACTTGTTACACGGCTCCGGGGTATATCGCCAGGCCAGTTTATCCAATACATGGAATGTCAATTAGAGATTGTGGGGACGTTAGATCAATGGGTGATTGATCCCGCGTTGAATCGTCTATCTTCGATCCAGCCAACCACGGTGGAACAGTACATGAAGCGATACTGGGGCAAAGAATGAATCTGTTCAATGTATGCGTTTACTGGTACTTATTCACAAATTCAACTACCGCACTATTCACTTCCGTCGGATGAGTGCAGTTCAAGAAATGCGCGCCTCCATCAATCGTCACCAATCTCGCATCCTGGGACTGCGTAAAAAGCTTGATCTCTTCCGCGGCATTGGCCGAGGAAAACACAACATCCTTCGTTCCCTGTAATAATTAGCCAGGATAGTAGAATTAAAAATTGATAAACTTACATGAAGCCATAGAACCGGACAGCGAACGTCCGGCAGTCGAAGATGCATTGATCCACGCTCAGCCAAGTTGATCGCAGCCATCCGAAGTTGCCTGCGACCGTCATCGCCACGATAATTTGATTTGATGGAGTCACGCCAGAAGTCATGAACCTCGGCAGAGCACTCATTGAAACCGACTCCAATCAGTGCATCGCAGTAGTCATCACCGGGCTCGAAGTTAGGTACTGGTTTGCTGACGGTCCATTGATTCACGAAGCCCGACACAATAGACTGGCCATCCCAGCAGTCGAGCTTTCGACTGCGATCCGACTCGGCGTCCATTGACGTTCCCAGGGGGATGATACCAGCAATCTACTAGCAGGTTAGCACTGACAAAAATGTAGGGACGAATCCGCAATTATACCATGTCTGGTCTCAACAGGGCCATTTGGACGGTGACCCAGCCCCCTTGACTAGTTCCCAACACGAATGCCTTGGCAATACCCAAAGCGTTCAAGACTTGGAGGTTCATCTCCGCTGTGTCCCAGTACGTCCACTGCTCGGAAGACGTGCGTGTCTGACCATGTCCAAGTAGCTCGATAGCCACCAAATTCACCTTGGCGGAAAGCTGAGGATCATCAAACTGCTGTCGGTATAATTCAGATGTTGCGGTGAAGGCGTTTACGAGTACCACTGTTGGCTTGGCAGGGTCATACTCCTTGGGCATTTGATACGCCGCGTCAATTCCGCCCAAATGGGGAACGTGGATAGTTTTGGTATTCGGCATGGCTTGCTATACGTATGAAAGTTCTTTCGCTTCAAAACATTGCCCCTCTTCAGGCCCAACCCCGCTACTTATACTCTGGACTTCGCTCTTGGCATTATCGTAGAGTTTCGGGGAAATAGGAAATAAGTGGAGTGGAGTCTCCACTAGTCCGTCAGGTGGCAACTTGAGTCTGCGGGAGAGATGAAGATCCCGAGGTCGTTGAAAGAAATAACTTCATACATCATTGCTGCTATTAGATTGACGAGACTTATATATCTTCTGCCAAATCCACCACCGGTCCTGAAAATCGCCTCTTTCCACCACAAGCATAATAGTAGACTCCACCGATGAAAACCCAGCCCACCATCACAACCACACAGTAATTCATGTTGTTAGGCGTCACAGGCTCGACGGTGGGGAATGTGCTGAACACCATTGCGAGGACCAGCCACATTAGCGCAATAACGTTCACCACTGGGCCCCATCGCGGTCCGAGATCGAACATACCCGATCCCAATCCACGGATGGTGGATGAGCATGATCGTCGACCATAAAGAAGCATGAACAAAATTGGAGAGAAGTAGGACGCGTACATGCCTAGAATAGCCATAGAGAGAACGGCATTAAAGGCAGTTGAGCTTCCGAGGTAGATCAGACCCAGCAGCATCTGCAAGAAGCCGACAACCACCACCATGCGCACAGGCACCTGTAGGGTGGGGTTAACGTACGAAAAGAATCCAGAACCAGGTAGACCATGGTCGCGCGCAAAGGCCCATGCCGTGCGACTGGTTGAGGTTGTACCGGCAGCATTGGCAGCCAAGGCCACCAGGGTAATGCAAAGCGCCATAATGGAGGCACCGGCTGGGGAGCCTGTCACATTGAGGAATAGTTGCATGAAGGGGAATCCTGTCTTTGACTCTAGGAGGTCCTGCAGATTGCCCAGAGAGAACAGCAGGACGATCGCATAGATAAGGCCAATCATTCCATTGATGGCGACACTGCCGATCATGGCCAGGGGCACGTTACGTGAGGGCTTGGGAAGTTCTTCGCTTAGGTGGCAGGCGGCATCGTATCTGCAAGAAACGTCAGCCGTGTAATATGAGAAACTCAGAAAGGATCCCTACCCAAGAAAGGGGTATACAGTGCTGAGCAACCCCACCAGCCATGAGACTCCGTCACTTGTCCAGCCACTGGTATTGGAAAAGTCCTTAAAAACATAGTCGGCTGAATGTTTGTCGGACATGGTGCCCAGGACGCAGACGATCGCGATAAATCCAACTACGTGCAATATGCCTGCATTATCATCAGTCAATCGTCCCCTTTTAAATGTTTCTCTACTAACCAGCCGTGGTGTTGGTATGAGGTAGAATCTTGGAGCCAAAGATATTGACCGCCGTGGAGTACGCCAAGATTAACCAGTAAAAGAGCATCCCCTGCCATCTTGTCCCGATATATGTGTCGAGGTTGTTGAGGGTAATGAGAGCCTGTAGCTGTAGCCCGGCGGCAAACGCTGCTGAAGCGGCGAGGACGAGTTGGCCACCGATAGATATCCAGCCTGTAAACCATGATGCTGTAGCTCGATATGATGCCGGAGTGAGACAATGGACCCAGTGATATTGTCCTAACATGGATCTAGTGAGCGATTGGAGCAAGGGGGAAAGCAAAAGCAGGATGTCTTACCTCCTGCAGTAGGATAGATTGCAGCAATCTCACACAATGACAGGACAACGAAAATTGTGCCGATCAAGGAAATTAGGCTGGCAAGAAGAAGTCAGGATTTGTCCAGGTACAGGATAACATGCCCAAGAACATACTAGTTATAAAACAAACAAGGGGCGCCACCGTTGGTCAAAGCCGTAGCCACTACGGACGAGAGTGCCTCCCACGTTGCCATCAATGAGATCTGAAGACACACAATAGACCACAGTGAAAATTCACGCCGTAGTTCCTGGACATGACCGAGGGCAGCCAGCTGCTCCTCATCACTGATAGGCTTCTCCGGGGAAGCCACCTTGGTCTTGCCTTCTAGATCAGAAATGGAATTCATTTGTGCACTGCACGAGTTCAAGTTGAGGAAACTGCCCAGACTACGAATCCGGACTACCTTGGTCTTATAGCCGCGGGACTAATACGAGATAGGGGAAGTAATACATAGCGGTGCTCAATCCGCACTTTCCTGATAACCTAGGTAAAGATCAACTTAGATCATGGGAAAGGTAAGGCTTATCATCAGAGCTGATGCAGACTCTGGGTCTGGTCTTAGGGTTTTATCGCCTAGCTCCACCTCTTCCCCGCATCTTATGTAAACTCATGTCCCGGTTTCTACATGTATCTCTGCGCGTTCTTTCCGCATTTCCAGGCTCAATGTATGTTGACCCAAACATGATCAAGTTCAGGTCCAATGACTGCTTAGTGACAAAAGCCACTGTTGTTCAATTGGGCAAGTCATACCAGGTGGGTCTGTCCGGGGTCTCTCCGAGCCGTTGTCGTGGGAAGCAAAAGCTCGGAATCGGAAGGAAAGTTAGATAGGCTTAACGATAAGCATGAGTCAAGGTCGGAAAAGGTGTAGGCCTGCACCCGAAGAATTGATTTGATATGCTCTAGCCACTGTTGATCAGCAGTAATCCTCTTATATGCGAGAATTATAATTTCAAATGAGCTGTCCTCGGTAAGGCCATATGTTTGTAGAGGTGACTACATAACGGGCCATAAACTCCACATCCCCGCGTTTCACGAGATTTGCGGAACTGTTTCCATAGACGCTGCCAACCAGAAGTCTGAATGGGTGCCTAGTAATTCCTTGGCACAAGACCCCTGTTATATTCCTGTTGTTACAGTTGTGATTGGCCATGTCCACAGTTGTTTTATGTAATATACTTGCGTAGCTCGCCACTCGATGGAAGGTCGGAATAGAACTTGAGATAAAGCCGTATCAATCTGAAAGATTGCTAGTAGCGAAACAGCATCATCCAAAATATCCGGAGCTCAGAGGAACTGAGGTTAGATAGTGATGGCATCTTATCATCGGAAACTAACAGATAATTATTACCTAGAATTGTGACTTGCCTAGAAAGGTGCTGTAAGTGGGGATCTCGGATCCATTCCGACTTTCCGAGTCAAGGACCCCCCACACAATTCTCCCATTCCGTGCATTTATATAAGTCGAGCTAGAATGCCTGGGAGTTTGCAGAAGAGCCGCTCAAACCAACCACAATCATGCTTCATCCACTCGCTATCCTCTCCGAGGAGGAGACCAATCTGGCCCGTGACATTGTCAGAGCCGCTCACCCTAACACCATCATTGACTTCCGCGAGATCTACCTACAAGAACCCCCCAAGGCGCAATTGCTCGAATACCTGGCCATTGAGCATGCCGGTCGCTTGAGCCCGACAACCCCTCGTCCACCACGTCTGGCATTGTGTCAATACGATGTGATTGGCCCTGACAGGGTGCCCTCGTACGAAGAATCGGTCATCGACGTGGCCACTCGAACTCGAGTCAAGCACCACGTTGTAGGCAAGCAGCACCATGCTTCGCTCACATTGACTGAATTTGATACATTGGTGGAGCAGTGCAATAAGTCGCCTTTGTTCCAGCAGGCTCTCGCGGACTTTGATCTCCCAGAGGGTTTCGAGGTCGTGATCGAGCCATGGCCATATGGCGGTCTGGATAGCACCGAGGACAACCGCCGTTACTTCCAGGCACTCTGCTTCGCCCAGGACAAGCGGTCCGGTAACGAGGACTCTAACTTCTATTCATTCCCTCTTCCCGTCATCCCAGTCATGGATGCGCACACACAAGAGATCATTCGGGTGGACCGACCTGCCACCGGTGGCAAGGGAGAGGGCCTGCTTGAGCAAACCTTCAAGCGCGATATTATCGGACACTGCAAGCCTTCCGAGTATGTTCCTGAGCTGCTTCCCGAGGGAACACGAAAGGACCTCAAACCATTGAATGTGGTTCAGCCTGAGGGGCCCTCATTCCGAGTTACAAATAATTCTCTGGTGGAGTGGCAGAAGTGGCGCTTCCGTGTCGCCTTCAACCCGCGTGAAGGTGCCACTATTCACGATATCTGGTATGACGGTCGTAGCGTGATGCACCGTTTAGCGATCAGTGAGATGGTATGTTCTATTTCGCGTGAGATGTTGACTGTTTCTAATTGATACTAGACTGTTCCTTATGCCGATCCCCGTCCCCCTTTCCACCGTAAGCAAGCATTTGACTTTGGTGACGGTGGCGGTGGAAACATGGCGAACAATCTGTCCCTGGGCTGTGACTGTCTCGGAGTCATCAAGTACCTCGATGCCGTAATGACAAAGCCCGATGGTACCGCTCAAAAATTGCCCAATGCCATCTGCCTTCACGAACAGGATAACGGCATTGGCTGGAAGCACTCCAACTGGCGGACCGGTCGGGCTGTGGTAACTCGCCTCCGCGAGTTCGTCGTTCAGTTTATCATCACCTTGGCCAACTACGAATACATCTTCGCCTTCAAGTTCGATCAATCAGGCGGTATCACAGTGGAGTCCCGTGCCACCGGTATTTTGAATGTCGTCAACATTGATGCTGGCAAGGTCAGCGAGTACGGAAATGTCGTGAGTGGGGGTGTTCTCGCTCAAAATCACCAGCACATTTTCTGTGTTCGTATGGACCCAGCTATTGATGGACAGAAGAACTCTGTCGTGGTGGAGGAGTCACACGCCGTTCCCCAGAACGCGGTCACAAATCCCAACGGAAACTTCTACCAGGTTACCAAGGAGACCGTCAAGCGTTCCTCCTGGATCGACGCTGCACCACAGCTGAACCGGACCATCAAAATGGTTAATCCCCACAAGACTAACCCCATCAGCGGAAACCCAGTTGGATACAAATTCATCCCCTTGGCTACACAGACGTTATTGGCGGATCCAGAATCGGTGCAGGCCCGCCGAGCTCAGTTCGCCCAGCATCACGTTTGGGTCACCAAGTACCAGGATAACGAGCTTTACGCAGGTGGTCGGTACACACTGCAGAGCCAAGTCGAAGTTGACGGTGTGTCAGATGCTGCTCGCCGGGGTGATGCAGTCGAAGACACCGACGTCGTGGTTTGGAACACATTTGGTATCACTCACAACCCACGTGTTGAGGACTGGCCTGTCATGTAAGTCTAACCTTCTTCCTGCTTCTGCATGACAATCACTGACTTAAGTATCAGGCCCGTTGAAATTTTCCAGCTCATGATCCGCCCTGCAGACTTCTTCACCGCCAACCCTTCTATTGACGTACCATCCAACAAGAACGGATCATCCCGATTGGCAGACTCCGAGTGCTGCAGAAAAGCACACATTTAAGCATTACCGTCGGTTATTGAAGCATATATTGCATCATAGTACTGTGCTCCGATGGTCATTAAACCCATTTCTGTATATATCACGGGTCATGAATCTGGCGGTCTACTATTGGTTCAGTTTTCTTCGATGTATCATATATTCAGTGCCACCTTTAAATCAATGTATAGAGTCAGCTCAGTACCGACTCTGTTAGTACCAGTGGTATCAATGTGTAGTATATCCCATTTATAGATATGCAAATCACCGCTTCCAGGCCAGCTGGAAGCCCTCAATAATAAAGAAGTACCAGCTTCTCACAGTAGATAGACATACTCAGATACACCTCCAGGGCTATCTGTGTATGTACTTTGTAAAATATTCTGCTCAATAATGTTGACTTTGGGCTGTTCCCTTTCCAGTCAGGCAGCCCAAATCTTTCAACGTCATAATATTTCCTTTCTCGGGTCGCTTTTGATTGGACTCGAGTTAATGGAACGCCTTCAGGCCAGCTGAAGGGTTGGAGAAGTAACAGCTTCTCGCGAGCTGAAAGTGTGGAGAAGTACCAGCTTCCCACGGTTGATGCATCAAATGGAAGTGCAGCTGAAAGTTTGGAGAAGTACCAGCTTTTCCTGACAAATAAATTTACCTATTTTGGTAGGCACTTCCATGGAATGTTATATTCCGCTGAAAACAACTTCAAGCTGTTCCCTTTTCCATTCGGGAACGCCCAAAGCTTCCGACGCTGGGATACTGCCTGTTCTAGCTGCCATTTCCTTTGGTGATGGCAAGTTGATTCTTTTATCGGCCTCCCAAGTCTCAAAGTCGTGACAAAGGCGAAAGTCTTCTGCAAATATGGGAGAGTCTCGGAGTGCCTCAAGTATGGTAGCATGTGTATCGTTGATTTCAAGACCATGCTCTGCTCTCAATATCCTCTTGCTCATCCTGTAGATAATGCTTGGGTCCCAGAATATATCAACATTGTGGTTATATCCTTTTTGGATCAAAGATAATGCTCTCAATCGGAGCTGTAGATTTCGGCATTTTGCAATGACGAAGTAGAGATATGGAAGAAGTCCGACTTCCAGCATAAACCCCGGAGCCGTGGGAAGGAGCTGCGACTTCCGTGCATAATTGATTAATCTTTCAAAATCATCCATACAGGTGTCGTACACTTCGTCGTCTTCTCCTAAGCAAATTACCCAGATTTTCAACATGAGCCATCTGATTTGCAGAATGCAAGATATATGTTCGAATTTGGGGTCAATGGAGAGCCTCGCCCTGAAATCTGCGAACTTGATTCGTAAAGACTCGACTGCCGCGTTTAGCCGCTGTTGCTCTTGAAGAACAATGTGTGGCATATCTTCCTCCAACGAATCAGGGGAATGGAGTTGAGAGACACGATGTTGTTCTTTCATGCGGGCCAGCTGAACAGCATCATATTGAATAGAATTGATTGAGCCCTGGACCTCGATAAACGAGTTCAATTGCTCTGGTGTCTGATAAGAAGGGCAGTTGGTGAGGACTGGAAGGGTCCACAGGGATTGAATGGTAAAAATGGGCGTAAGACTCATGTATCGGAGGATAGCACCTATCCTCGACACATGTCGCGATTCATTCAGCAAATCAATCCCATACTTAATATGAGTCATCGCTGCATTGATATCTCTCCGTGTGAATTCGATGCACGCAAACAGCACACAAACAATCAACAACGTATCGAGTTGATCGGCTTGGACTGATTTTAATGAGCGAATCTCTTTCATGGCAAAGTTATAGTGGCGGAGCGAGAAGCCGTGATCATATGGAAGCTGGACAAATGCAGGATCCTGATGGGTTGTCTCATATAGACTCATGAGGCTGATCGTGGCATGGCGTGCAGCCGGTTCCTCAACAATTAATCGTGCTACAATGCGCGACCAAAACAAGTAATTGAGGGGCAGACAAAATGCCGATTCCAAACTGTGGTAGAACCGATCCAGGCTGCGCAAGCAATTGCTGTCTGTGTCGGGAAAGAGTGATGGCTGCAACTGGGATAATGAGCTTTGTGAGATGGAACTGTATCCGTCACATTTTCGGCCCGTGGACTCGCATCGCGTGCAAGATGGACGTGTTTCATCACATTTCACTTTCCGAATCCTGCTTTTAGATTAGCAGTCAAGCTGTTTTGAAGATCGCCATCGACATACTTGCAAGTCAGACAGCCAGTTCTAACTCGGCGGTGAACCGTGCGCCGAGTTGCTTGTTTCGACTCTTTGTTCTCCATAGTCATATTTAGCCGGACTTTCAATACCAAAGAATGGGGTCTTTCAGGGGCACGAAGGGGGCGGGATTTCAATTTATGGGATTTTGAATCAAGCATCGAAGCCATATCGCCTCACATTGGGGTCCAAAAGAGGCATGCGAGTATGTTGACGTTTGCCACTTGGGCACTCCCTCAAGGCGTATCTCGTTCAGTTTCATATTTCTATGACCCCGTTTCAGCATTGTTTCAATTTGTTGTTTCAGCTTTGTGTCTGATGTAAACGGAATCCTCCAATGATTCACCATTGTATTGATCTAAGGGTCGTTGCAGACCACATGTCCACAAGATTTCTGCTCTATACTGCTCTTTTTAACTCTGCTGGCGCAATTTTGGAAGCCTAGGTGGTTGCCGAATGATTTTCCCTTTTTCGTTTTCAGATCTGCTGGGATTCCCTAGTAGATCTACTATTATATCCCAGGGTTGTACATGGATATATCGCATTGGTGCTAACAACAGGCCAGATTGCGGCGGTTGTGGCAAACCAGGATTGGGGCCAATGATGATGATCACTTGTATAGCGACGCGGCTGCACGCCTAGCGCCCTACGAAACACCAACACAACACCAACGTAAGAGTGGATTGAATTTGGATCTCAAATTGTACGTCGGCACTTGTGCGCGGCAGATATGTCGAAGGGACAAGTATTGAATGCACATGTATGATGTAGCAGTTCAGTGCAAATTTCAGTGATGAGATTGAATTGACGCTCGCAAACAGCGGTCGTCCGCTTCTCTGGAGAGAGACAAGTATGAAGTGGAAGCATATCCCGAGACACAATTCATGCTGAAAGACGAGGTCACCGTTACTTGGAAATTGACCTTCTCCCCAACAAAATGGGCTAAAGATGTACAAAGCTTTTATACAATATTAATTGATGATCTGGCTATAGAACTACAATATATGTACATTTATAATCATGCCATTCCAGGGCTTTCGAAGACGTCCATCGTTTTGATCATCTACCCCATACTTTTGCAAGTCCGTACGATCACCTATACACCCTCAGCCAACTTCGTCAAAGCATCACCGTCCACCATCATCTTCATCCACTCCTCCATTCCCTTGGCGCCAACCTGCTCATAGAATCGAATACTAGGCTCGTTCCACTTCAGAACGCTCCACTCCAACCGACGGCCGTTCGCCTCAAGTACCTGCTTCGCCAAGTACTTCAGCAGCAAGAAGCCATAGCCATGGCCGCGAGCACTCGGCTGCACGTATAGATCCTCCAGATAGATACCGGGTGCAGAGCGCCAAGTGGAGTAGTTGTAGAAGTAGAGCGCCATGCCGGCGGGGATTGGAGCGGGGTTTTCGGCAGTGGCAGGTGGGGTAATGAGGGCCGTGTAAACGGCGCCACGCTTGGGCGGGGTACCGGGGAAGGAGAGTGTGGCTAGGAGACTCTCCTCAGTGGCTTCGACCTCGTGCAGGGCCTTTTCATAGTCGGCGAGCTCGCGGATGAATTGGAGGATGAGTGGGACATCTGGAAGTTGTCATTAGTGGGACACTTGCCTTGGTTTCGCGTTGGAATGTGGGAATGGAGATTGGAGAGAAATGGATCCCTTACTCACCCTCTGGTGTCGCCAGGCGAATAGCAGGTTTCTCCATGTTTTCCAAGTGCAATGTTGGTTGATTGTTCCAAGATAGAGTATTGAAGTTTTTTGACAGCTGGTACTAGACCCAAATGGGGTTTTGCTGGAGTAAGCGGCTCAACCCGCCCTTGGATCCGTCGACCAATAAATGCAACCTATTCACAGGCTTTTCCTGGCAAAGACACATATACCAGTTACGACAAAAAAGACTGCGAACGTGGAACTATGAGAAGTCAACATGACAATAGCTCCTCTAAGTGCTGATACATCTATGGATTTGACCACATCAAGGTAGCTTCACTTCGAACCTCTGGCTGTGGGGTTGATCTAGGTCCAACTATGTCAAATCACGTGTAGGTAGCAATGCGTAATAAAGATACTGTATACAAGAAGATTGAAAAATAAAGAAATAGACGCTGAGTACGGAATACCGCCGGGCGAAGTGAAGACGGCCCCCGGGCCGAGTCTGGATATATATTCACGGAATAAAGATCCCGTCCCTGGGGATTCGCGTAATTGGTTGCCAAGACAAGACAGCCTTGATACCTATGAGAGGGCTTGGTGCTCAGAACGGAAAAGAAGAAAACATTTGAAGAAAAGAAAGCAGAACCTGACTTATGTTGTCATGAGCTACAGGTGACGTCGCAAATCTACATTGACAAACAAAGTGAGAATAAAGGAGAATAGAAGAAAGGAAGGGGACCGAGTTCCCTGCCCCCGAGGATGTTTAGAATGAATTGTACCCCTTATTTTTTTTTGAATTTCCGGATTACGTCCCTCACGGGAAACAACAACGTATGAAAAACGCATAATAACAGAAGTGTAATAAGTCCCTTCCAATTGGTCCTGATGGGGCCTGGAAAGCTCGGTTCCCGAACCTCGCCATCACTAGTTCCAGAGTTCAGATCCTCGTCATAGCTTCCATTTCCACATTGAAAACTAATCTCAATTGGGTCACACAATCAATAAAGCTCCAGCTCCTTGCAAAGTAAGCCCCGTTGTGGCGGGTGACCGTGAAATTGGGTGTTTTGCAGGCTACAGCGGCAAGCGCGCTTTGCGTGAAAGGAGCGGTTGCAGCGACCCCGGAATTGGCTCCACCCAAGTGGGACCGTGGAACAGAACACAGGAAATTGGGGCGAAAAAAGTCGAACTGGAAATTCTGGACCTGGTGATCGCCGGTTTGACTATTGATTTTATTGTCAACGAACGCCAAGGGGATGTACCTGCACAACTGCCCTATGTGCCCATTGTGACCAGGGGAGAAGCATCAATCCAGGCCAGGTCAGGCATTGCGGGGGCCTAATGATGATCTTCTTTTATTTCAACGGTTGGAAAGGTCATAGCACATACTGTAGATACATCATATATCATGATGTCGGTGGGCATAAGGTACTGGGTGGGGGGGAACCCCACACAGACACAAACTCGGAGTGATACGTCAGGCTCATTTCAGCTACACCTGTTTGGATGACAAAATGACCAGTGTGATGTGCTGGGAAACTAGTAGATCGAGGTTTCAGCCAGTCGGATCTACCATGTTAGTACGTCTGTAAAGTGTAGACGATCCAGAGTTAAAAGAAAAAAAAATAACCCTGGGGCTAAAGTACCTTGGCATGACTCAGATCAAACATCATTGTGGTTGCTGATGAGTATAGCCCTCGCTTCACGCGGAATCAGCTGCGGTAAGACCGGTATCCCCCCGATGGTATCCGGGTCCGTTGCACGACTTGGTCTCGAGGTTTGTTTCCCGATTTTGTTCGGCAAACTCACCACGAGGGGCGCGCACGGACGTATACGCGAGCTTGACGATTCTGATGCCTAGATCGTGCTTTCGTGCCCAGCGATTGGGTCCATTCACCGGCCCTGAGCACGTCCCTTGACTTTCTCCAAGCGCCGATTCCGTAGTGTAAAAGGGACAAGGTCTTAGGGCCTATCTGACCATCTCCACCAGCCCCCGAGACACTAGTGGAGTCGCTATATGCTAGCACAGCCCGAGCCGCTGATGACCCCAAGCTGAGGTCAACGATCATGTGCCTGTTATTGGAGGCAGACGGAGGCTTTTTTTTTTTTTTGCGGGAATCCTTGAGCGTATCACGGCAGTTCCGTATGAATTAGGAATGTGGAATGCAACTGCTTTCCTTCGAGGTATCCATTTTTTGACTGGAGCTAGCGTCGCTGGATTCTCACTTTAGAATTATTTCTCTTTTAGATTATTGGTTTTTTCCCCTTTCTATTTGAATTAATTCTAATTTTTTTTTTTAAAATTTTTTTTTTTGGTTGATCAGCTGGCTCTATGCTTTGATTTTAGTCTGGATCTTGACAGGGTAGTACGTATCGTCATTAGGCAAAGCCAAAGCCTATTTATGTAAACGATCCTTCCAAAGATTCTTTAGAGCATCGTCTCATTTTTTCTTTTTCCTTCCTCACCTATCATAGAAGTCTCAATTGTCATTACAGGAAAGTTATTTTCGACCTTCAAATTGAGTTCGACCTTTCACACAACAAGGTGCCGCATGGAAGAAGTATGACAACCTTTTCATTGGTGGCGCTTTCTATTCTGATCCTACTACTTGTCGTGGGATTCTATAAACGATGTTTACATTGGCTATCGTCAAGAAAAGAATCATTGCAAAATGCTTGTTCCGAAGGGCCTTCCGATCTCAAGCGCATGGCTCCATATCCAGCACAGCCGATTCGAGGTCGAGAACGATACCGGATTATGATGGATGTTCGCCGCTTAGACTCCCAAAATTGGCTCACGCTCGACAAGAACTACATGGATGAGCATCGAGTCAGAGATCATTTGTTGCGGGAAAAGAGAGACAATGTTCTTCAATGTCTGCCTGAGTCTCTCGTTGCTTGCCAAGAAGCGCTAGAAGAAGTATCAGAGTTCCTTTGTGAGCGCTTCCCTGGCATGTTTAAGAAGACGGTTCAAGGGAGCGACACATGGATTGAAAATAAAGCCACAAAGGAGAGATTCAATATCAGTGGCCAGGCCACTGTGAACAGCACTGATGCCCTGGAGGCGGCAGTGCGGCTCACAATGGAGGATCTCAGTGTTTTGATGATAAATGATGATGACGAGTATTACCTGTAAGTATGCGAGTTTTGTTTGAAGGCCCGTGCTAATTTTGACACAGGGCTGCCAGCGCAAGTCTGTTCCCTACAGGGTGGACAGTTGATCAGCGCATCGGGTGGACAATTTCCCAAATGCACGAGCCAGTTCCCCTCTGGCACCAGCAAGTAGCCAACTCAGTCAGCAAGTACGTATCAAAGCCTTCAATATACTCGTATAATGAAGATTCTGACAAGTCTTCAGATTTCTGGCACGTTTGTCCCCGACATCGCCAATGGAGCGCTCCAACTACTTCGTGGAAATCAAGCGACCAGACGAGGATCTTTTTGAGATTCTATATCGACCAGGTTCTCTTTGTGAAAAGGCCCTTATTGACCCCTCGCCTAATGAAATCATAATTCGTCGCGAGAGACAAACCTTTCGCCGCCTACCCCGAACAGGCGCGATAGTGTTTGGCGTTAAAACCTATCTGACACCAATCAGTCAGTTACCAATGCAAGAATTGGAGAATCTGGCCAAGGAGATGTTAACATGGCCAGAATATGTGAGCGAATACAAAGGCAAGGACGTGTGGGGTAGAAAAGTTCTGGAGTATTATAACAAACGTGTTGCGGACATTCAGAGCGAGTCCTCAGAAAAGATTTCCACTGAGGTATGATCTATACGCGAAACATGATGACATACAGAATGGCACTTGTAAAAGCTACGGACTCGGACTTTGAAGCATTTTTCTCGGAAGAAAAAAGGTGGGCGGCTGTTTCTGTTTCTATTCCTGTTCCAAGGTTCGCTTTTGATTTAAACATATACTCGAAATGCACACATGCTCTTCATATTTTCAACATTGTCAACAAAATTGCAAACTATAATATCGTCCCGAGTCCTTTGAACTAAAATCGTATCCAGCCAAGTTATATTGACCTTATGTACTCTATAGCGTTAGTGCCTAATGGCCAATGGTGGCGCTATTACGAAAAGGTAGTTCGTGGCGAGGTCTAATTATTTCGAAAATCAACAAAGGTCTTAAGCCACGGAGTCTCATTGGTCAGATCGATTACAAATAGCCCCTAACTTTTCCTATACTACATATAATATTGTTGACCCGAAGCGAATTCTGAAAGCGGCGAAGGCTTTCCAAATGCATCCATAGGTTTGTAATGAATGTTTCCTATCCTGACAGGCCAAGCAGCATGTTCTTCAGCCTATCAATCCTAGTCCAAGACACGTGTTTGTCACCTGACGCGCAATACGACAATGCTTTCCAATTGGATGCCAGTATGTCTTCAAATCATCAAATAATGGATTGGTTTACGCTGGTCCACTGGAATCTTGATTTCAATGAAGGCTTGGATGCTGGCGGGATATTCAGTCCTGGTGCCCAGGTCTTCTGGACAGGCTCCAAAGTCGGGATTTCGAGTCGATATGTGCTATGGTTGATATGAGGCGACGGCGCCGCGGCAGAACGATCCCCCAGCAGTCGGGCAAGCTGTCGACGTTGCATTTCCTCGTCACTCAATAAGGGTGTATCGTCCCCCGCTCGATGGTTGTCCGAGGATCTGCGTTCGTGGTAAATCAGAACCGCTGCACCACCGTGTATCAAGGTAAACGCGCTCGGCAGACCGATGGAGACGACCCGGAGCGCGGACAAAGGGAATAGATCGCGAGCGAAGATGTTTAGGAGTATGTTGAACAGGGCAATTAAGTTGATTATAATGAATGGCCTGGGAGGTTTGAGTTGGGTATTCAATCAACGCGTATGAGTGGACTGACATAAATAGGGAGTGCAGAAGATAGCCGTGTTGGTGCCGTTGGAAGAAGGCAATGCCGACCGACGAGGCATGCGCGAGGCCGATGAAGAAAAGCGCGATAACGGCAGTTGTGGTTTCATTGATATGGGTACTGTCTTTCGTGTTACCGAGGACCACCGCCAACATGAGATACCTGAAAGGAGATGGTTTGATTAGCAAGGTGTTGGATACTCGCGATAGTGAAAGTCGCCTACCCCGCTAGAAGAAGAACCCCTGATAAAACAGTTGTAATTCTCCATGGCCGTGAAACTCCGTTAAGGATCTGTCCTGGGGGTGGGACCAATCCACCGTACTCAGACGGGGTAAGTTGCATATCGTACAGTCATTTCAGAAGTCGCCGGCAGACAAGAGGTGGGTAAATAGGAAGCTGCCAAACAACAAGCTTTAGAAAACGAGCACTACACCAACGGAGCGCAAAATGAATGGATCCATGAGGGATTGGAGAACATTCAGCCCTGAAGGATTTGCTCGAAGCCGCAAGGTGACGGAGAACGGGGGCAATGGGGCAGTGGTGTTGCAGATCCTGCTTCTGGCCAATTATATTGTATTATCGGGCTCCGCCACAATCTAACGCAGGTGGCCTGACTCGACAATTTACGCCTCGTTCTTTGTTTAATACATCGAGGATAGAGTACTAATATGGACGGTCTCCGTTCGTGGTCCTGAACTTGAGGGTGTCCATATAAAGGCTAATTGCGGGTGAACCAAGGTAAACAAGCGTGTCCCCCGCTGAGCCCACTCTACCTCCACTCTCTTATCCACATTGTCACAATTTGACACCTTGAAAGAATTTGACTTTGTGATCTGATCTAACGAGCTTCGTCACTTTTGGATCATAATGAAAGGATTGCTGGATTTTCGGGCGTTTGAAACTCAGTCCTCGAGCCGATGCAATGAGTGGTCTCGGTCCTGGCTAATGCTTTGAGCTGCTGGCAATCAAGAAACTGACTTATACCAAGCGTCAGGAAATAAGTGCATTGTAGGTCAAGCTTCGTTACTTCCAGTGATGTTCCATTGGCTACCGTTCGGCGCGAGTCGAATTGCCGAGTCACACGGGGACTCCTCGGATATGCCATATAGCCGACTCACTTTCCCGACGAACTGGTAACTATTAGTCAGCGCATAGTATAGTTATGAGAGCGCCCTTTCTCATAATGACTCAAGCGTTCAACTATATCTCTACTAACCATGAAGCCTCTGCGCATTGCTTTCGCGCGATTATCAGCACGGACATTGCGCAGCCCATCGCAATTGGGGCGACAGCAATCAAGTGCAGCTTCCACACATCGCCCAGCTCCTCTTGCTGGTATCACTGTTATCAGTTTGGAACAGGCCATTGCAGCACCCTTCTGCACACGTCAATTAGCCGATCTGGGAGCTCGCGTCATCAAAGTTGAACGACCTGTAGTGGGAGACTTCGCCCGCCAATATGACAACCGTGTCAATGGTATGTCTTCTCATTTCATGTGGACCAACCGCTCCAAGGAGAGTTTGGCATTGGATCTCAAGAACGAGCAAGATCATAAAATTCTCATGAAACTCCTGGAACGAGCAGACGTGCTAGTCCAGAACTTGGCGCCGGGTGCATCAGCTCGATTGGGGCTATCGCACGAAGCGCTAAAGGAGAAACACCCCTCTCTGATCGTCTGTGACATCTCCGGGTATGGGCAAGATGGTCCTTATCGTGACAAGAAGGCCTATGATCTTCTTATCCAGAGCGAAGCAGGAATGCTCTCTGTCACTGGTACTGGGAAAGAGCCAGCGAAAGTTGGTATCTCGATTGCGGATATTTCCGCAGGAATGTATGCCTACAGCAATATTCTTTCCGCCCTGTTACAACGTGGCAAGGATGGCCAAGGATGTCGGATTGATATTTCCATGTTGGAGAGTATGGTTGAGTGGATGGGCTTTCCGATGTACTACACCTTCAACAATGCGCCTGGGCCAGTCCCGGCCGGCGCATCACATGCAGCCATCTACCCATATGGACCCTTTGCAACAGGCGATGGTCAATCTGTCATGCTGGGTATCCAGAATGAACGAGAGTGGATCAACTTCTGCAATGACGTTCTCTGTCAGTCGGAGCTGGCTACGGATAGTCGGTTCTCCAGTAACTCGCTCAGAACACAAAATCGCGACGCGCTGAAGCAAACCATCCACGATGTCTTTTCGACATTGACTGCTGAACAGACCATTGAGCGACTTGATGCAGCGTCCATCGCTAATGCCAGTGTCAATGATATGCAAGGGGTCTGGAAACATGCCCAGCTTAAGGCTCGCGATCGGTGGACTGAGGTTCAAACCCCCACTGGCCCAATAGAAGCTCTTCTACCGCCTGGGTCTACTAAATCAGCAGACAAAGGTGGATTTGGGGCTCGGATGGGATCGGTTCCTGAGGTCGGCGAGCATAACGAGGCGATAATGGCCGAGTTAGGAATATCACGATAGCAGGCTTTACTTAAGATCAGAAACGAATGAAAATATTCAGTATTCTTTCTGGATTGTTCTCCACTTTTCTGATTAAAAACGAAGATTATGATGTTCAAATGATTTACACAACACTCTTTATTCAGGTGTCTTACTCCATGATCTCTAGGTTATCCGCAACGGTGAACTTGGCATCCGTCTTGCTGCGAACTTCTTCCACTTCAACACCCGGAGCAAGCTCAGTCAAAGTGAGCTCACCGGTAGCCCGGTTCACTTGGAAGACACACTGGTACACGTTAGTTCGAATCGCTCAAGTAAATAGCTCGGCTCACTCACCAAGTCAGTGATGATAGTGCTAACGACGTTCGCACCAGTCAGAGGCAGACTGCACTTTTGCACAATCTTCGGCGATCCATCTTTCGCCACATGGCTTGTCGCGACCACGATCTTTGTCTGGTCAGGATTCGAAATAAGATCCATTGCACCACCCATGCCCTTGAAAACCTTGCCTGGGATCATATAGTTCGCCAAGTCGCCGTTCGCGCTGACCTGCAGGGCTCCGAGAATCGACACATCGACATGACCACCACGGATCATGCCAAAGGATTCAGTGCTGTCAAATGTGGCGGCACCGGGAATCAGTGTCACGGTCTCCTTTCCGGCGTTGATGATGTCACTGACGAAGGTTAGAAACGAAGCTAACGAAAATTGGGGAGAAAACTCACGCATCAACCTCCTCTTCGGTCGGGTATGGTCCCTGGAAGAAGTCAGCCACCAATCAATGTGATAAACTATTATGTATCAACCCACCATTCCAAGTATTCCGTTCTCGGATTGAATCCAGACTTTGACATCCTTGGGCAAGAAGGACGGAGCAAGGGTAGGGATACCTAGGATTGTGAGTAGCTATACAGTACCAAGGTTTTGACATTACTCACCAACACCCAGGTTCACATAGAATCCTTGCTTCAACTCCTTAGCCGCTCTCCGGCCAATGCGCTCTCGCTCAATTTGAGCCTGACTTTTCGTCGAGCCCTCCGCGCTTTCGGTCTCACTCTCCCGCAACTTCTTGTTCTCGATGTGTTTCTCGTCAGTGGCCGGCACGATTCGATCAACAAAGATACCAGGCAAGTCCACATCATTGGGGTCAATGGATCCAACCGGAAGGATGTTCTCGGCTTCCACGATGGTCAGGGTGGCAGCTTTCGCCATGATCGGGCCAAAGGCCTTGGTCGTGTACCTGATTTCGATGCCATGAGTATATGTGCTGAAGATACGAGCCGAAGAACATACCGGAAAACACAGTTTCCAACCTCATCGACCTTCCACGCGCGCAGAATAGCCACATCACCTGTCAAGGCGGTCTCCATCAAATATTTCTTGCCATTGAATTCACGTGTCTCGCGCGGCTTTCCCGATTCTAAGACCTTACCCGACTCATCCACGCGAACGGGAATCTTGCCCTCCTCGATAAAGGTGTCTATAAAAGTCAGATATGAATTTCCATGGTGGATCCTTGTGCCAACATACGAACGCCAGTCGGGGTGAAAAAGGCCGGAATACCGGCACCACCGGCACGTAACCGCTCAGCCAATGTTCCCTGAGGGCAAAGCTCGATCGCAATATCACCCGACAGATATTTCTTTTCCAAGACCTTGTTATTACCCAGGTAGGACAGGATCAACCGATTTAGCTGTCCATTCTGTGATAGTGTTGAGAGTCCTCCCTTGCCAGCGGCACCAGCGTTATTTGAGACAGCCGTCAAAGAATGCAATTGATCTGCACCTCGCCGGCCCATGGCATTGATAAGCGTTTCTACAACAGGTCAACATTTGCACGGATGTTGCTTCCCCGTCTCCGCGATTCACTAACCGGCAACCCCGCACAACCCGAATCCGGAGCTCAGGATCGTCGAACCGCTCTTGATATCAGCGACTGCGGCATCAGCATCCTTAAAGACCTTCGATCCACCACGTTCGACCTTAGGAGCAAGAGACAGTCGCGGCGCGCTCGTTGAGTAGTTCGACCGAACAGTCGGAAGCACCGGTCGCACGTTGCAGCGCACTCCCAGGTAGACCCGTGGCCTGCACGCAGTGATTGCTTTGCGCGATAATGAAGCTGTAGATACTCTCAAAGCCGACATTTTGTGTATTCTTGCAGAAGGAAGAAAAGGGATTGAATCTCAATTTAAGACGCGCCGGTTGACACAAGTTCTCGGTCATCGGAGCTACTTTTGGATACCGACTGGCCGAGGGCAATCATATGACGTAACCGGCAAGCGGGATCCATTTTACCCGAATAACTGTGAAGTGTAGAGCCGTCACTTAAACGAATTGGACTCGGATAATATTGAACGCAGATGACTGGGCTTCTTCGACTTAATACTATCCTAGTGAGCCAATATTCCTAGTCAGCCGAAGTTCTTGAGGACTTCATCATTTACATTGGTTAGCTACCGAATCGGCTATATGGTCATGGATCCATGTACATCTCAAGGTTATCAGGGCAGTTGCTCAATCTCACAAATATGGATGTAATTATTGGGTATATAATGGATTGACAAGAGTTTCGCTACCTAGGTAATGTCTTCCAAAGATTGGAAGTTGAGTCACAAATTTTTACTAACAGGGCATTAGGACAAAAAATGGAAAAGAACAAACAAAGTACACATAACAACTCCCAAACAGTCATTTCAACGGTACGAGTCGCACACGAAAGCTTTTGAAGTGCATGCTGAGTGAGTTGAGATCTCAGAAGAACGATGAAGAATATACAATAGCAAGTTTGGTCCATCCATTAAAACTCATATCCATTCCCAACAACTCATCAAGCCAACTCACTTTCAGCTGCTAATTTTGAATAGTCGGTTGTTCCGGAGGGGTTGTTTTGACCAGAGTCATAAATTTGGTCTGTGGAGAACTATATGGGAGTCCTTCAGTGGAGACCATTGTCACTGTGACTGACGCGTTCGTTGGTGTCTGGATAATGGACGTCTCATTCACACCAGGCACCTCTCCACCTTCTGTGGGCAGGATCGTTCGCGGTTTCCCGAAAGGCGTCTTAATATATCCCATCGCCATGGAGAAAATAAGAATCAAGACTACCCAGAAAAGCACGCAAAGGAATATTCCGGCACTGAGTGTACATAACGAGGTTTGATTAGCTCTTTCCCACCAAGTCTTGCTCGACCTGTCAACTATCTCCACCGGGGACAAAGCTTTATCAAGTTCTGCTGTAGATGGTCCCTTGTTGGGTCCATAAGTTGGTTCTTGAAATCGTAAGTCCATGTTGACGGATCCCTTCTGGGCTCAGGACTTACCAGACGTAACTCGGTAGGCTTCGCCATAGTATATCTCACTGAGATAGCCTGGTGTTGAGCTGGTCGGTCTATCAGTTAGATGGCTCCACTTGTCCGGTCCTTCTCTAGGCAGCTTGCGGGGCATTCTGTGAGTTTCTCGAGTTCTGCGTGTATTAGTGTCTGGGGTTAATAGGTTGCTGAAGATGAGCGGAAATGGGAATCAGGAAAATCCAGATTTCTCTAAAAGGTGCGAGAAGCCCCGATGATTGGAAGAAGACAGATAAGTTCCCATATTAGCATAGTCCATTCTGGAGGGGCCGAGGTGGGTTTAGTAGATCTCCCCTTCTGGGATCATGGCTAGAACGTGCGCTTAATGTCAACGTCATCACGAACCTGAATTCATTTCCATGGCTTCATTATGCCGCACTGTTTCATAGCCCACTTTAGATTATATGCGCTCAGAAATTCTCAGAAGTACTCGAACTCAAGAATCCTAAAAACGATGTCGGCGTATAAGCTCTCAATTATCACAAATGGACTCAGCATATTTACTCAGTACCATTCCAAGCCTTAACTAGATCGTCTGGATAGCGGATATTTTGCGGACATTTTGACTGTGTAGGCAAACATTGCATGTTGCCGCCTCGTGTCAAATCGATTTGAAGTATACGCTGTCTCCACTATCTAAAACCCCCGCTACATACACCCAAGCCAGAACCAATTAGGGCCAACCGATTGGACATTGCTGACACCCCTCATGCTTCAGAGATCTGTACATTTCAAGTGTGCGCCACCAATCGCAGAAAAGTCTGGCTCGGCTGGACATACTCAAACGGGTCACTGGATGCGTGTCGGAAGTTTACCCTATCTTGTCTTTTCATATGAGTATAAAATTGTGGCAACCTAATCGATTGAACAGCTCTATCACAACATCTATTCTGTTGTCAGAAGACTTTGCGAATATCAAACAGTATGGGTCGGACATTGACGTATCCAAAGGGCGTCTCTAACACGGTGAATCGTTATAAGCATCGCGGTATGAGACATCTAGAGAAACCTAAACTATCATCCGCCATCTAACCTCTCTTTGATAGCAACATACGACCTTGGTGCAATCCACTCCATCATCAATACATCCCAGGTGCTGAATGTCTCCTTCAACCCTGGTCCTGAGGACCCATTTCCCACTATCCTGCCTATGATTGGACAAATGGGATCGTTTGAATACCCTTCGGCGACAATCGACGAACCACTTGAATGCTATCTCCACGGTTATGTGAGCTCTCGCATCATGAACCTAGCCCGCAAGTCCGGTTCCAAAGAACAGGGCCTCCCAATCTGCATCTCCACCAGTCGAGTCGATGGAATAGTACTCTCTCTCACCCCTAACTCTCACAACTACAACTACCGTTCGGCAACATTGCATGGATACGCAAAGCTGGTCACATGTGAAGAGGAGAAACTGTGGGCCATGAAGTTTATCACCAATTCTGTTGTCGCGGATCGTTGGGATCACTCACGAGTACCCCCCGACCGGGCAGAAATGTCGTCTACTGTGATTCTCAAAGTCGACGTGGTCGCTGGCAGTGGCAAGATCCGGGATGGTGGAGTATCCGATGAGCGCAAGGATACGCAAAATGGCGATGTTACTAAACGCATCTGGACCGGGGTGATTCCTGTCTGGGAAATGTTTGGAGAGCCCATTCCCAGCGATGGAAATATGGTCACTGAGATTCCCGAGCATATCTCCTCGTTTATTGCGAATAGAAATGCCCAAAATCAGGCTTATGCCGAGCGTGCTGTACATATTGCGTTACCCCCGGAAGAACAGCATTGATCTGTCTAGCTTGAACTTTTGGCTGAATTCATTGATATATACTTTGAAGCGCCTGGAGATGGGTTATGAAGAAGTACTGGTATCTTGTGCTTTTCTTACCTAGTACGATATCTTAGTCTTATTAAACCAAAACTAATATAACAAGAATGTCAAAGAGAACCTTTAGGACATACCCGTGCGTTCTCAGACATAACATGATACTTTGAGCCTTGTCCGACCCAGAAAACGAGTCGAGCTGATGGCAATCTGTTTCGAGATTCACTTCGATTCCGCAATTGCCAAGCCCTGGGGCCTTGGGCTTTTATATGCATCTGTACTTCGCGCACGATCGGAAAGTGTTCGGGTAAGAGCAGGTAATGATATTGGTGCCAATGAAGCTAGTCAATTAAGTGACAAGCTTGTTCATATCTTGTTGACCACACCCGATGATCAGGAAAGCACGCATTTCGTCCATTTTTAAAGCACTTTAGACAGTGATACCTCGACAAAATGCAAGGCATCTTAGTGAATTTCATCGAGTGCACAATACTGCAACTCGACGGTAGCACTTTCCAACCGCCAATCTGTCAAATCGTCCTCGAGGTTGTCAACCACTGCAAGAACATAGTGAAAAACAATCTCGTCCTCAGCTCCATCAAAAATCTGACAAGAAGCTTGATTTGTTCAGGCAGTGTGCACAAAAATCTGGCAGCTTGCTCGTTCAACCAGGAAGCTCGCCAGAGACTGCCCTTGGGGGCGAATGCGTTCATTCTGCGGGAAGAAAAATGATCTATGGCCTCTGTGACTTGATGGACAGCCTGAAAATACAAACCTCCTTGGTCAAGGACGGGGATGACACATTTGGGTGAAATCTTCTCTCTCACACTACGCCGTCCTTTGATTTTCAACGCCCCGGCCGTGCAGTTCAATTCTTTTGAGACATGGAATTTGTGGCGGATTCTAACACCCTGGATAATCGTACTTCAAAGCAATATTCGTCTGAATGAATCTTCCAGTCAAACGATGGTACATCTTGTGACCGCCTGCGCAAGGCCGCTGTTGAAATTGCTCTAGACTGAAAGTCACACTAGCTCAATCTGTCTGTCATGTATTTAAACCAAAATATCAATCATACCATGCAGCTAGGATGAACCTAAAAGTAGCACCAGGTTGGCTGCAGGCCCAATGCCCCTCTGATCGGCTCGAAAATGAAGCCGCAAGATACGTTAAACTTCAAAAAGATTCAGGTCCTTATATGGAATTGGCGAGGCTATAAACAAGAATGGGCCGCCATCTTCTTGGGCAGCAGTGACTCTTCTGCCGATGCTATTGTGGAGCTTGAAAGCAAAAATATAGGCATTTTTGCTGCGATTATATAGGCTTTCCTCCCTGGAAATCTACCCATCCGAAATAGCCAATATGGAATTGACTTCCCATGGCAAGGACAGCAGTTGTCCGTAGAAAAGGTAGTTGTTGGTCCCCTGTCCAGGCTAATGATAGTTAAGGGTGTAGGTAAACCTGGACTAGGATTGAGATATAATTGCAATACACGTGGTAATAGCATGTTCGCTGTCCACAGGTATACAGGGCTTGAATAATGGATTGACAGGTCTCCAAGAGCGCCACAACGTTGCTTGAATTACAGATTTAGTAATACCGGATGGATCAATACGTTCATGCCCAGTTGGATATTCCTATCTGGCAACCTTGAATTTGAAGAACGTGCTACCACTTACCGTGTACATTAATTGGAGTCTGGGAGCCGTGCTACTGACCACTGTGACCTTAAAGTACTATGTAAGTTGCCGAAGATATTACTGCAGGATAAACTGTTTCGTGTTCCCACTGATAAGCGAAGTTTCAACATGGACTAACTCAATCATATGGGCTGGAGCATTAAACTGGCATCACAAGAGTTTATCTGAAGTAGAGTTGGTGTGAACCAGGATTGACCCAGTAGTTGCACCAAGCCCTCCGTCCGGCCCAGAATTTAATTGAGGCTTGCCTATCACCTGGGCAATTCAGTATGCGGGGTGCTGAGCCCGTTGGTCACGGATAGATCGCTCTGTCTAAGTTATTTTTCAAATACAGGGATCCAGTTCTAAGACAACAGATCTCAAGGCATCGGCCTCTTTGGATCGCATCGGATACGCTCAACGGCGCAAGAGCCATTAGGCATGCCTCGGATCCTTCGGCGCTATCGTATGACGAACTGTTCCTAGGATTCCCGTTCGCTATACTATACTAGTGGACTCGGAAGTTGATTCACTTCTCGATATTAGAAGCACTGAAGGTACCGATGTTGTAATTTTTTGATATAAATTCCGGCCTCTTTCTCTTCATCCAATCCTTCATTCACACTCATCCAAGTTCTAAAGTTGCTCAGCGAGTCTGTCAACATGGCCATGAGAATCATCTTTCTTTCTCTTCCCTTGACGGCCTTTGCGGGAGTCGTGGCAAGTCTGTTTGAGGATGTATCTGAGATGACACTCGACCGGCCTGCTTCCACGCCGCACTTATTCACCAGTCAGGGATACGGCGACTGGAGTTCCCAAAAAGCGATGCCGATGAATGGAGCGTGCCAACCGCTCAAGAGCACAGATGATTTGTAAGTCTGCCAGGTATTTCATCCCTCATATTGCTCACCTTGCTAGATACCATAATGTTGGATCCATTTATATTCCTTGTGCGATCACAGCAGGCAAGAAGGCCATGTGCACCATGTACAGGTATTTGATAGAACTTGTCCATCTCCATAGCCACATGGTAATAGAAACAGTGATTCAAATTGCCAAGATGTGATGGCCGCATTCGACCGCTCGCACTACAGACTGTTCGATCGCTCCCATAAGAACACGATGCTGACCTCCTACCTCGGTGGAATGGTAGAGAGTGTCAAGTGCGAGATGGTCGATGTCTTGACCAAAGTTTCGAATAACAACGACCACGTCTCCACTATGCATATGTCCCAATGTGTCGGTGACAAGTGCAATTCCGATCATGAATGCCACTTCAACCTCGGCGGCCATATGTTCTGCTCGGAGAAGAAGGACATGACCTGCCAAATGAGCCGCTTCCTGAAGTTGGGCTCTGAGTGCACTGAGGACCATCAATGTCGCGAGGGATACTGCACTGAGCATAATGGGCAGGTTAAATGTATGCCAAAGCGAGCACTGGGTGCTCTATGCTCGTCTTCTGCCGAGTGCATGTCTGGAGAAGTTTGCTGCGACCTTTCCGGAGGGTCACGGTGCAGCCAGGACCTCTGTAATGCAGATGACGTTAATGACGATGTCGACATGTGCATGAGCACTGGAGTGGAATGTTACGAACACTCGATGTGTTGCAGCGGAGGTTGTATGTTTGACCCGATGCTTGTGCTGGGTAAGTGCATGTAGGGTGAACTATGCGAGTTCAGAGAGCAAACAGGTTGAGTTATTAGGCGGAATATGTTGACGAAGACATGACTTTGATCAGGCGTACTAGTTTGGCAAGGAGATAATACAGAGAAATGGAAGACAATTTTGTCGTTATCTGGATAAAATGCCTTACAGTTCATTTTTGCCGTTTGAAGTTACAAATTTTTAAGGGTACTATTGTCCATCAAATGCTACGGGTAACTGATGTCTTTACATAACTGTGAGACTCGTCAGTAGGCAAGGTAACTGATTGGAGTCTTGATGAGTCGGAATCTTCAGCACCAGCTGCATCGCAGACAAGAACAAAACACTGTTTTTCTCTACCAAGCTATCGGCGCAGAAATTGATTGCATGTACAGCATCACTAATGACATTCAAAATACCATTAGATCGTATCAAATTCCTTTTCCTGACAACTAAAGGAATGTCTTTTTAAATTGATCCAACCTCGCTGAGCTCCTTTATTCGCAACTCGTCGGGCACGTGCCGCCGGGTTTTGCAACATGCCATCGTGAATCCAGGATGACTGGAAGCTCCGGTCTTCGATTTCCTGTGGGCTGACTTGTTCTGGAGAAGCTCGCGGTTGGGGCTGCCACTCGAAGCAACCGGTTCTTATCATCAGTGGATCGGGGGAAGTCGAGCACATGGATTCAACTGGGCAGAGGCTCGTGCGTAGCAAGCCGACTAACATCAGCTCTGAATCCTGCGTCTCATTGGGCTTGGCGTTATAGCCGCCTTTTTTTTACTCGGGGATGATGTTTAAGACTAGGCACAATAAGCAAGTGATCCAGTCCCAAAAATGCAATAACAAGGAGTGGTCCAGAAGTGCCTTCAGAGAGAAGATTATAGTCGTCAAAGCCTTACGCATCCGTAAATGGTATGGCATTTCCGACTAAGGATGATTGTTTCGTCATGCTAGGCAGGAGGTAGGGGCAGGCAAAAGAAAAAGAAAAGAATAGGAAAGAATGAAAAGAAACAAAGCATGTTAACCAACTCACCGCATGAGAAGACCACTTTACAATAGATCGATATTCCACGAGATGCAGTACCGCCGTGAAACGAATAACTCTGGACTGATTCGTAGGCTGTTGGAGACACCAAGGTGGTGCTACCTGGCCGTTCAGTCGTCATAGGAGATGATCCTTCGCCCAGGGTATGGATTCTGATTCCTCGGTTGCTTATTTTGGCCAGATGGTGTCTGGTGGCTCTCCTCATAACTGAGGGGCTCAGACATGGTGCTATCCGTCTCGTGTCCAGCTGGTCCTTTGGACTTCTTAGCAGCAGAAACGAGCTCCTCCCCGCTTGTTTTATTTGTAATTTCCTTGCTCCTATTATCCTTGGCGGTTGAGCCTCCCTGTTGGGACTTCATATCCGCGACTGTATTGTGGTTCTTCTCAAAAGACTCTTGACGAGCTTCGTATTCGACATCGTCTTGTTCGAGTTGCCTTACGCGTAGCAACGAGTGGATCTCGCTGTGTCTAAAAATTCGGATCTGTTCATCAGTGAGAGTCCGTTTCACTCCGTCGGGATAATAGCCCAGGTCTTCATCGTCGCCAACGTCCTCTTCATATTCTGGTTCATCTGCGGGCGCGCCGACTGTTTCGTGTCCCGGGAAGTGCTGCACGTGAAAGGCCTGGAGGTCTTCCTGCAATATAAATCATATTTCAGCATCAAGTCAAGGCAGAAAACCTGGGAGGTAACATCTTACCAAGGTGACTGTTGGGATCTGCATCGTGGGTTTCGGGGGAATTGTTTAGGGAGGAAGTTTTAGCGCGACGCGGACGCGACTGAATGGTTACGTAACGCCTCGCTCCAGCCCAACAAGCATATTTTTGTACTTGATCTGAAGATGTAGTCTTGATTTTGATTGTTCTATATTATCATATAATAGTCTGTTGGAAGTCAAGCTCTTCTCAACGTGGCTCAAGTGTTCGTTGGTAGAGGTATGCTCGAGACGTTATTCCCTATCTTAACCTTGACGCTATCAAACCGGACTCGAAGATCCTGTAATGGTCTCAAATCAGACGTTCCAACACGGTCCTTCTCCTCCTGATTTGGCTCTTTCAGTGCCCACGCAAGTGATATGTGAAAACAGTCGGAGAAGTCGTGATTATGTGGAGTACCATGGGATGCATAGAGAGGGGCTGGTCGAATCGAGCCAGGGCACGATTCGAAAGACGTAATAGACCATTCAAGCTGTCATGTTCTGGTTTAGACATATGAAGTACAAGAAACCAGCGTGTCCGCTCATAGTTGGACACCCACTTCAGGCCATTAGGTTTCAATGCAAATCTATCTCGCAATTAGCTATCTTGTCGGCATGAAAGATGGAGGCTTAGACTTACGGCGTTATCCGAGAGCTGTCAATTTCCGTCTGTAGGAATCTTTCAAAAGAGCTGCGCTGTTCGGTGCGAAGAACAACTGGCCGGGATAGGCTAATATGGAGTGGCAGCTGCGCGCCTAGGTCACTGTGTAGGAGACTTTGAATTCCCGACTGTGAAGACGAGCGCTGGGGGAGCAGTTGTCCAAGAAGAATCAGCTCCTGCGTCGATGGGTACACTAGTAGGATTAGTGCTCTGTCAGACTAGAAGGTAGCATACACATACATTCAAGGTAGACATGAGTTGGCCAGTTGCCCTCGACATGAGGGATGACCCGCTTTCGACCCCCCATGAAGGCTTGGATCATCCCGAGTGCTAACACGTGTAGTCGAGGCATATAAATCGTGAAATGTTGCTGGGAGTGGGGGCAGACTCAACATCTTGTCCGAGGTCGATTGTTTGTGACACGGCCGCTTGGCCGACGGTGTCAGGACATCTGCTTCATCTGACTCGGACTCAGAATCTGAGTACTGAACCAAAGGCATTCCAGGCTGCTATGACAGATTGAAGGTTGCGCACTAGTTGAGATTGATGGATTCATGGCACTAGTTTACTATGGGAAAGTTCCAATTCTATTCGCATGTTGAAGCCTGAAGGACAAGGCTGCAATATCCAGCCCCACAAAGCTCTTATGATTGGTCTTATTGTGCTTGGTGTACAAAGCTCTTGGATCTCGAGTATACCTCTTCTTCCATTTTGAAAGGCTGCAGGCTTGGATGCATACAAATGTTCCATTGAAAAACTGCCAGGTTCTTACTTTTGTTCGAGGTATCTCTTGGCTTCCGTTTGTCGGAGGCCTTCGATGGCACTGTCCCTTCACGCGATACTGGTCGTGAGATACCAATTCATATCTACAAGCCCGACAATGGCCAGCCTCGTGAAGACATCTTCCGCCTTTTTCATAGTGTTGGCCACAAAACCCACCCAGTTGCCACCCATGCTTTTGCTGCTTTTCCCAGCTTGCCTGTGGGGGATTGTGTGTCTCTATCGTGCTGCAACATGAAACCCTTTAGAGCTACCTCATGACGTGTGCTGCAGAAACAGAGTTGACTAGCGATGTAACATTAATCAAGTGAAACACCCTTTCCTATACAGATAATCCACCTCGGCTCAACTTCGACTGAGACCCCTAGGAAACAGGCACCAGAATGGCCACACAATGTGGGGAAATGGAGCAAACCCCACATTCGTCAGATCGGAGTGTTGATCAACCGACAAACTACCAGCCAAGTCTCTCTAAATTGCGGAGAATTGCAGGATACCTCATACTCCGCATTCCGGGGTGAAATACACCGAAGCTCTGGATCGTCACCCAACCTGCGGAAAGCTTAGGTCTCAACTAGCGGACAAGGGACATGGCACAGGGGTGGCTGGATACAAAAGGGAGACTGATTCCAAACACTGGATTCATCAGCCCATCAGAGCTTTCTTCCAACCTTTCCTTCAATGTTTGGGGTTACTCTTCTGCTGCTACCGTTGGTAGCGGTCGCATCGCGTGTGCCATACGAGGAGTACATTCTAGCTCCGAGCTCACGAGACCTAATTCCAGCATCAGTCTACCAAGTCAATGGGTCCGTGATAAATGCAAGCTCTTTATTACAATCCTCTGGTAAAGGGGCCACCTTCAATGGCGTTTCATCTGTGACATTGGACTTTGGCAAAAACGTCGCTGGCCTAGTATCCCTAGATGTTAACTCCGCCTCAGCATCATCCGCATTCTTGTCTGTCACATTTACCGAGTCCAGTCTCTGGATCAGCAGCGAATATAGCGATGCGACTGGTAATTCTGGATTCGACAGACCATTGTGGTTCAACGTCGGCAAGGGTGCAGGAAAATACACGGCAGCCACCAAATTCCAACGAGGTGCCTTCCGGTATCTGACAGTCGCGAGTAATACCAGTGCCACGGTGGCTCTAGACGCTCTCCGCGTGAACCTCACTTCCGCACCGGACCAAAATCTTCGGGAATATACGGGCTGGTTCCACTCCGACGATGAGCTGATTAACAAGATCTGGTATGCCGGCGCATATACGAACCAGCTGTGTACTATTGAGCCGACGGCCGGCGACTCTATCACCTCGCAGAGCGACGATATCGTCCTGCCAGAAATGAACACTTGGTACAATAACTACACGATTACAAATGGAACTAGTACCATCACCGATGGAGCGAAGCGCGATCGGCTCGTCTGGCCAGGGGATATGGCTATCTCTCTTGAAAGCATTGCCGTCAGCACTGGCGATCTGTACAGTATTCGGATGGGATTGGAGTCGTTGTTTATTTTGCAGCAGGCTGATGGTCGACTACCCTATGCTGGCACCCCGTTCAATTACGGCGAGAGCTATACCTACCACCTACACAACCTCATCGGCATGTCTTTCTTGTATCGTTTCTCAGGAGACAAAGCGTGGGCATTAAGCTATTGGGACCAATATGTCCTTGGAGTGAAGTGGGCATTGGAGTCAGTTGACAGTACCGGTCTGGCCAACGTAACTTTGTCTGCCGACTGGCTGCGATATGGAATGGGAGGTCATGTAAGTTCAATTCCCCCAGCCAATGGATACTAGTAAGTCATTACTTACAAGATCAGAATATCGAGGCCAACTCAATTCTCTACTTCGTTCTGAACGATGCCCAAGATCTCGCAAAAGAGTTGAACCAGACCTCTATGATCACCCACTGGGCAAGTGTCGCAGCAGGAGTCAAATCTGGCGCGAACAAACTCCTCTGGGACTCCTCAGCAGGAATGTACCGAGACAACCAAACAACGAGTCTCCACCCTCAAGATGGAAACACCTGGGCCATCAAAGCCAATATCACCCAGTCAGAAACCCAACGCAAAACAATATCCGCCGCCCTTAAGGCCCGCTGGGGACCCTACGGGGCCCCGGCCCCCGAAGCTGGCGCTACGATCTCCCCATTTATAGGCGGCTTCGAGCTCCAAGCACACTATATCGCTGGACAGCCCAATGCAGCACTAGATCTTCTTCGCTTGCAATGGGGATACATGCTTCTAGACTCCAAGATGACCCAATCCACATTCATCGAGGGGTACTCGACCGACGGATCCATACATTACGCGCCCTACATCGATGATGCGCGGATCTCACATGCTCATGGTTGGTCAACAGGTCCAACATATGCGCTCACTGCATACGCCGCAGGGATTCGGTTTACCGAACCGGCGGGTAAGTCCTGGATTATAGCGCCCCAACCTGGGAATCTGACCACCGTTGATGCTGGTTTGGCTTCTGCTCATGGAGTTTTCTCGGTGGCGCTCCAGCGATCCTCTGGGGAGCGGTACAGTCGGTTTTCATTTAGCACTCCGTCCTCTACTACGGGAGTTGTTCAACTTCCTGGTATTGAAGGGGTTTTGATCTCTCAGACTGGGCAGCGGGTTCGACTTGTGAATGGTACGGCCCGCGTTCCGGGTGGGACATGGAAGTTGCAAAGCTCGTGATATGTATAGCTGTATCCGAATGGAAATTAGCATGAGAGCGAATACTCCAGAATCATTCATGTTTCCGCTGCTCTGACTCATCTGAGGCAGTAATTATTTCCAAATGGGATCAAACAGCCTCACTGTGTCAATAAGCGGTGTGGTCCAATAGGTCCCTTGCCCTGTTATTAGTGGAGCAATGATTTCTCCACCTTGAGCTTGGAGCTCAGCTCGGTTTGGAATCCACCCAGTCCACTATCATCTGGTCCTCTTTATCGTCTAGGTTTGTAGGTTTCATTGGCCTTTTGTCAAAGAGATCATATGTACTAGGGAATGGTTTCCCTTGGCATACATGCATTAATGTTAATGAAAGATTTGAATCACTCTTAATAGAAAACTGTGGCTTTGTAAGCGCCGGAGATGTGTAAGTTAGTTAATGCAAGTGTGATAGCTTGAGGCAGCAATGCATTCACCCCAAGAAATATCTCGGCGGTATTCACCAACTAGATAGCTTCTACATAAGGAGGAGAAGCATCTCTAATTTCTTATTTATCTACATAGCTCCGACGCACTTTAGGCACAAGGATCAACCCAACCCGTGTGACCGAGTAAACAAGGCAGAGCCGCTCGTCAAATGACAACGCATGGTAGCATGAGGCGTCTAACAGCTTAACATAAGCCAACGCAGTCACATTCGTGGGAGCTCTTGATTGGCTTCTGACCCTTTCACTGTGTCGTTGATTCCTTCTTTCCACCTGCACTGTGATCCCGGCCAGATTAAAACCCTCCGTCGCACCCCACTCTTTCTCTACAACGTGCCTGTTCTCTGTTTCTCATTTCACTTGGTTTTGATTTTCTTTGCTCACCAGCTTTTAACTTCACTTTCGTTCCCTCCTTGTCCTTGTGGCGGAATAGATCAGCCTTCCAATTCAGACCCCAGTGGACCCCCACTCCACTAGCCTCCACACTTCATTTCCCCACTTTGGTTCAAGCTTCAAGCTCCACCATGGCTGAGCCCATCACCAACACCGCAGACATCAAGCACGAGTTTGAGCCATCCACTGAAAACATCAAAATAGTGAATGGCTCGCCGCCGCCCGTCCCTGAAGTAGCGGTCAAAGATGCCGCTACCTCTCCAGTCACGGAAACCTCGCCTATGACAGGAACAGGATGCAAGAAGCATGACAAAATGGAAGGCATGAAGAAAAAGAAAATTAAAAACAAGAAGCGGGATATGGACGAATCATCGGACTCGGATTCCTCGCTTTCTACTGGTGACACTGACACGGACACTTCAGTCACGGACTCAATCGCAAGTGACTCGGAGCCGGAGCGACGCAAGAAAAATCGAATGCGAGCGAAGGCTCAGACCAAACGGGCGTTGAAGGATAAGAAAAAGCGGAAGAAGCGCAAGCAGCGTGGTCGCAAGTCGGCAGCTGCTGATTCGATTTCGGATACCTCCAGCGATTCGGATGCTGAGTCGGACTCGTATGAATCAGATTCGTCGTTGGATGAGAAGCTTTTGCGGAAGTTGGTCTCAAAGCTCACGGTGAAGAAGCGACATAGACGACTGCGGGATCAGACTAGTGATGATCTTGGTACGACCGATTCTCCAGGCGAGACTCGGCGGGAGAAGCGGTCAAAGAAGAAGAAGCCAGCCTCTAAGGTGGCATTCAAGCGTGTAGATCAATGTGAGTCGTGCCCAGGCCCATGCTATGTCTTACCTGGACTTCATTAACCATTTTCCCCTCCAGTGTGGGATAGCACGATCCACAAGTACAAGCTGACCGAGACGGTGGACGATCCCGATGCGGACGAATGGGACCAGTACATCTTCACGGTGCGTCGCAAGTTCAATTGGGAGAACAAATTTCTCGATGTAGTGGTGGATATTAAGAGCAAGCCCCTGCGTGAGTCGCTGGCCAAGGTGATGGATGGCGTTAAGGGTGTCAGTCTCGTCGAAGAGCCCGCAGTAGTCGACCCAAATATGTTGTTTCTGTATTTGGAAGAATCAAGACAGTACATGAAAGATCTGAGGCAGCAATCGCGCAACGAAAAGAAACGAAAAGCGCGCAAAGCAGCTGCTACCAAAGCGGCCCACCTCAAAGTACTGATCAAGTATCTCGACACCGACTATGCAAACATCAAAAAGACCCTCTACCCTCTTCTCGAGGCAAACACTATCACTTTCGATCTACTCTGGGCTCTGTTTAAGCCCAACACCATTGCATATACCCCGACATACGGCAACACCGACGAGCCCCGAGCCTTTAAGATCGAATACGCCATCAAGGAATCCTCTTTCATGAAAGGACAATGGTACAGCATCGAGGGAAGATACCTGGAGTATGACGGAAAAGACTTTGGATTTGGCAGCATGGCCGCTGAAGTAGAATCATTCAAGGGTGCACGCAAAATCACCAGCCTCGCCTGTTTCCCACTCCAATACCACCGTGATGCCGAGGGACTGCGAACACGTCTTGTCGAGCGCGGCAAGCGCTTCGTGGCACTGCGCGGTATGAACTACCGCTTCCACAAAGGAATGGCATTTTACAAGAAAAAGCGCCATTCTGTGGGCAAGGTCAACATCGAAAGCCGGGTGATGATTGATCCAGCCATCCACCGTCGGATCAATCCTAACTACCCCATAAGCACAGTCCGGCCTAAGGATCCGGACCTGCTCGAGTTGTCTGACGCGGGGTTGAGTGACATGGAGGATGGTGATAGCGATGGCTGCTGCTGCGGGGATTCTGACTCTGAATCCGAGCAAGGAGGGGTATCTGATACTCCACGGACAGTGTACAAGGTAATCGAAGGTGAAGATGGGACTCCTCGCGTAGTGGAGGTAGAAGTCGACGACAACGGCTTAGAGATTCAGAAGGAGAACATGGATCGCATTGAAGGCAGCGCAGGTGTCGTAGGTCGTGAGTTCACCGAGGAAGAGCTGCTCATCGCCAGCCCCGTCGTATTGGGTTTCGCCTTCACAGAGAAGATGTGGCTGGAGTTCACCATCTCGGGTATTAGCGATATCGACTGGGACAAAGATGCATTCGACTCACTGGTTCTCCCAGCAAACCAGAAGTCCATCGTCAAGGCCCTTGTCGAATCGCACACCTTCCATGCAGCCCAGAACATTGACGACGTAATCCAGGGCAAGGGGAAGGGCCTGGTTGCGGTATTGCATGGTCCACCCGGGACAGGCAAGACCCTAACAGCCGAAGGCATCGCCGAGCTACTCCGACGTCCACTGTACATGGTCAGTGCAGGAGAATTGGGAACCGACTCGCGTTCATTGGAAGCAGAATTGAACAAGATCCTCGACATCGCTCACTCATGGGGTGCGGTTCTCCTCCTCGACGAAGCAGACATCTTCCTTGAGAAGCGGACCATCCACGACATCCACCGCAACGCTCTTGTCAGCATCTTCCTTCGTCTCCTGGAGTATTTCCAGGGCATCCTCTTCCTTACCACAAACCGCGTCGAAACATTCGACGACGCCTTCCAATCCCGCATCCACGTCGCATTGCGATATGGTGACCTAGCCCCGAAGGCGAAGCGCAGCATCTGGAAGATGTTCCTAGAACGAGTTCGTGCTATCGAAGGTGTCCAGACGGCTGAATTCTCAGAGACCGACTTCGATGTGCTGGCACGGCACACACTGAACGGTCGACAGGTAAGAGCTCTATCCCCCTTCTGACTCCAAATGATTCTCATCTACGCAACAATATAGACGATTGGTTGTTCCAGAAACTAACAAGTTATAGATCAAAAACTCAGTTCGTACTGCGCAGGCGCTCGCGGTCAACGAGAAGACCCCATTATCTATGGATCATATCAAACGGGTTCTAGATGTCGCGGAGACATTCGATCAGGACCTTCGTGGTGGAACGGGTTACCTGGACGCGATGCGTAGTTACACTTAGTTTAGGACTTTACTCGGATGTGTCGTTCAGATTTGAGGAGTTCGTGACTTGTGACTGATGATTTACATAGCCGAGAAGTGAAAGGCATCAAGAATGGGGAATCTTGCTTTTCTTTTCAGCATTTAACCATGTAGCTATCTACTGCCAATCAATCCAATTTATCCAAATCAGATAGCCCTACGTTTGAAATAGGATTCATTACGGTAAGATGTTCACGGATTAGACCGATATTCATTAAGTCAATTATATCGATCTAGAAATACAAGGCCAGACGCTCTGAAAACGGAGAGAACTGGAAAATTGGTTTAAAGGTGGTATACAGCGACTTTTTTAAGGGTTGGCCTTGACGAAGTCGACACCCTTCTGGATGTTCTTCTTCAGGTCAGCAAGGCAGGCCTCAAGGAGACCCTGCTCGTACTCGTTGACGGGGCCAACGGGGTGGATCTTCTCAACACCCTCGGGGCCGAGCTCAACGCGGGAAGCGAAGAAGTCGATACCCTGGTCCTTGTAGAGGGGAGAGTCAACGAAGGTGGGCTCGATGACGTTCTTCTCACCCTGGGCAGCCTTGAGGAGGGACTCAGCGAAGCGAGCACCGGCCATGGCCATGGAGAGGGTGGCGGAGCCAGCACCGTCCTTGGCCTTGACAACCTCGTCACCACCGAACTGGATGCGGTTGACAAGGGCATCACGGGCCTCACCGTCAATGGCGGGGTGACCGGACTGGGACAGCAGGGGAACGATGGTCACACCGGAGTGGCCACCAACAACGGGGACCTTCTCGCCAGAGGGGTCGGTCTTCTGGACCTCGGAGATGAAGCGCGAGGCGCGGACAACGTCCAGGGTGGTGACACCGAACAGGCGCTTGGCGTTGTAGACACCAGCCTTCTTGTAGACCTCAGCGACGATGGGGACGGTGGAGTTGACCTAAGCAATATATTAGATATAGCTCATCGATCGGTTATAGAATGATTTGAGAACATACAGGGTTGGCAATGACCAGGACCTTGGCGTTGGGGGCAGCCTCAGCGGCGGCCTTGGCGAGGTCGCGGACGATGGAGGCGTTGGTGTTGAAGAGGTCATCACGGGTCATACCGGGCTTGCGGGGAACACCAGCGGGGATGAGAATGATCTCGGAGCCCGAAAGGCACTCCTTGAGGCCAGCAGCATCGGGGTTGTAGCCAGTGACGGTGCTGTTGGTGTTGATGTGGCTCAGATCAGCGGCGACACCTGGTTAAAAATCACGTTAGAAAGGGATGACAGAGGTAATGACACAATATCACATACCGGGTCCACCACGGATATCGTAGAGAGCAAGCTCAGAGACACGGGGGTTGAGCTTGAGCAGCAGGGACAGAGGCTGGCCAATACCACCGGCGGCACCGAGAACGGCGACCTTGGAGGCCTGTAGAAGGGTTAGCGCGGGTAAATACAGATCAATTCATCATAACGTACCTGGCTGGCCGAAGCGGAGAAGGCGCGCTTCTGGAAAAGGTTGAAGGTAGAGCGAGCGGCAAACATTATGTCTACTGGTTCCAGATGATGTTGGATGGAGGAAGAAGAAGGGAGAGGGAATGAGAAGGGGAAAGAGATTGGGGCCCGGTGAGCTGTCTCCACTTTAGCACGCTTCCGATGTCCCGGTGCTCGGCCGATCCCCAACGCTCGGGCGGAATCGCAAACAATTGCACAATTCGGGTGGAATTGGGATGCTTTTAAGTACTTGTTCCTTACTTTACATGTGACACCTTATGAATAAAACACATATCGCATTGTTGATTCTGATATCCCGATCAAAACGCCGTCGCTGATGGAAAGCTAAACCTAAACCAGAAAAAATGACCACCATACAGAGCGTTACAGAGTACAGTAGGAAAGTATACAAGTCCTTGATCACCGCAAGAAGTGCAGCACCAACCAACAGAAGAGGATGAATATCACCACGCCGCCCCAGAAAATCCATTTATCCTGTCTGGCGCGTCGCTCCACCATGCGGATAGTATCTCCGCTCACACCCAGCGTATTGGCAACACTATACAGTCGGCGCTGGGTACCCTTCAATACCTCTCGCTGCTGGCCCAAATCCGCTAGCACGGCACGTCCGCGATCCAAAAAGTCATCCAATTGAGTGTTGGTGTTGGAGAAGAAAGATTGTTCGCGCAGCGCATGGCTTTCACGACTGTGGTCGGCGGGTCCACCACCAAAGCTCAGCCCGGAGGATGGCGCAAAGGAAGATGAGGCCTGGGGAAGGTTGGACTGTGCGTAGGGATTCTCGGGAGTAGCGGCGTGATGCGGTCGACGGCCTAAAAGCTCACTGCGGTTGGTGGACGATTGCTAGGGAATTAGGTCAGTCAAGAAGCTCGTAGGAGAGAAAAATCAAGTCCAGCTTGTTTTGTTATGATTGGAACATACTGCATCCTCACGCTCTTTGCGCAGACGGTCGAATTGTGTTCGGTATTCTCCCAACTCATTGCGGAAATTCTTGACCCGATCAAATGCCTTCTCTTGCTTCTCCGGAATCAGCTCCTTCTTCGACAAAGCTGAATAGTCGTCAACGGTTCGTGATAGGGAGGCTAATGATGCAGCAATCTGGCCTATGCAAAGCAAGGTCAGCTAGAATCCGACACATAGATCGGAGAACGCACCTTGAAGTGCGGGCGAGGAGGTCGCTGGAGACTGCGCAAACGTGTCCAAATCCCGGCGGATAGCAGATGATTGCTTCAAGGCAGAGTTGAAGAGGGAATTCTATCTGCGTGAGTAACCATCTTGCATTGGATGGGGCGGTTGGCGTACCATGGTGTGGGTGGTAGTATCCACGTAATGGCGCGGATTCTCAGAGCATACGAAGAAGAAAAGAAATCAACGTGTTAATGAAAAAAGGCACCGGGAGTTTGATCCACCTAGGTACCTCCAGGTTGAGAGAATACAGTGACCCAAGGTTGAACTGAGCCCACACTTCGAGGCCACATGTGTGTTTTGGCCGCTGACCGCCTTCGGGCATAGCTTTAACATTGATGTAAAACCTTCCTTCACTACATTGCATATCTGTTCGATTTACTCTCGTTTGCTACGCCAGAAAGTGGTCGCTGAGTCGATTTTTGAAAAAAAATGACGGATTGATTCACACCGCATTCGCGTCAAATTGGTATCGTTAAGGCTACTAGTACAAGACCAATAATCCGACTCCGTCCTCTCGCCAAAGGGTACAGAATGCAAGAAAAGCAGGGATGGTATATTAAACAATAAAACTCAAGCCAGGATGAGGTTTAGAACACACTGATATGCGCACCCCTATTTGGTAGGGTACTTGTTCTGTAGGAACCACCTAGACAAAGAGTTAGCACCGTGCAGGTATAGCGATTACACATATACATTGGAGCACACTTAAGTTCTCCGATCATTCAGAGACTCCAGAATACTTACTTGCTGGCAAAGTAGTCCACAACACCGACAGCACCCACGGCACCAGACACAAGGCCGACCAACTCCCACGAAAGCTTGCCTTGGGCATGCTTGTGGTAGGCACCGAAGCCCAGACCAGCTCCGACCAGAGCACCGAGAACGGCGTTGGTGATGTACACGGGGTTACTGGAGTTGGCGTAAAGACTGCTGTTCTTCGCCTTGCGAGCCTTGGCCTTCTTCTCACTGGCCTCACGAACCTTGCGCTCCTCAGCCTCGGCGGCCTCGCGCTCTATCCGCTCAGCCTGTGTAGTTGTCTTGACTTCCTGGTTGATAAAATCGGGGTCGACGGTGTTGACGTGCGGAGAGTCAACGTCAATGAGGGAGGCAGTGCTCTCAGACTCGTCGTGGTAGACACCACCCACGTTGGGAGCGCGGCTGGTTATAGGTTAGCATGCCGCGCGATCTTCACGGTGAAGTTGCGGTGTTTGCGACTTACGCCTGTGAGTTTGGTTAGCTTGAGTTTCTCTGCACTGATGTCACATGCCGTAGTACTTACATCCTCGGGAGTCTGCTTAGGACCCTTGGCAGCAGCGTCGGCGTAAGACATAGCTAATTTGGTGAATAGAGAGGTATTGGTATATGGGTGGTAAAAGGTGGGAGTTGCAAATTTCTGGCGATCGTGACCGAAGATAATGGTTGAGATCAGGCGAGGGGGGAAGTCACTTTATACCAAGGAAACCTTGGAAGCATTGCCGTGTGACATCACGTCATTGATTTGGTGGAGCCATAACCCTACCTGACTATGATGTTATATTATCCCCCTACGATTTCCTTCAGCTGCTGGAATAAATTAAGGTATTTTAATCTTGCATAACCTAAGGAATCAATAAGTTTCTAGTGATTTGTCGGTATAGCTTGACGGAGCGCAAAAGATGCGAACAGCATGACTCGCAGCCACTGACGTGCCTCCCGCTCCGGTCTACCAAACCCGAAACTCGACTGGAACCTTCTTTTGAATTGCTATCTACTACACAGTCTATAAATTTTTATTTACAGTCTACTCCCATGGGAGCTAACTGTAGGAAAGCTTGCAGCTTCCCTTCATGGTACATTATTAGCTGTTGTCACAATTCTTCGCACTGGGGCAACCTACCTACGTTTGCGGCTTGAGAAATCCCCTAAAGTATTTACCAATTTCTCGGTATCGATCGAGACCGATTACGGCGGAAACATCTGCACGAGAGGATTAGTAGTCGCAAAAAGAGACCCGGGTCTGAAGAAACCTACATTGATCAGGGCGGACGATGATCAGGGCCCCTTCTTTGGGGTTGATGCCGAGGGATTCATATGCACGTCCATGGCCATTATTGTAACTCTCATCATCGTAATACATCTTGTGCAGATCTTAAAGGGTGGTAAGTAAACGATCACTAGTTTAATTCAACGAGATTCCGGGGACTTACCTTTTGTCTGATTCTTGCCAGTCACTGGGTAGAAGCATTCAGGAATGTGCTCCAGCTCGATATCATGTCGCTTTCCATGACCAACCACAATGGTCTCAATTAGACTATCAACGTCCTGTGACTTTGGTGTGAACATGTGGACTGGTCCGTCGTGTGAGAACAGGTATTCTCCGAGCTAGAAGACATTAGTATCATCATCTCCAGGTACCCGGGCAGACTCACCGTGTTCAACTTGGTCCGGTTCTCGGAATCTGTGAGATCACCGACAAAGGCCATGACACGCCACCGACCATCTGATTTGAGCGTTGTCATGAGCTGGAGAGGTTTTGAGTCACATAGTCGCACAACCTGCGCACTGGGCAGGCGCATGCCAACCACTACATTCGATGCCAGCTCTGTAGACTCTAAGGCACTGGTAATGGGAGATACATCATATTTGGCTGTGAGACCAGCTGTGTATTTTCCCGCTTGGATGAAGCCTTCCTGGAATTCTGCAGATGTATTGGCTCCGGAGGAGAACAGCTTCGCAAAGTAGCGATCAAAGTTGATCAAATCGATGGCGGTCTTTTCCCGCTCCAGAACGTATGTCTCGAGCAGCGAAGGGCTGGCCAGTCCCGTCAAGACTTCACCAAGCTTCCATCCAATATTGTAACCATCTTGCAGACTAACATTCATACCCTGACCAGCTTTAGGAGAATGGGTGTGGCAAGCATCACCAGCCAAGAAGACTCGATAGTCCTTATGGAAGAAATCGGCATGGCGCTGACCAATCGAGTATGCAGACCACCATACCGTCTCAGCAAATTCAATCTGGTATGGGCTCAAGATCTTCTGTGCCTGATGCTGCAGCTTCTCCAAAGTCACATCCTTTGGATTTGTCCCTGCGGGCAGTTCGGTGTAGAATCTTGTCAGGTTGTTGTTCTCGCCTTCTCGGGGGATAATTAATATATTCCCGTCTTTGGAGCGAATGGCCGACTTCTTGCGGAAATCAGGGAAATTTGTGCGAGGGACCATATCCATCACTCCCCAAACTGCATCGCTACTATCTCCAATCATCTTGTACCCAAGAGCCTTACGAACAACGCTGTGTGCACCATCGCACGCCTATGTGCCGTTAGAAAGGATTATGACCACAAGGAACTCGTTCCTTACCAAGGCATATTTTGCCGCAAACTGCTCTGTCTTCCCGTCCCTTTCCGCAGTCACCATGACAGGATAAGCATCAGGATCTTCAGCAGATGTGCTATCCACCTTGACGTCGGTAACATTATACCCATAATCAATGTGCTGATCATTGTACCTCTGCATCACCTCAATAAGCAATCCATTTATGCGTGCCTGGTTCAAAATAACATGCGGCTGATGCGACAACCCAGGCTGCGTATCAGCCGTCCGACCAGTGCGCTTAATACCCGATCCATCATCTGCCCAAAAGTTGACTTCAAGAACATGGTAAGCCTCACGCAACAACTCCTCGCCAACACCAAAACTCTCGAAAATTTCAACAGTCCGACACTGGACACCATCTGCCTGTCCCATCTTCATGGGGCCATCGCGCCGCTCGAGGATCTTGCATCGAATGCCGTAACGGGCGAGCCAGGTGGCGGCGCAGAGGCCAGCGGAACCACTGCCGCATATGAGAACGTCGAATTTTTCCATCTGGGCTCAGTGGAGATTTTGATCTGAGTGTTCGTGTATGCACGATTTCTACATGCAGGGGATCTCTATTAAGTAGGCTGCAGATGAGGTGTCATGGTCTGGAGTATATGGGTTCTGCGGGGCGTGTAGGGGGATCCACATCGGGAGTGGCCCGAAAAGTCTTTGCCTAGGCTACTTCCTTTTAGCGGGTCATTCTGCAGCAAATCTATGTACTTTGGTTGGAAAACCTATTTTCCCTTCCCGGTCTATCCCCGCCGGCTGCATACCCCGGCACCAAGGCCCCAGGGTTGGTGATTCAGCCATGAAGAGGCTCTGTAGTGGCATTTGTGTAATTTGAAGATATCTACAATGCCGAATTCCGAGCCATTTGATTTTCTCGGAACAGATGCTTGACATCTGCCGGCTGCCGTCGTGCCCGGCGACAAATATATACAATTGCATGCCGAGCTATGCCCGCCCTTCATCACCAATGCCGGAAGGACTTCCATTCCAAATCTATCCTGGTTGACTTGTTCGGAATCTACAACTATGAATTTTTTTTTTATGAGCGAATCAAACCTTGGATTATGTACAACATGTATATTTCAGGTATGTATGAAAATAATTCAGATACTGGATTCACGCTGCAGGGTTGCCCATAGAAGCAGGCCACCTCGGATGGACTATGCCGGCACCCCTGGCCAGGTGCTTAGGTGGGTCAACATCTCAAACAAATCCCAAGATTATCATGCAAATTGTCAACATGGGCCCTTAAAAACCCATTCCAAGGTTTCTATGGATATGCATGGAAATATCAAAACCTTGGAAGCTAACGATGCCTATCTCAAATATTGCCATGGTGAGAAGTAAATTGGAATATGCCCCAGTGGCCCCGGAGGCAGCAGCCCTAGAGTTAACATCATTGGAAAGTGAAGGTTAAGCGTGATGGTATATACCTAAGCCGTCTTCAAAGGTGTTCCGGTCAGTATACCCGCTAGGCACATCAGGGCCTGCATTTGCTCAGCGGTACTTCCATGGACATCCATGGATATAGTTGCCCAGGTGGATCACCCCTGGAGTACCAGTCACATACCTATGTATCCATCTACACACCGGTTTAGACATATTTTGAATGTTGCAAACGAAATGTGGGCTTATAGTACTGGATATGCCTTCAAAAGATGTAGAAAATGGATTGTAGTTGCTAAAATCAAACACAAAAGGACCGATGCGGGTCTAAGGGGGCAAAGGAGATTTTAATACAGATTACAGTAATGTGGGTACTGGAGTCGTGGCAGCTTTTACAGCATAAGCTCAAGAGGGTTCTCAACGACCTTCTTCAACTCCTTGATCCACTCGCCACCAACGGCGCCATCCACGACCTTGTGGTCGAAGCTACCGGTCACGATGATCTGGTCATCCCACTCAGTAACGGTGCCCTCCTCGGTTTCGACGGGAACAGCGACCTTGCGGACGGTGCCGACGGCCAGAATACAGGCCTGAGGAGGGTTGATGATGGCGGTGAAGCGCTCAACGGCGGGGTTCATACCCATGTTGCTGATGGTGAAGGTACCGCCCTGGTACTCCTCGGGCTTGAGCTTGTTCTCGCGAGCACGCTTGCCGAGGTCGCGGACCTGGTTAGAGATGCTAGACAGACCCAGAGCGTGAGCACCCTTGACGATAGGGGTGATCAGGCCGGAGGGGGTGGCGACGGCGACACTGATATCGGCGGACTTGTGCTCGCGGATGACGACCTGGCCGTCGACCTCAATCCAGCTAGAGTTGACCTGGGGAACCTTCAGGAGAGCGGAAGCACAGGCCTTGATCAGGAAGTCGTTGACGGACAACTTGTACTTGCCATCGGCGGAGGCGTTCAAGGCCTGGCGGAGCTTGAGGAGCTTGGTGACCGACAGGGTGGTGGACACGAAGTAGTGGGGGTTCTCCTGCATAGACTGCTTCAAGCGGTTGGCAATGGTCTTGCGCATGGAGCTGACGGGGATGTCCTCGTAGGCGGGGCCAGCGGCGGCGGAGGCGCTGGGCTTGTACTTCTCGACATCCTCCTTGGTGACCACACCACCCCGGCCAGTACCCTTGAGGGCCTTGATCGGGACGCCCTTCTCAAGGGCGAGAGCCTTGGCGGCGGCGGAGATGGAAGGCTCACGATCCAGGGAAGGCTGGAGCTTCTCATCGGAGTACTCGGGCTCAATAGCGGCGGGCTCCGCCGAGGGGGCCGGAGCCGACGGCTCAGCGCTCTTGGGCTCCTCCTTCTTCTCGGGGGCTGGAGCAGCCTTGTCACCAGCATCCTCCAGGGAGAAGGACTCGAAGGCAGAGACATCGGCACCCTCCTCAACAAGAACGGCAATGGGCTGTTGATAGGGGAAAGCAGGTTAGATTCGGAATTCCGAGGGGAAGCTCGGGAAATTTCTTACCGAGCCGACAGGGACCTCCTTCTCGCCAGACTCCTTCAGGACCTTGGCGAGGACGCCCTCATCCTGAAACTCGAAGTCCATCTGGGCCTTATCGGTCTCAATCTCGACCAGGACATCACCGGGCTGGAGGCTGTCACCGGCCTTCTTCTGCCACGCGCCAACATTTCCAGCGGTCATTGTCGGGGACAGCGCCGGCATGCTGATAATGGTGTGAGGAGGGAAGGCTATATAATCATCATAGGTTAGAAGATATGGATACGAAGGATTCGTCGAGGATTTCATGCGGCCATACACTTGGATGCATAATAGCGGGAGAGAGCGGAGATGGAAGGCAATTGAGTTCTGCGCGCGAAAAACCATCAGTATCATTTCATGAAAAGCCCAAATCCATCCCATGGCACATACTGCAGGACTTCCTGGAACTTGTAGGCGGCCTGGGGACGGCGCATGGGGGTGGCGCCCCGGATCATGAACATGGCGCTGGGAGTGCGCATTCTGGCGGCGGCAGCAACCATTTTAGCGGGAATTGCCGGCGATTGTGAAATCAAAAAGGCCCTCGACGCTGAGATGAGGAATAACAAAGAATGTCCAACGCGGAGGTGAGGACGTGGAGGGCCGGAGATGAGGAGTTGGGGAGAAGAAAGATGGCCTCTAAGCGGGAAACTTTTCGTTGAGCTCCTAACAGCCTTCGGTGAACCACTCGAGCGCCGGAACATTGAGAGTCATGTGATGTCATGTGACTTAATCAGGAATTTGTAAACTTGCCATTTATCTGTTCCTGATGGTCTATGTTCAGGGCAGACATGCAGATTATGGTACTTCTTTTGGGCAAGCTTTTATTCCGTCTACTCCCTATTCCATTTAATCTTTTTTCAAGGGGGTTTAAAGTGTATATTGTTCATCGGCTTATCACTGCTTGATACGGAGTACATATTCCCAGAACGGGCAGGCACGGTCGGTAGGGTCACGTGCAGGAACGCGACCCGGATCACATAAGCAGCGTTCAGTCCCATTATGTAAGTGTTATTTAGCGTGGCTGAGTGTTCTCGGTCTAAACTCGATTCGGAGAGAAGAGAACACGCAGCGCCCCCATATGCTTGCTCCATAGCATCCCGCTTCCCAGCTCTCACAGCGAATTATCCCCGTTCGATGTCCTTGATCTAATTACAGATCGCCTCCGCCTGGAGTCTCCATGACAATGGCGGACGTCGACCCTGGCTCTGAGCCAATTCATCAACCTGTAACCGACTCCGGGAAGCCTCCCGTGGATACTACTACCGAATCTCCCACGGCATTCAACCCAGACAAGCCGAACCTATCCGAGGCAACAGAATGGCAAGAAGTGACGGGAAAAGTACATGAGGAGGTGGACAAGGAAGAAGAAGAACCCCAAAATGAGGAAGAACAGGAGCAAAAGCCCGAGGTTCCGCCAAAGGATACTTCGGACAACACAACAGAACCCGAAACACCTAAGCTCGAAGACGGACCACCGGAAATCCAGGAACACAAACCCAGCGAGGACAATGAACGAGACTCAAGAATGCGATCTGACTCCCGGTCCACCACCGCCACTTTCGCGACGGCACGGGGAGGTGCGGTCAGTTCAGCCGTCTTCATTGTGACAGCTCTAGATAGCATTGCTGCCTCGCGTGAAGCTCGGAGGAACAAGGAGTTGGATGATTCTGTTCAGATCGCTTTGAGCAACATCAAGTCAGATCGTATTGACCCGGAAGTCATCTTTCGCCCACTGCACCTGGCAAGCAAGACTCTCAGCGTGCCCCTCCAGGTGACAGCGCTGGATTGCATTGGAAAGCTTATCTCGTACTCCTACTTCGCATTTCCTTCCGCCGAATCACAAAACGACGCCAACCCTGAACAATCACCTCTGATCGAGCGAGCCATTGATGCAATTTGTGATTGTTTCGAGAACGAAGCCACCCCCAATGAGATCCAGCAGCAGATCATTAAGTCGTTGCTGGCAGCGGTCTTGAATGACAAGATTGTGGTACATGGAGCTGGTCTCCTGAAAGCCGTTCGCCAGATTTACAACATCTTCATTTATTCCAAATCTAGTCAAAACCAGCAAATTGCGCAGGGTTCCCTGACACAGATGGTGAGCACAGTCTTTGACCGAGTACGAGTTCGGTTGGATTTGAAAGAACTTCGAACTCGTGAAGTCGACCGTGTTGCAAATGGGTTGGATGCGACATCAAGCGATCAAGGGCAAATTTCGGAGGCTGCTTCGGTCTCAGTTGCAGACCAGGCAGATCAGCCGGATCAACCAGTCACCAAGGAGCCAACTGCTGAGAAGCTCACCCTCCAGAGCTTCGAATCGCCCAAGGAAGTGACCGGCGTAAATGACAATGCGCCAACTACAGTTACCCGTGCGAAAGCCGCGCGCTCCTCAACTCGCTCTATTTCCGGCATACCTGAAGATCGCGAGGATGATGGCTCCGCTGAGGACGATGTGGATGAGGTCTATGTTAAGGATTCGTTTCTAGTATTCCGGGCCCTTTGCAAGCTGAGCCACAAGGTTCTTGGCCATGAGCAACAGCAAGATCTTAAGTCCCAAAACATGCGGTCGAAACTCCTTTCGCTGCATCTCATCCACTACCTGATCAATAATCATACCAACACATTTACCTCTCCTCTGGCTGCTATTAGGAACAGCTCGACAAGCCCAGAGGCCATGACACTCCTCCAGGCTGTACGACCGCACCTTTGCTTGAGCTTGAGCCGAAACGGTTCCAGCTCGGTTCCTCATGTGTTCAAGGTCTGCAGTGAGATCTTTTGGTTGATGCTCACGCATTTGAGAGTTATGATGAAGAAGGAGATTGAAGTTTTCATGAAGGAAATCTACCTGGCTATTCTTGAGAAGCGGGCTGCTCCTTCATTTCAAAAACAATATTTCATGGAAATCCTGGAGCGATTAGGTGGTAATCCCCGGGCTTTGGTTGAAATTTACCTTAACTATGACTGTGACCGCACTGCCTTGGAGAATATCTTCCAAAACCTCATTGAACAGTTATCACGACATGCTAGCGTGCCGGTTGTCACCAGTATTGCGCAGCAGCAGCAATTCCAGGAGAGCCACACCAAGATGTCTAGTATTGGAGCTGAATGGCATCAGCGCGGAACACTCCCTCCATCTCTCACTACCGCTAATATCGCCCCTCCACCGCAGCCAGCCGTTCCGAATTTGCCATCGGAGTATGTTCTGAAGCAGCAGGCTCTCGAATCTCTCGTAGAGATCCTCCGGTCTCTTGACAACTGGGGAGCACAACGCCCTGATAACCAGCCCACTCAAGATCCCATCGACTCCAAGTCAATGGACCACCCCCGGGAGTCTTTGGATACCAGTGTTCTTATTTCTCCACGTCCTGATGCTGTTGATGGACTTGCCACTGGCCGGTCCACGCCCGTGCCTGATGATGATCCCAACCAGATTGAAAAGGTCAAGCAGCGCAAGATCGCCCTGATGAATGCTATCCAGCAATTCAATTTCAAGCCCAAGCGTGGTATCAAGCTTTTCCTTCAAGAAGGATTCATCCCTTCAGATTCTCCTGAAGACATTGCAAGCTTCTTCCTTCGCAATGACCGTCTGGACAAGGCCATGCTGGGTGAATACCTGGGTGAGGGTGATGCCGAAAACATTGAGATCATGCATCACTTTGTGGACCAAATGGAGTTCGCCAAGCGTCGTTTCGTGGATGCTCTGCGGTCGTTCTTGCAGCATTTCCGTCTACCCGGCGAGGCCCAAAAGATTGATCGATTCATGCTTAAGTTTGCGGAACGGTATACAACTCAAAACCCCAACGCATTCGCCAACGCCGACACTGCTTATGTGCTTGCCTACTCTGTCATCATGCTCAACACCGATCAACACAGTACCAAGATCAAGGGCCCGCGGATGACCAAGGAGGATTTCATCAAGAACAATCGCGGAATAAACGATAATCAAGACTTGCCATCTGAGTACCTGATATCCATTTATGACGAAATTGCTACCAATGAAATCGTTCTGGATACTGAACGGGAGCACGCTGCAAATGTCGGGATTCAACCCTCTGCTCCAACTGGCCTAGCTCGAGCTGGGCAAGTGTTTGCAACCGTTGGTCGTGATATCCAGGGAGAAAAGTACGCCCAAGCATCCGAAGAGATGGCTAACAAGACTGAGCAACTGTATCGTTCCCTAATCCGGGCTCAACGTAAAACAGCTGTCCGTGATGCCCTTTCGCGCTTCACCATTGCTACATCAGTTCGGCATGTCGGCTCGATGTTCAATGTCACCTGGATGTCCTTTTTGTCTGGACTGTCGGCGCCAATGCAGGATACCTCAAACATTGAGTCCATTCGGTTATGCATGGAAGGACTCAAGCTGTCGATTCGTATCAGCTGTGCCTTTGATTTGGAGACTCCTCGGGTAGCCTTCGTCACTGCCCTAGCCAAGTTCACCAACCTCGCGAATGTCAAGGAAATGATGCCTAAGAACTTCGAGGCCCTGAAAGCAATTCTTGATATCGCAACTACGGAAGGAAATCATCTGCGTACCTCCTGGCGCGATATCTTGACTTGCGTCAGTCAACTTGATCGTCTGCAATTGCTGAGCGATGGTGTAGACGAGGGCTCACTGCCAGATGTCTCTCGGGCACCGACTGCAGCGGATACCCCGCGCAAATCCATGCAAAGCACTCGCAGCAAAACTCGCGCACGCTCTGTCCATGGCCCCTTGGCTTTCCGTATGGATATTGCCATAGAGAGCCGGTCGGCAGACATGGTTCGCAGCGTGGACCGGATTTTTACCAACACTGCAAACCTCTCACATGAGGCTATCATTGATTTTGTCCGTGCACTGAGCGAGGTGAGCTGGCAAGAAATCCAGTCCTCAGGGCAGAGTGACTCCCCGAGGACATACAGTCTCCAGAAGCTGGTCGAGATCAGTTACTACAACATGACCCGGGTCAGGATTGAGTGGTCTAAGATTTGGGAGGTTTTGGGTCAACACTTCAACCAGGTTGGCTGCCACACCAACACTACTGTTGTTTTCTTTGCCCTAGACTCGCTCCGACAGCTATCAATGCGTTTCATGGAAATTGGCGAACTTCCTGGTTTCAAGTTCCAGAAGGACTTCCTCAAGCCTTTTGAGCATGTTATGGCGAACAGCACTACCGCTTCCGTCAAAGATATGATCCTCCGTTGTTTGATCCAGATGATCCAAGCTCGTGGTGATAACATCCGGTCTGGATGGAAAACCATGTTTGGCGTTTTTACAGTTGCAGCGCGAGAGCCCTATGGTAAGTTACGTTTCCCAAAAAGCATATACAAGTACTAACAAGATGGACAGAGGGGATTGTGAACATGGCTTTTGACCATGTTACCCAAATTTACAACACCCGTTTCGGAATTGTGATAACCCAGGGTGCCTTTGCAGACCTCATTGTCTGTCTCACTGAGTTTTCCAAGAACTCCAAGTTCCAGAAAAAGTCACTGCAGGCTATTGAGACTCTCAAGTCTACAGTCACCAAGATGCTGCGCACTCCCGAATGTCCACTTTCCCACCGTGGCGGACCTGCGCCTAACTTCCAGGAGGAGGGAACCAACCTTGCCAAGCAACTTACTCGCCAGTCCCAAGAAGAGCAGTTCTGGTATCCGATCTTGATCGCGTTCCAGGACGTGCTTATGACTGGCGATGACCTCGAAGTCCGATCACGGTATGTTTCACACATCTGCTTTGTCCTTGGATACACTAGCTAATAACATTCTCAGCGCACTTACATACCTCTTTGAGACATTGATTCGACATGGTGGTGACTTCCCGCGTGCTTTCTGGGACGTTCTTTGGCGCCAACTTCTCTGCCCCATCTTTGTGGTTCTGCAGTCCAAGTCCGAAATGTCCAAGGTTCCCAACCACGAGGATCTCTCTGTTTGGTTGTCCACTACCATGATTCAGGCTTTGCGGAACATGATCACTCTCTTCACCCACTATTTTGATGCACTAGAATACATGCTGGGCCGATTCTTGGAGCTCCTGACCCTGTGTATCTGCCAGGAGAATGACACGATCGCACGCATTGGCAGCAATTGCTTGCAGCAGCTGATTTTGCAAAATGTCTCCAAGTTCCAGCAGGAGCACTGGACTCAGATTGTTGGGGCCTTTGTTGAGCTTTTCAATAAGACCACCGCATATGAACTCTTCACAGCAGCGGCCTCCATGACCAAAATGACGGAAACTGCCACGAATGGTGATGTTCAGGCTGCCGAGGCCGCCGCAGCCTTGCCATCCATAGGGGACCTACCTGACGCTCTGCAAGCCAATGGATCTCAGAGTACGGCATCGCTCCAAGACTCGGGCGATGCACCCGCTCAAAGCGAGGCTCGCGCTGAGCTTGAGGACTACCGGCCCCAGGCGGATTCACAGCAACAACCAGCTGCTGTCACAGTGGCACGACGTCGGTTCTTCAACCGTATCATCACGAATTGTGTTCTCCAGCTTCTGATGATTGAAACTGTTCACGAGCTCTTTTCCAACGACACTGTCTACGCCGAAATTCCTAGTCCTGAGTTGTTGCGACTGATGGGCTTGCTCAAAAAGAGTTACCAGTTTGCCAAGAAGTTCAATGAGGACAAGGAACTGCGCATGCAGCTCTGGCGCCAAGGCTTCATGAAGCAGCCTCCGAACCTTCTGAAGCAGGAGAGCGGTAGTGCGGCAACCTACGTCCACATTCTCTTCCGTATGTATCATGATGAGCGCGACGAGAGGAAGAGCAGCCGCGCCGAGACCGAGGCAGCACTCATCCCTCTCTGTGCAGATATCATCCGTAGCTTCGTTCGCCTTGATGAGGAGACCCAGCACCGCAATATCGTGGCCTGGCGACCCGTAGTTGTGGATGTCATCGAGGGATATAATAACTTCCCCCAAGAAGGATTCGATAAGAACATCGAGATCTTCTACCCCCTGGGTGTTGAGCTTTTGAGTCGTGACCTTAACCCGGAAATCCGCGTCGCATTACAGGCCCTTCTGCGCCGTATCGGTGAGGTCCGACTAGGCGTTGCTCCGCCCAACCCATTGGATGCCCCGATCAGCCCGCGCAGCTCCGTCTCCCAGAAGACTCCTCGTCGTGACAGCCGAGCTGCTGAATGATGATTTTGGTGTTATCTTGGGATATCCCACCCTTTTGTGATATACGGGTGACCCGTGGCGTTTTATTCTCTCTTGATTTGTCTAGCCTCTTTCGTTCAGATTTTGTTGTCACTTGTTGCCTACGGGCTTGGCAGTTGTTTTGTGTTCTAGAGATGCATAGCTGTATTGTATAAGACAAAATTCCTTCTCACTCTTTTCCAATCTTCAATTAATGGCCTTCTACTACTTAGCTTCCTGTTTCCGTATGACCACAGCATTTTCCAACGGATGGACTTGTAGCAAAATAAAACCGTCTATTGTGAACTTGAAATATAGGTCGAATGACTGATGAGGTACTAATCACTCCTGGATTGATTTCAATTGCTAAAGTCATACCACAAAGCCTGTATAGCTTGCTATCAACAAGGCTGAAACAACCGGAGTCTTGATTCCCCACCCTCATAACCAATAAGCCAGTTCTTAACCTCTCGTCGTCGAACTCTGGCATGCTGTCCTGGATCCGGATCACCATTGTCACGATGCTCCTGCGCTGCTTTTACAGCCCACCCAATAACCCCATCAGGTAGTGTTTTAAGCGCCTCCCGCCCTCCACGACGCGTGAATCCTAATTTGCAAGCATACACAATTGACAGCACCACTAGCCCGATAAACAATCCCGCCACGATTAATACTAGCGCCTCAATGACCGTGGGCACATTAGTCGCAAAGACAATACACCCCTGTGTCTGGTCCCCATCCTGCGCTGGAAGGGACAGAAGCATATTATTTCCCCCATATACCATTGTCATTGTGTTAAGGAGAATGGCCAGCTCAAGCGCTGGGTCAGAAACGGACGGCGTGCCGGTACCGTAGTACATCAGGCCCTGGAAGAGGGTCTTCCAGTTCTCAAGTGCAATTGTAGTGTTCATCGCTCCGGTAATTGTCTCCGCGCGAACGGCATTCATGCTGCAGGACAGTGGGAGCATGGTGACGTTATCATCGTAAGGTGAGGCGTTGGTCTGGATTGCCGCGCGCACGTCCCAAGTACCCGTAGAAGAGCTTTCTGTGTCGAGACTTGCGGAGCTGCTCCACGTAACGAAGTGATTGTAATATTCGCCAAAGGCAGAGTACTCGCCGGTTGGGTCAGGATAGAGTAAATCCTGCTCAATCAGGTCTGCGGATAATTCTGCCATGTTATAGGCGGCGCTATATGTGCGAGTCGCGTCTGTCGAGCAGACCCAAGTGCCCATAATATCCTGTGTGTCGGGACAGAAAGTGACATCCTGATTGACCTTGGCGTATATACCAACGGCACAGGTGTTGTTGAGGCTGAAGTATTGTGAATTATGAGCAACGATGTACGGCATCCCGTTCGACGGAGGCGCAGTTAACAGATAAGGTCCGGTGGTGTTAAGAACCAACCCTTCCCCGAACGGACACCGAGACTTGATTGGAACTTGGGTGACGAGGTTTGCGGTCAGCAAGTCAGTGATCTTGGACAGTGCGAACAAGATCACCATCGCACTGTACCCAAGGGCTCCGCCGGGAAGCTGGCGAAGCTGGTATACCATTTTCAAAAGGTCGAAGCCTTGCTGCCAGCCCATGACCGTGTGGGCACGGATGCTGCTATGTTGTATGATTTTAAGCTGGGATCTAGACTGCAAGACACCGCTAGCCAACCAGGCGACCAGACTGATGACTATTAAAAAATAGGCTCTAAGCACTAGGCGAGTGTTGCCGGACGATATGTCCGTTAATATCATGTTGGTGTTGATATGGGATCGGCTGAAACTGTATGATTAATTCTGGACGTAGAAAAACACAGACACTGCTGGCGTGGTCGCTATTTGAAACCCTCCATCGTGATAGATAGGCTGATAACGAGAGAAGGGCGTTGAGGGCCAAAAAGGCCGAGTCGACATCTCATACTGTGGCGGTTAGAGAAACGAAAATATTGACATACTCAGGACATCTCTGCCGAGAACGAGGTCATGCACAGCCAAGCAAGCCACTTCTCATGGGCAGTGCTTGTCTAGAAAACATTGGGGGTAAAAATGGGCGATGGGTAAGAACTGGCGACAGGTCAGGAACTTCGCAGGATACGAGAAACCCATCGCTCGTGTTCAAAGCGGAGTGAGTGGTCGGGATTTAACGCCACCAAAGACCCTGAGACCCCTGGATCTTGCATCTTCCAGCCGCAATGCGAACCTTGGAACCGACCGAGTTCCTTTATCAAATATGACTACAGTAGCAGGAGATCAAGGTTTAGAGAAAGTTTCGAGTCGTAATTAAATTAATCAAATATCTACTATAGCACTAGAAATAATCCTACAGCTATGACACGTCTCATTCGAATAGAACGCACTAGAGCCTGCTCTCCTGGCCCTATTCATGACCTTATGATTGCCATTATCAAGGAAACCGCAAAAAGCGCCAACTGTGTGGATTTCCACCGAACCTAGCAGGGTTCAGTATGAATGGTCGAAACTTGAACGAATAGACTTACACTTGGAGATGCCGAATTCGTCTGGATAATGCTTGTTAGCGACCGACATTAAAGAAAAGGGCTTTTGACTTACCGACTGGCCCGTTGTAGTTGAAAGAGGTGAAGTGCCCGTTGCTGTCTTTGTCGCACCCGAAGTAGCAGTCACCACTCCAGTTACTACTGTCTCGGCATGTGTACTTGTCAAAGCGACAGTCGTACTCGCAGGTCCCGCGATATTAGAGCAGAACCCATTCAACCTACTAGCAAATGGGTAATACGTCGGATGAGCCGCACTACCCGATGAAACACATTTGCTCGCATACGCATCGAACGCGGATGCGTCATCACTCCCACTGGAGTCGTGGCACAGACAGCTGGCGAGCTCGGTGGCGATGGGGCCGGTGGTGTAGATCGATCCGGAAGGAAACAGACTCGGGCTTGCCGTTGAACATGTATAGATCACTTCGACCACGCTAGCACAGGGGTTGTCGCTGCCACTTTCACTATTACTGTCGCTGGTTGAGCCACTGCTTCCGTGTACCCAATTATACAGGCACGTAGCTGGATCGGAAGAGCTACAGCAATTCTTTGGATCAAGGCCCATTTCTGGGCAGGTGCCGGTGGTTGCAGGGTAGCCATAGCAGAACTCTTGTGCGCAATCCTCTATGCTTCTGTCAGGGTCCATTGTATGCGGGTTTGGAACGGATTAAACCTTGTGACACCTACGTCCCTCAACACTGGCAAGCCAGTTGCAAGTCTTGAGTGAATTGTCACAATTCTGCTCAAGGAAATAGGCGTTTTCACCAGTGCTCATCTTGACGATTCAACCTTGGAAGATGAGAATGGAATAAATAGAAACCTTTGTACTGGCGATGTAGACTCAGGCACTTGAGAGATTTAGGAGATGGGGGAGGACTAGATTGCCATGCATATATATAGTGATACAGCCCTCATGTCGGCAATATTGGAATGCTTTGAATTGAGTTTTGTGGCAAGGTCTGGGCAAGACGTATAAGCAATAGAAGTGGTATCGGCTGCCGAGAAATACGATCGAATTCCACCATCGAGCCAAGTCTCGGCAAAGGCTTGATTTCGGGTGATTGGTGCAATCGGTGAAATTGATCAAACTCTCGCTTAACAATCTCGGCCTATCAATTTCTGTGTCTGAGCTCAGAAACCTACGCAGTGAGGAACGCGCAAGCCAGATGATGCTGTTGAGCTGTACAGAACGGTTAGCTAAAACCACACGAGTACCCAAATAAGGCCGGATCTGCAGAGACATCCCTTGTGGATAGGCGATCGACACAAAGCTGAAAAGAGATTCTTCGGGAGTATTTGAAGCATCTTGGTGGTCGTAGTGTATTCACCAGCTCTAACCTCCCTTACTACATTCCATACACATTCGATGAAGACAAATGCCAACATATATCCTCACTTGCCCACAAGTTCTTCTCATCTTCTTATGGACTTTTCTATTGACTGAATGATTTTTCTATTAGCTTTGATAGACACTTAGCTGTCTATTCTTCAAGGTTCGTTTGCCTGATCAAAACACCACTCTCAGCTACCACCAACAGGCTATAGCTTCTCGCCCCGGTCGGTCTGTCACTATCCTGTAGTCACGATGTCTCTTATTCGCTAAGAGTAATACCCTTCGCTGCGGGAATCGCCTTTGCGGGGATCACAATGCCGGTGATTAGATAATTGCGGACAACGAAATACTCCATCAACAGCCCCATGACCAAAAACGGGGCAATCGGGCGCAGTAAAGGCTTTTATCTGAGGTCGGATGTGTAGAGGACAGATAGGAACAGGTAGATTATGCGCACAACGATGAATGGGCTACCAAAACCCATAGCTTTGAGGATCTGAAACTTGTTAACAACGTCAGCAAAGACAGATTAAAGGTGGCATCACGAACCATCCGACTTGTCTTTGAAACCGGGGAGTATTGGGTCCAGAAATAAGCCTGAATGGCCAACAAGATGGCAGCAAAGGCCACGACGATGCTGTAGCCAGCTTTGACCAATTCAAGCCCAATAAGAGCATCACCTGTATCGTCACTTCCCTCCAAGGCTCCACCCGCGACAGTCAGAGACATGCCCACCAGGAACAGCAGGCGAGCAAAACACAAGCCTTGGCTGATTCGGGGACTCATTTTTTGCTCGATTGCTGGGCTTGACGGATTAAGGACTTTGTGAGTGATGTGCGGATATCGCCAGATCTGTGTACTGGCCTCTCAATTACATGATGCGAATGTAACCCGTGGTCGCTGCAATTAAGGGGAACACACCGGGATTGAGAAGAATGGCCGCCGCAATCATCACTCCAGTGCTTGGTTCCTGCTCTGAAATGATCACCACTGCTCCTGCACCTATACGGACTGGACACACAGATCAGATCAGTTGGCGAGAATCAACTGTGGTGAAGGTCACTTGCTGGTCGAAAAAAACATCAGGGTAATCCATGCCATGCGAGGTCTCTTGTGTTTGTAGCATGCAAGATAGATCGACAGTAAAGCCACAGTCCCAATCCGGAACCTAGATTCTATACGCCTTGCAACGCAACACCTCCACTGACTTGTTTGACTCCCTCTAGATGGAGCAGCCCTGGGCAGAATATCCGAAGTCATTACTTGATCGCGTGACCGATTACTTCGCCCATGCTCCTGGGATCCTGGAGCGTGTTAGAACACTACCCTTCTTGAATGCCAATCAACGACTCAACTTGCTTTATAGCATGGTCCATGAATGCTGGCAGGTTGACCAACACTTGGAAGTCATACACGATGAGATGCAAAAGAGCAGTCAGGTTCCCTATACTGGCCAATGCCTTCTCAGCAAAGGATTTTGGCTCATGATGATCCTCTCGCCGGTCTTTTTCCAATAGTTCTTTGTTTTGCAGATATTCAAACCGCCAGAACACTTACATTTTTATGGGCCACACGGACTATACTCTGGACGGGCCTACACGTTCTATACAACTATTCCAAACTACTTGCAACTGGGAGCTGCAGTTCTATCAATGACGAGAATAATCTACCTCCTCTTGGCCACTGCGAAGACTACATTTCCATAGCCTGTCATGTCTGTCAGTCTGTGGAATATTTTCTGCAAGATGAGATGCTGCTGGCGGGACCAATAACAGTCAGTCCGGCGCTTGGCATTGTCCTTGACAGTCTACAGCAAGGATATCATCCTCAGGAAGTTGCGTGGCTTCGAGCAACGCTGGATGTGGCCCGACGGAAAGGTTTGCGGGCACTGGAATATGTCACATAATGTCAGCCTCAAGAGTCAGGTAATCATGAACATACCGAGGTATCTGCCTAGGTGCTCGATCCATGAATAGTCTAGTGAAGGGTCGTGTATCATGTTATTTGGTATATACAGGCATGTGTACATTCAATTTTTATTTGCGCACTTCCTGGAGGGTGGGCACATTGCCTGGCCGGTATTGAGATAGCAGTCCATCCATATCTTGTTCGGTCATCTCCACCAAGTCGTCCAGACTCCATGATTCACAGACCGCCGACATCCACTTCATTCTCTTCGGCCCTTCCTCCTGTTCCGGTGCGACATCTCGGAGCTTCTTGCGTAGCTTTCCGACATTGGTAATAGCAGCTCCCATGTTGGATGGTAGAGTCGCTGCGATCTTCTTGCGCACGATGCTAGCCAATTTCGGGCCATTGCCATTTGTGCTGACCATAATCTGGAGGGGACCGTCCCGGTGCATGCTTCCAAAGTAAAAGTCGCACTCGGGGGGAACATCCGCGATGTTGGCTGGGATCCGCTTCTCCTTGCAGAGCTTCCATACTTGTGTTGAGGCTTCCGGGTCATCAATCGCGCACAGCACCATATCCGCATCGTCCAAGTCGGAGGGTTCGAAATTGCGATCGACATGGGTGACTTGTTTCTCGGCGACTCGGTAGGCAACTTCTTCGTTCAGTCCACTAGCCGGGCAGACGACGGTGACGCGGGCGTCGGCGTCTAGAGCGTGGAGGATGCGCCCCGCGGCGACCTAAGATAAAGCTGTAAGCAATCTAATATGCAATGGTGGAGAGCTTTGGTCAAGCTCCCCGATAGGTAGGAACTCACTTCACCCCCTCCTACTACTAACACATGCTTCTCTCTGATCTGCCAGGCCAAAATCAATGAGCCTCCACCTTGGACTTCGGGAAACTTCGACATCTTTTCGAAAGCGGGTGAGTGATAACCCATTGAAGAGTCATTTGCACAACGATAAGACGTGGGGCATACGGTCACCCGTACGGACCACCTGCGCAGTCACTAGTTTTTTTCTCCGTCGCTTTTTCGTTTCTTTCTTTCTTCTCTTTTTTCCCTCCATTCTCAATCCCATCCGCCATGCGGGGTGTGCAAATTTTCTCGGGCAATTCTCACCCCGGCCTCGCAGATACTATCTGCGAACGGCTGGGGACGTCGCCCGCTAAAGCAGACCTTGGCAAATTCGCCAATGGTGAGACCAGCGTGAACATCAACACCTCGGTACGGAACCAGGATGTCTACATCATCCAGAGTGGCAGCAGCAAGATCAATGACAGCGTCATGGAGCTTCTGATCATGATCTCGGCGTGCAAGGGAGGTTCGGCCAAGTCGATTACTGGTACGTCGGAGTTTCCGAATCAACATTTCTTGTGATCATGCACTGACGATCCCTCCAGCGGTCATGCCGTATGCTACCCGTCTTGTTTGAACACAATCACAGTGGATGCTGACGCGCAGACGAGGTACTTCCCCTACTCGCGCCAATCCAAGAAGAAGAGCCATCGCGGTGCTATTACCGCCCGCATGCTCGCCAACCTACTCTCTATCGCCGGCGTCGATCATGTCATCACCATGGACCTGCATGTACGTTTTATCCCATCTCTTCCTGTGTCTAATATGCATCTGTTCGTCGCTGGGGGTTACTGTGCTCGATATTGATCGACATTGAATAGGCATCTCAGATGCAAGGCTTCTTCGGCAAGCCCGTCGATAACCTCTTCGCCGAACCGTTTATTGCCCGCTGGATCCGGATGAACGTGGCTGGCTGGAAGGACGGCGTGGTGGTCAGCAAGAATGCCGGCGGCACCAAGCGAGTCACCTCGCTGGCTGATGCCTTGAAGTTGAACTTCGGGATTGTGACTACTGATCGTCGGCGACCAAAGGTTCCAATGACCATGTCGGACAGCACTGTCTTCTTCGATGCCATGGAAGAGGAAGGCCGAGTTTCCAAGGACCAGCAGCTTTTTGCAGCTCACATGCAGCGGTCCAATGCCACACCGCCTATTCAGGAGGAACCTGAAGTTCCTAGCCCCACAGAATCTCTACTGCGCCCTGAGACTCCCCCGGCTGCTCGTCGGCCGTCGGAATTGGAGGCTGCTTACGAGTACACCGACGTACGGGTGCGGGATGTGGTGACCGGCCGTTTGGTGCAGGGTCAGCTGGTCGATGATGATTACCACGCTGACTCCGGCTCCCAGTCTGGTGGTACCACCCCCGGCGCTGGTAGTGGTGGTGGTGACGACAATGTTGAAAACACAGAAGTCGTCCCAGATTCAATGATGAACTCCATGGTTTCCAATGTCTCATCATTGCCCCCTGATCATGCTCTGGGTGGCTCTTTCGACGCCGTCGAGTCTGATGATGACGAAGTCAGCGTAGCTGGCCTCGAACACGAAAAGACCATCACCCTCGTGGGTGAGGTGCGCGATCGACCAGTTTTTATTGTTGACGACATGATTGACAAGAGCGGCTCATGGATCGCTGCCGCCGAGACAGTTGTGAAGCGCGGTGGAGCCCGAAAGGTCTACTGCATCGCCACTCACGCGCTGTTTGGGGCTGAGTCTCTGGATCAGCTGGAGGAATGTCCATCCATTGATCACATTGTTGTGACAAACACATTCCCGATCCCGCCGTCGATGCTCCGGTCCAAGAAGTTGATCGTCATTGACGTTTCGAGTCTCCTTGCTGAGAGCATCCGGCGGCATCACTACGGTGAAAGGTAAGGCCCACTTGGATCCCGAACTGTTGAATGATATCCTAATGGTATCTAGCGTCTCGGCACTCTTCCACCTTAACGATTGAATGACTGGGATGTGACGAAACCAAAAGGACCGAAAACAAGAACTTAACCCTCTAGGGCGTTTGATACTGATTCGCAGGCGAACACTGCGCTCCATGATTTCATGGCATGATACCTATTTTTACCCCACAAATGGAAAAAAAAAAACATTTCGAAGAAGTTCGCCTTCTAGATGGTGAAGATGTAGTTTTTCGTTTTTTCTTTTCTCGTTAATCTTTTCTTCTTGTTTCATCACCCAGCGATGCAGTCCACTCTGGGGGTACTGCAGGGGTATCTCGTGATCCACGAGATTCCCTTAACGGAGCGTTGGCAGAGCAAACATCGGGTTATGGGTTTATGTTTTCATTCCTTTTTTCCCTTGGGCGATCGGAAGGAAAGCATGATAACATCGCACGATGAGGTACGATGGCGCCGGTTTCTGAAGGTTTGCTTTCCTCACGGGAATCAACTTCATGCCTTTTAGTGGCAGTGGAACCGGGGCCAGAGAACATCTCGAACATATCTAGAGTATTCACTCACCGTAATTCTGTAAACAGTCAATATATGAATTTCATTCTCCCCATCAACTAGTTGCCCTCCGTACGTATTCCCATACTTCAAACTCGACATCATCTCAAGCCTCAACGGCTATGGCAGACAGCTGTATGTATCCCCAACAGCCTGAAAAGCAGTGAAGAGTTGATTATATTTTGGACCGATTATAATCGAGTCTAGAACTCGGTGCATTGGAAGGTTCACACTGATTTGACAGGTAGAATGACGGAAAATAGGTCATGAGGGCAATTTCCCGTTTCAAGGTTACCTAGATCGGCTCACCACCGATTGCATAGTGTCCTGACAGGTGCTTATAGCCGGGACGGATCGTACTTTTGTGTGACGTCCCGAGGATTTGCGGCTGGAGGGGTGGAGCCCCCTTAGCCACTGCTGTAGACTCCCGTATCGGGTAATAGAGGGGGAGTTAGGATCCAAAGGTCCCGGAGTTCCCCGTGCATTGGGAGAAACAATTCCATTTAATTTAGCATCACAATTCCATAGGGTTAAACAATTGGTCCATGCAAACGACGGGCCCCAAACTAGTTTCCGGGGACGCACTTCCGGGCCGATCATCATTCGAGGATGTTGGGACTCGTCATCCAGCCTCTCGTCTCGGTTCGAGGCTCTAAACAGGTCTGAAACCATGAACCTATGAGCACGAACCTATAGGAATTTTCCCCTTTGGAGAGAAAGGTCCCTGAGATGTGCCATGTGGAGAATAGCAAAGAGCCGTGCATTGGTCCAAGCGTCGGACCCATAATGACTATTTTAGTCTTGGGCAATGAAAATGATGTATCAATTTTCCAAGTTACCAGGGACGGGAGAGAGAAATCAGAGATGGGAACAAGAGAAGCAAAGGGGGTTTCAAGTCACAAATCAAACATTGGAATGCATCAGCCCGTATGATCGTCGGTAAAACTACGATCGGGATCAGCATCATTTTACGAATTGGAGCGAACAAAGATAGGACGATCATCTCTGTGGGCCAACAAGTCTAGTTCAACGCGGCTAGTCGGCTAGTGCTTTTGACCTAGTTTAGACTGACACAGCGAGGGGTTAATACGTAGAGTTACAGTGTAGCCAAAAGTACAAGGGGCGACCCACAGGTTCTTTTGGCAACACGAGTCGATCTGCGCCGACATAAACTGCAATTAAATAAATTAGCAACTGCAGTCCCTTTGATCTCCCGCGGATCGCTGCCTACCAATGGTAAGCCCCCGATCCATGAAGATCGCGATCCCGGCTAGAAACTGGGATCTGCCGTCTTGATGCGCCATGCAAGATGAGATTCGGTAGATCTAGTTCGGTTCCCCTTCCTACGGATTGCCTCTATCCCCTTCCTGCTTTTCCTTTTCCTTTTCTTTTTTATTTCCGACCTTGTGAACCCTGGGAAAAAGAAAAAAAAATACCAATAATCAGAATTCATATTCAAATCGAATCGACACAAACCCGGATACGTGCGTCATCCGGCATTCTGCAGACCTTTCACGGCTTTGGACGTGGACTGGGCTTGGTTCCAGGATCATTGGTCTTTGGTCAAAGTACAGTTGGATAGAGAGCTGTCCTCTTCAATCCAAAGCTATATATAATGGCCTGTCCAGAAGCTGTGGATCTCTACTCATCTCATTGTCTCTGAACTATTCACCCCAACACCCAAACAACCATCTTCCAAGGCCTCATCCTCGAGATACACAAGCAAAAAATTTTACTTGGAGAGTTTCTTGACTCTCGGTGACTTTGTTCCTTGCTGTCCCAATCCCACTCACTGGACTTTACTTCAGTGATCGACGCATCCAGTCCCTCGGGTGTTTAGTGCGGTACGTGACGGAGTCTCGGGTCCGGAGAGTATAGCTTATCTAACTTGACCAGACCAACACCACCAACACATCAAAATGGCCAACCAGTGCGCCGGTCACATTTTCGCTATCATTCAAGCAACCAATGGCAATATATTGACATGGCGGTGCTCGGATTGCAACTCCGGACCCTTCGTCGCGATCTGGCGCTGCAAGATGTGTGGCCACTGTCGGTGCAACGCATGCCACAACTCTAAGAAGCCCTAGAGCAGAACAATCGGTACGTTGAGAAGTGTATTTCCATGAACCAGGATGTTGGAAGTAGACACACCGGTTCTCGGGATTTGGTGTGCTCGGGAACTGATTTGTTGACTAACCTTTTCCGTATGTAGCGCTCTGCATGAAAAGTTTCAGCCTCTTGCATACAGACCTCAACCTCAGACCAGGATATCCCATTCTCATTGTTGCGGCATCATTTCCTGAATTCGTTCTGATTTTCCCTGTTCTCTTGCTTCCCATGCGTTTGGCGACGTGCATTTGATCAGTTCAAGGTTCACCAAAAGTCTCCCACCAAAAGTTTTTGGGGTGCATCGGATGGAGTTTTCATTTTGTCCTCTCTTTGTTATAGATTGTTTCCTACCGTGTATTTATTCCGGTTGACTTGTTCGGGCATTTGTTATTGAGATCATTTGGGCCATTTATTTCGAATGATAATGTCTATCATCTATACACAAGCAAAAATAAGGACTATAGAAAGCCAAAACATTTGAAATGCTTCTCCACAGCAATAATTGACGATCAGAAAAACACGGATTCGCCATGTCATCATTGCTGTACAAGGTCACTTTCAAGTTTAAAAAAAAGTCCCAAATCGATCGAGTACCTTTGCCCACAGCAAGGATGCGGAACTTGAATGCAGGGCTTATCCCTTGTCCAGTAGATCGGGTCCGATGCACCTCCCAACTCCCGGCATGAACACCCCCGATTCTTAAATGTCAATTGTACTGCAGTCCATCCGAGCCACTCGGTCTAGCTTGCCATTAATTTCCACTTTCCACCACTGCACTCATTGGCCCCGGCATGTCGGACCTAGCTGACGCCAAGCGGTACCAAGCGGTACCCGACCAATACACCACAAAGGAAGTTATTTCCGCAGACTACATACAGCCCACGCACATTTGTGGCCCTAAAAAAAAAAAGGGTTCGATTGACAGGTCAAACTAGTAGGTTTATTGAAAGCTCGGTCTCGCTCGCTTAACGACTTCCTGTTATAAGCGAAGCAGTCGAGAAAGCGGCCCAAGGAACAAATCGCATTTAAGAATTTCCAGGGGCTTGGGTCCGCTTAACTCTAACCTACGTATCCCCACTTCAACAAAAGCACCACGCAAGGACCATTTGGTGGCACAACTCGGTGGGATTTGTGGAGGTCTGTGGGTCTGAAGAAAGTACGGTCCCGTATCGCTGGGTTTCCTAGTCACTAGTTACATGTCTCCGTACTCTGTACACATATCCATCATGCTTAGTGCGAGGGGACTAGTATAGATTGGGGAGAAATGGTGGCGATCGCGCGGGAAGCTTCAAAAAAACAAAACAAAAACAAAAACAAAAAAAGATACATAAGTACAAGAAAAATATCAGAAAGCTTGACCATGACAAATATTTACTTTCACACTACTGAAAGATACCTGGAATAGGGGAGTGATCAGATACGAAAAAGTTGCGAACCCTCGCGGTGAGCATATGCGGGATATCAATGGTCGTCCAGTGGGATTAGGGGGGAAAAAAACCCACGAAAAGAAAAAAAATAAAAAAATAACCGGGTCATCGCTACGTGTAGATGCTCTAGCGAAAGGTATTAGTCCCGAAAATTCAACCCCACAAGCCACACCGAGAAGATCCGAGAAGAAGGAATTAGGCAAAAGAAAAAACAACCCGTCCAAATAACTCAAATCACTTACCTCTGTAATCTGATTCACAGCTAATCCAGGCTCGGCCATCTCGGCCTCACACAAAAACTCCAAAGGCAGCCACACTAAGTGGCCCTTGATGCGATCGAGTTTCTCCCGCACCTCCGCTATCGGCATATACGGATCAAACAAGTGACCCTGCTTGTGCGCCCCACGAGGATAGAAATTGTCATAATCCTCAAAGGTCTTAATGTGGTCATCTGGATCCGCGCGGAACAGCACCCGATACGTCTCCGTGTTAACGCTAGCTTGTTCGGTCCAGGTATTCCAGACCGCATCACTGAGTGGGTCGGTGACGAAGTCGTTCTCAGGACCTTCGAGGATCGTATTGAGACATACGTCGGGGGGACGGGCATTCGGCTCGTTAGCTGCATCGTAGTCTTGGGCCGGAAGAAGGCCGAGATGTTCGCGCCAGAGTTGGCGGCGCAGTGTGGCTGCATGACGGCCTGCACGGTATGGTTGACCGTTCATTTCGCTCTCGATGAAGTCTTGGTCTTCCATTACGATGGCGAGTTCGCTGTCATGGGAGCCAAGTTGGGACTGACCGGGTTAGAAAGATGCTAGGGGCATGGATCATGAATGTTGGAACCTACTCGGTCGTTGATGTTGGCACTACCACAGATGACGATGCGATCATCGACAATACACACCTTGCCGTGTACGTATAACTCTTCTTGCACAATGTTGGCCTTTTCAGCCTCTGGATCACCTTCCCAGGGCTCATCGGACATTTTGCCACCATTCAGCATAGTGACATGAGCCACCGAGTCTCTGCTTGCATCGCCTTGCTTTTCCTTGTTCCGCTCGACTTCCTCCTCGAACTTCTCAAGCTTGCGCACATTTTCTTCCTTTTGGGAAGGATCGGCGTCGTAGCTCTTTTCAAACCGATCGCCATCTTTACCGATGGAGGGGTGCACACTCTCACTCATGATAGACTCTGCAATACCACGCTGGATATCCTGGTACGTCACCCCGGCCTTGCTCTCAAGCTCCTCCAGTGCGGGGGTCTTGTTAATACGGTCATAAGCACGCAAAGCAAAGACGAAAATGTGCTCTGTACAGGGCAGTTAATATCAACAGAAAAAGACCATGAGCAGGAAAGACCTACCTTTGGGGTCCACGCCAGCCTTGGCGATTTGTCCCATGATTGAATCCTCGCCTCGACAGATCGACTTGTATTGGTAATCCATAATGGCTCTCGTACCCGACGCAGCATTGTCACGTAGATCGCCTGCAAATCCGGGAATAGCAGGAATCACCACAATGACACGGAACTTGCGGCCTTCTTTACCCGCCCGAACAGCTGCTTCAACAATGGCGGCGCCAATCTTGTTGTAGATTGGATGTTGGTTGTCACCCGTAGCCGTGACTGCAAGAATCAGCTCTGATCAACCAATCATGAGAAAAGGTCAACATACTGAAGAATTGGTTCTCAATGTAGACGAAATGCTCCGCATTGCGAATAACCTCGCAGTACGCATTCTGAATACTATGTTCATTCAGAATGCCACTGCTCCAATCATCACTACTGCGCACAACCTGCGCTCGCACAGAGCCCTGATTTCCGCGTGGCTTACTTGAAAGCGGCGTCAAAGGATGCTGAATATACTCGCCACAGGGATACTTGGGCCGCTGAACAGCAATAATATCCTCCTGCTCCCCATCTCGTCCCTCCATCAACAACCAATCCACATGATCATTACGCTTGTACTTATCGCGCTTGATGAAGTTCCAGCGCAGAACGAAGTGCTCGGCAATATCGTAGACACAGTCGCCAAGCAAGCCCATTGCCACATCATGCCATGGCATGCGGCCGTACTCAGTTTTGCTCAGCTCGTTGTTCTGCCAGTCTTGCACACTTTGGAAATCCATGATGCGGTTGTTATTGAATTCCTGACCAGGAAAGATGTCGTCTTTGAGACCAGCTGGATGGACGTCGGCGAGCGGGTGCTGATGAGCGTCCCAGCGACCGAAGCAGAGATCGATACCTCCGATGAATGCCATGGCATAGTCAATCACGATGAATTTCTCGTGGTGGGCCTGTACTATATTAGGATACGTTGAGAGTGCAAAGGATGAGCGCATACCCAGTAAAGTGTCATGTCAGCTCCATTCTCAAAGACATTGTGGTCTGGGTGTCGCATAACTCGAATATTGCCGTGTCCCGGTGTACCCTCGGGACAGAGGTTACGCAATGCATATTTTGTGTGTGCCGAATTACACGTCAGAGCTTGGTTAACCTGTAAATTATCAGCCTGCATATCCTCTGAAGGGAGACAAAGGTATCATACCTCTTTGTAGACGATCACATAAATCTTAACACCCGCCTCCGCGCGTCTCTTCAGAATATGGTCTAAACGCCATTCCTGGTGTTTCACGGGGGGTCGACGGAGGAACAATTCTGGCGACAGCCACCAATCGGCAATGTAGATCGTCTCGGTTGCTTTCTCTAGCGCTTCGGAGACGGCCCAGAGGTAATCCATACCATCGACATACCATTTTACTCGATTATTCTCGTGGACGGGTGCGAAGGAGTGGAAACGGTGGGATTCGGCGATTTCCGAGCGTTTCTTATCGGTGATTTGTTCATGCTCCTCATCGTGGCGGTGATTAGGGTTGACAATATTGTAAAACTTGCCGACCTTGTGTTTTAAATGTGCCGCAGAGGCCTTGACATCGTGGAGATTGTGGTCTGGAGAGGTATTAGCGGGGAAAATTAGGACACCAAAGGTGGGGGATCACCTTTGAACTTCTCCTCCAAGTTCTCAATGCCATGCTCAAACTTATCCTTGAATCGCTGCATGATTTGACGTGGTTGGGAAAGTCCGAAATCGCGGTGTGGGGAAAAGAGGGGAGGATTTCAAAATAGGGAAATGGAATTATGCGACTCCGCTTCGACGTGTGACATCACTGCAGCCCTATCTACCGCAGGGCCAGATCTCGACGTCGCGTAAATATACACTGTCGATCGTCATTTGACCAGTGATGTGTAGGCGTGTTGATAACCATGGTAATCGCGGTGTTCCTGTACCGTTCCATCTGATTGGGATCCACTAGGCCGTGGATGCCGAATGGGATGACGCCGCTCGGTTCTTTCGTTCTTGGCGGGAGGGGTTTCCCTTCGATTGAGATCTTTTGAGACGGTATGGTTTGGGTGATATTTTTATCTAGTAGTATAAATGGATTGTCGATCTGGGGAGTGGGTCGGGGTTTCATTTCTAAAGCAAAGGGCATGATCAACAGGGCACTTGGTGGAGAAAGATGCACTAATTCTCCGATTTGAGACCATATGCTACCCCTCAATAGCCTGTGATTCGCAGGTACTCATATGTAAACTGGAGACAAGCCTAGAGCAGTGTTCAAAGATATACCTAGCATAGTTTATTGGGATTTGGCTGGTGCAAGCCTCCAGGGCTGTTTGAGCCGGAGAATGGTTGACCTGTAGATATTAGGTACTTTTGAATTCAAGTGCTACATCTATCCCTGCCGTTGGCCTGAATGACTATGGAAGGCATGCATTTATTGGTGTGGGTAGTCCATGGTTAGCATCGAATTGCATTCTTACTTGAGTAACTGAAATAAAACTTTAATATATTGGAATATTTACGTGCAGATTCGAAGGATGTTTGGGGGATATATATAGAGATCAATGTCGGGATGAGAATCTCCAACGTAGCTCAATTGCTATTCTCAAGTTTCAAGATCCCTCCAGGGCTCTGAAACCCATATGATAAATACTTTCGAGGACCTAATTGAAGCCCTACTTTGTAACCGTGTAAATATGCAATTGTACTAACTTTCTTCAAATAATATTTGGCGCTGCTGGTTTTGTGGTTCTCGCCGAGTGTATGACGTAGGGACATGAACAAAGCCCGAACCATCTCTGCCAAGGCACTGGCAACTCGTAAACAATGAGAGAAATTGCTTAACAAGAATAACATTGGAAACAGATAATGATGATTGCATTTGAAAGCAGAACTCATCCCCTTGGACGCAACTTCGACCAGAATTTCTAGATTCACGATCTCGACCAGAACAGTCCTCATATTGGGATCTCTTTCAATGAAAGTTCCATAATCAAGCATCCAATACCAACAGTAGTCAACACTAATCGTAGTGATTTATTCTCTGGAAACCTCCTGCATAGTTCGACGTAAAATGCTTTGTTTTTGTTTAGCGTGGAATGCTTACCTGATGACATCACGTGATGACCCAAACAACGTTGTCTGAGGAACGGCCTGCTCTGTTTATCCTCCCACGTCTCGACTACACCACGCGGCCAGCGATAGCCCAGCGAATTTGGGACGGCTCTTGTGTGGTATCCTGCTGAAAGCACTGCTAGCCATTCCACCAAGCTTGGTATCAGGTCCCTGAATGGTCATCGTCGCTGTGTGTGTGTGCTGGTAAGAAAAAACACACGCCTGTGTGCAGGAAACGGCCATCTCCCTGGTGACGGGTCTCCTCCACTTTTTTTCGATTCACCAACCGGATTCAGAATGCCTTCTGAGCTAGGTGAGAAAGCCTAAGCACACTCCACTGGATCGCGCTTGTTGTAAATGCTCACAAATCATGATAGTACGCGCCCCGTCGCAAGGCAGCGCGGTCTCGCAGACTACTCAACACATGGGCCCTCATAGCCGTCCAGGGACGGCCGACCCCTTACGATCACGATCGGAAACACTTTCACGAGGTGGCCGCCGTGCTCGGTCTCGAGGCTCGACTGCTAGCATCCACTCAAGTACAACCCAGCAAACTCAAGACCAGCACATCGATGCATTCCCCCAATTCATGCCTTCCCAAGTCGCAAATGCCCAGAGCATGTTCGCCAATAACCCCGAAGACATGATCATGCGTTTTGGTCATCAGTTCGGTCACCCAAACCATGGCGCATCTCTAGGTCAGGATATGCGGGAGGCTCACGCAGTCATGTCACGACCGGAAGACTTTCCCACTCATGCTATGCACGGACACTCACTCTCCCACCATTCGCTGACCCCGGACATGGCTCACAATGGGGTCGCTGGAGTCTCGGTTCCTCAATATCAGGCTATGTATGACAGTGGAATCGAAAACCATCTGCCAGAGCAAGCTTTAGAAGAGCCAGACGTCTCTGAGCAGGGAGGGAAAAAGAAAAGGGGATCCAGCTCCACATTGGCAAATGACAATGAGCTGCGTAAATTGCTCCGTCAATATGAAGGCTGGTCGTTGAAGCAAATGGCCGCTGAGGTTATGAAACACGAAGGCGCTGGCGGGAAAGCAGAGAAGGTGAAGCAGGTATTCGCCATGATCTGGTAAGAATCACACTCCTTGATTTATTTTCATTTTTTCATCCTGATGGACGCTTGACTGATTTCCCCCCCCTTCCGTTCATAGGTTGCGAGAAAACTGCCGGAAGAGTTCTGGTTCTGTAAGACGAGATCGTGTTTATTGTTGTTATGCGGAAAATTGCGGAACAGAACGTGTGTCGGTATTGAATCCGGCATCGTTTGGAAAATTGGTGCGAATCATCTTTCCGAATGTTCAGACTCGACGTCTTGGAGTTCGTGGCGAATCAAAGTATCATTACGTCGATTTGTCGGTCATTGAGGAGAAGCAGCAAAAGCCTGCACCAGTGAATACGCAAGTTGCACCTAGTCAACGGGGATCTGTAGCTCCAGAGAGGCCTGCAAGTGCGATGCGTTCAAGAAGGTACGTTGACATGTCTGACACGTCTACGCTTAGTTCCATGAACACTGACACGTCCCTCAGTATCAGCATCTCTCAACCTACAGCCGATTCCGCCGTATTTCCCTCCCCCACTACTTCCTTTGCTCCCAGATACCCGGCCAACCCTCCCATGGCCAGCTGTGGCTGCCCATCTGATACTCAGCCCACCGTGTCTGGCCCAGATAGCAATGTTACTCATGAGAATGTGGCTCAACACGCTGGCCGGATCATTCATCAGCTGCTGCAATTCCCAACTGATGAAGCTCCAGTTGATAACGACACTCTCATCCTTCCTGACATCCGTGGTCATTTGCCTGCCAACACCGATCTAAAGGTGGCGGATGCTCTTGCGGCTCTTTACCGAACTCACTGCATCTCAGTCATCGACAGTTTCCGGTTTTGTAAGGAACGTAACCTCATGAAATACTTCTCCGCGTTTCACGGCACTTTGACCGTTCCTGTCCAGAAGCTTTTGACTCATCCAAACCTTGCCCCATGGATCAAGGAATGTGACTGGTTGATGTACCAGAAGATGATTCCATTCGTCGCACCTCTCACCACACAGGTTGTGCCCAAGCCTGTTTTGGATGCATTCCGCTCCATCTCGCAGCGTCTTTGCGGCCATATCGCGGAAACTTTCAAAACTCAACCAACTCACGTGTCCATCGCTCGGCTGATCCCTGCTCATATATTTTGCAACCTCCTCAAGCACATGCTTGACGTAAACCAGGCTGCGAACGCTGCTGCTGCCTGGCTCTGCCATCCTGAAAACCGCAACCAGATGTGGGCCGATTTCAAGTCCCTTGTGGACCCGCAGGAAATGATCACCAAGGCAAATATCCCTGCCTGCGCTGCACGCGCTACTGAACAAATCCTCAAACACGACGTTCGGGCACTCCTCACCCCCGTCACGGACGTTGACCCCACAGATACTTTGCCTTTCTACCGCAAAGCAGATACTGCCGAAGACATTGAAGCTCACCGATTGCCTGCGGAGAACGCACCTGGCGATGAGTACAATTTCCCCGACAAGTGGATCCAGTTCATCCTCAATATACCGGCTGTCTTTGCGAACCATCGCTCTCAGTGCGTCATTGAAAAGGTAGATGCCCTGTGGGAGAACATTCTGCACCGTTTGACTCTCGGTGGTGCTGCTAGTTTCAGTGCGTGGTGGATGACCAAGGTCTTCTTCCACGAGATGATGCTCTGGCAGGCGGAGAAGGGTGGTTTCATGCGTAGCAACCCGGCTTCTCTGCAAAATGTTACCGCCGGCCCAGAGCCTATGGGAATGGGCGATTTTCAGCTGAAGCACAATCTTGGATCCCAACGCAATTCTTTTGATGGAAATCACCAGCGTGGATCCCACCCAGGCCCCCAAGGTGGTGCGCAGGGCCGTAACCGAGATGCTCATGTCGATCACAAGCATGCTCCTAGTGAAAAAGAGCTAGCCTTGGCAGACTCGGGCTTCCAAGCTCCCAATAATGACGACAGTGCGATTGACCTTGAAGATGATCCGATGTTGATTGCAGTGGGTAAATATGGCGACATGATGGCTTCCGACCCAGCGGACGCCGAAGGTGATGTGGTTGTCATCTAAGTTTTTCCTTTCTGCATTGTGAGGTTTGTCTTTTGAGGTTCGGAGTTGAGATATCCCGGTGTGACTATTTCTTATGTTCTTTTCATTTGTTATCTTATGAAGGCTTTCCTTTGTCACGGCTGAACGGCGTTTTGACTGTTCTGCATGAAGAGATGAGACACGAGATGGGCGCCAAAGTCTTGCTTGCGAGACTGCCAAAGGTGTCTGAGGTCCATACAAGCATTTAATCGGCGTGGGGAAATCCTCGGCTTAATTCTTGCTTTTGCATTTTCTTTCCTTTTTGTCTACTTTTTTTTTTTTGGCCTGCCCCTTTCCTAATAAGGCTGTACATATGCTCCCACACGCTTTGGATCGTGTTGAATGGAGACTGACAACTTGGACGATATACGTTTTTCAAATTCCTATGCTACGGCATCAAGCATATCTACACATCTAGTCTTAGTACCTCGGTACTCAGGGTAAACCGCAAAAGAAGCTGGGAAGACCACAGTGACCCAATCGGGCTATCAAGACCGTAGTGGAGCTCGGGATCCTGGTACGCGTAATCAATCTCCGAGGTGATGATAACCCCCCGATTTTATCAATCAGCTCTATCTCTCTCGCTTCTTGCTAAACAGTCATCTTGCAGCAGTTCACAAAATGCGGCTTCATGAAACCTGGGCTGGGACACTGTCTCTGTTGACCTGTCTTTCTTCCCAGACTTTTGCTACCGAGGACGCCGAGCCCCTGGAAAATGCCAATCACATCTTCAACGCCATTCAGTCAACATTGAGACACTATGGCTCGGAGATCAACTACAACGGCCTGTCATTTTACCGAGCCAGCGTGCCAAAAGGCACTCAATTTTACCATGGCACTGGTCTGAAAGACCCGATTCAAGGACTCGAGTGGCTGGCTTTCAAACCCGAGCACTCCCTAGGTTTCGCCCACCGCAGTGGCAACAAATTTTTTGCAAAGAAAGACTTGCAGCAGCCTCTCGACGAGTACACAGCACCGGAATGGGATGGAAACGGATATCTTCACACCTATGCCGCTGCCAAGGATCTGCGCTTGCTGTACATCGATGGCATGTCGGCTGGACCAGGAGGTGGGGCGGAATCCCAGGATCGCATTCTTTACAATAACACCATTACTGGTGACCGGCCGGTTGGTGGTCCCAAGATTGGTGGACCACCCCAGGAGCAGCAGCGGGCGATCGAGGCATGCCGTATGGCGAAGGAGGACTGGGGTGACAAGATTGATGGCATTGTTCGCACAGAAGCTGATTTTGAGATCATCCTCTGTAACTTTGAGCGTGACCTTGACGTCGTGCATATCACTCAGACGAAGCCTCAAGAGAGCTCGGGTCGCCCGGGTGGGCCTGGAGGTGGAAAAGGACGAAAGGGACACCATGGCGGCGGTCCTGGCGGACCTCCCCGAGGACCTCGTTCAGGGCTCAAGTACTGGTCCTTGGCTACTCGGTTCGATGAAAGCCTAGGAAAGAAAGTGCGAATCGACTTGGACAATTTCGTCTCGGCTTATACCTATGGCCTCGACCTGTTCCCTAACAACGCCACGGTTCCGAAAGTGGGCCATCTACCAATTGAAGAATTGCAGCCTATTCGACAAGACGTCTTCAAGCTACTCAAAACCTGGGATTCACCTATCGATGCATTCGACTGGCAGACTGTCACTGATATGATCGTGTTCCAGTATTCCGATGAGCTGAAGAGTTTGGCTGCAGGAACTTATTCGTCGGCGAAAGAGCTTCGGGATCACCTTGAGAAGCTGTTGGAGCCTTTTATCGATTACCGTGACTTCGACAACGGCGAGGTCATTATCAACCGCTGTGCAAGTGAATGGATTCCTCTCTCAGCCCCTGTCGGCTCATTAGGTGGCAATGCTGTACGATCCGTCGCCCGATCGGTCTGCTCTACCTTGGTTTCCGCGATGATGGATGATGAAAAAGACCTGGAGGCTTCAGTTACCAGCTTCAATGATTTAGTCTCCTACCTCCAGTGGACCACGTGGGCAGCGGATGAGTGATATTTAAACTGCATACCTGTTTATTTCAAATTCCATTTTCTCGAAAGATATTATGTACACTGTCAATGAAAAACTACACAGCAATCTCCTTGGACCAGCGACCAATCGTGAACTGTGAGTTACACATGTTGGTCAATTCCCAGCTCTCGGCAGCCAGCACGGCGGGCGTGTTCTGATCTTCAGGATCACCCGCCGCGCCCGCAACAAACATTGCCGCCATGAAATGATCATCGGTGGCATGAGCATCCCTAAAACGAGGATGCTTCATGAGCCGAGTCATAGCAGCACGAAGCTGCGGCCCTGATGTCTTCGTAATGACATCCTCCACAGCCTGTCGAAACTCCATTGCCCAATCTTCCGGCGGCGTCTCCATGGCAAAGTTATCCCGGAACCGAAGCATAGGAGCCCAGCGATTGCGGTACAAATTGTGGACTGCACCTCCTGTCCCGATGAGCAGATAGTTCTCCCGACGAAGTGGTCGTAGTGTTGCCCCCATCTTCATGTGGAAATGCGGATCATAACGGGCATTCATCGAGATCAATGTTGTAGGTGGACAACCTGCCGGGAACATGCGAATGAGGATCAAATAGACGTCGTGAATCCAGTCGAATTTTGGGTTCCCGCCGACATTGTACCCCTCCTTGGCTAACATCTTGATGCATCGGTCGGTTGTTTCCAGGTCCGGGTTGAGCTGGTAGTTGACGTACTTTTCCGGTTTCACATAAGCGACCGGACTTTTGTCAGGGTTTGGATTGGTTGATAGCTCGATTCTGTCCCCTAGACAATCCCAATGCGCGCCCTAATCCGGGTTGTTTAGTACATTGTCTGACAACAGCAGATATGACCAGTCTTTACCATGATCACCACGCCCTTGATACCCTGGGCCAACGCTTCATCTCCGCATTTCTTCCAATAGTCGGCACTTTCGGACTCTTCTCCCAGCATCATGGTCGAGCCATGGGAGAAGAAATGTACTGGTGTGAGGCCTAGTTTGGTGAGTCTGAAGTTCATACCAAAGAGAATAATAACTTACCCATGTTGTCAAACTTGCAGGACAAATTCCACAAAAATTACCATCAAGGTGAATGCCGGCCCTATATTAACTTGCGCCCATCGGAATACCCATCTTGGCCCCAGTTTTCCGAATAGAACTTCCGTATGGACGGTCGGGAGTGATTCCCCACATCCCGAAAGCGCCATGCGGGGAATAGGGGATAAGGGGGTTGCGTAATCCCCAGAAAATTGAGTTGCAATCTATACCCCTCTTGAGGGTCGAATGAGGGGTGAGCATCATTGGGCTTACCCAGCCGGCCACTCAGACGAATCAATGACGACCCTTCAAACGACTATAACCTGGGGAAGACCAAAGTGTGGAGTGACACTTCGGGGAGCGCCTTGCAGGGAACACGGAGATTGGTAGAAATCGCCTTGACTAAGCGGGGGGAAAGATCGGCCACGGCACATTTACGAGCTTTGAAAGCTATGCCTGGAGCCTTGGTACTGTTCTGTGGCGGGCCCCATGATCTCCGCGAACTGCCAATTTCCCCAGATTTCCTTCTCTGCGTTCTTCCATCATCCGCTCTTGCACTGATCAATGTTTGGGGATAACCATGTTCAATGAGTCTCCGACTGAGCAGCTCAACACCGCCCAATCCCCTACCAAATCCAAGGATGGAGGCTATTTTCAGTGTGGCTTCTGTAAACGCCACTACAATCGAGCGGACCATTTAATCCGCCATGTTCGATCACACACCAGGGAAAAGCCATACATCTGCGATGTCTGCGATAAGGGATTTGCTCGGCCGTAAGTGGTGCCCGTATTGCATTCGTGACACGTCATTGATCCCCATGCAGAGACCTTCTGAAACGGCATGCAGCCGGGCATGCACACGATAGGGATCGGAAACGCAAAAGGAGCTCGTCAGTTGCGAAGCAAAGTCGAGTATCCCAGGCCTGCAAAGCATGTGCCTCGTCCAAGCTGAAATGCGACGAAGCCAAGCCGTGTAAACGGTGTCGCGAACGGAATCTACATTGTGACTGGCAGGATGTCGCGCAAGACTCTTCTCCAGAGCCATCCCAGCAGAATGATGAACAAGAGAATAGACTGTCGGCTCTGCCAGTCGATTTAACCGCCACTGTGGCCTTTTCGCCGATGCCGACCCCAATGGATGATTTTCCACCCACCAATAGCATCCTCATGACCACCCAAGGACCTGCGCCCGACCAGGGACTCGACCCGGCACTCGATCCAGTACTTTCGCCAGGGGTCCCAGTGAATGGACCGGCTCAACTTGAATATGGTGGTATGTAGCCTGCAGCATTTTTGTGAGAATTCGCTAACGAGATAAGTTTCACCCACGGACCAAGAAAGTGGGATTTTCAGCGTGGACGGCACATTTTTCCCAAATTTTTTCCCTGACTCGTTCATATCCTCGCTGGGTCGATACAACGACCCGTTTGATCCATCCAGTCTGATTCCCGAGTTCACCCCCTACGGTCCGCTGGAAAACCCGGCTCTGGATTTCAGTTTGACGGATGGCGACTTCGGTCTGATCGACATGTATAATGCCGGAAGTTTAATGCCGAGGAACGAAAATGAGCAACAGGATCGCTTCGACGCCGACAGTGGCATTGGAATCGGAGCGGCGGCTTACCACCGCTCTTCATTATCCGCATGGAAACCGCTCCAAGAAGATCGTGCATTCATCGATCACGAGAATCTTTCTGTTCCTCAGGCCATTGATAGTCCCGAGGTCAATATTGCCGACCGACAAACATTATGCGAACGACTGTCCTCGAGCAGCCGAGACCAGATCTTTGGACTGGTCCTCGAAATCAGCCGCGAGGCCAGCCTGAACCGAATTATGAAGTCGTTTCCAAGCACAGAATTATTGGATGGATTAATTCAGCAATTTTTCGAAAATCAGAGTCACAGTGTGGACTCTTTCATCCACGCACCAACATTTCGTCCCAGCGCTGAACATGCCAGTATCCTTACGGCCCTAGCTTCTGCGGGAGCCGTACGCTCGCCCATTCCTACAATACGCAAGCTTGGCTATGCTTTGTTAGAGATTGTGCGAATGTATATGCCCACGAAGGTATGTCATTTCCACCCTTGAACTTGACTCAATGCTTACAGCCACTAGTATGAAAAAGACAATCTTGCCACACGGGACCTGCGAACATCACAAACCTATGCCCTGCATATAGACATTGGAGTCTGGAGTGGTAATCGACGGAAAACTGAAATAGCAGAAAGCTTTTCTCAACCCCTGATCACTATGCTCCGTCGCGGATTGAGATTTCGCCGGTCGGTCTATTCAAACATCATTCCTCACGCCGAAGATACAGACGATGTGGTGGAGCGAAAATGGCATGAATGGATCGAGCAAGAATCGTTCAAAAGGTAAGAGCTTTTCACCCTTGAATATGTTGGTGATCATCTCTCATACCAATTAGACTTGTCTATCGTATTTTCCTTCATGATTCTCAGACCGCGGTCACTCTCAATATTAATCCTCTGATATCTTATGCCGACCTGGAGCTTCCATTGCCAGCTGCGAGGTCATTATGGGAAGCAAAAACAGCTGGCGAGTGGAGACAGCTGTATCCTGCCCATGGGCCTGTTCGGGTACCATCATTAGCAGAGCTGCTACGTGACATGTCGCAGCTATCCATGTTCCAGGATCGTATCGACACTCAACTTGCCGCTCTGGTCCTTCTTCATGGTCTCTCAGCCCTGATCAACGAATACCACCGACTTAAATTTATCTCAACCAGTAACTCGAAGCATTGGCATGCGCTTGTGACTAACTCCCGCCAACAAGAATTGGACCAAGCCCTCCAACACTTTCGCATGGTGTGCTCAGAGTTGCGTGTTCCGTGCCGTCCTGAGATCATCTTGGTATGTGAGGTCGTCTCCATGCTCTTGCATATGTCCCTTGAAGAGCTCCAGCTATTCGCCGGCAAGGAAGACAAGCAAGAGGCACGTCGAGTGTATCAATCTGCCCTCGAATGGATAGCCAATGCTGATTCCCGCCGAGCAATCTGGCATGCTGGCCAAACCATCCGTGCCTCTCGTCAAATGCCCCCGGGCTCGTTGACCGGATTTTTTGCTATTGGAGTGTTCTACGCTAGCCTGGCATTCTGGTCGTATGGTGTGGTTTCCAGAGCCAAAAATACCCGACTCCTGGGAAGCCCCGTCTCCCAAATTCCGAGTCAAGGCCCAACAGTCTTCCTAGACGGGGAGGAGGTGGCTGATGTGTCCAAGTTCGTAACACTGGGCTGTGGTCTTCCGGCGTTGCAAGGACCAAGTGGAACAGTCTTGCTATCGGACTCTGGGTCAATCATGCAGGTTGGACAGAGAGCACTTCGAACAGATATTTCAGAGAGTACACCGCCACTAGTGCAGAGTTTGGCTCAGTTAATGGGTGACCTAGGACAGTGTGTCCATGTAGGGTCCTAGCAAAATATGCTTCAATGTATAATACGAATATTTCAACGTGATACCCATGATTATGATTCGATAGTCTCAACCTTTCCACCTGGAAGCACCTATCTGCTTCGTGAACCCGTAGATGGGGTCAACACCCGCCAGTAGCACTACTACCCACACATACGTCCCCGGTACAATTGAATCCAAACGTGCCGTCAACATTTCCACATAGATAGTCATCAACCTGAGTACCATTGCTGAATGTAAGATCAACCCCGGCAATGGTAATATTCTCACACGGCTCCACAGCAGAACATTGCAAACTAGCCACCTCGCCACTCGACGAAGTGCCAACAATGTCCTTCAAAACAATATCCTTCAATTGGAATTTTGAAGAGGTGCAATTTCCTGAAGCACCAGAAAAGGTAGTACACTGCGAGATCGCAAAAGCTGGACCGCGAAATGCCGTAGCCGAAAGACCCTCAAACATCATATGGGAGGCATCTATCGAAGATGAGCACTTGTCTTCATCCCAATTGATCAGTTCCACTCACAACCTAAACCACCACCTCCCCCATTGGGCGGATATCCAGCCTGCTCACCTGTCCAGGTCTTAACATACGCCGCATGCAGCGTATTATCATACGTTATATTTTTCACTAAAACCCGCTCAACGGTCTCATAAACGTCTTTGTACTGTCCAATACTCCCAATGGCAACCCCGAGACCATTGTAAAAGGTACAATCCTCAATCAGGATGTCGGTTGAATTAGCCTTGAGGCTTATACTGTCGTCTCCGTTCACGACTTCCCAGTTTCGGAACGTAATATCCGAGCTATAGATTGTGTCTGCGCCATCAGTGTTGTGGGCTGTCCCGCTTTCTCCAGTATTATTGACGTGGATATTTGTAAAGGATGTTCGTTGGGAGTGGATTATGGAGAGGGTCCTAATGAAGCTCTCAATATCACTGTGTTGATCGAACCGATTGGAATAATAGACTTGACTCTTACCACATCTGACTCCGAACAAATCGCACTCCGTCAAAGATCGAATCCGTAGCACCGGATACGGTCATAGCATGGGGCCGACGTGGATAATTAGATACGGATCCGACGAAATCATACCATGTCTGTCCATTACCGTTCAGAGTCCCATATCCATGTCCGTTGAAATGAAGGTTCTTGCCTCCTATGATCCATGCGGTACTTTGATTCTGATATCCGACTGGAAGGGAGTTGTTTAGCCAGTAAGTGATATTCGTGCTCCACTAACCACGATTAATAAAATGTTGTACTCAGATTTTATTTTTGCAGTGATTGGTGTCAAGATTTACCAGCAGTGTTCCCTGGAGATCGACCTCACAGTCTTGCAGTCCAGTTGTGTTCATCACACTATTAATGTGGTAGGTTGTATTTGTAAATATGATCTTTCCGCCATGTCCGCATTTTCTGAAAGCTTCCAGAATCGCAGGTGCGTCGTCGATACTTGTAGAACCGGCTGCGGGTACTGTGCAGACTGTGAAGGATTCTCTGGACTGTGCAGCCCGGGATATACCCATTACTGCTAGGAATTGGAGTAGGAATCGTGGGAAATACATGATGTAATGCATACGTTCTCCTTTATGGATCTCAAACCCTGCTCTCCTTATGAATATATATGGTAAGGTTATACATACGCCGTAGAGGAATAGCTACTTTACTTGTGGAAATATTATGTGCGTGATCGACATGAGACCTGTGAGATGAGAATGCGGGGAAGGGATTCGGTGTATTGAACAGCGAACATGAAAGTGACCAGTAATAAGTGATGGCTCTCAATCTCAAGGATATTGATTTGAACTAGTGTTTTTGCAATGGTATACATCAACCTTACAACGGAGTAGTGCAGCGTGATGTGAGGCAATCAACTTGGAAGATCTCATTGTACGTAGGAAAAAAACCGGAATATGGGATAATGAGAATGCTCATCTGGAAACATCATGCTAGTAAAAGTTATTCCAGGTCGGAATGATGCGAAAGGGGATGAAACAATCGCATAGTATAACAATCAAACTAAAGGATCTGGTAGCCAGATCATGGAGGCACCCCAGTGAGTCTTATGCCAGCTGTCCTAGTGAAACTCTGCTGCAAGGCCTAAAGTTTGGACATATGTCCAAATGACATACGAATGCCGTATCCTTTCTTCGTGAAGCAATTCGGGTCGCAGAACAACCCAACCCCCCCACATACCGAGGCGTGGTCTCCACGCTCATCCGAATATGCGGGGTTCGAATGGATCGGAATCGGCGCCGAGGCCGATTGCGACAAGCTTCAGGCGCGTCACGAGTCGCGTATGTGGTTTATTATAAGAATACTAAGTTAGAGCATCGGGCAAGATACCAGGAAAATCAGACAACTGCAATCACCATGGCCCTCAAGCTTAAGCAACGAAATGTGTCAGAAATCGCCTCTACGCCAAAGGTGGACACTACAGCAATCGTGCGGGGTGTGATTGATGAAATCCGTGCAACCGGCGATCAGGGGGTAAGAAAGTACTCAGAGAAATTTGACAAATGGAGTCCCGTCAGCTTCAAGCTTTCACAAGAAGAAATCCAGTCAATCATCTCCACTGTGCCGCAGCAGATCATCAATGATATCAAGCAGGTGCAGGAGAATGTTCGAACATTTGCACTGGCTCAACGGGCCTGTATTAAGGACTTCGAGATGGAAATCCGACCTGGTGTGCATCTGGGCCACAAGAATGTCCCAATCAACTCCGTTGGAGCGTGAGGATCCCCGACCCCCTTGTGGAGACTGGTGATTCTGATTATGTGCAGTTATATTCCTGGTGGTCGCTACCCCCTCCTCGCCTCAGCCCATATGACCATTCTCACTGCCAAATGCGCTGGAGTTCCCCATGTCACTGCCTGCACCCCTCCGATCGCCGGAAAGATCCCGGCCAACACCGTCGCCGCCATGTACTTCGCTGGTGCGGATGATATTTATGTCTTGGGTGGTGTCCAGGCCGTGGCATCAATGGCCATCGGAACCGAGACAATGAAGAAGGTAGACTTCATCGCTGGACCCGGAAATGCCTTTGTCGCCGAGGCCAAGCGGCAGCTGTTCGGCGAAGAAATCGGCATTGATCTCCCCGCCGGACCAACCGAGATTCTGATCGTTGGCGACGAGCACGCCGATCCATTCATTCTAGCCACTGATCTCCTCTCTCAAGCCGAGCACGGCCCCGACTCCCCCCGCTGTCCTGATTACCAACTCTAAGACAATCGGTGAGAAGACTATCGCAGAAGTCGATCGTCTGCTCAAGATTCTCCCTACGGCCGACATCGCAGCTGTATCCTGGGATCGCCTCGGCGAGGTCATTGTTGTGGACAACCTCGATGAGGCATACAAGCTCGCAGATGAGTACGCATACGAGCATGTCCAAATCCTTACCAAAAGCCCGCGCGAGGCTCTGGAAAAGATGTCCAACTATGGAGCATTATTCCTGGGGGAGAAGACCTGTGTCTCCTATGGGGACAAATGCATTGGAACCAACCACGTCCTCCCCACTCGTGGTGCAGCCAGGTACACTGGCGGTCTGTGGGTTGGCAAGTACCTGAAAACTGTTACGTATCAAGAAGTTACATCCGAGCAGGAAAGTGGCGAACTGGGTCGTCTTTGTGGTCGCTCTGCACGTGCAGAAAACTTCGAAGGTCATGCTCGCTCTGGTGACGCCCGTGCTCATCAGTATTTGGGCGATCAGTTTGATTGGATCTAGTATAGCTTATCATTACACGTAGCTTCATGCATGTATGAGTCAAGAAAGAAAATTCTGCTTGTCTAAATCGATCTTTTACGCGATCCAGTAATGATAAGAGTTTTAAGTACCGAAGTAAAGAACGGAGACTGTTTTCCGATTAAAAATCTGTCTAGCGGTTTGTATCCACTTCAACCCACTTACTGAACCCCACGAAGCTGACAGTTTGCTTCTTATCTTATAACTTTTCGTTCTTTTTTTTTTTTTTTTTTTTTTTTTACCTTTCTGTTCTCTTTGAAAACACGACTGATATTCGATTCCTAATTTTCAGTCTCTAAATCAAAGTCAATGAACTTGTCATAAGTACACACGAATCTCCAAATCATCTGGGTTCCTAGCAAGTATGGCCCCAGCCGTGGGTTCAGGTGGAGACACCAAAACGGGCGTCTACACTCAATATGATGACCTGGGATCAACTGCTGCGAACACAAGAGCCAATTCCATGCTCTCGCTGTCAACGACCATTGCATCCACCAGAGGAAGCTTCGAGGATGGAAATTTTCATCGACAATCTCAAGATGGCGAGTTGCACACGATCCCCACTAGACCGCGTGGGAACTCTCATATGGGTGAAGCGCTGGAGAATTTGTCTCGGACGATGTCGAGCATGCCCGAGCAAGAAGGACATTTCGACCTCGGCATCGTGCAGTCCCGCCGCTCAATCAAACATATGCCCGGCCTGGCGGAAGAAGCCGGATCGCCGACTCTAGCGAAATACCAGGGCGTCCCACCTGAACTAGGCAGTCTCACGTCCGAGCTGATATTTGTATTTGTCTGCTCGGCCGGACTGATGTTTTTCGCTTTCCTACTTGGAGATATCACTGTGAACCAGATCACGCTGAGGCGCGCATTGGGGATCACTAATAGTCAGCTTCCATGGCTGCTGGGTGCCTATACACTCCCATTGAGTCTTTCGGTGATTATTTCTGGTTCGTTGACGGATCTGACCCCACCGAGAATGATCATGGTCGGTGCATTCGCCTGGTTGACCATTTGGAACATCGTCGGTGTTTGGTCGATTAGTCCGGAGAAGGTGATTCTCTTTTATATCGTTCGCGCAATGCAGGGTCTTGCGATCGGAGTGCTGGTCTCCGGATCAATGAGCATTCTTGGTCGTATCTATAAACCCGGTCTGCGGAAGAACAAAGTTTTCTCTGCAATGTCCGCCACATCGCCATTCGGCTTCTGGCTAGGTGGGATCCAGGGTGGAGCATTCAAATCCTGTCTATGGTGGATCTTTGGATCTAATGCGATCATCTCGGGCATGTGTTTGGTAGCCGCTTACATGGTAATCCCACCTCTTCGTCCAATGGCCGATATCGCCGGCACCGAAGCGCCCTCGATTCGCCAGTTTGATTTTCTTGGAGCGGGAGTTGCAGTCACGGGCTGCGTGTGCCTCCTTTTCGGTCTTACTCAAGGAGCCGTGGTCGAGTGGACCCCCTACACATACGCACTCGTCATAGTCGGGATTCTCCTATTGATCGGGTTCTTCTTCGTCGAACGCTGGGTTGCACGCCCCTTAATCCCTAATCGACTCTGGAAGACAAAGGGATTCACACCACTCATGATTGCCTATTTCCTAGGCTACGGGGCTTTCTCCGGCTGCTGGCAATTCTACGCGATTCAATTTCTGCTTCGAATCCAGGGACACAGTCCGCTTACCTGTGCTCTTTATCTCCTCCCAAATGCCATCGTTGGGGTTCTTGCAACGTGGGTGGTGAGTAAGACTCTTCATATCGTCCCCGGCCATTATATTTATTTCACCGCCATGGTCGCCTTTGCGCTGGGCCCGGCATTCTTCCTCCCACAGAATGCTGGTACAAGTTACTGGCCGCTTTCTTTTCCGGGAATCGCTCTCGTGACATTTGGACCTGATCTATCGTTCGCGGCAGCATCAATCTACATTACGAGTAATGTGCGTCGATCCTACCAAGGGAGTGCTGGTAGTCTGCTCGTTACGATGCAGAATTTGAGTAATGCTGTTATGACGGCTGTTGGGGATGCCATTGGAAATAAGGTTGCTAAAGATGCATCTGGGAGTATTGGTTTAGAGGGACTTCGAGCTGTCTGGTGGTTTGCTTTGGCTGCCGAGGTTGTTGCTGCCCTGATCACTCTAATTTGGGTGCGGATCCCGAAAGAAGAAGAAAAGGAACATGTTACTTAGAACTTGGCTATAGATTCTAGATGAGATAGATGGACCTTGGGATTTAGATGAGTATTGTCACGAATAATGTCATATGATATCTGCACAGACTGCCTGTGACTTGTTAAGGATGGGGATTCTGAAATATTACCTTACAGTATTGAAATTTACAGTACAGACTTCCGAATCCAAAGTGGATCGCGACGATATCCTTGAGATATCATTGGTTATAAAGATGAATATCTTCGTTAAGCCCTGCGCCATGTCAGCAGCCCGCATTAGCGCAGTTCCAAGATACACTTTCCACGACTATATACACATTCCTTCGTTACTGCATTAAAATGTCGTCTATAAATATCGAAAAATCAACTTCTCCCCCCTCTTGGCTCGCCACGCATTCGTAGAATTCATCAATTCCGGACATCCCCTTACAACCCACTGCCACTTCTTCAAAAATGCTTCCGTGAGCTCCCAATTCCGAACGTCCCAGGGATCCCCCCAGACTAGAAGCCCCACGTCTTCCGACGAAGCATTCGTCCAAAACCCCATAATTTCCAAACATAATTCCTCGTCATTCCACTCATCTCCTGCTTGGATCAGGTTATCCCGCATCTTGGGTATAGGAAAAAAATCCAGCCAAGGATGATGAGGGATTGTTCGTTGAATTTTGGTCGGCCGGAGACTAACAGGTAATTGAATCTCCGCAGTCTGGTTAGGCGACGATTCGCCTATGTTGGGGGGTGGAGAAGGTAAGATTGTATTGAATCTTGAAATTGCGTCATCGTTCATCTCATCCAAGTCCGTGCCAATCAGTCGCATATTGTGTCCGAATGCGCGGAAAACATTGAGTTTCGTCAGCATGAGGAGGTGGTCTGGAGCAGGAGAGCCCAGCATGTAGCTTTGGTATGCGGCTTTTGTGAATTGAGCGAGGAGTAGGTCTCGTGTATGAGGCGATATGCATCTCCGCGCCTTGAGTTCCTGACCGCCTTGGATGACCGATTGGGTGGTTGATGGTGGGGGTGTTGGGTAAGAGATCACTAGACTCTTAGGATGGATATCTTTATCTCTAGTTTGGACGCGCTGGCGTCTCCCTGTGCTACGTAAGCTTTGTGTTGTGTTTGTGCAGTGTTGGTGAACGTACGGTGGGCCCGCTGGTTGATTCGATTTTGGCGTCTTCGTCGTTCTGTTGGATCGATGGTGCTGACCCAGTCATCTATTCTCTCGTCTGCAGGGACCGGGACCATCGTGGATTGTGGAAATTCAGCCATTGTGTTGGGGTAGCAGGTTGCGTGCCAGCGTCAGCGGTTTGCAAGAGAAAGGATGGGGAAGGCGAGTTCTTTTAAGATGATCTCGATCGATCTTCGCCTGCCAATCAGATGATTGGCCGAAGACCCACCAAGTTTTCGAAGTTACGAACATTACGGGTATTGTCAGATGATGTACGATACACGTCGATAAAGATGTTTACTGTAGTTGTGATCTACTTATGTGCCACATTTTACTAAGAGCAACCATCGCATCCTGTAGCTCAACCAGATCATTCCAGGAGCTAGGTAGAAATAGTGGCTGGTAGAAAGGGGCGGTCCAGGTGTGTTCCATACTGACGCACTATATAATACCTTACAGATCTGAATAGCGACCTTGATTTAGACCGTTTCATAGTCAACACAGATACCTTACTGATAGTGAAGATACTCGACTGAGGTGAGACAATCAGTGCCTCGGGGTGGACAACACTGTTTACTAGTCAATCTTGATCCTAAACTAACCATCAGGGCGTTGATAGTGATGCTGTTCCTGTCGAACGTGGAAAGTGTGTAGATTTCTCTCGAAATGATAATAAATCTTTGAATAGCAGGGTATCAATCGCAGCAGATGGTCGTTTCTTCCATCTGTGCTGCATGCACATCAATGCCAACCGTAACCACCATCCAATCACATAAGAACTTGCCTAGCCCCGCTCCAATGAAAATGCAGATTATCACATAAACATTAAAGTACATAGCCAGGAGCATAGTAATATAGGCTCCGGCGAAGGTCACCGCATGTAGGACAGCGCGAATGCACTGTTGAAATGGTGTCGCTCGAAATGTGGCGGATTCGCCCACACGAGTCTTGGCAAAGGTGGCATGCGCGGCTTGGCGCTGGAACTGGCGGATCAAGAAGTTGTCGTATTCGCGAGACATGCGGCGACAAAATTCGACCAGAATGACGAGCAGCATCACCCCAATGCAGGTTGCAGCAAACATTCCATTATTTTGGATCTGCCATCCAGCCGACAGGAAGCAGGCGTCTGTGGTGTAGAAGTTGAACAGCATCTGGAATTCATAAGCGAACCACTCGGGCCAAGAAATTCGCCTTGGCACTTACCGAGATTTTGCACTCGGTGCTGTCACTTGAACTCATATCCATGATGAGGATATGGCGGAAAAATGGACGAGGATGATAGAATGGGTCCGCGTAATGGTGAATATGTGTCGAAGATACCCCCGCGACCTTATAGCAGGTTTGGTATGTTGCCAATCCTCTTGAAGCGTAGACCAAGTGGAGCACTTGGACTGCGGAAACCGCCATGGCGTTTTAAAAATCTGCTCAAATGGCCTCAATTGATCAATGAAAATGTTCGCGCGTCAAATTCCACAAAATGTCACTCCTACAAGAGCCCTCAGTCTCCTCGGACAAGAGACGATAACAATAACAACCGCCATGCCCAATACAACCCCGAAGCTTCCCCTGTCGCATAACTGAATGGTACCATTCTGTTCCGGCTAATTGTTTTTGCACTTGGAATTGAAGTCGAACCCCAACCTCCACCGAATTGAGGCGTGTAATGCACACGACACGACATTATTATACGACACCATGACTTTCGCGAAGCTTAATCCTCGTCACATCCAAAATTTCAGCGCTGCCACAATATTAGAGCCACATTGGGGGTATGCAGATCGCGCCCTACCATGTACCAGCGATGCCGGCTCTTGTGCTTATCTGGATGTCGTTTACGCATCCCACGACCGGGGGATGCTGTACAGTGGCATTATGTGGTGTGCCATAGGTGGCATTCTCCTGATATGGGCTATCTATCACCAGGTAGCTTCATCGGCTAATTATTCAATCGCGGCTACTTCTTATCCATGTGGGCTTCGCCGGGTTAAAAATACTCTTGCTGCCTTCTCCCGCAGATATCTCTTGCCTGATGCAGCCCGCGTAATTTTTGGACGAACAACGCGGCTTCAGGTTTTAGTCCTCACTCTTCTGGTAGGCTACCTCTTGATCTTCAGCTTCGTTGGGATCTCTTACCACACTTGGACCACTCCTGTGTCATCTGTGCCTGGCCTTTACCAGACTCGCAGCAGCATTGGGCCCTGGGCAGATCGCGTTGGCATCTTCGCATTTGCTCTAACCCCACTTTCCGTCATGCTGAGTAGTCGGGAGTCCTTCCTTTCACTAATCACCGGCTTACCGTATCAAAGCTTCAACTTCCTCCACCGTTGGCTTGGTTACATCATCTTTGTGCAAAGTTCTCTCCACACTATTGGCTGGTGTATAGTTGAGCTGAGACTGTACCAGCCACAACCATCCGTCGGTATTGAGTGGATTACCCAAACATACATGGTTTGGGGCATTGTTGCCATGATATTGCTCCTTCTCCTCTTCGTGCTGAGTACACCATGGGGCATCAAATTCACCGGATATGAGACTTTTCGCAAGCTTCACTATGTCCTTGCAATGGTGTACATCGGTGCATGCTGGGGCCACTGGAAGCAATTGAAGTGCTTCCTGCTACCATCTTTGATCTTCTGGTTTCTGGATCGAGGTGCTCGTTTCGTGCGCACCGCAATTTTACACCAACGTCTGGATCACCCTGGGATATTCGCTTTGAAGGCCGTGAAAGCAGCTTTGACTCGGTTCCCGGATCAGGAACACGGGGACGTTATTCGTCTGGATTTGGACAGCGCCCAGGACCCATGGGCCATTGGCCAGCATTATTATTTGTGTTTTACTCAGTCCAGTATCTGGCAGTCCCATCCCTTTACCCCCCTCAATGCACCGATTGTGGAAAAGGGAAAAGTGAAACATTCGTACCTTATCCGGGCAAAAGGTGGAGAAACGAAGAAGCTTGCCTCGCTTGCTGCACAGGGCAATCTTGAGACTCCAGTCATCCTCACAGGCCCATATGGTGACGATATCACGAGCGGATTAACGCCGCAAACCAATATCATCTGCATTGCTGGCGGTACTGGCATTACATACGTCCTACCTGTGCTCCTCGAGCTTGCACGGCAACCAATCCAACCAACTCGAAAGATTGAATTGATCTGGGCCATTCGTCATGGCTCTAATACTGCTTGGATTGGCCCAGAACTAGACCTCCTACAAAAAGCCCGGAAAAGTTCGAATCTCCATATCAAGATCTTTGCGACTAGGGATGTCAACAGCATGCCTCCGTCAATCAATGACCATACGTCCTGCAACTTGTCCGGTTTAGACATGGATGAAAAGATTATCGGCGTTTCACAATCCTCCCTTTCCCCCACATCCTGTGATTGTGAAAAACCTGCACCAGTGGAGAAATTAGGCGGAGGAAAACAGGACGGTGGCAAGCACCCGAATTTATTGAATCTGGTCAACAGTTTCCTGCAGGATACAGTAGAAGGTCCAACAACGGTCTTTGCTAGTGGACCGGGCGGTATGATAAGTGATTTACGAGATATCATTGCCATCTGTAACTCGGGCCCCAAGGTTTGGAAAGGGAAACAGAGGTTTGATGTTAATCTTGTGTACGATGATCGTCTTGAATGGTGATAATCTTTTGAAATGAAACAACTGTTTAAATTCATGAACTGATCTTAATTAAAAGATATTCGTGGACCATATGCATACAGTGCGTGGGAAAAAGGGATTTCATGTGCGTCATAGCAAAGCGGATCAAAGTGTGGATATAAAGCCCCCAAATCGAGCTGGTAATGGCGCGCCTTTCTTGGCCGCAAAAAGGGAGCATAAGAAAATCGTCAACGTACTATTCGACAAGGACTAAACGTCAGGGCCTTGATTTCAAAAGAGGAATCGCAATATTTAAGGCCGCAAAGAATGAACGGAGTGAGATTTGCAATATTATGTTTCTCATTCGGAGTCAATGGATGATTCGCAGTGCCAGATGGGAATGGATACTAACGCTGAGTACGGCTATGACAAAGTTGTGAGAATGCTCCTACTTCGCGGGGTTAACGAAATTATATCGATAGTGACAATGAACAAGTAGTACAGCGGCTTTGTTCATTATCAGGATTAGAAGACATCCACAAAGGAATCTTTATCGTGCCTCGAACGTATGAAAATAATCTTGTCCCACTCAAATGTCTCTCAAGCCAGACATGGTCTTGTTTATATAATGTCTTTTAATAGGAAAATGTCTCTAAATATTATGGAAAAATAGATATTGTGATAGTTACATGGCAGGTGCTTAATTTCAGGCATATGAACAGTAAGGAGAGATATGATCCATAAAATCAATGGTCCTAGTCAGCGTAATAGCGGCTCCGAATAGAAATTCGTATCATCGGTGACTATCCATGGCTCGCTTCGGGGATCCTGTGCTATTCACAAATCGGCTTGGATCATTTCAAATCTATATAGTTATTTCTCGACGAGGAGAAGCATTTTTTGAATAATGGCACATCTTTTGTATATGCATGTCTCGTTTTGTATGTTAAACAAACCTATCCCCTTTGCTGCTCGAACGGGATCAGACAGTTCGTGCCAGAGATGTATCATTCCTCCCATCTGTTCACGCCGGCTCTATCACGAACGAAAACGGATATTATAGGAGTCTGATAAAAAAAATCAAATGGCCTACATATCACAGACTATAGAAGAGAGCATAGTTTCCCATCAAATCTTCGAAAGCATCAGGAACCGACTGCTCTGAGTCCAAGCCATTTTGAGATCGAGAGAAGCCGCCAGTATCATGATAGGCCCCATTTAGAAAAAGCTGAGAGCCCAGGCAGGCGGAAGAGGAACATTCAAGGGCCGTTGGACTTGTGGTTGTGGAAAGAGCAGACCCAGAGTGCTGTCGTTCTATCATTGCTTGTGGATATAATGATGCTGAGCCAGGGCTATAGCTATGGCATATGGAGAAGCCTTGCTGTGTATACCAAATTGGGCCATGTGCAGTTAAAGGAGGGTTTGGTGGATGGTCTTTACAGGCCTCGGAGAAAGACTCTGGTTTTTTTGTCTGTGAGGAAGACCCACCGCATGAAGGTAGTTGCTTTGGTTTGGCTTTTTTGGAGGTAGGACCTTTGTCGACTGAGATATCTGTTTGATTACGCTTGCCCGGGCGGATGACTCCTTCTGCTGAGTCTGGTACATTCGATCGGGAAATTGAAATTATGGTCTTGCCATCTGGAACTAGCATGAGTCCATGATATCATCATATTTACTTGCAGGAGGAATATTACCTATAAACCCGTCCTGGAACTTCTCCTCTGCCTCTCTAACCCGATAGACTTCGTCTAATAGCCTCAAGCGCTCTATGGGGAGTATTTGCTTGCGGATATGCTGTTCTGCTGCTTTCAGCTTATGGGCGGTAATTCCATAGCTAGTGCGCATTTCGCATAGGATGTAAACAAGAAGTCGGATGCGTTCTTTCACTCTCTCGGTCATCAGTATTCTGGAGAGGTGTAGGAGCCAGGAGGGGAGGAGGAATGGAAACAGGATTTCTCTCACCGGCCTTAGGGAGATGATCTGGCTCTCGGTGGCTCACCCCAGTCGGCCACCACGGTGGCTTGGTCTCATTGGGGTCTAATTGATGGGTCTTCCCAGCAATAACCTTCCGCCCATTGTACGGGTAAGTTACCTGCTTGCGAGGCTCAATCAGCTTGACGTAAGCTTTTGCTAGGACGCGACAATTTGTCTGTTGAAAGTTTTCCCATATTTTCTCATAGTACCGATGCAAAAAGCCCTTGTCTGTGATGGAAATAAAGGCTTCTTGATTGCTGCTTATTCTCGTCCGCCTGCTGTACGGCTTATTTTGGTGTTGTGGCCTTTGTTCTGGTTGGATAGGAGGCCTAGGGATCATAGAATCCTGCACATGACCTCTAGTGCTTCTACTGTTTGTGACGTGATGGTCATAGCCTATCTGTGCAAGGCAAAAGACGTGATCAATGACAGTCTGACGAGACGGCGTCTGTGTTGATATCTGCGCCGAAGCGACGGGATCGCCTGCACACTTTCGAATTAGAAACCACCGCCAGGCTAGCCTTCCTGGGGTATCATGTCACTTACATAAGGGAATTAGCGGCACAAGCCCTGTTGACTGGGTAATAGCCCTGAAGAATTCATCTTTGACCCGTGGGGTGAAGATAGTATCGCGACTATCCATAAGAGATTGGGAAACCTCATGACGGAGGTTTCCGTTTTGATCGATATAGATTAGGGCAAAATGTGAGGATTCTAGATCCTCTACCTGCCGATTGAAGGGCATGGTTTTCAACTCTAGGCTCAAAGGTTATCAGTTGAGCGTTGAGACCGAAATGTTGCCAGCGGTGGAGAGAAGAGAAATACGAAACATGCACTGATGAAGATGGGTACAAAAGAGGAGAGCCGGTTAGTCGCTTGGAGCCCCACCAGGAACCAGTCTTTCAAGGATCTAACAATTTGTAGCCGATCCCCTTAGATACCGCCACATTGCCGCTAGGCACACACGCATAAGGGAAACGTTTTCCTGCAGGATTTTGCTTGTAATTAGCCTAATACACCCGCCGCAAGCTAGTTGTCGTGATAGGATCTTGTGTTTTGACATCCACGTCTTTCCAGATGAGCTTTATTCGTCCCTTCTCATGCCGCGTGATTTGTAAGTGCTACTTGACAACCGACATTCAATCTTGTCTGACGAAATAGGGAGCTGCAAAAACATTTCTTGAATACAGGAAAATGTATATTAAGGCTTTCCCCATTTTCTAGTAGGGCTTAAGGGCTTACAGAGCCTTACGACAACTAAGAGAGAATTCCTCATTGGTCGTTGTTTCCAGCGCTATACATTCTCATGAAAAAAAAAACAGAGACCAACCGGAGGATACCGGGGGTCCGGGTTGACCACGCTAGGCCATCCCTTTCTTGTTTCGCTTCACAGTGAGAACCACGGACCCACATCGATCTCTTAGCTACCTTGGTGCAATATCGCATCCATCCAGGAAGGAACTTGTCGAAAGCCGCCAGGTACATCGGTGTTTAGCATCGATACATGTTTCATTCTCGTAATAAGATTCACTCCATCTGTAATAATCAGTTCTATCTTGTGGCTTTCCAAGAATGAAAGTCATTTGTAATTTCATACGCCACTCTTTTAATGCCAGCGGCGATCCCTCTCGGGGATCCATGGTGCTGGATCGAAATAAAAAGTCAACAAAGAAGCACGATAGCTGACCGCGGCATAATCAACGCTAATTCGTCAGCTGAACGGGGTTTGTGCGAGGCCCTAAATCCAGCAGCTGCATATGATTGCGATCCGGGAAAATGAGCCAAGAGAAAGGCTGTATGATGTAGTGGTAGCGAAAGAAGATCGACCCCAATTTCCCCCATTTGTTCTGGTAAACCTTGAAGAGTTTTAGTAGTGTTAAGATGATATAGAGGTAGACCTTGGCGAGAAATCAGTGGCGCCTGGAGGCAGCAGCTGAAGCATGTCGAGGCTGACTCATGCTTGGTTGTAATATTGGTTTAGTGTGATCTAATTGTGGTTCGACTGGGAGATTGTCCTTTTCCAGGCTACTCAATCCACTTCGTTCCTCTGTCTACATAGCTGTCTAGCCGAAGTTATGGCCCACTCAAAGAGGCGCAGGCTGTGGGGAAAAAGGAAGGCATAAAAAGAGATGAGTGGCGGTGCTAATCAAACCTTCCAATCCTAGAAAGGAAGGGGACATTATGTAACTAGAAGCAGCTACTCCAAATATGTAGGATCTTACGTACGGTCGTCGCTTCTCCCCGCGATCGAGATCCAAAGCCACCACAGGAGACGAGTTGCTTATCTCAAATAGGAAATTGATTGATTTTTAACAAGGCGTACCGTGGCCTAATCGTCCGTACTGTTCGTTACCGCAATGACGCGCGGCTTCAAAACTATTGTGATGTCCTTGCTAATCCAATACAGCTTTTACTGTTAAACTTGCCTTTCCCTAATAGATCGATCAATCATGTCGTCGACAAATAGCCCCATGGACAGGGGGTTAGGATATTTATTTTAAGACAAGAAAATTTCGGAGAGCATGGTGCAGCCCAGCCATGGATCGAAATGTGGATATGTGGGAGCGACTAAGGGTGGGATTGCTCATTTCAGGAGGCAAGCAAGATCTGGATATCATATCTGTTTTATCGATCGATCCTGCGGCTCACTTTTGTTCGTCGGGTTTCGGCAATATGTCGGAGCCGAGTGGGTCGGCTTCGAGCCCAGGTCTTTAGCGCGAACCCCCAAATCCTTCTTTACGTCTAATTGGTGCACCTTACTAAAGCACTCACTATTTACGCTGAAATGCATCGCAGATGGAGCCTTGAACTGAATTTTTGCGAAGGCACTATCCTGGTGGTTGCGTAAGAGGTTATATCAAACTTGTGTATGCTATAAATCATATATAAATTATCTGGAGCTTCCGAGGTCGCTCAGCTTACCCGCGATATGTATAATATCATATACATAACCTGTTATCATCAGTTAATGTTGAAACAAATTACAGTACTCTCTTGCGTTTCAAACATAAGGGCATGTAAAAATATGCCTCTCCGAATCTATCTTCGACACCCCTAGACCGAACCCTTAAATAATCGTTGGTAGGTATGAAATGATTTGCGAGATAGCTAGTATTTTCCGCTATGAATTGAGGCCTGGAGAGCTCAAACCTCATCGCTATTAGGAATTTTTAATTCATTGACATCCTCCTATACACCAAGTCATAAAAGCCGGAGAAGGATCGAACGTGACAATGTGACAAAATCAAATGAAAGAAAAAAAGAACTGCGAATATTAAGAATGTTTCAATGACTGATTGGAAGTCGCTCCGTGCATACTCTAATACGGTGACGATTTATGATGACAGTCAGCTTTCAGTTAGAAAGTCAGATTTTAGTAATTACCAATTCATTCGTGATGACGAGGCACCCAATTTTTGGTGTGGAAGCGAGCATTCTTTTGATGCCCACCTTTTCGCTCTGCACTGATTTGCTGCCGAGTGGGAGATTTGGAGAGATTGGAGCAAGGTACCAAAATTTGGCAACTGCCTAGTATTCTGAAGTCGTCCTGTGAGTGTCATATAAAGCCAACCGCTTCCAATATTGCGGCATTTGACGAGACATCGCATACTGAGGAATGGTAGGGCGTCTGCGGGGTTCCGATCGTTGCATAATTCTATAGTCTCAGTCCTATGGTTACCTGGCATCAAGGCCATTGAAGTCATAGAGTCCAGATTTGTAGCGAACGTTAAGACCCAGGTATAGAGAAACATTGGATTATGTGATACCGGTTGGTGTTGCTCAAAGCTCTCCCTACTTTGCAAGATAATTTGTGGCACCAGTAATATATTGGCTCGTGTAATTGAAGATATTGAACCTGATGACATTGCTCGCTCAAATTGGGCCTGCATGTTTGATAGCAGCCCTCCTCAGCGCGGAGTATCTACCATGAGGTTGGTCCATCTTTCCTATAGTTCCTTCTGAAGGTATTTGGGTTTTTTTGTGGAGTAGGAGAGAAATTAGCGCCGCAATAAATCTTGTGACATGGATGACAGGAAGAGCAATAGATAGAGATATTTACTGCATTTCCTCACGGTCTTGACGCTCAGTGGGCAGGTGGGCAAAAAATCGGCATCAGGGCTTTCCCGGCTGGCAATCGCTAGTTAAGATTCCCGAGCAGAAGTAGGGATCTCGGAATTATTGACTGTTGAACTTAGCTTCTGGCTTAATGGGAAAATAATCTCACCAGAGGCTTGTAGGAACTGATTATCTCCCATATATTTTGGTTGGAATATCAGTACATTGTTTGTCCAGATGGTCGGTCGGTATGGTGATGGCCATTATCTGGTATCGGCGGAGAGCCAGTCAAATTCTATTGTCAAATTGTGAGTCCCTAGAATGAGACTGGATGATGACAAGCAGGATTATAAGTAAACTTACATTACTGGGCGCTGGTGATCGAGCAGTAGATTTCTATTGATGACTTATCCTAGGCCGAGGATGCCGCTTTAAGGCCAGACGGTGCTTTCGTGCAGACCCTTTTAGGCACTTGAATACCATATATGCAAGCCCAGCGATAGCGTCTCTGATGCATCCACTGTATATAGAGTGGGGAATGCATTATTTTGAGCATGGAGCAATGCCAGATCCCATGGCTTTCCAGATTTTTGTCGATTTTAGCTCCACAGAATGAAGTTGAACTCTTTTTTGTTGAGGCTCCGTTTATTTGCACCGTCAAACTCCCGTCCTCGAGTTGACAATCGTCCGGAGAACCTTGAGCAGGAGTGCATGATACCTAGGCTGGACCAGTTCTTGCTTGTGCTCCGCCGAGATATCGCTTTACTTAGAAGACCGAAGGTCGCTAAATTTTCGTTTAGACAGACCATCGTGTAGTGCCTTATGGAGTCGTCGACGTTGGCAAATACACATTACCAGGGCATTAGAAGAACTAACTGCCGACGGCACCCACACGGTGCGAAAAATCTGTCAGAAGCGGAAAAGAGGAGGGGAGAAAGAGAGCGTAAGGCTATATGGCATATCGAGCTATGATAAGATATGGAAGGAAGAATAGTGCTATCTGACAGTTAAGCGCCAAAATATCCCGGGGAACATTATATGACTCTAACAAAACCATAGCTTTCGAAAATGTGAGGCACTCTAGCTTTTCATTTGTTTCTAACAAGTAGCTGGTTGGTGGGACTTACCTGTGTCCCAATGGAGAAGTGTCGCCCTGGCGCTAGTGCAATGCTCTGCACGGTGCAACAGAATGTAAAAATCCATCCCACTTGTTTAAAGATTTGTAGGATTGTGGAACTTGAATAGATTTGAAATCCCCCAATGGAAAACCAAATATGACACGAATACCACGGCAATTATACTAAAGACGTTGCTTGGAATCTCCAGACAGAAAAGAACAAAACAATCAAACAGATCAATGAACTTTTCGCTCTACACGCAAGTGTATGTTCCACGGGCTCTCAGAACTTTGCATCAGCGGCAATAATGACAGCAGCTTTCTCCGCAACTGCATAAACTGTAGCCTGAATATTGCCTCGAGGGATCAACGGGAAGATGCCAGCATCAACAATACGCAGATTCTCGGTGCCGTAAACCTTCAGTCGAGAATCAACAACACCACCCATTTCACGAGGCATCATAGCAGTGGAGCCGGCCACATGATAGTGGGCAATGATTCTCTCGCGTGATATCTCACGGGCGGCCTCAAGAGTGAGGTTAGCAGATGATTTCTGGAGGCGCCGACCGTCGACCTTCAATAGCGAAGCCATGGGCTCGGTCCAGGCAAGTGTCTCCAGCCACTGTACGTGGCGGGCATGAAGCTCCAAATCAAGTGGGTGCGAGAAAAAGCCTGGGTCAAAACCTGGGTTTTCTTTGGGGTCTGGGGAGAGAAGATGGACATTCCCACGAGAGAAAGGACGGTTAAGTACGGAGACAATACTCAGATAGCATTCCGGCTCCGTCATGCCGAAAATCCCTTTCGGGGTTGGGCCCTTCTCGGGCAAGATCTGGAAAGGTGCCAAAGTGTACTGACCGGTAGGCTCATTTTGGTCCTCAACCATCTGCCGCAGTACTTGGTACTGAGCCTTCAATCCCGGCGATAAATCTTTGTCTTGAAGGTTTTCGTCCAGCACCTTTTGTAGCTCACCATCCATCAGCTCGGGGAGAGTCATGTATGAAGACACCAAGGGGCAGAGGCCAAGAGGCCCGGCTCCGGATTCTTGCCAGGCCGCCATGGCCGCACTAGCGAATTCGGGATTTCGGAGAGCCTCACTAGTGATCTGCCCTTCGGCGACTTCCCAGCTGAACGGAACAAAGCCGTGTTCCTGTAAATTTTCTCCGACATTGGCATTTTCGACAATAGGCTCAATATCGTGCGAACGAAGAAGGGTACCGTCACCAACACCAGATAGCTCGAGCAGATGGGGAGTCTTGATGGCACCCGCAGCCATAATAACTTCGCGCTTGGCGTTGATAACTCGCTGGACACCATCCTTACCCGTGAAATGAACACCGGTGGCCTGAGCATCTTCTGCGCCTTTTTTCACCAGAGCAACCTTCTCCACGAAAGCTTCCGTGACGACCCTCAAGTTCGATCGTTTGGCCACCTCCGTGTTATAGTATGTGACACCAGCATGGCTACGGTGCCTAGTAGTTGGGTGGATGGTACCTGGGTTGCAGTATGCGCCCTTGCATACTCCCGTCATTGGGTCTCCGCTAACCTTGTGATTGAGATTCTGGAACACTTTGGGCCATGCTCCAAGGAAAGAATGGAAGGGTCCATCCCCGAAAGAAATCTGGAGTGGGCCTGATTCACCTTGAACAGATGGATCGATATAATCCAATGAAAGTTCCTTTTTGATCTCCGCTGAAGGAGGAGTGAATGCCTGCGACTTTTTCAAGTATTGAGAGACCGAGTCCCAGTTCCAGCCTTCGTTGCCAAGTTTCTCCCAATTGTTGATATCGTTTTGACTGGGGTACATAGCCATTCCAAGGTTGATGGCCGAAGATCCCCCGAGTGTTCGGCCACGTGGCTCAGCAATGCATCGTCCATTAAGACCTTTCTAACCGGAATAAAAGCACTGTTAGCGGAAACAGACGTTGACAAGATATGGAATGGGCGATTGTAATTACCTGAGGCTGACTTGTGATACACCAGTCAAAATCAGGGTCGAAGTAAGTGGTTGCTGCCAGACCCGGAGCTGCAATTCGAGGATCCTCAACCCGGTTGCTTCCTGCTTCAAGTACAAGAACACTCCATGTGGGGTCTTCCGTCAGGCGACTGGCGACAACCAAGCCAGATGTGCCGCCGCCGACAATAACATAATCATATTCCTGGTTGAGGTCGACAAGAGACGAGGTATCGATTGAAGCCATACTTTGCAGTTCGTAGAGATTTGAGACGATAATCCTAAAATGACAATGCACGGGCGCATGGACTTTGTACACTATCTATTGTTTAAGCACGGCAAAAAGGGCCCCGAGGAACTTTCGGCTATTCCCATTGACACTTCCTGTTCGAAGTCTTACTGCTGAGAACAGGAGACTTGCGGACGAATTAGAGGGTAAACGGATCGTCCAACCCGACTTCATTGGCCACTACTTGTGATGAGCTCCATTGGTTAAGAACGAGTGATCGTGAATGGCTAAGTCTTTGCAGATCCGTGAAATTAGGCCGTTGCGAGGGGAGCAATGGACGAATCACGATGGTTCATGAGATAACGGCGTGGGGCATCCGGGAGTCCGAACGGAACGAGAAGAGGTCCCCGAAACTAGAAAATCATACGATGTAAGCATCAACTCTAAAATGTAGAAAATGGAAACAAATTGCTAATGAATGATACAAAAGCCAGCTTCCATTAGGAAGCTCTTCACGATTGAGTCTTTGTCAGAAAACTGATTATAATGAGAGCTGCATCCCCTACTGTAACATCAACAATTACACGGGCCAGGTCGATCCACAACCCGCGCTATGTATTAGCGTTTACAAAAGGGTCATCACCCTCTTGCCCGATAGCGTACTACAGTAATGCATTGTGGATCGCTGTACGTAATCCTTTCACTACGGGGTGGTCAATGCGAAGCATGCGCTTTATTTGTTAAATAACGACCCGTATCCCTCAGCCTGTACACAATACGCGGCAAGGATTATATTTGTCTGCCGGCAGAGAAATATGAAAAACTAGCGGGGATTGTTCTTCATGATGACGGTCACGTACGCGCTAGAGACACGGTAAAGCGGGGGCCCTGTCCTTGTGGTGACGGTTCTGGAAATTTTGGCGACAATTACAACCGGGCTTCGATTTCACGCCCTGCAACTAAGACAGCTCCGTCTAGCAGCGCTTTTCCTGGCTCTAAGTGCCCTGTTTTGTTTCGCAGACTGCTCTGCAGAGTGTCTAGCGCATTACTAGGCTCAGCGCTAACAATTATTAGCCTGTTGTGTATGCTAATATTGCCCTTGAATATATTTGTATGCTTAGCGGATTTTCTTAAGTAGGTCTTACTTACACTTATACAGTGACTGTAATCAGTGGAGCAGGTCGTGATGTCCTTAAAATAGATTCATTGCCCGTAATTCTTACGCTGAAGGTGAGATATTTCTCATGCAGATCAAGAAGCCAACTCCCCAGACCCAGCGCCTACATAATAATCAATATATTCAATTTTGGTAGACAGTTTTACCTTTTAATGCCTTATATAGGTAGTTCTAGGACTAGTGAAGACATCAATCATAATCTTCTTTATGCGCATTTTTAGAACCAGCGCAGCTTCCGGATCTAAGCTACTATCACAACAATTATCGTTTAGGCGTGGTCAGCGAGTGTGATCCTTGAAACCTTATTATTGTATTGCCCCCTAAAGTACAGCTAGGACACCTCTATTAGTGGCACCTATAGCGATCGCAATTCAACGCATCTGCTTGTAGGAACATTAAACCTAAATACCAATATAATAGCCATAATACTCCCCTTACCTCACATTTGGAAGCTTCAACTAGGTGCCGCGGAAAGGATTACGTTGACTAGTGTTTTCTGCGTAGGAATTCTGGACATATATCCCCTGCCCCTCAATGATGAATAAAAAGATATAAAGCGTTGCTAACTAGCATGTTGTGATGGCTAAAGGGTCTCTACTATTAGCATTCTTCGCCTTCAATGCTTGCTGGACATAAACTTCGAAAACATTACGGAATCTGTTAATCTGGGCGTCATGTGGACTGTCGTTGAATCCGAATTCGCAATAATCATGCCTCTCCTCAATAAATCTTATCCACCATTGCTCCTACTCTATTCTCCACAGGTCGAAAAGAATACTACCAGCAAATATTCGAACACCTCCAAGATCAGCAAGGGTCGAATATCTACCCGATACATCGGTTAGATGAAGAGGCAGTTCATACCCATATCTGCACGACAAACGCAAATGAAAAACAAAGGAACTTGGCTAGAAATGAAGCAAAAGTTTGCGTTACCTCTCATCATGCCGAGGAGATGAACATGTACACTTCTTTAATAGCATCCGCGATGAGCTGCTCCATGCAGTTTCACTCGAAGTCGAGTAGCATACCCCCTAGGACTATAAGCGTGACCCAGAGAGTAATCTAATAAAAGTCATGTATATCCATATGTAGTACTAACCTTATTCAAGACCTTTATTTAAATCCTTCTATTGTGGAACCAGTATATCCAATATAATATTCACTCCCATCTGGAGGGTATTAATCACCTTGATTATCGTTTTCAGTGGGGTCCAATTACACGCTAGGAAAACAACCCGGGCAGAGGGAGAATTCGCACCTAACTGAATGATGCAAAGCTAGTTCTGCTGGAATGAAAGCCAGGTCTAAGTACTAAAACCTTCGAATGTATGGCCCCGGTTTGTATGTTTTGGTGGATGACATTCATCAAGCTCGCTGGCCACAGCCCCATGAGTAACCCGACCTACCTGTAGTCAACGAGCAATGGCTCTGAGGCATATCCGTAACATTCTTTTCGGGAACTCCGGCTCTTAGTGCGTTGGCCGCTTTGCTCCATCGCTATCCTCTCTAATCAGATATCAAATCCATTGAGAATCCCACGCGATTCGAAATATTCCTTTGCGGGAGCCTCATCTGTCCTAGCATGAGAAGCTAGAGTTATCGGCGGTCCAGAGGAAGGTAAGCTAGAAAGTGCTTGTGAAAAAAGGCGTGAAGCGGATGAGATTTCATATGGCTCTGGCTGGATATAGGAGGCACGCGATGGGCACTTCGCAGGAGGGTGGGAATAGACATGAACATTATCAAGGCTGTACTCATGGCGTCGTTACTATTGGCAGGAGAATGAAATACAATAAGACCAGAGATAAGGGAGGAGTCGAGCAGTGTATATAAGGTATTCACAATCAACACATCAAACGAGACCCAGCAACACTGCACAACGCGAAAGGATTTAGTTTCATACACGATGGTAATCCAGGGTCGATGCTGACGCTAGGCGACGAATAAATCTCATTATCATGTGATTTTAGCATCACCCATTTGGTTTCCCCATAGATCAAAGTTGACCAGTCAAATAAATTACATAGCACACAATGCGCACCGCATTAGGTGTCGATGGTAGATCCCGGCCACTCATTCCGACAATCACCAAAGTCACGTGGATGACATCACCACTTACAAAGATACTCATTCATCGTCCACCATGGAATGTGGAATAGCGCTAATTATGCATTTACTGGTGTCCTATGGCATTTTCTAAGGAGCAGATCAAGGCGATCGGGATTACAGAGCGTGTTGGCTCTTCGTTTTCACTACTCTGCTCGAGCTCGGTCATTGCCACCTTTTTCTTCACTGACCAATTCCAGACCCCTATCCATAGATTGTTGTTCTTCGCTACTTTGGGAAATGTGTGGTCAAATATAGGCATGCTGATTGCTTTCTCAGGGGTTTCTCGGGGGGAGAGTTCAGCACTTTGCCAATTTCAAGGATTATTGATTCAATGGTCGTTATCTCTACTCATATACCTCATTAGCCCTTGCTGACCATGGAATTTCCAGCTAGGTTTCCGCCTGCCGATGCCTTCTGGTCTCTTTGTATGGCACTCAATATATACTTGACGTGCTTTCGAAGATATGACATAGCGATGCTACGAAAGCTTGAGTGGAAATATTTCCTCTTCAGCTATGGCGTACCATTTATTCCAGCATTCATATTTCTATTCATCGAGACAGAGTCGAATGGAAAGATATACGGATCAGCTTATGTGAGCATGCTCGATGTTACAAAGTATTGCTAGGTTGATGAAACTACCTAACTCGAGTCTTAGATTTGGTGCTGGGTGACCATTGATTGGCGTGCTCTCTATCTTGCTGCGTATTATGTTCCTGTTTGGATTGCCAATGTTTTGACTATATGGGTCTACTTTAGGACAGGCTATAAGATTCTAAGAAGCCGGAAGCAGCTCCGAAGAATAGTCTTTGATGAAAATATGCCTCAGCATGATTTAGAAGGCACCCGTGGGTCTTTGGCAGGTCAAATCACGATGGTCGAATATTCCCACAGGGATCACGCGCGTCAAAATATTGAGATTTCAGGTAGGCTCACAAAATTTCTTCGCTATCTGGTCAGTTTAACATGGGAATCATATGCTTAGCATACTATTTACTGCGCAGAAAAGGATGTACAACTTGTTTTAGAGCTGACATGTTATAGGCGAAGAAATACCTTACGGATCTCATGAAAGCGATGGTTGCTCAGGGTCAAATATGCACGTCGCACACACGCAGACTGCGGTTTGGCCCTACGCAAAACGAGCTATACTTTTCTTTACGTCCATCGTAATCACGTGGGTAAGTTTTCAACCCTATTCTTTTGGTGAATACTCTCACTCATGGTTTAAAATGCATTTCAGGCTCCTTGTACAGTAAATCGTCTGTACTCCTACGCCCATCCGGACAATCCATCGTTCGTTTTGAATTATTTACAGTCGTTCTTTCTCCCCTTGCAGGGCTTTTGGAATTCCTGCATCTACTTGTCTACCTTTCCCTTTCTGTTCAAAAGATTTTTTTTCCTGAAAACTTTTAAAGTGATAGCATCTCGTTTAAAAAATGTGTATAAAGTCATTGGGCTTCTAGGCTCAATCTAGGGGTGTCGAGATGTTTTGATCTTAGCAGTATTCCTGATCGAGAAACATGTAGCTTAGAAATCCTTGAAAATTGTATATGCCGATATATATGTAAGCGATATCTGAAAGTCTTCGTAAAATGATGCTCGCGTGGTGATAATTAGCTTCGGGTTGTAGTTGAGAAGATGAAGCGTGCAACGGGGATCTTTCAATTCAACAGTTGGCAATGTAATGTTCGTCGTTCGGAACCCAAATTCACTAAGGTAGGAACTAGCCTTCATATGCTTTGCCGAACTATAAGGAAAGGAAGGCCGTTATTTGGATTTCTTGTATCCTATTGACTATTGTGCCTCATAGGGCGTTCTTTATCCCCGATCAGTAAAGCTTCGAGATATCGATCTACTAAGGATTTTGAGGTTCTACTATATAATGTATTCACCCGTTATTAAATCTTTATTTGTATTGATGAGTGAACCGCAGCTCTAAATAGGAGGATGCACAACTTTAATAGTGGCTAGGCATTAGAGACAAAATCGAGAGGACTGAAACCACACGATCGTCTCTCACCGCATTAATCGATATAGAGTCATGTCATTCAGTTGGAACTATCCCAATTAATATTACATCTATCAATTCTATGGCTTTGTGAGAAATCTTCGATAAATATGAGGAGTGCTTCTTAGATCGTAAGTTTATCTGGAACACCCGTCTAAGGCTATAACGTGCGTGAGGGATTCACCAGCTGCCCGCAGTCCCATGGAGCCATAACTCCTTATGCATGATTGAATTCTTTAATCTGAGATCTTTATGTAGACAACCTATATAGACTCCTAATTAAAAGATAATCTGGGCTGATATGAGTCTCGATAGCCTCATTAATAAGGTCTGATGTGACGCGAGAGACCCACTATTATTTAATTGACTATCCACACAAAAGCTATTCAATCTGGCCAGACCCATGTCATCACTGGTTGAGGCCTACGTGGTATTAATGAAGAAACGAATGTTTACCTTAACTACCAGTAGATGGGAGAAAAACGAGAAGAAAGGCAATTAATACCGTTCACAAGAAGTTCAGCGACTGCCAAACTGAGATGAGTGTTTGCTGAAGGAAAATAGTCGGCTGAGAAAGTCTATTTGCCCGGATATGGGCACAGGCTATATCATGTTAAGAAGAATCGATTAGATACTCTGCACTCTAACGTCTGATTGTACTATGGTATCCTCATATTCGGTCGTCAACATACCTACCTCTACCTAAAGTTGTCAGGCTTCACCCATCTACTTATCGGCCGAGAGCCGCCGGGCCGAAACCCGCACTTGCCTGCCGGATCAATGCGCGACCAGCAAAGTCTAAATCCGGTTCTCATTCTATCCTATCTTATCTATCCGTCTGGGTCCAGGTAGCAGTCATCACGTCGATGTCATACCTGATTCATTCCCGAGCCCGCTTTTTCCACTGGACGTATTTTTGGTAGCCTTTGGTACAAATATGCTTCATGTCCCCAGTATCTGTAGGTTAAATTTCTTGGAACAAAGGACCATCTAGCATAACTTGCCAAATCCTTTGGCACAACTAAGATGTCCGATCCGAACAATCCAAACATTAAGCAGAGGACCACTCCGCAGTGGTCTCTGTACCGTCGTGAAGCCTTCTGGAATTCAAACTACGGCCAATACCCTCTATTCAACACCGGTATGGCCCACCTCAGCATTATTATTACTCATCTAACGCTAATAAACTTGTCTTCGGTATTGCTGTAGATCCGGCCGAGATTGAAAGACTGGCTAAGGAAAAATTGTCACAAGGTGGATGGTGAGTTTTGCTATTGTATGCTCCGCGTCGCCTCCGCGTTTCGCTTACTTTTTCTGGAGGTATTATTCCTCGTGTAATGCGGGTGTGTCGTGGACACATTTAGCGAATCGACAAGCTTTTTACCGCCATCGTATCGTGCCACGGACATTGGTCGATACAAATACCAGAGACACAGCCGCGGAGATATTTGGCCATAAAGTGTCGGCACCGATTGGCTTCGCTCCAATTGGCATCAACCGCATCTACCACCCTACTGGCGAATTATCTGTGGCTAAGGTTGCCGAAGAGCTGAACCTTGCTTACTGTCTTTCTTCTGCTGGTAGTTATAGCATTGAGGACGTTGGAAAAGCAAACGGAAACGGGCCTCGTTTCTTCCAATTGTATCAAAGTCACGATGACGAGCAAACGATCTCCATGATGCAGCGTGCTTGGGACTCTGGCTTTGACGCGTGTATGCTTACCACTGATACTTGGTCACTTGGCTGGCGCCATAATGATGTCTTTACCGGCAACTATGCTTTCTATCATGAGCATGGAGCAGGTGACCTCGGTCTCCAGGACCCTGTTTTCCAGAGGCGCCTGAAAGAAGCCGGTATTGACCCGAAGACCCACCCAAAAGAGGCGGGTGCGAAATGGATCGACGAGAATATTTGGCACGGCCGAGCTCATACGTGGGAAAAAGTCCAGTGGACAATTGCTGAATGGAAGAGAATTAGTGGTGGCCGACCGTTCTGCATAAAGGGTATTCAGAGTGTTGAATCGGCAAGAAAATGCGTTGAAATGTTTGTCAATACCTTGGTGCAATTTCTCAAGCCACGCTAATTATCCAATCAGGGGCATTGATAGTATTGTCGTCACAAACCACGCTGGTCGACAGGTCGATGGCGCTATTGCGAGCCTAGATGCCCTGGAAAAGATTGTCGACGCGGTTGGAGATAAGATCTACGTAAACTTCCATGATATGATAATTTTGAATTTCGGCTAATCACTAACTTTCATTTCCAGATAATATTCGATTCTGGTGTGCGCAGCGCTGCCGATGCTTTCAAGGCCCTGGCCCTTGGGGCCAAATTTGTCTTCCTTGGGCGCCTCTGGGTATGGGGGCTCAGTATTGCCGGTGAGCCTGGCGTGCGCCATGTGATGAAGAGTTTCCTTGCAGAATTTGATATTCTGATGGAAGAAGCGGGCTTCCAATCGATCGACCAAATCGATCGTTCGGCTATTGATAGTCTCCCTAACTCTGCGAACCTTATCGCGGAGCATGCTCGTATCTGATCAGCAGGAAGTCAAGACATCTGCGTTTCTCTGTCTAATATAATCCAAACACCTTTTCCGCGTTCCTTTGGATGGAACAAAGAAAGGAAAATGGATGGAATAAAGAAAGGAAAAAGAGAGAAAAGAAATCAATAATTGCCCCTTCTGTACGTTTTCAGTGCCGCAGAGAAACACAAAGCATGCTCTGAATATTCCCTCCTTCCAGAGTTTTCATTACGACATAGCGTTTCAGACCAACCCGTGATCGAATAAGTGCATAGAAGTACACAACTTACAGTTTAAGGCCCTCTTGCAGAGATTATTAACAACATTAAAAGCCTTTCCCCCCTTGAGCAAAGCCATATCACGCGCCACAGTGCTCAGCCATTGGTTGGATCTTGACTTAGATGATCTATAACTCCCTGACCACTATGCTGGTTCGTTAGGGAATCATGTTACGTTTAGGGTCAGAAACTAGCAAAAGAAGTGGGGTAAAACAAGAAAACATATTTAGAGACGGTATGCGGCGGCTACATATGGACGCCGTAGTCAACGGTGAATGATCTACTTGTCTTGATGACCTCATGCCTAACGTAATTGAAATTATTCATTTCACTCTCACTACATATGGATGTTTTAGCTGGAAGAGCTTTATTTGATCACTTACCTCATCATTATCATCTCGTCTGTATTCTCTTTCTTAATGGCTCCACTCACCTGATGGCTCCACTCATCATCTGTCTACCTCCCCATACTATACTCAGTATCCTTGGATGTTCCCAGATGACAATTCTTTGATTAATTGATTCAAAAATTGCCTTACGAGATCTCCGCTCGCTCATACCATCTTCTTTTACAACTCCATTCGCCGTCCCTCTTCACGAATACAACGCGCACCATCGGTTGATCATCATACACAACGAAACAGCAATCGATACCCTAAAGTCGCAAACCCTTTCTCCCGAACTTGCTTATCACGATCCACTTGAAAAGCACCTTCTTCAACATGGCATCATCAACACCCTGGTTCCACCATGGAGCAATGGCTAAAGTTTTCAAGCTTGGTGAGGTTGTCACACTGCGCCGCCCACAGGAGTCTAAATGGAAGGTAGACAAGATTATCAATGAGCATGAACAGCAAATGGAGAAGGCTTACACCACCGAAATGGCGGTATCTTATGCTTCGATCAAATTTGCCTGCCACAAAGTCACCGATCCAAAGACCATTGGGATGATGCGAATTTACATGCAGATCCCCAGCTATGAAACAGACCGAGAGAAAGCAGAGACGCGAGCAAAGGAAGCCATGCCTGACTTCATTCATAAGGAGCTCAAAGCGTACAAGATGCTTAGTGAACATCCAAATGCAACGAGGTTCACTCCTCGCCTTCTTGGTTGGAAGGAAACCATACAGAAGGAGGAAGATGATTGGCCTGTCCCGGGCGGATTCCTCACAGGCTTTGTCTGGGAGTTGGTCTCTGGCCAGCGTCTATGGAACTACGATGAAGATATGAAATGGTTTCATGAAGAGACAGACCTCCCAGAGCGAAACCTCATCAGGAAGCAGTTTAAGGAAAGCTACATGTAAGGCATTTTAACACTCTGATCTGTCCATATGACTAACTCGGATGATAAATAATGCACTTGACTCTGTAGGTATTGACCCAAAGCCATCCCATCCTTCCAAATTAGTTTGGAACAGGAAATCACAGAGGCTGTAAGTAAATTACTATGTTCTATATCTATTAGGTGAGAATTACTAACCAACGGGACTTCATAGATATTGGGTTGGATTTGCAGACTGGAACCCTGCGACGCACGAGCCCTGGACCGATGTGTGGTATCAAATTTTTCGACTTGTTCAGGTCCCTCGGGATGACCAAACCCGTTTATACGAATGGGATGGAAGAACTGATAGGTGGTGCTGGTAGAGCGAGATTGCGACAAATGACTTTTTATGTTAAATCGAGTAGCTTTATATGTCTTTATAAGTATACGCACCATACCTTTTATGCCAGTTCTTCACTGGTTATTAGGTTACTATAGCTTAAGGTGGTTTTAAATTCAAATCTTATTTGCAGAAGTAAGTATATAAGCTTTTGAAATGTTAAATCTTATACTTCATTTCCTATAATCACCTCCTGAAATCTATTCTATTGTCTAAACTAATATTAGATAAATTATGTATAACACACTCTATTATCTAGATTAATATTAGAGCTATACGGTCTATACCCCTATAGATTTAATATATAGTTCTACTACTACTTCTTCTAAAATTTCTTTTCTTTTCTTTTTTAGCTATTATAAAGGTTTATATCTTTATCTAGTATTTTCTAATAAGGCTAGTACTATCTTAGTAGAAAAAGTTTATTATTAATATTACCTTTTATCTAGAGCTTACTAAATATATTATAATTTACCTATTTCCTTAAGGCAGAAATCATATAATACCTTAGATATCCTAAAACGGCACTAGATCACTTCTAATTTAGTATCTAGATTAAGAGTGAGCTCTAGGTTTACCTAGAGCTAGTCTATAACGAAGAGATATTTAAAGTAAGATTATTATAAACTATTTACTTAGCTCTTACTTCCACTATATTAAGGAAGAAGAAGAATCTCTCTCTTTTAATTCTTTCCTTTCTAAAGAATTATTTTTAAAACTAATATAATCTATATTGTCTTAGACCTTAAATCTATACTATATTAGTACTATTTTATATTCCTTTTAGATCTCTTTTACTATCTTCTTACCTAGCCCTTTTACTCCTGAAGAGAATACCCCTAGAGTTCTCTAGGAATTATATTATTATTAATATTAATCCCTATAGTATACTTATATACTACTCGTGTTATTACTCTTATCTAATTCAACCCCTACGACATTAGTCCTAATACTAACTTAGTGGCTACGAAAACCCGAAAACCCTATAAATCAATTCTAATATCTTTTTGCATTTCAGAACTATAGGGATAGGTAAAACTTATATAAACGATGATTTATGATGAGAAATAGATAATAGAATATCTTGATTCAAGCTTAAGTAACATCATGGGATGTAGTCATGACTTGTGAAGAGTGGTATTTCATAATTGAATAGAAATACCGAGAAAATTGTGATTTGTTTGTCCCCTTGACTACTTATTTCTCAAGCCCCTCTATGGTAGGATCCCAGTCAGATTCAGATGGCGAATAATCACCAGTATGCAGCATATTCATGTCGCCTGCATCCAGTTCGAAATCAAACACATCGGTATTTTCCATAATCCGCCTGGGAGTACACGATTTTGGTAAAGGAATGAACCCCTATGAGAGCCCCGAGATTAGATTGAGCACATTATACTAGGGATTTCGGTGTTCTTACCATTTGAAGGCTCCAGCGGATCAAGATCTGAGCCGGTGATTTCCCGTGCTTCTCACTCAATGACTGGAGTACAGGCTCAGTCATCCGAGTTCCTCTGACAAGAGGAGAGTACGCCTCGATGACCGTCCCTCGTCTCTTAAACCACTCAACCAGATCCGCCCGCGCGAGCCAGGGGTGCAGTTCGTACTGAGCGACGTCGATATGACCACCAACTTCGCTCTGGATGTAGTTTTCCAACTCCTCCAAGTGAGCAATACCGTAATTCGACACACCGATCAAGCGAGTCTTGCCGGTCTTTTGGGCTTCAACAAGCGCGCGCCATGTGCCTAGGCGTCCTTCCTTCCCTCCATATGGGGTGTGAATCAAGATTCTGCTGGCCATCAGTTTCTTGTACGTTTTTTTGTGGATGGGCTGCAGCTCACAGGTCGAAGTATGACGTTTGAGCCCTTTCGAGGCTTTTCTGAATACATTCTTTTGTAGCTTCATAGCCAACCCCCTTTCCTGCAAACTCTGGTAAGATTTTTGTCGTTAAAAAGACGTCGGAGCGTTCTAATCCTGCGCTGCGAACTGCTGCAGCACATTGCGCCTCGTTCTCGTAAAATGCAGCCGAATCAAACTGTGGGAATCACAAAATTAATACAAGACCTGCTACTAAGAAGTCTCAATAGCGTACATGGCGGTAGCCAGCTTTTAATGCTGTTTTGGTCACATCTTCTGCGACATTTTCTGGGCTGGTGAATATTTAGTCTCGCTATTCCAGTTCACATATATTTTACATACACTTCATATAGCTATAATCGACATCAGAACGGAACATTATCAATATCGTGGTACATAGCCCACTTACACCATATCCCAAGACGGGTATCTTGTGCCCTGACAATGTTTCGCGAAAAGAGGCGGGGGATACCAAGCTTGTTGTGTGAGAGGACATTTTCGATGGACAAGTGGCTCTTGGGTTGAAGTTAAGAAGAGAATTTGAAATCAGTGACTTATAAGGTTATGGGAGGCATTTCAGATTAGCCCTAATACAGTGCCACGTAATCAATGATTTAAATCCACACAGTATTTTATAAAAATTTAATTTTCGATGTTTGCATTGTATTAAAGACGAAGCCAAAAGCTAAGATCAAGGCGTCAAAAAGTGTGGAAGACTTCGCCAAGTGAATGTGTTTACTACAGAACGTCAAAGCGCGCTTAAAATTCAATAAAACCCCAATGAAATCCAAAAACCCAATATTAGGTACTCATTATAATCTTGAGAAACGCCAAGAGTGAAGTCAAAATCGGGCGTATTCCATGTGCACATTTCGTGCTTCACGGGCGCCTCGGTTATTGTGGTCAGGGAAAGAGAAGAACGGTCATATCCGAAAATTCACCGAACCTTAGTCAAGCTGAAGAAGAAACATACTTGTACGGAGTAGATCTGGCGATTTCACTACAAGTACTGTAGAATTGATCCACCCCGTACTGTACTAGTAGCTAGCTGGTGGGTCATTGAGCCGATTTTCTGACGCCACATTCCACTGCCGATCATATCCGCTTGTAGACTAATACGTGACACAACGATTACTGACTGACACATTACGTGACCGGGGAATCGCTGATGGCACATCCATGTAGTCGGATTTTCCTTCAAGCTACTCGCTACACGATCCAGGAATCATAGCCAAACATTGTGATCGCTCTTCTATACACTAGTGTAGGAAACTATTTACTGCATGTCTGGACATATACCATAGTATCAGCTATCATGACGCATGGCTGATCTCATCACGCAATTGTGAGCGATGGGAAAGTGGGGCTTCGCTAGAAAATCTTCTTTTTCACAGTTCGAGATCTATTTACGTGACTATACATACAACTATTTCCTTGGCGTTCCATGGGGCTTGCTTTGGAAGAAAATGGAGTTTGTATTCGGAATGGAAAACATACTGATATGTTCAGGAAACACACAGGTACCCTGTGCAATAAAGCTTTTTTTTTTTAGCTTAAGCTTTACGTTTGACTATTCTACTTATCACAAGATTTATCATACTATTTCATCTATCCAATATCACCTGAAAATATTGCCTAAGAATGATGGTATGGTTTTCAATATTTTGTTTCCTCTTAATAAACAGGGTGTAGAGTATCATAGTCTACCTGACAAGATATGGTATCGTTCATTCCCGTGCCCATTGCTGCTCACAAAGTGGCGGCTTCTCTCCCTCTTGACGACTTCCATCGAATTCCTCCTTCCAGGCGTAATATTCAAGTAGACGCTTCTCGCCGTAGCTAGCTGAGTCAAAGTCAGGATCTGGCTTCAAAGAATGCACAAATCCCCATAAAGCCCTATAACGGCGATTCGCGTTAGTTTAGCAATATTGATAAAAATAGTAGAAAAAGGGAATATTATTCATTCCTTACCAATAAAAGCCAGGAATTCCTCTATAACGGTCAACTTCATGGCACATACGCTGAAGAATTCCTCCTTCTCTCGATGACTTTAGTCCACAACGCTCGCAATAGCTTTTAACATATTCTGCCAAGAATTGACGTCGAGTCGTTCTGGTGGGAAGTCTTGTATAGTCGCACTCTGTTCCAATCCAGCAATAAAAGAAACTTGCAATTTCAAAAGCAGCTGGCTGGATCCCGGCGCACTCATAGTCGATGAAGCGGACTTTCACTGACTCAGGTTCGTGACTAGACTGCAAATCGCTTTTTCCAGGAAGAATGATGATATTTCCGGGAATCAAATCACCATGAGTGAACACCAGCTGTAACTTATTAGATTAAAAGTCTAAGGTTCTGAGTAGTAATACTGTAAGTGACATACATTGGGCTCGTCAGTGGTATTGTTCTCGTTAAATCGAGCTTTCATCCAGCTCAGCTCCTTTTGCAGTCTCAGGCGTCGATCGCATTGCTCTTGTGTGCTGTCTGGTAGCTTGGAAATCCAGTTTGCCATTACCTCCCATATAGTAGAGGCAGTCCGCATTTGAGTCTGGCTAATACTGTTAGGATTTGCTGCAGTCATTCTTGCTTGATGTCCGTTTAACGAATTCCTAGGAGAATATTCATCACTGATTCGGGGTAGGAGAGCATGCCATTTTGCAAGATGACGGGCAATCCCGCAAAAAACAGGTGGAGAGAAGAGCTCATGTTCCTCACATGGCCTTCCTGAGACAAATGGGTAAAGAATGCCGTTCTTAAACCGGGCTAAAAGAGGCGGAGCAAGATCATGTTGTGCAAGAAACAAATGCGTATTTATCTCTTCTACCATAACGAAGCCCATCAGGTTTGAATTAGTACGAGTCTTGTCTCTGAAATCTTTGAGAACGATTGTCTGCGTATAATACCTTCGCGGTCGATGAGGGCACCTCGGTCGCCATAAGCTCTTATTAAGAGAGCCTCATTTTCCACCTCTGAGTTTGTTAACTCAGGTCTATGAATGAGAACTTTCAGTACCTTACCCAGTTAGCGATGATATCAAGTTATTAAGGAAACAGGTCTTCGCCAGACAAGCATACAGTGTTGGTAAGACCGTTGGCGAACTGAACGAATTCAATCTTGTTCACAGGATTTTCCCACTCTGGGTTATAGTTTAAAATGATTTTTCGAGCGGAATTCTCAGAATCATCACGACAGTAAGGGAGTGGAATATATCTTAGCTCCGCTCGAGCAACCCCATCCTCATTTGAGGGCATAGTGGCACTTGAAATTGAAATTGAAATTGCAAGGATGAGGGATTACGAGACGAGATACTGCACATCGAGTATCTGTCCGAGCTATCCTCGAGTAGGTGCGATGACACTTGCCTTACGTTGGTAACAGGCTCAGGCTCGGGAGAAACACACATGGACGGGCTAGCGGTGAGACCGGTCTTACAGTAGCTGTGAGGTAATTGCCCCGTTAAACCGCGCCATTAAGCTCCATAGCCCTCTGGCGGCATGAGCCTGTGCCCCACAATAACTCTTCAAACTTGTTTTGGTTCCTGCCGCAACGCACGTGCCAGGTTTCCGCCTAGACGCGGCACAGCAGAACCATGAGGATTCTTCGGTATCCCCAAGTATGTATGTACTGAGTGTATACTTTTTTATTTTTCTATTTTTGTTTAGTAACACCAAAATACAAGCGGGATGAATGCGATTAATACATATAATTCCTGATAGTCGTTTTTTTAATTTCTTTTCAGACAGGGTAAGTGATCGCGTGTTTGGCCCGGTCACGTTCATGCAGCTAAAGTAGTTCAAAGTTAAATTTCCACGGCAAATTCTACAGTAGTTATACCAGGTCCCCACATTGACACAACCCCAGCTGAGCCTTGGAGGTCTATTCCGCGCGAAATCTTCTGCACCTTCTCTCCATACGAGAGCAATGCGTATGTACGATTCGCTGTGTGGGGCTTTTGCTCCACATCTCATGGCACCCCAGAGTGCAAGCTTGAGACTCGTAACTACGCAAATATATCTACCCAAACTATGCTCCAGGTTTACGGTTCAATCCGCGGAAATCACACGTCAAGAATTTATTGTACTAAGTGAAGGACGACCATTTTGGCTTATTTCCAGCTGGCAACAATTTCAAAAACCTCCTGTGGGATTCACAATGACACTAAAATCTTGAAGTCCCCAGGTGCCGATCGATCGATCGATAAATAACTTTTTCCAGTTCCCCGAACACAAGAAGCTCCACTTTTTTTCAGCTCTTCAGATCATGGTAAATCCAAATATTAGGCTCCACATAGATCCCGACATCGGTTCGGTAATCGTATTTCACCGGGACCAAGCCACCGGGAACGTTAACCTCCACAACACCGGAGTCATCACAGCAACGATGTTGGAGGGCATGTCCCTTGAAATCGACTCCAGTCCAATTGCTCCATTGTTCGGCGCTACCGCGGACCCTCATACTCCGGTGAGCCACTTTGACCATTTGGCCACCAAGCCGGAGGTGTTTCCGGAGCCAAGGATCAAAAACATGTTCAGGATCTTGTTGTTGGCTGTTGATGCTGCTACTGATATTGGAAATATCCGGAGGACAACCTTCTGCAAAGTAGCTCGCTCCCTTGGTCCATCTCACATACTCAGCCAAGCTCGTCTTTGGATGACTTGGCTTCGACGTAGGCCGCAAGGGTACTACCATGGCGGATAAACCTTGATCAATGGCGACCTGTTTCATGGTGCGGATGAATATCTCGGCCAGACCGCTCTTCCGCCGATCCTTTCTGACTGCAACCGACAAAGCGGAAAGAGCATTCGGTGGGTCAAGAGTTGGCGAACCCAGTGGGTCGCATAGACCCTCTTGGGCGAGGTGTTGTTGGATTCCTCGTGAAAGAATAGCATCGTAGCCACCTTCTGGGAGAGTGTGGAGTAGCTTGGTATGATCAGACAAACGGGAAACTGGGCACAAGTTCGAAATTTCGAGCCAGAAAAATGGAATGGATCGGGCCATTCCAATAACTTGCTCTTCGTTCGTCACATCGCACTTCTCGACAGCGAGGAATTGATACTGTGCGAAGTAGTCAATTTGAGTCAAAGCCGGGACAAACAATTGAAATATGGGATCCTGGTCGAGAAAATTTGGCCAGAGAAGGTTCAATGGATGATCTGGCTGATCAAGGCTCTTGAGTAAATCTGGTCGTTGACGAGCCGTACAGATATAAAATGGTGCAGAATCAAATATTTCGGATGACATGGTGAAGCACCTTCACGCAATGTGGACTTCGAAACCAACGAAAGAAATAATTATATTCTACTCCGTGGTAAGACTCATCCCGTAGACTTTTATAGAATTAAGATACGAGGTAATGCATTGATCGTCCTTGAATTCAGATCTTGATTCGTCTAGCTAAGCCAAATTGAGGGCGTAAGGACGAACACAATACTCATTACCCGAAAGAAAATTAGGAATTTCAAAAGAGGCAAATATCGCCAGTCTGTACATAGGAAATCGCGTTTATTACTTGATCCAGGTTTCATATCGTATTAAGAACGAGTAAGATATACATATCTGGTTTCTGTGTTTCGTTGAGAACACTAGCATCTAGTATGGGTTTTCTCCGCTGTCTATGCTACTGGAGTAATTTTCAGAAGAAGAGAGAAAGGAGCAGATCAAGGTCTGCCGGTTGCCCATGACAACCAGATAATGGGCGAAATTCTGTGACGGTCCTCGAAAGGTACGTGTATGTACAATAACAGGTCATGTGCTGAAATTTGTAGTATTACCATCCGAATACAAATACAGCGTCTCTCAAAAATGGAATATTGCGTGTTTAACTAGTGATTCAGCGGGTCCAAATAACCACGCTCGCCAGAAAATGTTTGAATTTTCTGAAGGCGTTTACCGAAAGAAGGCAGTCTTGAAGATCTCGTGGAGCAACCCAAAGTATTGAGAAATAATACTGTAAATAGAAAACGTACTCTAAGAAAATGAGCCATAAGCACTCCTTTTCCCACTGTATTTTGCACAAAAAACTCTCTATTCAAAATTGAGCTCTTCCCGTCCCTTTCGCCCTGGGATCGATAGCTTCTGTACAAACACAATGTCCGAAAAAATTTCCGAGCCTCAGGAAATTCCCGTTTATTCTCTTCTTGGAAATCTGAATCAAGGAGAAGTGTCCGAGTTGGCAGCTCAGCACTGCGGAGTATCCATTGATGAGATTGAAGACATATATCCGTGCACTGCTGCACAGGAAAGTCTGTTTGCTTTGTCAGTAAAAAACCCCCACAGTTATGTTGCCCGTTATGTGTACGCTTTCGCGGAGGAAGTAGATTTGGACCGTATCAAGGATGCTGTCAGAACTACACTGGAAGCTCATACCATCCTGCGCACGAGGTTGATTTATCATGAAATATATGGCACTCTTCAAGTCGTGCTTCGAAAGTTGGAGACAATTACGATGGCCAATGATCTCCACGCTTACCTTGCGGCCGATTGTCAGCAGCGAATGCCTCCAGGTGCGCCTTTGCTTCGTGTTGCTACTGTTTTGGATTCGCAGGGAAGGAAACAGCTTGTTTTGACTATTCATCATGCTTTGTATGATGACTGGTCCTTGAATGTGGTACTGCACGACATTGAAAACGCATACAAAGGCAAAATCCTTGCTCAGCGGGCATTCGCAGCCTTCACCAAACTCTCGCTCTCTGCATTGTCTGAGGCATCAGCCCAGGAATGGCAGTCCCGGCTTGAAGGTTTATCACCTGTCCAGTTCCCACGACTTCCTTCAAGTGAATATACCCCTGCGGCGAAGCAGTCTTTGGTCAAAGAGGTCACTATGCCGGCTGGCCTGAGTGAGAATCAACAGTCTGCGCTCATCAATCTTGCTTGGTCCCTTCTTATTTCCCAGTACACAGGTTCTACGGATACTGTATTCGGGGTTACGTGGACAGGTCGACGATCACGTCTCCCTGGAATCGGGGACATGTCTGGACCGACAATTGCGACAGTACCGTTTCGGGTCCAACTCTCTTCAAACACTACGGTTTCAGAAGCTTTGCGATTCGTACTCAAAACCAGTAATGAAATGCTCCCATTCGAACAAAGGGGTCTATACAACATTTCTCGCCTTGGACCCAATGCTGAAGCTGCCTGTCAATTCCAAAATTTGATCGTTATTCAATCGCCACCTCAGCATCGATATGAGTACTTTCGAGAGATAACTCATGACCTGAATCTTGGGAATCACGCCACGTTTGGCACTTATCCCATTACTCTAGTATGCGATTTACGCAAAGTCGGCATGCGGGTTCAAGCTGTCTATGACGACCATGTTGTGCCTCTTGTTCAGATGCAACGTATTCTGAATCAATTCAATACTGTCATTAAGAACCTCATAAGCCGTCCTGATTGCCCAATTTCACAAGTTGGATCTCTAAGTGCCCAAGATCTGGTGGAGCTGGAGAAATGGAATGGCCAAATTCCACCCACGACTGATGAACGAATGCATGACTTGATTTTGAAAAGATGTCGCATACAACCTGATGCTCTCGCCGTGGCATCGTGGGATGGGTGTTTTACCTACGGAGAAGTAGACACCTTGTCTGGACATCTCGCACTCAACTTAATCGAAAGAGGCATTGGACCAGAAAATGTCGTCCCTGTATACTTCGAAAAGTCCAAATACACAACTGTGGCTATTTTAGCAGTGATGCGTGCAGGCGCAGCATTTGTTCTCCTCGATCCATCAAGCCCACTAGCCCGCAATGAGGAAATATGCCGGCGGGTTGGTGCCACTTGCGTCTTATCTTCGGGATCGCTGGCTGCATCAGCGGTCAATTTCGCTAAAGAATGTATAGATGTCTATGAAGGTGCTAGCTCACTACAGAAACAACATTCTGCCATGGGCCTTTCAGATATCGATGTATCCTCATCAAATCTTCTCTATGTTGTGTTCACTTCAGGGTCCACCGGGACGCCCAAGGGAGTGCAAATCGAACATGGCTCCTTCGTCATCAGCACCCAGGCATATATCTCCAAAAGTGGGATGAACAATATGTGCCGTACACTACAATTCGCTTCATACGCCTTCGACGTCAGCATTTCTGATACCATAGTGACTCTAGCCGCAGGTGGCTGTCTCTGCGTTCCTTCCGAAGAGGAGCGCAAGTCTGAGCTCGCCAAAGTTGTCGCGAAATACAACATCGACTGGGCGGATCTTACCCCCTCAGTACTACGACAGCTTCATCCAGAAGATTTTCCCTCACTTCGCACTGTCATACTTGGAGGGGAACCTATGTCTCGGACCGAGATCGAAGTTTGGGGCCCACACGTGCGTTTATTGAATGTCTATGGCCCTGCAGAATGCTGTGTTCTCTCTACAGTTTGTGACAGTGTCACGAGTACAACCGACCCTCGCAATATTGGTACTGGAACAGGGTGTGCGACCTGGATTGTTAACCCCTCCAATCATAACCAGCTTATGCCCATCGGCGCGATTGGCGAATTGCTTATCGAAGGGCCTACTGTTGGCAGAGGATATCTAGCTGATCCCGAAAAAACAGCAGCTTCATTCACTTCGATGACTCCTTGGATAAAGTCCCTCCGACCATCTCAGTCCTCAACCAAGTTATACGGAACAGGCGATTTAGTTCAATATACTTCGCATGGCTCTCTGCGCTATGTCGGCCGAAAGGATATGCAAGTTAAGCTTCGAGGACAACGTCTCGAGCTCGAAGATGTCGAATACCATATCTCCAGGGCATTTCACGATAGCAGAGAGGTGGTTGCCGACGTTATCACCTTGGACTCAGATGAGTTTCCTCAGCTAGTAGCCTTCTTGGTGGAAGAAAAGAGCGAGCATCCAGATCTTTTTATTCCCCCGACTGCGGAATTTCATCAATCCGTGACCGCTGCCATCGCAGCTCTACAAAGCAAGATTCCTGCATTCATGATTCCGTCAATATTTATTCCTATCAAGCGTACCTTTCGCACTGTGTCTGACAAAGTTGACCGTCGGCTGTTGCGCGAGGCTACCACTTCTCTGTCTCGAGAGCGACTTCAGCACTATCGCCAGCTTCATCAGAATGGCAAGACAGAAAGGCGTAAGCCTACATCTCAGGCTGGGCTTCAAATGCAAGCTATTTGGGCTCAGGTTTTGGGTATCCCAGCTGAAGAAATCTGTTATGGCGACGAATTTTTCAAACTGGGTGGTGATTCTATCACAGCCATGAAAGTTGCATCCATCGCTAAAAAGCAGGGCCTGCCAATTTCGGTTCCAGATATATTCCAAGGCGGCTCCCTAGAATCAGTCGTTGAATCAGCTTTGTCTCAGAGCGCTGAAACCACTTCGTTCGATTGGGAGTTGGAAACAGCACTTCAATCGGATATTACCAAGCCGACAAGGGTAAACGGCACCAACAACCACTCGCAGGGAAGCAAGAACTTCGTATTGACAGGTTCCACGGGCTTTCTCGGACGAGAGATCCTTCAACAACTCGTTGATAATCCCGTGGTCAACCAAGTGCACTGCTTGGCAGTTCGATCAAAAGGAAGCGGTGTCGGACGGCAATCTGCAGTGTTCCATTCAAGCAAGGTAGTGGTGCACCAAGGAGATATCTCAAAGCCTGACCTTGATATTCCCGAGCAATCCCTCTCCAATATATTGGAAGATTGTCAAGGAATTATCCACTGCGCCGCCGAGATTTCGTTCGTCAAGACCTACGATCTTCTCAAACAAGTTAACGTGCAACCCACAAAGTACCTCGCCAAACTCGCAGTCAAGCATCAGGTCCCTATTCACTACATGTCCAGTGCAGCCCTCGCTCACCTAGCTGTGAGTGGGACACAGACCTTCAATGAAGCGTCTCTGCGAAATTCCCCCCAGATGCGAGTGGAGAATCCGGTTATTTGTGTTCCAAGTGGGTCAGCGAGATCTATTTGGAGAATTGCAGCCAGGCCTACGATCTCCCAGTTACCATCCATCGCATCTCAAGCATTATTGGACCTGGAGCGCCCGAGATGGATATCACCAATAACGTGCTGAATTTCTCTCGCAAGATGCGCGCCATACCGGATCTGAGCTCTTGCGAGCAATATGTCGACCTCATTGAACTCAGTCTCGCTGCGGGTAACATTATTGTCGATGCTATGCGTGCCGACCAACTGAGTGAGGTTTCCTTTGTCCATGAATCGGGGCAGGTGCGTGTTCCAGCCAATCGTCTTAGGGAATACTTGCAGAGGGAGGCTGGGGAAGCCATTTCGGAAGTGGCTCTTGAGTATTGGATCGGGGCTGCTCGTCGGCAGGGAATGCCAGAGCTTGTTGCCAAGTTCCTTGAAGCTATGCCACCGGGTGAAATTGATATTGCCATGCCATTTCTCGAGACAAGGCGGGTCAATGGCAGGCATTCGAGTCTACTTTCAATTGAAAACTAGACCATGTTTGTTGATTGCCTGCTGAATAAGTAGTGATTTGAATTATCACTGCGATTTTGAAATATTTCTGACTATGTACAGCACTTGCCTTGTAGAAACATACACATTCAAGAACATAAATACCACAGAAAATCGAGGTTCTGAACCTCACATAGGACTTAAGTATATAGGAAGATCCTCTTGGACGTCTAGATATGTCGGAGTGAGATGAGGAGGGTTGGTCCATTTTAGGCTTGATTCAAACGTGGCTGGGGGTTTGGGAATCGTCTAGACCGTGTTTACGTGGATGCTTCTGATAATCGAATCGCCAGAGGACCATTTAGTTGTATGGGACTCGGCCATGATGCGCCAGCTCAGTGATTTGAGTCTTGAAACTGGAATCCAGCTTGAGGTCATGCGACGTGAACATTGCTAGGCTATTTGAAGCTTATATCGCGGGAGGGTATACAGTGCATGATCATGACCATGACAGATTAAGGATCATGAAAAGGATGTGAATGAGAGGAATGCCTTAGATTCATGTGAGAAAAGCTCGCCTCGATGCGAAGAGCTATCTTGACGAACAAAAATGGTGCTATACGACATGACAGTTGGGATTGAGTCTAACATAGCTCCTTCTCACACTTCTTCAAGCGCCGCATCATACACAATGCCGGCCATCTCTCTAGCACGGTCCATCCATCCAATCACTCTTCCACTCTCTTCCTCGCCAATAACCTCGCCCATGCCCTGATAATCACCATTCCTCCTCGCCACTCTCCCCGCAATAACATCAGCCTGATACCAGATCCCCCAACCCCTCTCCACGGGCATTTTGATCACCTCATCCGTCTCAATGCCATTCGCATCCAGATGCTCCTCATCATACCACTGAATATATAGTTCCTGAGGTCTGATTGGAGGGAAGGGAACAGACACTGACGCTTTGGTGGCTTCGATGCGCACAGCCGGTGCAGCTTTTGTAGCCCGTAGTCGTTGGTAAAAAGCTGGTTTACTGGAACCAGGAAGAGTCATACTCGTCGTGACTATAGCGACAGCCTCCTGTTGCTTGCTACCACTCTCATTGATTTTAATTTTGTTGAGTATGACGGTGTTGATATCGTCCACATCCCCTTGTACACCCGGAACCGGCATAGAATGCGCATGCACAACTTCTGTCTGCGTCTTGTCTTGACTAGATGCAAGGCCATTGAGCGCGAGATCAGCCCACGTCAATGCATATACGCCCTGATCCAACAAACTTCCCGCTCCAGCCGCCTTATCAAGGAACCGGCTTTCATGACTCAAATCTGGTGACACGATCGGGAAACTGAACTCGGCGTAAACGCGCTTCACGTCGCCGATGCGTGGAAGTAGCTTATGCTGGAAGTAGAGTGTAGCAGGGAGATAGCGCGTCCACATCGCTTCCATGAGCACGACATTTACTTCTTTTGCTAGGTTGCACAGTTGAGTAAACTGTGCGCCGTTCATCGTTGCTGGTTTCTCGACGAGCACATTGCGTTTGCACTGTAGGGCTTTTTGCACGTGGGCGTAGTGCAAAGGGTGTGGCGTGGAGATGTAGACGACGTCGAAGTCTCCTTTTTCCAACATTTCTTCCCAAGAGTGGTAGACGGTGATGGACTCGGCATTAGGGATTTTGTTCTGTTTCAACCAGTCGGCTGCACGAGAGGCGCCGCCGGTCGTACTGACTGAGACGAGCTCATGTTTGATGGATGCAGAAGATTCTCGGGGGTGGAGCAGGTCCGGTAGGAAGACGGAGGCAATGTTAGAGAGGGACAGTGCTGCCCAGCGGCAGGTGAATTGTTCCTCTGCCATTGTGGGCTGTGTGTATACCGTATTGCTGTGCTAGAAGTCTTTCGGACAGTGGCTTAGGTTTGGGAATTGATGATTCTTCCCTCCAAATAATTCAATTTATAGCTGCCTCCGAAGTGTGTTTTTAGAAAGGTTATCTAGTGGAAACCGTCATACATGAGGAAGAATATAAACTTTGAGGTTTCTCCATGTCGCTCTTCCCCAGACACTAAGCCAAGAGCGCGCCCCGCCAACCATTTAGGCGCCCTTTCAACCATTCAGCCGTTTCTCAACCATTTAACCGTGCTATAACCCGGAAGATTGTCTAAGCCCCCCAAAAATGCCGGTTTAGAGCAGGTAATGGCCTATTACAAGATGAATGAAATCATCTATATGGAAAGCGATACTGGCGATGCGGGGATATTGTGCCCCATCATATTCCTCTGCGGGGGTTTTGCCCCTCTCATCGTAGAGCGGCCCTGAGATCCTTCAAGCCGCCTGACTTTTTCTTATAAGAGCAAATGTCGTCGGTACAACATTTAAGCCTCTTCACCAGATTCACTCTGAGTAATTTTTTGTTCACCTACACCTTCTCACATACATCAATTCTTCACCATGGCAACCAACTTGGTGAGTACCGCCAATGATATGTACTGTATACCTAGCTTTTGCTAAATAATCTACAGTTCACGCTAAAAGGCAAGACCGCCGTCATCACCGGCGCAGCACGCGGCCTAGGGCTCACATTCGCCACCGCACTGGCGAGCGCGAATTGTAACCTCGCCGTGCTAGACATCCTCCAAGAGCCTTCCCCAAGTCTTCTCACGCTGGGAGACCACCATAACATCAAAGTGGAGTATTACCGCACGGACATCACCTCGCGTCCCGAGATCACGGCCGCAATCGAGAAAATCGAAGCGGAGTTTGGACGAATCGATATCAACGTCAATGCCGCAGGCGTGGTCACGGACGAGCCCTTCCTCAAGACCACCGATAAGAACATCGAGCGCACGTTTGCAGTCAACTTTACCGGTTCCTTTCTCGTGGCTCAGGCTTGTGCGAACAGCATGGTCGCACGGTATAAGTCCACCCATGGCGACGAACCAGCAACGCCCACTACTGGCACAATCATTTTTATCGCCAGCATCGCAACGCACATTGCTTCCAGTGCGCAGCAGATCAGTTGCTACACAGCATCCAAAGCAGCTGTGAAGGGGTTGGTGAAACCCATGGCCATGGAACTTGCACCGTATGGAATCCGAGTCAATTCTTTGAGTCCAGGGTATATGATGACGGATATGATGCGCGGATTGCAAGAACAGCAACCTCAATTGGTAGACCAGTTTGAGAAGGAAACTTTGTTTGGGCGGATTGGGCTGCCCGAGGAATTGACGGGTGCTATTTTGTATTTGTGCTGCGATGGCGCAAGTGGGTGGTATACAGGGCAGGATCTGTTGATTGATGGTGGGGCGAGTATTTGGAAGCATCCAGCTGCTTTAGCATCAAACTAGGAGAGTAGCAGAAACATATTCTGCAAATATGTGTTTTTTTAACCATAGCAATAGAGCAATGCACTGCGGTTTACCATTTTTCACACGATTCTTCTATCGATCACGGAGAAAGAGGCACTTAGGCTCGGGAAGTACAATGGGTATCTTTGATCTCCCTCTCAGTGAGACACAGGTCCTCTACCAGTAAAAAGGTTTGCTTTCTAAACGCACATGTCCTAAACTAAAAAATCTACATTTCAGAAGTACGTACTATATCGAGTACGAAAATGGCAAAAGGAAAAATCATTCTCATATATAAGACACAGCATACACGCCCAACTTCCACCGAACCACTTCTTAAATGCCAATCAAAATACCGTTCCTCTCATTTCGGACGATTCGTGCACAGTCAGCCCAGAGGATCGTCCTTAGACTTTATTCCGTGACTCTTCTACATGACCGAATCCGCTCTTCTCGCCCTCCGCCGCAAGCACCCTTCTTGGATCGAGATCTGTAGTGCCATCAACCTCGTCCAATAGCCTTCGCGAAGCTACGGCAATATTACCACCGGCTTCATTGATGCGTCGGTGATACTCTGCCATGTTCTTACTCACAAGCAGACTCTCGCTCGTAAACAGCAGGTTGATCTCTTCGAGTGATCTACCGGCGACCTCGGGGTAGAAGAACCATACGAGTGGCATGGCGAGGACATTCATGCAGCCAAAGAAGATGAAGGTAGCCCATCCCAAGTGGTCTAGCATGATGGGGATCACGAAGGTGTTCATTCCACACCCGATCGCCCAGCCCAGAATGGTGAACGAGTAGCCTTTGGCGCGGACTTCCTGTGGCCAGATTTCCGTGCCATAGATCCAGCATGGGACGATGTTGAACATGGTGAAGAACCAGAGGTATACGAAGACAAAGGCGGCTGCGGCGCACCCTAGGCTAGATGACATTGCTGGATCGGTGACTTGGTGATTTTCACTCTCCTTGATAAGCGCGGCGACAAGAAATAAGGCGATACCCTGTGTGACGAAAGACATCATAAGGGATTTGACCCGGCCCATGCGGTCAATCACCAGTGATGCAGCGGCGGTGCCCAGGATACCGAAGGTGTTGACCAGACCGGCCATCCAGGCTGACTTGAAGGCATCGAACCCGGCAAGGGTAAAAAGTGTACCAGCCCAGGTGGCAATAGCGAGGATACCTGTCCATTGCTGGATCTGCTGGAGTGCCAGACCCATGACAACGCGCCGGCCAAGATGAAGTTTCCCCGAGTAGCGCCCGCCGAGGACGAGATTGAGAAAGTTGTTTCGTTTGTGGTGCGATGCTTCGACAATTGCTTCGAGCTGCTGAACTTCGGCAAGAAGCTTAGGGTCATGGGGATCCAGGTCGCCACGAATCTTGCGCAGGATACTGACCGCTTCCTCACGGCAATTGTTGGCCATCAGCCATCTCGGCGACTCGGGCAGGAAGAAGACAGTGAGAATCACAATCAACACAGGAACCGCCATGAACGCCAAGGGGAAACGCCATTGAAATTCTATCGTGGACGACCTGATACCGAAGTTGAGCCAGTACGCAATCGCGATGCCTGCGTAGTTCGCAACAAAGACGAGCGAGAAGTTGGAACCGCGGTCGTGTGCTTGAGAGAGCTCGCTCACCCACGGAGGTACGATAGCGTTGATGAACCCGATTCCGATCCCTGCGATGACACGCGCGCATATAAACATGTTACTGTTTTCACTGGCGGCCATGAGCGCCGCACCGAGCATGCAGAAGAGTGAGCCGATCCAGACGCCCTTCTTGCGGCCAAGCTTGTCGCCCACCCAACCTGTTCCCATTCATTCATTAGTATCTTGAATTGTGCTGAAAAAGAGGGATGGCGAAGTGATTTTTCCGTACCTCCAACGAAACATGCCCACATGGCACCGAAATAGTACGCTGCCAGCAGACCACCCTGCTTGGTGCTGTTTGTCACGACACCATTGGACCATCCGATGCCAGCCATGTCAATGAAGCCAGGTGTCGTACTGACGGTACCCAGAACTCCCTGGTTGTAGCCTTCGAAGATGAGGGCAATAGCGGTGAAGAGATTGAGGAGAAACATGAGAGCCCTTCCGGGCAAATGTTTCCAGAGTTGGACAGCCATGGTGAGGGTATCTTCGCCGCTGAGCACGCGTCCGTCGGGCTGCCACTGCGATCAGTGAAACTGAAGGAGGCCGATGGAAGCGAAGAAGGTAGACGAGGGACGATCAAGTACTGTTGTGAGATAGTATCGCCGGAAGATTGAAGGTTGTTTATGTATGTGCAGTCTAACGACGAGGAGCATACACAACCCAGTCGGCTCTAACCTCAAGACCCCAGACCCCAGACCCCAGATACATTTACTTTGGGGAATGCCGATCAGATACTGCAGTAATTCAGGTCCGAAGCCTTTTAGCAATTTAGCCGCCTTCCCCCGCATGGTCTCCCATGGCTTCACCGATCTAAACCGTTTGACCATTTGGCCGTTTGGCCGTTTAGGCGTGTCCCTTCCAGTGGAAATTCCGGGGGCCGCCAATCAGGAGTTGGTCATGGTTAAGTGCGCTCGGTACCCCCGGACTATAGCCCTAAAGATTCCATATACCCCAGAGAACCGACCAAAAGACAATCAATCATCATTCATAGCGATAGTTCCATGCAGGCCGACCAATTCACCCACATTGTCGTTGGCGCCGGTTCGGCGGGCTGCCTGGTGGCCCGTCGGGTGGCCGAGAATCGAGCCTTCAATGTTCTGCTGATCGAAGCCGGGCCCGATGTCGATGCATCTCCCGCCAGTGCTTCCTCCGTACCTCATGGTGTGCATGATGCCCGCCGAGTCCCCATGGCAGGCCAATCCGCGATCTTTGACCCCCAGATCGACTGGAGTCTTGAAGTCGACGTGACCACCGGAGGGCAAATGATTGTCCCACAGGCGAAGGTTATGGGCGGAGGGAGCAGTATCAACGGAGGCACTTTTTTGCGACATACAGAGGCAGATTCAAGGGAGTGGGTTGCATTAGGGAATGGTGGTTGGGATTTCGATAGTTCACTCGCTGTATATGAAGGACTCGAAGATGATCCCCTTCAAGGCACCCGCGGTCCGCATCCCATTGCCAGAGCGAGCATGGATGAAGCAGGCAAGATTCAGGCTGCCTTCGTCGATGGTGCTACATCTTGCGGTCTCCAACGTATCCAGGATGTGAAGGCCACGGGAGCGGAGGGTGTCGGTCCGGCACCCGTCTGTCGTCGCGGCTCCACTCGGGTCAGTGCAGCGGACACTTTTATCGGCCCGGCCCGGAGCTTCCCCAATTTTACCATCTTGACCAATTCACTGGTGGATCGAGTGCTCTTCCGGGACGGCAAGGCGGTGACAGTGGTGCTTGCCAACTGCCACAAGATACACGCAACTCATGAAGTCATCCTCTCTGCGGGCGCAATATTCTCGCCTGCTATCTTGCAACGCTCGGGTATTGGTCCGACAGGGCTACTTCGACGATATGGAATTGCACTTTTGGTGGATCTGCCGGTGGGTTTGAATCTAAGCGACCATCCATGTATCCCACTGGTCGCGCGGCCACGACCCGGTGCTTACACGGACACGGATTATTCCTTGCAGATGCAAGCGCGATGGTCGTCATCGCTGAATCCCGGTGCTATCGACTTGCAGATGGTTTGTTTCTCATATCTCTTCGCCCAGCCGGTAGACCCTTCCGCATCACAAGGAGGCCAGCCACAAAGAAGCTTGGGGGGCACAGAGACTGGTCATGTCGCGGGAATAGGATGTAACGTCAATAAGCCCACTTCACTCGGCACGGTGGAGATCCGCTCCAAGGACGCGAACCAGATGCCGCAAGTGCGTCCAAATTATCTAAGCACCCTGCACGACCGAGCTCTGGCACGAGAGGTTGTGCGCACTGCGTACGCCGTGCTCATGTCACCTGCCATGCAAAACGTACTCGCGGCTCCGCTGGGCATCACTTCGCAAATGGTAGCCGACGACGTGATGTTGGATGGTTATATACAAGCTCAATATTCGACAACTTACCATTTCTGCGGCTCGTGTCGAATGGCTGATCGCGAGAAAGGCGGCGTTGTGGATCAAAGCGGGCGTGTGTATGGTGTGAAAGGGCTGAGGGTTGCAGATGCGAGTGTGCTACCGACTGTGCCGGCGGCAAATACGATGGCAAGTTGTATGCTGGTAGGGGAAAGGGTGGGAAGGAGCGTCTGTGATGGCCAAAGTGTCCAGAAGGTAGTCAAATCTCTTATATGAACAGCATCTAGAGCAATTTTTCCTAGCAGCCTTTGACACTTGCAGCATTAGGGGCCCAACCCCGATTCTCCTGTCGCTAATTTCGTCTCTAGTGCATCGCCTGGGAGTACTTGCCGATCGTGCTCTATACTGTAGTGGTTAAATGTACTCGAAACCTAATGCATTTCTTTATATCCTCATTGGTCTATTTAGAGTGTACCCATCTGGATACCCGCTTTCAACTTCAAGCTCCGTCAGAGTCTGCCGGCAGTGAGGTGACTCAGAGCCTCTGTAGATGAATGGCGCTTCTTCCTTTCTTCATTCTTCTCTCCTCCATACCACCACTACATAGATTGTTCTGGCTGTTCGTTCTTTTTATAGTAGCAAGCTATAGCAGCTTGTGCTTCTTCTTTTTCCTCTGATGCTCGACCAGCGTATGACGCTGGTAGATTATGAGCCCTCGTTCGTGAAGTCTTCTAATAAGCCTTCATATCCTGGTTACCACGGGTAACCAGACGCCTGTCTTAGAGGAGACTTTGGTAGAGAGTTCTACTATATATATATATATACACGGAGAAAACGTGTTAAGACGTGTTTTTTACGCGATTTTTAAGAATTTGTACTCTAAGACGTGCTACCTTACGGTTTTATTGATATTTCTTAGAGGTATATAGTTACCCCTCTAATCACACCCCTCTTTTTACCTTATGGAGCGGACCTAGCCGCATTATGTATAGTAATATATTGATATCTATTAATATCTATTAATAGATCTGAGTTAGATATCTTAGGAGACTAATAGAAATAAGAGCCGTTTCTTATGTGAAAGACGTTGTCAACCTGAATCACGGAGCCACCCGCCTTCCCCCTTCGCCTATCCCTACTACTTTAGCTGTGACGGTAATGTGGGTGATAAAGAAGTCTAAGATATCACTGGGAAAGGCTCTACTACCTCCGTGGACAGTAAATCGTGTATAAAGAGCCTATATGACCTTTAAGTTATGAGAGCCTATGATAAGGGGCTGGGTAATAGAAGTTCTATAGAAACAGTGAATGACTAGAACTATGGGGATATAGATGCACTAAATGGTTCGAAGAAAGGGGTAATATCTCATAAAGTGGATTTTGTGAGGTTCGTGGATACGTTTTGTGACATAAGGCTGGTGCAGATCAGGAATCTGCTAGACATGCTTTTCTATTATAGAATAACTGGATCCTTTCATACGTTGCCCACGGGCCTTGATAGAAGGTTAGAACTTTAGGTATAGGGAGGGATTTCTATATCTAGAAAGGTTTGGGCACTAGCAAGGGCGGCGACGCCGAAGGTAGATATATCCATTTTGATTGGTTCGATCTAGGGGCGATAGTAGCCTATTGGCTAAACTACGCTCTGTAGATTAGAGGACACCTCCTAGGTTCCATTAAGTCAATAGTTGACTTCTAGTACTAGAAGTCATACTAACTAGGGACATTGGTAGAGGCCAATCGATTTCGCCTACTATACAGCGAATAATTATGTTTGAGAAATATCTTAATCGACGTATATTATAACATAAGCATTTAATTCCCTACACTATATCTTAATACAATCTCAATTTTGATCCACCTTCGTAATCACCAGCTGCCTATACTAGCAATTTTCCCTGCAACCTATATTTTATTTTTTATATCTTACTGACTGGGTTATTAGGTCGATAGATATAGGTTATGCCTCACTTTCTAGATCAGGGAAAACAAAGCCGAAAATGGACCTAAGTCCCGTAATCTGATTATTTAAGATTTATATATCCTACGATATGGGATAACTGAGAATGTTATTGTGAAACAGTGACGGTTCGTTAAAGCTTGAATCGCGATAAGCCTGCTTAGCGGAATTCGTAGGTGGGAATATTAAAGAAAACTATATCCATATTAGCGCAGTTGGTAGACTAAAAGGGTTTCCCACATCTATATCCCTAAAATCTATGTTCGGTGCATAGTCCCATATTGGTTGAATTCCTTGGTGCATTTCTGGATCCAAAGTAGGCCCGCTGCCCCGTAAATTAAGAATATATTATCGTGCAATACCTACGAAGCTTGAGATGATGTTTCCTAAGAGCGCACTTTTAGAGGTAAAGTCCACTTAGCCAAAGTATTCCAATGCCTGATCAAGGAGAGCGAGGTTACATTCAGTCTATTTATAGCCTAGATTATAAATCGCAAAATCAAAAAGAACGAAGACTATAGATAATGGCATGATACCAACAACACTTAGACAAGAATTAGTAAGCCAACCTCGTAACCATGACCTGGTATATCATGCAAATCGAAAGCTAGACTCACAAAACGGGCATATAAGGCTCGATATTAATAAATTATACGATCTCAATAACATTGCGTGCTGCGCTTATTAAGTTCCATTTATTATCTTTGCCTTATAGCTTCCCATTAGGGTCAATATAAAGAGATACGCGCTCAATAGCAAAGACCAGATGATAGTACAAGTAATATATCTATATAGCGATTATCTTTGTTTTCGAACTTATGAGTTCACTGGGTAGAAATGGTTCCTTTGGCCAGAATGCTATCGGGACTTATAAGCGCCATTCTTCTAGTCTACATCGTAAATCTTCGACATAAATCAAGCGTTCTATCATAGATTTTAAAGAAGACCCTATCGTAAATAGGGTAGTATAGGCAATTAAAGTCAGTCTTCCCAATTGAATAGCCAACAAAAACCAGTTATACTCTCCAAATACGGACTCTGGGACGGAAGGAACTCCACATCCAATGTCTTCGTCACAAAACATCTATTTGATGGTCAGTAAACAGATAACAATACATCAATAATTCCAGCCAGATGAAAACACACCGAGCTGTTGTTATCAGAGAACGAGGTGATTTTCTCCAAGTGGTAAACAGTCCAGAAAGCTCTCAAGTGAACCGGCTTAGCATTTGAGGATTTATGGTACCGTAGACTTTGCACCATCCTAGCGGCCTTATATACCAATACTTAGTCTAGCTAGAGGCAGCAAGGACTCATCGCAAAGATGGACTGCCGCTCGAGTATTAGATTTATGAAGATTATTAGAAGAAGTTTAAAGGTCTTACCATGGCCGTCAAAGCCTATTGATTAATTAGTGGTGAAACTAAAAACCCAAAAAGTAGAAGTATTGATATACCTAAAGTTTCGTCAATGAATATAGAGGAACCATGATATCCGGAAGAAGCCCAAAACTTAATTAAAATGTTTTCCACGCCATCCCCAATCCCGGCGTAAAACTCCCGCCTCCGTGGTATAAGATACCCAAAGCTAGTACGGCGTGATAAAGAGCGGAACATACTTTACTACACTTTAACATCCCGACGCGCTAGCACTTAACAGTGTGCGACATGAACTCTTAACTATCAAGAAAAGGGTAAATAGGATAGACCTGGTTAAAGTAGGCTAATTCTTTAGGTCAGACATCTGGCTTAATTCGATAGAAAATATACTAACCATTGATACATGCCTCGGCCTCCCTTAGTGCTAGGTCCACATTTTCCAAAGGTCGCTGGAACTCGATTCTATAGGAAGACTTATTATCCAAGCAGACTCGTGACACAAGAAGGTCTTCCAGGTCGTGAATAAGTTCTATAAGTATATTTAATCCCAAAAAGCTGGCCAATGCACTCAATCGTTGAGTTAAGAAAAATGCAATGCTCGAGCTGGTTACTATATATAGATAAGCAGATAGCTACATAGATAGATAGATATCAACTTACTTCGCTCATTGCTTGCCTTCCATTATGCAAATGTCAGTAATATAAGCAAAATGATGACATCATGTTATACTGGTACCTTAACAACAGTAGAATCGTCAAACAAATCGATTTTTTGAGGCTCAAGTCGCAAAAGACGGTCAATGGGGAGGTCATTTTCGCGTAGCAGCGGTGGTTCGACGGATATTATAGTAGATTCTACATACAGTCAGCCAATATACCCACAAAGTGATTCACAAAATGCGCACATGTATCTTTGCGCCTGAGTTTACGCCTGATGGGGCTAAATTGGCAAGACTCGTTGCGGTTCTAGGCGACTTCCTGTTAGTGGCGTTTCTTCACCAAACGTAGATTAAGCATATATACAATGCAATAAGTACAAGCAGACATCGCCCCCACTCTACTTACAGTTTCAGGCACTATCCTATAGGGGTCCTCTTAGTTAGGCTGACTAAGAGCCTAGCGCGGATTTAATATATAGGAGGAACATTAAGAAAAAAGCTAACTAAGGCTAACTTTAGGAACTAACTAAATATTTAAAAAGCTAACTAATTTATATTAAACTTTATAGAAGTCTAAGTTAACTATTAATCTTTCTTATTCCTAGATCTTAGAGGCTAAAATCTATTTAATAGGGTATAGTAATAGTTTAAAAATAGCGGGTTCTTAAGATTATTTTTTTAGTTTATAACTATAGAAAAATAGATAGTAATAAGATAAGAAAAGTCTTAATCTTAAAGTACTAATTATCTAGATCTAAACTACCTTTTTAAATTTAGTTTAATTTAATTTAATTTAATTTAATTTAATTTAATTTAATTTAATTTAATTTAATTTAATTTAATTCAATTTAATTTAATTTAATTTAATTTAATTTAATTTAATTTAATTTAATTTAATTTAATTTAATTTAATTCAATTTAATTTAATTTAATTTAATTTAATTTAATTTAATTTAATTTAATTTAATTTAATTTAATTTAATTTAATTAATTTAATTTAAGTTAGTTATATTTAATTCACTTTAATTTAATTTAGTTTAATCTTATCTAATTTAATCTTATCTAGTTTAATTTAATTAAATTTTTATTAAATTTTCTAGTAAGGCTTACTAGAGTAGAAGAGGTAATAGTTTAGAAGTGCTAACTATATAGAATCTTAAGATTTCCGCTATATTATTTATCTTTATCTTCTTAATATCCCTTTCTTATATAATAGAGGATTAATTAATTCTTTTATTCTATAAAGGACTAATTTAATAATATTTTTATAGAAAATTTAAGTAGGCTTCGTAGTATAAAAAGGTAAAAGTAGTAGAAATTCCCTTTATTTAAGACCCCTAATCTAGGGCTAATATTACTATTACTATCTTCTAATCTAGATTAAACTCTTTATTAGATAATAAATCTATATATATAACTATATCTTCTATCTTCTCTACTCTTCTATCCTAACTCTCGCGAGCCTTACCTTAATCCCTTTATTTTAATTCTAGGGTAGTCTAGTATAGTAGCTCTTAGTTAGGCTACTTTACTACGCTAAAGAACGTAGAAAGGCGGGGCTAGCTAGATAGGACCTACTATAGATTTAGCTCTAGTTTTAGAGATCCCTAGTATCTTATAAGCTTATATATATAGTGTCTAATAGTAGCTAGAAAGCTTATATAGGTTTTTTAGGGTTTTTAAGGTTAGAATACTAGAATTATATATATAGAGAGTTATATAGGGGAAGATTAGTTAAAATCACTAAGTCTAACGCTTATATAATTAAGAAAACCCCTATTTTAACTACTATAGTAAGACTATAGGTTAAATTAACGATTTTTAAGGCTTAAATCATATAGAATAAGGGTAAGTTAACCTACTATTCTACCTATAATTCAGGTTAGGGTTAGGGTGGTTAGGGTGGTTAGGGTGGTTAGGGTGGTTAGGGTGGTTAGGGTGGTTAGGGTGGTTAGGGTGGTTAGGGTGGTTAGGGTGGTTAGGGTGGTCCCTATTAATTAGTTAATCTTAAGTATAAGAACTATACTAATAAGCTCTATCTATATACTCTAAGTATAATATTTAGGGTTATATAAGAACGCGCTATCTAAAACTAGTTAAATAGCTTATATATTAAATATTATATTATTATAGTTAAATTATATTATTTTAAATTATTATAATTTAATAGGGTATTCTACTCGCTCTAGGTATTCTACTTACTAAAGAAATATATTAAGAGAGTTATTTTAGTAAGGGGGATATATAGATAGACTCCTTCTAGATAATAAATAGCTAGCTATTTAATAGTTTTTTTAAATAAATTATTATAAAGAATCAGTATTACTATACTATAGAGATATATCTATAGGTAGAATAATTAGGTAACTTTAAACTCTACTTATTTATAATTAGTACTTAAAGTTATATTACTATATCTTTAGATACTATAATATATAATTCTTAACTTTATATAATAGTGATTCAAAAAGGTCCATAAATTTTACTTTCTATGATACCTAAAGCTTTCTAATTCAATCGTAATAGTAAAAGTCAAACTAGATAAAGACTATGAGTTATAGTTATATCTATCGTTTAAAGGAAAGGGTTATATCATCTTAATATATCTTATCAATTGTTTAGATTAGTCGTATTAAATACATTACTGGATAAAATAAAGTCAAAGCGTTAAAATCTTAGAACGCGGCATTTCAGAATTAATTATATATTTATTAATAATAAATCTTTCTCACACAGTATTGGAAGTTTATCATTCTTAAGAAATAGAGGATCATGTCTTCTTAACATTTAAGAGATCATGAAAGCATAGTGGAGTAAGACTATTTATAATTAAAGCTTATATATTATATATTACCTACTATAGACTTTAAGGTTTTTGAGTTTTAAAGGACTTATCTTACCCAATCTAAATAATTTATTCAAATTTAGTCATATCTTCAGGATATTTTGAACATAGTATCACTAGAGAGTTGAGTAAGTATCCTTTCTATAATAGTAAATATTCTATCTATTTTCATAGTATTAATATATTCTAAGTAAAGAAAAACTTCTAGAAGTAGATAAAAATCTAAAGAAGATATATTAAATAATATCGATACTATATGTTATATATATATATATATTGATGTATCATGTTAAAAGGAGTATTATAGTAACTTAATTTATATAAGTATTTTCATTAGAATTCTAGTAATAAATGGCATTCAGGAATAGTATACTTACGTATAAATAGGATAATAGTTATTATCAACCTATATATGTTCTTAAGTTATATATATAATAATTCTTCGAATATAGAGTTTATTTTAATAGCTTTGAGATAAGTAGAAAAAATATTTACGAACTAATTTTTTATATCCAGAAAGGGTATTAATATATTGTTCCCCTAGATAGTTAAGGTTCAAAGTAGATTTTAATATGAGACATCATCTTTAATGATATCCTTAATGATTGGTATTTAGAGAGGTATTATATAATTAAATTAGTAGAAAATAAACTTTGGGTATTAAAAAAAAGTAAATCAACTAAGAAGTGAAATAATTATAATAAGGAATATATTTTCTGTAAGATCAAATTTATATGAAAAGGCTAAATCCTTTAATAATTTTCATCTTAATATTAATCTATACCTAATAGAGATCTAATTACTAGTTACTCTAAAGATTCATTAAAACAGTAATAACGAAGATTCTTCTACATAACCTTATAATAATAGACTAATCTTTTCACTGCATTATATTTTAAATACTAAATTTCTAAATAAGCTGATAAAGCTATCTATAAAATAAATATATTTATATATGAAAGATAGAATAGGTTTTTACATATATTTTCTAATCTAGGTAATACTATCATCAAAGATGTAAAAGAATATTTACTACATCATTATTATTTATTAAAATATTGGTGAACTAAAATTCTAATTGTAAATCCTAAAATTTATTCATAACTGATCTTATGAATATAAAGAAAAAAATGGTCTATTCTATTTAAATGATATTGACATATAATACATAATATGTTTCTTAATTTAATAAGAACCCTTATATCTTTGTAATAACATTAACAAAATGATTAATTTTAAATATTGTAATATATCTAAGACTAATAGAAAAGGTGAGATTCTAGAAAGCGAGAGTAAAGTTATAAGAATAAAGAGTGGCGGATTAAAGAAAGGCTGAAATGATAGTAGTAAATTATTCATTCAAATTATACTAAAAATAGTATTATAAAAAGGTGCCTGAGATAATAACTTTAGATTAGAGAGGATTTTACTTCATTTTAAAATGTTTATAGAAGTAAATAATATAATTAGAGGCAATAATATTTATAAATCTTCTAAGCTTAATCTATTTCACTAGTTTAATTATAGGATTCTTAATTAAAGTAGATATTAAGCTACATTAAACTATTTTTTAGAATATAATAAGATTTATGAAATCCTATGATATATATTAATGTAGGTTATAAGTAGATTGAGATATATGAGTTTAGATTTCAATCATTACTCCTAGAATATAAAGAGAAGTTATTACTAAAGTCAATTGAAGTTAAAGAAGAAAGAAGATTAATAAATGA